TAAATAAATATTTATTTATTAACTTTATTATATTAAAATAAATTATTTAAAAATAATTATTTAATTTATTATATAATTTATTAAATTAAAATTAACTTTTAAATAAAATAATTATATTTTATTATTATATATAATATTTAAATTTATAATTTTAATAATTTATAAATAAAAGAATAATTATTAATAATTAAATTTATAATTATATAAAAATAAATTTTTAATTTTAAAAATTATTATTATTTAAAATAATTAATATATTTTTAAAAAATTAAAATTATAAATTTAATTTAAAAATATTAAAATATATATAAATTTTAAATTTAAACTTTAAAATATAAAATTTTAATTTTTAAAAAAAAATTAAATTTAAAAAATTAAATTAAATTATAATATAATAAAATAATTAAATAAAAATTAATTAAAATTTTATAATTATAAATTTTTAATTTTATATTTAAAAAAATTAAATTATATATAAAATTATTTATTATATAAAATTTTAATTATTATATAAATTATTTATAACTTTAATTATATTATATTTTTATATTATATAATTATTTATTTTTTTAATAATTTAAAGTTTATATATAAAATTTTTAATAATTTTATATATATTTTTATAATTTTTAAAAAATTTAAATTTATTTTTTTATTTTTATTATATTTTTATATTATTAAAAATTAATAATTATTAATAATAAAATATAAATTTAAAAAAATAAATTTATTATATTTTTTTATTTTTTATAAATTATTTTTAAAAAGTTTTTAAAAGTTTTAATATTTTATTATAAAAGTTTTAAAATAATATATTATAAATTATTTTTTTATTTTAAATTTTTTAAAATTAATAATTATATATTTAAATAAAGATTATAATATTAATTTATTTAATAAAGATTTTATTAATATATATATATATATAAATAATTTTTAATTAATTTTTTAATATACTTTATTTATATAATAATTATTTTTAAATTTAATTTATTATATAATTTTTATAATATTAAATTATTATTAAAATAATATTTTTAATTTTATTTATATATTATAAAATTAAAATTATAAATATTTATTATATTATAATTATTATTATTAATATTATATTTTTAAATATTAAATTTTAAATATTTATTATTATATAAAATATTATATATATTTTAAATATATATAAAATAAAAATAAATATAAATTATATTATATTTTTAATTTTATTATTAAATTAAAATAATAATTATAATTTTTAAAAATAAAATATAATATATTTTTAAAAATTAATTTAATTAAATTTATTATATATAAAATTTTTATAATAATTTTATAATTATTTATAATATTATTTATTATTAAAAATATTTTTATATTAATATATTTAATTATATTTAATTAATTTAAATTAATATTATTAATTTATTAAAATTAAAATTATTATAAATTATAAATTAATTTAATATTAATAAATATTATATATAAATATTAAATTTATTATAAAAATAATAAATTATAATAAATTAATTATTATAAATAAAATTAATAAATTTATATTTATATATAAATTATTAAGCTTAATTAATAAGTTTAATTAATTTAATTAAATATTTTATTATTTAATTAAATAAATTTTTAATTAATATTAATATATATTATTTTATTTAATTATTTATATATAAATTAAATTAATTAATATTAATTAATTATTAATTAATTTTTAATAATAAAATAAATTATTTAAACTATTTAAATATTAAATTTAAAAAATAAATTAATAATATTATTATTATTATTATAATTTAAAAAAATAAGTTATTTAAACTATTTAAATATAAATTTAATTATTAAATAAAACCTTTTATTAATTAAGTTTTATAATTTTAATAATAACCCTTTTTTATTTTTTATAATATATTAAAAGGAATTTAAAACTATAAATATTTATAATAACTTTTTAATTAAATAATTTTATAATTAATAATTTAAATTTATTTATTAAATTTTTAAATTAGTATTTAATTATATATTTATTAATTTATTTAATAGCCTACCTATTAATTTATTTACTACTTTATTAATTTACTTTTATATTATTTAAATAAATAACTTTTATATATTTTTTAATTTTTTATAATATTTAAATAGAAATATTTTAATATTATAACTATTTATAATTTTTAAATCTTTTATAATAAAATTATTTATAATTATTATAAATATATATTAATAATACTTTTATTTATATTATTAAAAAAGTTTAAATTAAAAATAAAATAAAAAAATATATTAATAATATTTATAAAAAGGAATATATAATAGTTTAAGCTTAAAAGCTATTTAAATTATTTAAATAACTAATTAAATAACTAATATTTAAATAATTAAATTTTTATTAACCTCTTTATTAAACTATTTAAATAAATAGTATTTAAATAAATAATACTTTAAATAAAAACTTTTATTTAATTAATTAATAACCCTTTTATTTAATATAAATTCCTTAAAAACTTTTATTTTATTAATTAATAAACTTTTATTTATTATAAGTTTAAAATTATATTAATTTAAATTTATAATATTTATAATAATAAATAAAAAAATATTTTATTAAATTAAAATATTTTAATTATTATATAAAAAGTATTTAAATTAAATAAATTTTTAATTTAATTAATTTTATATTATTAACTTTATAAGTAAATTAATTAAATTAATTATATTTAAACTTATTATAAATAATAACTTTATTTTAATTAACTTTACTAATAATAATAATAATATAATAGTTTTAATAACTTTATTTTAATTTATTAATTTAAATTTAATTAAAAAATTATATTATTAATAAAAAAAAGATTATAAAAAAAGTTATTATTTAAATAAAAGTAAATTAAACTTTATTTTAAATAAAACTTTAATTTAAATAATAATTATTATTTAAATAATTATATTTTAAATAATAATTTTAATTATAATAATAATTTTAATAATTACTATTTTAATTAAAAGCTTATTTAATATATATTAAAGTATTTTAATTAGTTGAATTATAAGGAAAGAAACTATTAAAAGGATTAATTAAACTAATTAATAATTATAAATTAATTAATAATTAGTTATAATTAGTAAGTAATTAATAATAATTTAGTAAGTAATTAATTAGGTAATTAGGTGATTAAAAACGTTAATTTAAAGTACTTTACTAATTATAAAAGAAAAAACTATTAAAAGGGCTAACTAACTAAATATTAATAGTTAATAATTACTTAATAATAATTTAATAAGTAATTAATAATTTAAACTTAATTTTATTTATTAAAGTAATTTAAATTTAAATAATTTAAATAATTTATAAAATATTAATTTAAAGTATTTTTAAATTATTTAAATTAAATAAATTATAATTATATATTTAATAATAATTTTAAATAATTAAAATAATTTAATTAAAAACTACTTTATTAGTAAATAAAGTTTTTTAATTAACTAAAAGGAAGATTTTAAAAAACTAAAAAGGTATTAATATAAAAATAATAAGTTATAATAGATTAACTACTATAAGTAAAATTAATAGGTCTATACTTATATATAGACTATTAAACTTAGTTAGTAGGTCTAATTAACCTAATTAGGCGCTTTACTACCTAACTAAGTAGACCTTTAACTAATATTAATACACACTACTTTACCTAACTACTTATATATAAACTAAATTAACTAATATTTATTATATAATTTAAATAAATATAAATTAATTAAAATAAATAAAAATAAAACTATTATTTTTTAAAAGTTTTAATTTTATTTAAATAAATATTTATTTATTAACTTTATTATATTATAAATAAAATTATTTAAAAATAATTATTTAATTTATTATATTTTAATTTATTAAATTAAAATAATTAAATAAAATAATTATATTTTATTATTTAAGTTTATAATTTTAATAAATTATAAATAAAATAATTATTAATAATTAAATTTATAATTATTTAAAATAAATTTTATTTTAAAAAGTTATTAATATTTTAAATAATTAATATATTTTTAAAATAGTTAAAAGATTATAAGTTTAATTTAAAATATATTAAAATTTATAAAAATTTTAAATTTAAGTTTAAAAGTTTTAATTTAAAGTTTATATTTATAAAAATAAAAGTTTTTATAAAGTTTAAAAAAAATTTAAATAAAGTTAAAGATTAAATTAAATTATAATATAATAAAATAATTAAATAAAAGTTAATTAAAATTTTATAATTATAAATCTTTTAACTTTATATTTAAAAGAGTTAATTATTATATTATATAATTTTATTTATAAAAATATAAAATTATTAATAAAATTTATTAAATAAATTATATTTAAACTTTAAATTTTATATTTTTATTATTTTTTTATAATTAAATATAAATTATTTTATAAGTATTAATTAGTGTGTATAAAGGGGTTAGTGTGTGAGTGGATATTTTAACTTATAATGGAGGGTATAACTGCTAACTATATACTTACACTGTCTAGCTAAAAGACTATAATAACCAATCTACCTATTAGTTATTCCTAGTAGTATATAAGTACCGTACCGTCACTCTATCCGTTTTTTGCCCTGTGAATATCCGTTCTCTTAAAGATGTGTCGCCACCTAAGTATGATGATACGGTCTCATAGGCATTGCTGAACCATGGACGACCAGTTGTTTATTGCACGTCTTTTGACCTATGTGGGTGTGTGCAAGAATGATTGCAAGCCGTCAGTCACACTGAGCGGCATTCACCTACCCTGTCAGCATATGAACAGAGATATGCACTCATAGTAGGGCCATACTATGTTGCTGTACAGCATATTTAGAAGTGTAATACGTGTGATGTGGTCTGCGCTGCCGCCTTTATAATTGCACATGTGGCTATATTACCCGCACGGCATATCCTGCACACTTCGTTTGGACAACACTTGGAGGAACACGCGATTGGTATAATGATACAAGTTCCGCATTCTAAGCAATCCAGCCTGTAACTACTAATGATACTCTGAAAATCTCCTGACTGACCAGCAGCCAACACAATAGTTCTCCTCAACATTATTGCCTGCCATTGCCAGAAGAAGACCCAGGCCTGGAACCAGCTGCGGCGGCGGCGGCGGCGGCAGCGGCGGCAGCGGCAGCAGCAGCCTTGGCTTCCGCTTCCCTCTTGACTTTCTGCAGGACCTTTTTCAACAAAATGTTCTTCTCCTTGTCTTGTTTCAGCTTCTTAGCCAAAACAGCAACAGTTGGTCTCCTTGAGTCTTTGAGTATCTTGCTCCCGGTCTTGTTTCTAAAAATCGGTCCAAAGAGTTCGACTTTGCTTAAGCCCTCTACTGCACCTTCTTTCACAAATTTCAGCAACCCATCAACATTCTGCGCATACCCCTGAATGGACTGCGCGGCTGTTGATCGACGTGCGGAAAGAATGAAACCGATCGCAAGTTCCATCCAGGCGATACAACCTTGAGGAGTCGACATTCCCTCGGGCTGGCGCCATTCAATGGTAGCCTTGGTGCTGCGTTTCAGATTCTCGAAGTTCCATGAGTAGTATCTGTCGTTGACCATTTCCTTACCATGGACTTCCAGGGGATTCATGAGATTTGCCATGTCTTCCATGGTCTTGCAACCTTGGATCAAATTGAAACATTGCGCCAACGTTAGGTCTCTAAACGTTGGGTTGTTGTTCTTGAATGTTTTTGCCCAAAAGTTGCCCCAGCGATGCTCCGGGAGTATAGAGCCGAAAGCAGTCTCGAAATGAAGGATGGCAATGCAGATATTCTGTACCTCTCCTACAGTCCAACCCCTTCCCGCGGGTGAGAGATGCACATGGAAACCACAGCTTTGGTTACTTTCGATGTTGCAGAGGCTCTCAAGAATCTGGAACGAACGGATGATCTGGGAGCGCCAAGAGCCAGTCTTGTCGAAAGCTAAGATCGGCGAAACAATCTCGAGAGCATCTAGTAAATTTGTGCGATATAGTCAGAAAATTTGACTCATGTAATTGGTTTGATTTTGGAATGCTAGAGTTCGGACGCTCACGTTTCTTGTCTTTGATCTCCCCTACAACCGTGGGATCCCAGGTGATCGACCATTCCTTGTATGCTGGACCTGTGTATGAGCCCAAGAAATCCGTATGGATCCCAAGCTCGTTCTTCTTGATATTGGCGTTCCAATGCTGGACAACGAGCTCTGAGAACTCTTCAGTCCCCATAGTTCTTGTGTCTACAAGAGACAACAAGCTCTCGACCTCAAGGCCAAGTCGCAACTCGTTGTTCGTGTTGCCTGTGTTGTTCGACATGTTATGAACTGATGAAATCTGCTAAGTGTGCTTTGTCGAAATCATACAGGAGTGAACAGGGTTTCTTAATTGTGACAACGGAAAAGTTTGAAGAATCTTGTCCGGTTGAGACTTGTGGATTCTTGCACAATTTTGAGATGAGTAGGGGAGGACAGACAGAATGTATAGATATTGTTGAGCGTGATTTATGTTTGAGAACACTGGATCAATCAAATGAACACAGGATGCAAGGCTTTTCTTATACACCACGCTCAACTCTTAAGTCATCCATCACGACATTAAACATTGCAAATATCTTACCATGTCTGCGGCGTAGCTTTGCGGCGTAGCTTCGCGAGGTAGCAAAGTGGCCTCTGGACCTGCGACCTTTGGTTTCAGCAGGAATGACGCTGACGCAAGATATAATTAGGATGGTGGGGTATAATTGAAGGGCCATGGTAGTTTTTAGTTGTTTTTTTGGCCGGGGCCGGGGGGCTCATCAGCTGTGCCGCCAGCTTGAACTGCAACCCACATACTGACCGCGGGAAAACTCGGAACCTGAGCGAGCAGTACCCAACAATAGGTTGGATCGCGGATCGCGGACAAATGACATGATCTTGAACGGGCGATTAGGTTGATGGCCTTTTCATCAAAGCCCAAAAATTGTGTTCCGCCCAGCCCATCGTTGAGGAGGTGCTTGAGTGAAATAGAGCACACGAGCACAATAGTTGTACACTCAATTATTAGGGACAGAATCGGGTAGCTACCTAGGTATCGATCCTGTCCACATAAAGCGGGAGACTCTGGGAATGTATGTGGCAAGGGTGGCGGGCCTGGATGCACGCGTGTGATTTAATCCCCCAGATATCCACCGGTCCAAATTTAGATTCGGTTAGCTAATCATTGCATATCACCGTTTGGCCGCTGGCCGCTGGCCGCTGGCCGCTGGCCGCCGGCCGCTGAAAGACCCAGCTACCGACTGTGCCGTCGGCTATACCCCCGGGTCTCTTTTCTCAAACTCGCTTTAGCCCCACACATCGGTGTACCGCAAGTATCCGTGGCGGCAGTACCGTGTAAAGCAGTGTGGAATGAAACTTCTACCCTAACCCCAGACGATAACTGCGGGACCGGTAATCTACATAAATGGATGCCTGGGTCCCAAGCCCGCAGAGAATTAACGAACAGACGCTCATCCTGCCCCTTCCAATGCAGCTCACTTGGTGCCATCCTACAAACTGCTTGTGTACTCTTATTATTCTCCAAGCACAGACATCTGCTGCATCTCATCAACAAATCATCCTGATTTAGATTGTTGTCGGGTCTTATCTTCAAGCCTGCAGGCTGCTTTCTTTCTTCATTTCTCTCTGATTGGATTGACAAAAACCGTATCTCCGTGTCACCTTTTCCACCTGTTGAAAGATGGCACAGAAGGCAGATTGTTCACCCTGTGCGCATGCAGAGACCACGGAGCACGTCTGCCAAGATCAGAGTCAATCGACAGCAATCACCTCTACTACACCATCAGCGACAGCTAATCGGAGTAACCTAATGCTCAAAAAATTCTTGGCCGCCGAAGACGATGATTCTGATTTTGCCGAGACTCACAGAAAGGCTGGAATAGCACTCGCGGAGGAGAATGCCCGAGCACATGAGGCCAAAGAGCTATACTTCTTTTATGGCTCTCTGATGTTTCCGAGGATGCTTCAAAATGTACTTGACCTGCCTGAGGTACCTAAACTGAAGCCTGCTGAGATAGTTGGGCTTCATTTGAAAATGTGGGGACCCTATCCTGCTTTAGTAAATGGAGAGCCAGGGGAGGTTGTCAAGGGGATGGCATATGAGGTTGATGGAAGTGAACAGAAAGAGAAACTGGCTAGGTATGAAACGGAATGCTACAGGACACGCAAGTTTTATATCAACGTGATTGGAGAGGGAAAGATTTTAGGGACAACCTTTGTGTGGAATGGACATGCCGATGAGTTGGATGAAGGTGTGTTTGATGCTATAAGCTGGGAGAAGCGGATGAATCAAATGCTTGACCGTTGATCCTACAACATTAAAGAGGAGCCGCTCTTTAATAATATAGAATCACAACATGGTCTTAGTAGGAAAAGCTTGGATATTTAGTTATATTATTACTTTATAAGCTTAAGTCTCTACTTAAATATTATAATAAAACTTTTAATTAATATTAAAAACTATAAATTTATTAATATTTATTATTAATGAATATTCTTTATATTAATATATTAAATTATATTTAGTTATTTTAAGTTAATATTTTTAATTTATTAAAAGTTTAAAGTATTATAAATTATAAATTATTTAATTTAATATTAATAAATATTATATAAAAATAAAATTATATATAATAAATATAATACTTTTATTTTATATATATTTAAAATATATATAATATTTTATATAATAATAAAATTTAAAATTTAATATTAAAAATATTAATAATTTTAACTTTATAATATATAAATAAAGTTAAAAGTATTATTTTAATAATAATATTAATTAAAATATTATAAAAGTTATATAATAAAATTAAGTTTAAAAATAATTATTATATAAATAAATTATATTAAAAGTTTAATTAAAAATTATTCCTTTAAATATATATATATATTAATAAAATTTTTATTAAATAAATATTATAATTTTTATTTAAATATATAATTAATTTTAAAAACTTAAAATAAAAAATAATTTATAATATACTATCTTTAAAATTTCTATAATAAAGTATTAAAACTTTTTTAAAAAATTAAAAATAACTTATAAAAAATAAAAGAAAATATAATAAATTAATTTTTTAAAATTTATACTTTTATTATTAATAATTATTAATTTTTGATAATATAAAAAAGTTAATATTTATTTATTTTATAATTATATTTATTTATTTAATTTTTAACTATTTATTTAATATAAAATTTATATATAAAACTTATATAAAATTATATATTTAATTAAAATTCTTTAAATTTTTAATACTTTTAATATAAACCTCTTTTAAACCTCTTTTAATACCCTTTTTAAAACCTTTTACTTTTACTTTTAAAACCTTTTATTATTACCTTTAAACCTTTTAAACTATATATATTTAAGTATTAACTAAGTATTTAAATATTAATTAAATATTAAAAAGTTAAAAGTTAAAAAGTAAAAATAAAAACTATACTCTTTCTAACCTTTTAATACTTTTTTAACCTTTTAATACTTTAAACTTTTAACTTTTTAATATTTAATTAATATTTAAATACTTAGTTAATATTTAAATATATATAGTTTAAAAGGTATATTAAAAGGTATATTAAAAGGTATATTAAAAGGATTTATACTTAAAGTATTAAAAATTAAAGAAGGAAATTATATTATAAAATCTTTTAATATTAACTTAAAAATACTTATAAATATAAAAGTTATTAAAAACTTAATATTAAATGAATAGTTAATAGGAATTAAATAAGTAGATATAATTATTAAATAAATAAATATTAACTTTATAAAAAATATAATAAAATAAAAGAAAAAGAATTTAAACTTTATTTATAAAATAATTATAAAAATATATATAAAGTTATTAAAAACTTTATATATAAATTTTAAATTATTAAAAAATTATATAATATAAAGAAAATATATAATATAATTAAACTTATATTTATTATATAACTTTAATTTTTAAGTTTATTAAAATAAATAAAAATAGAATTATTATTTATTTAAAAGTTTTAACTTTATTTAAATAAATATTTATTTAATAAACTTAAAAATTATATATTTTATAAATAAAATTATTTAAATATAATTACTTAATTTATTATTTATATTAAAATATAATTAAATAAAATAACTATATTTTATTATTACTTTAAATTTATAATTTTAATAATTATATAAAATAAATTTTTATTTTTAAAAATTATTATTATTTAAAATAATTAATATATTTTTAAAATAATATAAGTTTAATTTAAAATAAATTAAAATTTATAAGAATTTTAAATTTAAATTAAAAGAATTTAAATATTTAATTTATTTAAAAAAGTTTTAATTAAATTTAATAAAGTTATAATAATATAATATAATTAAATAAAAATTAATTATAAAATTATAATTATAAATCTTTAAATTTAATATTAAAAATATTTTAATTATATTATTTTTAATTTACTAATATTAAAACTTAAAATATTTAAAAAATTAAATAAAGTTTTATTATTTATTTAAATTAAATTAAAAGTATTAAATTATATAGACTTTATAAATTTAATAATATTTATTATATTATAACTATTATTATTAATATTATATTCTTTTTAAACACTAGGTTTTAAGTGCTTACTACTATATAAAGGCACTATGTATGTCCTTGGATGTATATGGAATAGAAGTGAAACTATATAGATTTAATAAAAGAGATTTAAATATAGTAACCTTTGGTAGAAAAGTGTTGTTTTAGGGGGGATGTGTGTGGATAGGTCTACAGACTTAGTCTTATAGCTAGTTATGTCCATTCTGGAGGCTGGAGAGGGTCTAGAGGTCTAGTATCGCATTATATATACATTGCACACTATTGTCAAGAAGACTGCTGTGGTTGGAGTGGGATACATTGGTAACAAGGGCTGGGTAACCTTACCCAGAAGTCTTCTGAGATGGCTTATGAGAAAGGAAGAGATTGGGCTGTGGGCTTACTGTCACCAACGAGGTGTGGCCGAGGTCGAGAAAAGATTCGCACGGCACCATCTCGATGGCAGGGAAACTGAAGCCATGGTGATCATCGGCTTCGGGTCGTGTACCTGTGCCAATGGGAGCCAAATTCAAACGGCCACCGTACCCAGGTGGTGACCGTCCAAGCAATTATCTAGGTTTGTTACTTTTTGCTTCTTTTCGCCTTTTTATTTGAAGTACGTGGAAGACATTGTAATTCTCTTGGAATTGTAGCATCCCTTCTTTGTGAGCGTTACGACGCAAGACGGCCTTCTTCTCTAGTGATATTGCCTGACTTCTCCACTAGATGTTGCAGCCAAGGCATACACAATAGCATTGCATCTTTTTGTTACGTCTTGGCCTTATCTAGAAAAGCAAAGAGCCGCGAGGTATTTGATTAATGGTTGAGGCATAAACCCCTTCTTCTCGTCTATCCGCAAGCATTATTTTGATGGGAAGAGTCCTATTCAAGTATTTTGAATTGAAGCAGAGTCTTTGCCTCCAGGATAGCAGCGAGAAGAGGTCGGCATTGATCGCTGTGAAGCTTTGAGCCCAGGATTTGAGTATTCCTCAGCCACTAGACTAAGTGATTGTTACATGTTAGAAATGGCACATGCATGTTATGATCGGCACGGCAGCGAGCAACTCACCTGGGCAGGTGGGCATGCAGCTACCCTATCCACTTGAACGGTACGGATACGAATTCCCAGTCACTTCGCGGGATCGTCAGACAACTCTCTGGGGCGGCGACATTGGTGATGCCAAATCAAGCATAAAATTGGAAGTATATATACACAGCATATCCGCCACATTCGTATACACTATAGCGCTGCGACAGAAGGGCAAAGAGTCGAGTAGGAGAGGGCAAAGAGCCTTGCCGTAGCGCCAGAATCCGCAAAGTCATCCCACAATGCTGACTGAATGTTCTATGTCAGCTGCCTCTCCCACTGCCGGTTTGCCATGTAGACTAGTTGGAACCAACACCGGAGCATAGCGAGGCAGAGCGAAAACCGAGCCCCAAAAGATCCGTACAAGTAACATTGAAGGCGATCCCAACAACTTGATGACTCGTTTGCCTAGCAGATACACAGGCGTCCCACCACTGATAGAAGCATCGTGTTGGTAGCCCTTATGATTTCTCGGCCTCGCCCTCATCTGATGTGAATGCGTTGTCCTTTCCCCGCCATACGGCCTCGATGATGCTCATGCGGCAGCCTTGAGGTCGCGTGACTCCCTACCGCGCAAGGACATGCGTCAGCTCAACATACCATATTTTAAGGAGATCATTTTCGCGAAGAAGAAGAAAAAACCAAAAAGTAAGAACAAAACAAAAACACCTCACTCACTTTGAAGACAAATCCCTCATCCGCCATGCGGAACAGTTCCCTAAACTCAGCCTCGGTGCGCTCCTGGGCGTTGAGCAGCGCGAGCATGACCAAGTCCATGCGGCGCATGATCTTCTCGTCCCAGGGATTCTCCTGACCCGGCTCACGCAGGCAGTGGTCGTTGATGATGATGCGGGCTCCCGGCTTGAGGGCCGGCACGAGATTTTTGAGTATCTTCACGGCATAGGGGGTAGAGTAGTTGTGCATGATCCAGCGGAAGTAGTAAACTACGGGAAACATGTCCGAGTCAGAGGGGGCTGTTGTTGAGGGACTGCCTTCTTTTTTTTCGGGGGGATGGGCAGAGGAAGGAAGCTCACCGTCGGCCCCTTTCACAGTCTGCGTCGTGAAAAAGTCGTGTGCCATGAACTCAACCCTCTCGGATACCTGAGCATCCTCACAGACTGGTTTGGGGGCACTCGCAACAGTCTTGGGGAGGTCCTGCACCACAAATTTCATGCCTTTCCACTTCTTGGCAAGGTCGACGCAGACGAACCCGTGGCTACCGCCAATGTCGACAAAGGTGCCACCAGTCGCTTCGATCTCGGAGAAGTCGTAGCCGTCGACAAAGAAGCGAACCTCGTATCCCTCGCCGCCCGTCAGGCTCGCCATGGCGCGGCCCATGCGCTTGGCCCGGTTCTCGTCCTTGCCAAAGGTGACGAACATTGGCTCTTTGTCGACGGTGTCGAAGGCGAACTGGAAGCCACTGCGGGTCAGCGATGTGGCCTCGGGGAACTGCCGCAGCGCCTGGAGGCTGTGGGCCGAGGCTGGGAAGATGTCCTCGGCGTTGAAGCCCACCCACGCGGCGAGCTCTGCGTCAGTGGCCAGGAGACGAGACGCCGCGGTGTGGGCGATGACCCCGGGAGAGGGCTCGCAGAAGACGTGGTTTGTCATGGCTGTACGAAGGGCGCGTGCCAGGTTCACAGGATCCAGCGGCGTCAGAGACTGTAGTTCTGCCAACGTGATGGGCTTGTCGAGCGGGACAAGTTTGGCTAGCAGACGTGTGAGCTGGGTTGGCGCTTGGAGCTCATTGTAGCCGGGTTGAACTCACCAATTCCATAGTTGTTGATCAGCTGAAGGGCCAGGACGTCAAGAAACTACAATGCCTCGTAAGAACATGTCTTGATATATGAGAGCACCGGCCAGGAACCTACCTCCCACACACCCCACCTCACACTCTCACGGGGGCCAACCGCCAAATCTCGTAGCTCCTTCGTGGCATGTATGATCTCCAGTCTGCTCCTCTGGACATGTTCTGGCAGCCTGGGAAAGTCATCTGCAGCACCGACATCGAACGACGGCATGGCAAGGCCGTTCTCGTTCATGTACGCCTCCAGTTTATCGGTCTCCCTCGCAATCTTCTGCGAAAGAGCGACCATGTTGGCCGGCGTTGAGACAGGCGATTGTGAGGGGTCGGCCGCCGGGGTAGAGGCAGGTTCCAAGGTGCTGGCTGGGTTCTGATGGGATTTGCCGTTCGGTGCCTTGCCAGTCTCTGGGCCGCTCGCCGGGGTCGTGACAGGCGAAGACGCAGAGAAGCCGGAAAAGGTCCGCCTGTTCTGCCGCTTGCGTTCGATGTCGCCGCTGGTGCCATTACTTTTTGGGGCCAGCCAGGAGCTCAGGCTGAACTTGGTCATGGTGGCCGCCCTCTTTGTGGCCACAGAGCGCCCTGCAGCAGAGACGCTAGGAAGGAGTGCGTGTTTCCCTATGGCCGCGATTTGTCAAGGGGCAAAGCCCCCGCGGAGGGTTTAAATGGTAGACTGCTTGCGTTGCAGTCAGTCAGTTGTCCACCAAGTCGCGTGTAAGCCCTGAGCCCAAGGCTCAGTGGCTCCGTGCCCATCGCCGCCATCGTGACACTGGGCAGGAAAAGCAGGCCTGGCGGACTTCCTGACGCCTGCCACAGGACAGTCACAGCACGGGAGGTTACACAGCAAGCAGCCACTTTCTGCAAGTGCCAATGCAGAGCCACAGGATGTGCAACATGGAGGACAAGCTAAAGCCATAACCAGAGCCAGTGAAAGCAGGGCCAAGCGGGGTCTGGAGGGGGACATGTCAGAACTGAGGTGAGGAAGACGAGCAATAACACGCCCGGGGCCGGGGCATAAAACTGCTGGGTAGGGGAGCACTTGTGGTAGCAACTTTTGTTTCACACAAACTCCGAAGCAGGAAGGCACCAAGAAACAAAGAAATAAGGAAGGAAGGAAGGAGGGAGGGGGGGAGAGTAGCAGACAAAAGAGAGCAAGAGAGAGCAAGAGAGGCGGCATACCCGTTGATGTTGAGGCCCCTCGTGAGGTTTAGGAAGCAGCAGCATGTGGACCAGGTCGGCGTGTCCAGCAAGCATACAATACGCAATACGCAATACACAATTTGAGACCCGAGAGACGGTAACCTTATCGCCAAAGGGCGGGCGCCTGGACGGTGGGCGAGAAAGGGGAACGGGGAGTTTATTAACAACGGAGAGGCATGCGGCGGGAGAGTGGTCGGATGGGGTTTAGCAGTGTCGCGAGGCTAGCAGGGACCATGAGACGGGCTTGCTTCCCAAGTGTCGCTCGGCACCTTTCAGCAGGTACACTACGGAGTACTGCTGGGCAGGACAGGCAGGGCAGGACAGGCAGGGCAGGACAGGCTGGCAAGCTGGCTACTACATAGTAGCAGGCTAGCAGTGGCAGGATGGGCTGGCTGGCTGGCAGGCTGGCAAGAGGGGGATCGATCCCACTATTCATTTCGCCCCGGGACGAAGCTCGTGGATCTCTCCGCCCAGTTTCCGTGGCCCACTGCTTGGGACGAATGGCGCCGAGAAACTGGGGCTAGCGAGCACGTCTGGACGCTGGACGGCCGGCCGACATCCTACTGGCGGCCAGCCCCAGGCCTTGTCACCGTCCCGGCACGGACGGTACGGGTAGACAAGACAGGTAGACAGACAGACATTGGGGCTACCCAGCCAGCATGGAGTGTCCGATGTGGCTGTTTGTTTGTTTACTACTACCTGGCCGTGGAGAGCCAAGGCACCGCTAGCACCTGGCCCGCGTCCCGAGAGCCAGGGTTGAAGGGGGACGAAGCGTGGGAAGCGTGGGAAGCGTGGGAAGCGTGGGAAGCGTGGGAAGCGTGGGCAAGCGTGGGCAAGCGTGGAGAGCTGCGCAAAAAGACTCTACTAGTCCCTGCCCTTGTGCCCTTGTAAGTTGTGCCCCAAGGCCAGGGCCCAGGGCCGTGGCAGTGGTGCGAGCTAAGCTGTGCCGGTAAGGGCATTATCCTGGCATCCTACAGTAGCAACCTTCTGCTGTGGCGGGCTGGAGCCATATCGGCGCCCCCGCTTACCTTCTCCCACACGTGCACCCTGTGCTGTGCGATTTAAACTGTTGCGAGAGCCGACGTGGTGCTCGTTGCCGTGAGTGGACTAGAGGAAGAAATCAAGGTGCTGCTTGACTCCAATTGGGTGTGGCCGTCTTGTGTTACCCCAGCATCTAAGCCCCCCTATCCTTCCACCCTACGAAGTACCTCTTCCCGTCTGCCCGTCCAGCCGTCCCCCGCCCCTCCCACCTCCCCCAGCATCCCGTACTGCACGTCATGGAACCGCCAGTGTGAGATTTTGAACCACATCACTTTAGCGATTGGTCGTGGCTGGGTCGGGCATCTCACCCGAGGCGTCGCTGTCCCGACTTGTCGGGTCCCCTCCCGTGGGAGTCAGCCGCCATGTCAGCCAGCATCTTGACTAAACACCCCTCAGCAGCTCACCGGCCAGCCAGGACGTTTCCCACACGTTCGTGTCATTTCGTTATGGGGCCGCTAGGCGGCTGGCATCGGTAATAGTGCCTATGATCTATCTGATCGGACGCTACCCGCGCGGACGAGCCCTAACAGCTGCATACTACCCTCTGGGAGCCCGTCAGGACCAGTAACCGGCGAGCAACCTGCACTGGCGCCCAAGCTTCCAGCCGCCTGGTCTCACCAGGGCTCACCAGGGCTCACCAGGGCAGAAACCCGCTCCCCAAGACAGGTGCCCACCGTGCCCAGTATGATATGGTGTCCCGTCCCGTCCCGTCCCGCCCCGCCTCGCCCCGCCTCTAGAGTCCATGTCCGGGCTTCTGCCCGCATACTATGTGCATCGGCATGTACATCAGCGCGCTGTTGTCAAAATACGCCTTCCTCACCTCGACGAGGAAGACTTCCACCTGGTCCCGGGTCCACCCGCAGCCTCGGGTCAGCGGGCCCAGGGCGATGGCTTGTGCGCCGTCCAGCAGGACCTGCCTCCAGTACTCTCCTACCATCTTCAGGTTAGGGTGCTTGGCCCAGGTCCCGAGAGGCACGTGGAGCACACGCTCGTGAATGTTGACAAAGCCGGCCTCGTGCATCGCGTTTGCGATCTTGCCACCTGCCGCCGCGTGGAAGTCAACCCCCAGGTTCGCCAGTCCGTCCTTGATCAGCCCCCAGTACTGCGCGATGGGATGGTCCGGTGCCATCGAGTTATTGGCCGAGATGGGGTAGTGATAGATCTCCTGTGATTCAATCCAGCCGCCAGGCTTCAGATGCCTAAAGCCCTAGTCAGCTGCTAGTAGTGATGATGAAGACACACAAGGTCCAGGGCCGGGAGGAAGAGGGGGGGGGGCTCACGTCATGGCCTGCTTGTACAGCCTTGGCCAATCCTTGATCGCCATGACCGTGTGCCTCGAATGCACATAGTCGAAATGGTCTTCTGGGTAAAGCCATTCGCTCTCGGCGTCATCGACCACGAAGTGCACGTTTGAGGGCACCCAGTCCGGCTGGATGGGGCTGAGGTCGATGCCGACGACGTTGGCCGCAGGAAGCTGGTCTCCCATCTCGATAGCCCATATGCCCGTCCCCGTGCCAATGTCGAGCACGTTCTGCACGCTGCGCTCGTCGAGTGGTGCGAAGTAGAGCTGCTGGCATAGCATCTTGACGCAGGCGTGCTTCATGTCCTCCCGGTCCTGCTCGGCCTCGTCGTTGGGGAAGTTGTACCTGCCTTCCCTGAACCTGTGATAGCGCCGTCCGTTCTCAAACAGGTAGTCCCGTGCGCTGCTGGACAGAGAGGTCGAGGCGAAGCTGGCCCGATCAGACTCGTAGCCCGGGTCGGATTCCAGCTCGTCCTCGTCGACAACAATGTTGCCGTCGCCTGCCTGCCGCACAGAGTCTTGGTCATACTGGACAGCGGCAGCGGCAGCGGCAGCGGCAGCGGGTTCGTCGCCCGGGCGTGTTGAGTAAGGATGTTGGGTTTCGGTAGACATCCATGGATCTTGTCGACCTGGTAGGGACTGCTCTGGGGCCACGGGGGAGGAGGGCGTGACATGCTCATGATGAGGGGGTTGGCGCGGGCTCGCATGGGCCTGTTGTGGTGGTGGAGAAGGCTCAATTGGGGCAAGAAGATTCTCTATGGTGGGTGGAACGGATGGTCGTGTAACTGGAGGCAAAGACTGAAGGCGGGGAGCTGCAGACTGTGGTGTAGGCGACGGCTGGCGGAAGTTGTCGGGGCGTGGGGAGCCGTCATCCGTCCTGGGCCTCTTGGAAGGTGGCTGTTGGTGGTGGTGAGAGGCCGCGGGTTCATCGTAGACACCATTGTCTTTGGACGCGACCGAGATGGCCGAGTCGGTCTTGTGGAGAGGGTCCATGGTTTATTACTATCTCACATCCCGTGCGTGGACAGGACAGGGAGGTGAAAGATCAGGTGTGGCCAGCTTAGAAACAGAGGGAGCAGGCAGGGCGGCGCAGGGCGGGTGCTCCGGATGATGCGACGCGCGGGCAGCGGCCGCAGGATAGGGCAGTGAGAAGCTGGCGTTGGGCTGGAGTTCCTCAGGCGCACGGGGTCATGCAGTCAGTCTGTGGCTCGGCGAAGCAGCTGGACGAGGTTGAAGGGGCGGCAAGACGGGGGCGCGTTGTTGCAGCGAGTGAGTGAGTGAGTGAGTGGTGAGTGGTAAATGGTAAGTGGTGAGTCTTTGGTGGGATGGGCCTAATTATTGCAGTCAGGAGGCTGGGTTGTGCGTGCTGCGGTGGTGCAGTGGTGCGGTGCTACACGCCTGTTATTAGCGTGGCATGGAAAAGGAAAAAGCGCTTGGAGTACTGGCTGGCAGGCTGGTAGGCAAGTTCCGCCGTCTATCGGGATGGGTTGGATGTTGGACAATAGACATGGACATGGACATGGACGAGAACGAGGAAGGACGACGGGAAAGTGAAAGGGGATGGGGGGAACTAAATGACAGGGGGCATGGTTCTAGTTCCTACCTACCTACCTAAGTAGGTATCTAGGAACGAACCTACCTAGGTACTAACCCAGGTTGCCCACCTACCTACCTACCTACTTACTGACCTGGGCACTCAAGTAGGTAGCCTCAGGTGGCCAGTTGACGGCGCCCGTTGGCGGTCAACCGTCGACTATAACCGCTGACCAACGGTCAACATCATCAAATCTGGACCAGAGGTCGGAAGGGATGGGCTTGACTTGAACGCGTGCTGTTGGGTTGAGATGCGAGATGCGCAGCCTGCAGCCTGCACGCATGCAGTGTGCATCTAGGTAGGTGGGGAGACGTCACACCAGATAGGCGAGTGCGACAACGACACGGCCCCCCCCCAGAGTGGCCGCTTTCTACTCCGTAGGCCCTCACGGCCCACCTGCCCACGCACGCACGCTCCTCAGCACGCACAGCCTGACAGCCCGACAGCCCGACAGCTGCTCAGGCGCAGAGATCCTGGTCTCACCTCGGTGCGCCACGCCACAACTCGATCAGGACCGTCTGGAGGGGACCGGGACGATCGGGCACCACCGCTAGGCCTATTGCACCCACGCAGGCACTGCGCCCAGGCCTGGGCGGTGTAAATGCCTCAGGGGGCCGAGGCGCTTCGTGTCCTACCATATTAGGGCTCTTATTATTATCGTTACAGTACACAGTAGTCGCGGGGGGCGGGGGTGGGGTGGGGTCCTGGTCAACAGATACACTACCATGTGCTCGGCAGGATCTACGGAGGTTCTTCCAATAAATCTTTACCGCCAAGGAGCAGGGGGGGCTGTCTTAGCTACTAGAAAGTCTATGGATACCGACCCCCAATACGTAGAATACATTAGATAAGTACTTTAGGCTTCACTACTTCCAACTAGTCCCCAGCTTGAATTTTTTAATATACGCTACTTTCAGGGGGCTGGTCCTGATCTATTGGTACAGCCAGATGACTGCATAAATAGAAGGGATATAGCCCCCCTTGCTCCTTGGCGGTAAAGACTTATTGGAAGGATATCTGTAGAGCCCACCTGCCCACCTGCCCACCTGCCCACCTAGAGAGATCGGGTTCATCAGATCGCTCACATTCAGCTGCAATCGATAGTGGCCAGCCCGTCAGCCCCGGGGTCGTACCTAGGTACGAGGTACGGGAGCACAGGCCAGGCCAGACCTGCGCGCCACGTCCTCAGCTCCCTCCCGCCCCGAGAGCCCTCCCTGCCTTGTGCCCCGATTTGACAGACAACCCAAGGTCGACATCCCCCCATCCCCCCATCCCCCATCCCCCCCGATGGCCAGCAAGCCCGTGGCCTGTGTCGGCTCGCCGGCCTTTGACCCCGCCACTCGTGTCCACGACGCCCAGGCCAGGACCGAGGCCCTCTCCCTCCTGGCCAACCATGACCTCGCCGGTGCCGTCAAGGCCTGGTTCCAGCTCCCTGCCGACGACACTTGGACCTACCATGCCGTCACCGCCGTGACGCTGCCCCAGGTGCAGCACATCATCGGCCTCGGCGGCCTCAACGGGCTGCACGCCTGGTATGCTTCGCCCGAGCGCCGGGACCCGCTGCCGCCCCCGCCGCCACAGGACATCGACGACTATATCCGCATCTTCCAGCCTTCCAGCCTCACATCCTCGGCCCTCAAGGCCCTTGCCGCCAATGCCAAGAAGGCCAGCATCCGCTCCAGCGTCGCCGCCCACCTCGCCGCCAAGCGCTTCATCCACCCCGGCGCCGCACACCTCAACATCCCCAAGAGGAAGCCCTCCGCCAAAAATGTCCCCCCAAACATCTACCTGGACTTCTGGGAGTGGTCCTGCCGCAACCTCGAGTGGTGCGGCCCCTGCCCCGAGGCCGAGGCCCGCCCGCAGCAGAGCCACCACGTCCTGCCCGTCTTCATGCACCACTTCGGCTGCGCCGTGCCCTCGTACGAGAGCCTCGAGGTCTTGCGCCTCGTCGCCGCCGGGAGGACCGTCGTCGATGTGGGAAGCGGCAACGGCTATTGTGAGCATCACCTTGCCACCTTTTACCGATCCCCGTCTTTCTTGGGGCTCGTGGCACGACTAACTTGACCACTAGGGTCCTTCATGCTCCGCCTGCACGGCCTGCCCGCCGTCGTGCCCGTCGACAATGCCCAGAGCGACTGGCGTGTAAGCTGGGTCTCCGACACCGTCATCAGCGACGGCACCAAGTGGCTGGCACAGCCCCGCAACGCCCATGGCGCCGACATGGTGCTTCTGATGGTCTACCCCGTGGTCGGCGGGGGCCTCGCCGGCGGCGTCCAGGGCGGCTTCACCAGGGACCTGATAAACGCCTTCAGGGGCGACACGCTGGCTGTCGTCGGCACCCAGAACCGGAACGGCTACACATCTTTCAGCGACATGACCTTTGACGAGTACATGCGTCACGAGCAGCCCGCCTGGACAAAGGTCGTCCAGATACCGCTGCCGAGTTTTGCTGGCAAGGACGAGGCCCTGTACGTCTACCAGAGGGGCGACAGGGCAGCCAAGCTCGCAGCCACCCCAGGAACAAGTCCTGCATGACCCATCTGCCTGGGGGTGGCGCGTCGCTCTCCGTCGAAGAAACCTGGACGTCTTGGATTATAAACCTCGAGCAGGGCTGTCTTGTACACCTCGTGCGGTCACAATCGCGTCGTTGAGGTTTCGGGGCGACCAGACCCCTTCTGGCCAGTCTGCAAAGCGCACCCGGTCTGGGTAGGCCCTAGATGCCGGAGCTGCAGTGGCCGTCTGCACCTCGAGGTCCAGAGGCGCCTACCAGACAAGGACCTTTTCCTGACACCACTCCTCCGTGCCTGTACTGACAACACATGGCCTTGTCGCAATGGTCGTTTTCTTTTGAAAAGGAACATTTCCTTGTTCAAGGCACGAGAGGTATATCCTGGATCATACACATCCATCACGACCTGGAATTAAGGCCATTATATATCACCGACAGGACAGGATTCTACAACTCAATCATTTTCGCTCGGAATGTGCAACCCGCTGGGCAAACACTCATGATTGTATTATGTGACTACTGCTCTTGCACCATGCCCTCGCCCCCGTTTGCGCCTAACTTGTCCTCCTGTAATGGTCTGCCCAAGCCCCTGGACGGGTCTCGGACACAATTCCAGGAGCACACGCGCCTGACAAAGGGCACTAGCCTCTCCTCGGGGGACTGGGTGAGGTATTGCACCGTCGCACGGGGTCCCGAGTCGGCAGATTCCCCGGGGGCCAAGCGGTTCACAAAGATCTCCCACCATTCGAACCACTGCGCGGTCGGCCTGATGACCCGCCGCCTACAGACTGTGCAACCCAGACCACCTGTGTATGAGTTTACCTGTGTGTCGGCGAGCAGCTCGCACATGCGCGTGTTCTGGGTGGTTTCGGCTAGCATTTCGGGCAGCTCGGACAGGTAAGGATTCCTGGCTGATGCCTGGAGGGCTAGTTCCATCAGGGTAGGTACCTTCGTAGTCTTGACCTCGGTGGAGGGCAAGGCCCGTTGCCGGGCAGTGTCCTGTGCCGGCGGCAACGGCTCCGTACTGAGGTCTTCTGTCGGCATGATCTTGTCGCCAGACCTGACCCGGAAAGCCGAATACACCCTTCCTTTTGTGTCCTTGAACTCTACTGGTGATCTCGCCCACAGCTTGGCGTCCAGGTACGAGCCGGCGTGAGGCTCATGGGAGAGCCACTTGCAACCCCTCCCCTTGGGGCCCGGTCCAGGACTTGTCCGGTCTGCATTCTGGGATGACCAAGGGGCGTCCGGCTCCTGGCCGCCTTCCGGCTGGTACCACGGGTTTGGGTGAAGCATCACCGTCTCGAGCGAGCTCTCAGGGTCGTAGATGAGCTCGAGCAGCTCGATCGGCAGGAATCTCAAGCTGTTCAGCGAGACGTTCAGGGTCTGCAGCTTTTTGAGCTTAAAAATGGCAGGGGGCAGCTCGGTGAGCGAGTTCCCCCGCAGGCTCAGGGTGGTCAGGTGGTCGAGGTCGAAGACCGCGCCAGGGACCCGGGTGAGCTGGTTGCCCCAGAGAAACAGGTGCAGCTCTGGGTCCTGATGCTCAAAGGGGACACCCCTCTCGACATTGGGGATCCGGGCGATCTTAGTATCAGAAACATTGTTGTTAGCTGTGTTCTTAGTTTTAGATATATCATTGTTCTATATCTTTTTTGAGAGTATAGTACCTGCGATATCAACGAGATGGTTGGGTTGGAGATGTGCCCGAGTCCCTGGGCTCTACCCTGCGCGTCAGCAAGACTAGCGTCCCAAGAGGTCTCTTGGGGGGGGCTCACGATAAGTCGACAGCCTCAATGCCACGGTCGATACACTGCCGGATGATGTCCTGGGCCTTTGCCTCCGCCTCGGAGAGCTTTCCCTTGTGCGACAGACGCGGCACCTGGGTAAGCTGCGGGGCCGGCGGTCTCGTTGTTGTGGCTCGGGGCAAGACCATGCTGTTCGCCCTGGCGGGGGGGAGCTCGTCCAGGATGTCATCAATGGAACTGTCACTGCCCATGAAGACACCGCTGTCGACCGGGACAAACGGTCTCTTGGACCTGGACGCGGGGCGGCCGCCGGAGCCAGGGCGAGGACCCAGGCCGGAGTCCGAGCTTGCTGGGCGCTGCTGGAACCAGGAGCCAACATAGCGCTTCTTCTTGTGACGGCCATGAACATAGTTGTCCAGTGCAGGGTCATCATCGCTAGAGAAGATGGCAGGGTCACTTGAGTCGGACCAGATCTGGGAGGCGGTGCTTCGTTTCCGCTTGGCAAAGGACTGGGTTTGCGCGTCCCACGAGACGGCGGGCTGTGGCGGCAGCGAGGGCTCACGCGTTTCTGGGCGTGAAGACGGTGTCAAATGGTCCAGTGAAGGCGGAGAGGACGCCTGGTGCTCCGCGGGTTGAGCCACTTGTCCATGTTCTGGAATGTCCTGTCCGGCCTGAGAAGCCATGTTGCCCGCAGATCCGGCGGATGACTGCGTATGTCTGTATGTCTTGGAAGCCCCTGCAGCTGGGCAGTTCGGTCTTGGGAGGAGGTGAAGCGGGTTGGAGGACTGGAGGAGTGGTCGCGTGGGACGCGTTCTGTCTCCGTGACGTCCGGGGGGGTCGAGGGGGCCACGACAGGGTTGCCCTGGTGCCCAGGTACGTACCTGGGTACAGCAGGACCCGTGGCCAGGGGTTCAGTGGAGCTGTCTGCCCCCTGTCGCGGCCCCGCCCCACGCGTCGTTGGCGCGGGCAGGGCCGAGGAAAGCACTGGCCACAAGCCGGGCCGTTGAAGAAACAAACAGAACTGCCTGTCTGTGCTGGGGCGCAATGTAGGTACCTACTGCAATGGCGCTGGCAGGGGCTTTCTTATTATAATTAGGTTACCTAATAGTTAGTTGGGAACTTATAATAAGAGGGTATATTACGGTAATCTAGTATATTACGCTTATTCCTCTAGAGGTACCTTTCTATTTAATTTATTAATAAAGGTATTTATATTTAAGAATTTTAAATATTTTTAATTACTTTAATATAAAGATTAACTATTAAACTCTTACTTTATAATACTCTTTTATTATATAGTATTTCTTCCTCTCCTCCTACTTTTTACTCTCTTTTTACCCTCTAACTAATAAGCTACTTTTTAAAATTATTTTTAAATATTTAAAGATCTTTATTATTATTAACTATAAAAAAAGGAAGGAGTAAAGTAAGTAGGCTTATAGTAAGGTACTCTCTTTATTAAATTATAAAGAAAGTATATCTAGAAGAAGTGTAATATATTAGATTACTATAATGTACTATATTGTCGTATATTCTAAACCAACTGTAAAAAGCTCCTTATGGGCACCATTATAGTAGGTAAGTACTTAATTAAGTAAGTCTCATGTACTCCGTACCCTGCACGCCCACGCAGCCAGGGCCGACCGTATCCTTCCACCCACCTCGTACAAGCACGTATCTACAGTAGACCTACATCACCGTCTGGGAATACGTTCCTCTTCCGGAGAGGCACCCGGGGCAAGAGACCACTTCAGCACCGCCCCTGCCTCCCCCCGATGTGTTTTATTCTTCACGCCTCTACTCCAGCGAATCCTCCGTAACGTTGCCCCATGGGGAGCCCATTGCCAAAAGTTGCCGATCTTGCCACGCTCCGCACCTTGTTCTTATCTGCTGGGTCGCCCATAGTACTGGCTATTTCCTGCCCGTTTCCACTGCCGTGTCTGCGTGTCTCCTCACTCCTCGCTCCGACCTCATCCCGACGACGTCATGCATTGCTGGGAGATAGCTGCGGGCACAGAACAAGCACTTGATAACTTGCCGAGCCAGCTCCTGGCCAACCATCACCAGCGGCCCGATAGCAAACAAGGATGGATTCTCAGAGCGTTGCTTTGCCTGATAAGCACAACCCTTAGAGTGGCTGACAAGAGCGTCCTGCTACGACGACCATGGGTAGGTGGGGTTTGTGCAGACTATTATGGTTGTCTTACAAATAAGCGCTGCCTCCTTCATGTGCTGTGCGCTGTGACAGTCTCGTCGTCCTTCTCGAATCAATCCGTGTCATATACTCGCCTTGGACTCAAAGAACTCATCACTCACCATGGCCGACAAGATATCGGATGACCAGCCCAGCCGCACAACGGGCAACCTTGTTCCGGACGCCTCGGGGAAAGCCATGGACTTGGAGAAGCAGGCGCTGAGGAGCAAGGATGCTGATGCTGCCTTGGAGTTCCTGTGCTCAGAGGGGACCACAGTAATGACGGATGTGGACGAGAAAAGCCTCGTGCGCAAAATAGACTGGAGAATTGTGCCTCTTATGTGTAGGTTCTCTCAATACCAGACAGTTGGTCGCTCAGTATCGAGCTAAGAGGAGTACCGAATACCCCAGGGGCATGTTACAACCTTCAATATCTCGACAAGACACTGGTGAATTATGCCAACGTCGTAAGCAGCTTGCGCATACTACGTCGACTCCTTCAAGAAGAGCCCTGTCCCGTCTTTGGCCTGTGTTTTCAAAGAAAAACGTGTGACGCTGCTGGCTTTGGGGCTGAGCTGTTACTATAGCCACATTGCGGCCCTCTGTCCCCCAATCCGTACACGACTACCTGCTTGGTCTCCTCAAAGCTGACTCCCCAAATGCTACAGATGGACCTCAAGGAGGATACGGGCATCAACACCGACCAGTTCTCCCAGCTCGCGCTTGTCTTCTACGTGACGTATCTTGCATTCGAATTTCCCACGGGTTACCTTATGCAGCGCCTACCCACGGCAAAGTACCTTGGTGCCAACGTCATTCTCTGGGGCCTGATGACCGCGCTCGTGTCCACAGCAAAGGACTGGGCCGGATTGGTGACCCTTCGAGTCCTTTTGGGGATCTTCGAGGCCGCCGTTGCCCCGGCGCTGGTAAGTCAGGTCCAGGAGCAACCCTCACATCACTCCCCAAGTGCAGGAGAGTGTGCAGCAAGACACTGTCAGGATCAAAAACACAATTCAGACCCCTGCGACCTGATGGCTGGCTGACCGCGGCGAATGCCGGTACTGGTCAGATCCTTGTGACGACCATGTGGTACAAAAAGGGCGAACAACCCCAACGTATGGGGTTATGGTACCTAGGCACGTCCACGGGTGTCATCATCGGCGCGCTGGCATCCTTTGGCTTCCAGCACTACACGAGCAAGGCCTTCACCAGCTGGCAGATTATGTTTCTGGTGTTTGGGCTGATCACAATGGCGGTCGGGGCCTTGGTGATCTGGGTGGTGCCAGATAACCCAATGAAGTGTAAGTTCCTTACGCGGGATGAAAAGGTATGGGCTGTCGAGAGGTTGCGCGAAAACAAGACGGGCGTCGAGAATAAACACTTCAAGGCGTACCAGGCCTGGGAGTGCTTCAAAGACCCGCAGACCTGGCTGATTAGCCTCATAACAATCTCGTCCAACGTGCCCAACGGCGCCGTCTCCTCGTATCAGGCGGCCATAATCAAGAGCTTTGGGTACACCTCCAAGGAGACGGCCTTGCTATCCGTCCCATCAGGCGTCATCACGGGCATATCTGTTCTCAGTGCGACATACATGGCTGGCCGTTTCAATCTGCGCGGCCCCATCATCATCGCATATCTCCTGGTCGGAGGTGTTGTTGGTGGTTCCCTCCTGGCGTTCACTGCCAACGGCAGCAAGGGAGCTAAGCTGGCTGGGAACTACCTGACAAACATTGTCGGAGCGAGCTTACCGTTGTTGTATTCATACTCCGGTGCGAACTACTCCGGTCATACCAAGAAGGTGACCATGAATGCGGTTCTTCTAATGTCCTTCTGTAAGATGATCCGGTCCTCGGTGGGTCGCAAAACTCCGGCAGTGAGGCTGACCGAATCGTGCCCAGGTCTTGGAAATATCATCGGGCCCCTAACCTTCAGAGGCAAAGATGGTCCCGATTATATTCCCGCAAAGGTTAGCTGATCTACAGAGGATACGGATGTCCCCATGCACTCTGCATTTAGTGTCGCCCCTTAGTTGACGAAGTGACTGACTGAATGCGACAAGGTCGCGATAGTTGTGACATCTGCCTTCGCTTGTTTCACGACAGCGCTCCTCATGGCGTATTACACGTACGAGAACAAGCGCAGAGACAACTTAATGTCCGGAGTTGCACATCAAGAGAACAGCGAGTTTCTCGACCTCACAGACAAGGAGAATTTGGAGTTTCGCGTGAGCCATCTCCCCCCGACCGATTCCCGGCCTCGTTCTGATTGAACCAACAGTACCGGTCATAATGGTTTGGGGCAACTTCCCCACATTGGAATGAGTTGAGTGGGGCTTGAACGCGATTTGGCATGTGTGAACCTTGTGGGAAATCTAGGTGGACATGAATATGAGAGGCCTGCTGCCGCGAGCGAAACGTAAGCATTGTTAAAGTCAGCGTGGGCGCTCGACCGTATCAATGCAGTGGCTTGATCATTCCGCGATCCTTACGCTTGGCCCCCAGAGGCTGTGATGTAAAAATGCCGAATGTGCCGAGGGTCGCCTCGAGAGTGACCTGAGCGGGCGACCGATATTCCTCAGAGGCCAGTCATTCTCATACTTAAGTCGGCAGCACCAGATTCGGACGCCTTGCGCTCGCCTTTCTCGGGCCGATCAGTCCCAATCGTCTTCGTCGTCGTCGTCTCTGGCAGTTGTCTTGCTGCTTCTGATCCCCTTGCCGGCCATGAGCCTCTCCTCTTCAGCATCTTCGGCTTCCCTCCTTCGTTTGACAACCCTCATGTCATTATTAGGGAGGGCGCCAACTTCAACCAGAATCTTGTCAAGATCTAGCAAGCTCATGCGCACTCCCCCAACAGTGGTAAGTGTGACAATCTGCTTCACGATGTCTCCGTTCTTGTAGACAAGTATCGTGGGGCAATTCTTCTCTGGGTAGTTCTCGATGGCCTGTGACGCTCTCATCTCGCAAAACTTGATATCGCCGTATTCCTTGGCCGCTTGCTTCCATAGGTCGGAAAGCACTCTTGACTCGACGTTGGTGCCCCCCGAGGACGATGTCAGGTTGACGAAGACGACGCCGTTGTTTGATGCTTCGGTGACCTCTCTTTGGTAATCCGGCTTGGACAATGGGTAGACGCTTCCGTGAATGGACTTCTTCTGCAGGGCGCCAAGCTCGGCCATCCTCTTCTGTCGGTATTGCTCGAGGAAGTCGTCATCTTCATCGTCCTCGAGCTCGTCCAGCTCGTCGAGGTCTTTACCCTCAAGGCGGTTCTCATGTGCGATTTTCCTGGCCTCGACGATTGCCTCTTCGATCATTGGAGTCGGGCTTGGGGGCTTCTCAGGGATGACGCCGTGTTTGCGCAGAATGTCGTTCCTGCCGGGTGATCAGTGAGATTTGATGAGACGGGTTCGGCCCAACGCACCATTCTGTGTCGGCATTGGGGTCATCGATTGGCACAGCTATGCGCTGGTCTCCTGGTGCGGCCATTGTGGTCGAACGGTGTTGTCGAATCAGATAAGAGGCTGTTGGGGGTGGGACAGTGGTGCTGGTGACAGGCAGTTAGTTGTGCTTGTGGGTAGAAACAACGTTGCTGCCTGGAAATCGGGCACACGCCGTCGTGTTGGTGGCGGTGGTGGTGGTGGTGGTAGTGGTGGTGGTCTTGTGTGTCCGGCAAGAGAAGACAATCAAGAGATGCACCAGACTGTTGCTGTTATAAGCGTTGCTAAACCTGATGCTGGGGACAGAGCAAGCACAACTCAGGTTATGTGGACAATGTCATACAGTACAGGTAGCTGGTTACTCCTTATTAGAGCTTATTAGAGAGCTTCACTGACGACCCCACAGTGGGGTCGGGCGAGCCATTGTGCAAATGATCTGACTTCGGTTCTGGCTCTAGCTAGGTAGGCTCAGGCTCGTTGGGGGAGACAAGGACCCTGGCCGTAGAGTACCTGGGCCGCAGCTGAAGAAGGGTTGCTTGCCACTTGTATGTACTGAGTAGGCCGAACGAACAGTGGTGGGTCCGGCGGCCACTGCACGTGACAGGAGGGAGCTCGGACCAGGCACACAATCTCCTCACCCGCTCACTCGGCCACTGGTTGCAAACTGGGGGCCCTTCTAACGAACTTTTTCTCCGCCACTGCGAGACCTCGTCTTGACGATAATCCAGCCATCGACAAACGACCCAACGGACACGTTCCCCAGTCAAGACATCTCGTCAACCGAAACAAGACATTCAAGTCAAATTTCCGACAAAAATCAATCAAGATGGTAAGCCGATTTCGATGATGTCCCGGCCGCCCCGGTGTGCAGTCGATGGAAACGAAAACGGTGTGCCGTGGGAAACGAGGTCTGCATGAGACCACCGAAAATTGGACCATCAGGCAACGCCGACGGCTCGAAGACGAAAAAATGCGAAGATGCTCGACAAGCGACGGATCATGACGGACTACCCACGGCGCATCTGAATCCATGACTGCAAAACACACACACACACACACACACCCGCCACCGGTCGGCCAGGCGCCTTGATAAAGACACCTCTGGCCGTTCGGAGGTGCACCTCGTCCGGCGCGTCGGAACATCAAAGCTAACAGCACACCCCTCGCCAGGTTCTCGCTGTCGATCTCCTGAACCCCAGCCCTGCGGCCGAGGCCAAGAAGCACAAGCTCAAGGTATGATGACCAACATCACATCCTGCGTCCCGACGTCTCGCCCGCCCCCAGGCCAGCAGCTACTGACACTGGACTTGACAGACCCTTGTGCCTGCCCCCCGCTCCTTCTTCATGGACGTGAAGTGCCCTGGTTGCTTCACCATCACCACTGTCTTCTCCCACGCCCAGACCGTCGTCATCTGCCAGGGCTGCACCACTGTCCTCTGCCAACCTACCGGTGGTAAGGCACGACTCACAGAGGGCTGCTCTTTCCGAAGGAAGTAGTGGCGTGCGTGCTGAGATGACGTCGGGCTTCCCTTTCCTTACGGCTGGTTTACGACAATGAATTACGATGGCACATCGGATATCTGCAAGACAAGACCCTCTCAACATGGGCGTTTAGACAAATAATTCGGCGGCCGACCTTGTGTTGCGGGTAGAAGATGGAACATCCAAATTCACCTCATCGAAAAATGGAGGGGGCGTTTGGGGTCCGGATATCTGCATCATCATCAACAATCGACTTTTTCAGTTAAAGAATCAAGACACGAAAAAGCCCCTCTGTGGTCGTCGTGGTCGTCGTGGTCGTCTCCTTGCGCTTGTCGTGTCACGAGTACGTTTTGATTGCAGAAGATATGCTGCATCGACCGAGGTGGATAGCCGGAAATGGGCATTTTCACGAGCGTTTAGATCTGTCTGCAAATCTGTGTGTGACGAGGTTGGTCGGCAGACTGGCTAGACGTGATGACGTGGATCGCTAATTGAGGATCGCTATACCCGTACCTTGGGGCAGAGTTGGAGGACTCGAGGTGCTTCGCGATTGCAATTTATTGAGATTCACAAAGCCTGGTATCTCCAGCTGCCCCCGCCCCCCTCTCTCTTCGTGTGTGTGTGTGTGTGTACCCGTTCGTAGGTGTATCGTGACAAATGTAGCGTAATCATTGAGCAACCATCAATATGCTGGTTTGCCGCTGCTGAATCACATTTCCTCACCGCAGGTTGAGATACACGAGTCGAAGAAGAAGAAATGCCCCGCCACCGTGGTCTCAGGCCATGGGAGCATCTGTACGCTTGGCAGACTGACCTCGGCATTGATGTTGTGCCCGGGCGACGATAGTCAGACCAAGGAAAGGAAGGGTGGTTAATGGTGGTCATGTCGTACCGACTCTCGACCGTCCCACCGCACATCAGTCCTGGAGAAAGACATACTGTCACATTCAATACTATTACTCCCCCGCTTTTTCTTTCCCAATGCTACCTGTGTGTCTGGCCTCCGCCCTTGGCCGTGCGCCGGTCAGCATCGAAAGAGCCCGCCTCTACACGATTGCCTCTCGGTGAAGGCGTCATTGACCAATGGCCCATGGCCCATCAAGAGTGGTGCTGACTAAGACCAAAGCTCGCTCCTCTCCGTTGGGTCTGCTGGTACATAAGTACCTAGGTACCTAGGTAGTGTTATTATCTAGGCACCCAGGTACCCGGCAGCGGTACCCGGTGGGCCAAGGTGTCTCCCAGTTGGGGTGATAGCCCGCCAACATGAGAGCCGGGGTACACCAATGAGTACACGTCTTCAACAACGAACGCGGGAAGCACGCGCCAATATTCGAGGGGACCGCGATTGCCCCACCCAATTCGTATCACCTCAAAACCAGCGGCATCCAGTAGAAGACTCGACAGGTTGGAGCCCCCCCCTACAACCCCCATTCTCCAGTTCCTAAATTCCCACATGCCGATGAAGACAAAATTCTCAGACATTAGCCGTCGCCTCTGACCCCATGTCGACTTCAGCATTGTCTCTTGTTACCCAAACACTCTCGAACCCCACCGCCTTTTTCTCTGTCCCAGACAGGCCGACCTCCACACCTTTGGCCAGCTCAAGATTGCCCCGGACTGCTTTGCCCGTCTCGCAGCCTGCCAACACCTCGTCCCACTCTGCACCCTTGCATGCGCTCTTCATTGGCGTAACGCGACACCGGTTACGGCTACCAGCCTTTTGCCTGGACAGATCCGTGTCACGCCACGGCGCCCCATACCCCCTCCCAGCAGTAATAAAGGCCGAGGGCAGCAGCCATGTCAGCTCCGCGGACCAAGCGTCAATTCGCCGGATCAGCCAGCGACCCCTCTCAAAGGCAGATCACCTCCTTCTTCCCCACGAGCGACGCCCTCAACAACAACAACAACAACAACAACCCGACTTCTGCCTGGCCCGGTGCCGAGGCCTCGCTCTCTTCGAGGCCCGTCTTGCCTGCAGACACTCAGTCCCACCTGCTCAACGTTGGCATGCGCGTCCGCAAGTCTGTTCCCGAGGGGTACAAGACCGGCAGCTACAGCGCCTTCAGCCTCTGGTCCGACAACGACGCCGCAAAAATGAACCACGCAGCCACTCCTCCGGCGCTCCCCCGAGCCCCCTCGTCCGCCACCAGCCAGCGGGAGCTGCTGCCTTTCTGTGGTATTAACAAGGTCGGCGGCCTCTCCCCCCAGCCCGACTCCATCCCTGATGCCCCCGCCGCCTTGGTTCCCCGCCTGCAGCTGGGTTCTGTCCCAAGCATCGACGACTTGCCATCTCTTACCAGCAGCCAGGGCTCGATCGACAGCAACTCTGGCCAGCCAGCCCTGACCATCAACACGGCATCTGCCGCGAGCCGGACAAAGAAGAGAGTGTACTCGGAAGATGAGGATTCTGATGCCCCATCCGTGACCGACTCTTTACAAGTCCCCTGGTCGTCGATGGATGGGCAGGTGAGCCCGCGCAGCCTCGTACCTGTCGGCTGGGACAACACCAACACCCGTGTCATGGCGATCCCCAAGAAGAGCCGCCGAGCTCACAAGGCGCGCCCCGGGACTGCTCCCTCTATGGACGTTGCTGGTGTCGGAGGTGGCGCAATCATGCCGTTGCGTCTCGACCAATTGGGGCAAGAGAATACTGTCGATGGAGATTTTCAGGAGGCTGACTTTCTGGACTATAAGGCGCTGGCGTATGATGCGATGGATATCTAGATGGACAAGACTTTCTGGGGGCCAGGAACGGGACGCACGAGCTTGCAAGTTCAATTCGCCCACGGCGTTGCCCATGGCGGCAAAGGTATCTCTGGGGTTTCGAGTTATGGCGTTTGGATTCATGTGTCACGCGTGTTACGCACACTCATGAGCGCGGCGTTTTAGGAGGGTTTCTCGGTGAAGATTTCAAATCTCATGAATGATGACAACAGCACACAGGTCTACAGCATTGTCCAGGATGGTGGATGAGGTCGAGCCATGCAGAGACCTGGAGCTGCGGCCATGACTAGGGAGCTATCTATTCCATTCATTGTACGGTTTTCATCCGCTAGAAATTCCTGGGTGTTTCCCACCAGGAGCTCAGCTCGCCTGTGATCGCCACGGCCTCAAACCTGGAAGGGGTCCCGGAACTCAAGTAGATCCCTCTGCCCGTAGATCTCACCCGCGACCGTCAGGATCATGTTCAGCGTCGCCCGCATGTTCATCCGTGCCCGGGCCGGGTCAAAGGGTGGCTCCTCCCCCGCCTGGTCAGCAACGCATTCATTCGAGCCATGGTTGTTCAGTTTGGCAAGGAGTCGTGTCTTGGCGCTCTCGACGTCGGGATCTATGTCCATAGGCGCCGACTCGTCAATCTCACCATCTTCCATTTGCTCAGCCTCGTCGATGTCAGCGCAAGGCGCGCCTGCGGGGGCGGTGGAGGACGGCACCGCGGGAAGGTCGGAAGAGGGCAGCACAGACGCCGGCTCGTCGTCGGCAACTGAAAGAGGCTGCTCGGCGCTTTCCTGGGGGTGCGCAGAAGTCTCCCTGCCGTCGCCATCGAGCGCCTCAGCCTCGCCGTCCCAGTCCTCCTGGTCGCCCTCCAGCCCATCACCCTCAGACGAGGCCCGGCCGCAACCACCCTCGACCTCCTCCCTCAGAGCGGCCATCTCCCGCAAGCTGTGCATCAGCAAGGCGGCGCGCTTCCCGAGATCTCGCACGTGGCCGACCTCCATGTAGTCCAGCTCGCCCCGGTCGGGCAGGCGCGCCAGGAGCGCCCACAGCCACCTCGACGTGCGCTCCCGCAGCTCCGTGCCCCGCCGGAGGAACTTGCCGCCGAGGACGACGCGGAGCAGGCGCAACACAGCATCCTTGTCCATGGCGGCGACCTGTGCCGGCACCGGGTCGGCACCGCGCATGCGGACTGACCAGGTGGTGAAGGTCCTGGACGCCGGGCCGAAGCGTCCGACGCAAGTGGACTGGTCTCTTGTGAGGGCGGCGAGCGCCTCCGGGGGCGGTTGCTGGTGCAGGCGCCCGCGAAGTTTCAGGAAGTGCGTCGTGAGGGAGGCGTAGTAAGCCTGGGCGATCCTGGCTGCTTCGTCGTGTCCGCCCTGGCCGAGCGACTCGTCGCCGTCGGGCGAGCCGTCGTCGACTATGTCGGGGGCGGCCGCATATGCCCCATTTTCGTAGTATCCTCGTGTTTCGTCATCGCGGTCGTGGTATGGATCGCAGCGGGCTGCTGAGCCTGGGGCCGTAGGGAGCTGAGGACCCGACTTGGGTGCTACGAGGAGGTGGGGGATGCTACTGGCCTGCTGCCTATCGTACTCACCATATCAGTAGGGGTTCGCTGTGGGAATGGAGAGACAAATGTTCAGCCAAGACATACGGGACAATAGTGAGGGGCGCGGCGCCTGGCTCGAACGGGACTGCTTACCTGACATTTTGCAAGTATGCGAGGGCGTCTGTCTCGTCCTCGAACTCGAGGTCTTCGTCGCTGTTTGCACAGTCGTGGTCGAGGCCGGGAAAGCAGCACCGCTGGCCGTACGTGAGGTCGGTCTGGGGCTCGTGCGACTGCTTCGACTTCTTCTGGCCACTCGAGTTCCGTGTCCGCTTCGTGGGCTGCTGGGGCTGGCAGTCTTCCCCGTCTGTGTTGTCGACAGAATCGATGTCCCTCTTGGTGGCCATCGTGCCTCAGAATGCGGTGGAGATAAGCCCAGAATCATACCTGGGACTAATGTTACAGCCAGGCTTAAACTCCGCTTTGCGATGGAGATTCACAGGTCAGTTAGGGCCACCAGGGACCTCGGGGGGTTAGGGTAAACGGACATCCTGCTCAAGTTCCGAATTTTTAAGAATGATATACTATATAATACATGAAAAACATTAAGTATACAGCTTTAATGCTTCATTACTTTAATATTATAGTTTTTAAGTAATAATAATTTTAAATTATTATTATAATTTAAAAAAGAATTAAAACTATAAAAGTTTAATTTAATTATTTAAATTAAAGTTTATAATACTTTAATTTAACTTTAATAGTATATATAATAGTTAGCTTAACTTATATATAAAAAGTAGTTAAAGTAATATAAATTAGTAATAGTTAGAAGGTCTATCTAATAGGTAGTGAAGTGCTTAATTAGATTAGCTAGACCTACTAACTAAACCTAGTCTATATATAAGTATAGGCCTACTATTCCTTACTTATAGTAGTTAATCCACTATAGCCTACTATTCCTATATTAATAACTTTTTAATCTTTTAAAATTAAGGTTTAAAATTATCCCTTCTTTCTAACTAATTAAAAAGCTTTATTTATTAATAAAATAAGTTTTAATTAAATTATTAAATTATTTAAAATTACTATTAAATATATAATTATAATTTATTTAATTTAAATATTATAAAAATAAGCTAATATTTACTTACCTAGCAATTATATCCACTTACCTAGTTTTTTTTAACTACTCACCTAGTATAAGAATTTACGTATAGGGTCTATATAAAACTATGTACCTGACTAGGATTCTCTAAATTTTCGATACTTTTGGTACAAGCCCCTTCTGGCACCCCTTCTAGCACCCCTTCTAGCACCCCTTCTGGCGCCCCTTTTGGCACCCCTTCTAGCGCCCCTTCGCCTTCGCCTTTGCCTTTGCCTTCGCTATTTGGTCTACACGTATTTAGGTACTAACTGAGCATTTAGATGCTAACTAAACGCTAGAAGGCTAGAAGCCAAGAAGGTGAAGGTGAAGACTACACTCTTTCTAGCCTTTTAATACCCCTTCTGGCCCTTTAGTACTCTAAACTTCTAGCCTTCTAGTGTTTAGTTGGTATCTGAATGCTCAGTTGGTACCTGAATGTGTGCAGCCCAGAAGGTGTGCTAGAAGGTGTGCTAGAAGGCGTGCCAGAAGGCGCTTGTACTGAAAGTATCGAAAATTGGAGAAGGAAATCGTGCTATGGGGTCTCTCGTGCTGACTCAGAAGGTACTTATAAATGTGAGGGAGTTGCTTAGAAAAATTGGTATTGGGTGAGTGGTCGGTGGGAACTGGGTGAGTGGATATAATTGCTGGGTGAGTGGATGATAGCTTTATAAAAATGCTTTAAATTAACGTTTTATAAATTATTTAAATTATTTAAATTTAAATTACTTTAATAAATAAAAATAAGTTTAAATTATTAATTATTTATTAAATTATTATTAATTACTTATTAATTATAACTAATTATTAATTAATTTATAATTATTAATTAATTTAATTAATCTTTTAATAGTTTCTTTTTTTTATAATAAACTATTACTTACTTTATTAATCCTTTATTTTTTTAATTAACTAATTAAGTAGCTATAGTATCTTTTTTTTATTAAAGTATAAAATTTAAATAAAGTTAAATAAAGCTTAAAGTAGTAGCTTAATACTTAGTTTAATATAAATATTATTAAAATAAAAGTTATTATAAAAATTCTTAAAAAAGTTTAACTTAATTTATTTAAAGTACTTCTTAATTTAATTTTTAAAAGTTTTATAAATGTGGGAATAGTAGGCTGCAGTGGATTAGCCACTGCAAGGCTAGTGGGCCCGTGCGCACGCACGGACCACCAGGCTTAGTCAGCAGGTCTGGCCAACCCAACTGGGCGCTTCGTCGCCCACCAGGCAGACCTCTAACTAACACCAATACACACCACTTCACCCACCCACTTACGCGTAAGCTAAGCCAACCGACACTGATCAGTTGCCAACTGGCTTCTGACAGCAAGGTAAATCGTCTAAGCTGCTTAGGCGTCAAGTCCTCTCGGGGGACGAATCGGCAAGGCTGCTTTGCCGTCGCAGTCCTCAACAAGGAGGACGAATCGGCAATGCTGCCATCGCCGTCGCAGCCTCTCTAGAAGGCGAGTCGTCTGGGCTGCCCAGGCGCAAATTCAACCGCCAACTAAGCAGGACCCCTTCGCTGGGCAAGTCTTGCAACTCTCTCGCGACAACTCTCTCTCTCTCTCTCTCTCTCTCTCGCGAATCGACAATTCGAGCCTACCCATAAGACCCTCGAACTGGCTGCCTGCCAGCCAACCCGTTTGGCTGCCTGCCAGTCAACCTGTTTGCCTGCCCTTACGTCACCCAAGCAATCGACCAAGCAAGCAACTTTCGCTCTCTCTCTCGACTTCTCTCTCTCTCTCTCTCTCTCTCGCAACCACTAGCAGAAACGCTCTGGCGTCGTGGCTGCCACGGTCCCAAGTCCTCTGAAGATGAAATCGTCCACAGCTGCTGTGGGCGTACGCCAACAGTGCTCCTGCCCGTACTGCCCTGACGAGAAGAAGAAGATGTTCAAGTCGAAGAACAAGCTAAAGAAGCACATTGGCGATACCCACAAGGAGGAACACGCAGCTATTAAGACTGACAACGATGAAGTCCAGCAGTTTGCTGGCAACCTCAACTACTACCCTGACGAGAACTTCTGGTACTTCTACGAGACCTTCGAGAACTGGACTGAGGAGCGCCTTCGGCGAATTAAGCCAGAGCTTCTCAAGGACCTTCGTGACAACCTCCACTCGAGCGGTGTTTACACCGGTACCAAGCCAGCACTCCAGGCCCTATTCGACCTTATTCAGATGCCCTGCCCAAACGAGGAGGAGATGCCACAACCGCCTGCGTGGCCAACCAAGACGAGAACCTCGACCAAGAAGACGAAGGACCGACGAAGCAAGCGATAGTTTGCCACAAGAAGAAGAAACTGCCAGAAGGGCTAACTGGCCAGATTGGCAGTTGGTGCCAACTGGCAACGGCCCGGCAAGCGATTGGTCAATTGGCAATTCAGACTCGATTTCGCACTCGATTTCGCCTACTGAAGCAATTCGAATTCGAGCGATTTGGGCGATTCGCAAAACGTCGATTTGGAGCGTTTTATGGCGCTTAAATCGAGCGAATTGCAATCGCACGTTTGGTGGCAATTCTGAGCGTTTGGCGAATTGGTTGGGAATCTGCTTTGTCAGCAAATGGAGCTCTCTGATTGGCTAGAAGGAAGGGACGTTGGACCTCGATTTCAGAAGACTAAAAAGTTGCCAGTGTGGGAATAGTAGGCTGCAGTGGATTAGCCACTGCAAGGCTAGTGGGCCCGTGCGCACGCACGGACCACCAGGCTTAGTCAGCAGGTCTGGCCAACCCAACTGGGCGCTTCGTCGCCCACCAGGCAGACCTCTAACTAACACCAATACACACCACTTCACCCACCCACTTACGCGTAAGCTAAGCCAACCGACAATAAAAGTATTAAAAGTTTTTATTAAAGTAATAATTAAAATTATTAATAAACTATTAAACTTTATTATTATTAACTTTAATAATTATATACTTCTTTTTATAAATATTATTAATATATTTCTTTATTTTATTTTTTAACTTAAACTTCCTTTTATAATATAGGTAGGAATATTAATATACACTTATAATAACTATAGATAATTTTATCTTTAAAGAACTTAAGACTATAATAATTATAATATTAAAGTATTTTACTTAAATTACTTAAGAGAGAGAGAAAGAAAGAAGTTAAGAGAGTATATAAAAGTTATTTACTTAATTAATTATTTAAGTAATATAAAGTAGGTAAATAGGTTAACTAGTAGGTAGTTAAATAGGTTAGCTAGTAGGTAGTTAAATACTAGTTTAAAAATTTAATAGGTAGGCTTAAATTATTAATTATAATAGAGAGAGAGAGAAAGAGAGTTATTATAAAAGAGTTATAAGACTTACCTAATAAAGGGGTCCTACTTAATAGTTAAATTTACACCTAAGCAGCCTAGATAACTTACTTTCTATAAGTTATAATAATGATAATAGTATCGTTAATTTATTCTCCTTAAAGACTATAATAATAAAGTAACTTTATTAATTTATTTTCTTTAAACTTAATACCTAAGTAACTTAAATAATTTATCTTACTATTAGAAGCTAGTTAGTAACTAATTAATAATAGTTAGCTTAGCTTATATATAAGAAGTAGTGGTTAAAGTAGTGTAAATTTATGTTAGTTAGAAGGTCTACCTAGTGGGTGGTAAAGCGCCTAGTTAGGTTGGCCAGACCTACTAACTAAACCTAGTCTATATATAGGCACAGGCCCACTATTTCTTACTTACAGTAATTAATCCACTACAGCCTACTATTCCCACAATATATAAATTAAAATTAAATTACTATTACATAAGAACTAAAAGCATATATGTATGTAGTAATGTTTTATCCTAAAGCTGTTATCTTGAGGAGTGCTTAGAGGAACCGGGCACAAATGGTGAGGTTATCTCCCTCAAGGAATCAAGGTCCTACTTAGCCTATGGGGCTGTTTATGGTGAGAATTTTGGTCCTCATTATTCAATCATTCATAGCGTTGTCTTGGTTGTCTTGGTTGTCTTGGTTGTCTTGGTTGTCTTGGTTGTCTTGGTTGTCTTGGTTGTCTTCGTTGGTGTCGTGACTGGGCCTGTGATGGCCTCAGTTGGGTGGCAACTCAGCCAGCGGTGTTGTCTCTTGCTGGTGGTGTAGCCGGTGCAGTTGTTATAGTTTCCAAGATATGCAAAGCCTTTAATGCTATGCATCGCAGCTTAGACAACAGGAGACGTAGAAGTCTGTGAATCTGGTTGCACTTGCAAGCAATCCACCCTTGGCGCCCTGGGCAATGCACAGACCTTGGACACGCACTCGTCACCTGGCTGTGCCGAATCCAAGAGCAGAGTCTCAAGTTAGAAATGCTCACTTTCATGGATATCACTGCAATACGGAGAACTTGCACAAGCTGACAAGTCTAAATAGCCTTCAATTCTATGTACACGATGGCCTAATGTGTCACCAACATACCCAACCGTTCATCCCTTTCTCGTGTTCTCAAGCCTTGAGAAACTGCCCACTATTGGTGCTGGCCACAGTTCCCGTGACATTGGAGTCCTTCATTAACCAGAGATAGGCCTCCGCAACATCTTCAGCCTTACCAATTCGCCCGAGAGGCATCTCACCCCTGATCCTATCTAGCAAGGCCCGCTTGGCCTCCTCGCCCATGCTGTCCCATAGTGACGTATCCACAAAGCCCGGCGCCACGCAATTCACCCGTAGAGGCGCGAGATCTGTTGCTAACGCCTTGGTCAAGCCATGTAGTCCCGCAGCAAAGTACGTTATCACGGCCCAGCCCTTGTCTGGACGCTCCGCCGTAGAACCGGTGGTCATTGTGATGGAAGACCGCGGTGTCCTCTCCAGGTAACGTGGCGCGACCTTTCCGAGCATTATAGGAGCAACCATACGCAGGTGTGCCGCCTTAAGGACACCCTCGGTAGTTGTCTCCTCCAGCGGCCCCAGGGAAAGCGGGTCCGCTGCTGTGTAGACTACATGATGAATCTGACCGGAGCGGGCGGTGGCTGCCTTGAACAAGCTGTCAAAGTCGTCGTCTACGGTTGTTCTGCTGAGATCGGCTGCAATACCCGCGACTTTGGCGCCGGGATAGCTGGACTGCAGGCTGGAGACAGAGGCGTCCAGCTTCGCCTGACGTGAAGAGGAGATAGTAACAACCGCGCCGGACTCAATGGATGCCTCTGCGATGGCGTATCCGATGCCAGATGAGCCGCCAATGATGAAGACATGCTTGCCCTGTAGTTTGTGATACTTGAGCTGAGAAGTCATCTTGCCGAAGCTAATGGTTGTGTTGCTAGAATATGCTGCCGTGAGAATGAATGTTTAAGAGCAAGTGTAATTCTGCGTCTTGATAACCTTGGAATCTGAGCATATGAGCCTCTGCAAGGAGAGGGGCTTGGTCATTTTATGCTTTTTGCTTTGGAATCGAGGTGTCACCACATCTACTAAACCCGTGCCCCCCGTTCTCTATGGGATTAAACCCGTAGCCAGCTTGTTGGGGATGACGCGGAGGCTAAGCATGATTCCATCTTCACTGTTCTATACCGGTCTCCTTAATAGTCTGTGGTCGGCGGGATAGTAAGCGCCTTGCACAAGTGCGTCAGAGGGAGTGGAACGCTGTCGTGCGGCTTAAAGCCGAACACACATGTGTCATGTCAAAGTCCGAGCCAATCATAACCCCGGACATGACCGGAAAGGGTAAATCTTTTGGGCTGGGACTCAGCATTCTCTGTTCCAGACTCCCTCAATACCAGTTCAGGCCATACGAGATTCGATGCAAGAACCTTGGGTCTACCGAAGCAAAGTCTTTGCGCAATGGATTTGGAACAAGGGTAGACTGGGATATCAATTGACGGTCAAGCGATTTACCTACCTAGGTGGTAGGTCCAGCGAATCTCCAGCTTGCGAGAAGAGCAAAATCTCATGCCTGGGAAGGAGTGCTCCAAAGGAAGAGGCCCGGCGTCTGAATTTTTTGTGTCTTTGGTAGTCCTCCCCGATCCTGATTCGGCCTCATCTCTTCGCATGGCTTGGACAAGGACATGGCTGCATGGTCTATGCCAGCATTTGGTGGCTCGGCGTCTGTTGCGCAATGGCAGTAACCAAATTATAGACAACGGGATGTCCATGACCAAAAAAAGCTGTGATATACTGGTGCTTTAGGGCTTTGGAGCCGTGGCTCTTACGATATGGGCTGTAGACGGTCCAAGTGGAAGTATACTGACCGTGTTGTGTACTGTGCTTAATGAAAATTGCTACAAAGTAGCGGTGGAGGATACCACCAGTCACTAGTGAATAGAACATGCTACCTCTTTCCGAACCACTCATCAGACTCGGACAGAACTCAACGAATATATGTTTGTGTTTCAATAACGCTGCCATGTTGTAGATAGGCACACAGCGTGGTTGCGACAGCTCCCACGCAGCGGCGCGCTCCTTTCGCGCCAAGGTTCCCACTGCAGCCAGTGATATACGCTCGCGCACAAGGCGATGCTTATGGACGACCCTGTCACCGCGCCTGCCACCAGTCAGATTCATGTGTACAGAGCAAACTCATACCGGAACATGTGGGCCGGTACGAGATGGCCCTGCAAAGCGTCGAGAGTTACCGACATTGGCGCAGAAAACAGAGTCGGGGGGCACCATTGGATGAAGTGGAGCAAGATGCCCTATATTCGGATGCTGAACGCCAGCGCGTTTGTCTCCAACCTCATTCGGTGAATTGTTATGTGATGGAGTCTCGGGCGAAAGACCGAAGATAGTGAATACTGCGACGTTCTAATCGCAATAGGAAAATGACTCGAGGAAGAGCTTCAGACAAGATTGGGCAGTGGCCGGCGGAACGCTTAACCCTACGAGCTTCCGAGGAGACTTTACAGACTCTCCACCACCTGCTGTCGCCTGATATCTCAGCATCAGCCATACGGTCGGGGTGGCGCCCCTTTTGATTCATTCCTCTGGTGGGTGAGGCCCTCGCAGTGCTATCGTCGTCCGATCTGCTGGCCGGCTCGCATCGATTAGTCGGTATGTTCTTTGGAAACAAGTGTTCCCCGACGGCGGGGATCGTTCAGCCTTCCTGAGCCACCAAGGGAGGTTCTAGGAAAGAGCCGTTGCTTCAAGTCGGCCTTAGGATGCGCGGCGTCAACAAACAACACCCAAGAATCCAGGCCATACAGCAAGCCTTCCTCTCGCGGAAAGCCTTGTCATTCAAGGCTGGAATTCAAGGTGTAAGGACTGAACAAAGACTTGTTGCGACGAAAGAGCAAATTATAATCACTGTGCTTTTCCTGCCGCTGTAGGGAAAGCGGCGAGGGTCTATCAATCAATCAACCGAGGAAATTCTTCAGATTTCCGCCAATATTTTGCAGGTCCAGCAAGAACGTGTCATGACCAAACAGACTCTGCTCCTCGCTCAGCTCGACATGTGTCACCTTCCTGTTGCCAGCGCACCTGAGCGTCTCGGCAATCTCCCTCTGTTGCCAGGCAGGGAACAAGATGTCGCTGGCAACGCCCATGACAAGCGTGGGGTGGTCTCTCAACGAGGCAAGGCCAGACACAAGGTCAGCGGGAGGCTTGGCGCTCATCGCCTCCTGGATGTCGACGGTGCCCTCGCTCGTCCCGGGCTGCTCCTCGTATGGGAGGTCTGGCAGTGTCAGGCTGCAACTGGCCTCGAAGCCTGAGGAGGCGCCGGAGGCGAACTCGTTCTCCCGCTCAGCACGCCGGGCGATTGTGCGCATCCTGTTCTCGCGGCCCAGGTCGAATAGGTCCATAGCCTTGCTCACGTACAGCAGGCTGTTGGCGTCATATGTCAGGTTGAACTTCTCGCCGGCGTGGTCCAGGTATGTCTCGATGAGGAAGTCTGGACACAGGGCGGGGGGCTTGCTCGGGTCTGCCCGCCTCCGACCGAACCTCTGCTCCCACTCCGGGCCGGATCGGTACGTGACGGTTGCGATTTCTCGGGCGAGCTTCATGCCGTGGTGCGGGGGCACTCTGCCGTAGTAGAAGCCCCTGTTCCAGTTGGGGTCCATCATGAGAACCTGCCGCTGGGTGTGACGCATGGCTATGCTGTATGGGTGGCTTCGAGCACAGCCACTGATGGAGACAATCCTGCTGACCCGGTCGGGGAACAGCACGCCGGCTGCGAGTGACTGCATACCGCCCATGCTCGAGCCGACGCTGGCGTGCAGCTTCTCGACGCCCAAGCCATCCAGAAGCCTGAACTGGGCCCTGACCATGTCCTGGATGGTCAATATGGGGAAGCGCGTGGCGTAATGCTGACCGTCGGCGGGGTCTATGCTGCTGGGGCCGGTGGAGCCGTAGCAGCCGCCCAGGACGTTTGTGCAGATGACAAAGTACTTGTCGGTGTCCAAGGCCTTGCCGGGTCCGATGAACTTCTCCCACCAGCCGGGCTGGGGATTCAGCGCGGTGGAGTGGGCGTGGGAGGACGCAGACAAGCCGGTGTGCAGCAAGACGACATTGTCCTTTTCCTTGTTCATGGTCCCCCATGCCTCATATGCAATGTCGAACTCGGGGAGGACACCGCCCCAGTCGAGGAGCAGAGGGGTATCGCAGTGGTATTTGAGGGTCTCGCCGACGGTATATGTTGGCTCGGGGCCGCTCGAGGAGGCGCGGGCCTCGAGGGTTGCGGATCTGCTCTCGACCGCGTCGAGGCAGGGGAAGGACATGGCGGGATTGGAGGCGCCACTGGCACGATGAGGGCTCGTGTGAAGGCATCTCTGCGGCGCAAGGGTCGACGGCGAGGCTGGGTTTCGATGGGGTGCGGTGGCATGAGCTGTTCGCAAAAGGCCCCAAGAGCGACCGCTTGCCCCAGTGCTGGCGGTCGTGAGCTGGCGCAAGGCCGTCGCGACACATCTCTGTGGCCTCATGGAAGCCATATCACCCTCTTGAAATCACAGAGTGCGATCACAGAGGGCAGTCATCATGGATGACCTCAGGAGTGTCGAGCTGTGAGGTTTTGTAATCATGCAGAGCCGGTCTGCGACTCACTCCACGACTTCCTGCCCCGGCCGATCTCGCACCTAGACCCTTGCTGTGGCCACCCCCGGGGTGTTATCGATAACGGCCGACATAGCCATGACGTATCCCCACTTCAAACGTCCCAACCGCTGCCTCTCGCGTGCACCACAGCAGAGCATAGCAGGGCACAGCAGCGTGGGCAGGCATCACCAAAGGAGCCTCCCTTGGCCAGCCTGGAAACCGAATGCTTAGGAGGGAAGCCTCGGTCTGACGTGGCATATCGTGCCTGCAACAAAACACTCGTAGTGACACCACCACAGTCATTAATTACACTTGCGAAGACACCCACACACAACACACACCACCCGAGTCACACAAACCCACTCTACCCAAGCAACTGCTGAAGTATCAATCCTTGAGTTCCCTCCTGGGCCGTGGGACCGCACTGCCTGTCATTGTATGCTCACAACCTTCCTGAGATACTGACCCTGCTCTCCTTACTGCCCAACATGTCCTTCTTTCTCCAAGGAGTCCAGCGCCTCATCACCGACGTCCTCGGGACAAGTTCCCATGACAGCAACGCCAGTGGCAGCTCCAGCAGCCACCAGTCTTCGCCCGAGCGAGACACCGCCTCCAGCGCTCCAGCGCTTGAATATGAGCCCTCTGCTCTTGATGTTGTTGTCGTCAAGGCCATGTTGACAAACGGCCTGGGACTACCGGCCGAGATCGTCCTGTCTGTCCTTGACCACGCCGAATACTGGCCACACACAACCACCACCCTGGATCATTCTCTCACAGTCCGTTCGGGACCAGCCCACGAGAACCAGTTCATTGTAGGCTCTGCTACCAGACCGCGCCATGACTGTTCCCCCGCTGACCCGCACCCTGCTAGCTGAGGTCAAGACCACTTGGCCTCATACGAAGAACTCACTACGATGAACGCTACTACAGCTTCACTACTGCTCAGGCCAAACCACTCTCTGAGGGCGGAGACTATTCCCTGGCCCAGTTGCAGAAATGGATCGGCGGTCCAACCGACACCCTCGAGCATCCTTGCCGCAAGATTGTCTTCACCTTGCGCAGCCGCGACCAGGGCTGGGGTGGCCGGCCCCAGGACAAGGGAAGCTATCAAGGATCCTGGACGTGGTTCGAGGCCGGTAAGGAGCGTTTCGACAAGAACGCCCTGCCCCCAAAGGACACTGCCGAAAAGAAGGCACCCTTGGACGGCACCGTCGACGGTGAAGTGGTGCCCACTTCTTCCCTCGACCGCGACGGCGAGATCCCGACTCCGTACTTTCCCGTGTATGCTGCACGGTCCATACAACCGGAACTCGAGCCAGGCCAAGAAGCTTTCCACCATGACCTTCTCCCTTCTCCCGCGTTGACTATACAGAAGAACAAGACTGCGACTCGACAGCCTACAACGCATACGATTGTGTGGGCCTGGAACGACAACATTGAACCCCTGAGTTCCGAGATACTCTCGGAGATGGGCCGTGGGCCTGAGACTGGCACTGGTGATTTTGTCCGTAGCCTCGCACTAGGCGACGTCGTAACTGTCTGGGCGAAGGCGAGGTTCGCACAGTGGGTCAACCACATAGACAGCGTCAAGCTGGACAGTAAGCATCATTCTTGTCCTTTCACAGACCAGAACCTAGTTTGTTGGCCTCCGTGTTGGGTGACTAACACTTACAGTCTATTGGGCGCTATGAGTTGATTGATACGCAGTTGGCCAGCGGAAACGGGACTCTCGAGGGGTCCCTTGCTTCATACCTAACGCCCACACCATCGCAATTCACCTGTCCCGACCCTGACAATCAACACTCAACACGTGTTATGGGTTGTGAGACCAAAGTGCACTTCTGGGGGCTGAGCCGTCATCTGGCTTTGGCCGGACACAGGCCCCCGCCCATGCGGCTTATGCTGATATCACGGCCATGATACCAAGAACATCCCAGGCCTCTCAATGGACTGTCCCATTGACACTGGTGCCAGGGGCTTATCAGGTGTATTTGGGCATTGATCACAGGATCAAAAGTTTCATTGCTCAAACGAATTTCTTGTAGCCATTAGACAACTGTGAAATACAGGACTGATATTCTTCTGATGCTTTGTGACTTCTACGCTATTGTTACAAACGGCAATTTCGCTCCCAGAACGCCAGCGCTACCATACCCTCGATTGGCGGGCCCGTCCATGCGGAGCTTATCGCTTATAGGTATCATGGAACCAAGTCATGCACTGTCGATGCCCTTCCTTTTGTCAAGGTCTACCCTGAGGGACTTGTCCCCGAGAACGGCGAGCGATTTGTGTTCGGGAAGCAGACACAAGTCTTGAGCCAGGAACTTGTCGTCGCTGTCCCTGTCGAACGCGCCACGAGGCGCCGCCGCCACCCTGAGGTTTGATGGAGACGGTTGCTCAGGCCAGAGTATCAACCCGGCCTCCTCCTCGGTCATCCTGCGAGTTTCTTCACCCTCGCGACTGTCACTATCTGGGCTGGTGTCGTGGCCCTCTTCAACGTCATTCGGACACAAGAGCTCCAGCTGGGCAGCCTCGGCCAGCGCGTCCTGGGTGCTCTGGTGGCGGCTTAATAGAGGAGGCGACGGAGCAGGAGCATGGTTTCGCGGCATGTTCTCCTCTGACCTGGCCTGCAAGCCCTCAAGCCGGGCCAACTCCTGCGGCAGGAGATCCTGAGGCCTTGATGGCCCGCCCGCCAGAGCGCTGAGCGTCCGCCGCCGCCAGGCGCCGACCAGTGGCCGCATGAGGGCGAGCTCATTGTTCTTGAAGGCCGCATAGGAGGCAGGGCTCACAAGTGCCAGTGCGTGGAGGTCGTCGAAGGTTTCTGCATTTTTCATGATGCGCAGGAAAAGGGCCTCGTCGGGCGCGAATGCGGGAGGTGGGTGCTGCCGCTGCACACTGTCGGGTGCGCTGCCTCGTTGTATTTCTTGCTCCTGGTCTACCGTCGTGTCTGTGTCACTGCCGCTTCCTGGCATCAGCTCTTCATTGTCCATCTCCACCGACCCTCGCGCGGATACCTGGTCTTGTATACTCGAGCCAGTGAGGCTCGACCTCGTGAGCTTGCCCAGCGGGACGTTCTGTATCGTCTGCGGCTCATTCAGCCTGTGCCTTGACAAGCCCCAGCCGTGTCTCTTGCCGTCCACATCAAACAAAGTGAGGCCGCTGATGCTATTGTATACGTCATTGACGGCGGCGCGGAAGGCCGGGGCAGGGTCACACACCGTGGAGGCCGGGTGGGGCGGGTGTCGCGGGCTTGGGATCGACCGCAGCACATCGAGGAGTTGGGCAAGCGACCGGGGCGTCTGGCTCTGTTGGCTCTGTTGGCTCTGTGCGTAAGACAGGACAGAGGGGTTGACCACGGTCCAGGCGAGCTGCAGTTCGTTGAGGACCAGGAGGAGCCAGCCCAGGCTCGTGGCGTCGCACCAGTGGTCGCCTCTCGGACAACGCGGCGCGCTGGTCAGGGACATGAGAGAGATGTAGGTGGGTAACGGGGGTTGAGCTGGGCACGAAGGCGGCAGCACCGGGGGCCCCGCATGTGGATCACGGCCACGGGGAGGCCCAGCCCCGGCGCCGGCATCATTGCTCGGGCGGGCGGGCGGGCGGAAGTACTCCTGTACCGTGCTGACGCAGGTGCTGAAGACCTGGTCCAGCTTGGCAGTCCTCACGGCCCAGATCTTGTCCTTGACGGCCTTTGGCCAGGGCTTGGCCCGTAGTTCTTGCTCGTCCACAATGTTCAGCACTGCCGTCTTCGACATGCGGGTGAAAAGCCGGCGCAAGCCAAAGGCGTAGCTGATGAGCAGGATGCCGTCGGGCTGTTGCTCGGTGGCCTTGTGCACCCATGCAGGCAGCCAGCGGTGCTCGACCATGAGCTCGAGCGGAGAGGTGCACATGTATCTGAGGCAGACCTCTGCGATGGCTGTGAACTGGGCGAAGCTGACCTCGCGTGGGACCTTGTCGTTCTGCATGTGGGCGGCGTGGAGCAAGATGGTCAGCGCCTCCTCCTTGTTGGGCTCGAGCTGTGGCATGCTGTACAGCCTGACACAGCTGCCGTCGGCGCAGGTGACCGAGCGCGGTGGCTCCCTAGGCAGCTGGCCGTCCAGCTCCCTGAGGTCCCTGTCGAGGATCCGCGGGTGGCTGAACTGGCCCCCAAAGACAGCCTCGAAGATGGGCGACGTTTCAGCCAGCATATGGCTTGACACGCGAAAGCGCAGCAGCGGAGTGTCGGGGGATCCAGAGTTCTCAAACTCGAGCACCGCGTTGCCCCGCGGCGAGACGACATATTCACGCACGCCGGTCTTTCTGGCCCTCTTGTCGGCCCCGGGCGCGGCCGTCGTGAGCAGGCGGTCCGCATGCATGACGGCCGCCTTGACCGTGTCGTAATGTTCAAACCGCCTTTCGTACAGCGACCAGTAGCGGGGCGAGGCGGCGGCCGGGTCGGACGACAGGGGGCTCTTTCTCGTGCGCATCTCGTGGATCATGCCGGCGCGGTAGCCAGGGTCGTCCAGGGCCCTCGCCGCCAGCTCGGGCGGGGCGTTCCTGTCGTGGGCCTGGATTGTTGCGGCCAGACTGCTCCTGTGAGACTCGAGCAGCTTCACCAGCACTGCCCTCCAATCCCAGATGGCTGCCAGAGACGGGTCGCCACGGGCGGGTCCCTCGGGCGCACCGAGGCCAAGAGTGCTGAACGAAGCCCTTAGGCCGTCAATGTCGCCGCCGCCGGCCAGGCTCCCCTGCGCTGTGCCCATCGACATGGACAGGGACATCGACTCGAGCCTCTCCACTGCGACTGAGCCATTGCGGGCACGGCGAGATGTGCCCGTTGGCCGCAACGGCTTGTCTGCGGCCAACACTGCCTCGATCGCGTCTGACGCCTCGTGCATGACCCTCGCGAACTCGTCGTACGCGCTGTCGACGGACCCAGGGTCAGACCCGGGGACCCGCGCCGCTCGAAGCCTCTGTGTGCAGCCTCTCAGCTGGTCGAGTCTGCGTTCCACCGCCGCCCTCTCTGATGGCCCTCCAGATGCAGATGCACGGCTTGAGCCTCCCAGCATGCTCGACATTGGCGACAAGGTCGCACCGGGGGAGGCGGCCTGAGAACTCGGCTCTGAGATGGAAAGCCCCCGCATGGCGCTCCTGAGGTCATTGATCCTCGCCGGGCCCTGGTTCGGCCAGGGCCAAGACGCCGGCGCCGTTGCCGTCGCCGACTCAGGTCGGACGTGCTGACCCGTCATTGTCGCCGAGCGAGGGCGTATGCAGCCGACACGCACGCTCTGTTTGCCCCTGGGCCACGATCAAGTACTCTTCTTCACTGGCGCCGGTGAGGTCCTTTACATCGCGAGTCGTGAGAGAGCCGGCCTCCTCACATCTCACCCTGTCGTCTCTCTTGCTGTCCCGCGCGCAGCCCAACCAACGTCGGGTTGGTCCAGGAACGGTTTAGCGGGCCGTCAGCGCCCATCAACCACCCTTGCAGCCCTTGGAAGTGAGCCTCAAGCACCCGCCGCGACCCCAACCCTGCAGAGCCCCATGCGAGCCAACCCCAAACACGCCTGGCTGGACTTGGTCTGGGGTATTCTCGCGAGGCAAGCCGAAGCTTGCATATGCCGGGAGATTTTGGGAAAATTGTAGATTTTCAACATTTTTTTTTTTTTGGCTCTTTTGATTTTCTTCTTCTTTCGCTCTTCTCTTGAAATATGCCTATGCCTAGCTCCTGACCTTTCTTTCCCTTGTGCACCTGATTGCGTGTTATTGACAACAAAACCATGCCCATCCTTGGACCTTCATGACCATACCATGTGCCTCTTCGAAACTCCGTTCAGCAAACCATTGGCTGCCCCTTCCTCCCTCAAGGCATGACAGACAGACTCCTCTTTCCTGTCGCCCACGCCTCGTTACCCTCTTCTCCTGCCCCAAGTGGTGGTTGGCGACCATGATGTGTGCCTCGACCACGGTTCTGCTTGCAAAAGAGCAGTACATCTTGGTGTCTGAAACCTGCCCGTGCCGATGAAGGGACGGCGTAGCAAGGTTCTTGAACCATTCACCCGGCTGGCTGAGCCCAAGATACAGCTCGCATGGCCCCGGGTACCCGCCCACTTCACCATGCTCGGGTTGCTCAAAACCACTCTCATGCGTTCCTCCTCTTGACGCTGAATCCGAATCACATGGTAGCCCGACCCACAGATGCCCCAACAGGGAACTCTGCCCCTTCTGACAGCTTCTTGAATGAATCTTGGAGTCGGGACAAGTTTGGGAGCCGGACGCGGACAAGTCGTCCAAGGTAGCAACGGGAACCAACAGTGTCAACACAAGTTCGTTGCACCAGAAAGAAATATTGCGAATGGCAGCCGAAAACCTTGCTGTAATGCGTCATGCTTTGTTGAAAACCGAAAACTTCCATTTTGCGCTGTCCATTCCTGTGTGGTATATGCTGTCGTCGAAAAGACCCTCTATAAAAACCATTTTCGCGTGAAAAGACCTAACGTCCCCCTTTTCGAAGAGAGACCGAAAGAGTGAGAACCCGCAATTCTATCACTTCTCCTTGGGGGGCGGGGGGGGGGGGGGCTTGCTTTCCGCGTCGCCGTCGGGTGGCGTGGAAATGAGCTGTCACTAGGTACCGCCAAGATCGAATGTCCTCGATCCCGCATCCGCATATACGTGGGCTGCCCTTCGTCGCGTCCACATTGGCAGCCGGATCAATCAACAGATCGTACAACCTCCTCCGCCTCAACACCATCTCGAGGCACATAAATAACACACCAAGTGCTCAGTGGCGAGATCCTGAACAGAGCTGTCCAATAAGATCAAGCACGCTTTCGTGCCCGGCAATCGCGACTGGGCTTAAACATGTGCGTCTATCCAAAAGGAAACAACGCGGTCATCAGAGAAGGGCCCGCTCATCCTCCCTTTCGTTCCAGGTCGTTCTTTGGAGGTTTCTCGCTCTGAGGACCAGTCTTCGTCGTAGTCTTGACCTCTGCTTGCTTCTTGCGGGACTTCTGCTTCTGCCAACCGCTCGCGTTCTCGACCTCACCCTTGGCTGCACGCAGAGGTGCGCTCTCCTGCAGCACAGCACCGTTTGGTCGCGTGTTGGCCAGGGAGCCGTTGTCACCGCCGTTTGCAATACCATTAGCCCCGATGGACCTTTGTAGGGCTTTTGTCGTTTGGTCTCGTACAGACTCGTCGGAAGAGCCCGGGGCTGGGCCAGGCACTAGTGCCCTGCCGTGGCTCGCCGAAGCCTCCCATCGTCGCCGGACCGTGGGTGACGGCGTTCTATTCTCATAAACCGGTGACAGGTGCTGAGACTCGGGCATCATTGGGTTTGGAATAGCCAAGTCGAGCGGCGAAATACCGGCTTGCTGGTTCCGTGCCGCTAACCTCTGTCGACCTAGATCTGGCACTTTCGTGTAGCCCTGAAACTTGTCTCCGAAGAATGAGGCATACGGCGCACCGTTTGGTCCCTGCGTTGCCGCCATCCGCTGTCCAAAAGACTGCAGTGGAACCTGGTGCGGGGGCAAGGCGTGGCATTGCGTGGAGCCGTTGACTACGAGCGGGCGGTCCAGACCTGTCAAAACCGTTTCTGAAACCGTTGCGGGTTGAGACACAGATGATTCGGGAGTCGCAGTACTCTTGTTGCTAGGACCTGGAACCTGGCTGATTCGAAGTGGGTTGTCGAATCCAGTATCATCGCCTGCGACTAGCCGGCTCGATGTCATGGCAGAAGGCGGCATGAAGGTTGAGCCATTGACAACTAACGGCGTGGTCTCCTTGGAAGCCCGAGTGCTGTTTTGTGAGAACGACGCTGAGGCGGTCGGGGCTGAGCTCGTCCCGGAAAAGGTCCTACCGTGTCCGAGGGGTGATGGAGATCTAGAGGTCCTCTGCAGCCGTCGGTCAAGAACAGACTGAGGCCCCTCTGTTGATAGCCTGCGACGGTTTATGCTACTCAAACCCACATCATTCAGCGAAGGAACTGCTTGCATTGGACGAGGTGGCGTTGAGGAATCGGCGACAAAGTAACCGAGATATCCGGCCCCGTCTTCCTCCGGCGGCGAATCGGGGATCGTTCTGGTTGATCCTTCCTCGACTTCGGAATCTGTCCTATCATCCGCCGCGAGTCCTGGGAAAGGAATCAGGTTCGGCTGCCGGGGTGCATGGTTCGATAATTCGTTCACCACTTGGGCTGCCGTTCCAGAACCTTGGACCACCTTGCCACCGGGCGCCGGTGTTCGTGACGCAGGCTGGGACTGGGATCTCAGTGTGCCACCGCCTGAAGGGCCGCCAACCTCACTCGCCGCACTTGACCTATGCAGGCTTCTCCTAAATTCGGGTGCTGCAGCTGGCGCGGAAGGCGAGCTGGGGTAGGTACCATAGCCTGCGTGGTGGTGGTAGAACGCGGGCTGCAGGTGAAGGGGCCACACATAATGTTCCGGTCTAGGCGGCGCTGTCAGTGGCGGCGCTTGGTCGAACGAGTTCGTTCGCGATCTTTCTCCGGCCTGGTTGGAGCTGACTTGCATGCGTTGGGCATGTGCCACAGCCTGCTGGTGCGCCGTGAGCTGATAATGTGTGTACCAGTTCAACCGATCCTGCATTTGCAGGGCACTACTCAGCATTGCCATATTTTCAGGGTACTGGTAATGCTGCGCAAATTGGCTCCACTGTAGGTCTTGAGCTATAAGTCCGCCCGGCATGACGCCGGGCTGAGGGAATATGGCAGGGTTCTGCGTGTTATCGTAGGCATTGCTTGACGAAGCTCTTCGACTGCTGTTGCCGTTGCGGAATTGATTACGGTTGCCACGGTTGCCCCCGCTCCGACCCCCTCTTCCCGAGTTCTGCTGGGATGAGCTGCGAATGATGGCCGGGCGTGACGTAGGCTTTGTGAACAATTTGGGCTCCGTCGGCTCTTCCTTTGGTTGGACGAACTGCTCGCAGCATTCTTCCAGCTTTGCCTCGGCCACCAGGTCAAAGGCGCGCCGAAGCTCGAGGTGTATGCCACGAAACGACCAGTCGTCCGCGGTGTTTCCTAGGTTTCGCTCCCGGTTGAAAGGTTCTTCGACGCAGAGATTCTGGTTCCCGTTCCCAACCTGCCAATTTTTTTCCTTCTTGGAAACCAATTTGCCGAGCCGCACCGATATCGCCATCTCGTCGTAGTCGAACTCGTGTGCATAAAACCTGAAAAACTGAAACAGAAGTTCTCCGAGAGTGCTCTTGTTCTTGTCACCGAACCCTCTCAGCTGGTCCAGATCATCTGCGAATTCGGTCCTGTGACCGTCGGTCGTAGGGAGCTTTTTGGTGGGGCACTGGTGCAAGGACGGCAGAACGGGGGGGTGGCGGACTTGCAGGAAGGCAATGATGAGACATATCCAGGTGTAGGAGCTGAGCGTCCCGCTGAAGGCTGCGGAGTGGAAATGAAGTCAGTTGCCAGAGCCTCAAGTGATCACAAGGGGTGCTTGTTCTATGTCTTACCAGCATCGTTGATGACTCGCCTCCGTGTCCAGTACTTGACGACCATTGCGAGTGGTCGGACACGCTCGTCAGTCTCCACGTAGGTACGAACCATCCGGGTGTTCTCAAGCGCTAGGGTGTTGTTGACGTTCATGTCGCAGGCCAACTTGAGCTCAGGGTCCCATATTTTCACAATTGGGACCTTGGCCGTCGAAACGCAAACCACTTGTTCCATGCCACCTGCCGAAACGATCAGCATACATTGTGTCAGTCTGGCGAGAAACAGGAGGCAGACATACGCTTCTTCAACAAGTCAGCTATTATGCAAACGCCCTCCATTTCTTTCCAGTCCGTCGTGATGCATATATCAACTGTATCCTGTCAGTGACGTCCTTAGCGGGTTGCCTAGGTGGCAATGTCACCAACCGTCAGAGTCGTCCGAGCACAGCAGGTTTCCCGAAGAGCCAAACAGGTGGACCCGTATCTCATGACCAGGCCATTCGTCGTTGAAGATCTGCTCAAGCTTCTGGACCAGCTTCTTGCGATTCTCCTCGACTTGGGCCGACGGCAGTAACCTGTCGTATAGCTCGCGCATGTCCGTGGATAGTTTTCGCTCCTCATCCCTGGACAAGGTGCTCTTCACCTTGTCCAAATCGACCCGTTCCAGCCTGTCTGACCCTATGCTATAAGGTATGCGCCTCCGGAAGTGTCTAGAAGCAGTCTCGTATTGACAAGGTTTGGGAAACGGCCGCGGGGGGATGGAGGCAGCACCGCCATTCGGTTCCGAATATGCCGATCGGGGAGAATGATTTTGCGCGACGGTTGGGGAGGGCTCACGGGACTCGGACCCTTCGAAGAGATTCCGCGGCCGCTGACGCGGCGTTGACGGCACGGAGATGGACTGCGTGGAGCTGCTCGTCGATTGCTGGGCGGGGGTCGCTCGAGGCGGGGGCCGGGAGGGTAGGGGGTGGGCGACATCAGGCTGCTGCTTTGGAGGCATCTTGCGAGTTGTTTCCTTGTCCGTGTCCTTCCCCTTTGTCATGCCCTCACGTTCTGATCTGTCTGTGCTTTTGGGCCCTCTTGTCCCATTGCAGCTCTGCGGTGCAGGAGACTGCTTGACGCTGTGGCTTTCCTTGTTCGACACCTTGGATGAGGATCTCGACCGCGGCGCTGCCTGTATGTTGGGCACGGGGAGCGCACTCGGGAGTGGTGGGCTCTGCAAGCCGCCGCCTCCTCTGCCGGGAGAGATGAGTTTGTTGTACTGCAACAGCTGCGCCTGGTGTTGCGATACCAGCAGGGGCAGCAGGTCATATGCTGGGGGGTACGGACTGGCCGAGGTGGCGTCGGTGAAGGAACTCGAGGCCGACGTAGAAGCAGCTGGGGTCCGCGGTGTCGAGGGGATGCTGATGCGACCCCAAGGGTTGACTGGTTGGTAGGACTGGTTTGGCTCTGCCGTAGCTGACCGGCTGTCCATGAATCTGGGCCGGCGACTTTTACCACGGGCAGGAGGTAACGCGTGGCGCGAGTTGAGAATATGAAGCACCTGTGCATGCACGGGGCCGGGCGGGGCAGGGCAGGGCAGGGCAGGGCAGGGCAGGGCAGGGCAGGGAATTGCAGAGCGGGATGGCGCGCTCAGCGAATGGCGGGAGTGGATCGGAGTAGGGCACAAGATGGAGGATGTGGTCGAGGGACTCGGCGTCGAGAAATGAGAACTGGGTCGGTAAGTGGCTGCTGGTCAGGCCCGGGTTGCTCTTTTCTCCCCCCTGGGCTGGCTGAGACGGTCAACCTGCGACTGTGTTGTCTGTCGGGCTGGTTGGTTGGTGGCCCCGTCTTGCAGAAATTGGAAGGCAGGAGGCAAGCAATATCGACGTGTGGTGTAACCGGCAAGCCAGGTCTAGGCGAGGAAGGAGGAAGGAAGCCTGAGGTCTACCTGGGCTGTTACAGCTTCTGTTTCTGCTTCTGCGACCGAGTTGAGGATAAGCGCTTCGGAAGGGCAAGTGGGAGAGGGTGCTGAACCACAGAGTTGGGATCGGGATTAGGAGTTACTGTACTGTACATACGCTCTTGTGATGCGTGCTCCCAAAATAGCAAACCACGGTCGCAACCAGACGGTGAGCAGGTGGAGAGGCACTGAGGGGGAAGCGATTTGACAATCAATGGCGCCCGTTTCCCGAATTGTTGCGGCTGCCGCTGCTACTGTTGCCGCCGCTGCTTCTGCTGCTGCTGAGTGAAGTCTTGCTGTGTGTTGCCGCTGCAGAGGTCGAGCAGAGGAAGGCGACCATTCAAACGACCTTGGGGAGCGAAATAAGGGGGGGGGGCGGGATATGTGCGTCAGGGAAGTCGAGGGGGAGCGGTGCAGCACAGTGCAGTTGGGTGCGGTGCAGGCCGTGGGCGGCAGGGCGCAGGGTTAGTGCAGGCAGAGGTGCGGGTGGGCCTCGGGGGGGGGGGAGGTGTAGGTGTGAGGTTGTAGGGGTACCCCCAGGTAGTGACGGAAATGGACGGTGGGTGCTTGCTGGCTGAACATGCAATGAGCGGGCGACAGTGCTATGTGCCCGAGTGCCCGAGTGTACTGCAGGTACCTAGGTATCTGTATATGCGCAAATGCTTGAGAGGTTGCTTGCTATGCTATGATGTACGCAGGTAGGTATGCCCTGGGCCTGTGCTCCGCCTGGCTCGGCTGGGCAAAAGGGAAGCGACGTGATGCAATGTCGGTGCAGCGGGTGAGGGAATGGCCAAACTACCAATGTCCAACCGACTGGCAGTCAGACAGTATGGCCTGGTTGCCTAGGTATGGCAGGCCAAAGAAAGAGAAAAAAAAACAATATGGAGAGGGAGGCAGAGCGGGGAGGGAGACGGGAGGAGAGGCACGACCAGGTCAAGTGCACATGCGCAGGTGCTGTGCAGGTGCAGGTGGATTTAGGATGGTGAGGTATGGTTTGGTCTGGTTTGGTTTGGTTTGGTTTTGGCTCTGGTTTTGGTCGTTGCAGGGCCTGGCAGCGGTAAGGCGCACTGCGGCGCTGGTTTGTGGTTGTGTGGGCAGGCGGGAAATGAGGCAGGTTGGGGTCTTGTTCCAGGTCAAGCTACCTGCCTAGTACCCGGGTACGCGAGCAGAAACCACCCCCCAAGCTTTGGGGGCATCTGCCAGGCGCCGTCTGAGGTGGAAGTAGGAGGGGGCCCGAAAGGAGATGAGATCTGTTATTGGATTGTTCCCGATAGCCCTGGACCGTACTTTCTTTCCAGTTCCCACAGGACACTACAAGAGAGAGAGAGCATTTCTGGGGAGCCACTCTGGCCTAGGAGCAAGAAGCCAACGGCCGAGGCACAAGGCACAAGGCCGACATGTTGATGAAAGAGACTGGCCGGCATTGACTGAACAGGCCTACACGCAATACCCGTCCATGCCTCCTGCTACTGGGCACTTGGTTGGGTACAGGCGCCCAGGCACATATGTTCTCAGAGCTCGCCGTTATTGCCGCCCTTGCCTCGCAGGCCAGAAAGACTGTTCTTGGACGCGCCTTCTTCGCCTTCTTCGCTTTCTTCCCTCAAGGAAACAGCCAGGGGGCTTTGTTCCTATAAAGGGCCAATGGGCGATCCCACCCCGAAACTGCCTAACTGTCTAGGGGCTGGCCTCTGCGGGGGGGCAGATGCACCGCGGGTGGGTCCCCGTTTCCATCCGCCACCCTGGCTTGCCCTTCAATGAATGTCTTGCTGGGGCCCAGTCGACGCACGCCGCTGCATCTACCTGCCTGACTGCCTGCCTGCCTAGGTGGGCATGGTGGGCATGGCTGTATGGCAGTTTGACTGCATGGCAGTCTTGACTGACTGACTGACCGACCGACTACCAAGGGATGACAGCCCGGCCAGAAACCGAATGGCCACAGGCATGCCTGTTGGAGGCCGGAATAGTGCCTGCCCATTTGCACGCCAGCAGCACGCCGAGTCCTACCCAGCTGCCAGGTCCGCCTGCTGCTACTGTGTGCCTTGTGCCTCTCACCGAACCCCGAGCCCTGGACGGGCCAGCCTGATGTGTCGTCAACGTCTCGCCCCCTTTATTCCAATTTCCGCACCCACTTTACCCTCCCTCGGCCCTCCCTCGCCCTCCAGACGCGGCAAACACGGGCTTCAGGTCCCCAGCGCTCATTTCGACGCCCCAGCACACGCGACTCGCCTCCATCACGAGAACCCTGCGGGCTCTCTCATCTGCCAGTCTGCCAGTCTGCCCACGCTTCAGCTGCTGATAGCACACATCAAGGGGTTGGCCGCCAGGCGCCCTGGCCCAGCCCTACACCGGAGCTCGACGCCTCTTCCTCCGTTTGGAATAGGCCCCTACCGGCATCTCTACGTCCCTTTGGTCATCTGCGGCCGGCACGGCTCCAGGTCGACTTGGGTCCCGTCCCAGCCAACACAGGCAGTGGTCTGCTCGTGGGTACCGTGTCCTTTGTACTCCATACGAGCTCCGCTCCTGTGGGCATGTGCCCATGTGCCCATGTGCGCTTTGGATAGCATCAAAACCCTCTGTATCGAGTGCGAGCAAGCGACCAATTCGGCAGTTCGGCTGCCAACGCGCCCCAAGGCTTTCGCCACAATATGCCCCGATCCTCCCGGAAACCCCACAGTGAGCATCTCCTCGCAAATTCGGCGGCTGCCGCTCATCCACCGCTGCCTATGTACCCGTACGGAGTAAAGGTCTAGCCTTAGGGCTGAGCACGGCGCACATGGTCCTGCTCAGCCGCGCCGGACACCAGGGCCAACTCACCCCCAGGGCCCGCCTCACCTGCCTCATCCCCAACGACCGTACCGACTGACGAAAGTGCTGCGACGAGGCTTACCACCACGGCTTGCTCCAGGTCGGGCTGGGTTGACAAGCCACGCCGTGTAACCAAGCTCTGCTGCAGCAGCACGCTCACGGCCGAGCCAATAGACACCGGGGTATCTACCCTTTTCGAGAAGACGGAATCAGATAAAGGGTGCTCTGATCTTGAACAAGCAGCCCGAACAAACGTCACGTTCCGCCATAAAGGGTCTTGAGCTGCTTATGGACCCGCCTCTGCACCTCCCAGGTCTGCCAATCGAGTATCATTGCCCAGTGGCGGATACTACAGGGTTCGTCTGAGCCGGACGTATCTTGATTAGCCGACCAACGGGTTCGGAAACCGGGCCTCGTCCCATAGTTCGTCTACGTGGCTTGCCCATGCCCTCATTTGCCCCTTCCCAGGAGCGAGGTTCGGCAATGGCTGTCGGGGCGTATACAGAGAGGTGTAACATCACTCGGCTGCTCGGCTGGCAAAATGCAGGATCGGGCCACGCTGTCCGGGGCCGGAATGGAACAGCACAATGGTGGCATACAGACAGCCTTGCTACCATGTTAGCCTCGCAGGTTGTCGGTAACCCGAGCTTGTGGAGGCCAGCAAGGCCGACATGACAACATACATAGCTGTCGATTGCAGAACGCATTTGTCTGTGGTTGACCGCCGAGCGTGTCTACCTAGTCAGATAGATGTGAGGTGTGCCAGAAGCTATTGTGTGCTGCAATATGCGACATGCATGGGCCAATCTGATAATTATGCGTCAGCCTGGCCATCAAGTTGGTTGGCTTCCACCAATAGCCATTCTATACGCGGGCATAGAAAACACGGACCCCAACCCCTTGGCAATGCAACCAGCCCTCATCTATGTTCGGATCGGACTCGGTGACACTTTGCATCGCTTCCACGCTCCATTCTGACATTGCGTTGCGTCGAGTTCAGATCGCATGCAATGCAGCTGCAAACTCCATGTCCGCACGTGTGTCCCCACGGCACTGTAGGGCTCCTGATGGCCGTGGGTTGAAAATACAAAATGCTGTCTATATTCGTCAGCAATGGGTGGGTGTCGCGCTGTCAGTCATCATCCGCCAAAATGCTCGCCTGTCTGATCGCTGCTACTTGCCGAGGTATGCCCTGCCTTGTCGCAGTTCATCTCAATTTTCAGACGATCAACCCAAGGATTCCTCTGCTAAGAGCCTTGAACAAATCTGCAGCAAGTTGGGACGTGGCCCGGCAAGACTCCAACCGATCTCTCCTGTTGCTACGAAGCCTGGGTGTGGTCGCCCGGGCGCAGGGCACGATCCAAGGTGCGGCCTCGGCCAAGCTACTGTTTTGTTGCTCGAAATGCGCACTTCTTCACCATGGCATAAATGGTCACAAGGGATGTAGACGTGTGAAAGCCATTAATCTATTGACCATCATCAACGCTGCAAAAATCAGGAAGCCGTGAGATCAATAACTTGAGAAGGCCAGTGTCGTCACACGGAAATATACATAGTGCTTGGTCAGGATAACGGAGATCGCATGACAGGAGATCTCCTGCAGGCCAGCTTGACATCCATATATCATACTCTGGCCTCGCTCGAGCCTACCAGCCTTTGTGGTACAAATGTGTAGATGTTTTGTACGTATGTATGTAGTGTTTCCTTGCTCCCAGGGATCACCGTGTTGAAACCCTGATGTATTCTACCTATACCGCACCCAAATCTACCTAGGATACCTACCTAGGTACCTAGGTACCTAGGTAGGTAGATACTTTGCACACAGGGCTAGGAATGTACCATCAACATCATGCTGAGACCCGACCCGCTGGACCCCGCATCTTCAGGGTCAGCGCCGTCCCTGCACATGGTGCCCTTCCGATCCGTGCACCCAGGGACCCCACCATAAAGTCTGGTCCAAGCTTCCCCCAACCCAGGGGCTCCATCTTTCAGCCTTGCGCCTCGCTTGCTCAGGGGTCTACTGCATAGTACTGGCTGACTGGTAGCTGGGGCGCGGCCCCTGCCCGTGCGAGCCTCGACCGAGACTTGGGCGCTCACGAAACGTGCCCTGTCTCAAGGAATAGCCTCGACAGCCCGCGAAGGACACAATGAGGTTTCATTTCAGCACTCGGACAGCAATGTTTCAACATGCCCCTCCTGTACTCTTCCAATCTCGCGTCTCGAGAAGGAACAAGAGGTATGTCGACTTTCTTCCCTCTCTCATCTTTTACATATTATTCCCCGATCCCAAATTCCCATCCCACCTGACCTCGATCACCCCTGCATGCGCATGATCATCGCCAGCTCACTCCGCCAGAGCTTAACCGAACGATCGTGCACCTTGGCATAAACAATAAGCTCCAGTTGCTTCCTTTGCCCTCGGAGGAACCCTCGACCCCTACACCATGTTCTCCAGCCTCGGGACCAAGCTCGCGCTCAAGAAGCTGGGTGTCCCCAAGGATGCCATGAATGTGGGCTCGCCCTTTGGCGCCGCCAACGACGAGCCCAGGAAGCTCAAGAAGAACCAGAAGAGCCTCACTACAGCAGAGCTGGATGAGCTCGAGGGCAAAAACTGGCCGAAGTGGATGTCTGTCAAGAGCCTGCCTTTGACGATCCAGCCTTGGCTCTCGCCCCCTCCTCCACCGGTTCCCGTCGCTGCTGAATGCCCTACTGTCGGTGCCCTCGCACCAATAGATCGTGACAGGAAATTGGTACTCGGGAATAATGGGCGCAAGGTTCTCGTCGTCTTTCTGCGGTGTGTTGGTTGTGCATGTAAGCAGCCCCGCCCATTCCCGGGAGCCTCATCTGCCCCCGATCAAACCATCTCCATCACCTCCCTGGTTCAACCCGGCTCGACCAGCTTGTGCAATGTATGTGCCCGTCTGACCTGTGTGCAGTTGCTCAAAAGACCTTTCTCGCCCTGCGTGACCTTGCCAACAAAACCCCGGTCACCTGTATAGCCGTGTCCCACTCCTCGCCCGCCGCCACGAGCAAGTGGATCGACCTGATGGGGGGAGCTTGGAAAGTGCAGGTGATCATCGATGAGGACCGTGCCATCTATGCGGCTTGGGGGCTAGGGCTATCCTCGGTGTGGTACTACTTCAACCCGACCACGCAAACAGCGGCGTGGAAGGAGAAGGGCTGGCTGGGGAGCACAGTGGCGACGAGCATCGGCCGCAAGATGGGGATGACCAACAACGGCGGCATGGACCTCGGCGCTGCCGCTGCTTCGGAACAGGGCGACGGCCCAGGAACGATAATGGGCAACAAGTGGCAGCAGGGCGGGGCATTTGCAGTCGACGAGCGGGGAATTGTGCTCTGGGGTGGCAAGTCAGAGCGGGCAGATGAGATCGTGGATTTTGAGGCTGGCACTCGAGCGTTGGGCATGTGAGCATGAGCCGGCCACCTGGGAGGCTGTGGTGTTGGGTTACTGAGTGTATAACGATCTTAGTAGTGCAGTCGGGCGCTCGCAGATCAATACCTACTGATCAAGGGACAAGGACAAGGGGCCAGGCTGAGCCACGGTTTCGTGATTGATCTCTCAGGTTTGTGAATTGCTGACATGGTTCGGTCAGGTACAACATGAAAATTTATGTCGCCCCATGAGGCCGCGAGGAACGCCGTACAAGGTACTCAGTTGTAGCATTTCTAGTCTGTCCGAAAAGTCGACTAGGTTCTGCGCCAAATACTCGCCTAGTAATGCTCGTCTATCTGGGCTGGCAGACTAGAATGGATTTCTGGACCTGGACTGATGGTTCTGATTGCAACGGTCGAGCCGCAGGAACCGTTGCGACGTAAGGTTCACTGCCGATGGGTTGTACCACGAAGCACGCGCGCACACACAACACGCGCATTGAATGACGGGTCGCGGCATGCGTGCAAGACAACCGATCCTCTGCCCCGTGTGTGTCTTGTCTTGCCACCTCTTGTGGTCTGCCGTGCTGCCTGCTTGCGTGTGCGCAGCCCACGCCCTTGCCTCCGGGGGAATCCCCCAATCCTCCACGACCCTTCATCTTTGATCTTGTATTATAGCTATCCTCGATAGTTCCGGCCTGCTGATTCAGCATTCTCGCAGCATTCCCGCTGCCTTCTCGTGCAGTTCATGACCCTGAGAGAACAGAAAGCGCAGCGGAGCCCGTGCCGCCAGCGCAGTGCCTGGTAGTATTTGACGTCGTTGATGAATTGGCAAGGGGTCTTGAACACGATGACCGGCGGATCACATTGCCTCTTCAGCGCCAACAGACCGCACTTCAACTTTATTTGATTCCTTTTTGCTCGTAGACGATGACCATTCGGGACGCACGAGTCAATCTACCTTCCTCTGCCTTCTTTTCTCCCCTTCCTTTTCTTTCCTTCTTTTCCTTGGAGGCCCCCCGGGGGTGGGTTGGCGCCCCAAGGGTGGAGCGGAGGTCGTCGGATCGCGCCGATGATTTGACTGACTCCTGCGATGCAACATGTCGTACGGGAAATGAGCTCTCTAGTCTGGATTTGGGCCCGAGACCGTTTCTGCCATTGAAGCATCCTGTTAGGTTTCACGACATGTTCTTATCACAGTCGCGGTGAAGCAAAATCAGGATCAGCAGCAAACATCTTCATCCCGGGGCACAGGTCCGTCTCCCTGGCAGCACCATATATCATCCTGCCGAGCTTGAAAGCCCTGCCACTCTTAAATTTCTGCAGACTGCCGTCTGAGGCTCGCATTTACTGAGTTTCCGATGTCGAGCCAGATACGCTAGAATCAAACCGCCGATGATTATTTTTGTTTCCATTTTTTGTGCTTTTTGCCGCCGTGTGATGACTCTCCATCCTATATATCAGACATGCTCTTTCTTTTTGGTGTTGCAGGGGGTTGCAACGCTTGTGATTGATACTGAGCCAGGAATGCCGCGCCCCATATAAGACCGTGGGTATCGAGCCTGTCCCTTCAGCACCGACCGCATTCGTCACGTTGAATTCATGCCAACTCCGGACCCGCAACCAACAGCATAGAAAATCATAAAGAGACGAGTGCCAAAGGGGGGACAAAACGAGATAACTCCGACAACCAGTACGACCCAAGGGTAGGGGAATATTAGGGGCGGGACTTCCAACACCAAGCCGCCACCGAACAACAAGACAAGATGAACTCCGCCCAACGTAGACCCAGACCAGACATGACCTTTGTGTGAACTGCCCTGCGCCCGACATGAGTCTCCCTTGCTCCGATAGTGAAAATTCCAGAGTGGTATCCTTTCTTTCCCACGCGAGACAGCCGTCAATCATCATATGCCAACCAGCTCAAAAGGCCCGATGCCAATGCCAGTGCCAATGCAGGTATCGTGTCTCGACGCCTTCCCTCCGGGATGCCGACATCCTTAAACGCAAAAGCCTTTGAGAAAACACCCTGTAACCATGATCCCGCCATTCTCCAGATCAATGCATGCATCTGACCAGTTACGTCCCGCGCATTTTTAAATCATTCCGCCCAAAAATCGAGTTCGACTGGCTCCTGAGGATGCCCAACATGTCCTCGGCTTCAGCCCCACACGCTGGTCTGAGTCTTGGGGCCCCAAGGCTGGCCTCGCTGAGGCCAGCTGCCCAGCCCGACAGGAGCGTCAGACCCTGCGGATGTGGGGTTAGTCGACCCAGCTGCGGTATTGACGCCACCTGACTCGCCAGCCCCGGAAACGTTGTAGCCCTGGTTTAGTGGAGACGGCAGGGGGGTAGTCGATTGCCTCTGCAGGGCCGGGTTCGGTTGTCCCTGAGAAGTAGGCTGTCCCGAGGGCCGCGTTCCGATAGGAGCCACAGGCTTCCCGCTGACGGTCCTGCCATTTTCACCACCAGGCGAAGAGTTGCTGGTCCGGCTGATCTGCTGTTCGAGCGAGCCCTTGTTGCCAGCGGGGTTGGACGCCGGGCTGGCGTTGCTGCTGTTGCGCTCTCGCTGCTGCGGACCAGCCGAGACGGGCTCATTGGGCGGCTGCGGGCCGGCATCGTATGTCAGAGGAGACGGGCCGCGTATGCCCGGAGGTCCAGCATGGTGAACGGGCAATCCCTGGCGAGGCGTGCCTGTCTCATCAATGTACCCTCCTGTCTGTCCGAAGGGGCTTTCGCCGTATAGTGCGCTCCGCTGGCGAGAGATCAGCTCACGACGGGCCTCCTCGGACATACCGCTGGGGCTCAGCGTCCGATCGGCAGACTTGGGCGCGTTGGCGGAGCTGGGTCCTGGTTGAATGTCGGTGACGGCAGCTAATGACCACGGTAGTTAGCTCAGATCCCAATCAAGTGCTTGGTACCGTGGCTCTGACTTGGAGTCCCCGAGCCAGCTGTCCGGTCTTACAAGGGAGGGTGTCGGGAGAAGCAATGGGGGCATCAATAATGTCAGGCCGCACTTGAGGCATGGAGAAATTGCAAACAAGAGTCTCTGGCTTGGGCAACCCCTGGAGGGAGGAACGTGTCTTCTTCTTTTCATTGCGGTTGGAGTCTCGTGACGCTATACAGAGGAGGGCGGCCTACTTCGGTTGTATTGCTGCTCCTGATGATAGTTGCGAAGCTCGCGCTCCCGCTGAGCCGCCATCCTCCTCTTGGCCTGCATCATCTGCTCCGCCTCGTTGGAGCCGCGCGAGGATTGGTGTCGCTGGGAGGCATAGAAGTTCTGGAGATTCGACGAAGGGGGCCCAGGCCGGCCATCAAATTCGACCGACTGCGGGCGTTGGGGCCCGCCAGCACCGCGGGGGTCTGTTGGGGCAAGTGTCAGCTAGGACGGTGCTGGGATGTGGCCCAGCCGGCACTTGATGTGCACACTCACCAAACTTGGGCCGGTTTCTGGCAGGGCCGGGAGAAAAGGGCGGTTTGAACTCACGTCTGCCACCAGGAATGCCGAACATTTTACCGCTCTTGACCAGATTCTCGATGGAGCGCTCAACCTCTGCGATCATCATCAGCACAGATACCACCGCCTAGGACCAGTATCTTTGTTCCAAGCCCCCATGCTGGTGGCGGGCGAGCTTGGCCCCAAAGAGCCACACTTGCTGACCCGGATTCGGGACAGGACTGGAAGGACAATGGCCCTGCTCGGACTGCAACAAACGTACCCTCAAATTGGTACCAGAATGCCGAGGTTTCCTCGCGAGGTATCGTGGAGCTCGCGCCTAACCAAAAGAAGAAGAAGAAAAATGTTATTTCATTGTCACTGTCGAGCGCCGAGACGGAATGGGAGGCGTACCGGAGCGGGTGGGTGGGGTTTGGTGATCCCAGCCAGGCTGACCGCCGGCGGGCCATTGCGCGTCGCCGTAGTATGACATGACGGAACGCGATGGTAACCTCTCCTAAAAGGCGAAAGGAAACAAAATCCTCAGGGGTATCAAGTAGGCTCGTCGTTGGTGTACGAAATCAAGAGCTGCAATGAGCGGGAAATTGTCAGCGTGATCCGGTAAGCAAAGAAGAAGCAAGCTAGACAGTATCACAGCGGGATAAAAATGCCAGTCTCGGGCTGGGGGGGGGGGGGGGCCTTGTCGCCTGACAGGATTTCGTGATGGGCAGGAGTTGGCAGTCTGGGTGGCCGAGGGTAGCCACAAGACAAGGAACATATTGGTCGGCGCATTGATTCCGACGGCGCAGTCGCGATGCCCAAGATGGCGCTGCTGGCGTCCGGATCATAGGGACTCAAACTCACCCACGCGCGTTCCAACCGCTTTCTGCTTATTACTGCCTGGTACACACACGGGACGACAAGTGTCCAACAGTTTGCTTGTCGGTAGCACGGAAATATTGTCGACAAATGACAGGGTCTAGCTCGAGTGAGCGCAACGTAGGGTGGAGCGGCAGAGAGCAGACGGTCGTTGTTGTTGCGGGAACGCGAGCAGCTGCAGCAAGACGAAACCCAGGGACCCGGGACTCGGCAGGACCAGACCAGTCGATAGAGGCGAGAAAGGCGAGACACGACGTGTGCGGACGGTGAGTGCTGAGTGCTGATGCTGACACACGAACACTGGCACCGGCACTGACTTGACCGTGATTTGTTTGATCGGTCGGCTCAACGACTCGTGCCTCGAAGGGGGGGGTCGGGATGGATGGGCGGACGGAGGTTGGGGGGGGGGTTGTCGTGGGGGGTTTTCTTCAGCGCCCTGAAGGAAAGGAGGAGGGAGAGAAAAAAGAGACGCAGCGGCAAAGGAAAAGAGGGCGCACGCCGAAATGGAAGAATTGAGGAGAGTGTCAGGTCTGGCGGCAGCCGAGTGGGAGCGGAGCGGTGGATGCTCTGGGTAGATAAAGTCCCGAGAAAAAATCGCAAGGTAACGTAAAAAAACTCCTCGAGAAGGAAAAGAGCGACGCAACACGGCACCGCTCAAACCACCAACCGCCCGCTGGGCGCATAGGACCACCTACACAATCTCACACAGGCTCGCACACGTACAATTTTACATGGACACACAAACTGCCACTACCACACAGTACTACTACAGCAGGCACGCTCACCAACCCGCACACTGGCCGTACTGTAGCTTGCTTGCCTGCTTTGCTGCCGGCCTTGCGCTGTGCCCTGGAGGCTTGGAGAATCAAGACTTGGGGACTGAAGAAAGGACCTTGGTTGGATCTCGAGCCGGCGCAGGACGGGGACCGAGACTGGGGGGGGCCACTTGCTGGGACCTGCTGGCTGGGTTCCCAGTTGCGCACCTGCACCTGGTTGGAAATGGAGGTCTGGCCCGTGCCCTGCCTTTGACCTCGCAAGCCTCGCAGGCCAGGTCCCCGGTACTTAACCTCAACCCGCGGCGGCGGCGGGCTGAGGCCAGGAGCCAAGGTACCGAGAACAGAACCCCATGCGTACCCAGGTACATGCCCAAATTCGATGGAGCCTGAGGGGGGATGAGGAGGGGAAGCGGCAGGAGACTGGGCAGGGGAGGCTAGGCACTGACCAGACCGGGCTAAAGGTCGCACGTTGTTTGGATGGGCCAGTAACCTGGGCAGTGGGCACGGTACCGGGGTGGGTACCTAGGGACAAGGCCGCTAACAATCAGAGAAGGGGAGGGGGGAGAGAGAGAGTGTGTGTAAAATCCTTCCTCGGAAAAGGCCACCCACGCTGCGACGCTGCCACGCTTGCCGTGCTGCCCATGCTGCCCACGCTGCCCACGGTCAAGTGTCAGGTGCCCAGCTAGAAGCATCAGACCAGGCGAGGAACCTGCCCGTTTCGATTGCAATGTTGCTCTTGCATGCGCATGCGGGTGACGTCCTCGACGGGCTCGGCTGAGTAATGAATGACTGAGTACCGTCGCAGCCGAAACGGATAACTCAGGTCTAATTCCACAGCAGCTTGAACGCGAGCGGATAGGCTGCACTGTCCAGCCTGTCTGTCCCTGAACAGGCCCCTCCAATCGGTGGTCGGATGCATTGGTTGCTCGCTCGATGCCCGTCTCTGTTGACGGCGACGGCGACGGCGATGGTGATGCTAACGATGCTGATGTTGCCATTGATGGCAAGGACAACCGCCCCCTCGCCGCCCCCCCCCTCCCGCCTCCCCGCAGCCCGGCAGCAGAGACCAAGGGGAGCCGGGCTTGCCTTGTCAGGTGTAAGCGTCACTCCCAGGTGATCGAAGAGCAGGCACAGGGAGAGAGGGAGACAGAAGAGAAAGAAGGAGAAAAACAAGTCGGGTCAAGTGATCCAAGCCCGGATCAGCCAGCCCTTTGTCCAGCGCCCAAGAGTGGTCGACAAGTACCGAGTACAATGCAACGTCGGGTGGGTGACATCTGAATGTGGGGGTTTTGGATTGACCCGGGAATGAGGAGCAAAGGACCGACGCAGACGCAGGCTTGCAGGCTTGGAAACCAAAATTGGCCCGCGGAGGATTGGAGCGGTAGCGTCCAGCCCGGCTTGCGCCGTTTGCACTGGGCGGGGAGGATGTGGTCGAATCAACAGTCCTCAGCACCTCGTATGAAGTCTGGAGACGACACCTTGGACGCCGCGAACGGCCATTGTTGCCATGTTGCAACTTGCGACCGACCCTGCCAGGCAGCCCAGGCCCATCTGTTGCCGTCTATCCGTGAGTGCCTGTTGACCGTGCACCTGCACTTCGCATTCATTATAGTGTAGTGTACACTACTTGGGTATGCTATATTTACACGAGTACATGGCAAGTGCACGGGTACGGAGTACGGAGTACCTGGGTACCCACCCACCTACCACAGCACCCACGTTGCTGCCCAGGTGGCAAGTACGCTGTCTGGCTGTGTGTTTTGATATGGCAGGACACAAGAACCCTTGCCGGGCGACAGTGATGATGCCATCCCGCCCGCCCAATCTCCCTGGACCAGCCCACCTTCTCCATATCTTTGCCTCGACGTTGGGGCGCCGTCCTGGCACCTGCGCCTGTGCGTGATGCGGTGTCCTGGATGTCGAGGCGGAAATTGTCCTCTTCCCCATACTCTTGGCCCGTCTACCACCCTGGTCCCCTTTCCGCATTTGACGGATTTAGACGCCAGCCCTGGCAGTCGGCAGGATTGAAATTGAACGTCAATAGTCGCGTGGAGCCTCAATCTTGTGGCCCACGACCTCATCATCCCAAGATGTGAGCAATCAGGTTTCGCGAGGCCGGGCGGGCAGCCGCCGGGCATCTATCTGATCGAGGCTTGACAGGCTTGACAGGCTTGACCGCTCGATGCGCAGGCATTCACACTCAGGGCATCATTGCTGCCGACAACCCCCAGCCCCAGCCTGCCCTCCGCCCGCCTGCCCTTCCACCCCACCGGGCCACAGCACTTCGCCCAGGCAGCCTGGGAGCCCAAGCTGCAAGCTGCGGTGCTGAGTCCCCAGTCAGCAGCGACCAGACCGACGAGGCAGCGAGGCTGACGGCCTGGCAAGGAAGGCCAACCAGCCGGCCAGGGCCGACAGCAGGGCCACTTTAACCGAGCCGACGGGAGCGTCTGCCCTCTCTTCTGCCGACAGGGGTGGCCCCCGGCCCCTTGACCCTTCCCTATCGCTTCGAGAACAATGCGAGTGGCTTCGTACAGGATACCAGGATACACGCATGGGTACCTGGCCTACCTGGCTGCTCGCCCTCACTTGGGCATTCAGGGTCCTCCCCCTCTGGACCTCGATTTTTTTTTTATGTCGGCTGTCATGCCACACGGACAGACAGACGGACAGACTGCTGATGAGGCCTGGCCGATGTGATCCTGTGGCCATCCAAGGCGCGTACCTGTATATGTTGCCTCTTGTTTCTCCGCCCTGCAGCTGACCGTCTCCTGGCTCCTGCTTGCCCGTACTGTGTAGCACACAGGCGAGCACCTCGGCAGGCCGCAGAGCAGGCAGAGAGGGCAGGGAACAGCACCAGCAGCGACAAGCCCAGACGACGACATTTTGCCCGTGCCCATGATCGTGCCATGGCCGTGCCGAGGCGTTCCGAGCTTCCGGGGCCAGCCTTGGTGCCCTTAGACGCGGTGTTGATGTTTCTTTCCCGAGCCCTCCCTCATCTGAGGTTGAAACTTCGCTGGAACAGCAGGTGCCGGGAAGTACGAATGGGTCAAGACAAGCCCCCAGGCCCTTTGTCAGCTACCCGATGGACAACGCCGTCATTGGCAGCCGGCCCGGCCCTTCCCAGCGAATATCAACCAGGCCAATGGCCGGCACCCGGACACCCCCATCTCGTGTCTTCTATATCTACCCTTCATCTGGCTCCCCCATCTGGCGACCTGAGGCGTCACTGTCCATACCCCGAACTTCAGGGCCCTACATTACCACCCACAGCCATTCGAGGCACCCTGCTGCTCCTGGGGAACCAGATGGCCTGACCCGCCAGGGTTCTAGCCCCATGTCTGTCCTCGCTTGTCCAAAATGCTACTGTCAAGGTTTTGGAGCCTCCTGCCGAGCGCCTGCAAGGCTTATTATGGATGGGTCTTTTGTGTTGAAAGCCAGTTGCAGTGATTTGTCCACCCCAGGCCTGGCCGCTGGCCTCTGCCACCAGTCTCGGCAACTTTCTCTCAGCAGCTGCCACTCAGCAAGAAGCCATCCCATGATTTCTGACCACGCCGTCTAGCCACGTTCGGCCCGATCCCAGCTGCGCTCCCCGGCGCTGCCCATTGCCCACAAGAGGAATGCTCGGATGGACACTTGGCGGTAAACGTGCCGGGGTTCACAGGAGCCATGCCTGCCCGCCCGCCCGCCCGTTTGATGTCGATATTGACATGCGGTATGCAAACTTGCCGAGGGACGAGGTTTTGGATGGTTTGCAGAGGAGCAACCGCGGGATCCTTGTCCTTCTAGAAGCCTTCCTTCCACCCGGGGAACAAGGCTTAACCTTGGGACATGGCCGACATTTGCTTTGCAAGTCGTCCAGGCCTTGCCTTGCGTTCCTCCGGTAGGCGCGCCCTGCAAACAGGCCGGAGAACCCATGCCAGCACTTGGTTGCAGCTCGTCTGATGGTGATCCGCCAACAGGCCGGCGTGTTTCATGCCGGTGGGGGAGCCGCTCTGGTTGTTTCCACGAGCTACTGTGTATTGTGACGGTCTGTGAAACCCCCCATGGCGCTCTGTCTGCGGCAGCGTTTGCCTGTCGTGAATTCCAGTACCCGGTAGGTAATAAGTAACGCGTAGCCTTGGTGTGGGACCTACGAGACGTTTCTGCTTCACGCCGAGAATTAGTCGCCTGATTGTTTCCCACGGCTACTGCAGATGCAAGGCGTGCTGGCGTGCTGCATTACTACATGTCTCCAATCCCTGCCCTGCAGCTGGTGTATGCCGTACCGCATATCAGCCACATGTTGTGGCCTCGAGAGTTCCCCATTCGGCCCCCGCGCGGGGAGAGACACCCCACACCCATGCGTGCTGTCTCGAGCTCAGCATATTACCGAGTAGACTACTACCTGCTACCACTGGCACAACGCCTTGACAGGCTGCCAGCAAACTCAAGGGCCCCCACATTCTCAATGTCTCATCCCAGGCTGGTATTGATATCTCAACGTTGGAAGAGTCTTGCCTCCGGCCAAGCAAGATGATGGTGGGGAGCGCCTCGTCGCTCTCGCCGGAGCTATCTTGAAAGCTAATGGCGAAACGAGCATGAGAACTTGGTCACAAAGCTTATTAAAGTGTTCGCTGCTGGCGGCCACTGGTGCCCATGGCTGTTTGGTACCGGGGTATCTCTGGTCTCGGCCACAAGGAGGTCCCATTTCCTCAGCCATATTTCTAACTCGTCCTGCTGATCAATCTCGGGCTCAATCTAGATCTCATGCGAGGCTGCGGATCTTCCGGAGCAACGTTTTCAAAGACGCCAGGCCATCCTGCCGGGCCCCAGAAACGTCCTGAGCACTCACGTGCAATCACAGCTTGCAGAGGCAGCTTGTTGCCGCTGAGCATCTGTGCTGCTTTCCAGGACTCGGATGCACTTACAGGGCTAGTCCTATTACTCCCTCGCCAGCACAAGTCGGACTTGATGCCAGGTGCTTATAGTACACCATACAATGAGGTCATTTGGTGGTCTCTTGGAGGCACTCTCGAGGCGTATGGGCCGGTTCGGCAAGGGGGTTGCTCACTTTCTCTGTTGGGATTGCAGATGAATGAGAGGTCAATTATCTCTATCACGCACGTAGGCCGTCTCAAGTCGCCAGACCTCGTCCAGTATTGGTTGCTATCTTTGGACAAATCTACTAGGCTTTTATCTACACCGACTTCGAGCCGCAATGTACCGACGGCCAATGGGATACACAGACTTGCAATACACGGGTCAAGAGTGACACTGCTTCTGCCGTGGACAGGGACTCTGCAGATCAACCCCCAACGCGTCGAGGGGGGAGGATGCCACACGCCGGCGAACTTCTTCTCCGGATAGATGGCAAGTAAATTGGCCTTACTGATCAGAGACAATATCCCGGACCCCGTGGCAGCCGCTCTCAGGCGACGCATCTCGTGCGCGGCCGTGCCGCACCTGGAGCTGCATCACGCTCACGATCGGCTACGAGAACGTTGCAAAAGCACCTGATATTCGTTCTTGGGGCCTCTGCCCGAGCAGTAGCAAGAAACGCACAAGAGTGGTGACGAGGCGATTCATGACCACACTGGTGGTCGGCCAGTGTCAGGCCGCCCAGCCGGGGGTGGCTTCTACGGGAGGCTGTCTTGTAGGGGATGTGTGTAGATGCCGTGGCCGCGAGACAAAACAGCTTATTGCACGTCTGCTCAGTCTTCCCGTACATATGTCCATAAGAAGGTCGTTCCTGGGGGCAAACAACGAGTACTGTCGGCGGGGCAGGAACCTTCAATGCTGTGTCATGTCATCGTAGGACTATATCTGGCTTGTTATGAGTGGGAGGGGCAGAGGAACACCAAGGGGGGTTGGCGGTGTCACATTCAACAGTCTGGACCACCACCTCCCGTCACGCTATGGGCCGACGCTTCACGGCCTCACTCCCCCGGCACGCACTGCTGATACCACTGTCGCCCACAGCAAGATCGGAGGTGAGGGGCGAGCAACAGGAGAAAGACTGATGCGATGGCAAGCCAAGCGGCGGCTCTGGGATTTAGACGACAGCCACCGTTTCGGTCAACGCCTTCCTTCCCGTCCCTCTATTCTGTAGCAAGCTTACGGCCTGGGGGCCGATTTACGGCTGGTCTGGGACGTGTCCGAGGAGGAGTTACGCTTCAAGCGAGTGATATGTCTGCCATTATTCAAGAATTACTATACGCCATGTGTATCAACATTATATCCTGTTGACGGTGTGCTCTAGATTTAGTGTGTTGCGGCTAGACCCTGCCCCACCGACAAGCCTCCGAGACCTAGACTCGCTGGTCAGCAACGAGGCCCTGCCTCCTCGCCTCGTTGAGCGCCTTGAGCTTGGCTGTGCCGATGCCGGCCACGCCGCCCTCCTGGTTGTCGCCCAGCCAGGGCTTCTTGGAGTCGCCCAGCATGCTCCCGGCGAGGAAGTAGACGACGAGGCCGATGATGATGAGGACGAACGCGACGGGGTACAGGTAGTGGACGGCGTAGCCGAAGACGTGTATGCCGATGATGACGCCCCAGAAGTTGCCGGTCAGCAGGCTGATGTCGAAGAAGGCGGCGGAGCCCATGCGGAACATGAGCGGGGCGAGCGAGTAGAAGATGAAGAGGCACAGGGTGTACCCGACGACGTAGCCGATGACGGGGCCGTTCCAGGTGGCATCCTGGAAGGTCTGCCTGTCGAAGATGGCGGCGGTGGCGCCGCCGACGCACATGCCCAGGATGCCCATGAAGCTGAGCACCTCGTAGACGGGGCGGCGCGAGACGCACCACTCCTCGAAGACGTTGCTGAGGCCGTAGCAGGTGGCGCCGGCCAGGCAGAAGAGGTCGCCCTTGAGCATGTCGGGGGTGGAGAAGTTGTTGGAGCCGGTCATGGCGTCACTGCCCAGCAGCATGCCCATGCCGCCGCAGGCGATGAGGATGCCCAGGATCTGGAAGAGCTTGTAGCGGACCTTGAGCAGGGCGAAGGAGACGACGACGACGCAGACGATGGACCAGAAGTTGATGAGCTGGGCGGACAGGATGTTGGTGTAGCGGTAGGCCAGGACGGTGAAGTAGTTGCCCTCGACGTCGAGGAAGGCCAGGATGAGGTACTTCCAGCCGTCGGAGAGGGCGACGCGGGCGACCTTGCGCCAGCCGTAGCGGTAGAACATGTAGGGGACGTAGACGGCGCTCAGCAGGACATAGTTGAAGAAGGTCTGGAAGGCCGGGATGGAGGTGCCCCACTCGACCAGGAAGGAGGTGAAGGTGCTGGTGGCGGTGTTGCAGAGGGTCAGGAGCTGGCCCAGCAGGATGAGGACCCAGAAGTCCCAGGTGGTGAAGTACGAGTACCAGTGGACCTTCCTGGCCTGGATCTGCTGCAGGCCCTGGGCGACGGCCTGGTCCTCGCTGGTGGAGGTGGTGGTGGCGGTGGCGGCGTCACGCACCTCGCCGTCGCTGTAGATGTGTGTCTGGACGGGCGACCCGTCGACGCCGTCGTACAGGGCCTTGTTTGAGGTAGTCTCGGTGGTAGGTGCCATGTTGGAGAAGCCGATCAGTTCAGTCCCGGGGGGACAAGCCGGCGCCGGGTCCGACCGTGGAACGTCGAAGCGGATGAGGGTCCGGGTGAAGCCGTACCGGTGCGAGTACCGGTGTTGATTCCAGGTGTAGTCTTTCTATCGTCCCCCGAGCAGTGCGCAAAGACTTGAAGTCGCCTGCTATGATCTAGTAGGGTGGTCCCAGTTGGCACATGGGCCGATGTGCCAGGAGGCGGTGGTGGGCGGGGCGGCCTTTGTGAGAAGAAAGAGAGGAAGAGGCCAGAAGGGGCAGAAGGGGCAGACAGAACAGACACGGCGAACGACGGCTCTTTTGGGGTCCGACCGACGGCCCAAGTGCTGGATGGAGGTAGGATGAGCTAGAGAGTGTGGTGTGGTCGAGGAGGGCCAGTCTGGATCGATGGACGGGTTTTTTTTTTTTTTTTGGAGGTTTTTTTCTTCTCTTTTTTTTCTTCTCTTTGGTAGTTCCCCCTCTTTGGCCAGACCAGACCGAGAATGGGGTGGGGGTTGGTGGGAACGGAGGCCCGGTCGCCACTGGATCCCCCGTCCACGGTGCCAATGCTGGTGGGGTCGGATGATAATTACTTAAGTACTTAGACAGCTAGGCTGCTAGGCTGCTAGGTAAGGCAGCTAGCTATGTATCGGGTCGGGCGTGCCCACTACCAAGAGGCGGCGGCGCGCCCGGGCTGCATTAGCGGGACAACCTCGGCAAGCTGCGAGCTTCTCGGCGCTCGGTAGGTACTCAGCTTGAGTGGTTTTCAGCCTCAAGACGCTAATGGATCACGGGGTGGTCACGGGCGGCAGGGCATTATGTTTGGGAATTTGCTAATTGATTTGTTCTTGTCCGTAATAAAGCAGCCTCAAGTGCTGTGACAGACATGTCTGTCTAGTAGCCGCCGCGGCGGGGGATGGCGAGGGTCTGGCCCGGGTAGATCATGTCCGGGTTGGCAATGTTGTTGTGCCTGGCAATGTCCTCAAACGAGACGCCGTCGAACCTCGCAGCAATGCCCCGCAGGGTGTCGCCCTGCTGCACCACCACCGTGTCGGGCCCGCAGCCGCCGCCGCCGCCGCGGGGCGCCTCGTGGTGGTGGTGGTGGTCGTCGTCACGGCGCCGGCGGTCCTCGTCCTCGCGGCGCCGGCGGTCGTCATCCTCGCGGCGCCGGCGGTCCTCGTCCTCGCGGCGGTGGCGCTCGTCGTCCTCCCTGTGGCGCCGCTCGTCCTCCTTCTTCTCCTTGCGCTCGTCCCTCCAGTCGTCCACCTTCTCCTCCACCTCGTGGCCCGCGAAGGCGCCTGCCACGCCGCCGAGCACGGTGCCGATGATGCCGTGGCCCGCCTTGGCCCCGAGCGCATGGCCGCCGAAGGCCCCGGCCGCCCCGCCGATCAGGGTCCCGGCAATGTCGCGGTCCTTGTCGCCGCCGCCGTCCCTGTCGCGCGACTTGCTGCGGGACCTGCTGCCGTCACGCCGGCCGCCGTCGTGGCTGTAGTAGTCCGACCCGCCCCGGGACTCCTCCCTGTACGGGGGGGCATCGTGGTGGCGCTCGTGAGGGCGGTCGCCGTCGCGGTAGTAGTCCTGAGCAGACATGATGTGGTGTCAGGTGCTGAGGGTGTGGAGGGGTTGTTGTTGTTGTTGTTGTTGTTGTGGTGGTGGTGGTGGTGGAGTTGGTGGTGAGGCTGATGATGATGGTGATGATGATGATGATGATGATAATAGCTTGCGAGAGGGACCCAGGCTCTTTATACCCGCGGGTGCCAGATGGGTGTTGTTGACAGACAGCAAGACGGCCCCCCCCCCTTTTTCAGGCTCGGAGGCTCGTCTCATCGTATGCAGCGTACGCAGCGGGCACAGGGATCCTTGGGGTCCAAGCTGAGGTCCAGCACAGCCATCGTGCCATATCGCCATCCAGCTTGCCAGCTCGAGAGAGGCTTTGAGGCTGTGCTGCAAACACTTGAATACGTGTTGTCACTGCCGTCCACTGCCGTCCACTGAGCTGCCAGTCCTGCCAGGGAAGCTTGTTTCACCGCCCCACGGCCTCACCCTGCCAGGGCCCAGCCCCGGATTTCCGCCATGATCCTCCTTGGCAGCTCCGTCCTGCCCAATGCAGGCCTGCCAGCCCAGGCCTGCCAGGCCGCTGCGGCCAGCGCCCGTAGGCCGCCAGGGGCCCGTGTTGAAACGGCTGGGCCGATGCCGTCCGTCCTCCTCTCAGCTTACCGTGCCGTGCTGCCGTGCTGCCGCGCTGCCGCGCTTTGTTCTATTCCTGAAAGCTTCCTGGAGCTTCCTGGAGCCTCCTGGAGGCTTGTTGCAGACCATGCCAACATGCATGCATGCATGCACCCCGTTTCCAAGCCGGGCTCGCCACCACATTCCCGTCCGTGGCCAAACAGCGCCTGCCCCCCTCACGCTTCTGAGGCTGCGCGATTCATGGCCTGAGCCTCTGAGCCTCTGAGCCTCTGAGCCTCTGCAAGCCCGGCCGGCCTGCCGGCTCCCAACCTGGTCCTCTGCAGTCCGGTAGGGCTGCAGCAAGAAATGGCCCGGGTGGGTAAGCAACCGCCTCCCAGCACATGGCCGCTGCGTAGGACACGGCCTGAATCCTCATGCAACATTCTTGTAGTCCACCTGGGCACACACGAGCATTGGAGCGCTGGGGAAGCAGGCTGGTGATGGGCTGTGGTGTTCTCCATCAAGTTAACCAAGTCCTCTTGTCCCCTCGCCTGCCTGTCTCGAAACGACTACGTGTCCCAATGTTGAGGACCCACTTCCTTGCTGTTTACGCAATTCAAAACAAATGGGAACATCCCCCATCACGAATGCTGACCAGGGGTTCAAAACTCTAACCAGCCCATCTCCTCTGCCCAATTTACATACTTCTGGTCTATCAATTCATGAGAGGTTGTTCTACACCACACCGTCTACCTCTTGGTCTTCCTAGAGGTGCCATTCTGTAGGAAGGCATCGCGCAGAACTTAGAAGAGTTGTGGGGGACGGTGGCTGTCACATGGGATCTGTCACCTATGATGCAAGAAGAGGTACTCCAGTAGAATTCACCGTCAAACAAAGCACTCGGGACACTTCCATAATCATTAAAGGAGCCAGATGAAGGGTTCTTGTAGTGTTTAAAGGTGTTCTCATCTGTGTTGTTCTCAGTAGGAACTACAGGCCATGGGAAGCCATTTACTTTAAGTAGTCTAGCAGGACTGATTAGTCATCCCCAGCACACATCCACGGGCGAGACCAGCTGTGTAGATACTTGCATGTGATGCTTGTCCAATGACTGATCTCTGCATCTCAATGGCTCGTTGTTTACTTACTTCTTGTCAACATAACACAACGTGTTCTCTAATCTGACTTCAAATGAAGAGATATCTATGCATGTCTCTGTAGGGTAGTGCCTCATTGGACTCCATTTGCTGCTCCAACCACCATTATCGAAAACCTTTGCACCATGGAGGGACAAGCCACTGCAGGTATGCTAGACTGAGATACTTGGCATCACACAATCACCATGCGCGAGCATGGCATACAACTTTACCACACCGCAATTATTAAACACTGGGCTTCTCAACGCGGCGCTTTCCTGGTGTTTCCTTCGCTAGCATGTATGCTCACCCCACCGTTTTAGAAACTCAACTCCACCTCCTCTCACATGCTCCCCGGGGAACTTGACAACCCCTGTCAAGCAGGCCAAAATTTATCAACACGTCCAAACATATGAACAGAAACAAAGTATTCTCCCAACATGCAAGGGTATACAAGACCAACATTAGGACACTGTTGTCCTATTTTTGCAGGCATGCCGTTTCAGATTAGCAAAACAGAGAAAGGAGGAAACATGCCTGTATGCACCACAAACCATCTGATCATAAACGCCCACAACAATCAAACACATACCAACATCAATAGTAACTTGCTGGTAATGGTATCTACCCAGAAATAACGAACCAATTGTAGGACCTCGGTCCACCCACGTAATGTAGACCTACAAGTGGAAACACTCAACACCGGCCATGCATGGAAAAAGCACCTGTCCTCTATATGAACCTCGCCGCAGCCTCGTCCGTGGCCCCCGTCGTCCTATGGGGCGGCTGTCCTGGGGCCAGGGCGGCGTCGGGCGATGTTGGCGACGTGGCCGTTTCGTCGATAGTCCACGCCCGCATCAGCTTCATTCGCTCCTTGGCCCTTCCCCGTTTCTGCTGCTCCCGCTCCTGGTCGTATTTGAGAGACAGGCCCCGCGCCATGCCGATGGCCTCGGCCTTGCTGCCGCCGTCTCCCGCCGCCGCTTGCGACGAGACCTGGTATGCCGGCTGTTGCTGCTGTCTGCTGAGGCTGTTGGTCGAGTATTCCTCCTTCCACTCGAACTCCATGTCGACCCTGATCAGCGAGCCTTTGCGCTCGCCGCCTGCCGTCTTGGGCCGACTTTCCGAGCCGGCGTTGCCGGGTGTCCACGGCCCCCCCGTGTCTTCCGCGAATCTCGTTGCCGCGATATTGAGCGGCGCAGGCGCGGACCTTTTGTCGCGCAGCAGAGAGCGACGCGCCCCGAAGCCGCCGTCGGCTGTCACTACAGGCCTCGATGCGGGGGCGTCTGGAGCCGGTAGGGGCCAGTTGGGGTTGCTAGCCAGGTCGGGTATGATGCTAGCCGACGAGGCAAGGCCCGGGGATCTTGACAGGGGCGTCGATGCGGGGCTCTGCATTGCTATCGTCTTCTCCTGCGGGTGGCAACCCGGCGTATCCGGGGCCTTCCTGCGACGGGCGCTTTTCTCGGGGATCGGGAGGGGCGTCGTCGGAGGGGCGGTCGGGGCCGGACCGTGGTCGCACCTTGGTGGAAATGCGCGCTTCGCTGGTGGCGGCGGCGAGAAGACGCTGTGGCTGTGGCTCGGAAGGGGGCTGTTTGATCGGGACGTGTCATTGCTACTGAGCCCGTCTGACGATGTATCTGTGCCAGACATCTTCCGGACCTCCTTGAGTATCGGGCTCTCTGTCCGGAATGGGCTCTCTGTCCGCTTGATTTGGACCCCGTACTCGTCCGGACTGGGCCTGTGGATGCGGTTCGCCATCGAAGCGACCGCGTTGACCCTCACGTTGCCGTATTCATCCACCGTGGGTCGTTTTACCGGCGGGGCGCCCGTTGGACGGGTCCTACTTGCGGGTGAATCCCTCGTGTCTTCTCGAATCTGGTCAGCCTGCTTCCCAGACGTAGGCGTGGTTGAGCCGACGCTGCCGGGCTGGATTTCCCACCTTGCCCCCAGAGTGCGCCCGGTCGGTTGGAGGACGTCTCTAGAATACGAGTTCGACCTCGCGCCGGGAGTCGTTGGTCTCGGCGTGAGCGGGAACGGCTTTGGCGAGACGAGGGGCGGCTCGATGGTCATTGGCGACTCCGAGATGTCGGAGTAGTTGCTGCTGCCGCCGTCGCTGTCACCACGACTACGGGAGACAGACCTGGCACTCGGGCCCTTCTCAAGCGCTGCCATGGTCTGTGCCTGCTGCAGAGTCTTCTCCAACTCGTCAATTTGCAGGCCCAGGCTCTGGCGCGGAGGGCCGCCGACGACCATAGTATCACGCTTGGCCATCACGCTCCTGATCACGGGACGACTCTCGGCCTCCTCGCTCGTGCGCTGCCGATTAGAAAGTGGTGGGGACGGTATCCCATACGGCGCGTTGGCGGCTCGGTAGTCGATCTTTGGCGGCTGCTCGTCCCCGTCTTCGCTCCCACCGGGGCCGTCCGCCTCGTGGATGTCAAAGGGGCTCGACTGCTGGAACAGCGGCGAGCGCTGGGACATGGCCGCAGGGACTGTGGCGCCCCGCAACGGCTCGCGTGATGGCTGTGCCCTCGGTCGCGAAGACACTGGCGAGAGTTCATCGGCGGTCTGACTCCGGGCCCTGATGGCCGACCTGTCTTCCACGACTGGTGCGACGCTTGCGAGTGGGGACCGCGAGGAGGAGGGCTGCGGCCCTTCCACACTAGGCTGCCGCCCCCTGCTGATAGACATCATGCTGCCGGCTGCCGAATCCTGCATGCGCGGTCCTGGCGCCGGCTTTTGGTGGCTGCTCGGGTTGTCCCGACCGCTGCTCGCCGGCCTCACCTCCCTCGCGGCTGCTCCTGCGAAAGAGCCTGATCTCTGCCCGGGTACCAACGCAGGGGGTACGATATAGTCACTCGTGACAGAGGCGGGCGGCGACGGATATGCTCCAGCTGTCTTGGGCCTTGAGGCTTCCGAGTTCCTCCTTGCCGTTGCCTCCAGCTCTGCCTGGATCCTCCTCCTCTCCTCAAGCTCATTCCTCATCCGTGCCATCTTCTCTTCCTGCGTGACCCTGTCGCTAATGTCCTGGGCGAACTTCTCGGGGTCTTCGCCGAGGAGCGACTCGCTGTCACTCCGCACGGGCGACATGAGCTCCAGCTGGCCAAGCGGGCTCCTCTGTGGGCCGGCGATGCCGGGCGTCGACTCCTTGACGGGGCTGGTGTCGACCGGGCTTATCCACGGCCTCTCGCGGCCGTTACGCATCGAGTGTGCGCTCCCCGGCCTGGGACCAACAGCGCCGCCACCGCCACGTCCGAAGGGTAACCTGGGCGCAGCGAGGCTGGTCGAGGAGCCGTTTCTTGCACCTAGGCTCAACTGCAGGTTCGTCTCGGAGCCGAAAGACTTGAGGCCGTGACCAGGTATGAAGGGGCCAGAGCCGGCGCTGATACTAGCAAAGCTCGCGACCCGGCCGGTGCCCAGGCCTCTAAATTCTGTCTCGTGGAAGTCCCAGATGCTGTTGGCCGCAGAGTTGCGATTCTCACCGGCGGCGAAGGGCCTTCGCGCGCTGCTGCGCGAACTGTGCGCAGTGCCGGGCCTGCTGGGATTTGTGCTCAACAGGCCAGAGCATTGAAGGAGCACCTCGGTCCGGTCATTCTTCCATTGTGGTGGCGGAGGGGGTGGCTGTAAGGCCTCCACCTCTTTCCTGTGGCACGCGTGAGTCGCAGGGGCCGGGCAAAGCAAGACGGACGGCCCGCGAAGGTCTGCGGCCGGGGGCAACTCACCTCTTCTTGTCGGCCCCGAATTTGAGTCCGAAGAAGGAAACCATATTTAAATATTACAATTACCCTACTCTGGTAGGGACCTGTGGTCATATATACATATACATGTCAGGAGGCGGGTCAAGGACAAGCGCATGGCTGGCTGGTAGAGCGGCAGGCACCGCAAGGGGGGGGGGACTTACAGTAGTAGCAATACGAAGACAAGCAGCGCAGGGTTGGCGGATGAGTCCGGCCGAGGGACTGGCTACAATATAGAGCGGTTCCCAAAGAGCAGAAAAGAGTAAAGAGAACGAGGTAGCTAGTTTTCCTGGCCGGGGGAGGCTGACCGCGAGGAGTGACGGAGAGAACAACAGGTTGGTAGATAGATGTTAGACTAAGAAACAAACCCCCCCAAAAAGAGAAGAAGAAAAAAATAAAACAGAGAAGAAAGACCAAAACAAAACAGAGCGATAGGGTTGGAAAGGCAGCGGTCGTGCTAGCAGCCCATTTTTGGCTGGATATGCCGTCGACGGCGGCGCTGGCAGTCTGGCAGTGTGGTCGTTTTGCAGCGCGGTGCCGGGAGCAGCAGAGAGGGCCAGTTTCTGAGGGGGGGGGGAAGGAGATGGGCGGGCGCGGCGACGATCCGAATCTCTCGGGAGGTGTCAGAGACTTTTTGGGGACACGGGGAGAAAGAGGTGAACCCATCTGGAGGGCGGATGCATGCGCAGGCCCACAGGTTTGTGAGAATTTGCGTGGGGCGGCGAGGGGGTGGGACGCATCGGGGCATGCAACCGTACGGGGCGCCTATGTCAGGGGCTTCTCGCTTGCCTCGCCGAAAAGGAGACGTGGGCGATAAGAACCACAGGCAGGCAGGCAGCCCACGGCCCCAGCCAGGTGACGATATACTGAGTAAGGCTACAAGGACACAAGGGCACAAGGACACGTACCCTGACCGCAGAGATGTGTGCTCACGTGGGAGGGGGGGAGTGTTGCTGTTGCTGTTGCTGTTGCTGTTGCTGTTGCTGTTGCTGTTGCTGTTGCTGTTGCTGTTGCTGTTGCTGTTCCCGTTTGGGACGGCCGTTGCCAAACAGACGGGGCAGGGGCACGAGAAGGGGAAAGCACAGACCTGGCTGGCTGCAGCGGCTGCATGTCTTAAGATTACGGAGTACATAGGGTGAGACCAGTTTAGGGCTGGATGGAGAAAGCAGCATTTCGATATGGCACGAGTCGATGTTTCAACTTCGAATGTAATGGCTGGTAGAGAGGAAAAAGGGGAGGCGCCTGTCGGACTGGTACTTGCTTGGGGTAGGTAGCCCGGGTGGGGATCTGGGTACCTTGGGACTGAAGTACCTGGTAGTTGGGGTGTCACACATTCCCACAACCACCACACAACCACCACACAACCACACCACTGGATCAAGATGAATGACAGTGGCGTATCCGCACCATGCCTGCCGCCCACAGGGGCCCAGGGCAGGGGTTCACGGCAGGGCCTGAGCGCAGATCTAGGGTAGCAATGGTCGCCCGGCGTGGGAAGCCACCAGACCCGTGACAGGCCAGCCAGCCAGCCAGGCCCAGCAGGCAATTTCCCATACGAACTGGACGTCGTCGACGACATGTACTTTAACAAGACTAGCCGTGTTTCGTCAGTAAATCTCCGGCCCAGCTCCACCGCAGCACCACGTCCAACGTCTTCTTTTCTCCGCCGTCCCTCCGCCCAAACACTTGCGCTCCGACCCTTCGCCCCGACGCCCTGTCCACAGCAATCCCGCACTGCCCGACCGCCCGGTCGAGCACCCATCCCGTCGGGTTCACCTGCCAGCTGCCAGGCTGCCACCCTCAAGTGCCCTCCCTCTAGCTTCGTCACAATCCTTCGCCCCAATAGACTCCGCGCCCGTCCCACCCTACTGACAGCCTCCTGCCGCCTTGATCATCTCATGTCCCGTCACTCGTCGCCATGTCGCGCCATGCCTGCGTCTGCGTCCGAGCGCGGGGTCAGATGGACTGACATCTCTCTCCATCACGCCTGACCCCCCTGGCCGGCACTCCCTTCCACCTGTGGCGGGATGCTAAAGAGCCACAACATCCCGGCCGCAAAGCACGAGATGACGGCGCCGGCCAGGAATGGCAGCCCGATCCAGGGCCCTCCGAGCTCGATGCCTTTGCGGAGAGACTGGCTGAACACCGGCGCCCCGATCATAACCCCAAGCGTGTCGAGGAACCCCAGGAGCGTGTTGAGGATGCCGACGTGATGCGGCTCAACCTGTGCGTTCAGCAGTGACCGCAGCAGCGGTACAAGCCCGCTCCCTCCGGACAGGAGCACCAGGCCCGCGCCGAAGAGGGCGGGGCTGGAGGACAAGGCGATCGCGAGGTCCGCCACGACCAGCACCACGCCCGACCAGCGCGAGAGCCACATGTCGGTAGAAAGCCGTGACATCCCAAGTGTCCCCAGGCAGAATGACGACAGGGCGGGCAGGATGACCGTGAGCATGACGATGAAGCTGGCGGACTTGAGTGTGAGGAAGTATGCTGCCTGTTTTTGGCATACCTTGTAAGTGACGACGTTGACGACGGCTGCATGCGCCAAGCTAGGTAGGGGGGAGGGGGTGTAGGGCACGGCCTACCTTGCTCCATGACCATCCAAAGCGCTTCCTTGCGTACTGCAATAGCATCTCTTGTATGTACTTCCCGAGTGTTACGAATATGAGCGGCAGCATTAGCACCACGAGGCGCCGGTTCCCGACGAGGAACTCCCATACTTGCGTCAGCTGCGCCCATGCACCACCGAGTGCGGCCTGCGTGGTGGGCTTCTTGAGCTCGTCACCATCATCGCCATCATCGGCCCCCAATGGCGTGAGCTGGGGGCGAGGCACCCTCCCGGCCCTCTCATCACGCCACAGGCGCACCGCAAGTGTCTCTGGAAATATGCAAATCGAACCCATGACTAGAATCATCAAGACATTCCCGACAACGAGGGCGAGCCACGGTCCCTGGCCTACCAGGAGGCCGCCCAGGGGGTTGGCGACCAGCTCCGCAACGAGGAAAACGGAGTGAAACCTGAACAGGACTGGGGTCCTGCAATCTGCGCAGTCAGCATCGTTTCCAGCAGCTGCGGAGCGTCGTGTCAATGATGGCGCTGCGAACCCACATTTCTTCAACGTCAAGTACGTCTGCTAACATGGTATATATCATGCTCATTCCTAGTATCTTGATTCTAGTCCGAATCCGAAAGTGAGAGGCTAGGAAGGGCGACGTGTGTCGGCTTGTACGTACCGACGGCGGAGCCACCTCCGATGAGGTTAAAGACAAACCCGAGAGCAAACGTCCACATTGGCAGTAGGAAATAGAACACAATTTCATACCAAACCATGCCGAGTGTGAGCCCGATGATGGACAGTATCGCGATGGGCTTCCGACCCCAACGGTCCGAGAGCGAGCCATATGGGAGGGCAAGCAGGATAGTTGGCAGGCAGTCGAGGGCGTAAGCCCAACCGCGGTACAGGGCCAATGTCCCCTGGACGGCCCGGTCCTTGCATAGCGGGTTGTCGTCGCTGGCGGCAGCAAGGAAGCTGGCGGTTTCCGGGTAGGCCTCGGCACACAGGCCCTCCTCGAGGAGGGCATTCCACGCCGGCGTGGAAATTCCGACCGCCAACTCTATCAGGAAGAGCACAACAAAGGCCCCAGCCACCACACGCCACTTGTCTCTGACAGCCGTAGTGGCTTCACCGGACAGTAGAGGCGCCTCCTCAGAGATCAGCAGGCCCCCGTCCTCAACCGGGGGCGCGGTCGTTGTCCGTGAAGCCATACGGCGGTCTGGAATATCTCGTCGGAACTCTATAGGTGGCGGACAGCAACAGTGGGAAATCTGAAAGGAAAATGTCACGTAGATGAGGGTATCAGTATGATCGCGCTGGGAAGAGTGGCAAGGAACGGATCAGAGGAACATGCTGGCTGTGAGCCAGGTATTGGACTTGAAAAGAGAGTGTGTGTGCACGGATAAGCTTTTGCACGCAATGCTCGTGGTAGGAAGGCGAGCCGAGCCAGCGTGTCGTGTTGATATGGAGCGAGAAGGCCATCATCCCGGGAATCCTATTGGTTTGGCGGGTCCGAAGGCCTCTCACGCAGACAGTAAGCCGTGCGTAGATGAACATGGCTTCGCGGAGCAGGCTCCCCGGGTGATGGATGGCTCTGAGCAGTCGGAGTTGGTCGGCTTCGGAGTTGGACAATTGCTGCGGTGCTGACCGTCGGACTCGGTGATCCCGGGCCACGTACCACGCAACGACGCCTTCTCGCAATAGCGTGCTGCCTTTCTCACAAGTCGCCATCATCATGTTTTGGGGCTTTCCAAATGTAGTGGTTGCAGTTTTGCCTGCCCCAGGATTGCACTGCAAGCCGCTTGACTTGGATATACTTAAGTACTGAAGTACCTAGGCGGGCTATTACCCGAGCACGGCCTAGCTGTTGACGTCAGAGATGTAGAGGACAAGCTGGTGGTGGTAGCCTCCCCGCTGGTGAGCTGCTGGAATGCTTGAACTGCAGAAATGGTTCATCAGTGAACCAACCCCGACAACCACCCAGCCACCGTGACTACATTCCTCTCTCGACATGTCTGCCGCCGATGCGAAGGTCCTGTCTGCTAGCCCGCTGGTACGTCCACCGAGGGTTTGCCACCTCATGCAACCCCTGCTCACCAAATGTTTCTCGTGCCTAATCCGTTGCATGGCTGCCCTCGTCAGGCCGCAGACCAGGCTCGCTGGATAAGACTTTCCAGGTCGGTCTTGTCTCCTCTCAGATCGTGCGGTTGTCCACCCCGACCCACCCCACGCATCAAACAACTTGGAGTGCACGCCTGTGTTCCGCAGGCCTGGCTGGCTGACTCGGACACGGAAAAAAAAAGAATACAGTACAGGGACCCCCGCGGACGGACCAGGGACTGGGAGTCTGCTGAGCGTAGCACCCGCCCAAGGGGCGGCGACATCGATGGGGTTGGCATTGTAGCCATACTGGAGAAGCCCACTGGTAGGGAGATTTCGATATTGGCCCTGTCGGTCCTGGGCTGACTGACATTGGGGCCCGGCCCCGCTGTCCAGGGCCCGAGATCGTGCTTCAAAAACAGTTTAGACCTCCAGCAGGCCAGGTCATGATCGAAGTACCCGCTGGCCTTGTGGATGCAGGCGAAAGCCCCGAGCAAGCCGCAGTACGTGAGCTCAAGGAGGAGACCGGCTACGTGGGCAAGGTCACGGAAAGCTCCCCTCTGAGTAAGCAGCTTCGAGATACAATGCTTAACCCTTGAGAACAAACACACCCCATGCCCGGTCTACACAACAAAGACTCCAGGGCCCTCGACCGCTGACTCGGAATGCTGCAGTGTGGAATGGTCAGTACTCCCGCTCTCGCCTGACCACCTTGGACTGACATGAGCCCTTTTGCCGGCAACCCAAAAAAATGCAGACCCGGGATTCTGCAACACCAACCTCAAAATGATCCATGTTTCCATTGACATGAGCCTGCCAGAGAATCAGGACCTCAAGCCCGAGCTGGAAGAGAACGAATTCATCGAGGTGTTCAACGTGCAGCTGAAGGACCTGTGGGGGGAGTGCAAAAGGCTAGAGGCCCAAGGCTTCGCTATTGACGCGAGGGTCGGAACCCTGGCCGAGGGCATCGAACTGGCGAGGCAGTTCAAAGTTTAGAAGGGGACAGACGCGCCGCCACGGAGGGACCTACCTCGCAGGAAAACGGTGCCAGGCAGGCGGCTCGCGGAATCAGCAGTGAAGACATCTGCGCTGAGCTTGAGGAAACCGATGCTGCCGGCCTTGAACAGGGTGTAGGACTCGATGGCGATTTCCTTGAGCTGGTATGGGCTGTTGTGGAAGGGGTGTGAGGGCTGGGACTCCTGGTGACCTGGTCAGGATGGGCTGGCTTCTGCCTTCACAGTCATGAGCCCGGGAGCCTTGCACTACCGCCAGGCCCCTGCTGCCAGGCTGCCAGGCTGCCAGGCTGCCAGGCCCCGCAGTGGGGAGCTCAGCCTCAGCCTTCCCTCCCCACCCGTGCGTGTACTTGGCAAAACAGCCGCTCGGCCTGTGGTCAACGACAGCGTCAAGGCTGGCTGGCTTCCTGGCTGGCTGGCTGGCTGCACAACAATAGATCCAGCACTCAAGTTCATGACACGGCTTCTGTTCAAAACATGCTAGCCCGGCCCATATGACCACATGAGAAACTATCCCATCAGCCCCTCAGCTGCCCCCTTCCGACCACCGCCCAGCGCGAGCCGCCAAAAACCGGCACGGCTGCATTGCTCGGCAACGGCTCTCCCTCGGCCAGGAACCCCAATGTTTGCAAACAACACCCCCCTCCACCAATCACCTCAGTCCCCCCCCCCCCACACACTTCCTGCCAGCCCTGGCTGGCCTACTTGCCTACCCACTCGGAAATTGGACTTCCTATCCAGGATTAATAACACCAGGCCATACCAGAAGCCCTTGTTGTCGCTTTGCAACTTGCCTGGCCGTTTGGTGCACACAGTCTGTCTTGTTTATTATTCCTGTACCCGAGCACTAAAAACTATAAAAGCCAGATTGAAACATCAACACCCCCCAATTCCCCCACCACCACGTGCACGTTGGAGCAAGCATCCACTCACTTTCCAAATCATAATCGTGCTCCCCAGGCATCTGTCTGCCAACATGCCCAGATACTCCATATTTCCCGAGTCCCTCATGGCTCCCAACAAGTTCTCTCCTTTCCTCTCCGTTTCCTTCCGGAGAGGCGTCGAGAGCCGTGACCCCATCGTGAGTGCCGTGTAATACTTGTCGCGCCTTGACCAACACTAACAATGCATGTCCTCCAAGTTCCCCGCATCCGGCCTGCAGCTCTCCTTCGAGAGGCCGGACTGTGACCAGGAGATCTTCGTCGAGCGCATCACTGCTCGCGACGTCCACTTCTCCGAGTCCGGCCTGTGCACCGTCAGCCTTCCCAAGCATGAGATGCCCAAATATGCCATTCCGAAGGGCCGCGAGGACACCGTCGGCGACGTCGTCGTCAAGCTGCACGCCTGGAAGGGCGAGAGGCACCTTGGTGCGTGGGAGGTGGGCAGGCTGAGCGGGCCTGACGCTTACAGGGTAGTGGGCTGAGCACTTCTTTTTTTTTTTGGGGGGGGGGGGGGGGCTGGGTGGCCGGGTGTGAACGGTTTTGATGACTTGACTACGATTAATGAACTGTTTCGGGGCTGGCCATGTGCGGCAGCTCATTGCGAGTTTGGGTTGGGTCGGGTGAGTCTCTTCGGATTGGCGTCAGGTCAAGGATTGATGTGATCAGACAAGATGTTATACCAAGATACCAGGATGGGCGGCAATGGTTGGACGGAAAATTTCATAATCAGACATCACAATGATACTCAATCAGGAGTAGTTGGGTTATACTCAAGTATCGAGAACTCTACTACTTTGTATGAGCATTTGAGACTTCAGGGCTGGGGCTGTGAAGATAGCTCCACAGCCAGTGGACTTATTTGTGAGACTCCCCCGTCCAAGACTCGTTTATAGTCTTTTTTGCTGTCTTGATCTTGTCAGGGACCACCAGTCCGTTCAAATCTCGGGCATCCCCTCTTGGGTGTAGCAGCCTTCAAAGCAGGTACTTCCCCCTCAGCCAACAGCTTCAGGGTCAAAACCACTTACACAATAAATTGTGTGTGCTGTCAGCCTACCTGCCTGAATTTCCGTCTGTATATTCATTTTTGGCCTGAAATCTTCCAGCCCAATAAATGAATCATCGATTTTGTGGGATATCTTACACTGGCTGCCCAGACCTGAAGATAGGCTTCGAAGTTGCAAGGCTGACTCTTTGAGCAATGTGCTAAGCGTTCTTAGGGAACTAGCCAGTAGCTGGTTGGTTGTTTGATCAGCGTGGTCAAGTGTTTAGGATTATTCCTCAGCATACACCCTTATAATAATCTTGGAAGTACCTGATGAATGTCACTGTGGTAATCCTATAGGATACACTCATCTCCAGGAACATCCTTTAAGTGGGTGAGACTTGTGACTTGGACTACCTACCCTCATGTGATAACTTTTCATAACCCACGAAACTTGATGGAATAGCAAATAGCAAATGGCAAATAGTAACTAGGCTGAATTTTCAGAGCGTCTACCTTTACACGCAAAGGTAGAGCAAATTGATGCTTGTGCTCCCTCAATGTCCTCAGGCTTGCTTGATCCATAGACTGAATTTGCTGCTGCATGAAGGGGAAAAAATAGATGCTATGTGAGAACTGTGGTGGCATAAACTTAACCATAACCAGGTATATGATCCGAGATAGTAACCTCGACGGGCCATTCCCTTAAGTGTTAAATACAAAAGATTTTCCCGGATTGGCATTCTCACTGGTAACATGCATCAATCTGAACCAAAATGGGTAGTAAACAGGAGGCAATAATATGATATCGATGATGACCAATTCTTACACAACATTATACCAACTAACGGCTCCAAAGCTCACGGTACAGGCCATGAGACGCAGACACCAAAACACACTTGTCCTCAGCATTGTCAGTGCGGGGCTTATCATGAGAAAACAAGCGGAATGCAGAGCTAGTCAACCTCATTCTATCCGCCCTAGAAATCGCTGCAAGCATGACACGGCTGTGAACCAATCTTCCAGACTTGTGCAACTCCTTCCGCCTCTCTCCTAGGACTTCACGCAAGGGGACCCCAACAAGCCCAATTTGAGCCGTCTCCACCCTCCGATTTGGAACAACCAATTGACCCAAACGCTGAAACTGATAAGTAAGTGTCCAGCTGGCCCGCATAGCTCTTCGCCAGGATATAAAGGACAGGAAGAAGGGTAGAAGGAACAGGAACAGGGATATCCAGACAGCACATGTAACTAAATTGAATCGGGGCGGCGTCCTGATAAGACCACCGAGTATAAGACACCGAGGCATGCTTTACGGAACACTGAAGCAGCCGAGTCCTGGCGCGGGGGAATCGACATGCATGGTGGAGCAGCTATTCATATGCACACGTTTTTGACATTGGGATATCTAGCATGGCAGTGGAAGAATTAGCTCTCTTCGCTCCTAATCTCTTCCTTGCGTATCCGCACGAGGGCTCAGGAAAGAAGTCATTCGGTAAAGACAGGTTGAAAACAAGGTCCAATTACAAAAACAGGCTTCAAGAAACCTCTTCCTCCATACCCCCTCCCCTCCTTCCCCGTCGGCCTCCCAAAGAACCAGCCGTACTGCCATCACTCGAGCCGAGCTTAACCAGACATCTAAATCAAAACGAACACACAACACCTACTCTGGCCTCCCTGGCCCTAACAGATCTCTTTCCCAGCCCTCATTCCCTCTGCCGAAAGTCCTCTTCCTGATTTGATGGTCACGATGATGATGATGATGATGCCGACGATGACAGCAAGATGGAAACTAAAAGTAAAGAGTCGCACGCCGGCCCCCTGTTGAACCTTTTCCCACCTGAAGAAAGCAGCATTGGTCCCGCCCGAGCGAGTTGATCTTTTTCCCTTCTTGATTTTGAAGACCCCTTTTCTCCTGTCCCCATTCGGTCGTTTTTTTGGTTGGGTGGTCGTCACTGAGATCATGTCCGTCTAGTCTTCGTTCGTGAAATTCATGCCATGGCTTTGGTCGTCATGGCGGAGAGAAGGAGCAACGGAAAGAAAAAGGAGAAAAATAATACGCAAAAGAAATACACAAACACAACAAAACACCAGGGCCGACCCGTCTATCTCTTGCTGAGTAAGTTGCCTGGAATGGCCGAGTGCCGAGTCCTTTGTCAGTATTGAGCGCCCAGGACTACTTGACTCGCTCGCTCCCAACTGCTTGATGTTTGCCGCAGACTTGATTTGACAGGAAATGGCCCCCTTCTCAAGGCTGTCCGAAACGAGTAGCAATATAGCTAACTCGACGCAAAATGTCGGATAGGCCGCGGCAAAGTCGTTTCAGCCAGTTGGGGCTGGGATAATTCTGCAACTGGATGATTCTGGGCTGAACCACCAAATTCAAGGCTATTGAATCGGGCAGCCCGGCTTTGTCCAGTGGCCCGTACTTTTTCAAAGACGTCCACGAGCCTCGCTTCTTGTCTGCTTTCATCTTGATTGGTATCAGGCAGCCAGCTCTCCTCATAGTGCGTTCCTCTCCGCGATCTGCTGATCACCTGGCCCAGGCTGTTGAGATTTCAAGTTCGGACCTTGCGGCGACGACCTCAGCCGAATGTCCAACTAAGACTCATCGTCCTTCTTATCGCCACGCCGGGTCTTCTCGGTCCACCTCCGCTTGCCAACGCGGGTCTCATAATGCGGCGCCACTGTCTTGACATCTTGCATTATTGAGTCAATCGCCTGACGTGTCTTGTTGCGGTAGCAGTCAAGAGCGCGTTGGAGAAACACGGGGCGACCCGCGAAGACCCTACTCTGGAGCCATGCCATGCGGTACCCCAGATCATTCAGGCGGACCTCCTTGCCACGAATGGCCTTGCGCAACTTGGGAATAGCCACTTCCACCTCGCTTCCCTCGCTGGAAGTGGCGGGAACCTTGATCAGTGACCTGCCTCGTCCAGCGGCTCCTCGGCCGGCGCGCCGACCTTCAGTGTCAGCGTTTCCGTCGTCTTCGACGTCGCTCATGTCTTCCTGAAAGAACCTCGAGCCTGTGGCGCTGGGCGGCGGGCTCTGCATCTCGCGAGGAAAGTAGGACCGCGGGAAGACAGACGAGCTTTTACGGAACGAGTCGGGAATCTCACGGGTGTCGACCCCGTCGAGGGTAACGCGCACGCGCAGGCGGCTTTGTCGGTCACTGTCCTCAACGAGGATGAACTTGCGCTTCTTGGCCTCCGGGATGTCAGGGAACAGATCCGACGGCTCGTCAACACCTGCGGCGCGAGAGCCGGCGCGGCGAGCAGCCACGGGATGATGACCATTGCTCAGGGTATCCTGAAGCGATGGCATGGTCGAGCTGTTGGCGGGGGCGTTACTTCCATAGCCACCGTTGAAGCCGCTGTGGAACACGTGAGCCTGACGGACGTCGTCGCCACCTTGGCCGGGTTGAGCCGGAGGAGCTTGGTGGTGGTGGTGATGCTGGTCGTCCATATACTCTCCCTCGCCTGCAGGGGGGCAGTCCTGTTAGCAATCCTAGCTGTTTGATGTGCATGTGATCGACGGCTATGGCTGCTGCTTTGAGAAGGAGGTGTCGCAGGGGGAAACGGGAAACAAGAGCCAAGAACAGGACAGTGTGAGCGAGGCATGGCTAATGCCCAGAGGCGCGAGCTGATGCAGGAGGGTAAGGGTTGATGAGAAACAATTTGTTTTTGCAATACGTCCTCGAGACTTGACTACAGTCTTGTGGACTAGAGTGGGCCTGAGCGAGCTGTTGAGTGGTGCTTGGTTGCGGTGCTGATGACTTTGCATGGTAATGATAGCAAGCGAGCGCAGGCAGGCGCAAATGAATGCAGTGCGATGCGATGCGATGCCAGATACCAAAAAAAAATCAGCAGAACAAGCTAACAACGCAACAGGCGCATAATGTAATGTACAGGTGTCTTTTTTTCTGATATGCTGCATGTCCTGTCGCCGGGCGAGCTTCTGAAGCTTGTATGTATAGAGTCGGCGCGGCCGTATAAACAACAAGAAAAGGAATGCAGAGACAGTTTCCGAGGTTCCAAACTCAACGACCAAAATGAAAACAAGACAGGAGCAAAACGCAGCCATAGGTATAATATGTTTTGAAAGGTATCACACGCAGTCGCAACAATGCACACATCACATCTGGTGGAACATACCGACTTCATCCCCTCCACCATGAGAGTGGCCATCAGAGCCACCCTGGTGGTGGTGCATCTGCCCGCCCATCGCCATCGCGGGTTTTCCCATGGAAGCTGAGCCACCGGGACCCATGGGCCCTGAGCCGGCCATGCCTGCAGGACCACTTGGACCGGCCATGTGGGCAGGGTGAGTGTTGTTGACGGCCTTGCGGTTGTTCATCTTGGCCATGCGTCGAACTCGTCGGGAGCGCAACCTGGGGTCCTGGTTGCTATTCCTCCAGCTGTCGACTGCTCGCTGGATCAGACCTCGCTTGCCGCGCAGGGGTGGGTTAAGCTGTGCAAGTGCCCAGCCGACGGTGTTGCACTCCGTCTCGTATTGTAAACGGTTGCCCCTGTACTGGTCTTTGGCGCAGCAAGCGCGGGGGTATACACAGTTTTCGGTTTTGAACTCGGCCGACAGCTGATCGGTGTCGACAGATTCGACATCGCAGCGGATAGTGTATTCCATCTTGACGCGATCCCTCGAGTACTCAAAGGCTATCCATTGAACGCCATTTCCATCCTGGCGAACGACAAGTGGAGTTGTGGCGGGAATAGGGCCTGGAGCAGCGTTGGGGTTAACACCGCCAGGGGTGGAACCGGTCGGCGTGGAAAGCTGTGCACCATTCTGAGTGCTCGGCGATGGACCTCCAATGGATCCTGACTGCGACGGCCTTTGGAGTTGAGGCGGCACTTGATGCGCCTCAATCTTCTGATGCCGTGGACTGCCTGTCATTCCAGCCTGCGCGTGTTGAGTCGCGTGTTGAGCGATTTGGTGCTGTGGCGCGGTGTGCGACATCATCATGTTCGGCTGCGAGGTCATAGACTGGTGAGACGTCTGGGCATGCTGGCTGTAAGGCGAAGGCGCAGGCTGCTGTGGCATAGATCCATATTGGGTCTGCGGCGGGTAGTACATAGACTGCTGTGGCATTTGTTGCGAGGTCGGCTGAGCATACATGCTCCTATGCTGGTCGTGACCAGAGGGCGACGCGACAGACGCGGGCGAATTGGACTGGGGAGTCTGGTAAATGGGAGGGTATTGTCGATGCATTGTGGCAGCCATCATGTCAGGCGTCTCAACTGTGAATGACGTGTTAGCAATTCCAAGACGCGTTGTTGACGAGCTCTAGTTGCATTTTGTTGAAGTCCCGGAGTAGGATGGTGGACGCGACTTACCTGCGGAGGTATATCCGCTTGTCGCGCTTGGGGTGCTGTAGGGGCTTGCCTGATAATAGGGCAAGCCGTCCTGTGCTGAATTCTGCGCGGCGTTCCCTTGGTTTGGCTGTTGATAGACCGGAGCGGAGGGATGGTTGGATGTGTACCCCGATGGATGCGATGGCTGTTGTGGAGGTGCAGCCTGGGGATGATGTTGCTGATGAACGATGCTGGGAGGTCGGTGATGCTGGAGATGCGAGGGTGGTGGGGCCTGGTGGGGATAATGCTGCATAGAGAAGATTCCCATTAGTTCTGCCAACTCCAGCAACAAGGCTCAACGTAGACGAGACTGGGCGTGAGGGGGGGCAGGAAAACCAGAAGAAAAAAACAGATGAGAGCAAGGTTTTTTGCTTTTTCTTTATTTGCACAGCATCCTTGACACTGTCAAGGAGTGCGAAGCTTCTGAGAGCCAATTATTGATTGGGGCGAGACGATATAATGACGGGGGTGGATTGGCGACCATGAGGCCTAGCCTCGGAAAGGCAACATCCACCTTTCACCTTGCCCTTGCTGACGCGCAGGCCATGCCATGGGGGGAGGAACGGAAGCGAGGGCAGGGGGCCAGGGCAGGAAAGGTTTGGACCATTCATAATGCCTGAAATCCCAAGATCGGAAATCGAGTGATGTGCATGGCCCTGGAACAAGTGGGAAGCCAATGTGATGACATCCTAGACCCATGGGATGCTCTCGAGAAAAGGATCACTGGGGGTGTCAACGAAGGAAATAAAGCAGACAAGAAGAAGTCGGGAAACAACGAAGGCCACTTCGAACCAGGGCATAGGATGAACATGATGAACATGATTGCATTCGCAGGGCAGCAGGCCGCAGGGCAGGCCGACAGGCGGGCAGGCAGGGCAGGACAGGAGAAGTTAAGACAGAACAGGGGAGGGGAAAGGGCAGGGCGCCGTTACTGTTACTGACCAAGACCCAGGATCCAGAAAGATGTCGGTAGTGAAGGGTAGCGAGGATGAGAACCACGAGGGGGGGAATGGAGGGAAGCAGGGTTGTGAAGATATTTGAACTAGATGCAGCGCAAGGTTTTGTGGGGCTGGCTGGACTGGCTCTGCAATGCCTCCCACGGCGGCGACGACAAGAAAAGGAAGACGGGAAAAAAGAGCCACATCAGCTCATGGCGAGCGACCATGCAAAACAACGTTGAAAAAAAAAAAAAAAAAGGCAGCGGCAGCGGCAACAGCAGCAGCAGCAATAGCAGGCGCAGCAGCAGTAGCACCAGGCGCAGGCACGGTACTGGCAGCAATAACAGAGCGGTGGTATAGGTCTTGAAGCGTAGGCTGTTTGGGCTTGTCCAAGCATTGACGGGCAGCAAGCTCCAGGACCGGTGGCTGGCGGAGTCGGGCGCTCAAGGCTCGTCGAGTCGGCAGACGAGGAGCGGCCAGCACGCAGGCATTGACTGCATTGCGTTGGAAAGATGAAATGAAATTATGGGGCCCAGGGAAAAAGATGGTGGTGGGCGGGCCAGGGATTTAAGCGGGCAGGGATGCAGGGGCCAGCCAGCGATCCAATGAGCATGGCTGAGACGAGGGCAAGGAGACGAGGGTTTCCAGAAAAGGGCCTCTGCTCCGGGCCTAGAGTAGGGTGCATGGCCACCGTGCTTGCGCGCGACTCTTGCACACTTGTACTGAGGTACAAGCGTGTACGTACTTGTGTGTCTTTGCGTGAAGGGGCGGTGTGGAAGTGCAATCCCAGCCTCTGGCCGATCCCTGCTTCGGCTCGCAGCTCGCTTGCCCCAGCTGCCCAGTTGTCTGGTCAAGTGGCTTGGTGTCGGGGCACTCGCGGAATGGCTGCACTGCAGCCCTAGACTGTAACCGGGGACCGTTGCCGCTTGGGAAAGGACTTCCTTCCCATCCATCAACCCACCCCCCATCTTTGCATCTCCAGCGGCTTCAAGCCACACGCGCTACCACTTACAAGGGGGTGGGTGCTCTTGCAGAGGGCCAGCAGGGTCAGCCAGGCTCGACGATTCTCCGGCAACGCTGGAAGATAGACAACCCAGCGGCCATATTTCTGTCACTTGACTGGTCTGGCTTGGCCCGCGGTGCTTGTGGCACTGTAGTGGCTATGTGCTCTGCTGTGCGTGCTGTGCTGCGGGACCCTTCATCCGTCACATGCCCGGTCGCCTCGGCCGCCACCACCAGCACCGCCGATGGCTTCACGGGCGGGCGGGCGTGCGGATTCGACCTGTGACGAGAGAAGAGCGCCAATTTTACAGCAGTTGGCGGCTGTCGCCCGGCTCCCGACAACAACAGCCCACCCCAGCCGTTGGAAATTGCGTGTTTGACGTCGCCGCCCGTAGCACACCAAAACCATGCCATCCCTCACTGATACTTGGACGGCACATTCGCCTTGCCACAGCACGAGGCCTATGAATAAGCCAGCTGAGCCCCTAGCCCGAACGGCCCAATATCCCGCCAAGGTTTGGGCCTCGCTGTGGTCATCCAGCTCCCGGCTCCCCCGGTCAATGGGTTGAAACCTTGCTGTGAATCCTGTGGATCTGTGGGCGCGGTACCGGGCAGTATGCATTGCAGTTTTGGTCTCGCTCCGCTTTGAGGACGCCAAAAAAGAAGCACACCAAAAAAAGATACCACAGTAAATGGCACCTTGGAAGGAAAATGACAATCTGCTCCTGTGCATGACGCGTCGAGGGGCCCCCTTCAATGCGTGGTATCCATGTATTTCCGCCGCCGGCTTGGCTAGCAGGGAGATCCAAGGTCTCCCACAGTTCAGACTCAGTGGGTCGCACTAGCAAACCCTGTCCGGCGCACCTTGTCGCATGCAACGGTGTCGGCACCCCCAGTCTCTAATGTGAAACAGCTGCGTCCCCTGCAATTCCCACAAACCTGAGCCCAATCCGGTCCCGGTCAGGCTTGCGACGTTCGATCTCGTTTTCTGGAAACACCACCAGAATGCAAAGTGACTGGGGTTGACGATCGATAGGCCCCAGTACCTTCAAGGATAAGACGGCAAAGTACAGGAGCGGGGAGGGCATATGAGGTGCGATGTGTCCGACAAGGGAGGAGCGCATGCCGATGGGAGTGCTGTGCTTGGAGGGCAGCGACGTGGGCGACATGGCGAGTAGGACGTGCATATCGGCACTACCGTGTGGAAATGCCGCCAACAGGTGGGAGGTGTGCTAGGGTCTTGTTTGACTTTCTTAGAAAACGCAATGAATAACTCACCGAGTCATTGCCAGGCTCTTCCTTAAACTGGCTATTGGCCTGTCGATGATCTCTAGCCATCGTCATCAAGCCCATGTGGACAGCGTCCGCGGCAGAGGAGACCTATCGAATCGACCTGCACGACAGCTGACATGTTAGCCTGGCGGCTGCCAAAAATCTCATTTCCGACCATTGTTGCCTCGGCTTGTTGTAGACAGATCAAGCGACAAGGGGCCGAGGGCGTAGCTCTGGCACTAATCCCGCGTCCCTCGAGTCCGAGTGGCACTTCTTCTCCTTTTTTGACCGACCAGTGCTAAGCCAGAGTCGGCGCGCATTGAGACTGCGCTGTCGTGAAGTGCGGCATGGGCAGCTGCATAGGGTCAAGCAGGCCCATTTTCGCCGTTGGGCTTATGCGCTGGGACATGGGATGATGCAATGCCGCAAACGAGTGATGACTTACTGCTAGACTCGTCCTTAACAAGGAATCCACCAAATTCCACTCCAACACGGTTGTTAACTGCACAAAAGAGGTCAGCGACGCTCATGGACCATTGATAAGAATAACCCGTTGCCGGGCTTGGCTGACGACCCCCCCGGGGGGGAGCTCGGGGCACCAGACATCAAGATTGTAGGAGGCAATGACAAGATAGATGCAAGATAGAGCGAGCGGTCACTTTTGGTCAAGGTAATGGTGCATGGCAATGTACGGCGGGTGTCGAGTTGCTAGGGAGCACCACCTCTGTGAGGGATCCTGGGAGCGGGTCATATTGGGGGGATTCATTGCGCAAACCTACCTCGAAGTGGTTCGTGAGTGAGGGTAGTTTGCAAAATAGAATCGAAAAGGCGAGTAGACGTCGTATGTAATACAAGTGTCCACAGGGAATCCCGGTATGGTCGGGTGCGAGGCTTCTTTGGCAGACCAGACACTCGGGATGCTTTGTGGTGGGAGTTCAGCCCAACAGCCACGTGAGGGACAGGCGTGGATGTCCTGAGGGTGAGTGAGCAGGGTCGTATCCTAGCTGTCGGGGCCAATGCGGTCAAGGATGAGCCGCGCGAGCAGGTGTGCTGGGCAGGCCGGTCGGCAGACCGAGTTGCAGAAAGCCAAGACTTTGCAATCGTGGGAAATGTGTGTCTCGTCAGGAGTGATCACAGACGCGTGTCCCGACACGGCTCGATGCTGTCTGTATCTACTTTTGAGGTCAGCCATGGGTTCGCAGGCGGTGGGGAATCGAGGTGTCGCCAGGGGACGACTTCTTGGGACGCAGAGGCAGGCAGGGGTCAGGTGGAAGTCGCAAATGCGGAGTAGGTACCGACTATGACGCAGAATCCTTGTCCGACTAACACAGACACCGTTGACAGCGGGCAGCAACGAACAAAAATAGGGCAGCCGGGTCTGAACAAGTCCCTTTCAAGACTGCTTAGGCCGGGATGGAGGACGGTAGGGTGCGTAGGGACTGCAACGGCTGGAGGGAACGAGGCCGCGACGATAGCACGAGGGATCCGTGGGTCAAGTATTCATACGGGAAGTACAGGAAGGAAGGAGGTACTGTGTGCCTTGTGGCTGGACAAAAGGACACCCCGGAGTAGGGGTTCCAGACTTGCCGCTATGCCGCCCACTTGGGTGCGGGTGATATTAAAGGAGAGACTAGGGCGTCAGGGGTTAAGGTTAAGAACCTTGGAGCGGCAGTCGCATGCTACCCCAGCAAAGTCCTGTGCAGTACTGGCAGCACTGGATGGGCCGTCCCCTTCCAAGGTGTGACGTGATGGGTTGAGCCGTGCCTTGAGGCTGGGATCTGCCACAGATCCGACGGATCGCTCGAGGTTGAAATATCTGGCCGCCCTGGCAGCGCCCGAACCCGAAGTCGCGTCAGGCCGGGCAGGCTTTGTGCGAGCAGGGGAGCCTTCAGGCATGACTGAGATTTTTTTTGGGGGAAGGGGGGGTGGGGAGGTTGCCGCGCAGAACAAGGTGAAGGAAGCAGCGCTCACCTAAACTCGAGTCCAAGCAGTCAGGCCGGTCCACTTCCAGGGCCCGAGAAGCTCGACAGGGACGTAGGTATCGTGCCACAGCCCAGAAGCCCAAGAGGTCGTTGTTTGGCTCGGAAAAACTTGCGAGGCAGAGACGGGGTTTGGCGGGGCGTCTAGTGGTGAGGCGCGGCCGGGCGTGTGTGCGCTGCTAGTCGCTGTTTAAGATGGTGTCGCGCTGACGAGCTGGGCAGACTAGAACAGTTGCCTCTAGCAGGATCCCACTTGTTGTGGACTGCGACGGCTTGGTTGATGAGCTTGGGCCGGCGAGACAAGGCGATGGTACCGAGCCGATGGAGGACGCACTTGCTGCAAGCTTTGTGGACGGCAAGCCACGCGAGCCTCTTGGGTTGGTGGCGCAGGCAGCCGCGGTGGGGAGGGAAGCTGTGGTGATACCGAAGGACAAGGTGGCCGTGGCACCGTGGATTCGGAAATGCCTGGTTGGAATGGCGGTTGAGAGTCGAGGTCGAGTCTGTAATGAGAGTTTGGGGAGTATGGCGAAGCTTGAAGGGGCTCAGGGATTTCGAGGTGGGAGAAAATCCTGGTCGCGGAGGAGCAGGGATGATCGTGGTCTGTGACCGTTGCGCCTAAGTGACCCTGGGAAGCGGTTGACCAAAAGTTAGCCCGAGCCGGAAGACGAGATGGCAGAGGGCAGCATGGACGACGACGACAAGTGCAGTGGGAGGAGGGAGGAAGAGAAACAGGGGCACAGGGCAGGGCAATCGCAGGTGAGTGCCCCGGAGTAGGGCAGAATCCCATTTCTCGGGCTTGCAAGAGGGTAAGAGTGGAGTGGAGACCCTGCGTGCCTGTCTGGGAGTTCTGGGTGTTCTGGGAGTTCTGGGTGGCCTCTGCGCGCGGCCGCGTCGTGGGTTGGGGCTGCTGCAAGCTCTGTCTCTGGGGCGAACAGCGTCATCAGAGCGCCCTGGACAAGGGACTGACCGTGACTGTGGATGCAGACGCGTGAGGTGGATACAATTCTGGAGGCCCGGCAGGGCTACGGCGCCTGGACGTGCACAACTGTGCTTGACCCTCGCGCGAGCACAAGAGGATCGAAGAGACCCAAGATACCAAAAGGGGGTGGGGAGGCGGCGGGTGACGGTGGTGATGTAGCGGTCGGAGGAGGACAGGCAGGAGTTGGGAAATTTCAATCATCGCCTGCTGCAGTCGCGCCGGAAGGGACGTTGAGCTTGATAGTTCGTTCACCTGGGCAGGGTGAGTACCCAGGGTACGGGGTACGGGGCACACGGCCGCAGGACAGTCACAGCACAGTGACGAGGACGGTGACAGGATGTCGGCCGACCAGCCCAGGTACGGAGTAGCTAGAGCCAGCCTAGGTACGGAGTACTACTAGCTAACCTGCACCATGAGTTACCGCAGGTCCCTCCTCCCGGCCCAGCAGCCCAGCAGCCCAGGTGCCCACATGGCAGGCAGGTACTCCGTACTCTCACCACCACCACTACCACCACCACCACACGGAGGCTGCTTGCTGCAGACGCCCATGCTCCCAGGCGCAGGGCCTGGTAGGGCTCGCTAGGGAAGAGACTGTCTGACTGTAAAGAACCCAGGACGAAGAAGGCGGCTACCTACCTAGGTCGGCTGCTTGGTAGCTGTGCATCCCAAGCAGCTGGGCACAGGCCGAACCTAGCGAGCCCGCTTTAGTGTAGCTCTGGCCCTGGCCCTGGCCCTGGCCCTGGCACCCACTTGCCCACCAACCGTGCCCCCCTGGCCCGCCCTTCCTGGCCCTTGTCCCGCCGGGTGCGGATGTTTCCTGTGCCAGGTGCTTATCATCGTGCGACCTGCTGCCCAACCCCGGGGGCACTCCACCTGCCTCGCTGCCTGGGCAGGTACATACCATAGTACTTAAGTAGGTATCGGACCAGACTCGGACTGGCAGACTGCCAGGGAGGAGTCCTGTAGATGTGCACTACTCGGATAGAAGACAGCGGAAGTCCAGGACCCTGATCTTGTCCGACCGAGACCCCCGACATGATGGGCCCAGCGCTACTTGGTAGCGCATCAGTCGCAACTCTCACTCACCCAACGCTGCCTACCTCGTTCAGGTAGGCAGGTACGGAGTACCTGGATACCTGAGCAGACACCCACAGCCCGGTCGAGGCTGGCTGGCCTGCTCACACGACCACCGGGCCATGCGCATGGGCTGCAGGCTGCTGGCTGCTGGGTACTGTGCCGTGGCGCACAGAGAATCAAACGGTAGGCTTTACCACCTACTTAAGTACCTACGGTGGGCTGGCAGGCTGGCAGGCTGGCAGGCTGGGCCATCTGATCCTTTCTGGACGGGCCCTCCACAGCTGTCAGCGGTAGAGACTTGGGCTCCCAACTCTCCCATGTCCTTGACATCCATCTGTCACACGCTGTTCCCTCGCCGTCAGATGCTTATTTAGCCACAACTTCAAGGATGATAGATGCACCATAGATCCGAACGTCTGGTTCGAACCATCTTCCCCTCACCAAGGGACCGCCCGCCCGCCCCGTCACCCACGGCCCAGCCAGCAGCCAGCAGCCCTGCCTTGATCCCGGCGAGGGCGTCGACATGGGCCCATCTCCCGGCCCCGGTGGGGGAGTGTCGTCCGGCGTGCATGTCTTATATCTATCCGCACCTGCACCTACACCTGCACCTGCACCTGCACCTGCACCTGCTTCTCTGCGACAACCAACCCGCCCCGCCAGGCCACCGCGACAACATTGAAGACAGACGACCCCTCGACCATGTGCTCCAAACCAGCCTGTCTTGCCTGCCATAACGCCCGCCCTGGCCGCTTGCACACCACCCGCTACCAAGGCGAGGCATTCATCGTCACCGGTCCAAACGAGGGTGGGTTTGGGCTGGGCCGGGCTGGACTGGGCCGGTTTGCCGCACAATCTTCAAAAGAGTGGGCACCCAATTTCAACCTGGGCTGCCAGGCTGCCTGGCTGCCAGGCTCCAGCTTTGTTCAAAACCAGCCTGCAGGCTCCCGGTACTTTGGGCACCTCTTCCTGAATCAGTGGCCACCTCTGCGCCTGGGCCACAGCGTGGTCTCCCCGCCCCCCGCCCCCCCTCCCTCATCTCTTCCTCCATCTGGGACCGCCATCGTCAAATCAGAACCCACCAGCACGTCATGCCTTGGGCAGCCCACGCGACCTTGTGGCGTCGCCAGTAGTCCTGATTTACAATCATCCCGCTGCCATCAAACGGGGCCACTAGCCGGCTGTGTCTCCTCACCACCCTTCTCTCGGCCAATGGGACCACCACACAACTCTGGCACGCTGGTTTCGGTTTGCTCGGCCAAAAGCCTCGCGGATGGCGGTTTAGTCGTAAATGGCGGGGCCACATGCGTGCACCCTCAAGATCTTCGATGTCCATCTGAGTTGCGCCAGCTGCGCCCGCTGCGCCAGTTGACACTGTGAATGTACTGCTCGCCGATTCGCCAGTCTGCCAGTACACAGCACTGCGTGGTTGAGTGGCCACCGGCCACCGATGCCACCGATGCCACCGATGCCACCGATGCCACCGATGCCACCGATCTGCTTCTGCCCTGCTCCACAGGCACAGGCCCGCACAATTCCATCGCTGTCTGCCAGTCGCTCGCAACCACAGCTCAAGGGCCCATCCTACAGGTTCCGCCACGGAGGCCCGGTGGTGCTGCAAATTGCAGGAATACGCCCTTGCCCGTCCCCCGTTTCCGCTGTCTGCAGCTCGAGACGCAGGTACCACAACCTCAAGAGGGAAGAAACGCCCTGCGGCGGCCACATGTGTGATTTTCCTCGGCGGTGCTATTCTCGTCATTTCCGAGACAACCGCAGCTCAGCGCCCTATTACCACCACGACAAGGATGGCGCCTCATGCCTGGCGACTGGAAATGCTCATTCCCACGGCGCTCGCTGCCTCCTCGACTCGAACGTCACATCCCAGTGGCTTCCTGCACTAGCTGTTCATCACGTTCTTACCGTTTCACGACGCTGCTTATGTCATTCTGGCACAGGCACCTACTGTGTAGACGGGCAGACGGGTCGCAGCCCTGACGCCTCCATCACAACCGGGCGTCGCATGGCCACCACGGCATGCGGCCCATGTAAGTGATGCAGGCACATCCCATCCCAGAGCGGCATTTGGAAAGGGCCTGGGCTGCCAAGCCGCAGGATCCGACAGGGTTCACACCCGCGGCCCGGATTGTTCAATGCGTCCTGCAGCATGTTGCCTCTGAGCCCGCTATATTCGGACCAGCCGAAGGGATAGTCGTGAATGCTATGAGAGCTGCGGCCCAAATGCCCTGTCTTATAAGCAAGGACTGGGTTTGGTGGCCACAATTGCTACGTCTTGCCTGTGCACGTGCATGTTCTGGAAGTCACTGCAATGGGAGTATATCGTGCGTGGCTGCGTGGTAGAGCATGCCAGGGTCCTCGTGTGCAGGAGGAGTTATATGCAGCACTACCGCACGGCAGAGGGGCCTGCTTCCCGCCATCCCCGTCCCGGGAATTGCATCGCGGTCAGCTACCATAGTACTTCGTTTTCAGCCCCTGATCCCGACCTTGGCCCATCTCGGTCGCGTTCGTAGTGTACATTTGTCCCCAGCTTGAACGCGCATGGCTGCTGCTGGTTACGGACGCCTTGCTGCAAGGCCATTGTAGGCCCACTGCCGCTCCTACAACGGACCGAGGAACGACTGGAAAGATTGTATACCACAGTAAAAGAAATACCCCGGACCAGGTACCCAGATGAGGGTGGGAATACGTACATACTAGAGCCGCCGCACCCCGTCGTCTCGGCAGGGTGGACTTGTGAGCCGGGGGTCTCTGCTCTGCTGGAGAAGCGCCCCTGTTCGGAGCCGATCTGCTTCGTTTCGCTGATAAACAAAGACTTGCCGCTTGAAACAGGTGACTACACAGTAGGCAGGCCAGCTATTTCGACGTGAATGGGCCCTTTGCGGCCAACCCACAACCTCGAGGAGCGGGTATAAGACGAGGACTAGAGCCACAGTCCACTGATGTATGTGTATGTGTATGGTCGCTAGGTCGCTGGGTTGCTGGGTTGCTGGCAGGTCAGATGGATTGGCGGCGAGTATAAAAGTACGCGCACATTCGCCTGCCTCGGTAGCAGGCATGTACTATGTACTCAGGGTACGGAGTACTCTGTACACCGGTCACTTCCAGCAGCCAAGCTCCTGATCGTAAGACCCCAAGGACCCCACCCTGCCCACCTCGCGACCAGCATCCTGGCCACCCTTCGTCTGGCCCTCTGGGCTTGGCACACATGTCCCCCATGTGCGCGGGCCTGCAGTCGGGCCCTACCACCCTGCGCCCGCCTCACACAGTAAGCCTTCCAGGGTAGGGGTGACGAACGATCGAAGAAGACCACAAGCTTCTCCCACAGCTCCCCAGCAGCTGCCCAGCTCCCCCCAGCTGCGCGCCCCCACGAAAGGGCCAGGCAGGCTGGCAGGGAGCAGAGGCGATGCCAGACAGATAGTAGTAGGTCTAGTAGATGCACAGGGTGAGCTGCAAGTCACCCTGTGGCTACACAGTACTGCAGATGCTTGCCACCCTCACATGCCATCATCGGACAGGAGGGTGGAGTCGCCCTCGGAGCTGCTTCTTGCGCGCTGGCCTCACAGTACGGAGTATATCGACAAGGCCAGACCAACAGTTGCGCCGAGCATGAGGTGAGGCGCCGTCTCTGCTATGCCATCAGCCATCAGCCACCAGATGCCGCGGTCAAATGCGTCTCGGGCTCAGCATGCACTGTACTGTACCTGAGACTCTTTATGCTCTGTGCACTATGCTCATTCGGGAAAGCATCCCCGTCTTGGGCAAACTCTTTCGCCAACGCTGGCGTCTCCCCGAATCCATCCGGCTCGGTGACAACCAGACAGCAGACACCAGACAACTCGCAAGCGGCGATCCTCAGGAAATTGAGACACTGTTGGGCCAGTCTCGGCTGGACCTGTCGTCATCTTCATTTCAGGATGACTCGGATACGAAAGGGCAGGTTTTCCAAGGCCCGTCTGCGAAAAGGCCAGCACGACAGCTCAGCCAATGTTGACGCGCCGGGGCTCCACCACGGCCAGCCACACCCGCGTCAGTTGCGCGTCAAAAAAACAAGGCCAGGCCATAGTACGGATGTGGACTGCCCCGTTCTGCCCGTCTGCCCGTGTGCTCCATGCACGGTACGTACGGCCGCCCCATCGTGATCTGTATGGCACTTTGCACGGACGACTTGCCCGTTCGCGGCGTAAATTCGCACAGGATGTGAACGGCTGCGAGAGGCACGGGTGTGGCGCTGCCCACATACTATTGAAGCTAAGCAGCCAAGGTGGAAGGGGGAAAATTCTGTCGTCTTCAAAATACCCGACATTTGGAAATGAGCCGTGGCGGTGTATCGGCGCTGATTAGCTGGCAAAACGTTATTGCCTCAGGTCTGCAACCGAACGCGCTCGCTACCTCTGGCTCCGAAAGTTTCGTCACCCGCCTGTAATCTGTAGACGGCCAGACGGCCAGACGGCATGTGTGGCCCTCTCCAGACCTGAACCCCTGTTTCAGCACATCGCGAATCTGGGCAGACGCTGGCACGCTCGCGGTCCCCAAATAAAATAGACTATATTCTCCTATCCAGGCATCAGAGTCCCAGGGCCACCCACTTTCCAGCCCTACCAAAAGATGAACCCTTGGATGCAGCGGAGCAGGCTTCAGGGGAATGAAGGGTCAGGGCAGGGGGAAATGACAGGACATCCTCAGGGGTTCTCCAGAAGATCTCTGTCGACAGTCTCGAGACAGGTCCACCGGGGCCATGACTTATTGCCCAACAAGGGGAAATTTGCCCTGGGAGCGAGGTGGAGTCGGACGCACTGGAAGGGGGGGGGCCTGGGGGGCTGGGGGGCAGCCCGGCAGCCCAGCTACCCAGGCGCCCCCGATCCTCAAACCATGTCCAACCTTATTGTTATAGGGATGGGCCTGTGCATGCGCCTGTTGCATCGGCCACCCCCGGCTTCTCCGCGCGACCTTGCCTTCCTTTCCTTGCCCTGCCCTGCCGTCCTGTCGTCCCCCGGCGCGACATGGGGTGGTCGCTGCGACCTCCCAGGGCACCCTGGTACTCGTGCAAACTTCGACGACGAAGACTGAACGACATGTCATGCCAGACCATACTGTCGCCGCAGTGCACGAGGTCTGGAGGCCGAGATCAGGGGGATTCTTTGGAAGGGCAAAGGCGCTGTTATCAGAGAAGTTGCTGCCACGTATAGGCCTCACAGGTGACAGGTGCCATTTGCACGGCGTACACTGCCTACCAACGGGGCAGTCGAAGTATAGGAAATCCAGATTTGCTTGGGTGGGCAGACGGCCGAGGCATGTGAGGCCTTGATGTGCATTCGAACTTTTTGCCGAACTCGCAGTCAACAGGAGCATCGGCCAGGCCTCGGGATCTGAAGTGGTGAGTTGTAGGCCATTCTAGCCAGTCGAGCGCAACGTCGTGTGGGCAGCAGCCTCGGTGAACCACACCGTGAACCACACCATAGTAGATGTCTGCGATCAAGAGGGGTCATTGGTGCGAGGGCTCACAAGACGGCAATTCGCACGTTTGACGATGCTGCGGCTTGGATGTCCCGAGGGAGAGATAAAAAAAGCGAATGTCAGCTTGGTCCTTCTCTCTCATTTGCCAATCAACGAAAACAAGAACGACCAGCAGAACCACGCAGATTGGGGTGATTTCCCACAGCACTCGTCAAATCGCGTCGCGCGTCATGAGGCCCCGGGACACTGCATTGGAACTTCCTTTTGGGCGACGTGAGGGCTCAGATTTGCCGCGGGAACATCGGACCGCCCTCGATATGATCGGTGGCCGCCCAGTTAATCCCGCTGGTATGCTCATCGACGACGCGGGCATCAGCCTGCATGCGCCTTCCCGCGGTCGTTTGGGGGGGGGGGGCTCTTTTTTTTTTTTTTTTTTGTTTTTTTCGGCCACGGCTGCCACCCTCCCCCCCAGGCAAGCAAGCAGCCAACGGCTCTCAGGATGAGCGGATGATCTCATGACACGATACTATGAAACTATTTCTGATGGGAAATTTGAGCCATCATCGAAGAGAATGTTTAGATGTCTCCTTTCTCATCGTCTTCAGGCATAGATTCATGTATCCACGTCACAGTGGACACATGCTCCTGGATATTTCATGTCTTGCTTCTCTTCCGTGACGAGCACCACTTCATGGGGTAGGTCCGCGGTTTTTTTTTTTTTGGGGGGGGGGGGCAGCCTCATTTCCATCCTATTCCCGACACTCTGGATCAGGTAGTAGCAGGATCTTGACCATCATGCAAGCTGGCGGGTTCCTGTTTTACAGAAGATGTCTCACTGGCCGTGGGAAGGAAAAAAGAGTGAGTAGCGGTTGATCAATCGCATGCGTCGTCTGAAACAAGACCGAGAGGAACTGTCTCCGGTCTTTGGAGGGCTGAGTGGTTCACCGCCTTCTTCACTCCCTCCTGAAGTCCCGAACACTCCATTGTGAAGCGAGAGGCGCACCCACATGCAAAATATTCTCGGGAAGAACCTCTGGCTGAATTGTGCTCTTCTTATGTAGGCGGACTGTGTCTGTTGTTGCACCGCATGCCTGCGTAGTGTCCACTCGTTTCCAGCCAGCTGGCTTGCGCATGTTGGAAGCCATACTACATGTCGTGATTGTTCCCGAATTGCGAGACATAGCAGAGCGTTCCTGCCTGGGCTGGCATTCGCTCAACCAAGCGCCCAAGGGTCGGCAACTTCACTAACTGATCAACCACATGGCCCTGACAGCATGTGGCTTCTGTTGGTGAGGGGTTGAAAGGGCGTGTATACATCCACGGTTGTGGAAAAGGAACGATCGCTCTGGTTGCGATCTCGACCCGACCAAAGTTGCGACCGAGGCCGGCCTCTAGACCCATCGACTGTCATAGCATCCGTTGATGTAACGATTCTCATATCTGGCTCTGTACTTTTTTTTGGGGGGGGAGGGGGTGGTGATGGTCGAGGAACAGAGGAACCATGATAAGCCTTTCAAAGTTATAGAGCAGGAGAGACGCCTACAGCGACTAGACATCCAGAAATTCACTTGGTAACTGAACCCGCCAGCCCTGCAAGTTTACAGCTTCTAGGTTTGATGCTCTCGAACAGGTCCTATAATTTCACGCTTAGTCTGGTGAGGGACAAATACGGAGACTTGGAGCCCCTTGCTCTCCAGCAGGTAGCAAGCTGGCCGTAGCAAGCCAGTGATCTTTTCAGTTTTCCAATTGTGCCTCCTCATCTTCTGAGACCAATCGTTCCAATACATGTGTTTCTACTTGTTGCCCCGGTGGTATCTAGTTCCCAACATTTTACCTTGTACTCTTTTGCAATGTGATGCTGTGAAGGAAGTCGCTGTCGCCGGAAAAGAAAAAAGAAAAGAAAAAGAAAAAAACAAAGGCAAAAAGATTGACGGGACAGGTATCTGGTAACGAGATGCCTCAAGGGCACAGGGCGCTCCCAGACCAGCCATTACTCCAACAAGATGCTCAGAGCGGTCATTCCGGCCGCACACTCACGGGAACTTTCTCCCTCTCCCTCTCCCGCTCTCGATGACGGTGTGACCGGTGTGGCAGACCACCACGGTCATTGTCATCAGCGTAGTACTCGAGTCTGCGGGGCTCATCGTCCTCTTCGTTTCGGTGTCGTTTCGACCGAGCATCACGCTCTCGGTCTTTCTCACGTTCACGCTGATTCTTTTCCTCACGTCGCTTTTTCTCGTCCTCCTCTTCATCTCGAGGGTCGCGTCGGTGTGACCTATGCGGTCTCCGTCTATCATCGTCATCGTCGTCGTCACGGTCGTCATCCCTGTCTCGCTCTTGCTCCCTGTCGTACTCTTGTCGTCTCATCTCTGGGTGGGTTGTCAGCCATTTCCATTTTCCGAAAACCCCCTCTACAACTGCAGAGTGGGAGAACGAAGCCGACATGTAAAGATCAAAGGAGACGTGATGTTCGGAAGAACAAAGGAGACGACGAGCACAGGCACAAGGCACGGGCACGGGTCACAGGGCACGCAGGTCTGGGGCGGTGGGCGGTGGGAGGTGGGCGGTGGACGATAGACAAGGCAAACTGGACGGGCGGGTTCGGCGAGGTTCACGGTGTGGGCGGGCACGGCGACGGACGAGGAAGCGGAACGATTCAAGACAGAAAATGGAAAGGAAGCAACCCACCTCTCAACTGTGCAGTCGCAGCCGTATAGGCCTCAATCTCTTCCTTGTTCAGGACACGGAGGACAATGACGAAGTCATCGCGAACCTCGAACCGTTCCTTGCCGATCGTCAGAGCCTCTGGGTTTACCAACTTGCGGCTGATCTTGGTCCATCGTGCCCCCGGTGGCACGTTGCTCTTGGACTTGTCATCCTTGTGAGGTGCAACACCTTCACGGACAGGATTAGGTTCCTCTGGGAACTGGACCTTAGGCTGCTTGAGAATCCCCTTGATAGGCTTCTTGTCGTCCTTGTCTCTTGGTGGTGACACGACCCTTACTTGTTTGTCGTCGCCACCAGTGACTGCTTCACGGCCCCTGATGTCGTCGCCGGACTCTGTCCCCCTTCTGGGCGGGGATGGCTGAGAATGCCGCTCAGGAGAAGACTCGTCGTTTGCGGCCTTCTCATTTTCCTTGTCCGACTCCTCCTTGGCCTTGAGCTGCTCCTTCAGCGCCATCAGGCCGGCAGTGTCGTTTGGCCTGAAAGCGGATGAGGGTCGCCGCCGCCGCCTAGGCTTGTTCTCGTCAGAAGAGCTTGCATCGCGGGCCCCGCTCATGGTCGGCTCTCCAGAGAGCTTCGCCTCGGCCTCGTGCCTGCTGCGTTCTTTGTCGTCGGCGCCATCGACATCTCGTTCCCTGCTTGGCCTTTCCTCGGTCTCGTCCCGTGGGATAGGTCGCTCGTCAGCCTCCTTTCTGGGGGGCTTCTGCCGTTCCTCGGCTTCATCCCTGCGGACCTCATCATCCGCGCGTCTCTTTGGCGATCTCTCCTTCTCTCCTTCGTCTTTGCCCTTGTGAGACATTGCGCCGAGACCGAGCGCGCCAGCTGCTATGCTCAGGCCGGTCGCGACTTTATCACGAATCTTGTCCTTGTCCTTGTCCTTGTCCTTTTCCCTTTCCCTTTCCTTTTCCTTATCCCTGTCCCTGTCCCTGTCCCTGTCCCGCGTTCGTTCGTCCTCGCCACGAATGTGATCATCTTTGCTGGTCTTCCTGTTATCGGCACGATGATCATCTTCTTTGCGGGCTTGATCACGACCGTACTTGCGAGCCTCACGATGAGTTAGGTCGTCATCTGACCGACGCTTGGGCTCGCGTTCCCAATCATCCACTCGAGAATCTCGCCGCTGCTCCGTACGGCGCTCACGGACAGCTGTGAAGTCCTCGCGCTCTCTTTCCCTCAGGCGATCGTCTTTCTTGTCTCCCTCAACCCGAATGCCAAACCCACGGGTGCCCACGCCCTCGTCGCGGGAATAGTCCCTGTCGCGGGTATCCCGAGATCCATAGTGATCGTCGCGTGCCCGATACAGGTCATCTGGCTGGGAGGCTCGAGTCGGTCCGTCTTGGTACAGGGACACTGGCCGGTGGCCAGTGCGCGAAGGGCGTCGTTCGATACGATCGGGTCGCTCGACGGGGCTGGGTGGTATGTCCAGCTGGCTGGAACGGCGGTCGGGGGCGGGAACAGGAATCACAGGAGGCGCAGGCATTCGAACAGGCGGCCGGTCATAGATTCCTGCCGTGTTCTCCTCGGCTATCCTCCTGTTGTAATTGTCCAGAGCGCGAGACGGTGGCGGGGCTCTGGCCCGGCCTTCGTATGGTCGGGTGACATCGGTGCCGACGTTGACGGATGGACGGTAGTACGTGTTCCGGTCAAAGCTGTCGCGGCGACGCCTAGTGTGAACCTTGTCGTTGTCCAGGTCGTAACGTGCCAAATCACTGGGGTTAGTATACTCGTATCCCGTGTCGCCTAGGTCGACTGTCTTTGTGCTGAGTCGTGGAGGGTCGGCGTAGATGGACGAGGGCCTTTCACGGCGAAGCCCGTTACGAGAGGGGGCGAGCCTGTCATCGTTTGTCCGCTGCCTCAGACGGAGGAACTCGTCATTGTCCAATGTTGAGCTGATCGAGCCCGAGGCATGGTACGGCCGGGTGTGGCTCCGCGAGCGGATGGACGAAGCCGGCTGGGTGTAATACTGGTCTTCGTCACTGGACCGGTAGGCGTCGCGGCCTCTGTCTGGTGCGGGGCTTGCAGGGTGATGACTGGATGCGCCGTGAGAGACCGAGGACTCTTTGCTCTGCCGCGTGGTGACTATGATGGGCGGCCTCTTGGTGGTGGAGTCCATGGTCGAGCTCCGAGTGCGACTGTTCTCCCGGATGCTGGAGCTCCTGGTGATAGGGTCCTTCCTGACGGTGTATGTGGTGGTGGTCACAGGAATGTTGGGGCCTCGCCAGTCGTTGGAGCCATGCCGGTGGTGATGGTGATGAGACTGGTGGGGAGCAACGGATTCGTATCTCGAGGAGGGCATAACATGTATATCGCCGCCGTAGAAGGAGCTGTAACCGCTGCTCATAGTAGGCATTGACATGCGCGCAGGATTGAAGGTTGGCGACCTCCTGCCGGAGTTGTAGCGATAGCGGTCACCCATTGTGTCTCACGGAGATTAGAGATTGCGCTCGAAACCAGGCCCTATCTCGGACTCTCGTCGTTTCTGCGTTTCGGGGTAGTTGGTCCCGTCCTGAGGTCAGCCGCGAGGGTGTCTCGACCGATCTTGTCCCTACCGCGGGTGGATGATCGGGAGAGCAGGCCGTTGCCAGGCTCGGGAGTCCGTCTTGTGAGCGGCGTAAGTCGGTGTAGAGGCGGGGCAGAGGAACGGGGGGCGAATACAAAAAGATGGCTGAAGCAGCTAGGTGTCAGCTTTTCCAAGGCGACGCATTCCTGTCAGACGATTAGCTTCACCCACACCGGAGCCGGAGCCACTGCCTACATGTGCGGAGGGTAGATCTGGCCACGAAGAAAAGACCCCGAGAGGGGGGGTGGGACCCGATGGCTCTTGAGGCAGCGATGTGGCCTGGCTGATGGCTCTCGGAGAGACTGGGTCGCAAGGCCAAAGCAATGCCGGTTTTTTTGGAGGACGACAGTACGAGGGGAAATGCGTAGAAGCGGTCGCCCGTTGGGGGTGGCAGCCTTATCGGCGTTGTGGTCCGGCGGGGTCTGTGTGGGCGAGAGGGGAGGGGGAGACTGGTCTGGGTGCTTTTAGCGGCCCCAGGGGGGGTGAGCAGGGTGGCGTTGGACTGTCGGGCTCGAGAATGGAGGCACCCGACCAGTGGGGGAAGCTCGCTCCTGGGCAATTTTCCAACGTTGGGGCGAGAGGAAGCAAGAGAGGAGTAAGCGGTGTGCGGTCGGATTCGAAAGAGACCTTGTGACTCGAAGCTGGGGGCGCCGGTCGTGGGTAGTGGCCGTTGCTGTTATCTGGTGGTGGTTCCCAGGCGCCTTGGAGACTTTTGGGGGCGGTTTCGGTTGGTGGGCGGAGATGGCGGGCGAGGAGGAAGAAGGAGACTTTCCCCTCGGGACGGCGAGCTGCAGACTAACAACCAGGCCGCCTGGACGGCAGACGGCAGACGGCAGACGGCAGGACGCAGGCAGGATTGCAGATCACACCTGGCCTGCTAACCTCTGGCCCTTCGTCAAGACGAAAAGCTGGTACGGAGTAGTGGAAATAGTTGCAGGCAGTAGTTAGTGGCAGGAGGAGGAGAAGAAGGAGGATGCGGAGGCGACGGCGGAGTGTGCAGGAAAATATGGTGGTCCCAGGGTTGGAAGTGCAGTGCAGGCTTATCCTCTGCCTGGCCTCGCTTCTGTGCTGCCCAGGTGCAGTGCAGGGGCATGGGCATGGAAGGAGCAAGGTCAGGGTTGCTTGCTTCTCTCACTTGAGCACCTCGGAATGGGATACATTGTAGAACTGGCATGTACTGGCACGTTGGTAACTCCGTATACCCGGAGAGCATTGTAGTGTGAATGCCCAATGAAGCAAGGGGAGGAAGGGACAGACAGTGCTCGCACCCCTGTGCGATTTTGCAGGCCAGGCCTCCCAGGGCCCGTCCAGCTGCAGCGGCCCAGTCTGCCAGTCTATGAGGCCCCGTAGTACCTGCTAGTCCGACTGACATCACCGGCAAGGAATGACGTTGGCGCTCACTGCCCGTGGTGGGTTTGCTCGACAGTTCCCACCTGGCCCGAGCCCAGCCCGCCACAACATGTCCCGCCCAGCTCCTCGCCGTCCCTTCTTCACTTGCTGTGTAGGCGCGCCCGACCATCAGGCCTCGCTGTCTGCTGTTGTTGGGTTTTTCAGATTGGGCTGGCACGCCCGCCCGCCCGAGTGCCTGCTTAAGTGCCTATTTAAGTGACAAGGTACCCTCGGGCTTACTACGCTAAGTCAGGCACAGGACCCTTTTCGCGCTTCTTTAGCTCGCAAGGGTCTCGTGTCCCAGGTGTTTAGGTGCCAGGGCGGGCCGTATTCCAGCCCAATACTGATGACAGCCCAGTGCTGTAGACCTCTACAAACCGTCGCCGTATTTGTTGTTGCTCGCTCGGCAGCCTCGGAGGGGTCAGCCTCCCTTGGACGGCACCTTGGCGGCAGAGCCTGCCGGCCCCCAAATCATCACGATCTGTCCATGACGAGTAGCAAGAGTGGCCCGTGCCGCGGGCATTCCAGGCCTTCCCCTAGCCTCGGCATCACCACCGGACGGCACATACCAGTCAGTACCTACGGAGTACTCGCCAGCCGTCCAGCCTGTCTCCACAGCCTGTCTTGCCTGCCTTGTCTGCCTTGCCCCAACGCCAGTGTTTCCCGCTGGACCCTTGTGCAGCACCTCAGCACCTCTGCCTGATGATACCCAGCAGTTTGTCACTGTTTCACAACTGTCTGTCTTTGCAGATATGTCAATTCTGCAACTGAGCCCATATGTTCACTGTCCTACGATGATCTAAGCGAGCGCCCCCATGGGGTCCCAAAGTGGCAGCACAATGGGCTCCTTGTTCAGAACGTTCCGCACCTCCTTGCTCAGGAACTTTGGATCAATCACTGCTTGGTAGACAAACTCGTCCATCCTGTGAATCGTCAGGTCAGCAGCCACGCTTGCAATCATCTCTTGGACCATTGAACAGCTCCAGCTTTCTAGCACCCAGCCCGTTTTTTGTTTTTTTGAGGGGGAGGGGACGGGGATTTGGGCGGGGAATCGAAACTGACCACTTGTCACTCATCACGAACCAGCCCTGCTCGCCACTCGCGGTCCCCCAGCTGTTTTGCACCCTCCAACGCACTGTCTTGCCCGCTTGCTCATCCACGTGGACAGCAGTCAGTACCATCGCATGTGTCACTAGTGCACGTTAATTATATACTGTGCGTTTGAGAATGGTGTGTTTTGAAGGTTTCCCTTAAAACATGGCACAGGGGGGGGCGCCGAGAAAGTAGAATCACGGTGCTTACTAGCGCTCTCACCAGTCCTCAGTCTGGATGCTTTGTCCATTCCCAAAAGGCTCACATTAAAGCCGAGCTCATAGTCAATCAGTTCGACGTCCATGACCCCACTCACGCGGTCGCTAAACTTGCCAACATCACTGCCGAAGAAGACAGGCAGTCCGGCCTTGAGCATGGACACGCACGCGTTCTTGAGCGTCTGCATATCCACATTGATATAAGTTATACCCCGGCCGCCAACTATATTCCCGAGCCTGTCCACAGTGAGCAGGCTCAGGGGAGGATTGCGCGGGTCGTGTACCAAGCTGACAAGGCCAGCAATGACGGACGAGGTAACGCGATACTCCGAGGACCAGATGTCTACCGCAAAGTCGATTGGGGTGGTGCTGACCTCCCTTGCCTTGCCGTTCTTGTCGACATATTGCCATGTGAACTCCTCAGTAGCTGCAGGGGGCGGTCCAAGGGTCAGAGTTAGTATCGTGTGAATTTCCTTGACCATCTTCGCCTTTGCAGCTGCGACGCTAGAGGACGTGGCGGCGGAGGATTTCAGCAGGCTTCGCAAGATAAGCGCATCCTCTCGGAGCTTGGTAAAGATGATAGAGTTGACTATGCCACTGGACATGGCGTTGAAAGAATCCGGGTACAGAACCTGTGGAACGAGGCCATACTTGGCGACAAGGTTATAAACCATATCCCATTGTCCTCCATCAGATAAAGGAGCCTGCACCAGGGTCTGCACCAAGCGCGAGTCCAGATCCTCATCTGCCGTGTCGATGATTTGTTCCAGGAAGTAGTTGGCCTTCTCGAGCTTGTCCCAAAAAAAGAGCCATGACTGCGAGAGCTCAAACGTCTCAAGGTTGTACCTCTGCATTAGGGCGACTCGGAAGACGTTGGTAGCGGCGAAGAGCCAGCACCGGCCCGATGACCGCTGGTTCGTGATGGGGGCACCCTCGAATGGGATCTTGATATTGTAGACTTGCTGGTCGGATATTTGGGCGGCCCGAGACGTCAGGACATCGCGAGGGTTGGCGGCCGAGAGAGCCGACAAAGCAAGCCTAAAGTGCGCGCATGGTGTTAAAACGGGATACCTTTCTGGGCATCAGTTGGGAGCTTTTCGGTCTGATACCTGTTCTTGGGGTCCTCTAATAACTTGGCCTGCCAGTCCTCGAGCTGCGAGACGTCGAGGGTGGTCGGGGATCGCCTCAGAGCACCAAGTGTCTTCTCGTTGGGTGAGCCGGACTGGCCAAAATCGTCAACCTCGACGTAGCCATCGTCGTTGACAGCCTGCTTCCTCTCCAGGTCGAGGGCCCGAAGGCGGTCAACAATGGCCCTCTCGGCAGCTGTTGGCTTAGACTGGTAAGCGCCCATGGTTCCGAGTCTAGGAGATGATCTGAACGTGGATTTGAGTGAGCAGACTGAAAGCGTAACAGGTCCGGTTAGAGGCAAAGTCTTGCTTCCAGAAGGACTCAATTCGTAGGTAGAAAGAGCACATTAGTTGAGGACCGAGCCCATGAATCACAGACCCGAGTGACCATCGAGGATGACCTGGGGCAGCCCTGAGACACTTACGGCGCAGGTGTGGGGAGCTTATCATATGGTCACAGACAGATGCCACAAGCGGCTAGACCTGGACACTTCTAGCCAATAGTCTTACATGTTAGATCCATTTCCCCACTTGGTTGAGAACCCTTTAGGCTGACTACTGCCGGCGGGCATTAAAGATAGCACATGCTAAAGTAGCATAGTACGAAGCCAAACCTACTTATTATTAGATAAGAAAAAGTATTAAATAATTATTAAATAGTTTTTTAATTTAATATTTATTAATAATTAATAAATTATTTTTTTATATTATTTTAAGTTTTAATTTAATATAAATATTTTTTATTTATTTATTTTTTAATAATTTTAATAATATATTTAAATATTATAATATAATTAATTTTTTAAATTATATTTTAATTTACATTATAAAAATAATTTATTAATATTTATTTATAAAATAAACTTTAAATTTAAATTATTATTATTATTATTATAATAATAATAATAATAATAATTTTAATTTATTAAATATTTTTAATTTATTAATATTAAAATTAATATTAAAATAATATAAACTTATAAATTATTAAAAGTAATTAATTATTATATTAATTATTATATTAATTATTATATTAATTATTATATTAATTATTATATTAATTATTATATTAATTATTATATTAATTATTATATTAATTTTTAAATAATTTAATTTAATAATAATAATTAAATTTAATTATTTTAATAATTAATTTAAAAATATATATTTAAATATTTATATTTAAAAATTTTAATTTAAAAGATTTAATATATTAAAATATAGAATTTTATTTATAAAATAAAATTATTTAAAAGCTTAATTAAATTAAAGTATTTACTTTTAAATAAATTCTTTTAAGATTTTTATAATTTAAAATATTAATTTAATAATAAGTAATTTATTTTATAAATTAAAAATATATTATTTTAAAGTTATTTTTATTTAATAATTTTAATAAAATTTAATAAACTTTAAATAAAGAATATAATAATATTAATTTATAATTTATTTATTAAATACTTTTATTTAATATTAAAAATTAAGTTTTATTATATTAAATAAAGTAATATAAAATAATTATAAATATTATATAAACTATTTATATTTTTTAATTTTACTATTAAGTTAAAAATAAATAGTTAAAGTTTTAAAAGGATAAAATATAATATATTTTTAAAAATTAGTTTAATTAAGTTTATTATATAAGACTTTTTATAATAACTTTATAATTATTTATAATACTATCTATTATTAAAAGATACCTTTTTATATTAGTATATTAAGTTATATTAGTTTAAATTAATGCTATTAGTCTATTAAAGGTTGAAGTTATTACGAACTATAGGCTAGTTTAACACTAGTAAGCACTATATATCAGTGTTAAATTCACTATATAACTTAGGTAAGTTAGTTAAAATAGGTGAAGATAAAGCTACTATCCCCCTAACTAGGGTTCTAGCTTAAGTAAATACCTATCTATTAGCTCCGCTATATTATAAGTAAAACTACTTAAAAGTAGTCACTTAGTTAAACTAAGAGATAACCTTTAGGTAAGGTAACTATACTCTATTATTATATATAATATTTAGGTTTATAGTTTTAATAGCTCTACTATAAATAGAAGAAGAAATAGCTATTAATAATTAAGTTTATAATTATATAAAAATAGACCTTTATTTTAAAGAAAAGTTATTAATATTTAAGATAGTAAATATATTTTTAGAGAAGTTAAAAAATTATAAGTTTAATTTAAAGGAAATTAAGATTTATAAGAATTTTAAACTTAAGTTTAAGGGTTTTAATTTAATATTTATATTTATAGAAATAAAAGTATTTATATAGTTTAAAAGAAGATTTAAATTAAGTTAGAAACTAAATTAAGTTATAATAAAAGAAACTAATTAAATAAAAATTAGTTAGAAAATTATAATTATAGGTTTTTAGTTTTATATTAAGGAGGGTTATAAATATTATATATAATAAATTTATTAAATTAAATTTTAAATATATTTTTATAATTTTAATTATTTATTTTAATTTAATATTTAACTTTAAAAATATAATTAATTTATATTAATAATATTATATAAGAGAATTTAATAATAAACATTATAGTTAAGTAGTAAATACTTAAGAGGAGCTCTTTAAATCCCTCTGGCTATTGTGAAGGAGGTAAGAGAGACTATAAACGCCGCAGCTATGTAGAATAGATAACATCTAAACAATATCTAACAATACTCTAGTCCCCTTTTTGTCCAGTCTAGCAAGAAGATAACAAAGCAAACCTTTGCTGCCTCACTATGGCTTAGCCACTTGCTCCTTACGGAAGAACTTGAAATATCCAAATGGAATGATCAGTTGCATGCCCAAAGCAACCCAGAACCACGCTCTGCCGATCCCTGGCATAATGCCCTCGGAAAAATCGGGGAATACGTCCCCCGGGCCAATCTTGTTGGGCGCCGTTGCCCTTGCCAAAATGGTAGCGATGCTTCCAAGGATCTGAGCACCGACAAGTGTAGCGGCAACGTGTTGCCTGGTTAGCGTCAGAAGCAGCACCATGCCCACACCAACGCCCTGAATGGTATCCAACACACCAAGCCAGAGCCACAAGATCCTGGAGACGACCGCCGAGGCTACCGCGCTGCCAATCCAGGGGAGGAAGAGCCCAACGCCTGACGTACCCCAGAGCATCTGTGCCCATCTTGGCGCGCCTAGCCCAACTGAGAACATTGGTACGATCCAGGGGTGGCTCAGACTGAACTTGGAGAATATCCATAGTAAAAGCGCCCACACGATCACGAAGAAGCCGATGGCGAGAAGTACGGCCGACCAACCCGGTAGGTACTTTGAAGAGAAGAGGAACTGCCAGTTCCGACCATAAGGCGCACTCAGCCAGTAGTTCTGCACCACCACCGCGAGGAAGAACCAAGGAACGACATGTCGTCGCATCAGGGACTTGTAGAAACTGGGGATATAGTCCGGGGACTGGCGGTAGTAGTCCGGCAGCCCTACGTAAAGGGTGATCCCGACGAGCCACATGAGGATTGCTATAGGTGCGGCAATGACGAGGAGGATTGGGACAGAGCTACTGGCGATGCTGCCGCTGGTGGGCCCGTCGCCATCCTGGCCGTTGAGCACCGACGCCCAGTACCACAGCGCGACGATATAGAGCTGCTGAATGCCCTGGATTATACACGCGCGGAAAATCCAAGTACTAATCGGTGAGCCGCCCTCATCGCCAAAATTGACAGCAAAGAAGATACTGCCTGTCGAAGCACCAGCAGCGTAGACGCACGTTGCCAGCGACTGAACGATATCGCGTCCGCTGTCTGCGGCAACGAAAGGAGAAATGCCGACGAGGATAAAGGCGAGCCCGTAAAAGAACCAAGGAACACACAAGATGTAAAGTGAGTGAAAGCGACGGTAAAATAACCAACAGAGGCAAGAGCATATGCCATATACCCCTGCTACTGTGTACAGTTTGGTAGCAGTCTGGCTGACCTCGCCCGTTAGAAGGACGATTTGGTAGCTGTTCGCCGAGAGGATCTGACCAAGTGCGAGGAGGAAAGAGTAGACTGGCCAGTCACCAAGACGGATCTGAAGGAGTCTGACGGCATGTTAACGGGATTGCTTCTCGCCACAAGTCCATGTTGTCACTTACTTCTTGACGCCTTTGGGTGGTTTGTAACCGGTACCCAAGAGAAACTCGTCATCGCGATCGGGATCCGAGATCCTAGTGTCGAGTTCGTCGCCGTCGTCTTCATCGCTGGGTGCGATACTGTTATAGCTCACTGACCGGGAGTTGCGAGACGTGGGAAAGGGGCTGGGCAAGGGGCTAGCACTGGGGCTCCGAGAACGCCCAAGCTTCGCATCTTTAAACCTCCTGAACCATTCCCTCTCGGACTTCGTAAGGTATTCTTCAATACAGAGCTCGTTCTCGCTGTTTTTGACACTGAGACCGGCGAGCTTGTTCTCAAAATCGCGGTAGTATTCTCCCGTGTTGTCGTTAAAGAAGGGATCGACCTTCTGCAGCTTGTAATCAGTCCTCTCTCCCACAACTTCAACAACTGACAGCCGTGAGCTGTTGCGTTGGCTTGTGAAGCCGCGGTCAACATTCGAATTGATAGGGTTAGCAACAATTTGGGACGCAGTGCTACTGTCAGGTGCCATCATGCGGAATGCAAAAGTATCGACACTTTCGCGGGGTGCATCGCGGTACGGGCCTTCTCCAACGAGGTCTCTGTATGCGTTCTGCCGAGGATTATTATCTCCAGCTCTATTGACTGCCGCGGTCATGGTAGCTAGGCTGTCGGACGACGAGTGGTTGCTGGGGCCTCCAAACGCGTAGAAGTGATTCGGCGGGGGGAGAAGGCTAGGCGCGTCTGATTCGGACTCATTGACCTGTGCTGGAGGAAGGGGAGGCTGTGACGGTGAGCGTGATCGGTTATCACGACCAATTGTCGATGGTGCCTGCCCGACCGATTCAGCCCGAGTGGCAAAATAAGGGAGGGAAAGGCTTGAGGCTCGTGATCCGCGAGGGCTGACAGATCTGGACACAAAGGCCGACCGGGGGGGTGTCGGCTCAGTATCCTCGAGCAGCCTGTCGTTGGCGGCTTCCAAGTTGATGTTGGAAGGAACGGTAAGCAGCGGTCCGCTTGTCACCCGCTTACTCTTGCGGGCCTCCTTGTTATGCAGACGGATGGCCTCGGACTGGAGCTTCTCAAGGTCCTCCAGCCACTGCCGCACGGGAAAACGCTGCTGGGCAGCCCATGCTCTCATCTGGACGCGGTCCCTCGTTTGACACTCCAGAGCCGACACGATGGCTCCGCGGAATTGACGGAGCAGGTGGCGAGGAGCCGTCGACTCGATAGTATACCAAAATCCAGGCATTTGCCCGAGACCACCCACACGAGCGCCAACTCCGAGGGCCCCCTTTCGACCGAATTCAACGGCTACAAGCCCGAACGGCTCATCCCGAGAAGGTATAAGGGCAAATTCTGCTCCACTGAAGATGTAAGGAGGTAGCGATGTGAACTCCGGCTTGCTGTAGACTCTTTTTGGGTATTTCTCCATGAGCTTGGCCAACTTGAGGGCTGCAAACTTTCCATAGAGATCGATGACGGGCCCAACGCAGATTAACTGGGTCTTGGGGTATCTCTCGAGAATGGACGGGAAGATGTCTGCAATAAGGTCCACACCTTTCTGCAGACTCCATCGCCCAACGAAGACAAAAAGCTCGGCCGTCGGATCAACCTCGAGACCAGCCCACTCCTGAGCCTGCTTGCGGAGTGCGCCGCGTTTAGACTCCGACTCGTCATCCACCATTGGCTTCGCCGTGTTGCTCATCTCGTTTCTATCCCAATCTTCCATGTCGGTAGGGTCAGGATTTGGTAATTGGCCAATTTTGGACAAACCCCAAAAGATGGGATATCGTGCGTACGACCGGTCACCATACTTCTTCGAGACGCCAACAGCACCGAATCCTCTCTGATGTACCCGGAGATAAGAGGCTCCGGCGTGAAGCAGGTTGAAGACTGATCCAAACTGCACGTACTTTTTGACGATCTCAGGGTCGAGGTTGAAAACCGAGCATACTTCCTTGCTTTCCTCCGCAGATCGCATAGGCCAGAGTCCCTGAAATTCAGCATTGTGAAGGCTTAAAGCACACGGAATGGTCCGCTCAGGCAGGAGGTAAAGAGGGGCTGCAGCTCCATGGTAATCGTTTATATGGTAGAGGTCGACCGGAAACCGTTTCATTGTTTGAGCAATACAGTAATTCCATGCGCTGTAGTAGATGGCGGATTCCATATCATCCATTCTAGGCGGGTATGGGTCAGCTTTAGACTGCTTTCGAAAGATGGGCGCATCCAGCAGCACATAGGTAATGTTGTTAACCTTGTGGTACTGAACCTCCACCTCAAATTCTTTACCCATTATTACAGGAAAGAAGCTGTCGGCTCTTTGATCCATTGGGTATTCAATCCCGGAGACACAAGGGACTACCCATATCAAATCTTGGTGCTCGAGTGCTTTGCCCATCAGCTGAGCCATCACGCCGAGGCCGCCGATCTTGATTTTGATGTTCCAATCGTCGATGTTATACTCCATCGTCGCAATGAGGACGGTGCGCCTCTTGGCCAGGGCATCAGCCCCAACATCACTCATCTCCATGCTGTTGCTGTCAGGAGGCTTGCGGAAGTCCTCAAAGGATAGAATCGACAGTCGGTCTGCAGCCCTGTCAAATGCCGACCTGTTGCGGCGCTTGAAGCCGATCTTGTTCACTTTGACCTTGTAAAAGGATCCCATGAATATCCAAATGGCAAAGAGGCCACCTAGAACGGGGAGCACCGCGAGGAGTATGAGCAGGACAATTTGAAGCCACCGGCTTCCTTGAGGCTCCATAACAAACCTCAGGGTATTGTCGTTGAGGCGCAGCCTGTAGCTGAGTGCTGAGCCCGGTGGGGGCGAAGAGATATTGAAGAAATTGGGTGTCAAGGAGGTCGGGCTCAACCGGTCTGCAATACCGTCGTTGTCCACATCGCCGAGAATATAAGTCTGGTCCGGTTTGCCGTCAGGGTTTATACCCCAGACGTTAAGTTGGATGTGTGAGGGCCATTCGTCCATAAAGTGCAATTGCCAGTTGCCATTGCCGTCGACCGACATCTTGTTGTGAATACCTGCATCGAAACCAAATTGATTGAAATCACCCATCACGAACATGTGAGGGAAGCGACTTCGGTATGTGGTAGAATCTCTGCGGGCCAGGCGGCCACTCGAGACTGGGGCGACGTCACCTTGTTGAATGATGCTGCTCGATCCCAAAGGCGAAGAGTGATACTGCACTATCACATGCTCATTTTTCCAAGCTTGAGCGGGCGTCCCTTTCCAGGGAAGCTTCTCAATCTGTTGCCTGCCGCCTACGTAAGGCTGCCAGTCGCTCCAAGACGAGCCCCAGTTTGTCGAGTACCGCCACGAAGACGCGCCTGCCGCGTTGTGGTTTACGAAGAAGTCGTTGCCAGACTTGGTAAACAGCGAGGTCGAGTAGTTCGCTGTCATTGGCCATGCGACGGGATTCTCGACCGAGCCCACACGGCTGTCATATGTTAGCCACCTGCTATGGAGCCTGCAGCATTACATGGTAGAATGTTGCAAAAAATGGACGACAGGGTCCCGCAGAATGGAGAAAATGATACTTACAGTAGGAATTTGTCAGTAGAGTTTGTGCTGTCCTTGCCGTCTCTCGTTGCAGCATCCTTGACGATGATCGAGTGAACACCCTCCTGAATGTTCAAAAGCGTCGCAGACCAACGCCATTTCGACCCAATTGCGCCAACAAAGGGTGGCTTTTCATCGTCAGAAAGCGTGGTGCATTTGATAGAGCCGGTATCGATCCCAGCATCTCTCTCATCCCTCTCTGTGAGCGAGGAAAGGGTGATGGACTCCGTCACCCCGTCACAGTCCATTTCCCGTGAGAAAGAGAAGCTGATATCCAAGGTCCCCTGGGAACCTGAAAGATCAATAGACACATCATGGCCTGGCGTGAACTTTGTGATCATTGGAGGCGCCTCTTTCCAGTCAGTCTTCTTCACGTAAGCTCGGTATTCGAATGGAGCCATCGTGATCTCGGGCAAGCATCCGCTCAGCTTCTCAGAGCCATCAAATCCAAAGGACTTGGGGGATTTCTCGATCTCGATCTCATCGTAGGGATAAAACAAATTCTTCAGTTTGGCATTGGCATCGAAGGGCGAGAAGAACGCTGTCTCGTTCTTGCTGCAGTCAAAAGTGTACTTTTCCTCCGTGTCGCGGTTATGGTAAACAAACCATACTGGTTCAGAAGCAAACTGCCCTTGAACGGTCGGAAAAAATGCTCGAGCAACGCTCCAGATACCTCGTTCAGTAGGTGTCGTGCTCCCATGAAGTATAGTCAAGTCAGTCTGATTCGAAAGCTGCTGCACCAGCCATCCTTCTGAGAGAGTTTTATAATTCTCTCGCATGGTATACATGGCTTTCAGTATGTTTCTTGTCGGATGACTGGGATCGCGGTGATCGCGTGGGACTCCTTCATCTTCGCAACCCCTTCGCCCTTGGTCTAAAGGCCAGTCAATGTACTGTGAGCTGCCTAGATTGTAGCAGCCGTGCATCTTCCCTGTTGGTGACGTTAGTCCTGCTACGGATCCCAAAGTGTTGTATTCCGGAATTCCAAAACAGGAAAGATAGTGATCCGTAACACGTGAGAAATCATGCTTACAGGCGGGTGCAGGACTCATTGGTTGACGCCCAAATATATAGTTGTCTGCGGTGTTGTCCATGACGTAGAGGCTCTGCTCCTGACCGTAGTAGATCAAGGGGATTCCGGGCAAGAACAATGTCGTGATGAAAAACCCCAACAGCTCCCTCTCAACCCCTTGGGTAATTGCTGGCCAGCGAAAATTATCTTGCTGTAAAAGCACGTTAGCATGTTGGCACACGATTGCGTACTGAGGGCAGGGGATTCGATTTTAGAAGTTGATGAAAGTGACGGTACAAGTTGCTTTTGGTGAAAGGCGTATTCCCGTGGGGGTAATGGATACTAACATTGGTTACCCCATACCTGGTGAAGTTAGCCTAGATATCCTGAGGTCCTACGGATCCTGAAGTGTTGTATTCTAGACATTTCAAAACATGAAAGACGGGCATCCGTGAAAGATGAAAAGTGATGCTCACATATGTCTCGGATCAAATTTGCCAGTGTTTGGGTTGACCAAATCATTCGTGAGAATCATCTGGTTCGTAGCGTTGACCCAGTCGAGGGGGAGATCGTAGCCAGCCTCCAGATTACCACTCATTCCGAGAAATCTTGTGAGGTAGTGGTACACAGAGTAATGAAATGCGGCCGAGTCGAGAGCGTTTTGGCCTTTTACGCGGAGGAAAAACTTGTCCTCGCTCTGCTTGCCGGTCAAATTCATAGCTGCCGGAAGCCCTTCGGGCCGTTGATCAGGCTGCCGTCCCCGACCATAGTAGACTTGTACATTTCAGTGAACTGCCATGAGGCTTGAGGTGGGTGGGTGGGTGGGGGAGGGGGGATCGTGCCACGGCAGGAGAAGAATGGGACCTACTGGAGCTGAGAGTATTGCCGGGTGTGAGCTCTCCGGGAAGGAAGAAGTTTTTCTTGCCAACTTTGGCTGCACAATCACGCATTGCTGCAGAGAAGTTGCCCTGAAAGTTTATTAGATACTTCGGATTTTTTTAACAATAGATGACTAACCTGGGCATCGACCGTCACCTGAGCAGCTTTATCGAATCGGAAACCATCGATGTCAAGCATCGTGATGACCAAGCAGGAAAAGTTCTCGAGGCGATGGCGGACGGAAGGTACCCAGTCCCTCAGGCGGTCCTGAACTGAGGCAAACTTCGTGATCTGACGTTGGTAGTCCGGATGGACACCGAAGGCCTCCGTATCACCATACTGGTCGAAGTCAGAGGAGAAACAGCCCTTGAATTTTTCGCGTTCGAAGTCATCGATGGGAAATCCAGTCTCATTCCAGAAACGAGGGTATTGGCATGTGTCGTTGTAGTCGTTGCCGAATGCAAAGTCGTGATACTGTCTCTCGCTCTTGTACAAGACCTTGTATTCATCTGTCTTGAAAGGGGCAGAATCATTGAGGTGGCCTTCAAAACCGATGAGATCCCCTAATCTGAGACGCGAGACAAGTCTCAGTCACTGAAAATCGCCTTTTGAGGATTCAATCACTCACGTAGCCATTGTGTTATCCATAATTACGTACATCCCTCTCGCGTGTATTTCCTGTATCGCTTCTTGCCATAATGAGATATTGCCAAAGTGGGCATCGAGAAGGGTCAGATCAAGGGGCTGGGAAGAAATTAGAAACCGTACAGCCACAGTTTTGACATGATACAAGTACGGACCGAATATGCATCCGCACCCCATGGCTGATTTATAAAAGGCGAGCCGGCAACGTAGATTCCCTGAACATGAATTAATACCTAAGATGAGCACATTCAACAACAGATATAACGTACCTTGATGCCCATACCCTGGATCTGTAGCATTCAGAGTTAGCTATCAAATGACCTAGTAGGGAGAAGCCGACATGATTTGCGGGCTGGGTGTTTGGAATGGGGGTGCCAACACAACGCCACAGCCTGCTCAAGAAGCCAGTATCATGAAACGTTCTGTGGGTCATGGGCTATAGCTGGAAGAGGCTCATTCTTTAACGGGTCGACAAACGTATGCATCAATCTACTTACGTAGTCCAAGGAGTCGACCAAGCCTTGAATATCGCCACCATGCCTGAGCTGCGTGCTCCACACATCTTGCTCAAAAAGGGTGCCATTGGCGTTATCGTTGGAGGGATCACCATTCACCCACTTATCGAGCCTAAAGGGTGACGTTAATTCTGCCACAGATTCCGAGGTGTTGCATTCGAGAACATTTCAAGACATTTCAAGATAAGGGATCTGTGACAGCTGGAGAGTGATGCTTACATGACAGTGTAGAAAGGGAACCTCCAATCATCCGGTGATGGATGATAAGCATGACCTTTTCGTTCGCCGGAATAGTCCAAGGGACTGAGTGCTTGCTGGTTTGTGTTCAGGTTGTACTCAGCATAAGCTGGGTCATAGCGAAGAGCCTGGGCTACCGGGCCTACAAGTACGATATAGATGAGAATCATGGCAGTAAACGACAGGTGCCCCAAATGGGCAACGAGGATGATTCCCGTGAAGGAGACGAGACGAGGGGCGGGTACAGTGAAGAGAAGGAAAACAGACAGACGCACGCAAACTTAGAGCCAAGAGTCCACCTGCCATCCCAATTCATGCCGGACCGAGATATATACGCATTTCCACAGGCATGGTTTGGCAACCCTGGGGGGTCAGCGATCTGACTGTCAGCCAAGTGGGAGGCTGAATCATGGGCCTAAGGGTCTAGCGTGCCATTCTGCGGCTGTGAAATACCAAAAGTAACTGAGAGGTTGTGAGGAGACGCAGCAGGCAGCCAAATTCGAGTTTCAGGGACCAAGCTGAGAAGCTGGTGGAGATGGTCGCTCTAGGGCTCTGCTGTCATCCGCATGTATATCGACTGTGGCCCTGGCGGGAGACAACACTCGTTGGCCCCATGATAAGTCTGGGCATGCGAGAGGTGTAATCTGACCTGTTCCATGCGCCTCAATCTCGCTTCATGTACTTGTTGGCCACTGCGACCAACATGTTGTATCCCAGTTAAAAAGCCTTTCAAAAATGGTATGATACGCAGAAACCTGTAGACAAGCGATGTGATACCCTCTACGGGTGATGCAAGTGAGAACGACAGTAACTTCCGGTACATTGAAACGGAAACGACAGGTTTACTAACAGACCTTGGTGACCCCCGCCCCCAGGCATCTGGCCGCCATGAACATCTGCTCAAGTGCAGTCGAGACTGATGATATCTGTGTCGCTGATATTGGCAGGAGGAGGCGCTGCGCGGTAGGCAGGGTAGCCGTGTATCCCGGTGGGATCCAGACGAACCTTTCCAAGACGCAGACCGACGCTGGAGGCCGAAACCAAGCGGTTATCGGCAGCGTAGGCGAAGGCCGTGCATGTGGCAGCCGGTGGTAGGGTCTCGACTGGTTAGACCGGCCCGCTGTAGGGCTGTACTGACCAGTTCGCAAGGCCGAGTGCGACGACAGCCCATACCACGAGGATACCAGCTCGGCGAGCCAGTCACTCAGCTTGCAGCAGCCATGCGATTCCTTTCAGCCCAATACACACGTAGCAGTGAGCAGCCGTTGACCGGGGCGCAACTGGAAGCAGAGCGAGCTTGTAAGTCCACAAGACTGTGCGGCCAAGCCCATGTGATCATGCCTGGGACATGGAGGGGGCTTTCTGCAGCATCGACAGTCAGCCCCAACCGCCGCCTTCACAGGGATGACCCGCTGCTGATGAGCTCCATCCGGAAACCACGCCCTTGACAGGGTGTTGGACGCAGGGAACTTCCTACGCGTGCATGGCGGGCTGCCTATGCTCGGAGCCGCAATTCCTCCTCTGAGTACTGTGTAAACGTCGTGAAAATGCGACTGCCAGACCGCAGAGATAGTCTCGGGTCGCCAACAGTCATGCAGTCTTGTTTCAGCTGGAGGTCAGCACCTCGGAGACGACCGTTGGGCATTGCGCAATGCTGCTGTTGGCGGCGTCGCCAGGTGCGTCCGATGATGTTGGCTGACGTTCCGCAGGCTGAAGAGGATATTTTCCGCGGAGCAACATAGCCTCCAGGTACCAAGAAGGTCGAATTTGACTGGGGGAACCGAGGTTATCTCCCACGACAGCTACATCGGGCGGCTTGTCTGTGGGAAACAGGCCATGTTGGACCCTCAGCAGGGGACCAACATGCGCGGCCGCCCCGGTGTCTCGCAAGGGGTCCCGGCTCCCTGCTACTGGCCGGCCGCTGAGGATGCCATAGGACACGCCGAGCTGTCATTTTTCAACATGGGCCGTGGCGGACCAAGACTGGACGGAGAGGTTGGAGCGCAAGGCGCGGCCGAAGAGAAGAGGGTTGGTGAGCAAAAGTAGCACGAAGCTGAGGGTGACGGCATGTCGTTGGGGTCAACGCCAAGAAGCTACGCATGTACTTCCTGGGATCCGGGGTCTTCAAAGTTGCATGCATGTGGGGAGTTGTGGCGTTCGCACTAAAGAGACAACAGCTCCCGGGTCGAGACGTCCCCCCCCTTGAGATGTCGATGCTGACGCTCGACCATCTCCATTAGAGAGATGCTAGAAGTGATGTGGGCCATCAAATTCTGGCCTCGGCTGAATCCTCTCACCTGTGCCTGTCTGATTTCAATGTTGGTTGTGCGGAACTGGTTGTCCCGAGGTCTCCTCCCACGTGACATCTGAACCATCCGTTTGATTCCGCATTGGCCATGTATATCTACCCAGGCACGGTATCATACAAATGCGTCAGGATTCACGCCATGGAGAGACGTCGTGTTAAGCTTTGGAGTCTTCTGCTGCCCTGTGGCAAAGCAGCACCAAGCCAGAGACACGTCTGTTGGGTGATAAGCTTCACTCACCGCAACGTACGACTCTGGCTCCAACTCCACGTGCGCAAACCCATCGGAAAGCCACACCGCACTTATTTGTGGGTGGTCTTACGGAACCTCAGCAACTTCCTGCTGCGGGCGGGCAGCCCTTCGACAGCCTCTCCAATGGAAGGCAACGACTGAGCAAGCTTTGGGCGATCGGCCGCCGCGCCTTACCGCCCAACGCATGACGCATGGCTGCTGCGCGTGCTCTGGCTTGACCAGGCGTTCGGTCTGACATCAGCAGGCCACGCTGACGTTGACAGCCCGATACACCGGTAACGCCAACCGCAGCTCAAGTCTAAGAGCCAAATGCTTACACTACCTCGCCCACATTGCAGGCGATGAGGCATTGCGTGCCTGGTCGGCCACATGCAGTGATCCTACTGTCCGGTCTCAGGCATGACGCTACCTAGATGCCTTGTAATGCTGATTCCTGGTTGTAAACAAATGGCATCCGCCCAACTCGGCCGTTACTATCTCATATTCACCGCTCACACTATGCACAAGCGCTTCGGCCTCGACGTGTTGAGATAAGAGGCGGCTGTGCTCTTCTGCGCGGTTGTAATGGCGGCAGCACACCAGCTGATTCGCACTAAATAAGGTTTTACTACCCTCAGGCCTATAGATAGTTAAATCCAGCACTTTACTAGTATATTATAATTTAACCTTTATATATATCTAAATAATAATTTATTCTTATATTTAATATATTATAAGTATTTTTATAATTTATATATTTTAATATAATTAGATTATTATAAGTTATTATTAAAATATAAAAATATTATAAATTTATAATAAAAATAAATTATATAATATTAATATATATTTTTATTATATTAAAATATATTAAAATATATCTTTTTAAAATTTAAATTATTTATTATTTAAAATACTTATTATTATATTAAAAATTAAAGTAATAATATAAGTTTTATATATTATTAAAAATAATAATAAATTAATTATTATAATTTTTAATTAAATAAAAGAGTATTAAATTAATAATTATACTTTTATTATAATAATTAATTTAATTAAAAGTTTTATTTAATTTTTTTAAAAATTATAATTATACTTTTATAAATAATATTTATTTTTTAAAAAGTAACTTAATTAAATTATTAGAAAATTTGTATTATTTAAAACTTTTAAGTTTTTATAAAACTATAAATTAATTTATTAAAAATATTATTTAAAAACTATTTAAACTTTTTTAATATATTTAAAACTTTATAAAAGTTTTTAAAAAGTAATAATAATATAAATTTTATATATTATTAAAGATAATTAATAAATAAATTAAGTATTATAGTTTTTAATTAAATAAAAGAGTATTAAGTTAATAATAATATTTTTATTATAATAAGTAATTAAAAATTATATTATAAAGTTTTAAAATATTAATTTATTATATTAAATATATATTTATATTTTAAATAATTTTATAAAGTTTTAATAATTTTTAAAATATTTATATATTTTATAATAAAATAAAAGATAAAGTAAAAAATTAAAAATAAATAAAATAAAATTAAAAATAAATAGAAAATAAATTTTTATTTATTTTATTAATTTATATTTCTTTTATTTATTAAAGTTATAAAGTTATAAAATTATAAAGTTATAAAGTTATAAAGTTATAAAGTTATAAAGTTATAAAGTTATAAAGTTATAAAGTTATAAAGTTATAAAGTTATAAAGTTATAAAATTATAAAGTTATAAAATTAATAAATAAATTATATAATTTAAAAATTAATATTAAAACTAATTAATATATATATTATTAATTATTAATAATTATATAAATTATTTATATTTTTAATTCTATTATTAAATTAAAATAAATAATTAAAATCTTAAAAAATAAAATATAATATATTTTTAAAAATTAACTTAATTAAGTTTACTATATAAAACTTTTTATAATAACTTTATAATTATTTATAATATTATCTATTATTAAAAGATATCTTTTATATTAGTATTTTGGTTATACTTAATTTATTTAAGTTAGTACTATTAACTTTAATATAAATTAGTCTATTAAAGGTTAAAGTTATTATAAACTATAGATTAGTCTTAATACTATTAAGTATTATATATAATATTACTATATAACTTAGGTAAGTTAGCTAAAATAAGTAAAGATAAAAGCTATTATTCCTTTAAGGGTTCTAGCTCTACTTAAGTAAATATTTATCTATTAGCTCTATAAGTAAAACTACTTAAAAGTAGTTACTTAGCCTACTATATAACTTATTAAACTAAGAGATAACCTTTAAGTAAGGTAACTATACTCTATTATTTAAGTTTATAGTTCTAATAGCTTTATAAAAAAAATAATTATTAATAATTAAATCTATAACTATATAAAAGTAAACCTTTATTTTAAAGAGAAGTTATTATTATTTAAGATAATTAATATATTTCTAGAAAAGCTAAAGGATTATAAACTTAATTTAAAGTATATTAAGATTTATAAGAATCTTAAACTTAAGCTTAAGGGTTTTAGTTTAGATTTAACTTATTTAAAAAGGAAAATACTAAATAAACTTAAGGAAAGGCTTAAATAAGGTTAGACTAAGTTATAATATAATAAAATAATTAAATAAAAATTAATTAGAAAATTATAATTATAGGTCTTTTAGCTTTATATTTAAGAGGATTAATAATTATATATATTAAATTAAAAATTAAAATAATAATTTAATATATAAATATTTATAACTTTTAAAATTTTAAATTATTTTTATATTAAAATCTTTAAAGATATTTTTTTTATTAAATAAATTATTTATTATTTAAAATCTTATAATTTTAAATAAGATTTAAAAGTTTTATCTCTCTTATATCCCTCTTATAATAAGGTATACTTTCCTTTATAACAAGTTTTTAACTAGGTTTATTCTATTTTAAAGCTATCTATGGACCTCTATTATTATATACAACAATTCTTGTGTGAAGAAACACTGAGATCCCATTGTATCTCGATTAGTACCCAATGCCAGCAAGCTCTCGCGGAATGTCTACTTAGCTTCAGCGAGCAAAACAAGGTTAAAATTCATATGCGAGGGGGGTATTTCTTGTTTGGATAAGTATTTTCCGCCAACGCAGCATAAAAGATATCCATCCAACATATTCAAAACTAATCTATGTTTCCAAGTTGTAGAAGAATTGCACCGACACGGCCATGGCTGAAAGCAAGACCTCGCACCTCAAGGACATTGCACTACACTGTCTCAATATAACGTTTCATTTCCCTGCGGGGGAGTTAGCGTTCGATATCCAGGGCCACGTTCCGTATCCAGGGCCAGACTGCCGCAAGGGGGGTGTGGAGCAGGTCAGTGGTGACGGAGACTTACCAGTCTGTGACGGCCTCATCCCATAGCCGGATTTCATGCTCCCTGGTTCCCGCGAAATGATCGACGAACTCGTCTCCAAAAATCTCACGTGCGATGCTTTCTTTCCGAGAGAAGCGCTCCACAGCATCCTTGAGGCTCTTCGCCAATCGCTCGCCCTGGTCAGACTCTCCACCGATGTCATCGCCCTTGCCCAGAGGCGGGCATGGAATCTCCAATTTGTTTTCAATTCCTCTAATCCCACAGCCAAGTATGGCAGCGTAAACAAAGAAGGGATTGGTGTCAGCACCTGGCACGCGAACCTCAAATCGGGTAGCGCCAGGTTTCGATGTTGGTGGTGCGATGATGCGGATAGATGCAGCCCTATGCTCCAAACCCCAGGAGACGGTCACTGGTGCCCAAAAGTTCTCGACCAGACGCTTGTAGCTGTTGATAGTCGGGGCAAACATGGGCATGATATCTGGCAAGCCTTCTAGGAGACCGGCCAGGAAATTACGACCAGTGTCGGAAAGCTGAGCGATATCAGGCCAAGGGGAGGAGGGGTCCGGGGTCTCACGGACCAGAAGGTTCTTACCGTCCCTGTCAACAAGGGAAACGTGCATGTGACCAGAGTTGCCAGGGAGGCCCTGCTTTGGCTTCGCCATAAAACAGGGCGTGACGTTGTACTTGGTTGCGACGGACTTGACGACGTACTTGAACAGGCTTGCGCGATCAGCCATGCCCGAGACTTCACCGAACTCGAGGGCAGCCTCGTAGACACCTGGGCCGCTCTCTGTGTGCCAACCCTCAATATTGCAGCGGAAAGCCTCGCAAGTATTGAAAATATCATAGTAATAGTCCTTATTGTGAACCGGCCTCGTTATGCTGTAACCGAACATGCCCTCTGTCAGGGACGGGAGGTGATGTGTCGGATTCTCCTTTAGGTAGGTTGCGGCCGATTGGCTATCGTCCGGCGTCTTGAACTGGTAGAACTCATATTCGGCTAAGTGAATGGAGACGAGTCAGCGATCGGGGGTCGACCCGCGACAGTGTAAATGTGTAAGCATTGCAGAGCGGCTCACCTCCTGCCATGGCGCCCCAGCCCTTCTCAGCAAGTTTGTCGACCTGCCTTTTCAGGAGCGACCTCGGACAGGCACTCAGGGGCTCTTCGGTGTCCGGGTCATGGAAGCTGACCAGGAAGAAGGGCACATTGTCCTCCCAAGGTATCCTGCGGAAGCTGGACAAGTCCGGGATCGCAATCACGTCGCGGTAGCCGTTCTCCTTATTGCTGATCTTGAGCTCCTTGAAGTATGTCTGGTCATGCATGTCCCAGCCGAAGATGACAGAGCAGAAGCCGAAGCCGGTCTTTGCGATGGAGAGGAACTTTTTCTTGGAGACCAGCTTCCCCCGCAGGACACCATCTACGTCGACCCCGGCGAGCTTGACGCTATTGTCATCGGCGAGGATGGAGGGGAGAGACTCGACGGTGATGTCGTTGGCGTCGGGAGAGGGCTTTCCGGTATCCATGATGTATGACGCGCGAGCCCGTTGCTGCGAGACCAGACGAGGCGAGACAATACGGCTGAGGGTGATGTGCTGCTTGCAAGATGGAGGAGCTGCGCGGGTGAACAGCCCAGGTTTGGGGCGAGAAGGGAGCAGGAGGGCGAGAAGGGAGCAGGAGGGCGAGAAGCAATGGACCCGTGCCCTGGGAAACCTTGGAACACGGCGTGGCGTGGCTGGCACCCACAGTAGGTACTCGTAGAAACCGCCTGGGGGATGATCTCGTGGGGCTTGCTGATCCTACAACGTGCTGTGGTAGATTGGGTGTGCCGAGCCAGCGTCTGCATGTAGATAAGCTCGCCCGAGATCGCAACGTCATTGGCGGGGCGTGCCAAGCTACATGCAGTAGGGAGTAGTGTATCCGTACGTGCTAGGTGCCGAGGGCGAGGGACATTTCGGACACTGCGCTAGTACTGGAGGGCCCGTCGAGAATGCCCCTCACCTAGACAACTAGGTACCTAGGTACCTAGGTACCGGTTACACGTAGAAGAGGGGCACGTACCGGCCTTATCTTGGCCGATGCCCCTCGTTGATATGGAGCTCTCCCCTCGCAGCTTCAACTGGACGGCCCGAGACAGGCACATTTCGGCTCGAGGACCAGGCAATAAGGAATCCGCATGAGTTTGGCCATTTGTTACATTCCCCATGACCTGGCCCCGCCCCGGGTGTCGTGCGCAGCACCCGATCCGGTCCGGTGATCGCCCCGCGGGCGGCCGAGTCAGGACACTGCTCGCAGGAGGTATTGACTGATAAGAGCCCGCGATAGTGTGACGGACGAGCCTCGCAAGTGATGCATCGCCGTCCTGACAGTCCTGCCACGTACAGGCTCGGGTGGTCGGCTGGGCGTGGTGGAACTTGGAAATTTGTCGTCAGAATAAATCCTGTCACGGGCGATACGATCAAACTCAATGCCCAATCAGCCTCTGTGGGACGATAATCAACATATCGGGCGTGCGTCCTTCAGCACTGTTCTGTACGGAGTACTTAGTCAACAGTACGAAACGCCTTGGGAGGCCCCGCCGACAACGGAAGCTGCAGCTACCTGCCTACCTAGGTACCTAGGTGTCTATCTCCCTACCTGGTCCACCGGCTTCATCTTCGCCTTCGTCCTCGTCCTCGTCCTCGTCCTCGTCCCAGTCCCACCTGCTCTTGACACCTTGTCTGTTGCAAGCCCGCCCCCCACTAACGCCCTGAGCTCCCGTGCCCCTCGCCCTGCCTCAGACTCGCCCCTTCAACGCTTGACTGGACCGCCCACGCCCGCCGTGACAGCATAGCTTGCCACTCTTGAAACCGCGCCAGCAAACGTCGGAGCATCATGGCACGCCTCTCCGGAAAGAACGCAATCGTCACCGGCGCTGCTGGGTGAGCACCTTCTGTCTTCGCCCCCAGGCATCTTCGCTGACCCTTCTGACCTCATCCAGTGGCATCGGCCTCGAGACCTCCATCCTCTTTGCCAAGGAGGGCGCCAATGTCCTCATGGCTGACATCTCCGCCCCGGCCCTCGAGAAGGCCAAGGCCAAGGTGCTGCAGCTCGTGCCCTCGGCCAGCGTCGACACCGCCCTCTGCGATGTCTCCAAGGAGGCCCAGGTCCAGGCCCTGGTCGAGAAGCTCGACTCCGCCGGCGGCCTGGACGTCATGTTCAACAACGCGGGCATCATGCACGGCAGGGACGCCGACGCCGTCGAGACCCCGGAGGAGATCTGGGACTTGACCCAAAACATCAACGTCAAGGGCGTGTGGTTCGGCTGCAAGCACGCCGTGCTGTCCCTACGCCGCCACAACAAGACAAAGGGCTCCATCATCAACACCGCCTCCGTCGTCGCCCTGGTCGGCGCTGCCACGCCGCAGCTCGCTTACACCGCCTCCAAGGGGGCGGTCCTCGCCCTGACCAGGGAGCTCGCCATGGTCCACGCCCGCGATGGCTACCGCTTCAACAGCTTGTGCCCGGCGCCCCTCAACACCCCACTGCTTCAGGACTGGCTAGGCGACGACAAGGAGAAGAGGCTGAGGCGCGAGGTACACTTCCCCACCGGTCGATTCGGTGAGGCTATTGAGCAGGCCCAGGCCGTCTTATTCCTGGCAAGCGATGAGAGCAGCTTCGTCAATGGCCATGTGAGTAATCTCCCCACTCGCCTGTGAACGCGAACTCAAGCAAGATGAGACATTGACGTCTGATCTATCTAGGACATGGTGGTTGATGGTGGTATGACCAAGGCCTACGTCACACCTGAGGGGCCTGCCAGCGCCGCACCTGTCAACAACGCGCTCAAGGACTCATTGGATGCGTGAGGTGGCACAAAAGGCACAGTCCCCGAGGACTCGCGGGAATCTGATGGGAAAAGGCCAAATAAATACTGTGCACAGAGAAAAGTACCCTTAGTTGCCGAATTGTACCCTCCCCGGGAGTGGGGTGCACCGGAGGGCGGTTGCACCCACACAGCCACTGCAGCGTGATGATATACGCTCTCGTGTGATGCGTAGCTGGACTCAACAATAGTTTGTTTCACGAAGGTGCCAGGCAATTTAACTTTGGAATCCCACAATATTAATAGAAATGCTGCCCGGGAATCAGATTGTATGCCCCTTGAGCAGTCAGTCTGTGGGGACCTGTATGCAGGAGTCTGCTAGATTCGCCTCGAACTACAACCCGAGTACTGGTGGTGTATGAAGTAGCTACGTCAGGTATAGATTTTGCCGGTTTCAACAAAGCGAACCCACGGCGCTACTTGCGCAGTGCGGCACTTCTTCCCATCGCTACTGAGATGCTTTCGATGTGATGTCTTCAAAACTGGCCTTCGGTGTTACCCTCACCCATGCTCTTGCTCCCTGAGCTCCCGCTCTGGATGGCGCCAACAATACCATCCATATAGCTAGCGCCGCTCCACTTCTGGTGCGTCAACACATCGACACCGAGGTCCTTCTCCCGCCTCTGCACCAGATTCACGTACGCCAGCATGCCATCATGTTTGAATTCCTTGGCCAACTCATTAGTGATTGTTGCCGTGCTGTGCAATCCCGCAAGGGAGATCAGTTGTAGGACGAAGCCCTCTTTAGCGATGTCCCAGATGAAAGACCTGAGCTTGTCCTCGGTGAATCCATGCGCCATCCAGTTGAAGGAGGGGCTCAGGTTGTACACCAGGCCTTTGCCAGGGTACACGGCTCTGACAGCACGCCCGAGTTTGGTGCAGATTTCGACGTTAGGGTCGCCCGTCTCCACCCAGAGCAGATCTGCGTAGGGCCCGAAGGCAACTGACCTCTTTGTCGCGGCTTCCATACCAGCTTTGTAGTGATAAAAGCCCTCACGCGTGCGAGGTATGTCCCAGTCAAAAAAGACTTGCTTACCCCCCCGGGTGAGGCTCGCAGCAAGCGCACGCCGGGCTGTCAGCCCCATGTCTCGGTGCTTCCTGACCGTGCTCTCATACTTTCCGACATCGCCCCCCTCTGCCTTGAGGTGTGCCACAGCGGCATCGTCGAAAGTGACCAGCTTGGTGGTCTTGACCCACTCGGCCTCGAAGGCGTCGACCTCCGGCCCCGAGGCACCAGCCGCTTCCATCTCCTGCAGTGTTTCTGCCAAAGACTTGAGGCTGGGGTCGGCCACGCCCAGGATGAACTCGTGGTCGCGGGCATCAATGGAGCTGCTCAGCAGCTTACCACTCTCAGAATCCGTGCGAGCGATGACGAGATTCTCGGACCCCATAACATCCCACTGAAAGCGCGCGGCGACAAGGCGGTTGATGTGCTCGCCGATGGGGACGAGGACCTTGCCCGCGAGATGGCCACACTTCTTGCCGCCGTGGAGCTGGTCCTCAAAGTGCACAGCCGCCGCGCCATTCTCGGCGAACAGCTTGGCCAGCTTCAACACGGCCGTCAGGCCCCCGTGACCCGTGTCACCATCAGCAACGATGGGCCTGAAGTAGTCGACATACGGTGCCTCGGCCCGCTCCGAGGGGCTGAGTTTTCTCCGAAGGTCCCACTGTTTGCGGTCGTGCATGGACTGGGCCTTGAACATGCGCTGGACTTGGTTCGGTACAGTATTGTAGGGGTAGTCGCCAAAGTCTGGGGAGACCTCGTTCGTGGAGGACAGCGTGGAGGAGCATGCCCAACCGGAGAGATAGAGCACCTCTTGGTGAGGGGCTTGTTGGGTCATCTGGACGGGATCAATGACGCCCACTGTCGAGAAGACACAAGGTGAAACATCAGCACAGTCCTCAAGACTCACAAAACACATCAGGCCGTCATGGTGGTCGCTCACTGGTGTGGATGGGCTCGCCGGCGCTCAGCCTTTGCTGGACCAAGTTCCACAGCTTCCTGGCCATGAGGGAGCTAGGATAGCTCTGCTGCAGCGAGCCCCGTTTTGACACGACATCTGCGGCGGTATATGGCCGCTTGATGCCGGCATACCTTGAGGTGGACCACCACTCCTCGACATCTCTGATCTGCTGTTGGTAGAGGGCATCTTCGGGCGGGCCAGCCTTGTCCTGCTCTGGCAGGATGTGGAAGGAGTCTGACGGGAGCGAGCTGGTGACAGGCGGGTGGACAGGTCGTAGTGGGGCCATGGTGGTCGCGGTCGAGGACCAGAGTCGTGATGAGGCCGAACGGGCTGGGGCGCGGGCATGGGTGGACAATCTTGTCGCCGTCCTCTTCGGGACCGAGGCCGATAATCTGCGCAGCATGCTGGTCCACGCTGCCTCACTTTCCGCTGCAGAGTGTTTGTGGTGGCGGCGTTAGTAGTACGAGGCGGTAAATGAGGCGGAGGCAACAAGCTCGTGGTGTAATTCTGCGCAAATGTAGCCTGGAATACCCAATACCCCGTGTCCGTGGTGTTGTCCACGAGGAGCTTGCTTGAGAGGAGAGGCCGGGATTTGGGGGGTGGGGGAGGAAAGCGCAACAGCTCGAAGGCCGTCTTGTACCCGTTTGGCCGATGCGCGGCCGGCTCGGAGCCGGAGGGGGCTCGGGATAGGGACATCAACCCCTGGGCTTCCAGAAGAAGTGATTGGGCAATGGGCTCTGTGAACAACAAGCGGGGTCCCTGTGCTGTGGGTCGGTTTACCTCGGCTCACCGGCAGCGGGAGCACCGTGGGGTGGGTGTGGAGGGGAGAACCTGGGGTGCTTTTGGGGGAGGTGGGCCTTGCCATGGGGGCTCCAAGTTCCCGAGGTCACCTTGTCTGCTTGCCTGCTTGCCTGCTTGCCTGCCAGGCTTGCTTGGGGCTCAACGTCACAACCCCCCAACCCCGCGCTCGGGTCGAGGCTTTGCCTCGGGATTGGCGGAGCGGTGCACAATCTCCCTGCCTTTATTAGCCCGAGGCGAGGGGATTGGCATCACCATCACCGGCTGCTGAGGCTGACATTTATAAGTTAGGCAATCAAGCCCGGCCGACCTCACAACAATTGCCCGTCCTGTTATCCAACCTTGCTCTGTCTACTCTGCTCCCGTCCGCCGTCCAAGCCCCAATACCGCCAGTATCTCCCTCCAACACCAGGACCGGCCAGCCAGCTCTCACTGCCCGCCCGCGCGATGGCTGCCCGAGTACAGAGCTCATCGCGAGCCATGGGCGCTCTGCGGCCACGGGTAAGGCCCTCGATCCATACTTGTCGTGCTGCTATCGGCCGTGCCTGGGCTTCGTCTGACGCCCCTTTCCATCCATTGTAGGTTCTGCGTGCCCGCCCAGGCGCCATCGCGAGTGTCTCAGCAAGGCCGTACTCGTCCTCGCCGGAGCCTGACCTGAAGACCACCCTGAAAGAGGTCATCCCCGAGAAACGCGAGCTTCTCAAGAGGGTCAAGTCCCACAGCTCTGCCGTCATTGGGGAGGTCAAGGTCGAGAACACTCTCGGCGGCATGCGCGGCCTGAAGGCCATGGTGTGGGAGGGCTCCGTTCTCGATGCCAACGAGGGCATCCGCTTCCATGGCCGCACCATCAAGGACTGTCAGAAGGAGCTTCCCAAGGGCAAGACTGGCACCGAGATGCTTCCAGAGGCCATGTTCTGGCTGCTGTTGACCGGCAGGGTTCCCTCCACCAACCAAGTCCGTGTCCTGTCGCGCCAGCTGGCCGAGCAGGCCCAACTGCCAGACTTCGTCAACAAGATGCTCGACGCCTTCCCCACCGATCTCCACCCCATGACACAGTTCGCCATGGCCGTCTCCGCTCTCAACTACACCTCCAAATTCGCCAAGGCGTACGAGAAGGGCTTGAACAAGGCAGACTACTGGGAGCCCACCTTTGACGACTCCATCAGCCTGCTGGCCAAGCTGCCCACCATCGCCGCCAAGATTTACCAGAATTCGTACAAGGGAGGCGGCGCTCTGCCTGCCGACGTTGACCTGGACCAGGATTGGTCTTACAACTTTGCCGCCATGTTAGGCAAGGGTGGCAAGGAGAACGAGAACTTTCAGGATCTGCTGCGCCTATATCTCGCCCTGCACGGCGACCACGAAGGTGGTAACGTGTCGGCCCATACCACCCACCTTGTCGGAAGCGCTCTGAGCGACCCATTCCTCAGCTACAGTGCTGGTCTCCAGGGGCTTGCGGGGCCTCTCCACGGGTACGACCATTCGGACTCCTCCCCCGCCCCCGCTTCTTCTTTCCTGGATACGGTACCTGCTAACATGCTTCTGTCCTAGTCTCGCGGCTCAAGAAGTCCTGCGGTGGATCGTTCAGATGAAGGAAGCCATCCCGTCGTCGTACACAGACAAGGACGTCCATGACTACCTTTGGTCGACCCTCAACTCGGGTCGTGTCGTACCCGGCTACGGGCATGCCGTCCTGCGCAAACCGGATCCTCGCTTCGAGGCTCTTATGGACTATGCTTCCGCGCGCCCCGAGATTGCTGAAGACCCTGTTTTCCAGCTCGTCAAGAAGAACAGCGAGATTGCACCAGAGGTCCTTAAGAAACACGGCAAGACGAAGAACCCCTACCCGAACGTCGACTCGAGCAGTGGTGTTTTGTTCCATCACTATGGCTTCACCGAGACGCTCTACTACACGGCCACATTCGGTGTGTCGAGGGGTCTGGGTCCACTGGCGCAGCTGATTTGGGATAGGGCATTAGGACTGCCCATCGAGAGGCCAAAGAGCATAAACTTGGCCGGAATCTTGAAACAGATTGAGGGCAGTTAATCGCAAGAACTTCGCGGCGTATGGGGTTTGTGCGGAAGAGGAATTCATAATTTGATCCATGCCCTTCCCGCAGCTAGTGGTCCGCTGTTTTTGTCCCCTCACCGGACTGGCTCTCGTGATAACACCCAACAACGACCGACTCCAGTTATAGATATTTGAATCCCACGCCGTTTCAGCCTAAGCACATACAGCGAATTCCACGGACAGGCAGATATGAGTTTTTCTGCTCCCTCTGGCTCAGACTTGTAACGGGGCGATTGATTAGGATTAGGGGGGTGGGTTAGCAACAGCCAGCAGTACTTAGCATATTATATATTCAGCCTCCTATTTACCGTAAGGTTTCACTTCTATAATATATTTTATTATTATACTATTATTATACCTTTAAAAATAATAATATTTAAAAATAAAATTAATAATTAAATAATTTTTTTATTAATATATTTAATTATATTTATAAAAGTTTTTTTAAAAAAATATTTAATAAAAATATTTAATAAATATATTTAATAAAAATATATAATAAAAATAAATATAATATTTAAAAATATTTAATTTTTAAAATATATAATATAATTTTATATAATATATTTTTAAAACTTAAAATTAAAAATTTATAATTATATATTTTTAATTAATTTTTATTTATTTAATTTTTATTTAATTAATTTTTATTTAATTAATTTTTATTTAATTAATTTTTATTTAATTAATTTTTATTTAATTAATTTTATTTAATTAATTTTTATTTAATTAATCTTTATTTAATTAATTTTTATTTAATTAATTTTTATTTAATTAATTTTTATTTAATTAATTTATAATATTATAAATTAATTTAATTTTTAATTTAATTTAAATTTTAATTAAAATTCTTTTATATTTTACTTTTTAAAAATAAATATTAAAACTCTTTAAATATAAATTTAAAATATTTATAAATTTTAATTTATTTTAAATTAAATTTATAAGTTTTAATTTTTAAAAATATATTAATTATTATAAATAATAACTTTTAAAAAATAAAAATTTATTTTATATAATTATAAATTTAATTATTAATAATTTTTATTATTTTTATAAATTATTAAAATTATAAATATAAATAATAAAATAATATTATTTTATTTAATATATTAAATAAATATTTATTTATAAAATAAACTTAAAATTTTTAATTATTTTTAATAAATATATTTAAATTATATAATATTTATTAATATAAAATTATTTTATAATTTATAATAATTTTAATTTAATATATTAATATAAAAAATTTTAATAATAAATAATATTATAAATATAAAATATAAAATTATTATAAACTATTTTATATAAATAATTAATTAAATTAATTAAAAATATATTATTTTATTTTTAAAGTTTTAATTTTTATTTTTAATTTAATAATACTTTTAAAATATTAACTTATAATATATATAATTATTTAATTATTTAATTATTTAATTATTTAATTATTTAATTATTTAATTATTTAATTATTTAATTATTTAATTATTTAATTATTTAATTATTTAATTATTTAATTATTTAATTATTTAATTATTTAATTATTTAATTATTTAATTATTTAATTATTTAATTATTTAATTATTTAATTATTTAATTATTTAATTATTTAATTATTTAATTATTTAATTATTTAATTATTTAATTATTTAATTATTTAATTATTTAATTATTTAATTATTTAATTATTTAATTATTTAATTATTTAATTATTTAATTATTTAATTATTTAATTATTTAATTATTTAATTATTTAATTATTTAATTATTTAATTATTTAATTATTTAATTATTTAATTATTTAATTATTTAATTATTTAATTATTTAATTATTTAATTATTTAATTATTTAATTATTTAATTATTTAATTATTTAATTATTTAATTATTTAAAATTTAATTATTTAATAAATTTTAAATATTTTATATATATTATTAAAATATATTTTATAAAATAATTTTAAATTTATTTTAAATTTATTTTATTATATTTTAATATTATTAAAATAATAAATATTAAATTAATTAATAAATTTAAATTTAAATTTAAAATATTTATTTTAATTATTTATAATTATATTTTAATTTATATATTAATATTATTTATTTATTATTATAATATAATATTATTAATAATATTATATTTATTTATTAATTTATATATATTTTAAATTTATAATAAAATTAAAATTAATATAATAATATATTAATTTATTTTATATAAAGTTATAATTATATTATATTTTTATATTTTATATTTATATTTATATTTATTATAACTTTAATAATTAAAAAAGTTAATATTTATTTATTTAATAATTATATTTACTTATTTAATTCTTATTAATTATTTATTTAATATTAATTTTTTTAAATAATTCTATTATATTTATAAGTACCTTTTAAGTTAATATTAAGAGACTTTATAGTATAATTTCTTTCTCTAATTTTTAATACTTTAAGTATAAACTCTTTCTAATATACCTTTTAGTATACCTTTTAATATACCTTCTAAACCTTTTAACCTATATATATTTAGATATTAATTAAGTATTTAGATGCTAATTAAATGCTAGAAGGTTAGAAGTTTAGAGGGCTAAAAGGTTAAAAGGAGGGCTAGAAGGTTAGAAATAGTATAGTCTTTACCTTTACCTTCTTACCTTCTGGCCTTCTAGTGGTCAGTTGGCATCTGAACGCTTAGTTAGTACCTGAAGGTATATAGGCTAGAAGGGGTGTTAGAAGGGGTGTTAAAAGGGGTGCTAGAAGGGGTGCTAGAAGGGGTGCTAGAAGGGGTCCAGAAGGGGCTTGTACTGAAAGTATTGAAAATTTGGAGAATCCTGGTCAGGTACATAGTTTTGTATGGGCCTAGTATGTAAATTCTTGTATTGGGTGAGTAGTTAAAAAGAACTAGGTAAGTAGACACAATTACTAGGTGAGTAGACATTAGCTCATTAAAGAATTATATATTATAATATTTATTTATAATTTAATATTTTAATAAAAAATATTATATAATAAAATATCAATATATTAAATATAAATATATATATAAGTTACCTTTTAGAATATTTAAGTAGGATACTAGATATAATTAGAATGATAATATAGGCTTGATTGACTTATTGTAGGTGCTATAACATGCGATAACAAACGCGACCACCACGTGAAAGGAGAAGCCCCACCCTATCAATCCTCCCCGGGTCCCGGTCCACCCTCCTCGCTCGCCGCCACCTTAATGCTTCCATCCAAGAAACTCTGCCTCCAGCCGGCGCAGAACGCGAAGATGAGATAATTCTCGCGCGGGGTTTCGGCGGTCCCAACATCTAAAAGTTGCTGGATGTTTTATGAATGGTGCAAGAAGGAAGAAGGCAGGCAGGCAGGCAGGCAGGCAGGCAGATCAACCTGTCAACAACCGCACGTCAGTGATGAGAGAATGACAACCCAGAGGGTGGCATGCCCGAGCCTAGAAGCTTGTGTTGGCTATTTCGTGCACTTCTGCCAGCTGAGATGCACTTGCTGGGTGAAGGCGACGGTGGCGTCGTCGTCGGTGACCGAGCCGGAGGCAGTGCTGTTGGTAGAAGCCAAAGCAATGCGGTTGTTGATATTCCTGCGGCATCGTAATTTAGTATTTGCCCTTCGTACTTGCAAAACATGGATGGCAAGGGGACCCTGATGTGTGTCAAGCCTGTACGAGGATACTTACAAGATGCCTTGGGCTCCACATGGCGAGTAGATGACACTGGCTGTGGGGACTTGGTCGTTCTTGGTATAAACCTGGGAACACTCCTGTCAGCTCTCTTCCCGCCCTCTCCCTCTCCCTCCCCCTCTGCTCGACCTCTTTGTTGCAACCTGTTGGTGGTCGGCTGGCAACAGGAACCCCCCTTCTCCCCCGGGCATTTTCAAACTCACCTGGCCAGCAGCCCAGATCCCACCACCAGTAATGGAAGTCCTAGTTGTGGTTGTGGCCGTGGCATCCTGGGAGAAATAGTACGTGCTAAGAAATGTACCGGTAACTCCCGCGTCCAGCTGGGCGTAGCCGTGGTAGGTGCTGTCGAGCACGGCGAACTGGAAGCCACCGGGATAATTGAGCGTGAGGTGGAGTTGACAGTTCTTTGTGCGGTCAGCCACGACAGTCCCCGGGCCGATGTAGGTCTGGAAGGCATCGAAGCCGAAGGTAACGACGGTCTTGTCGGAACTGAACGAGGTGGACACGGTGCCCTGAGGGCAACCGTTGCCGGAGAAGCTAGCCGCCGCGATGGTGATCTGACTGGGATCCGGACCTGCGCCGGCGCTGGAGCCGCCGGGGAAGTTCAGACCAGGGAGGGCCGCAGCGGCGACGGGGAAGAGAAGGGTAGCGAGGGACTTCATGCTGTCAGACGGAGACTCAACTGGACGACGGTCAGGAGCAGTTCTGAGAGCAGCGGCTGTCGCGGGGGACGGGTGATGGTGGACGGGCTCATCTCGAGAGCGCCGGCTTGGATGAGTCGGGGCGGTATTTATACACGAGAGCAAGGGGCGGCGGCCACCGTCACATCCGTGTTGATGCTAGACACGAGCGCTCTGGTTAGCAATGGCACCCTCCCCCCAGCAGCTCGGGCTTGAGCAGGTCGACGATGACAGGGCGGGAGAACCAGAGCAGTCAATGGAGGTATCGCTCCGTCAAGAGGTGCCGCCAAGGTCGAGTTGATTGAGTGGTTCAAGAGACTAATCAGCTGTGGTGGGCGCCATTGCTGAAGCGTCCGCCGAAGACGCAGCTGGCGCGAAGTAACTTCATGTCGAGCTAGAGGCCCCGCGGATACACGTCTTGAGAGTAGTGCGGGACGAGAGGCTTGTCAGACTCATGCTGCAAATTTGCGGTTGAAAAGGCAAGATAGATGAAAAGATATTAACCGGGTGGCCTCGAGTGCTGGGGGCGGCGGCGAAGGTGGACCGGGTCGCGGCTGGGCTGGAGCTCGAGCAGCGCGTGGGTACATATATCTGAGCATGTGCTGAGCAGCTAGAGCCCCGGGGCAGTCGACGGGCCTCAACAGGTAGGCATGAGCTGGCTGCGAGCGGGAGGACGGGCTGGGTTGTTGGCGATACCTGGCCAGATAGTCACAGCGCTGTATCCCAGGGGCCACGCAACAGCACGAGACTGGGGGAGGAGGCGGAGGAGGGGCAGGAGACAGCTGAGCAATTTAGATGACGAAGTTTACGTGATGGAAAGGCTGGAACCGGTGGTCTGGACAGGATGGAGTTGTATCGACGATGCTAATTCAGGACAAGATTGTCAGGGTCCAGTTGATTAAGCTTAATTATCCCTACACCTGTGGGTTACGCCGGCCAGCCTCCAGGCCAGGCGGTAGCGTCAGCAATGGTGGACTTGGCACCATCTAAAATGAAGGTCTGGCCCCAGCTGGACGGGGCCATTGTGGGCAAGGAGAGCACTTGGGGGTCACCTGACGGGCACACGATGGCCTCGAGTACTCCGTATGGGCTCGCACTATCGCGGGGGCCGGGGCCGGGGCCGGCAGGGCGGCTAAATAAGTACCTAGGTACCTAGGTACCTAGGTACCCAGGTAGCTGGCTGTGGGCTGGTCCGAACCGTGGTCTCGGGAAAAGGTCTGTGGGGAAACGCCCCACGGAGAAACTTGCCCAGCGGGCCACCGAGTCCAGGCCCTTCTGCCGCCAACCGCCAACCCCCTAACCCTGCGGGCTTCTCTCGACCTGTCCGCCTGTGGGCCAGCCATCAGCCTCGCCTCTCCTCGGACCTTTGGCTCTTCTCCGGTCGTCGGGCCCGGGTCGTGCTGGTGACTACCGGTACCGTCTCGAATGCTCGTGCTGGTGGTGAGACTGAGCATGTGTGCATCGGGCGATCCGTGGCCCGATGGCCTTGCTGCTGGCCCTCGCCCGGCCGTGGCCACCGCGAGCCACGAGCCACGAGCCACGCAGCACCATGCGCGTGCTCGTCGACGAGCATGGCAGCCCGGAATGATGCCAAGCTGAGAGGGGTCCTCCCGAGGGCAGTGTCCTCGGCCACCCGTTCCAGGCAAGCCGACCGGGATCCAGAGCTCTCCCAAGCCGTGCTGTCTTCCTGCTCCTCCTGCTCCTCCTCCTCCCGCCTTGTCCTGCTCAGGCCATTCTATCCCGAGCGCATGGGGATCACCAATCATGCCGTCCACTCCACGCCCAGAACCCTTGCAGTGCGGGGTGCAGACCACTTTCGCATCCTGCAACCGCTCCCCGAGGGCCGTCTGGACCGAGCCCAGATAAAACGACATGTCCCATTTGACCACCACCTGGGCTGCTGGGCTGCTGGGCTGCTGGGCTGCTGGGCTTCGACAGGTGGCTGCCGTCCAAACGCAGCTCTCTGTTCTGCCCGGATAATTTTTCCATCACTCACAGGCCACTGCCTGGGCCCGTGGAGCCACCCTGCACACGGCCGAGTAGTTCGTGACGCCCGTCACCCCACGGCTTGTCCCCCCTCTTATTCCTATCTTGGTAAGGCCAGCACCGGCGGCCACCAGATGCTGCTCGTCCAGAACCACTGCACCTTGTATCATGCCAACACCGCCCGGGCGAGTATAAGAGCCGGGATATCCCATTGACCAGTCCATTCACTACTCACTCGGCTTCATCGTAGCATACCTCGTCTTTGTGCACCGCACGTTTACACAGCCAACGGCACACCCAGGTATATACTTGAGTAATTACCCAACACTCGAATACGCACACTCGACACGGGGTGCAAGACAAGACTCCAGCAGACAGTCCACCACAACCAACAGCGGGAATAGCCAGCTGCACTCGGCCAACATGGGCTCCACCGAAAAGACCATGAATGCGGTCCAGTACTACGGGCAACGGGATGTCCGTCTGGAGCAGGTGCCGCTGCCCGGCCCCGTCAAGCCCGGCTGGGTCAGGATCGCTCCCAAGTTCTGCGGCATCTGTGGCACAGACCTGCACGAGTACGTGAGCGGCGCAAACCTCATCCCCACGCCGGGACACCCCCATCCCATCACGGGGGAGACGCTACCCCTGACCCTCGGCCACGAGTTCTCGGGCGTTGTTGAGGAGGTAGGCGAGGGCGTCACCCACGTCAAGAAGGGCGATAACGTCTGCATACAGCCGACCCTCTGGGACGACTCGTGCAACTCGTGCAAGAGAGGCCTCGTCAACTGTTGTGATGGCAACGGTTTCCTCGGTCTGAGCGGCTGGGGAGGCGGCATGTCGGAGCTGACCAACGCCCCGGCCGCCGCCGTCAAGCCGCTCCCGCCCAACGTCTCCCTCGAGGTCGGCGCCCTCGTCGAGCCACTGGCGGTGGGCTGGCACGCGGTCAAGATATCCCCCTTCAAGGAGGGCGACGCGGCGCTCGTCCTGGGCGGCGGGCCGATCGGGCTGGCCGTCATCCAGGCGCTGGTCAGCAAGGGTTGCAAGAACATCATCGTCTCCGAGGTGGCTAAGAAGAGGAGGGACTTCGCCACCCACTTTGGCGCGCACGCCGTCATCGACCCCACCACCACCGACGTGGTGGCCGAGGTCGAGAGGCTGACGGACGGGCACAAGGTCGACGTGGCGTATGACTGCGCCGGTGTGCAGGTCGCCGTGGACTCTGCCTTCAAGGCACTCAAGACAAGGGGCATGCTCGTCAACGTAGCGGTGTGGAAGGGAAAGGCCTCTTTGAACATGAATGACCTCGTCTTCAGGGAGCGCGCATATATGGGAGGTAAGCCGAGACCCTCCTGTCTGCACCGTCGACCCCCGGGCCCCGCCCCCACCCCCCCCCCCCCAAAAAAAAAGAAAAAGAAGGGGGGGAGGAGAGGCGGGGCGCACAATATCCCGGGCTTTACTGATTCTTTTGTTGTCCTAGTTGCCACATACGTCCACGGTGACTTTGAGGAGGTGATTGAGGCGATCTCCACTGGCAAGATCAAGCCCGTGGATATGATCACCAAGAAGGTCGCTATGGATAAGGTTGCAGATCAAGGGTTCAAGACGCTGATCGAAGACAAGGACAGCCACGTGAAGATCCTCGTGGATATGACGCAGAAAGTAGGATAAGTTCGGAGTGCGGTGGAGTTGTCGGTCTCTTTGCTTAACCTGGGCTTTGCTTTGATACCCGGCACGATTCATGTGATTCAGATGATTTTGGGGCATATTGTCGTGATGGGTGGACTTCTTCAGTAATTATTTTCCATGATTATCAACATGTAATGGATCTCCACACAATTTCTGAGCGACGGTCAACACGCTTCTTGAGACCTGCTCATCTATGAACAGGGTCCCTAATGTTCACTGGCTAGTCCGCATAAAGCCGTATCAAGTCTCCAGAACCCATCAAGGTTGAGCGCAGAGGAGCAACCTCATCGTGTTTGTTTGGGCTGTAAACTTAGTGCACGAAGCTTTGATGCTTCCACACAAGCGGCATGCCATCACAATACTCCAAGATAAGCTTTGTGCGCACGCTCACACTGCATCCTGTTTCCGTGTTTCTTGGTTCGTCCAGAAATGTCTCCGTATGTCAGCGGGAAGTGGGAGTGGAGGAATGTTGTGGTGGTTGAAAACCCCCAGCTCACGTGGGTGGACTGCCTTGTCGCATATTACGATGCATCTCTGTCCGGCGGCGTCCATGGCGAAGTTTCTGAGAGTCCCAAGCAGCGAAACCAGCTTCTGAAGACGATCCTGTATCTCGTTCTCGTAGGCTGCAAAAGACGTCGCGAAGCGAAACACATCAACCCTCGTAAAAGAGCGACCAGTGTATGTTCCGCGGACCAAGTAAGGGATCCTACCCAGCCACAGCTGGGGCATCTTCTTGTACCCTGTTCCAGCGCCCGCGTAGAGCTCCGCCGCGTCTTTGCTGAGGGTTCCGTTGCCCCTGATAATCACCTCGGAACGGGGCTGGTGCCAAAACCTGGGTTTCTTGGGGACTGTCAGGCCTCGAAGCCCGAACAAGACCTCCTCTGCCCGGTCGTTTGGCCGGTATGCGCCTGAGAGCTCACTGGTGCCCACAGAAGCAGGGTTGGGGTGGAACTTCCATCGCTTGTCGTGAGATGCTAGTGCTTCCCCGGAGTCTTCTAGGGCGGCGTCGAGTTCTGAAAGAACTGCGCAGTTTAGAGGGCCTAGATGGTATCGGATTGCCCGGTGATAGCTGCCGCTGTCCCGCAGTGAGCGATTAACGAAGAGGTCCTCGAAATCACGGCCGTGGTTTGTTTTTCCCGACGCCTTTTCGAACACGCTCTCCCAGACAGGCGTGATAACGAGGGTGCTGTGAACCATTGCCAGGTCTAACCGAAAGTTTTGCTTGACACTGCCCCCGGTGAAGCGAAGGAGATGTCGGAGCGAGTTACGGTTGACGATCAAATCGACGTTGTCAAACCTGAAGTCTGGGTTCAGAACAGACATACTCTGAAACATTGGTTCAAATGGACATGATGGCATACGCGCTATGTTTGCGTCCCGATAGTGCTTCACCCTGCTCCTCTTGCCAACGATGAGCGGGAGTTTTAGCGGGGCAACCAAAGGTGCTTCTCCTGGACCCGCCGGGGTCACATTAGCTGTTGCAGTGGAAGATTGTCAGGTGGTTCACATCGAGACTGATAGCCTGCTTACCCGGAACGTAAATATATGGGCACAAAGAGCGACGCTTGGAGTTTGTCTGGGGCAGCGGCCTGGGCGGCTGCTTTGGCGGCTGCTTGGGCGGCTGCTTGGTGTCGACCCTCCAGCTGTAACTGCAGAGAAGCTCAAACCCCGAGGCGCTGGTGACCTGATCAGCGCATGGCCTCAGGGACTCGAATTTGATACAGCCAATCTTCTCTCCTAGGTTCCGGGCCTGCCAACTCTTCTTAGGGTCGAGCCCAGCGTGCCGAAGACGTCGGCGGAGCAGGAAGCCTAGGGTTTTCTGGCCGGACTGACTCGCTGTGTTCCTCGCAAAGGTGGGCAGCATCAGAGCTTCGTTTGCGAGGTTTGGTGCTTGCATGTGTCATGGTGTTTGATGTTGGGGAGACATGATGCTGGCCGCCCGAGTGAAGAAGCCTGCATCACATGATGCAGCCTTTTCCCCCGGGGTGGGTGGAGTGTTTATTGACAGTGGAAATTGTTAACGGTCCCCGATACCCTAACCCTGCGCTTGTCGCACCAAGGTCACTGCCGTCGACAGGCTCAGCAATCCTCACCAGGTCGTCTTGCACAGAGAAAAGTTGATGGTCAGTAAGCAGGCAGTAACCTGTGTTGATTGCGTTTGAAAGATCTCTGCTATGTAAGCACTGCATGTGTGTATGCATGTGAGGAGGGGGGTAGGGGGAGAGAGAAAGAGAGACAGAGAGGGTCTTCAGGAGCTGGCAGAGGTTTGGGAAGTCCAGTGTCCGGCAAGTATATGATTATGCTGTTCTGTGGATAGCCCTAGTGAGGTTATAGTGTAGATTTGTACAGAGAGGCTCTGGAGACATGGGTGCATTCCCATGGATGCCCCTTCTGGAGACAGAGACGAATCATTGACAGGAGTTCCGATATTGTCTTTAATAGAATACACGAGTAGAAGTCATATAGAAATAGGAATAGACACACGCCGTCAATCTCTTGCCTTTTGGTTTACATGCACCACCCATTGCCTGTCCATCACGAGCATTCGATCAAGTGTATCAATACTGGTCCTGGACTAACAAGGGTGCAAGCGAGATTGGCGACGATCACCAGCTCGCCACCATTTGTCTACTGACAGTACCGAGTACTACATAGTACAGTCCTTTCAGGGAGATAAGGCTTCTGGCCAATGGGAGGCTGCATTGGCTGGCGGGCGCCCGCAAAGGAGAAAAGATGGGCAGGGGAGCCCAGCACTAGCGGAAACGGTTCCTGCATTGGCGCAGCCCCTGGGGAAAATGGAATATGGAAAAGGGAAATGGAAAGAGTAACGCTCCACCCCCCCCAGCCCCCGAGCCCAATCCCAAAGCAGCACGGGGAGACCCTCATCTCAATCTCAGTCTTCAATGACCCATGGGCCATGGCACCAATCCCCAGTGAAACGTACCTGCAGCACGGCACCCATTGGGCCACGCCGTCAGGCCGTCCTGCCGGCCCCCTTTTCCCTGTGCCTGTGCCTGTGGCTCGCGGTGGCTCGTGGTGGCCTCCCGGGATCCACGGTGAATCTCCGTCCTCGACACTGCATTCCCTGGGTTATTAAGACTTGGCTACCTGGGGTGCTGGGGAGATCGACTGGACGTCCTGAAGTCTGTCGTGTGTGCGAAGTGCACCAGCAGCACACAATTGCATTCATTTGCTTGGCTCGCCTCGTCCCATTTCCATCCCGTCCCCATCCCGTCCTTTTTCACTCCCGTCCCTCCCCTCCCTTGCCTGCTCTCTGTCCACAGACCTCGAGTCGACCCTCACCTTCATTTGCTGCTCGAGAACGTCTCGAGAACCTCCACGCTGCTTCTGCCCACGCCGCCTCGCCGTGGCTGCCGCCCACATCTTGTTCCCCGTGGACCTGGCAGTTGTACCTGCTATTCTCTGCTACTGATCCCTTCGCCGGCAAGCTTGTGCTCGCCGTGTCTGTCTTCGCGTGCGTATGGTGCCAACCTCTGCCTAGCTAAGGCATATATTCATGAGGCTAACACTTGACTCAGTCTAGCCGTCGACGAGACAGGACCAGGTGCTGTGCCATTGAGGTCGACAGCCACCGTATTATAATTGATAATTATTTTGTTTGTTTGGTTTTGGCAGTGCAATCCAACAGGCGCTCGACACCATGCTGTTGCCACGCTCCTTTCTGCTGCCCGCTGCTGTGCTGCTGGGCGCTGCCCAGTTTACGCTGGGACAGACAACGACCAAGTGCAATCCCTTGAACAGCACCTGCGAACCAGACCCCGCCTTCGGCACAGACTTCAACTTCGTTTTCAATGCCACTCCGAACGAGGCGGCCTGGGAGAACCACGTCGGAAAGGTTGCATACGGCGACGAGGGCGCCGAGTTCACCATCAACAAGCAAGGAGACTCGCCCACTATCCGCTCGAAATTCTACATCTTCTTTGGCCGCGTCGAAGTATGGTGGAAGGTGGCCCCCGGCCAGGGCGTCATCTCGTCTTTGATGCTGTTGTCTGACGATCTGGACGAGGTCGACTGGGAGTTCCTGGGCGGCGACGGCAAGCGCGTCGAAACCAACTACTTCGGCAAGGGCGTGGGCAACTACACGTGGATGAGCGAGTATGAGGTCCAGGGCGGCACAACCAACGACTACCACAACTACACCATCGACTGGACAAAAGAAGCTCTCGACTGGCATATTGACGGCCAACATGTCCGCCACCTAACCATCGAGGAGGCCAACAACACGTGGAGCTTTCCACAGTCCCCCATGAGGATTTCTCTTGGCATCTGGGCTGGTGGTGACCCTACGATGCCCAAGGGCACCATCGAGTGGGCAGGGGGTGAGACGGACTACACCAAGACCCCGTACACCATGTATGTCAAGAGTTGCCGCGTTACCGACTATGGTCGTGGCACCGCATACAAATACACCGACATGTCGGGCACCTGGCAGAGCATCGAGGAGGTCGAGTAAGTTTCAAAAGCAATATTCATGTGTGCCCCACCGTCTTCTTACCCGTGGCTGACCATTGCCCCGTTACCAGGTCCGAGAAGAACTCGACTGCGGCCGCCGCCGTCCATGCCGAACCCGAGAAGAGCGTCTCGGAGAAGTTCAACGAGCTTCCCACTGGTGCCAAGAGCGCCGTCTTTGCATGCAGTGCCGCTGCTGCCGTTGGTCTGGCGGTCGCCGCGGGTTTCTACTGTTTCCGCCAGCGCAAGAGGGGCCAGCACGAGGCACAGATGGCTGTTGTGAGGGCTGAGGAGGAGCGCGTAGAGCTGGAACGGTACAAGGCGGCCGGAGTCAACCCCGACGGATTCACCGACATGGCCCCGACCCCGAATGAGAAGTTCGGTGCGGCCGCTGCATCCAGGCCGCTACTGAACAACGGCGGCTCGCCCCCGGGTACCCCACATGACGGCCAGGACCCGTATAGAGATGGCTTTTCGCCCCTGGGCTCGGGCAGTGGTGGCTACTCCTCGAACCCCAATGGGTTCCGGTAGATGACAGATCCGGTTGACACTTACTCGAGGTTGAAGGGACGAGCAGCCGCAGCGGGTCCGGAGTCAAGTTCGGGTCTACACATTTACTTCACTTCGAACGACCGCATCTGTTACAGTGTTTATCTTCCTGTCATTTCAAGTTTTCGGCCATCCAGATTCTTTGTGCCTCGACACTGTCGCGCGCATGTTCTCCGACGGCGGGTCGCAGTCATCTCAGATGCGATTTACCATATTCATGGATACGACGTGTATATATACCCTTTAGTTGCGAGTACTTAGCGGAGTCGAACAAATGTTTCAGTTTAGAGGTCACCCTGGGGCAGTCAGTGGAATTGTTACATATGTATGGCTGCGGCCTTTGGAGACTCAGCAGCATTCGAGCCCCGGTGTTGCCCATGCCTATCTATACTATCTCGCGCGGGATTCATAAAGCCAACGGCTTCTCCAACGGGCCCTTTGGCCATGTCGCAAATCTAGATGGTGATTTCCTCATCGGTAGTTTCACATCATAGCCCTGGAGAGGATGAGCCCTGGCCGTGCCAAAGATTAGAGATGGATATCACTTGCCCATATTACCAACTTTTCCCACCCCTTGCGAATGGCTTCTTGGAGGCAAGGCGATCTGACACTCAGTGATGCACACTGTTTCCTCCTGGTGGTTAGTGGGCCAAACCTTCCTTTCGGTCAACTTCTCGCCGATCCAGACCTCCAGGGCTTGCGATGGTGTGGCCAGCGGGGGCTCGCCGAAACCCCGTTCACCGTTCCGAACTCAGGTCCCACGTGTAAATCCTGCAAACCACCACCAAAGCCAGCTGAAATTGAAGTACATAGCGAGTTAGAGCGTCGCCTCCTGTGCGCCACAGGCCCCAGGCCCGCGCCGGCTCAGGTTGTCTTCTCGGCCGGCCTAAGTGACATAAATGATAGCAGGACCGAGAACAAAACTCATAAGTTACAGAAATCGGATCCACAAAATCGGTGCGGGAAACCCGGTCCTTTCTCCTGTTGGCAGCAGCCAGCCCTCCCTCGACCTGGGCACCGGGCCAAAGCCGACAGAATTAGCATGACCTGCTGCAGCCGGTTTTCAGCCAGCCCGTCACGGCCACATCTGGGCCCAAGTGCCCAGACGTGGGATCTACGCTCTCATGATATATGTGAAGGGGGAACCGTCGACACCTAGCACGACAACGTGGTACCTTGGTAGTAAATATATCCTCTCCACATTTCAGCTGGCTGGCACGCATCCGTTATTAGGCGAGGACTGGTTTGCGGCCCGGGGATATTAATAGACGAACGACCCTAACCCGGCCTCCGGGTCCTGAAACTGGCCCGAAATGTCGACCACGTCCAGCCAACAGATGGCAGCGGAATGCCTTGCCTCTTTCGGGGCCGAGGCCCGGCAGGGGGGCCCACGCGCAATCAAAGGGAAGGGCCCACATAAAGTTGTCGTCCAAGCCGCCGTTGTCGAACCCTCCTTCCCCTTGATGATCTGTGCAGAAACATATACCAAGTATCACGCATCATACCTGCGACACAAACCCCCCTCACCCCTTGTCTTGCGTGCTGTAACATCCATCCCCGACATCTGGAGCTTCTCATAAATATCCCGAAGTGTTCTTTGACCTCTTCCACCTGGGCCCCTTAGGCTGTCAGAGACTAGTAGCCCTCATCTTCCAAGTACAATACCACATCATCCGATTTTGACAATGGTAAGCCCATGTGAAAGTGTCCCGAAACCAGGCACCTACCTAGGTACCTGGATAGACCTCCACAATGTACGGTGGGAAACTGACGTATCGACCGGCAGGCCAAGCAACTGAGCGCGGAGGAGATCTCAATCTTCAGAGACTGCTTCAACGAATACGTACGTTCCTCGTCCCCCAGCCACACATTTCAGGCTACGGTAGCGTACTACTGTACGCGGCGTGCAGAAGCTGACCACTCTGCCGCCAGGACACGGACAAGGGTGGTAACATTACCGCCGAGGAATTCGGCCGGGTGATGCGCAAGACAAATCCCAGCGTGTCGGACGAGGAAGTCTCCAAGATCATCAGTGAGGTCGACCTTGACGGCGACGGGACTATCAACTTTGACGGTTGGTCCTCCAACTCGACCATGTTGGCCTGGTCTAGACTAACAGCACCTCCGGGCAAGCAGAGTTCATCACAATGATGACAGGCCAGCCCTACAAGAGCCCAGAGCCAGCTGCTGCTGCAGCCGGGAGTGATGGTACGCAAGCGAGCATTGTGGGAAGTGTGGCAGCGTTCCGGGGCGTTAGCAACGTCTCAGCACTGCTCAAACGTCAGCGAGAGACTAATAAAGTTTTCAAGGACGCGTGGCTGAAAATTGATCCTACCCTCAAGGGGTCGCTCTCTCCCGGTCAAGTAGAGCAGGTCGCTGCTCAAGCCGGCCTGGCTGTCACTACTGACGATGTGGGGGGGATGGTAGACCCCATATCTGGGCAGGGCAAGATCACCTGTAAGCATCTATCAAGGTTCTCTTGTTCTACCTCCTATGACAAACCGAACTGCTGACGCTGGGACTCTTGGGACAGACGACAAGTTCCTTGAATTTGTGAAGCGGCAGGAAGTTGACGATATTGTGAGCGGGTACGAGTAAATTTGGATAAATGGTCCCAACGAGTTGCCTAGCTGTAGTTGGACGACGGAGGAAAATAGAACACAGGACCACCCTCGCCTCTACAGTGTGGTTTGCCCCCACCTGCGATTATTGAATTCCTGGTTTCGACAGCCCTAGATATAATGGGCTTTTTGGTGATGGGGTTGTCTCAACTCTCTTGAGTATTGCAGTGTGTTGAATTAATACACCTGGTTTCTACCAAACTCCCTAGCTTCAGCGTTCTGCCTGTTGTCTGCCCTAGGGTGACCCCACCTAGGCACTTATGCAGTATTCAACAGCTTAAAGAAATATATCTTAAGTTATAAAGTGTATATTTTAAAAGCTATATATTTTCTTTTTCTTATCCTTTTAATAAAGACTTATATAAAATTATTAAAAATATTATTTATATTTATATTTATATTTATATTTATATTTATATTTATATTTATATTTATATTTATATTTATATTTATATTTATATTTATATTTATATTTATATTTATATTTATATTTATATTTATATTTATATTTATATTTATATTTATATTTATATTTATATTTATATTTATATTTATATTTATATTTATATTTATATTTATATTTATATTTATATTTATATTTATATTTATATTTATATTTATATTTATATTTATATTTATATTTATATTTATATTTATATTTATATTTATATTTATATTTATATTTATATTTATATTTATATTTATATTTATTATTATTATAGCTCTAGTAGTAAGTTAGTTAATATTTTAACTTTTTTAGATATTTGTCGCTCTGGACCCCCATAGGTAAGGGACATCTGGACGGGGCAACACAGAGGCACACCCGTGTGGGGCATGGGGTAATAAGTGGGTAATACTCTAGCTTTGGCCCTTGGAGATGCGGCGAAACCCCATAACCTGAAGTGCGCTTGGGTAAGGCCAAGCACTGCTCGTGTTTCAAACGCGCATCGCCACCTGTCTGGACCGTCTGGGCTGTAGACTACCTAGGTATTGTACGCAGCCGTTGCCCAAAAGACATGCCACTCCTACTTTTCAATCCCGAGCCCTTAGTGACAGCACCACAAAGTCCAGCAAAGCCTCAGGCCAGGATCCTTCGCGAGAGTTGCGGAAGGGCAGGGCAAGCGCAGCGCGCGAGGCACAGAAGCACAGCTCCTTGATGAAATCAGCGTGGACCGCGCAACGTTGACCCCAAGACTGGACTCGGACGCCCACACCTCGAATATCCAATCGCCCCCAAAGCCACACCTCTTGTCCCGCTGTGCGAGGATCGGACCATCTGCCCTTCAAGCTGCCTGTCCAGTTCTCTCGCCCGCAAGCTAATCCCCCGTCACCAACCACCAGGATGATGGACGAGAGTAAGGAAGGGCTGCTGAGCCCCTCCCAGCGCGACCTCGCTCGCAGCTCCTTTGATGGCCATGACAACCAGCATTACTCGCGCTCTCGCGCCTCCATCTCCTCCGATCTCGAATCAGACCTCGACGCCACAGAATTCCTGACATCCGACCCCCTCGAACCCAGGGCGGCCGACCCAAAACCGGCATTCCTCACCGGGCAGAAGAGCTTCAACTTCAGCTCTCTCAGGAGACCGTTTCGCAACCGTTCGAAATGCTGCGTCATCTTTGGCAGCGTCATACTCATAGTATGGCTGATCCTTGGCGCGGGCGGAGCGGTCGTGTACAAGAAGTTCAAGGAAGCGCCCAAGTACGGACAGTCGCCCCCCTGGTATCCCACGCCAAAAGGAGGGACCGCTGCGGGCTGGGCCGAGAGTTACACCAAGGCAGCAGCCATGGTGGGCAACATGACCCTGCCGGAAAAGGTCAACGTAACGACGGGTACCGGTTGGATGATGGGCTTGGCGGTTGGCACAAACGGCCCCGCCACCCATGTGGGCTTCCCCCAGTTGCAGCTGCAGGACGGGCCCTTGGGCCTGCGCTTTGCCGACAATGCTTCTGCCTTCCCCGCCGGCATCACGGTCGGCGCCACCTGGAACAAAGAGCTCATGTACGCCCGTGGCAAGGCGCATGGGGCCGAGGCTCGTGCCAAGGGCATCAACGTCCTTCTCGGCCCCTGTGTCGGCCCGCTGGGGAGGATGCCCGCCGGCGGCAGGAACTGGGAGGGCTTCGGTGCCGATCCATACCTACAAGGCATTGCTGGCGCCGAGACAATCAAGGGTATCCAATCCGAGGGGGTAATGGCAAACATCAAGCATTTTGTCGGCAACGAACAGGAACACTTCCGACAGTCCTGGGAGTGGGGTCTCCCGCACGCCATCTCCTCCAACATCGACGACCGTACCCTTCACGAGCTATATGCCTGGCCCTTTGGAGATGCCGTAAAGGCAGGCGTCGCATCAATAATGTGCAGTTACAACCAAGGTTCGACTTACTCTCATATCTTAATATATACTAGGATACAACACTTTCAGGCTAACATCACTATTAGTAAATAATAGTATGAACATTACTTTTCTCTTACTATCCAACCCCCCCCCCCCGTTTTTTAGTTCCCCCCCCTTTCCCCCATGTTTTTCCTCTTTTTCTTTTTCTTTTTCTTTTTCTTTGTTCCTCTTCCTTTTCCCTCCCTCCTTTTCCCTCCCTCCTTGTTCCTCCCTCTTTTCCCCTCTTCTTTTTTCTAAAATACCCTAAAGTCCATCGGTCCAGGATCTGCAGCTGGGCTAACCTTACTTTTAGGCTATGCTTGTGCCAACTCGAAGCTTCTTAACGGTGTCCTCAAGGACGAATTGGGATTCCAAGGCTTTGTTGTCTCGGACTGGGGCGCTCAACGATCGGGCGTGGCCACTGCTTTAGCCGGGCTCGACATGACAATGCCGGGTGACGGTCTTCGCTTCTCAGACGGCGAGTCACTATGGGGCCCGGAACTCACAAAGTCCATTCTGAACGGGTCTGTCCCTGTCGATCGTCTGAACGACATGGTCACTCGTATTGTCGCAGCTTGGTACCAGCTTGGCCAGGATGATCTCTCAAGATTTGACAGGAAGGGTCCCAACTTTTCCTCGTGGACGAATGACCGCCTAGGGACAAAGATCCCCGGCAGCAAGACGGAGCAAGACATTGTCGAGGTCAACAGCTACGTTGACGTGCAAGCCGACCACAAGGACGTGGCGCGTGCCGTAGCGCGCGAGGGCATTGTGTTGTTGAAGAACGAGAACCTGCTACCAATCGATCGGATGGGCTTCACCGACGCAAAGAAGCGAGGCATGCACAGAAGGCACGAGGGCAAGCTGAAGATCAGTGTCTTCGGTGAAGATGCCGGCCCTGGCAAGGGACCAAACAAGTGCGTCGACAGAGCGTGCAACCAAGGTACCCTCGCTTCCGGCTGGGGAAGTGGCGCAGTCGATTTCCCCTATCTCGTATCTCCCGTCGAGGCTCTCCGGAACGGCTTCAACATGACCAAAGTCCAGTGGTCCGAGTATCTGACAAATAGCCCCAATTTCAAGTCTGACCCCACTATACTCGATCATGACGTCTGCATCGTCTTTGGCAACGCTGACGCTGGTGAGGGGTTTGTGCGCTGGGAAAACGTGGCTGGTGATCGACCCGACTTATTCCTTCAGAAGGGGGCAGATGATCTTATCGTCAAGGTCGCCGAAGGCTGCGGTGGTGGAGCTGGCGAAGTCCTCGTTGTGATTCACGCCGTTGGTCCTGTCCTTATGGAGAAGTGGATAGATCTCCCCAACGTGAAGGCGGTACTACTGGCCAACCTCCCCGGGCAGGAGAGCGGAAATGCATTGGCCGATATTATCTTCGGTGACGAAAGTCCTTCCGGACATCTTCCATACACGGTCGGGAAATCCTTGGACGACTACGGCGCTGGTGGTCAAATAATGTACACGCCGAATGGTGTTGTGCCGCAGCAGGATTTCACAGAAGGCCTGTACATCGACTACCGCTACTTCGACAAGAACGGCATAGAACCGCGATTTGAGTTCGGATATGGGCTCAGCTACACGACTTTTGATTTCTCTGACCTGCAGGTCTCTCCTCTCAAGACGAAGTCGGTGCTGCCAAGCAACAGGACACGTTCAGGAGCCACGCCGCCCGAGTATCCCAATGATATTCCCGATTCTGAGGAAGCCCTCTGGCCTGATGGATTCCGCAGATTTGACAAATACATATATCCATACATCGAGACAATGGACGAAATCATCGATGAGAAATACCCCTACCCCAAGGGATACGAACAACAGCAACCCCTTTCGCCCGCTGGAGGCGAAGAGGGTGGCAACCCTGACCTTTGGCAGATCTACGTCCAGGTTAAGGTGAATGTAACCAACACGGGTGCGAAGGCCGGGAAGGCTGTGCCACAGCTCTACCTTGGATATCCTCAGGGAAGTAAGAAGACGGACTTCCCTGTCAAAGTGCTACGGGGCTTTGAAAAGGTTTATCTGGAGCAAAACGAGTCCAAAACTGTAACATTCAATTTGACGAGGAGGGACCTCAGTTACTGGGATGTCGAAAGTCAAAACTGGAGTATGATGATGACGGGTCTTTACACATTCATGGTTGGACATAGCTCAAGGGATTTAACGGTGTTTGGGACATGGTGATCTGGTTGAATCAATACATGCCGGTACATACTATCCTTTCCACACAGGTTTCCACACAGGAAACCTTCTTATAGAGACCTTCCTATATATAACACTTATAATCTAACTATTAACTATATATATAACAGTTAATATAATATATATAAGTTACTTAATTAAACTTATAAAAATATTTTAATAAAGTATTAAATTATAAATTATTATAAATATATATAACTTTTTTAAATATGAAGTTAAAAGATTTATAATTATATTTTTAATTAATACTTATTTAATTATTTTATTTAATTTAATTATCTTTTAATATTTTAAAAGTTAAATTTAACTTTTATATAAATTGTAATTTATTTTAAATTAAAAACATATTAATTATTTTAAAAATATATTAATTATTTTAAATAATAAACTATTTTTAAAAAATATAAATCTATTTTTATATAATTATAAACTTAATTATTAATAATATTATATTTATAAATTATAAAGTTATTATAAAAGTTTTATATAATGAATTAAATTAAATTAATTTTAAAGAATATATTATATTTTATTTTTTAATAACTTTAATTATTAACTTTTAATTTAATAATAAAATTTATAAAATATATTTTAAACTTCTTTAAATAAGTTAATATTTATTTAATAATAAAAAAACTTTAAGTTTATATAAAGTTAATATAAGTAGTTTATAAAAGGTCTATAACCTTTAAAATAAGTATGTGAATTTCTACTCTTTAAATATATAACTTATTCTAACATTGTCCAATAGGGATTGGTAGCACCCCTAAGGTCCCATAAATCTTTGCCCAATTTTCACTGGCCCGTATTCCGATCCGTAGCTGTTCTTCTGCTAAATTTGGGGGCTGTTTGAAAATGCCATGAAATCCTGACCAAACCCTTTCACTCCATGAGAAGTCCTTAAGTCTTGGTTGGACCATCTTCTCCCAGCTTTCATCTTGGTGAGTTTCCGACGTCGACAATACATCGGCCGGCGCAAATAACCCTGTTGACATTTCCAGAATCTCTCGAGCAACTGTTGTGCCGTCAAGGTGCCCGCGGGCAGAGTTGATGGTGTACCAGTAAAGACGGCTCCATGACGCCGAAGCATTCAGGAACCCCCTGTCAAACGCAAAACTCGAGTGACTAGACCCGACCGCAGCCTGAAGGAAAAGGAGGTATGACTTCAGCAGGCGGACGACATCATTTGTGCGACAGTCGGTAATTTGTCCGTTGTCGTGCGCCCAGAGAAGTGAAGAGTGGTAGCTATGATTAGCTTGCCGTGTATTCCCTAGATCTGCAAGCAGCCAATGTGTCTTCTCGCTGTGGGAACTAGTATTGCCTGAGGGCTGAGTACTGTCTGTGACGAAAACATTGTCCATCTTGATGTCGTCATGGCAGAGATTCTGAGAATGCATGATGTCGAGGGCCTTGAGAAGGCGATTGAAAGATGGACGATAGCGCAAATCGACATCTTCTGCAGTCTGCGATGCGTTTTGGCTCTGCAGCCTCTTTGCTAGATGTTCCAAAGTGCCAGTGTTCACAAGGGGTGTAACAAGATACCACTCCCCGGGAGTACCGTCCCCAGTTGGTAATAAAAAATAATCATAGACTGGGAGGAAGTCGGCGCGGGATGAGATGTCGCCATCTCGTTGATCAGAAAGCCCCCCTAGGAGTAGAGAGGCCGGGACTTCGGGCGGCCAGCGCAACTCAGACGCAGTGTTCGGTACGCAGTTCCTCAATGGGCTGCGCCGAGGCTTGAAAACCTTGATGACTGAACGATTGAAAGAAAAAGTGTCGCCCTCGCAGCCAGCACCAAGCCGCTTCCATTGGTCTCGGCTGCTAAGCAACTGCTCTCGGCCCTTCAGCCAACGGGTGGACCCAAGAACATCGTCGTCTCGGAGAGGTAATCTTGTGAACACAGTAGGGGAGTACTTGGCAGCCAGGGCGCTAGAATATTCGGAGTGCAAAAGGTAGAGCTGGAGGCCCACCAACGCAAGAATAAGGCAGATGAGTCGTTGAGCGGGGCGTGAACGCAGGAGACGCATAGGGCCTCGGTGGCTGATTCGGATCGTCAGCGCGTGGTGATCGCTTCGGAATGCTCCCCGATCTGTCTTGGCCATTTGGGCTGGAGACTGAAAGCGTGACAATAAGTTTTGGAACACCGTGACGTGACGGCCAAGAAAGGTTCCGTGCAAGCAACAAACATTAGGCACGGCCAGATACTTTAAACAGACCAGATCTTGTACCTAGGTACAATGCTGAGTGACACGCTCCACTGAAAGGCTCAATGACCAACCCTGTTTGTAGGACGTGGGCTAGTGAGCAGCAGGGAGTCCGGTCATAGAAAAATCTGGATCTTACTGCGGGTCAAGTTCTGGTGCCTGCCTTTTTCTCATCGCCATTCCTGCAAAGGGGCCTTCGGGAGCTGGCCGAAAAGCCGTTGTCTTGCATGAGCTTCAACAAAGCCAGCGACTGTCCGTCGAATGATGCAGTTGCAAGCAGATTGGGGTGAGAGATTACGCTTTACAATGCAGCCCCTACGTCGGCCGGCCAAGGTCTCTAAGCCTCCCAGGGGGGCTATATGACCAGGGCCACGGCCCTGTTGAATCCTTGCATTACAATCTCACGTATAAAAATTCCATGGCAAGGCATCGCTAGCTGGGCTGACGATGTCAGCCAAGATGCCAACCACTAATTGGGATGAGGCTAGTGCCCTTAAGGTCTTAGTCTATGCAGCCCAGCCGTCGCACCCGTCCTGCTATCTCAGCCCTTGTACATACCCTAATTTATCTCACTACTAAAGTATTCAGAAGAGTCGGGGTGCCGTAATCCGTCAGCATCCTTGTGGCAGGCACGAAGGGGTGCAAGCTGACTGGATTCTAGCTTAGCTATTAGCCTAGTTATAGTAGGGCTTAAAAAGTCTTAACTCTCTTTATATCTTTATCGAATAAAATATATTTTATATAAATTTTACTTATAACTTTAAACTTCTTTTTTATAATAATTATATCTTTTTATAAATACTTATTTTTTAAAAAAAATAATTTTAAATTATAAGTTTTTTTATAAACTTTATTTAAAATATATAAATATAATATTAAATATATTAATTAAAAGTAAAAGTTTTATTTTAATTTTTTATAAAATTAATATTTTTAATTATAATTTAAAAAAAAATAATAAATTAAAAAAAGATTAATTATTAAACTTTATAATAATTATTTAAAGTATTTTAATAATTATTTTATTTATAAATTAAAGTTATTAATTTTAAAAAATTATTTATTTTATAATAAAATTTAAAATTTATTAAAAATTAATATATTAAATAATATTATTTATATTATTTTAAAGTTTATTTACATTAATTATTAAATAATTATATATTAAATATTTTATTAAAAATAAAAGTTTCATTATTATTAAATAATATTATAAATTATATATTTAAAAGATTATTATAATTATTTAATTTATTAATTATTTTAATAATATATATATATATATTATAGTTTTACTTTTATTTTATATATATTTAAAGATATATATAGCGCCTTTATATAATAGTAAGTATTTAAGATTTAATACTTAAAAATATAATATTAATAATAATAGTTATAATATAATAAGTACTTATAATTTTAACTTTATAATATATAAATAAAGTTAAAGGATACTATTTTAATAATAGTATTAATTAAAATTATAAATAGAAGTAACCTATAGTTTAATTACTATAAAGGAGTTATATAATAAAACTAAGTCTTTAAAAATAGTCACTATATAAATAAATTATATTAAAAAAGCCTAATTAAAAATTATCCTTTAAATATATATATATATATATATATATATATATACTAATAAAACCCTTATTAAATAAATTAATATTATAACCTTTATTTAAATATATAACTATTAACTTTAAAAAACTTAAAATAAAAAAATAATTTATAATATACTACCTTTAAAACTTTTATAATAAAGTATTAAAACTTTTAAAGAGTTCTAAAAGTAATTTATAAGAAAATAAAGAAAGAGTACAATAAGTTTATCTTTTTTAAGTCTATATTTTTATTATTAATAACTATTAACTTCTTAATAATATAGAAAAATATAATAAAAATAAAGGAAAAAATAGATTTAAAGTTTCTCTTTAAAGAACTATAAGAATATATATAAAGTTATTAAAGATTTTATATATAAGTTTTAAAGGAAGGAATAAGTAATTATATAGTATAAAGGAAAAATATAATATAGTTAAAGCTATATATATATTATATTATTATTATTATAAATTAATAATTTATTAATTATATTTTAATTTATTAATTATATTTTAATTTATTAATTATATTTTAATTTATTAATTATATTTTAATTTATTAATTTTTATTATTTTATTTATTATAATATTATTATAAAATATTATTATAAATAATTATAAAAGTATTATAAAATAATATTATAAATAATTATAAAAGTATTATAAAACTTTATATAATAAATTTAATTAAATTAATTTTAAAATATAATTTTAAAACTTTTAAATATTTAATTTTAAATTAATAATAAAATTAAAATTATATAATAAAATTCTATTAAATAATAAATTTAATAAATAAAAACTTTAATTTTTAATAATAATAATTTTTTATATTTTAAGTTATTAATTAATAATATTAATATTATTATAATTCTTATAATAATATAAAAAGTTACTATTAATTTAAATTATTAATACTTATAAAATATAAGAATTATAACTCTTTAATTTATTATAATGTTTAAAGTTTAATTATAGTGACCTTACTTAATATATTTAATAATATTCTAGGAAGTTACCCTAAGCGTTGTCGACTTAGCTCCATCGCAACATTAGCAGTCGCACCGTCAAAAAAGTCGTTCATTATGACAACCAGGTCGTTGTTCCCACAAGCACGCACTGCGTTGTCCTTTACCCACGGGAGCGTCTTGCTGTCGCATATGGGCTTAGTGGCCAACAGGCAGCTTGTTGAGGCGCCTGCTTCAAGGACACTGTACACCACAGCCTTTGGTATATTCGAGGCCGTCGCTTGACATTGGATGTTGATGAAACCACGTCCACCGCAACAGTCCGGATGTAGAACGGAGCCAAAGCCTTCCACGATGCTATCGCCGTTCAGGGTGGCGTTTCCTGCGTCCGTGTAAGTGGACAGGGAGTCAACGTCGCGAAGCATGATTAACCTGCGCCGGTCGTGCCGCAAATCACCGATTGTTTTGGTTCGAAGATCATCTAGGTTCCCGGCTATCACGTGTTGGTGATGGCCTTCGAATTGGCGCAGCGCAGCCTGAAGGTGTCCGTTCTGCTGCTCGTCATTTGGTCGTTCGCAGTCCCCCGGGACGCCATCCCATCGCAGCTAATTCACGTTGCGAAGTCAAAATCGGTGTCTGCTAATCGCGGAAAACCAGAATGTGTGTGTTCCAAGGGAAAGCGGGGGCGCGCTGTACTGTAGTCGACGGTAGGATGACAAATCTTTTGAAAAGGCTTACCTGAACGACAATTATCTCAGTCGGATGCTCAACCAGAAACCGCACGACCTCGTTCAAGAAGTCCTCATAGGCCATCCCGGGTATAGCACTATGTTGAAAGTAAGGTCTGTCGGGCAGATGTTGCCTGACTTGATGATGACAGTAAGCAGGCCTGAACTCAAAGTACCTAGCTCCTAGCGCGAGTATGGTGGGTAGAGTATCTTTCTGGGTTATGGCAAGGCTAGAAATGATGTTTGGCGCTATGAGAGACCTGTAGCATTTGAATTAGCTACCTAGGTATGTAGGGGGTGAAAGAGCCCTGGAGTATTCAAATGTTTTGATGGATTACGGGAGGTAAGAGGGAACTCAGCTGGCTATAGCCTGCCTCACCACGTCTTGAAGCCAGTAAAGAGACAAGGACTTTGGCATACAGGCCACACATGGAAGATATTTCTCGTGGTAGGGATTCAATGTTGAGCTTGTATCCAAAAGACGCTTACACAGCTGGCCCTGAGAGCTTGTCGGCAAGATCTGCTAGAACTTGTGTGTACTTTTCCTCATTGGCGATGAGCGTTCGGACAACTGCACCACCTGCATGCTTGAGGATTGTAGCACAGTTTTGCATACTATTCATTCCCACGTCATGGGCCGCAGGTAGGACGAGCCTCCGAAACGGCTGATCTCGTTGGGGGGACCCAATGGGAGCCACCTGGCCTAGCCAGTCTGAGTAATTGGGCGTGACGGTAATGTAACACTGATGTCGGTTAGGAAGAATATCGTGGCCGTGGCCAGCCTCGTAAAAGCCGTACGAGACAATGATTTGCGGGTCTGGGTGGACAATTGAATGCGTGTTTGCGATGGCTGTCATTGTTCCCTCGCCCTAATACCAGTTGACGCTTCAGTTCATTTACACGCCCAAAATTCATGTGTTTTGGAACTCTGCAAACAGTACCTAAGTACAGAGGTGGATCGTGAATGGAGAATCGGAGCCTAATCGCGATTACTTACGACGCTGCCCGTGAGAGCATTCACCTCAACCCATTGCTCTGTGATCAGCCTACCCTCGTGCAGGACCTTGAAGACGAAGCGACCAGTCTTGTCGAAGAAGCTGTCAATCTTGCTGGTTTCGACCTCAAGGCCACCGTTCCAGAAGTGGTGCAGCTGGTCATTGACAACAGTCTGACCCGGGACTGACAGCTCAATGGAGCAGTCTGGTGCTGCGAGATAGGTATAAACCTGAATACCTTTACTTGGCATGTTGGTCCCCTTTTGTTTTTTTTGCGAGTCGTGTGAGTGAGAGAGATGTTGTGTGAGCAATCTTGTTTGCAGCTTTCGATGATAGAGGGGAAGTTTGCTCTGGGCTCAGCCAATGCCAGCCACAACAATAACCCGGTCGAGAGACGGCACGGCACGGGTTTGTCTTGGCTTCTCTGTGTTGCTGAGGGGCGAACTCGTCTTCCTAGGTCGGATGCTGGCCCTTGTAAGGGTTAGGGCTGTAGATCCGTCGACGAGCACTAAATCTCTCAGGCTTATTTTCGTGAACCAGGCCGTTGCGGAGGGCGTGGACGAGGAGCAGTGCAATTGGGCAGACGTGAACGGACTCGAAATCGAGGGACCGGAAGTATCTGACCTGGTATGCGCCGTTTTCATCCTTGTAGCCCTTCATATAGTGGAGCATGACGACAGCCCGGAGATCCTGGAACTGGGGCGGGCGGGTTGGACGTCGTCCGTCGCCGAGAGCAGCAGAGCCCCGCCTCCTCGGCCCTCCCGACGTCCTCGAGGAACAGACTGATATGCTGGTACTGCAAGTACTCGACGCCAGAGTACCCAACAGTCTGGGCAGCATCACCGGAGCGGCACCCCAGGGACGATATAAGAACGACAGACAGGCACCTTGAGACAATCATGTCAAAGTTCCAGGTACCAACCCTGGTAAAGTGCTCCAAGAACATTAGAAGCTACGGACCAGCCGGGAGACGGTAACGGAGCCTGTCCAGGTCCGCTCATTCCATTGCCCTCTTATCAGCCGCCCCTCCTTGACAGCCTGGATCGTGAAGGCCTGGAACTGCGCCCCGTCATGTTTGGTAAATTGAAAGCCATCTGCGGCGGACCAACGAAAGATACCATGCATTAGTATCAACTTGTAGGCGCTTTGGACGACGCTCAAGCTGGGCGCGGGCTTGTTCACCCCCCTCGGTTTTATCTTGCCTGTGATGGTTCGTGACGTCAGCTCGGGCCAGCAACAGGCAAACACCAAGCAACCACGCCCCGGGGCCGCCACCGGTGGAGGGCAGAGCAGACCAACCTATCATGGAGTCCAAGAAACGGATCAAATCCGCACCTGTAAAGGGCGTGTCGGGAGATCGACGAAGGGCCTGCTCCCGGAACGAGTTGAAACGAGCAACCCACAGCGAGATGCCATACTGGGAACTGGGGGCCCTTCCCTGGAAGTGGAGCTTTTTGACAGTCTTCTTTGACGAGACACGGTCCTCGGCAGCACTGGCGATGATCTGGTCGATGGATGCCTGACCAGCCCGGGGGTAGGGTTGCTCCTCATCGCTGGAGAACTCCAAGTCGGAGGAGTTGAAGTCGTCTTGGACGCCGTCCATCGCGAGGGCGCCCACTGGCTGACTGCTGATGGTGGTGAGTGATCTCGGCTTCTCTTTCTTCTTTGATGGCAGAGAGGAGAGGTATGGTTGGTAGCCGTGGTATGAAGCCGGGCTGGTGGTGGCGATACAGAAGAAGGGGGAAGAAGAGGGAGATGAGACGGCCTGGGGGTTGTGGATGTGTTGGGTGTTGGGAAAGCTCCCCTACTTCCTTCCTTCCCTGGAGAGGAAAGGAGTGACTGAACCCACTCGCTCACTCACTCACTCACCCGCCCACCCTCGAAAGAAGAAGGCACGACCACCACCAGAAGGAGCCAAGCCATCAGGCACCTATGACCCAAACCCTTAAGATTTGAAGTAACCCCCCACCCCTCTACGATCGTCGTAAGAGAAGGAAAGAGGAGAAGCAAGCGAGCCATATGCTGCCGGGTGGTGGTTGAATCTGGATGGCATGTTGTTGTGTTATGTTCCGGGGGGGGGGGGAGGTGGGTTGTGATCGCTTCGCTCAGAGATTGATATGTTCGCTGGCGCTCACAGGTCGCTCCGCTCCCGAGAAGGCAGGTGTAGCGAGTATAATGTGCCTTCTCGTAAGACAATGTGACGGCACAATACCATAAGAGGGACAAGAGTTCCACATGGATGTAAGCCTCGTGCTGCATCTCATTGAATAGTTTAAAGTGTGCGTGCCCCTTCTCCGGACCCAGGTACCTGTCAATGAGCAATATTGCGGCTCGCCCAGGGTCCACGGGTACCTCGTGTTCATGTTGTACTTAAAAAGCACACAGACCGCAAGGGGCTTGGGGATGGCATTAGGAACCTAGAATTGTGGGACAACAGCCCTGGAAATAGAGGGGTTCAGATGGAAGAGCTCAGTATCAACTTTGATTCCAAAGAGGGATCCTCATGTCCACCGTGATTACCTCACAAGACCCGCCCTTATATCAATGCCAACACACTGTCTCAGAAAAACGAGAGTTGCCCCCCCCCTGTTTTATTACCCCTGTTAAAAATTTTAAAGGTTTATTAAAAAGTAGTCTTCTTTTAATAACTCTATTAATACTTTACTTAAAAATATATAAAAAATATATTTATAATCCTTATAAAAGTCTTTATAAAAACTAATTTTTAAAATAATTTTTATTTAAAGTTTATGTATTCTTAAGGTTATAGGCTAAACTACTTAATAGGTTTATACACTTACTTATCTTATTAACTTAATAACCTTTATACCTTATATAAGAAAGATTTAATAATAAATATTTAAAAAATATTATTATATAAAGATTTTAATAAGGATTATAAATATATTTTTTATATATTTTTAGGTTAAGTAGTAATAAAGTTATTAAAAGAAGACTACTTTTTAATAAACCTTTAAAAATTTTGACAGGGGTCATAAAACAGGGGGGGGGGGGCAACTCTCGTTTTTCAGAGACAGCAGCTAGTGCTGTGATACTCCCAATCCACCCACACCGATTGATATTCTGCACACCAGCTGTGAGTACCACTTCAGGCTGCGGCAACACAGAATGGGATTGCGAGTAATGTGACGAGCTTGCAGTCTCGGTGACATTGGTTGCAGTCTCATTGTAATATCCAACCCGCGTGCCGATGACGCAAAGACTTGCAATTTCCTGATCGGTGAAATTGCCTGCAGACCCCTTTGGTGTCAATGTCAAACTGTAGTCGAATGGCGAGAAGCCCCCGGCTGCCCAAGCAGTATACCCGATGAAGGATCCTGTGTTCATATTGATAAAAGCCAGTTCGTTGCATAGATCCGTGATACACTTTCTAGGTCAGTCTTGCATTGACCCTGAGAAGACTTGAGACGGGACGGCAGAAATGACTCACGGAAGTGGTGTTGCCTCCTCCAGTCTCGCTCAGTATGGCTTTACGGCCATTGGCGGCCAAGAACTGAGCGAGAGGAGTGAATGTATCTTGAATGTGGTCTGAGACACATTCGAGATGTGTCCCACTCCCATCTGAGTCCAGATACTTACTCATGATTAATGACGGGATTCGCTCAGATCAGAGAGTTGACCAACCTTATGAACATCAAATATTAGGCTCGTGTTTGTTCCGTCTGGGTTATGGACTCGACTGAGGTTTCCAGCAGAACCGTTGCTAATGAATGTTTGAGCCCCGGTGAAGTCGGTCCCAGGCAGCAGAATCAGTTGCTTAGTAGCACCCGACATTCTAATAGCAGTGACAGCTGCCTGCACTGTGTTGGCCCATAAAGAAAGGTCCGGAATATCATGCGGTTCGTTCATCACGCCGAAGATCACTCTAGATTCGTTTTTGTACTATCGGAACCGAACATCAGCTCAGTGTTCAAGGTATAAGTGGCCCATGAAGGATCCGCGAACCTTGGTAGCAATTTGTGACCAGAGGCTCGCAAACTGCTCATTGGTTGGGCCTCCCTGGCCAATTATCTGGCCCTCAAAGCGAGCATAATTGTGGATGTCAACAATACAATAAGATCCGGTTGCAAGACAATCTTGAACAAGCTGATCATACTGTGCAGTATTATTCTGGTCCAGCGTTCCATCTGACGTCGTGAAACCGCTGGCTGCGATGTTGACGGCGCTGCCGTTGAGATTGTTGCTATTGATCATGAACTGCCAAGTAGTCGCTATATGAGTCAGTGTACGTGCGTAGACGGTGAGGAGCCCAGTAATTGTTCTTCACGTAATCTGAAAGTGTTTAGCCCCTTTTGGACGAAATGCCGCATTTGGGCTGCACCATCACTGTTGCCGTTGCCGATGGTGATCACAGGACCAAAAGCATTACTTAGATTGTGCTTCCCCTCTGCAGGACTGGGAGTTAGCCATTCAAGAACCACAGAATTAGTTTCTCAAGAAACATGGCGAGGAAAATGCAACCAGGTAGCCATAGCCTGTCTTTATACTTGCAGCCTGTGAGACCTCTGTCACATGGGCGGCAGATAGTATTGGTAAACTTGTTCTTGGTGGGATCAAGATTGAATCTAGAAGCTACTCACGTGTATCAGAGCCAAAATCGAAACCAGCGATATTGACACCCTGGTCAAATCATTAGCGTCAGCCGTGCACAGCACTCACCAGCAGCCAGAGACTCGAAGAACCTACTGCAAACGGTGAAGCGGCAGAAGTCACGGAGCTCTGGAAGAGAAAGAACAGCAAATGCACTATCACCGCTGATGCCATTGCGATAGGCATGATTCCACAGCAAAAATGAAGAAGTGGGGGAGGGGAAAGGTTTAAACGACGATGTCCAATCCAGGAGAAATCACTGGAGGTGAGGTCAGTTTATGTGGAAATCGGATTACCCTGAATTGACTGAGCCCTCCTGAACACGGATCAGCATTAGAAGGCGACGACGTGTCAGAGATGCAGCATCTTATGCAGATCTAAGTTCGGTCCGGGTAGAGTTGGCCAGTGGGATGGAAGAAGCCTTCCGGAATCAAAGCCCCTGGCCGGCCTGTGTAGATAGAACCATAGAAACAGAACGGAAGGTGGAAGCCTTGGCCAATGCAGGATTGTCGATGGCGCACGGAGATTTCGGAAGAAGATCGCAGGGTGGTGACGGGACGAATATGAAACCTTGAAAGTCGGAGATTGTTAGGAATTTAATTTATAAGTTAAAAGATAGATATCTACATTTTTACTTATATAATTATTATTTATTTAAATAGATATTATTTAAATTTATATTACTTAAATTTAATATATATAATAATAATAAAAATTTAAAGATTATTATTCTTATTTTCCTTATTATTATTCTTATTTTCCTTATTATTAATTTATTATTATTATTATTATTATTATTATTATTATTATTATTATTATTATTATTATTATTATTATTATTATTATTATTATTATTATTATTATTATTATTATTATTATTATTATTATTATTATTATTATTATTATTATTATTATTATTATTATTATTATTATTATTATTATTATTATTAGTTTATACTTAAATATAAGTTATAATAATATAAATAGATTCTAGTATTTATCTTAAATAAGTAAAGTGAGGATAGTGGGTCTGAGATCCCCGCCTTGGGTCTGGCATGTGGTAGGGATATTCAAACCAGGCTAAAGGAATTTCATTTGTCCGGGTTGCCAAGAGACTTGTCCGTTCTTGTTCCTCTGTGCCAGTCAGTGCCAATGACCATTGCAAAGTGTCCCATTGCTTGAGGTGAAGCGTCCACCTCTCTCATAGCGTTCCTGCATTCCTTTTCTCACCTTTTTTTTTTCAATGAAAGCAGTGTGCGCTACTGTCTGTTGGAAGAAGCATCATTGATATCAGTCTACTACGGGTACTACTAGTACCGAAGTTAGCTTCTGCAGGTGTCGTTGCCCGTCAACGTCATCTCATGCCTGCATGATCCTACCCCCTTTCGCTCCCACTTTCCTTGCTCAAATCACGTTACGGTCCATTCGGAATGGCTTCACTTCGTAAATAAAATGGAGATCACATATGCTGCCCAAGACCTTTCGGAGGCAGCGCTTGGAGGACCAATTCGGATCGAGGATGGGCGCTTTGTTGATGCATACGGCAGGACGCTCTGCCTGCGAGGCTTCAACGTCGCGGGCGCAAGCAAGATGCCGACCAGACCGAACGGATTCACGCACCTTTGGGACAGAGACTCTTTCTACCAACACCGCACTGTCGACTTTACCGGGCGGCCCTTCCCACTGGAGGAAGCGCCCCTTCACTTCCGACGACTGCAGACCTGGGGAATGCCTCTAATTAGGCTGCTTGTGACGTGGGAATCACTCGCTCATGCCGGTCCGAACCCGACCACCGACTTGGATTTGGACTATGTCGCCTACCTTCGTCAGCTCATCGAGATGATGCCCAGGTATGGCCTCAAGTGCTTCATCTGCGCCCACCAAGACGTGTGGAGCCGTTTCTGTGGAGGAAGTGGTGCCCCTGGCTGGACCCTAGAGGCTGCCGGTCTTGACATGGAGGCTTTCGCCGACACCGGAGCGGCCTATATTCACGGACAGGACGAGGCGAGACGAGCCAGAGCGCCACCCAATGAGCGAGAGCCGAGTGGCCCTTTTGTGTGGCCGTCTGGGAACCAAAAGCTGGCTGCATCCACTATGGCGACCCTGTTCTGGGCCGGTGAATCCCTTGCGCCTCAAATGAGATGTCTTCGCTCTGCTCTGGAAGGCAACGGTGACGCTGAGGAAGTCTCGATCCAGCAGTTTCTTCAGGATGCCCTCATCGAAGCATTTGGCCGTCTCTCGGACGAGTTGGGGTCCCTGGAGGCATGCGTGGGCTTCGAGCCCATGAATGAGCCTGACCGCGGCCTGATCAACCTTCACGACTTCAACAGCTGGAACTATAATACAGACCTGCATATAGGGTTCTTCCCTTCTCTGATCCAGTCATTAGCGCTGGGTAGTGGCTACCCCCAGGAGGTTCCATATTACGTCAAATCATGGCCATGGCCGACACGTCAATCTCATCAGACATTGCTGGATCCCAAGGGTCGGTCCGCGTGGCTGACAGCAGCCAAAAGTCCTGTCGTTGACCGACCTCGAGGCATGGGCAAGTGCGTATGGCGTACCCACGGTGTCTGGGATTGGGACGAGCAAAAGCAACAACCTGTTGTTCTGCAAAGCGACTATTTCGACTATGACCACCGCGCTGGCCGGGAGGCACATAAGATTGAGTGGTACAGAGACTGTTATGCTCCATTCGTATTGAAGTTCACGGAGCGTGTTTCTGGGCGCTTTCAAAAACACTTCTCCTTCGTCGAGCCTCTGCCCAATCAGTTCATGCCACCCTGGAAAGCCGAAGATCGTACCATCCTCCAGACAAGACATAACACAGGCACGGCCATCGACTTAGATCCCCCTCAAAATCTTGTCTATGCGCCTCATTTCTACGATTTAAATGTTTTGTTCAGCAAGAGGCACACGTCGATAAGTGTAAATGTTCAGGGGCTGAGCAGGGGCATGTTCATATTACGAGCCCTCTACTTTGGCGCAGCCGGCCTGCGCAAGAACTACACGGCTCAGCTTCGAAACATTGTCCATCATGCTAACGCATTCCTCGGAAAACTCCCAATAGTGATTGGAGAGGTCGGCATCCCATTTGACGTAAATGGGCGCGCTGCTTTCAAGACTGGGGACTTTGACAGCCAGCGCGAGCTGATGCACGCTCTCGTCTCCGCTATGGAGGACAACTTTGTTGCTTTCACGCTTTGGAATTATAACCCAGTCAATGCAAATGAGCATGGAGATGGTTGGAATGACGAGGACTTCTCAATAGTGACCAGCGATAGCACTGTGGCTGACTACCGGAATGAGCAGCATGAGGGTGACGAGCTATATCGTGGAGCAAGAACGCTAGACGTCGCGATTCGCCCTTATGCGGTCAAGGTTGCTGGCGTTCCGACTCGTTCTCTTTGGAACCCGCGGACCCTGATGTTCGAATTCGAATGGCAAAGCGGTCTGGATAGACATGGGAGTGAGAAGTCTCGGGTCACCGAGATCTATCTTCCAGCCTATCACTACGGCACCCACAAGCTCCACATCGAAGTTCATGACGGCAAATGGTCAGTCGACGCTGAGAAACAGACACTGTACATAATTCAGGAGAAACATCGTGTCGGATTCCATAAGGTTGTGCTACAGATACAAGACGTCCAGGAGCACCTGCTTCGGAGGGTCGAGTGTCGACGGAGAGCATTCCCTTGTGGTTTTCCACTCAGTATGATGCCACCGGTAGTTGAGGTCTGGGTGGAGTCCGTCTCTTTCGATCATGCTTTCTGGGCATTTTCTTTAGTCATCGCTTTAGCCGCCATGTACGCAAGAATCCTGTCCTAGGGGCGATGTATGTTCTCGAACGCAGGTAGCTGGCCAATGGCCTTCTGATTTCTCATCCAATGTTGTAGAGGAATGGATCTCTGATTTGGAGTTCAGGCATGACAGGGTTTTGAGGTTCGGCTTGAATGTATTCCATGTGTACCCTTTAAGACGGAGTGAACAATTCTCGGAGGGGCGAAGACCGTTGTGGCTCTCATGAGCGTGGCTGCCAAGCAGACAAGTGGGCATTCTGCTGCGAAGACAACGTGGTCGAGACCACTACCTAGGTAGCGATTGTTTTGGAACAGGGCATGATCCCTATCCTATCTACTCACAGTGCACTCCGCTGAGCCTGACACACTCCTATTAGACTCGGAAGTCGCCGTCAATTTTATCACTGCGTCCACATCTGCACTCTCGGCGGCAGCAACAGCGACTACAACTTGCGTCGTCGCACCAAATTCTGCCACAGCAAGCTCATTCGGCAACTCTACACTCCAGCCGCTGGTAGTTGTGACGGCGTCGAGTCGGTACACGTCGCTTCTAGTATAGCGCCCCAATGTTGCGTTTTCCCCAAGTGTCTGCTTGCCAGTGTTGGTCAGGTCAAATACACACGCGGCGCTGCGGGCAGTAGAGGGGCTGCCGGATCCAACAACAGCACCGGGGCTGAGCTCGACGCCGCTCACGCCTGCGATGCTGCTCGCCAGGGCACGGGCCCCGACGGTATAATGTAAAACGCCCAGATCGTCCCGGCGACGTTCGAGGACATATAAGTGCACGCCATTAGCCTCATCTATGTGCTCATACTGGCTGCCTGATCTCGTGCCGGCGTGAAATAAGGCATCGGCAAGCTGCCGGTAATCGCCGACTGTCACCTTCTCCTCTCTGCCGTCAGGGCGAATGTAGTCCACAATGTCAATGTCTTGTGGATTCGCGTCGATGGTCCATTGAAATGGCTGGCTCCTGTCCGAGTTCTTAATCTTGCTGATCATAACACCGCTGTCCGGTGTGAAGCTATCGGCACCCATGCGGTCTACAACCTCAAGGTCATATGAGTTATAACCGCCACCATCACACAACGGCGCGGTAGAAATATTGCAGTAGGGCGACAAATCGGTGCCGAACACGATACGCACGCCAATCAGACCATTAGGGTTGTCCACTGCGCGAGCAGTCACTTCAGCCGTCACGACTCCGGAAGATTCCAGGTCGGATTTCTGAACGATCAAGACATTAGACTCGTCTGTCAGTCCGAGCTGAAGCTTATCTCGGACGGTGTGAAGTGCACCTATCGTCGCGCCTTGAAGGGAGGGAATTTGCCATCTGCATCATTCAGAATCAGTCGTCAAAGAGCCAAAGAAGTAGCTCTGTGCTATTAATATAGCAAAAAGTAGGCCATAGGATGTAAAGACTGTATTTCAAAGCTGCTTACCGAGTGTGGGGCCCCCCAGGCCCGTTGAAGCTGCCTCGAGACATCATGGACCACGGGCCTGTGTAGGATCTCCTCGCAGGAGTTCCGTACGGGTTGTTGTAATTGTCGCCAATACCTAGGAGGTGAGAAAGCTCATGAGCGTATGTGGCAGCGCCAGAGCTTTCTGCCTGCGTTGAGGATCCCCCGCCAGCGTTAGGCCATATTGTCGATGCTGATGCCCAAGAAGTCCACTCAACGTATCGGGTTTTCGCATAATTTGGCAATGAACTATTTACAGGCGGGCCAAATTCATCGGTGACATCTTCGTTAGTAAGGAATTTCATGACGCCAAATTCCTGCCAAGACCCTGACTCGTCCTGCCCTATATTGTTCATAGTCAGCTGTCGAAGAACTAATGACAGAACCTCATACTAGGACGGCAAGTAGTAGGCCAGAAGTTAAAGATAGCCTGCCTTAAAACTTATAGCCTGTGGGGTCTTCACAATGAGGCTGATAATGGATCTGAGTGCACATGTGTTCTTGAAGTGGTAGAAATTATATCTAAAAGCTGCTTACCAGCACTGAGGATGAAGACTAGTTCAAAGCTGTCAGCAGTGGCGTTGCCGACGTCTCCACGCCATGCCGCGAAAGCGTCTGTTCGAAGGTCCGCAGTGCACGGCTCCTCAGGAGGACAGGCTCCTGGGTTAAATCCCTCCTCATCGACGCCGTACTGGAACGACTTGGAAGGGAGCCTGTAGGCACCGAAAGCAGTCAAGTCGACGCCATATCGGCCTGCAGAGTCCTCCATCCAGTACTCGTGTAAGGTATGGTTGCGATTGAGGTCTTGTGGTTTGTTGAGAAGATCCCTGTAAAACGCAGGGACATCCGCACGGTCGAGTTCCGAAGCATCTGACTGAGGGTTGTTGAAAGGTGTTGACCCAACAGGCTTCGTGATGGTGAAGTTCTCGTCGGGATAGTCCACAGCAACAAGCGCAATCCTGAAGTTTCTGATAGACCCAGTTTTCGCCGGGTTTGACCAGTCGGTGCCAGGGGGGGACACGAAATCATCCCATGTCATCTGCAGCATCTGAAGTCAGCTAATGAGGCACCAATACGGGAGTGTCATTCAAAACCAAAGAGGGGTGGCGGGTATGTCACGGGTTGAATTGTTATCCGGGATCTGCTTACATTATCTGGGTTCACCCAAATTTGAGGGTCCAGCACCGCAAATGGCTCCTCGATGGCCCTGCAATCAAGCGAGAGTCGGGCCGGAGCAGCGTAGGCAAAATTGGCCAGCACGGCCGCTGTAAGGTATTTTGCGCCCTTGGATAGCATCGTGGCAATCAAGACCAGTGCTGAGATTGGGCACATCGCAGACAGAAGCTGCAGTGTTCCGCTGAACCGTGCGTAGAGTATGGCCTTTTTATAGACCTTGCCGTTCACCACGTCGTCTCCGCACGTTCTGAGACCCTGTGCATGGTAGGGTGACATTGTTGAGGATCTACGGTTCAAAGACTGCATGAGGTGCTGCTCATCCCAGTTATCTACCTGCTGCATTCGGTAGCTGGTTACTGACAAGATGGAGACGCCAAGCGATTAAGGTGCTGCCAAGGAGCTTGCCTGGTGCGACTGTAGGCTTCCGATGCGCGGAAGCTTACACAGAGAGCGTGGGTACCGTGCATACAAACAGTATCACCTCGCGCAGTGTAGTGTAGGCGGGTTGCCCAGTGTATTCTTTCCGCTGAATGTTGCTGTTCCCTGACCTTGATGTGGCATTACGATACGACTTGGCCGAAATCGGTACGCAGCAAGATATCCCCTCTGAAACGGCAGTAGACGCAACCTTGGAATGGCGAAGCGCTTTGTACAATGTTATACTCGCGTAACAAGGTCGCTCATTCGATCGAGTACAACTCCAAGAACACGATCCAAAGTGGATGTATGCTCAAGAGTTTCAGCCTGATTCTCGATCCCTCATCTGCAGCGTTTGCTCAACACGCTTTGCGCGCATAGGTCAGAGAGCAGCCTGAAGGGAGGGTCCAGGCCATTTGTGGAATGGGAGAGATCTTGCCAAAAGTTCAGCTGCAAGGGGTATAACTGTTTCTAATGTTGGAGTCTCCAACGGACTTGGCGAGCAGCGACGAGTGGCATCGAAGTATCATGGAGACGGCCCATCGAAAGACACTCTGCGACTGACCACGCGACTTCTAACGCTTGTGTCACGACTGATAGCCCTTCTTATCTCGGCATCCTCCTCTTCCTCGTCATCAAGCTGCTCCTTAGGCAGCCTGACGGCACGATCCAGGGCCACGGGCAAGCCACGGTGTCTCCCTCGTACTAAATAAGTATGAGGTTAGATCTGCTACAGATCCAAGAGTGTTGCATCATAGAATATCTAGGAGGAAAATTGAAAGTTCTGCGAAAGGAGAGGAATGATTGCTTACTCATGACCAACACCATGACAATTTTGCTGCCAGTATATAAGCCCCCACTGAAACTATACGCCTGATTTGGCAAGCCCAGCGACAGCCCTATGTTCGTGTAACCGCTAACGACCTCAAACATGATATTGAAAACGCTGTAAGTCTCCGGATCGAGGATGCTGTGCTTTGTCTCAATCACTGCAATAAGGAACATAGCGAGCGCCATCCACCAAATATCGTGGGAGAGCTGGCTTCGTACGTGCTGCGAGACGAGGTCGACCTCTCCTTCGTTCGTGGTCGATATTGATGCAATCGTTGTCGAAGAGGAATTTGAAGGTATTGGCGAGGAGCCGTGGAAGAAGGTGCTTCTTGAGGCGCCGCCGTTAACGCGGCCAGGCCGCCGCGGTGCGCTGACACCGACACCCTGAAAGCCTGTCATGCGCCGCTGGATCTGGCGCCCAACAAAGGCTGTACCGCGCCGGCCGACTTGAGCGAGTTTCTTGATGGAACGAGTTGACAAGTTGGAGGTCTGTGAAAAAGCCGAAGTGGGTGAGAATGGCCCATTGTTCCCTTGTGGCACCGCTAGCAGTGACTGGGCAGCGAGCTGGGCACTCTCTCCTTTTCCAGGATCCATCTTCTCGTCGCTGTCAGGCTCATCATCTCCAGCATAAATACCGAGAGACCGCTCCTCATATACGTTGGAGTTTCGCATTGTGATAGTACCTGGATACGTCTCGAGGTACATAATGACAAGCCACAGCACCTGAATGTCAAAATATGCGATGGACGGTGGTATGATGGCGAACCCGCCAGACCAGATTGCTTTAATCATGGTAAGTGAATGGACCAAACGCGGCCGTTGGGGGGCGAGCTCAACGAAGATACTCACATATTGACTGGAAGAGCATGTTGAACACCCGCTCACCAGAAGGATTTGTGTCCAGGGCTGAATTCCCGATACTCAGGACCAGCAATGCAACCCAGTCCGCGGCCACCAGAACAACAAGCATTGCAACAAGTAGCCAAGTAGGCTTAGAGGGGAAGAGCATGGTGTATACTCGACGTGGGTACTTGAGCGTGAAATCGAGAGTCTCCTTGGTGATGGCATAGTCTCCCTCAGAAGTGCCATATTTCAAGACTTGAGACATGATCCAGAGGATCAGTCTCAAAACTGATGCGTATTAGCCGCATGCTACGAGGCATAAAGCATTGCATCCTGGGATGTTGAAACCAATGACAGACAGGGGAGTAAGCCAAGAGGAAAATGGATGCACCCACACCTCGAGGCCTGGGTTTTTGGTATGTGACTGGTTGATTGGCAGACCGAGCTAGGGTTTCCAACTAGGGGTGGGTGCGAGACGCGCATAAAAGGAGAGGATGCTTACATGCCGGGAATGCTGCACTGCCCGCAAGCATCAAGAAGACCGTGACCACCAATAGGAACCAGGCGCTCTCGAATGCCGCGATACCAGCATCCAAAAGCGTCAGACCACCGTTGTTGAACGCAGAGATTGCGATGAACACACCTGTCCACCAGGGGTTTTGTGCATTCTCCCTGGCAGCTGAAGGATTGTTGACCGCTATCCAGGCCCCGAGGGCGATGGCACCGAGGATCTGCCAGAGGAAGAAGTACACCGTGACCGTGGCAATGAGCAGCTTTATGGCGCGGTACTCGACACCGCCTAGGTATTCACGTTCTCGTGCTGTTAGGTTGTGAAACTGCCCGTTCCGGCCGACATTGACCTTGTTCTGTTTCAGGAATGTGTCGATACTGAAGGACGGCTCCTGGTTTGATCGAGACGGACGCCCATTCGAGGTATCTTGACTGACTGAAGATTTCTGGCTGGTTACCTGCGGGCTCCCACGCTGGTATGCACTGGAGACCCCAAGCCCCGTTGCGTGACTGGGCTCGCCCTCGGTGATAGGGTCCAGAAATTTGATGCTTCGCCCGCCGGGGCTTATGGGAATTTCCGACGGGGTGGGCTTCAAGTTTGGGGGAGCCAGGAATGGACCCCTTGCGGCCTCCAGGTCAGCCTGTGTCTTCTTCTCAGCCAGCTCACCCGGCGTTGGTGACTTTGACTTTTGCGAGTCGCCTGTGTTGGGGGATGCGGCAATCCTGGTGCCCAAGCCTGCCATCATGGATTGGTCCCTATCGCGAGAGACTGCGGTGCGAAACCTCTGGGATCTTGATTCGGTCTTGTCTCTGGAGCGAAAGGTGGACATGACAGGCAGCCCAAACATGGCGCCGGCCATTCCGACGACTGCACCTGTCGACTTCATCTTCCGGTCTCTTTCAGCCTGCACTATATCCTTGAAGCGTCTCTCAAAAATGTACATCCCTAGTATATGTCAGTGACGTGCTATAGAACCTGGAGGCTCATGTTCTGGATCATGCCCAAACATGAGAGACGGGAAGAGGAAAGGGATGACACGGACTGAAGACAAGTGTGAAGATGGATATCATGATGGGGTTCCCCAGCATGAGGAGGACTGCCAGAATAACTTGCTGGCCAGTGGACATTGCTACAAGGTGTTAGTGTGGGCGGGCGGATATCTCGTGTCTGTATGTGGGTACTGACCGCTGATGTTGACCGTGTTCAGACCGGCCGATGTCAGGGCGGAAAAGGCCAGGAACATGCTGTCCCAGAAGCCGATACTCAGGGCAGGACGAGAGGCGCCCCAGAAGATGAGAGTCGCGGCCAGGCCGACAAGGAGAAAATATGCATAGTGGCAGGTTATGTAGTTGACCGGGGGCAGCCATGGCCTGATGCTCGCGCCCAGGCGGGACAGGGCGCCTTTGTAGCCCATGTTGACGAGATTGCGTCGGTGTTTTGCCCGGCTACCTACCCTAATAAGGCATGAACGTTTGAAGCTGGCGCACCGAGAGGAAGAGGATCGTTCTCGGGGTGGGCCCGAACCCAGACGGGCTCACGAGCAGCATCTTGTCTTGAAGTATTTTGTGTTCTGGCGGCCCACATTTGTGCAATATCGCGTTGGTATCGCGTTGGTGGCCTACGAAGTCTTCTTTTAGCAGTTGGCGACGAGCGAGGATCAGTGGGCTGCATGGCGGCGGCCGCATGAGGCTCGAGGAAGTGGCCCAAGGAAGTGGCCCAAGGAAGTGTGGCCCTGGTGTTGGGCAACGGGTAACACCGAGGGCCATCAGCTGATGTCTCCTGCTAACACTTGCGCGTGTACAGATGGCTGCGCATCTGCTAGTAAGGGGTTGAAACGGGAACAATGTGGGCGCCGGGCGGATTTCCGCGCGGCCGTTTTGAGCGACCTTGGAACCTGGAATAGCCCAGCCCCAGCGTCCCGAGGTCCCGCCCAATCCCAGAGCCTTCGGAAACCACTGAACCGAGGCCACAGTGCCTCGGGTTGTTGTGATGCTGACACCCACCACTTGACCTCTGTGCCCATCTCTATCGCCCTGCCGTGGCTTCAGGTCGACGGTACACTCCAGATGTCCCTTAACCACGGCATGACTGGACTCTTGGCACAAATCACAGCTACTAGTAGAGCGCATAAACAAGACTGGAGTCAATAATTAGGTGAGATAATTGTGAATGCCTCCGTCCACCTGGCGCCCGGAAACAATCCCAAATTTGCAAGCCTGGGTGGGGATTAAGCTTTGAATATACAACATTTGGGTGTGCGCCGGACTGTTTTGCAGCGTGAACCCCTTTTCTAGTAGACATATCTGAAGTTGGGGTTCTTCTTGTCCGTGATATCCTCAAAGGCATGCACAAATCCCTCATCACGTGCCTCCTGAACGCCCTCGGCAGCAAGCCGGTCACGCTTCTTGTTCTGCGCAACGAGGTACCAGCGCAAGAGGACAATGTCTATAGCCAGCAGACCGTAGCAACCGAGATGAGTAGCAAAGGCGATGAAATAGCGAGGGCCGTCCCAGGCCAGAAAGACCTGAGGTCCTGCGGGTAGATAGACACTGTCAGTCAAGAACTCGAGGAGAGGGAAAATGTTCAAGACAGTCATCGACTCACCGATTGCATTTCCAACAGCCCAGATGATAAAGTTGAGGGCAATGGCAACTGACTTCTTGGTTTGCCCGGCCACGTTACGGGATATCATGGACAGCGATAAGGTCTGGGCACTCCAGAAGGAGAAAGTGATGTAGTAGCAAATCAGTAGCCCAACGTGCTGGGAAAAGGTTTCCAGGGGAACAATCATCAAGCAGATAGTTCCCGCGAAGCATCTGTGAAGGGGCACCAAGCGTCAGTCTCCCCCAAGACACCGTATGGGACTTTGTGTAGGACTCTGAGCTTACGGTAGAACGAAGCCGAGCATGACGAGCAAGTTCTGCCCCGTCTTTTTCACAAGCCACAGTGATCCAAGGAGGATCATTATAATGTAGAAGCCCAGCACCATGGCCAGAAGCTGAGTCTGCAGCGTGCTGAAACCAAAGCTCTTGATGATAATGCCCTGGAACGCACCAAGTCCGGACGTGGGAAGCGTGGTGGTGAGGGCAATGGCGGAATATCCCCATACCTGTGGGTCTAGGAAGGCCTCGACGAGCTGGTCCATCTTGAACACGCGGTTCTGCACACCAGTCTGGTTGTCTCGCACGCGCTCTACCAGGAGGTGCTTGTCTTCTTCTGAGAAGCACTTCGCGCGCATCGGGCTGTCAGGCATATAGCACCCGACAAAGATCCCGAAGACGATTGAGATGATACCGTAGATCATGAACAGCCACTGCCACGACTTGAGGGGGCCTGAAGTGATGAGTGAAAAACAGTAGGCGAGAAGACCACCAACAATTTGCTGTGCTCCATTCATCACTTCAAGTTATGATTACGTTAGCAATGATACAGATATTGAAGTTTTGTATGGTCGTACATCCATTCCATGACACGAAGACGGGGACCATGAAAGATGGGGATCCGTGACAGGTGAGAAGTGATGCTTACTGTACCAATAGGTAACGCGGGCAGCCTGTTCCTCCCTCCGGTACCATATGGACGACAAGACGACGAATGCGGGCTGGCAGGCGGACTCGAACAGGCCGAGCAGCGTGCGGACAATGACAAGACCTAGGAAGTTGTGGCAAGCAGCCGTGCAGGCTAGCACCACACCCCAGGCAACGATACTGAAGCTGAGGTACTTGGCGATGGGCACTCGAGCGATGGCCCAGTTCTGAGGGTACTCGACGACCAGAATTGTGATATAAATACAAGTCGTCAGCCACGAGTAGTCCTGGCCGGTCAGGTTGGTGTCTTCTCGGATGCCCATGATCGAAGCGAAGCTCAGGGTGCCCTTGTCAATGGCCTGGAGGAAGTAAGTCGCAACCATGACCGAGAGAACCCGCTTGTCGATCATCTTGAGCAACTGGGCATTCTTCTCGGGTGAGATTTCGATGCGCACGTCTGAGACATATTGAGCGAGCTCCTTGTCGACCTTGGAGAAGTTCTGGTGTTCCTTGGCGAACTCGACCTCGTCGGCGGACATGGCACGCTCAACCTTGTCAGGTTCCGCATCTTGCCGCGGTTGGGTGGTCGGGTCGGTGGCCATGTTTGAGCTGCTTGCGATGTCCTCTTTATGACTAATATCGGGTGCTACCATGATGGGTTGACGTCGGTGACGGCGTCTGAGGGAGAAAGCAAAAGCTAGAAGCAATCCAGAAGGAATGGCCCTGGGAGCAACCTCCAGAATGCTGTCAGGCCGGATGAAGATGAGCAGGAAGTCTGGCAGACCAACATGGGAGGGAGGGACAGAAGGGGCAGGCTTCAGGCTTATCAATGGATTTTTTTTTGTCGGAACGGCTCTTTAGCAACACAAGCTGGACCCCCCGGGCGAATAAATTGGACCCGGCCCAGCGGTAAGTAAAGCCCACTGGACAAGTACACAGGTATCTGGATGACCGCTTGGCCGGGTGCCCTAGTGTTTATGGATGGTGGTGACCTTGACTTCCCCAGACCCCACAGAACATGGAGACCAAGTGGCATTTGCTTTCCTGGGGGCATAGGCGGCCATTGGCCCGAGATGCCGTGTTTGGTGACACCGTCCGGGCGGGAGGGCTCTCTATTCTTGGCCCCGAAAAGGCCGGGAAGGGATCATCCTCCCTGGCACCTGGCAGATATCAACGAGTCGCCATTGTTGCCACGCACTCCTGGCACTGTACGTACAGCACTGGAGTTCCATCTGGGGAAGCCGAGGAGAAAGTGACATGTCTCGTCCGGAAGTGCTGCAAAGTCCTGATAGTATGTAATTGTCAACATCGGCTACGTGTCTCGCATGGGGGCCCCTTGGAACCTTGGAAGACAATGGGTTGATAACACCGTCCCCCCGCACATTCCCCCTTGCCCTTCTCGTATCGACGTCGACTCTGTGGCACTCATCCCCAGGTTCCACTTGGTGACCCGCCCGCCCTGAGTCCATTGTCCCCGCGGGGAAAGGGGTCCGAAGGAATACAGAAAACCGGGGCGGTCGAGGTCAAGCCACCCGGGACGCTTGAGTAGAGCCTCGGTGCTTGATTTTCTTGGACCCGTCTTGGTACCAAGCCATCCACGGGGTCTTGGCGACCGCCCCCAACCCGGCGTCCCCATGGTCTGTCGGTGTAGCTCGGACCGAGCTGTGCCGGCTGCTGCTCTGTCGGAAAGGGTCAGATTCTCCACCCACTGCATCCTCGGTCCCTTAAGACACACGGTACACGTGTGTTGGTCCGCGGGCACGCTCCACCACACACGCAGAGCGTAGGTTGCACATGTACTTTTCGGTGCCTCGCCATTGCCATCAGTTGGCCCTCCTCTCCCTTCGCTCAAGTGCTCCCATTCCCTGTCCATCTTGACCACATACCTGCACGCATCCGCACAAAATGCCCATCGAAATACAGGGCATCAAATCCAACGATGTCCATGCGAAAATCAAGTTGTTGATTGATGGCATGGTCAACATCAAAGACAAGACCGGCGAGTTCCTCCTAAAGCTTGATGACGGCCGAGTAATCGACACAAAGGGATGGAATGACTGGGAGTGGACCCATGGTGTCGGCCTGTACGGTATATGGCAGTATTACGAGCTCACGGGCGACGAGAACTGCCTCGAAATCATTGAGGCATGGTTCGCCAACCGGTTTGCTGCTGGCGGGACCACCAAGAATATCAACACCATGGCTGTGTTCTTGACCTTGGCATACGTATACGAGAAGACGAAGAACCCGACATATCTGCCGTGGCTAGACAGCTGGGCCGAGTGGGCATACCGGGATCTTGACCGGACCAAGTTCGGCGGAATGCAGCATGTCACATATGTCAGCCTGCACGACGAGCAGCTGTGGGATGACACGCTGATGATGACTGTCCTCCCGTTGGCCAAGATTGGACTGGTGCTGAATAGGCCGCACTACGTTGAGGAGGCTAAGAAACAATTCATACTCCACTGCCAGTACCTATTCGACACCAAGTCGGGTCTCTTCTTCCACGGCTGGGAGTTCTATAAGGACGGCAGCAATCAAGGGAAGCTGGGGCACAACTTCGCAGAGGCCAGGTGGGCCAGGGGCAACAGCTGGCTGACCATAGTGATCCCGGAGTTCATTGAGCTGTTGAATCTTGATGTCGCGACGGATCCTGTTGGATCGCACCTCAGGGACGTCCTCGAGGCGCAATGCTCCGCACTCACGTCACTGCAAGCCCCATCGGGTCTCTGGAGGACGCTGCTAGATGTTCCAGAAGAGGAAGGCTCCTATCCAGAGGCAAGCGCAACAGCCGGGTTCGCATTTGGCATTCTCAAGTCAAGACGCAAGCGATATCTAGACCCGTCCACACCCGTCTCCGCCCCTGAAGCAGATGATTGCCGGAAGTTGAAGGGCGCCAGAGTGGGGGGATATGATGAGGTCGCAGTGAAAGCCATCAAGGCGGTCATTGACAATGTGGACGAGAAAGGAGAATTACTCAACACGTCATTTGGAACTGCTATGGGGTGAGTCAAGGTATACACCCTTTGCTTGTTAAACTGTCATGCTAATCTTCTTGACAGAGACACGTTGCAGCACTACAAGGACATACCTATCACAAGTATGCCGTATGGTCAGGCTATGGCAATCATGGCTCTTGTCGAATTTTTGAGAGTGTACATCTAGTCTACAAATGGATTTACGAATCATGATCCAGTGTCCGGTGTGTCCGTATGTTTTCACGAGGCAGCACTGCTAAGCTCCAGAACCCCCCTGCTTATTGTGATCTCGAGCTAGCCAAAATTGGACACCTAGGTAATGATGGGGGATGCTCGAATCTCCAAGGTTGCGACCTTCCTCGCCAGGGCCTCGAGTACTGATGGGCCCAAGCCTGGCTTGATATCGTACCAGGAATCCACGATGCCCAAGTAACCATCGAAGGAGACTCTTTCCCAGTTGAGATTACAAAATGAAAAATCAAAAACAAAATCCCAGACTTGTGATGCAAAATAAACGCTAGTCACATATGTGGCGCAACGCAGTGCACACTAGTAGATTCGCAGTGCTCAGTATCTCTGTGCCTCACGTTGTCAGACTCGCCAATACTGACAAATCAGGCGTTGCCTCTTCACTGCGGCCGGCTGCACAGGATCAAGCCCACATGTACTAAGCTTGAGGCTAAATGAAATGAACAAATGGCCTAGAGAGGCAGCGTAAGAATACTCAACCAGGTGAGCAGCGAACGGCCGGCCGGCTGACTCAGGGCCAATCTTGCGCAAGCCTCATTGACTGTCGCGGCGGGATTGTGACAAGAGGCGGTCATCACGCCCGGTGCTTTCACCAAACCTGAACTCCTACCCCGCTGGCCACGCGACACTCTTTTGTGTTGACAAGAGTAATGGGCGATGACATGACCAGCTCAAGTGACGTGACGTGGAAATCGTGCTTGGTGATTCGACTGGACAGCAATGTGGGGAAAAGGTAACGTAGTAATCGGACCAACTAGAGTGTGGTCATGTGGGCAGGCAACGACGAAAAGGAGGCGGTCCGACTAATAATCTTTGCCGACTCAATGGTCTTTTTTCTGTAGTTCCCTTGATTTCCAGGCTAGCCCAATATCCCTTTTGGCCGTTACTGTGCGTCCGGTTCAGGCTATAGTACCTCACAATATCATTGTGGGGGGCCGACTATGTGCCCGATAATGGTGCGAGGATTGGTTCCAGATGTTTCCAAGGTTTCTGAGCTGTCTGTGGCTGTAGGCTGAGTTCTAGAAGTCCGGTCACATTGCGGGCCCTGGTGTTGATGTTCAATGTTGGGTCTGGCAAAGGTGCCCGCCCTCTGTGGACCAAGCTGCCTGGATCGGCTTCGAGCCCAGAGCCCAGCTACTAGTATATGTCCACGCCGCTTCAGCAATCAGTACTGTATATGTGTGGTCATTTCGATAAGCGGTCTTCCGGTGTCCATCGGCGCCTGCCGAGCTTCTTTAAGGCCGGGTGTCCTACAATGAGCCCCAGCTGAGCCTCCTCCACCTAGGCAGGAGGCTGTGTCCGGTGTCACAAGCGATAATCACAGGTGTCGCTGAAGAATTTTTGACAGCTTTGCCTCTGAATGCTATTGGCTCCCAGGGGACTCATCTGCAGGAACGAGAGGGCACTGTCGGTACACTCCAACACATGCACGCTCGGGCTGGGCTTCACCAAGTTACCATTACTGGCTGGTTCCCATGTGCTGCTCTGAGACCCTGCAGGTGGCTGGATATGTCGCTCGCGCACCCAATTGGAAATCCTCATTACAAGACACGTCCAATGAGAGCTGCAGGCCTGCCTCCGCGCTTGTCCCGGGCGGCCCCTCCAATTGGGACCTCTACCAATCATCCTCCATGCCCGTTGCCTCAAGACTGCCACTTGGGATTGCAGCATGTGCTCCTTGCATCGCCGCAGCGCATCCCACTGAAATTGACCCCTCCCAGTTCCTTTGCCGCCCTCCTGACTTGTCTCCCAGACTTATTACTAGGCAATATGACTCAAGAACTGCAACAAGCATTGCTTCTGGAATCACAAGGGTCCGACGTGTCCGGCTTCGATACTACCCACCGAACCAAGACATCTATTCTAACGTCCGCCTGCTCGCTCCTAGTGTCGCTTGTAGTTGACCTGTTTAGGCAATGTGTCTGGCATTTGTCCAGGTTCTCGGTCTCAGAGGTCATTCAGGAGATGTGTGGCCCAAGATGCACCTGTCATTTTGGCACGGGACTAATAGCATTGCTGAATCGATACAGCTAATTGCTATAATGTGACTACAGCCGCTCAAGGGTACCAAAAGAAAAATGAGGACATTAACACCCTACAGTCTTCAATGTTCCATTGTGACTGCTCGAACAATGATATAAGAATGCCCCATCCTATCCTAGATGCTTGGAACGGTTTATGCTTCTCAGTGGGACTTCACAGCTGAATTCGTTCTGTATTTCCTTTATTCCTTTCAAGAATTGTTCTTATTTATATTGTGCTCACATAATTATTATACCATACTGCTCACTCCATATATTGACTACAAGTCCCAGAACTGCGAAGGCAATGTGGACCATCAATGCCGGGCCCCTGCTGGCTTGTCTAGGACTCAACACCCTTGCAGCGGCTTGGGCATCCCCAGGGTACTCGGGATTCAATTTGCAGTGGGAATCGCAGTTCGCCGGCGCTGCTGGTACGCCCCCGTCATCTGACAACTGGAACATCATTACTGGATATCTCGGGGTGAACGCCGAATGGGAGAGGTACACGGCTTCTTCCGCGAATGTACAGTGCTCCGGAGGCCAGACTTTGCAGCTCGTTCCCTGGAGAGACTCTTCAACCACCTACGGGTGGACATCAGGCAGGGTCGAGAGCAAGTACACCTTCACGCCCAAGGCAGGAGCCGTCACTCGTGCGGAAGCCCAGATCAGATTCGGTTCAAACGCTATTGCCAACAAGCAAGGAATTTGGCCGGCATTTTGGATCCTCGGCCAGTCGCTGCGTCAAGGGGGGAGCTGGCCTGCCTGCGGTGAGCTCGACATTATGGAGACGGTAAACGGCATCCTCAGGGGTTATGGAACAGCCCACTGCGGTACTTACCCAGGTGGCATATGCAACGAAGGTACCGGCATCGGGAACTCGATTGCCGTACCTGACCAAGGCTGGCATAACTGGAGAATCGAATGGGACCGCAGGTCTAACAACTGGGCAACTGAAACTGTAACATGGTATATGGACGGCCAGGCTTTTCACCAGATCAGGGGCAGTCAATTGACTCAAGACATTTGGAATGCCCTGGCTCACTCAAGCCTGTATTTCATTCTTAATGTTGCAGTTGGCGGCACATGGGTGAGTTGTTTCTATTACTTGTATTGGAGCACCCACAGATCATTGCTAACTTATCGACAACTCAAGCCTGGATATCCCAATTCAGCTACCTTAGATGGCTATGGGTCCATGATGGAAGTCGGATATGTCGCACATTACGTAACTTAGGCAAGAGGGCCTTATATAAATAGAAGAAAGAAGGTTTCTTATTTATAGATATAAATAAAAATATATTATATTATATTATATTATTTAAAATAAAAGAATAAAAGAATAAAAGAATAAAAGAATAAAAGAATAAAAGAATAAAAGAATAAAAGAATAAAAGAATAAAAGAATAAAAGAATAAAAGAATAAAAGAATAAAAGAATAAAAGAATAAAAGAATATAAGAATAAAAGAATAAAAGAATAAAAGAATAAAACACAAAACCAATAACAGAATAAAAGAATAAAAATAAAAGAATAAAAGAATAAAAGAATAAAAGAATAAAAGAATAAAAAAATAAAAGAATAATTTATATAATTATATTTTATAAGTTAAATATTATATATATTTTTATTAAAGTTTTATATAATAAATTTAATTAAATTAATTTTAAAAGATATATTATATTTTATTTTTTTAAAACTCTTATTATATACTTTTAATTTAATTATAGAACTTAAAAATATAGAAATAGTTTATAAAAAGCTCTTTAAAGAGTTTTCTTTCCTAGTCTATTACATACTAGTAGGTATATTCAACCTATACCGAGTAGAACATTCTGGGCCCATGCCTAGGTATGATGCCGGGTCACTACTGTTGTATTATGATGTGGGGAGTGGGTGATGCGATTGGCGTCTTGCATCAATTGGATCCGGCACAAGCTTTCCGGTTTATCTAGGTATCGAGCGGGCCCATGCGACAGTACATACCTACCTGGTACTAGGTCCACTTTTGTCGTGGTTCTCCGCATGGCCGGGGGTCGACGAGGGCTGCGAGGCCAGTGGAACTTATATCTCGTTGCATTCGTACCGATATCCTAGCCAGTTTTGCGAGTGATGTGCATTATGGCCTGACCTTAATTAATAAGTACCCAGGGGTCAGACCTTCTCTGCTCCCCTGCTCGCGCCAGCAGTGGGTAAGAAGAACCGAGACCCCCGCGTACCTCTCCTCAGAAAAGGGAAGGGCCCCACCATTCTATCTTTGCCCGCTGTCTCCACCTCTCTAATTCTCCTACTGGTATTCACAAGCAGCAGACGACAGAATGAGACTCCGAAATGCTATTATTCTGTTGGCCACGAGCCTCCCAGCCGCTTCTGCCTCGAGTTCGAAGCCAGAGTCTGTTGGTCCAGTGAGCCAAGAGGAACTAATTGATTCCCGCAGCGCAAGCAGAGGTGCAAGCAACACGTTCAAGCGTGAGACCAATGGAATTACATACAATGTCTACGAACATGCTGCAACAAATTCCACTCTTGATATTGTCGAGGACAGCGGTGTCTGCGAGACCACGCCAGGCGTCAAGACCTACTCTGGTTACCTCTCGGTCGGGACGAACATGAGTATGTGGTTTTGGTTTTTCGAGGCTCGCAACAATGCAACAGCCGCTCCTCTTGCTCTTTGGCTCAATGGCGGTCCCGGATGCTCATCGATGATCGGGTTGTTCCAGGAACACGGTCCATGCCACTTTGTCAATGGCAGTGATGAGCCAAGCCTGAATCCATATTCTTGGAACACATACGCCAACATGCTCTACGTGGATCAGCCTATCGGTACCGGGTTCAGCTTTGGTGACGACCAGGCCACCTCCACTGTCACCGCTGCACCATTTGTCTGGAAGTTCATGCAAGCTTTCCTCGAAGCATTCCCAAGGTACGAAAGCCGTGAATTTGGACTGTGGACAGAAAGCTACGGCGGGCACTACGGCCCTGAATTTGCGGGTAAGTACAGATGGCTGTTGGCAGCTGGTAGCTCGACTAGGTGGAGGGCTGATAGAGTCTCAAGAATACTTCCAGAACCAAAACATGGCCATATCCAATGGCTCGATCATTGGCGAGGTGATCCAACTCGTCGCTCTCGGCATTAACAACGGGTGGATCGACCCAATCATCCAAGAACAGGCTTATATAGATTTCGCGTACAATAATACCTGGCGTGCACTCATCAACGATACTCAATATAACCAAATGCAAGAGGCATACGAAACACAGTGCCTCCCGCTTCTACAGAAGTGTCCTGGTCTGGAGGGAACCGACGCGGCATGCTTGGATGCTGATAATGCGTGCTACGACTTGGTTGAGGGCGTAGTTGAGAATGGTGCAGTCGACTTTGACGTCTATGACATTCGCCAGCCGAGCGTCGATCCGTTTCCTCCGGAAACATACGTTGCTTACCTGCAGAGGCCAGACATTATGAAAGCGATAGGCGCCCAGGTCACCTATGGGGAGTGTCCAGACGAGCCATACTACAAAATAGCAAATACTGGTGACGATGCACGGTCGTTTCTGGACACTCTTAGCACGGTCGTTCAATCTGGCATCTCGACCTTGATCTGGGCTGGCGACGCTGGTGAGTCTGGACCCTGTGTGTTATCTTGGATATGCCAACTGACAAACAATTAACCAGACTGGATATGCAACTATCTTGGAAATGAGCGCTCCGTTGATGAGATTGAATACAGCGACTCGGCGAAATTTCGAGCAACCGCGCTTCAGGAATTCGTGCTGAATGGCACAAAATCTTACGGACAATTCAAAACAGTCAGCAACCTGAACTATTTGAGGGTCTATGCGGCGGGCCATGAGGTTCCCTACTACCGTAAGCTCTTTGAATTGCAACGCGCGGTAGCAACCTAAGAAGCTGACGAAAGTGACCGTATAGAACCTGAGGCGTCCCTGTGGGTGTTCAAGCAGATAATGCAGGGACTGCCTTTGCACTCGCAACAACTCTAGGAGATCGAAAGAAGCATCTACAGCCGGGGAAGACCTGCTAACAATAACATACAGCAGTACATCGTCTGACCGTTTGCTGCTCTCAAGTGCTGGGTGTAGGGGCCCGACAAGAGCTTGAAATGCTGGTAGAGAATGGAGGATCCGGATATTTGTTGGGCAAAAGTTAAATAAGGTGCACTCATACCCCTAAAGTGTACTGCCATATGGTTGTTCTTGAATAAATGAATACCGATTTCATTGTACTTACTTCCTCTGTGCCCCTTCTCTCCATGTTCAATTCAATAAGCCTTTGGCTGTTTCCAGACCAACAAGTCCCTTAGGTTACTCCTGTCGAAATCCACTTTGCCTCTGTTACTGACCCAAGCTCCCTCATCTGTAGCCTCCAGGTTGTCCGCGCTCAGGCTCTCAATCTCTTTCTTGCTCAAACCGTAGTTGTCCTTTGGCAGCCATATGAGAGGCGTTTTGCTGGAGAGGCTAGGGTTTTGATATGCCTTCCTGATGTCCTCTTCGCTATACTCGGGGGCGGGCTCTGTTTCGGCTCCTGTGCGAGCGAGGAAAGTGCGCATGGCCTGGTGCGAAGCGTATACGTGCGGCTCAAAAAATTGTGCGACTGGGGAGATGACCTTCTGAGGGAGATGCATTTCTCTGCCGACGCGCTGCACTCGAGATCTCTCGTGCTCGTCTACTTGTACGTCCCCAGCAGCGATAGCTTGGCCTTCCTCAGCGGCAGATAACAGAGGGTCATGCTCTCCATTCTCAGCGTTGATCATGTCGTCAGGGAAGTGGTCCTCCAGCGGGTTCAGATAACGATTCGTCAGGATCGTGTAGCCAATGGTCGCAAAGAATAAGATAGCCAGCATGATCGCTGGGCCCTTGGCCTTTCGTAAGCCAAAGAGCCCGATCAGACATAGCTCGCCGATATATATGCCGGCCAGTATCTGCTGGAGTGCGCGAGTATAACACTTTCCCTTTGTCTCGATTTTCGGTTGCACCATGAACAACAAAGTATACCTGTAGCTGAAATAGAAGAGGGAAAGCCCGACAGCTGCAAACCCCAGAACGAGCGGCGATATGCAGCTGTAAGCCAGGGCAATGATCACGAAATTTGTAAACTTCGGATAGACTTTACCCCATGCAATTCCTTTCAGGCCGACGTACTGGTTGTACTTATCCCGTGGTGTTTTATAGACGAAGATTTCAAAAAAAAGGTATTGTAGCAGATCCGACCAATTCATGATGTTCTTAACGGATGCTGTGGCATCATTAGTATCCACAACCGTGCCAAATCGAGGAGACCAAGACCAATCAAAGGAGCATTGCAGATTGCTATGCCGATGCATTCAATCCCAGTCATACGGCCTCTAAGCGATATTGCTTCACGGGCAGTTGCTAACTCTTGAGACATGAACTGCCAAGGTGATTCGAAGTGCTCCTCAGCTGGGTCTTGGCCTCTTGGACCAATGGGAAAAGGAGGAGACTACTAACAGGCGAGACCCTGGAGTATGAAATACGTCAGGTAGAAGTTGGACGATTTCGGAAGGTTGTCAGCAAGTAGCTGGGGAACATGGTGTGGATTACTGATGACGGTTGGGATAAAAGCGGTAGCCGAAGAAGAGAGGGCGGTGACTAGGAACACCTGTATAATCTGGAACGCATAATACCAGGCCTGAACCTGTAGCTCGGCCGTGACCACCGTGGGCTGTCCCGCGGCTCTGGCAATATCTGGTCAAAGCATGGTGTCAATGAAGCGGCCTAAATGATCTGACTGCGAACTGGTAGGATCCATGGATGGAAAGAAGTCATCTCGTGTTTGACCTACGTCGCATGAGGTTTGGCAAGTAAGACGCAAACTGGCTTGTGAGAAATGGAGGCAAGAATCCTGTGAGAAGCCCCAGGAGAGGGTCTGGAAGGTTGTTGATCCATGAAAGCCACGAAACATTGTCGGCGAGGTAATTCACATTTGATATGGTGCCTATCACGGCCGTTGGGATGGACCAGAAGACGATGAGAAGCGCGATCAGGAGGTTTGCCACGGACTTCTTGGATAGTCGTTCGGCCTGTGGCATCGCGAGATTGCGCCATATAATCTCGTTCGGAAGAACACCAATGAGCCTTGATCGGGTGGCCAGGCTGGCAGGCACTGGAAGGCGAGGCTTGACTTCGGCCCGATAAGCGCGCTGCGCAGCAGACTGGGTGGCGTATTCAACAAATATTGCACACCGGTCGTGGCCATTTGTGCTTTCGGCCGCGTAGGACTCCCGTTTCTCTGCAACCTTTTGCACTGCTTCTTGCGCCTCCTTGCGCAGGTGTTGAATCAGATCAGACGCATTGACAGAGAGATGAACTTGTCGCTCACTCGGACACGCACTCTCGATTGCAGCATTATTTGCACTTCCTGTGACCTCCAGGCCTTCTCTTCGGTGGGTCTCGGCAATCTGTTTGCTGGCCTGTCTCAGGTACGAAACCTCAGCGAATTCGAGTCTCAACGCCTTGTCATCCCTCGACTCGACCTCGTCGTCAAGTGACTTGGTCTTTTTGACGATCCACTGATGTCGTGCATCACTGCCGAAGCTCTCCTGCGGGTCAGAGGCATTAATAGCCTCCCTCGGCGGGTCGAGATAGAGGACGGTCCTTGACGAGAGTCGCGACGCGTTGGTTCGAGCGAGATACTAATCCGCCGTTACTACCAAATATGGCGACTACGTGTATGGATACGTTCTGGAGATTCCGAGACACGAGGGGGGGATCAGTGTTGAGAGAAGAGCAGTGCTTACCCAGGCTTGGCGGAGCCCCACGAGCCAAATCCGTTCTCTAGCAATGACCAGCAGAACAAACCCGTAGAAGACCCAAGCCACCACGGCATGCGCATAAAGTCTGTCCTTGTGACGCACATTACCGAAGCCAAGCCGATCGAGCTGATTTGCGTCCCCTCCGCCAGTCGCATTGACGGGGAAGAGGATGGCCCAGGTGATGAGTGCCCCGACAAAACAGATGTAGACGGACGTCTTGAGAAAGCGGAGATATAGATAGGCATCGAGGGAGGAATGCTCAAGGACGAATTTGTCGTCAAGCTTCCTGATTGTGCGGAGCCATTCGAAGCGTTTAAGACTTGATACGGGTGTGCGATCTCTGGCCCCAGTCAGTGACGCAGACAGAAGGTGGGGGGTAGCCAAGGTGAGAGGGCTCTGGGTACTTCTCAGGAATGACGTCAATGTAGGTTCTTGGTGAGTATATCCTCCGAAGGGGCCGCCTGATGAGGATAAACACGGCGAGAAGGAAGAGTGCACTGAACAATGATGGGACAAAGGCGGCCAAGATGGCAGGCAGAGACGCCGACTGATTCGACTGTGGGTGTGTCAGTGAGGTGATCTCGGGAGACCGTTGCAGGCTCGGATGAGGCCCATCTACAGTGCTTAAGCAAGGAGAAGGGCGAGGGAACAGTCTGCTCATGCTCACATCACTGCCGACCGCCCCATTGCTCGAGGTCAAGAGAGACGAGGGGTGCGTGTTCCGGGCGTAGCCCAAGCGATGCTGAAAGTTCATCTCCGGTATCGCCAGGTGCAGTCGGCCCAAGGGGGCCAAATCACTGCAGGTGGGGTGCTATGGTCGGGATCTCAGGGACCTCAGGGGCCTCAGGGGCCTCAGGTTCAGCGGGCTGTAGGGCGTGGATGCTGCCTCCTCTGGTGGCCAGTCGGTATCAACGTTGTTTCGCTACGGAGGTTCAAATGTTTGATGTGCTTTTCATAGGCGGTGACGTCTGGGCTTGGGCCCGCTCCTGGTGCAGCAGCTTGTACGCACCCCTAACCCTCGAATCAGTTCCCCATGTGACAAACACCATCATTCACTCAACCCTGCATAGCCGCACTTGGGTTCTGAGGTTCCAAGGTTCCCATCTAGGCATATGGTAGTTAGAAACACTAGCTTAGTCTGCTAACCGCTTAAGTATTAAACCTACACCTTTAGAGATATAAGTATATTTTTTTTAAGTAATTAGTTATAAACCTAAATATTTATTCTTAAAACTATTTAATAAAAGTTATTATATATCTTACTTTTAAGTTTAACTTTAAGTTAAAGTAAGAAAGAAAAGAAAAAAATAAATAAATAAGGTAGTTATAGTAAAGGAGAAGAACTTAAGTAGGTAGAGTAAGAAGCTAGACCTAGCTAGTATTCCTTTATTATATCTAGCTCTGCGATCCTAGGGGGAGAGTTGGAAACCCTAGCTTAGTCTGCCAATCGGTTTAAGTATCAAATCTACACCTATAAGGACGTGGGTGCATCCATTTTCCCTCTGGCTGACTACCTAGGTATGGTAGCTGAGTATTGCCGCCCGGGCGGCCAACAGCCAGCTGTGCCAACCTCAGTATCAGTACCAAGTCGGGGTCACAGACCAGTGGCGCAACATGGTGGTAACGGCATTGTTCCACTCGAATTCAAAGCACTGAGCCAGCTGGTCTGCCTCTTCTGGAGAAGGCTCACGCCCACCCCACATCTCCGGCCTCATAGCTTCTATGGCAGCATACGTAGCTACAAGGTTGCTGGAGGCCCCCTGTTAGCCGACTTCAGGAACCGTCGCCAAGGGTGACCTTGGGGGAGCTTCGAATCCCAAGGTCTGGGGGACAAATCAGCTCACTCATTAACAATCTTTTGAAGGCACAGCCAGGCCATGTTCCAGCTGCGATTGCTTTCTGGATCACTGCGTACCCTCATCTGTGCGTCGGTCACGCTGGTATGTATCAGTCACCAAGATATAAAAGACGGGTTGGCATCTATCATCCCGAGAAAAGAGCAGCACTGACATGTCCCCGCAGAACGGGTAATTTCTCGTGAGTCCTCTCAGCTCAGTGAGGAACTGGTTACTGCTGACATAGTAGCTCCATGCCTCCGTCATTGGACCCTGGAACGCCACAGCATCACTCTCGTCACATGTCGCTGCTATCCGCTCGACTCTCACGAGTTCGGTGAGGGTATTGACGGCGTGCGACTGGAGTGACTCGATTATCCGCCGTATGGGCCGCTGGGACTCCGACAAGATGCTTTAGCGCCTGTGCTCTGCTATGGGGAAAGGGCGGATGGGATCAGCGCATCGTACCTGAGCACCCCTTTCCTTTTTGTGCCCGTGGGATGATCGACCTGAGCGTGAAGAAGACATGTTTTCTTGACAGAGATCTCGCCCCTCGATATTTAGCTCTCGTGACTAAAAGCTAGAACTGAAATGGTCTGCAAATGGGACTGGGTATTGGGAATCTAAGATGAACACAAGCGATCCGCTTATTCAGACACCTGTCGGCGAGAAACAGGTATACACCGGAAGACAGATTTATATCTAGGACAGTTTGCTGTGCTGTGCTGTTCGCGTTCGCTGTCTCCGCGTCACCGCTAGAGTTCAGGTTCGCGGCTCCGCCGGTGTCTGCCTGCCTGTGCACCTCGAGATCATCCCGTATGACCTATGATGACAACGTGAGCGTGATGAGGCTTTCCCGACGCAGCACTTGAGGTACGTGGCTGGGGGGTGGTATGTGCAATGGACACCGGTGAGAGCCGAAAATACACTGCCAATGGGTAGTATATAGTGTCATGCTTTGTACCTGTGTTTGTTGCTGCCATATGCAAGTCAACGTCCCAAAAAGGCTAAGTACAGCCGTGAAATCCGTGCTTAACACTAGAACAAGTTTCTGAGCAACAGGCGGGTATTCCGGGCTTATATGCTGCTGGAGGGATGGGGACTGAGGTCCACATGTGCACATATGCAGTGGCATAGCGTGATTACACAGGCCAGACTGCGACTTATCAGGACTTCGAGGAATGTGGGTCGCAGGATTCATCAACTGAATAGACGGCCACACGAAGCTCTTGACCTCAAGAACTTACTGCAAAGAAAGCTGAAACCCGAGCCAATACCTTACGGACCAGTCTAAAGCGATGGAATCAGTGCGGCTGAACTCCGGACTTGGTGTGGCGGCCCACTCCTGAACTGAGGCTCAGCCGGTGTCTACCACCGGAGCTGCCAGCTTGACAAGCCCACTGGTTGGTTGCTTAGCGACTTGAAATTCCAGAAATCCAAAACAGCTGAAATGTGGGCCATTGCTTGTGCCCACAAAGGAGCGCCTTCCCAACTGGTGAAGGGTTGCGTATGCAGAAGCACGCCGTGGGCGAGGATCTGGCAGTATTCAAGTGCCCACTCGAGCATCTTGTTGGGGACGGAAGGGGGTGGAGGGCTGTAACTGTGTCTGCGGAAGCATCTGTCCAAAGACTTTGAGCGAGCCTGACCAAACACTAAACAACACAACAAATGCAGAGGAAAAGTAACTCTGCACTAATCGGAGTACACGGGACAAGCTTTTCGCGCCAGATATCCTCCGCTACCTGGGTGCATAATCCAGTGAAGCTGTAACGGGTGGAATTGACGATGGCATGCCTCGTTTGATTGAGCACACGAGAAAGCAGGACCTCAAGCTGTCAGCAGGATGGAGTGGTACCGAGGTCCACAGGCAGCAAGCCTATTAGCAATGCAAAGCATTTGCCAGATCTAACTTAGCATCGACAAATCCTGCCCTCCCCAGTGTCGCTCCGTTCTGAAAGTGGGGCAAAAAACCGTGACATGCTGGCCTTGGCTATCGCATCCCACTTTCCTATATGACTCGGAGCCGAGACAGTGGCACTATTGGTTGGAAACATGATTATAAGACGGATATATTTTGGGACTGTGTTTACTAATGAAATGGCGGTATAGTCCCTGTCACCGCAGCACGGCAGCCAGCCCTATAGGGCTGCAGGAGCCCGCATCGAACTTGCATAAGGATGCATACTTCCAGCTAGCGTCGCCAGCCAAGTGTTCCGAGCTCTCGGATTACACCCAGCAGACAGTCGAGGGGCAGAGCCAAGGTTTTGAGGATACTCTGTGAGATTGCGTTTATTGGTCTAGGATGCATGACAAGGCTCATGACATCCCGGAGTGGCCGCCTGAACGGCCCCGAGATCTGTGTGATGAGATTTTAGTTTGCGTCATGGCCTCTCCAACTACGTAATTCGTCATTCTTTCCACGTCTCCTCGCCGGAACGGTAGAAATCCCACGGTAACATTCAACGCGTGAGTGATTGCGTCAACATACCCGCCCCAGGTAGGCTGCCTCGGAGCACAGAATCCCCAGGTTCTTGGGAAAGTGATGACTTGCAGTCCACCCGCCATCTTACAGGGACTGTTCGACAACCAGCCCTGGAGCTTGGCTGCAGTGATCCCAATGCCTCTCCATAGACGCATGCCGTATGGATCCCTGCATCTTGGGACCTCTTTCAAGAACATAAAAGCAATGAGCCCGTGCACAGGAACACCCATAGACTGAAGAACACTAAACAGATATGAGAATATTTACGCCTGGGGTGTCAGTTGAGCCTCACAGCCACAGTCACCCGACGCTTGGATCTGCACTCGCCAATTTGTCTTTTGTAGGGCTGACGTTCTAGACCGGTGCGATTCCGGGGGCCGAAGGATGCATCCGATCCGAACCATGCTGCACGTTTACATCAGCCGGTCGCCCCAAGTAGGCAGTGAAGCCCTCCGGTATTACTAGTCACGTATTATCACTTGCTTCCTCCTCCCCCCTTGTACGGACAAAGGTTCCATGCTTTCTGCGCTAGGACAGCCTCAAAAGTCCAAGAAGGGGCTGAGCAGCGGGTAGGGCTGAGACACACGAGAGATACACTGCCACCCCTGCCAAGATCTGTCAGTGGGTTTCGGAATGCCTCTTCTGTACGTACCTACTTAAGTAGGTAGGCAATAGGGCAGGTGCTTCTCTCTAACTCCCATACACCTTAACAGAAAACAGCTCCCCTCCCTCCTCTTTCGGGTGACACCGTTACCACACCCCTCTCCGGCTATAGCTAGGTATATAACTAAGTATACCTATCTAAATATATAGATTTATAATATATTTAATATATAACTTAAATTAATACTTCTTTTTTATTATTTCTATAAATATATTTTTATAAATTTTATTTAACTTTATTATAAATAAATAATTAATAATTTTAAAATATAATATAATAAATATTTTTAATATTAATATAATTTATAATATTATATATAAATTCTTTTTAATATTATAAAAAAGTATAAAATTATAATAAAATATTTTAAATTTTAAATTTAATTAAATAAATTTTAAAATATTATTATAAATTATTTATATATTTTTAATTTATTATAAAATTAAAATAAATAATTAAAATTATAAAATATAAAAAATTATTTTTAAAAATAATTCTTTATAATATTATTTATTATTAATTAATAATTTTTTATTAATATATTAAATTTTATTAATTAAAATTTAAATTATTATAAACTATAATTTATTTAATTTAATATTTTTATATATAAAGTTATTATTTTTATTATTTTTTAATTTTTTAAAAATAATTATTAAATTTATTATATTATTAAATTAAAATATAATATTTAAATTAAAAATAATTTATTATAAATAAAATTATTAAAAATAAATTTAAATAATAAAATATATAAAATAAATTTTTATAATATTATATAAAAATATTTTAATTAAAAATTATAAATATAAATTATTTTATAATTTAAAATTTAATATTTATTAATTTATATTATTATATTTTTATTTAAAATTTATTAAAATTTATTAATATTATAAATAAAAATAATTTTAAATAATAAACTTTTAATTTATATAAAATTTAAAACTTTTAAATAAAATAAAATTAATTAATTAATTTAAATAAATTATTTTATAAATAATTATTTATAATATTATAATTTTAAATTAAAATTATATTTTTAAATAAAATTTTTAAATTATAATATTTTAATTTTATAATTTTAATTAATTTAAAATTAAAATAAATTTTTATAATAATATATAAATATATTTTAATTAAAAATTATATTTTTAAATTATTTTATAATTTTATAATTTATATTTATTATTTTATTTATATATTTAAATTTAATTAAAATAAATAATTATTTTATAATTTTATTTATAATATAATAAAATTAATTTATTTTAAATTTATAAATTTAATTATGTATTTTAATTTAAAATTTAAAATAAAAAATTAATATTAATAATTAATAAATTTTAAATATAAATTTTAAATATAATTTTTAATTAAAATTAATATATATATATTAAACTTTTAAATATAAAATTAAAATTTTATAATTAAACTTTTAATTAATTTATATTTAATTATTTTATTATTAATTAATTTAATTTATATAAAAATAATTATTTAATATAATATATATTATTAATAATTAAAATTTTATTTAATATAATATATATTATTAATAATTAAAATTTTATTTAATAAATATAAAAATATTTTATTAAATTAATTAAATTTTATTAATTAAATTTAATATATATATATATATATAAAATTATTAATTTTATAAATTATAATAATTAATTTATTATAATTTATTATTTTATTAATAATTTTTAATTTTTAAAATTAAAACTTTTATTTTTAATTAATTAAAAATTTATTAATAAAATAATTTTTAATTAAAATATAAAATTATTTAAAATTATTATTAAATATATAATTATAATTTATTTAATTTAAATATTTTAAAAAATTTTAAATTAATATTTTATTAATTATTTAAATTTAAATTATTTTAATAAATAAATTTAAATTTAAATTATTAATTATTAATATTTAATTAATTAATTATTTTATTTTATAATATATTATTATTTCTTTTATTAATTATTTATTTTATTTAAAAGTTTTATTTTAATTAATTATATAAATAATTATATTTTTATTTAAATAAAATTTAAAATAATAATTTAAAATTAATATAAATATTATAAAATTAAAATTAATATTTACTTATTTAATTATTATATTTATTTATTTAATTTTTAAATTATTTATTTAATATAAAGATTTAAATATAAAATTTATATTAAATTATATATTTAATTGAAATTTTTAAATTTTTATATTTTTTAATATAAATTTTTTAAACTTTATTTAATATTTTAATATTTTTAATATTTTAATATTTTTAATATATTTTTAATTTTAAATTTATATATATTTAAATATTAATTAAATATTAAAAATTAAAATTAAAAATAAAAAATTATATTTTTTAATATTTTAATATTTAATTAATATTTAAATATTTAATTAATATTTAAATATATAAATTATTTATATTTTTAATTTTATTATTAAATTAAAATAAATAATTAAAATTTTAAAAATAAAATATAATATATTTTTAAAAATTAATTTAATTAAATTTATTATATAAAACCTTTTATAATAATTTTATAATTTATATTTATAATATTATTTATTATTAAAAATATTTTTATATTAATATATTAAATTATATTTAATTAATTTAAATTAATATTATTAATTTTAATATAAATTAATTTATTAAAAATTAAAATTATTATAAATTATAAACTTTTAATTTAATATTAATAAATATTATATATAAATATTAAATTTATTATATAATTTAAATAAATTAATTAAAATAAATAAAATAAAATTATTATTTTTAAAATTTTAATTTTATTTTATAAATAAATATTTATTTATTAATTTTATTATATAATTTATTAAATTAAAAATAATCTAAATAAAATACTTATATTTTATTATTATATATTTAAATTTATAATTTTATAATTTTATAAAATAATTATTAATAATTAAATTTATAATTATATAAAATAAATTTTTATTTTTAAAAGAATTATTAATATTTAAAATAATTAATATATTTTTAAAATTAAAAATTATAACTTTAATTTAAAAGAAATTAAAATTTATAAAAATTTTAAATTTAAATTTAAAATTTTAATTTAATATTTATATTTATAAAAATAAAAATATTTATATAATTTAAAAAATTAAATTAAATTAAATTAAATTAAATTAAATTATAATAAAAAATTAATTAAATAAAAATTAATTAAAAATTATAATTATAAATCCTTTAATTTTATATTAAAAAAATTATTAAAATATATTTTATTTAAATATTATAAAAATAAATTAAAAATATAAAATATATTTATTTAATTAATTATTTAAATAATTTAAAATAAATAAATAAATTAATAAATAAATAAATAAATAAATTCTTTTAATATATTATATAAAAATAAAAATATTATTATAAAAATATAATTTATTTAATATAATAATTTTATTTATTTAAAACTTTTATATAAATTTAATTTAATTTAAATTTAATTTATATTTTTAATTTTTTAAAAATAATATATTAATTATTTTAAATAATAATAATATTTTTAAAATAAAAGTTTAATTTTATATAATTATATATTTATTTATTAATAATTTTTATTTTTATTTATAAATTATTAAAATTATAAATTTAAAATAATAATAAAATATAATAATTTTATTAAAATATTATATTTTAATTTAATAATATAATAAATTAAATAATTATTTTTAATATTTTTATAAAATTAATAATTTTTAAATTTATTAAATAAATATTTATTTATAAAATAAATATTAAAACTTTTAAAAATAATAATTTTATTTATTTATTTTATTTAAATTATTTAATTTATTTAAATTATATAATAAATTTAATATTTTTATATAATAATATTTATTAATATTAAATTAATTTATAATTTATAATAATTTTAATTTTTAATAATTAATTTAAATTTAAATTAATAATATTAATTTAAATTAATTAAATATAATTTAATATATTAATATAAAAATATTTTTAATAATAATAATATTTTAAATAATTATAAATTTATTATAAAATATTTTATTTTTTTAAAATTTAAATTATTTAATTTTAATATTATTTAATTTTAATTAAATAATAAAATTAAAAAATATATAAATAATTTATATATATATATTAATTTATTATTATTATTATTTTTATTTTATTTTTATTTTATTCTTATTATATTAAGATTATTCTCTTAGATTCTCCTATTATTAATACCGGTATATCCTGCTTCCCCCTCCGAGTTCTCACTGAGGTGATCGCTATTACTATAGTCGGTGTTATCACCGCCTAGGTAATCATCACTCTCGAGCCTTCCGGCCCTTATGAAGAGTGTCCAGCCCCATCCGACGAGGGCGATGCCGCCGAACACGCCCCAGGCGAGCAACTCGCCTTTGTGATGTAAGCGCATCGACAACGTAAATAGGCCCCCAGATGCGAATGGCCCAAACGATCGGCCTGCTGCTGACAGGGTCTGGGCTATACCGTTGAGCGAGCCGAGAGTTTCATGCGCAGGGGCAGAGTTGGTTATCTATAGTAGTCAGCACCAAGACGTCGAGGCATGCCGTGGACTCTTGAAACTTACAAGAAGTAGAACACAGCTCAGCCCGCCCACGGCACTCAAGTTCTTGAGCACGAGTATGACGCCCAGCTCAACCAGCAACCACGACCTGCCCGAAGCCCAGCCAAATGGAGCATTGCCATCTCGATATCCCACGAACGGCATGAAGGTCATGGAGAGAGCCAACCCCAGGAGGCTCAGTCTGAACGTGCCCAGGTTGCCCAGACGGGCCTTGAGGGGCTCAAACAGGGAGACCTGGAACAGGATGGTGACCAGCCCCGCCAGGCTCATGCTAACGCCGATGACGCCAGGGCCAAGCTCGCGACCCGTGGGCGCCGGTGCGGAGGCGAAGATGGGATAGAGACTGTTGAAAGAGATGTTTGCGACCTGGAAGATGAGGTAGGTGAGCAGGATGCTGACGGTGGTCCAGTTGAGCAACTTCCGCAGGCCGGACCGGTCTGAGGCTGGACTGTCTTTGTTATCCCGAGGCGACGCCTGTGCTTCGAGGTCTGGCGCCGAGTGGACGAGCGCGTCTTGCTCACCCGTGGCAGCTTGCCCATCGTAAGCGCCATCGTCCTCCTCCTGAAGCACATCGTCGGTCGGGGAGGTCGGCCAAGTGGTGCCCCTGAAACGTTGCCGTCCGTTTCCCGAACGCAGACAAGAGCAGATGCAGAGGTTCTCAAGCCAGGCGAGGGCTTTGATCTCGTGTCTCCTGTCAGCTTCGTCAAGGGTCTCTTGGAACCACACGGCCAAGACGACTACGGCGGCCAGGAGCAAGGCGGCGGACATGAGGTTGGGAGCAAGGAAGGGCCATCTGGCAGAGCCTGGGTCTCGGACGAGCAAGCCCCCCAGAGCCGGACCTGTGATTCCCCCGAGGGAATACATTACTGGCAACCACGTAAAAGCCCTGCTCTGGTTGCTCCGGTCGGTGACCTCGCCCAGGACGGTGGGCACGACGGCGGCATTCCCGTTGAGGAGCCCCATGGCAATGTGGACGGCCAGGACGTGCCAGTAGGTGTCGCAGAAGCCGAAGAAGGCGAAGCAGATGCACAGGAGGGCGGTGCCGATGAGCATTATGGGCTTCCTCCCGACGCGATCAGAAAGATAGCCCCAGAGGAAGTTTGTCACGAGCTGAGCCAGTGCGAAGGAGGAGGCAAGCAGGCCAACGTACAAGCCGGCCTGGCCCGGCGGTATCTCGGGGAAGGCAGCGACCATGGTGGGGAGGTATGGGCCGATGGAGTTGAGGGCGGTCTGCTCGGCCAGGCTCAGCAGTGCCAGGAGGAGGAGTTGCCTGAGGGGGAGGGGGGTGGCGTCCCTGTTGCTGTCGCGGCTGGTGGTGTGCCTGTGCCCTCTTCTCCTGCGGGCGGCTTCCCCCTCCGAGGGCGAGTTGGCGTTGCTGGAGTCGGGGGCATCGCTGGGGGTCTTTGGCGGCTGGGTGGGGAAGGTGTGGTACTTGTAGGTGGAGTGGCGTCGCATCTGGCTGAGATGGCCGAGGAAGGTGCGCCTGCGCCCGGGGGGCTTTGCATCGCGGCCGGCGTCGTAGGGCCCGGTGAAGGAGGGCATCGGGGCGCCGGCGTGGAATGAGCCGGCAGACGTCAGCCGGACGGGGCGAGCAGGGGCTGGGCGGGACGAGGTTGACGAAGAGGGGCCGCCGCCGCCGCCGCCTCCTCTTCCTCCTGGGTGTGCGGTAGAGGTCGCCATGGCCGCTGGGGCGATGGAGGAAGCCTGAGGCATGGCTGAGTGCCTAGGTAGGTAGGTAGGTGTGTCGGTCGGTGGGTCGGAGGGGAGAGAAGGCGTCGCCCGTGCCGTGTCGAGGCCGGTTCGCTGGGTTTGGGTTTGGGCTGAGGGATGGGGGGAGGAGGGGGGAGGGAGGAAGGGGAGCGGGGCTAGCGGCTGTGTGCACTTATGACGATCCGGAGCAGTTCATTTTCCTGGGACGCAGAGGGAACCGAGTGACATTGCTGGCGAGCGAGGGAATATGGCAGTGACGACGACAAGAAGAACAAGAAAGAAGAGGGGGGAAAAGAGAGGCGTCACCATGCGAGGCGAACGAGGCGACGGTCTGGCCTGCCTGCCTGCTAAGCAAAGCAGTCTAACAAAAGTCATGGTCAGGCAGGGCAGGGCAGGGCAGGCCAGCCCAGCCCGGCCCAGCCCATTGGGACAGGCGGGGTCCCGGCACGCCGGTGCTGATCGCCCCGCTACGGAGCGAATTGGCCGGCCGAGTGGAGATGGTGACGCAACCGAACCGTCAGTACGGAATAATAAGACGCGTCTGAACGTGACCAGCGCCAGGGTCTGATGGCCCCGCTTTTCGCCTCGTCCTCCCTACTAAGTACCTAGGTACCTACTTAAGTAGGTAGGCAATAGCTCCCTTTACCAACCTCATAAATCTTGTCGCTCCCAGGACAAGACACCACCACCATGGCATCCCTTCCGAGACCAAGGCGAGTTTCCCAACACTCCCAACACTCCCAGACATCCCCGGCGCCCTGCTGACCCGCCTGCCTCTCAAGTCCCGCCGAGCTGGGCCTCAGACTCGTGAATCAAGGCCCTCACAAACAAGAGCCTGCCAACCGGCGCATCCGAGGGCTGCTGGGCCATGACTGGATCTTCGATAGCCTGGGTGCCAGATACGTCTGGGAGCATCCATATTGTACGACCAGGCCCAGCTGGCCAGTGTCTTCCCGTACCAGCTAAACCTGCTGCTCAGTTCCGCACTACTACATCCCGGAAACCGACATGGCAGCAGGGCCGGCCAGGATCGTCAAGGAGAGGCAAGACAGCAGGGCCGGCCAGGATCGTCAAGGAGAGGCAAGACAGCAACGGCTTCTGGCTCGGGACCATTCGCACCGGGGCCGGCACCGCTGAGGCGCAGGGCTACGATAAGGGTCCACTCCAAGGCTTTGTCAAGGTCAAAGTGTCCGACATAGGTCAGTCATCATGGTTTGCCATACGTTCCCTCCCATCAGGTTTTGATCCTTGCCGCGCAGACTGGTTTGCCGAAGACGAGAAGCTTCTTGGAGGCCACCCCAAGGACCCTTACAAGCGTATCGAGATCCTTCCCTCTTCCCGCGAGATTAGGATCGAACTTGACGGCACGGTCATTGCCCAGAGCACCAATAATTTGTTTTTGTACGAGACCATGCTACCTACGCGCTACTATTTGCCGCCGACTTCTGTAAGAGACTGGCACCTGTTGAGCGAGAGTGATTCTACTTCTTTCTGTCCCTACAAAGGACAGGCCTCGTATTACAACGTCAAGGTGGCAGAGACTGAAGTCGATGATGCTGTGTGGTACTATGTCTATCCGACACCCGAGAGTTCTGCTATCCAGGGACGCTTGTGCTTCTATAATGAGAAATTTGACGTCTTCGTCGACGGCGTGAGGCAGAAACCATGATGGATGCAATCATATTGGCACAGAATGCGCAAAGGTGATGCTTGGGTCAGTGCCCGCGGTGGAAATACCCACGACGTGACCACTGGGGGATCCAGCGTGGGCATGCTTCTTCAGCAATCGTCTTCCTACCCTAGGCGTCAATACCGTGGTGCAAAAGCGAAACAGCGATTGCGCGTGAATTGAAAACCTGTCTATGTGCTTGGGCACACACAACTATCGTATATGCACATCCATCAGCTAGGGACCCTCGTGGCACGTAATCTGCCTAGGTATGTACTCAGGTCAGGTACCCACGATAAGCCAAGCTCGGATGAGCCTGCATTAGCTGTCGGGTCCACGTTCGGCGATGACTCACTGAGACCGGGCCACTAATAAGAAGTCGAATACAAATCCATGACTGGCTGACAGTGGACACATGTGCACTTACCTCCTCTGGTGTGAACGGCATCCCTGTTGGTCCGGCCCGTAACCGCAGTATCCTACGAGTATCAATGCGCTGAGATAACCTCTGCATCAGAGGCAGGCCTGGCTTACTTGTAGGGACGCATCGCATTGTGACCCCTATCTCGGGACCTAGGCAGTTAATCGTTTGTGGCGAGACAGGAATTTGAGGGCAGATTTTCAGGCCCCTTTTTTGGTTTAACCACATCATGGCCGAATCATATCTCAGCGACCTCGAGAGCGTCTGGCGCTCAGAACGCCTAGTGTTCCGCGCAACCCAACAGGAAGACTACGACTTCTTGTTTCACCACATCGACACCGATCCCGTGAACGTAGCTCTGTCCGGCCCTATGCTCCTGAAGCCTCCGAGAAAAGAAAAGCCCGAAGAATGGTTTGAGAAACAGAAAAAGAATGATTTTCTTATGGACGTGATGATTTGCCTTCGCCCAGATGTGAGGTCTAACGAGACACATTTCGAGGGCAGCGCCTCGGGCAAAGATGTTGACAAATCCCGTGGTGCTGGGGACAGAGAGCCCAAGCCCATCGGTATGATCAACGTCTCTACAAACGTTTACGGTCGGGATCCGAGCAATCGTGCCTGCTCCATGGGTAGTGAGTCCCCCTTTTTACCTCAGGCTGTTACGGTTCCTCGTCTTTCATGTTTTGGAACGTTACAGAACGCAACACTTTAGGATCCGTAGCAGGACTAACATCACCATGAGTTGCTATTGCGGCACCGTACCAAGACAGCGGCTATGGCACTGAGGCTATCTGTTGGACCGTTGACTGGGCGTTTCGCAGGGCAAACATGCATGTGAGGACAATCCTCCCCCTTCTGCAATTCCCCGTACTTTATGTTTTGGAATGTTCTAGTAATGCGCAACATTTGAGGCTCCGTGCCAGATAGCTAACACGTAGCAGAGTGTTCATCTGGGATCTGTAGAGTACAATAAGAGGGCTCACAGATGTTACCAGAAGGCGGGATTTCAATTGGACGGCAAGCAAAGGCAATGCCACTGGCATGATCGACAATTCTATGACTTGTATCTATTTAGCATACTAGAGGACGAGTGGAGGACCAGGCATGAAGCTGGTCAGTAATTACCGGTACCTGGAGTATTTGTTTTGAATGAAAGCAACATCCTCCACCCCCCCTCCCCCAATCTCGCGCGTCTACGGCGCCTGCCTCAATGTTATTCACGAACACTAGTACAGCCACCCTCTAACATTACGGCGTAGTCTGGATGAGATAGATACATGGTCATGATTACATACTTAAGTAGTTGTAGTATTTCAATAGGAACTATACATTTGCTAATAGTTTCCACCTACTTACAATACACCTGCTAGCAACCATCACAAACGCACCTGAGAGTAGTGAACCGCCACTCCAGGCCCAGCTAGCATGGAAACCAAATGTTCTCCACAAAGCCCCTGCAGACGGTGCGCCAAGCAAAAGCCCGAAGCTGCAAACGGTCGACGCCATCCCAGTTCTTGTACCAATACGACCAGGGTCATCAGTGAGCCGCGCAAAAATAGTCGGCTGCAGCGTGAAGAAGGCCCCAGTGAAGAAGCCATAGAGCACGATCAAGACTAGCAGACCGGCAGGGTTTAGGTGGGTGTTGAAAGTGAGTACAATAACCGCCATTGATACAACCGATGTAATCATCATATTTAAAGGCCCCAGATGCAGAGTAAGGGAGGGTATATTGGGAAGCATTCGACCAAAAATCTGACGTTTTTTTGTTAGTTATCAATACCCAGAGCCAGAAGATATATATGTAATAAGAACGCGTGGACCACGGCTCGGCGGGAGCCTGGTTCAGAAGCTGCAGCCGGAGGAGTTTCCGAGGTGTAAGACCGGGGGAAACAAAATATGTTTCTTGGAAAAGGGGCTCATATTGCATCCGAAGGCTGCTTACCGAGGCTCCGTTAAGTACTAAGTACATGTCAGTGGCCTGCTTCGGCTTTCAAAGCAACACGTTCCTCAACACCGTGGAGTGCTAGAAATCAGAATCCATGAAGAAAAAATGATGGTACTCACTTGAAACAAAGTACGATGCAGTGGTCTTAGTAGTGATTCCTTCATGGACAGCGTAGCTAGCTAGGTAGAAGAAAGTTGTGTATATACCCAGGAACGAGAGCATACATCCAAGAACGAATAAAACATATGGCGCATCTTTTAAAGCAGACTTTTCAAAGAACGCACGTTTCGCTTTCGGGGCCGTAGGCTGATGTAGTATAATGTTCGATACGCCCAGGGTGAGGAGGATGACTAATGCCACGCTCAAACTTGTATACTTGAAGCCAATGATGGGGATGAGAGAGCGAATCATAATAGGATAGACGACTCTGCGCAATGCGGTCATGATCAGCAACAATCATACACCTTGGCTGCTCTGATGGCCCTCTAGTATTGTTGTGGACGGTTGATGAACCTACCCTCCGAAGCCACTGGCGCTCACGACGATGCCATTTGCTAGAAAGAGCTTGGTCCTGTCTAATATTTAGCATACTTTCTCCCAGGAATAATGTATGAGAGAAAGTTAGCATTACGTGGTAAACCATGCCGATGGTATGGCGACGCTCGGGACAGCTAGGAGACCCATTCCAGTTCCTATGCAAATTCCTTGGGAAAGAAACAGATGCCAGTACTCGGAAGACAGCCCCTGCATGCTAGAAAATGTTAATGGTCTGCTACGAAGTCTGAATGGAGGTTTTTAGGACGTCCCAAAGTGCAATGGTGGCTCAGTAACTGGAACAGGGTGGGGAGTGCGTACATTGTCCCGGCAAGAATTAGAATAGAACCCGTCCTGAGGAGGAGGGTTAAGTGGCCTTTGTCGAATACAGGCCCAGCAATAAACCCGAGGAAAACCATCAAAAAGCTTTGCACGGAGCCGATAGTAGAGACCTGGAAAGAGCTGGCTTGCTTCAAGAGAGTTTCTTCGTAGTAGCTCTGGTAGCTTCCGAAACTGGAAACAACGCCCCAGGTATTGAAATATAAAAAGAAGGAACCTAGGACTTGGAGGGCTTGTATGACTCGGTCTGGGGCAGCTTTCCTCTCTAGCTCTACCGTCACTGAGGAATCTGAAGAAAGGACCCCAGGCCCGCTCATTGCAACAGTCTGCCCTTTTTCCATCTTCAGGAGAACGGGCCCCGAGGCATGAAAATGATTGAGATTGAAGACCTGAGGGAAGCTTTGAAAGCTGCGCGGCCATCTTTTCAAGTCGGGCTGTCGATTGACGGCGCTCACCTAGGTTTATGGCCTGGCCAAGCCACGTAAACCGGCCCAGAGGATGACTGGAAGTCGTGCCATTGCGTATCGCCAGATCCACAAGGGCCGGAAGGGTCGCCGTATGGGGCCGGGCCCTAAGCGAGCTGATACCTGGTCGGGCACCATCGTGAGGTCTTGGCGTCGACATAAGGAATTGCGCAGCGTGATCTACTGGCTTAATCAAACAAGTCAACGCGGCTCCTCAAATCTTCTGATACATACTTTACATGCGTTTTAGCTTCTACACTGAGTCAATGGTGTTCCTCGACAACTACCTACTTAGGAACTCATGCGGACATTCCTCGCCGTTGGCAGCGGAAGGCTTAGGGCCAGCCTTGCGGAAGATAGGGACTTCGGTGTCTCCACGGCCCCATTTATGCTGATGTCCTTCCGCAGATCCACTTATTACAAAAAAAAAAAGAGTTTTCCGTTACTAGTGTACAGGCCTCGGGACTTCGGGAAGGTGGATACTAGCTGGACAAGCCGACCGACCTAATACTCCATAGTAAGTACATATCTTCATAACCTTCCATACAGTACCTAGGTAGGTACAACATAGGCGGCCTAGATTCCACCCACCCCCTAATTCCGCCCACCTTTCCTATATAAACTTCTACTTTTTAGCCCTACTTAATTAAATTTAAAGAAGATTTAATAAATTTTATATTATATAAAATTTAAAAATAATTATACAATTATTTATTTTTTAAAATATAAATTTTAAAAAATTATAATTAGAACTTTTTAATTACCTTTTATTTTATTAACTTTTATTTTACTTACTTTTATTTAATTAATCTTTATTTAATTAATAATCTTTTAAACTTTTTAAAAATTATATTAATATTATAAACTTAAATAATAAAATATAATTATTTTATTTAAAAATTATATTTTAATTTTATAAATTAATTATATAATTATTTTAATATAATATTTATTAATATAAAAATTAATTTATAATTTATAATACTTTTAATTCTTAATATATTAATATAAATAATATTTTCTTTATAATAAATAATATTATAAATATAAATTATAAAATAATTATAAAAGTTTTATATAATAAATATAAAAGTATATAATTAAATTAATTAATAAGTTTTTAAATTAAAGTTAAAGTTTTTAATTTTATTACTTATAATTTAATTAAATAATTATTAAATTATACTTAAATAAATTTTTTTAAATATAAAGTTAAAAATTTATAATTATAATTTTATAACTAAATTTTTATTTAATTATATTATATTATTATAACTTTATTTAATTTTTAATTTTATTTAAACCTTTTAAACCTTTTAATATTTTCTCTTTAAAGGAATTAAATTTGAAGCGAAGCTCTTAAATTTAAATTTAAGAGTTTTATAAATTTTAATTTTCTTTAAATTAAGCATAATTCCTTAACTTTTTAAAAATATATTAACTATTTTAAATATTAATAACTTCTCTTTAAAGTAAAGATTTATTTTTATATAATTATGAATTTAATTATTAATAACTATTTCTTCTTTTATTTATAAGTTATTAAAATTATAAACTTAAATAATAAAATATAGTTATTTTATTTAGAGATTATTTTTAATTTAATTAAATAATTATTTTTAAATAGTTTTATTTATAATATAATAAAGTTAATAAATAAATATTTATTTAAATAAAGTTAGAACTTTAATTAAAGAAATAATAACTTTATTTTATTTATTTTAATTAACTTATATTTAAATTATATAGTAATACTATATATAATATTTAATAATATTAAAATTAATTTATAGTTTATAATAACTTTAATTTTAATAAATTAATAATATTAACTTAAATAAATTAAATATAACTTAATATATTAATATAAAAGATATCTTCTAATAATAAATAATATTATAAATATAATAAATTATAAAATTATTATAAAAGTTTTATATAATAAACTTAATTAAATTAATCTTTAAAAGATATATTATATTTTATTTTTAAAACTTTAATTATTTATTTTTAATTTAATAATAAAATTAAAAAATATAAATACTTTATATTTTAATAAATTATTATTTTATTTATTTATTATAAATAATAATTATTTTTAAAATTTATTAATTATTAAAATACTTTTATTTAAAATATTTTAATTATATTAAATTTAATAATAATAAATGAAAATTTATTAATTTATTTATTATTATATTTATTATTAAAAATTATTCTTTTATAATTATTTAAATATTATAATTTATTATTATTTTATTAATAATTATTTTTAATTTTAAATTAAATTAAAAAATAATTAATTTTTTTAATAATAATAATATATAAAGTATATTAAATAACGTTTATTAATAATAATTTAAAAATTATTAATTTAAATAATTATAATAATATTATTAAAAGTTTTATTAAATATAACTTTTAATTATATAAAATAAATCTTATAAAAATTATAATTACTTTTAAAATTATTTATATTAAATACCTTTATTATTACTTTAATAATAATAAATATTATTTTATTTTTAATTGTAAAATAAATTATTATTCTATTAAATTACTTTTTATTAAATTACTTTTTATTAAATTACTTTTTATTAAATTACTTTTTATTAAATTACTTTTTATTAAATTACTTTTTATTAAATTATTTTTATTAAATTATTATTTTATTAAATTACTTTTTAAAAAAGTTATATTTTAAAATAAATTTATAACTTTATAAATAAAATTATATAATTATTAAATAAAAAAAGTAATTTATAATTAAACTTTTATTAATTAATCTTTTAAATTAAACTTTAATTAATAATCTTTAATAATAAAATTAAACTTTTTAATAATAAATTAATACTTTTAAATTATAAATCTAAAACTTTAAAGTGTTATTAATTACGTCCTATATCCTCTAAGGATTGGATAACGTCCGATAGGGAGAGAATATTAGCTTAAAGGCGGGAACGAGAACTTTAAAGTACGGTGTGAGGCCGACCAGCTAGCACTATAGCAGATGGTTACGGTGACCAGGGCGACTTGCTGGGCTGTCTCATTCTGCGAAGTCATGTTGGGAGGGGGCATAATCCCTATCCTCGCCTAGATTACCGAGGTAGCTAGCCCACAGGTAGTCACGGAATCCCATTGATATTGCTTTCTACACATGTTGAAGCTATGATATCGCCTAACTAATCTCGACTAGAGTAGTATCCCCCCCCCCCGAACAAAAGATAGCAGTGATTGTCTTGTTCTCTTCTTTCACCCCTTGTCAGAAAAAAAAAAGGAAAAAGATAGGCATCGACTACTGTTACTATCACCCACAGCCACCCCCTTCTAGATCCATCGATAAAATGCTCACCGCCAGTGCCAACCCGCGCGCAGCCAGACAGGCTAGCTCTTCTTGACCCGGGGCTTCTTCACCTTGTGCTCGCCAGCACCTGTGACCCGTCCTTGGACGCCGCCCGAGGCAGCAGCTGCTAGAGAGTCGTCATTCTCCTTGCCCGGGGCCGTGATGGAGGCCTGCTGATTACCCCGTCTCTTCTTGTTGCTGTTGTCATTGTTGATACCACCCGGCTTGGGGCCCAAGACCTTCGGGCCAGGAGCAACGGTCTCCGTGCGGCCCTCGCGGTCGATCAGTTCCTTGGCCTGTGCGAGGTCCATCTTGTGAACTACTCTCAGATGCGCGACCATGTGTTTCTTCATTCCAAAGAGAACGGAAATTCGTACACCCAGAATCGGAAGGCGCGCACCCATCTACTGACTAAGAAGTATAGAATATAAGATCCAAGGATGTCTTCTACGCGAAAGGGCCGGTTAGGGTGAAGGGGGTGAGCCCCGGAGCGCGAAGCATAGCGGAGGGCTGTAAATAGAGTCGATAGACACAACCCAAGTTTCTAGAGGACTAACTCACTCTATTTATAGTCCCTTAATTATAAAGAAGGCTTATTTATTAAAGTTATAAAGACTTTAAGGTTCTATACTCTAATTAGTTAAATAGTAGGGAGGGTGCGCACCTTCCGATTCTGGGTGCGCGAATTTCCATTCTCATTCCAAATAAAGTGTCTGTCGAGCAGTTGGACACGAGGCTCTTCTGGCTAACCCATACTGTTCTCGCCGGAGGAGGGGGTAGGAACGGGGTATAGGCTTCCACTGTGAGGAGGCCATGCTGTTTCCTCATGTGATGGATCAGAGTGTCGGATGACACGTATTGCTGGGTATTGGGGCATCCAGGAACGAGACAGGCCGAGGGCCAGCGGCCGCCGGTGTGTACAGTCCTCCTGTGGTAGGCCAGTTTGTCAGCTGTCGAAAAAATGACACCATTGTCACAGTCGTCACATGCCCGGGGAACGTAGTCGTGCTTGTCCTTGACATGACGGTTCAGGGCCTTGTTTCCCCCACGAGTCTTAAAGGCACAGCCGGGGCGGGTGCATATGAGGAGGTTGTTGGTCGTGGTGGTAGTGGAGCCCTCGTCCTCCCCCGGCCGCTCCCCCACTCCGCCTGCCTCGGCATGCTGAAGCCTGTTCCGCTCGACAAGTTTCGGCGTACAGGCCAGCCGATGGCTGTCCATATTGGCCTTGTGGATGGAGCTGTGGTCACAGCCTTCGCCTACCTAGGGGAGTGGGAGTCCCTAACATAGGCGTACAATCATATCAAAAATTAACATTCAAATAAAATCTAGATATTACAACTAAATATTAGTAAAAGGTTAATGAAATAAGTTAGAATATCCACTCATATACTAACCCTCTAGCACCTATTATAATTTTATATACTTATAATTAGTATTACTTATATAAATACTTATATTATAAGCCTTATAAAAATTATATATATAAAAAAATAATACTAATTAATTTCTTTTTTTTCTATATATAATAATATATTTATTATCTCTACTTTAAAAGTTTTACTACTTTAAATAATTAAATTAATAATAATTTTTAATATAAAATATATAATAGATATTATTTTAATTAATATACTTTTATTATTATTTTTAAATATATTAACTTAAAAATTATAATTTAACTTTTAAAAGTTATTATTTATTTAAAAGATTAATTTAATTAATTAAATCCTTATATAAAGCTATTTAATTTATCTCTTTATTTAATTTGTTTTTAATATTTTATTATATAAATCTTTAATTATAATAATTTAAATTTAATTATTTATATTATATTAAAAAATTAATATTATAACTTTATAAAGTAAAATTTATTAATTAAAATATTTAAAGTTATATATATTAATTATTATTATATAAATAGTATTATATTTAATAACTTAATTAACTTTTATAATTATTTAAACTTTTAAAAATAGTAAGTATTTTAAATAATAATTAGTAGTATAATAATAAGATTAGTATTTAATAGAATAATAAGGATAATAGCTTTATTATTAAAGTATTTAATAAAATATTTATTATAAAGAAATAAACTTTTTAAGTTTAAATTATATTAATAGAGTATTATAATATTAAGGGTTATACTTTTATTTTTAATTATTTTTAAAGTAAAGTTAATTTAATAATAATAATTTTTAATAAGGATTTTAATTAGTTTTTAAATTAAAAGTCTATATATTTAGAAATTAACTAGATTAATAATTAAATTAAATTATTATAATTATAAGAAGTTTTTATTTTAAGAATTAAATTAGTTAATTTAAAAGGTTAATAGGTATTTATTTTTAATAATTATTACTTTTATATAATTAAAGACTTCTTTTAAGTTTATTTTAATAATTATATATAGTTTATTTTCCTTTTAATATACTTATTATATATTTTATAGTTTTTAAATATAAATATTTTCTTCATTTTAAAGTATTAATATTATTAGTAATTAAAGCTTTTAATAGTTCTTTATAGTATAAAGGAACTTTAAGGAATTCTTTTATATACTTATAATTTTATTTATAAAATATTATTTTTAACCTTAAAAGTTTAAAAGGTATAATCTATAAATAGGTATTTAGTTTAAGTATTAAAAAGTACTTTTTTAAGGTTAATAGTTATTAATATTAAGATATTTATTATAATAATTATTTTTAAAAGAGAGAATTTTATTTTAATAAAAATTAATTATAATAGTTTTATAAATATTATATTTATTTTATTAAATTATATTAATTAAGTTTAAATTATATAAGTTAAATAGTAGCTTTATTTTATTTATAATCTATCCTTTTTTATAAGTTTAATAAAACCTTAATAAATTAAGTTTTTATATAATTATTATAAAAGTAAAGTAAAATATTCTCCTTAATACCTTTAAATAATAGAAGTTTAAGAAGTAATATAGAGTTATATTTAACTTTAATAAGATATTTATTAATATTATAATATTTAAAAGGAGAGGGAGGTAATAAGATTAAATATAAAGGAAGTTTTAATAGAGTTTAATAGTAATAAAGTTAAGGATAAAGATAAAAATTTAATAGAAAATTATATTAAAATTAAAGAGTTAAATATTAAAGAGTTTTAATTAGATAGTAAATAGTTTTAATAGTTATTAAAAATTTAATTCTAAAATTAAATAATACTTTTAATAGTATTTAAAAATTATAATAAGTATTAAAGGGTTAATATATAAGTAAATATTTTAATTTATTATTATAAATAAAATTTATTAAAAGTTAATATTATATTAAATTTTAATATTATATTAATAATTTTATTTTTAATCTTTATATATATATATATATATAATACTTTTATATAATAGTAAATATTTAAAGCTTAATATTTAAAAATATAATATTAATAATAATAAAAGAAAATATAATATAAGTATATAATTAAACTTTATATTATATAAATAAAAATAAAAGTATTACTTTAATAATATTATATTAAAATTATTAATATAAATAACTTAAAGGTTAATAATTAATAAAGTAATTATATAATAAAATTAAAATAATTTTAAAATAACTTTTATAAAAAAGAATTTTATAATATAAAACTTAATAAATTAACTCTTCTTTATTAATATATTTATTATATAATTATTTAAATTTATTTTATTAAATAAATTAAATATATTATAATTTCTATTTTAAATATATAATTAATAGAATAATAATATTATAATAATAAATTTATTTAAAAAACTTTTTATATAAATTTTATGAAAAAATTAAATTTTTAATAAGTTAAATAAAGTTTATTTATTATATTTTAAATAAATATTATATAAAAAAATAAAGGTTTAAATATTTAAAAATTAAAATTTCTTTTAAGTATATTACTTTATTATTAAAAATTTATTTACTTTTATATAATATATAAAGAATATAATAAAAAAGAGTTTTATAAAAAGTTAATAACTTTATATATAAATAAATTTAAAAGTATATATTAAATAATTATTAACTTTATATTTAAAATATAAATTAATAATTAATTTAAAAGTTAAAAATAATAAATAAATAAATAATTAAATAAAAATATAATATAATTAAAATTTAATATTATATTAAAATTTTTAAATTTATTAATATTAAATTTTATAAATTAATAAAAATTAAAATTTTATATTTTTTAATTTTATAATTTTATAAACTTAATATATAATAATAATTAAACTAAAAGTTAATTAATAAATAGTTAAGTTAAAAATAAAAGAAAAGAAATTAATTTTAATAAAAATTAAACTTTTTTATTTATATATTAAATTTTAAAAATATATTAGAAATATATTAATATATAAAATAATATTAATTTAAAAGTATTATATAATATAAATATTATATAATTATATTAATAATATATTTATATTTTAAAAGAATATTATTATTATTTTAAAATAATTATATTATAAATTTAATTTACTCTTTTTTAATAAATAGTTTATTAATAATAAAAATATAAAATCTAAGTTTATTATATAAATTTCTTTTAATAATATAATTTTATAAATATTATTAAATTATAAATAATTAATTATTTATTATATATTTTTAATATATAAAATATATAAAATAATTATTATATATTATTAATTATATTAAATAATATTTATTTACTTTATTAATATATAAATAAAAATATTTATAATAAAATTATATTATATTATTATATAATATATTTAAAATATAATATATATAATATAATTTATATTATTATTTTATAATTATATATTTTATTTAAATAATATTTAAAATAATATATAATTAATATAATAATATTAATTTTATATTTAAAGTAATTTAATTAATAATTATAAATTAAAATTTAATAAAATTTAAAATTAAATTTAAAGATTTTTATTTAAATTTAATATTTTTAAATATTAAAAGTTAAATAAAGTTTAAATAAATTATTATTATAAATCTTTTAAATTTATATTTTAAAAAATTAATTAACTATTAATTTTTAAAAATTTTTAATTTTATTATTTTTATTTTTATTTTATATTATTTTAAAAATAAAGATTTATAAAATAAAATAAAATATATAAAATAATATATATTTTTAATATATTAATTTTAATTTATATTATTAATTTATTATATAAAATATTAATATATAATTATTAATTATATATTTATTACTTTATATAAATATTATATTTATTATTTTTATTTTATTTTTATTATTTTTATTTATTTTTATTTATTTTATTACTTTTATTTACTTTTATTATTTTTACTTTAATAATTTATTATTACTTTTTTATTATTATATAAAGCCTTTTAATTAATTTTTAAATTTTCTTTTAAGTCTTCTTTTATAAATTAATAAATTTATACATTAAAATATAAAAATATTTAATTAAAATAATATAAATAGTAAGATAAGATTAAATAAAGCCCTTTAATTAACTAATAGTACTTTTACTTTATACTCTTTATTTTTAACTTTATAAATCTTTATTTTTATTTTTTATTTTTTATTATTTTTATTTTCTTTAATTTTTTATTTTTATTTTTATTTTTAATTTTTTATTTTTATTTTTAACTTTTTTATTTTTTTATTTTATTTTTTATTTTTATTTTATTTTTATTTTATTTTTTTATTTTTTTATTTTTTTATTTTTAAATAATTTTTATATAAAATTAATATTAATTTAATAATAATTAATTAATTAAAATAATTATTTATTTTTATTTTTATTTTTTTATTTTATTTTTTAAAAAATAACTCTTTTATATAAAAAATAATATTAATTTAATAATAACTATTTATTTTTTTTATTTTTTTTTAAATATTTAATAAATATAAAAAAGTTTAAATATATTAATTAATTTTATTTAATAAATATTATTAAACTTTTTTTTTATAAAAGTTTTTTATAATAAATTTTTTATCTAATTATTAATACTTATAACTATAAGTAAAAATACTCTAACTTTTTATTTAAATTATTTAAAAAGGTGGTTTGTAGGAGATTATGTTGTATGCTAGAGCTTTAGTGAAAGTCCTCGTGAATGGGGGAGTGGCGGCTTTCCTCTCCGAGATCCGGCTTGGCTTCGGCCCCTGGTCCGAGATGACCGACATGGACGGAGTTTAGCCAACGCTCGGCGTCTGTGCTCATCTTATACTCGAAGATCCGGCTCGTCCCGACGGTGTGGTACCCTCCGAGCTGGGAAATCTACCTTGGTTTGAGGGGACAATTGCCGAGTCGCCAAAAAAAAAAAAAGCCAGGAAATGTCAGGGTGGGCTGGTGCTGGCTGTCGACCCTGCTGCCCTATTGCATTTTGAGTACCCGTGATGACGAGACTTTTAACCGCTGGGATCTGCAGGGCGCCAAGGCGATTCGATTCGCCCCTGGAGACATACCAAGGCTACTGCAGTTAACACTTGCTTATCCTAACGGCCCGCGGACCTATGAGTAGTCGATGATCAATATCGCAACATTGAGGTGAATGATACTATATAAAGAGCTCTTCGAGCTTTGTTGGGGTGGAGATGCTATTGACCAGCAGACTACCGATTACTTGAAATACAAGACTATCACGATGAGGACTTCCACCTTAGGTACCGTGGCTTTTGCGGTATTCTCTGCCGCTGGACCCGTATTTTCTCGGGCTGGGCACAGAACGCTTCGGAGACAAGACGACATGAACCCTTTTAACGGCAAGAAACTCTTTGTCAACCCGAGCTACGCAGCCAAATTGGAGAAGACGCTCGAGTCCTTTGAGGCAGCGGGCGATACTGTCAACGCAGAGAAGACCCGGGCTATCCAGGATATTGGGACATTTGTCTGGATTTCTGATATTGCCAGTCTGTCCAACATTGATACTGTTATAGAGGATGCTCGCGCTGCGCAGGCTGAGACTGGAGAGACGGTCGTCGGCCTCGTCCTCTACAATTTGCCTGATCGAGATTGCAGCGCAGGAGAGTAAGTGTCATTCATTCCCCTGCCCGAGCCCCCTACTTCGTGTTTCGAAGAGTTCGAAAATGCATTGTTTCAAAGACCAGCTCATGTGGTTAACAATTTTCAGGAGCGCTGGGGAGCTCATCCTCTCCGAGGACGGCCTGAAACGATACAAGACAGAATACATCCTGCCATACGCCGAGAAAGTCTCGGCGGCAAAAGATCTCACCTTCGCCATTGTTCTGGAACCAGACTCCTTGGGGAATCTCGTTACTAACATGAATGTTGAGAAGTGCGCGAATGCAGCTGATGCTTATAAGGAGGGGATCGCTTATGCGATATCTAGCTTGCAGTTCGAGAACGTGCATCTATACATCGACGCGGCGCACGGAGGGTGGCTCGGTTGGGATGACAACCTACAGCCCAGTAAGTAATGGCGAAGATTGGAAATTTCCTGGTAACAACCATCAAAATCCATGCTGAAGATACCATACCACAGCTGCCCAGGTTTTCGGCGACGTCGTTCGCCAAGCTGGAAACAGCTCGCGTATTCGAGGATACGCGACCAACGTTTCGAACTACAACCCTTTCAAGGCCAACATCCCAGAGCCTTACACTGAATACAGCAACTCTGCTGACGAGTCCAACTACACAATCTCACTATCTCCGTACCTCGAGGCCGAGGGCCTTCCGACCCGATTTATAATTGACCAGGGCCGGGTCGCCCTGCCAGGTGCGAGAGCTGAGTGGGTATGTGCATGTCTTCTATCATCTTACCTACTTCGTGATTGGCCAAGTCGCTGACGATGTATGTTTAAAAGGGTGAGTGGTGTAATGTGGCTCCGGCCGGGTATGGCATAAAGCCCGGTACCGTTGTCGACAACAACCTCGTCGACAGTATCGTTTGGATAAAGCCTGGCGGTGAGAGCGACGGCCAATGCGGGATGGCCGGGGCTCCGAGGGCTGGTCAGTGGTTTGACAAATATGTGCAAATGCTGGTGGAGAATGCCGATGCAAGCATTTCGCTATCGTAAATGCTTGATCGTAATTGTCACTTCCATACTTAAGTACCGCGCATGTTCTCCGGTGCGTCTGCAGGCAGTAGATTGAGGGATCCTTGGAACCCAGGTCATTGATTTTTGATAGGTACTTAGTTATAAATCCTTGCCTGGTAAATTTCCAACTACAATCAGGTATGTGATAGGTAGTTTTGTTCTCGAGTGTTGTCGTTCTTGAGACGGACCTATCGACTTGTGCGCGACTGACGCCCCGGCAAAAGACCACAATTCTAACCTAAGGTCAGTTGCCTCACAACTTGAAATCCTGCACTTGTAAGCACCATAACATCAGAGCCTCACCCCAGCCCTAACAGCATTCCATAAAGCTCCAAGCAAACAAAGGGACAGAATGTGGTTTCAAGTTAGTATATATACCTTATAAGGCCTAAAAATTAAATAGGATAGTTTTAATTTTATAGATTATAATATATATACTTTTTTATTATTTATTATTTAAATAAATATTAAAATTAATATATATTTTTTTAAAAAAAGAATATTAAATATTTAAATATTTATTATAGATTAATTTTTAAAATATATTATATTTTATTTTTAAAATTTTAATTATTTATTTTAATTTAATAATAAAATTAAAAATAAAAAAAATAAAGTTTTTATAAAAGAACTATAACTTTATATATAAAATTATTAAAAACTTTATATATATATTTTTAAAAGATTATATAATATAAAAATATAATATAATTAAAGCTTTATATTTTATATATATATAAATTAAAATAAAATTATTTAAAAATAAAAATACTTATTATTATATATAAATATTATATATAGTTTTAAATATATATAAAATAGAAGTAGTTTTAATTATATTATATTTTTCTTTTATACTATATAATTATCTTTTAATTTAATTACTTATTTCTTTTAAAATTTAAAGTTTATATATAAAGCTTTTAATAATTTTATATATATTCTTATAATTTTTAAAAAGAACTTTAAATCTACTTTTTTTATTTTTATTATATTTTTCTATATTATTAAGAAGTTAATAATTATTAATAATAAAAGTATAAACTTAAAGAAGGATAAATTTATTATACTTTCCTTTTATCTTTTATAAATTACTTTTAAAACTCTTTTAAAAGTTTTAATACTTTATTATAAAAGTTTTAAAAGTAGTATATTATAAATTATTTTTATTTTAAATTCTTTTAAAATTAATAACTATATATTTAAATAAAAGCTATAATATTAAACTTTATAAGCTTATTTAATAAGAGTTTTATTATAAGATATATATATATTTAAAGGAATAATTTTTAATTAAACTTCCTTTAATATAATTTATTTATATAATAACTATTTTAAACTTAATTTTATTATATAACTCCTTTATAATAACTAAACTATAAGTTACTTCTATTTATAATTCTAATTATTATTATTATTAAAATAATACCCTTTAACTTTATCTATATATTATAAAGTTAAGGCTATAAATACTTATTATATTATAACTATTATTATTAATATTATATTCTTTTTAAGTATTAAATTTTAAATACTTATTACTATATAAAGGCGCTATATATATCCTTAAATATATATAGAATAGAAGTAAAACTATATATAAGATAGAAGTAAGACTATATAGTAAAAAAGTTCTTATTATATAATTTAATAACGAAGTTTTACATTTCTCCGAAACACGGCGGGTGGGGATGGTGTCAGTATTCTATGTTTCGACGTGCTCTGACGTGATTACTTGCGATGCGGGCAAATGTGTCTCGGCTATTTCGGCAGAACTTTAACAACATACCTACACAGCCCGCCATCGCAGTGGCTACACCAATATGCATCCACCATAAGTGCTCAAATAAAAGGTTATGTTTGGATAGTAAGGTCGAGATTGATGGAGACCACAGATTGAACGTCTGTTCTGAGATCAGTGAAGCTGAGGGACCGCGCGTTCACAACCGCCTCTGCCGCTCTGCGTGAATACACCCAACACCCGAGACTACCCCTAATGGCTGCCATGCCGTCTCATAACACCGAGACGGTGCTTGCCGACGCTGGTGGGGTGACTGTCGCACTCGAACACGCTGCGCCCGAGCATGAACAGGTCAACAACACAATCCCACCTTCGCCCGGAGAAACCAAACATCTCCATTATCCTCGATCCAATGTGAGCCTAGTCGATCGCTTTGTGGATGAACCCCGTCATATAAGGGTAGCCGTTATTGGGGGAGGCTTAGCTGGTATTCTTGGAGGGTGCTTGTTGCCGCAGAAGGTCCCCGGTATTGAGCTTGTCATCTACGAGAAGAATGCTGACTTTGTAAGTCAAATTGAACCTGCAGCTTTCCTATTTTCTACGGAACCTCCTTGCGCTCGCGGAGCTTTCTGACGGACTCAGGGTGGAACTTGGTTGGAAAATACGTATCCAGGCGTTCGTTGTGACATCCCATCACACGTCTATCAGTCTACGTTCGCTCCCAACACTAAATGGTCTGACGAATTCGCTCCCGGCGCAGAGATCAGAGACTACTGGCAATCAGTTGCCCGGACGTACAGTGTTTACCAATACGCTAAATTTCAGCATCGAGTCGAAGATGCCAGCTGGGACACAACGGCCGGCTCATGGACCTTGAAAATAACTGATCTTGCATCCGGTTCCCTCATTGAGGATAGGGTGGACTTCATCCTGACGTGCATTGGGAGATTCAACGCATGGAAACTCCCAAATTACCCCGGGTTGTCGGAATTCTCTGGTATCTTGCGACACAGTTCTCACTGGGATGATTCATTTGATCCAACAGGGAAGGCTGTCGCTGTGATTGGTAATGGTGCTAGTGGGTAAGCGCTCTTCTCCTTTTGCGGTTGTCCCATTTTTTACTCTTAGTGCGTCAGATCTTGGAAAGTAGGGCCCGTGGACTGGATGCGATTAACACATGTGATAGTATCCAGCTGGTAGCAAGTCTCCAACAAAAGGTCGCTAGATTGGACCACTATGCCAGAAGCAAGACTTGGATCGCGGCCTCATGGGCAGGCGACGAGCGCACGCTTGAGCCACAGCCTATCCCAGACGAGAAGAAAAAGTCCTTCGAGGATCCTCAAAAGTACCTCGCCTTTAGGAAGGAGCTCGAGGACAAGTATTGGAGAAAATTCTCTACATTCCTGAAGGGCGATGCAAATGACAACCTGCGTCAATTTTTCACGGAAACAATGAAATCCCGGCTGGCCAAGAAGCCAGAGCTCCTTGAGCAACTTGTGCCTGATTTCGGTCCTAACTGCCGTCGTCTCACACCCGGCCCTGGCTACCTCGAAGCCATACAGCAGGACAATGTCGAATTTATACGACAGCCCATTAGAAGATTCACTAAGATGGGCATCGAGACTGCTGATGGACAGCAGCGGGATGTTGATGCAATATTCTGTCAGTATCACTTTTCACCTTTTTGGATCCCCGTCTTTTCATGTTTTGGAATGGTCTAGAATACAACACTCCAGGACCCGTAGCAGGACTAACTTCACCATTAGGTGCAACTGGTGCGAATGGGGATATGGTTCCTCCATTTACCATCCAGGCTTCCGGTCGCGAACTTTCGTCTCTGTGGCGCCCTGGTGGGGAACACGGCTTCCCATACACCTACCTGGGCGCAGCCACTCCGGGGTTTCCTAATTTGTTCTTTGTTCACGGTCCACAGTACGTTGACGTTGATCCCCGCCTTCCTGAAACCCCGATACAGACTTCTGATGAATTCCTAGCGCGACTGGCCCGAGCGGAACGGTACCGCAGAGTGTTGAGACACAGCTCACGTTTTATGCTAAGATTCTTCGCAAAGCGTCACGCGAGGGGATCAAATCTATCGCACCGAGAAAGAAGGCCGCAGATGACTTCGTCGAATACTGTGATGCGTTCTTCGCGAGAACCGTCTTGGTGGAAGGGTGCTCGAGTTGGTATAATGGTGGAAGTCCCGGAGCAAGAATTCATGGAATCTGGCCAGGTAGCTCAAACCATATTACTGCCATCAGACGAGAGCCTAGGTGGGAAGATTTCGAATATGAGTACTTGGCCGAAAGTCAAGGAAACAGTCTGCTGTGGTACTTCGGCAACGGTGGAACAAGGGCGGAGCAAGATCCGCAGTCGGACATGACAAGCTATTTGAAGGCACCGCAGGATATCGATCTGAAGGACCATCATGAGTCCTGGTGGCAACTCCCGTAGAGCCGGCCTCAGTGTCCAACCTTGGAAGCGTCAGGCTGGTGGCGCAGGTGCTCAAGACGTGACGGCACAAGACATTCAAGCTCAATAAAAAGATTCACACAGTGTGACAGCTTATAGAGTCGATTACAGGTGATATAGTGGTAGGTAATTTGTGTGAATAGGTGCATCCATGGCCAGCTGCATTGTCGACTCGATCCTGTCAAAAACACTACAGGAAGTTGATGGTGCGAGGCGTAGGAGACGGTGTGCAGCGCTGAAACCCGATGAAACCCACTTGTCACTTCTCTTGATCATAAGAGCATCTCACTTCCAGTGGTAGCCTTCAAACGAACGATCGCTGCTCCAACCCAATAGTTGACCGCGACTGAGATGTCACGTCTCCGACCCTGGCTATTTCGTGACCATTTTTGTGGAGACTAGAGTTTGCACGCGTGGTTAAGTTCTAATCTAGAGCAGGTAGTTCACCATCCTGGGCAATGGCGTGCTTTACTCGGCAATAAACCTGAATGTGTCTTATCAGGGGGCAATTAGGCCAGTTGCAAGTACGCGCCGATAAACGGGACAAGAAAGAAGCAAGACTACTAGGAGCAGCAAATATCATCTCATCCAGGCCCCAGCTGGCCGATGTCCTCAACAAGGAGTCTCAGCGCTGCTACAATAATATCCACGTCAATTGTAGATGAGGAAACAGACATCAAGTTTCTATCACTTTTCAACTGAGGTCATTTGTTGCGTAGTTGCAATGTTTTCAAAACCGAATGCTCAGCCCTCAGATGGGCCCGGATGTGAGACCGCCCAGACCGCGTTGAGACAACCGCAGATTGTGTGTCAAAGCCATGCTGACAATAACAAAAGTCGAATCCAACGTAAAATGGTATCGATCAACATTTTTCAACATCACGATACTCGGTCTTTGCAATTTCGCGGCACCCGGAATTTGGAGCGCCATGAATTCTTTGGGGGCCGGTGGAACCGCTAGTCCCGCTCTTTCTAACGCGGCAAACGCTCTTACATTCTGCTTGATGGTCATGTCATGCTTGTTTTCGAGTGCAATTGTACATTACATCGGGATCAAGGGCGCACTCATTTTTGGGACGTGAGTATCACCGACATACACCAAGGGGATAGGTGGTTCCAGTATTCGAAAGCCTGATGCTGAACTTTTCTCCTCCACAATAGGATCGGTTACGCTCCTTATGCCGCTGGTCTTTATACGAAAAGCCGATATGATATTGACTGGCTCCTACTCTTCGGGGCAGCACTCTGTGGTGTTTCAGCTGGTGTATTTTGGGTAAGCAGCTTCTGGTTGCGGCATACACGCGCTTTCCTCACTCTTGCCTACTAGTATTTAAAAAGACTCCGGGCACTGTGGGTTTGAAGATAAACTGTGGCCACTTTACGGTTCACTCTTGACTGTGGTGTTCTGAGGAAGCTACTGCTCTTCTTCTTCAATGGCTGACTACCTAGGTATGAATGCTATAGATGGCAGAAGCAGCTATTGCTATCGCATATCCTGAGCCATGGAACAAGGGGAAGGCTTTAGGCTATTGGCTCACCTATCGACTGTCGGGTCAAATCATTGGGGGCGCGGTGAACCTTGGCCTTAATGCAGACCGCAACACCGCAGGACAAGTTTCCTACACAGTCTATATCCTCTTCATCGCTATTCAAGCAGCCGGCCCCTTCGTCGCTCTTCTGCTCAACAAGCCTGACAGAGTGCAGCGGAGAGACGGGAAGACAGTCAAATTGGAAATCCTCCTGAATCCTTGGGTTGAGATAAAAAAGACTGTGAGGCTTTTCTTTACCAAGAAATTCCTTTTCATAGTGCCCTTCATCGGACAGGCAGTCTTTGCTGAAGCGGTATTCTTCACCTACTTGTCTTGTAAGTTGATGTAACCGATCGATTCCTCTGGGGTTTGAATCTGACATTGTTGCTAGTATGGTTCAGCGTCCGCGCCAGAGCCCTGGGCTCCTTCTTAGGAGGTCTTGCAGCGATTATTTCAGGGAATTTACTGGGCGTAGGTTTCCACGCATCAATGCTCTCGAAAGGTTCTGAGATAGTTTGCCGTTACTAATGTATTTTCAACTAGCACTGGATCGATCGAACTCAAGTCACCCTCAAGCGCCGAACTCGACTCGCTTTTATCGTGATCGTCCTTTTCCAAGGGGCGTGGTGGATTTGGGCAACTGTGATGGTAACTAAATTCAGTCTTACTCACCCGACGTATGACTGGTCCGACCCAGCCTTTGGCCAAGGATTCGGGGTCTTCATCTTCTTGACAGTTGGCTTTCAACTGAATTATATGTATTTGTAAGTGGCTATAATTGTTTTGAGTGTCGACAACCCAGCATTGGACTCCCTTCTACCTAGATAGTCTATGACTTCTCCAAGTAACCTGATTCAATGGCAGATATTTTGTTATTCAAAACCTTGCCGGTGGAGACGAGCCTCAGGTTATTCGATATGCCGCTCTCCTTCGAGGAACAGAATCAGCATGGCAGGCACTCAGCTATGGGTAAGCAGTTCTTCCCTTCTGTCACGTATCTTTGTCCTGCAGGTTTTGCGAAGTTCTAGAGCACAATGATAGATCCGTAGCAGGCTAATGTCACTCAGTCTCGAGTCCCTCACTGTCTTCGCGGAGCATGGTGGGGTCTACATGAACTTCGGTTTGTGGGCAGTAGCCATTGTTCCCGCCTGGCTAGTTGTAAGACAGTTAGGCATCGAAGTTGAAAGCTTGCCTGAAGCTGTAGTATTTACTACCGAAACCGAAAGGCCTGACGTTAAGGGCGTCATGGCTAATGAAGACCTACCTAAAGTATAAGGTAGTAAGTATGGAGATAGACCTACTATCGCTAGATATATATAATATTCCTAGGCACCTACTCTACTTAAAAGGACTTACTTCTTTTTAATTAACTTAATTTTATTATATTATATACTTTATATTATAATAATTATAAATTTAATTAACTTAAAGGAACCTTTAAAGTTATTATATTTAATTAAGTATTTTAAATATTATAAATAGTATTCTCTTTATATATTTATTTTTATTTATTTATATTATATTTATTATAAATTTTACTATTTATTATAATAATTATATTTTTAAAGAATTAAATAGAATAATTTTATAATGTATTTAACTTTAATTAAATTATTTATTTTATAATATATAAAATTAATTTAATTTAAATAAATTAAGTTATTTAATTTTTAATAAATTATTTATTATATTAATAACGTTTTAATTTATTATTAAGGAAAATAAATATTATAATACTTTATATAAATATTAATTTAATTAATAAGAAATATTATTAATAAAATATATAATAAATTATTTAAATTAATTATAAAGTATAATATTAATATAAAAATATTTAATAAACTTTATAAAATTATATTATTAAAATTATTAAGTAGACTATTTTTATAAAAGGTTTATAAGTATTTAAAATTAAGTTTAAAAGATATTTAATTATAATTTATTTAACTTTATTTTTAAAAAGTTATATTTTTAAAAGGTTAACTTTAAAGTAATAATATAATACTTAAACGAGAATTATACTTTTTAAGTATATATTAAATATAAATATTAAAAATAAGTATTAATAAACTTTTAAATATATTATTTATAATAATATTAATTTATTTAAGTAATATAACTTATAATAATAAATATATATATATATATAAAACTTTAAAATATTTATAAAATTAAAAGTAAATTTATTATATAAAACCTTTTATTATTAATAATAAAAGTTTATTTTAATATAAATAAATAAGTAACTTAATATACTTTTAAGTATTTAAATAATAAATATATTAAAAGTTTTATTTAAAAGTATTATTTATTAATTTATTATTTATTATTAATAATAAATAAAATTAATTATTTTATATTTAAAGTATTTATATTTTTAAATTAAATTTTATAATAAATAAAATATTTATTTATTTATATTAAAAGATTTATAAAAGTTTTATTTAATAGTTTTAAAGAATTATAAAATATTTAAAAACAGTTTAATATAATTAAAGCTTTATATATAGAATAATTTTAAGTAATTAAATATTTAAAACTTTAAATTAAGTTTTAAAAGTAAAGAATAAACGTATTTAAAAATAAGAGTGAGAATTTATACTTATTAAAATAAAGGAAAAACTTATAAATACTCTTTTAAAAGTTTTTAAAGTTATATATTAATTTATATATATAAATATTCTATTTTTCTATTATTTTAATCTTTAAAGTATTTAAAAGTATAAAAATAAATTTATTATAAATTATATATATATTTTTATTTTAAGTTTAAATTAATAAATAATATTAACTTTAAGATTTTTAACTTTATTTTTAATAAAGTTATAATTATAAAAGAATATATTTAAATATTTTATTTTATATAATATAGTTTAATTATAAAACTTATATTTTAAAAGAAATTTAATATAAAGTTAAATAAAAGTTTTAATATAAAACTTTTTATTAAATTTAAAATATATTACTATTTATTAAATATATATTTAATAATAATTATTAAAAATTTAAATTTTATTTAGAAATATAATATAAGTTTTAAAATAATTAATATATATAATTTATATAATATTTATAATAATTAAATTTATAATTAAATTATATACTTAATTATAATAATAAGTTTTTCCTTTATTTTAATAGATATAAATTCTAATTTTTAAAATAATAAAGTAATTATAAAGAAAATATTTATTTTTATATTTTTAAAGAGTTTAAGTATATAAAGAGTAAAGAAAATAAAGTATTAATTAATTAATGATATATTCATTTATTTAAAACTTAAATATTAAATAATAATTATATAATACTTTTAACTATTTTAATAATTAAATAAATATTATAAAGTTTATAATTTAATAGATTATTAAAGTTTAAAAATAAATTAATATATTTATTTTATATAAAAACTTTTATTAATTTATAAAAGTATTTTAAAAATAATTAATAAATTTACTTTTAAAAGTAATTAATAAAGTTATTTTTAAAAGTAATAATAAATATAAAATAAATAAATATATTATAAAAAATAGAATAATTAAAAAGAAATAATAAGGAAATAATAATTAATTTATATTTAAAATACTTTTAAATATAATAAGTATATAAAAATAAGTATATTATTTTTAAATATATATAATATTTTAAGTATTTATTTTATTTAAAAAGTTTTTAATTAATTTAATTTTATTATATTATATACTTTATATTATAATAATAAAATTAAATTAAATTAAAATAATATTTATATTAATAATTTATTAATATAGTTTTATTTTTATTTTATATAATAATAAATATTTATAATTTAATACTTTAAAACTTATAATATTAATAATAATAATTATAATATATAAATTAAATTAAAGAGTATTATTTTAGTAATAAAATTAATTAAAATAATATAAAATTAAATATAATAAAATTAATTTTTAAAATAAATTATTATATAAATATATTATATTAAATAAATTATAATTAAAAACTATTTTTAAATATATATATATATTAATAAAACTTTTATAAATAAATATTATAACTTTTATTTAAATATATAAATTATTTATAGTTTTTAATTTTATTTTAAATTAAAATAAATAATTAATATTTTAAAAATAAAATATAATATATTTTATTATTTAAATATATAATAATTAATTTTATAAATTTAAATAAAATATAATTTATAATATAATATTTATAAAGTTTTTAATAAAATATTAAAATTTTAAAATAAATTTAAAATTAATTTATAAAATATTAAAAATATAATAAAATTACTTTATTTAAATATTTATATTTTTATTATTAATAATTACTAATTTATAAATAATTTAAAATATATAATAAAATTAAATAAAATAAAATATTTAAAGTTCTTTATAAAAGAATTATAAAACGTTTATATAAAGTTATTAAAACTTTATATATTAATTTTAAAGAATATATATAATATAATTTAAAATTAAAAATTTATATAATCTTTTATATAATAATAAATATTTAATATTTAATATTTAAAATAATATAATATTAATAATATTATTAATTAAAATATTATAAAGAAATTATATAATAAAACTTTAATTAAAAATTATTTTTATATATAATTATATAAATATATATATTATTTTAAAATAATATTAAAAATAAACTTTTATAAATAAATATTATAACTTTTATAAATATATAATTATTAGTTTTAAAATATAATATAAAAATATAATTTATAATTTATAATATTTATAATTTTATAATAAAGTATTAAAATGTTTTAAAATAATTAAAATTTAATTTATAAAAATAAAAATATATAATAAATTTATTCTCTTTTAAATTTATATTATTATTATTAATAATTTTAATTTTTAATTATATAAAATATAAAATATAAAATTTAATTTAAAGTTTTTATAAAAGAATTATAAAAGAATATTAAATAATTAAAGTTTATTTATTAATAATTATAATATTTATTAAATTTAATATTAATTATATAAATATTTTTAATTTTAAATATAAAACTTTTTAATTATATAATAAAATTATTTATTTTATTTTTAATATATTATTTTATTTTTAATATAATATTTATAAATAAAGTTTTTAATAATTTTATATATAATTATATTTATAAAAATAAACTTAAATTAAATATTTAATTAAACATTAAAATTACTTTAATTTATTACTTCTTTTTATTATATTAATTTTATTAAGGTATATAATGTACTTAATTAAGAAATATTATTCTGTGTTATAGTAGATAGGTGTTTTTATAGTTACCTTAAATCTATTTTACGTCCTCCAATCTTACAATCAACTTCCCACCACGTATATCGCCATTTCGCATCCGGTCAAGACCTCTGTTCACATTCTCCAGACCCTCTTCGATGTCTATGATCTCTGGAGGTGAAAGTAAACCCTGTGCGAGTAACCTCTCGAGCCAAGTGACCAACGCACTCCCGACTGCAGGTACCTCGTGGAATAGTTTGATGGGCACAGAGTGCATCACGGCTCCCCCGACAGAATCCTGCCTAGGCAGCCCAGTCAGCCCGATGAGATGGGCAGAAAGGGCCGGAGACGTGCGTGGGGTGGCAGGGGGCGACGGTGGCCTCGTACCGCCGGAGACACCCTTATCTGTCAGAGCTTCTAGCAATTTCGCAGCTGTATCCTTTCCACGAGTATCGATTCCAAATCTCAAGTCCTCACCTACATTCGCCTTGAGTATATCGATAGCTCTTTGTGGGTCATGACTGTCAATCAAAAGGTCTGGGCGAATGAACTTATGATTTGACAACCGCAGGCCATGTCTTGCACTGTCCACGATAGTTGCGACCTTCAGACCTGCGAGTTTGGCAAGTTGAACGGTAAGATTGGCCGATGTTGCGGAGCCTGTAGAGAGCTTCAGTCAGCCCTTTGTAGACGGTGCGAAAGACACCAGTTGACCAGTTGATAGATAGTTCGCACGTACCTCCCCACACAGCAATCCAATCACCAGATCTTGCACGTTCGTCTTCCGAGATACCTCTCAGAGTCTCTGCCCGCACGTCTTCGGGAATGGACTCTGGGTCAGTTGCCTTTGCGAGTTTCAGAAGGTCGGGGCCATTGGCGATATCACTGAAGTCAACTCCCATGCAAATTCCCAAGGCCAAAGATGCAGCGACAAAGGCGACACCCAGCGTCGACCCTTCCTCATAGGACAGAGCCTGGGGTAGCCTGACCACGTTATAGTCAAGACAGACGACGAATTCCTGGTAAGCTGCCTTTCGCAGATCACGATAGTCGGTGGATATGGCGATCACCTGTGAGGACATCAGTCGTCTATCCAATGGCAATTACTAGTTCTGGCCAGGACTCGGATTCATACACGGTCACCAAGATTCAGACGGTGTGAGGAGCCCGACACTCGACAGATATCCCCGGCAAGCTCTCTCCCGGAAATATAAGGAAGCTCTGGGATCGCAAAATTGAAATCACTAGAGCCTCGGTTCAGGTCAGCGCACATTCTCGCATACGAGTATGGTCAAGGGGCTGCACGGCCACACTCACGGTGCTTTCCAATCTATGGGGTTGAGTCCGATAGCCCGAGTCTTGACCAAGACTTCCGAGCCAGTGTGAAGCTCCGGTGTGGGATAGTTCTTCACCAGCTCATACGGCTGTCTTGGTCCTCTCAGGAGGAGGACAGTTTGTGATTCAGGGACCGCGATTGGTGCCATTCCGACGGAGGATATAATGTCACTCGGTTCTGATATTCCGGTGCCCAATACCATCCTTTTCTCGTAGAAGGTTTGCAGAAGATTGGCCAGCCACTCGTTCTTCGAGGAAACTCGACGGAAGTAAGTGCGTGACAGGGGTGAGAAGGAAGATAGTGTATCTACAACCTTGCCGCATGGGTTCAAATGTACAGAGGTGCTGGTCGGTGTTCCAGAATTACCGCGGCGGCGCTGGTTTGAGGACGCAGGGCGGCACAGGAAATGATCCATGCGTGATTACAAACATGTCCGAAGACGGCCGTGGGCACCTCCGAAGGGAGCTGATGCGATAGACGAGACCCATTCTCGAGGTATGGCGCAAAGCTGTGACATCTTTCATCATCCTCTAGCTTTTTCGTCTCCCCCACGCCGTCCGCAAGAACGGAGATATCCCCCAGGAGATGAGAAACAGCCGCGACATCCCACCCGTCAAACGGCTTGTGTGGGGAATTCTGTCGGTATCTGGTTGCCTTTTGTTGGTCAAATGCGGTTGCATCATCGAGGGGTTGGGCCGGAGCCGAGTGCATCATTCGTACAGCGATGGCGCAATTGTCCGTCAGACTTGGTAGGCCTGTTGTCAACCTAGCACGTCTTATCTCCGGCCCGAACATTGGAGACTCTTTCGTTGAAAATGCATAGGGGTAGTAGAAATTCCTGCTCTGGTTTTGTTGTATGAAATTTGGTTCCTAATGTCTACATTCACGACATCAGGTCTTGCCGGTTTGCCCGTCTATGTCACGCAGCCTTCCAAGGTTGTCCCAGACAAGCGACCACTCAAGCAGTAGTGTGCGACGACAGTTCTCATATTCGGGCGGAATGACTTGATCAGATAGAAGAGAATGAGATATCAAGGCAAAGATGAAGTTATTCTACACGGGTGTTAGAACTGTCGAATGCTATGATTAAAGTGTGTGGCTTTAGAAGCCTGTCGAGGCTGCGGCGGTCACCAGTCGGATCCTTCTACCAAGGCTGACGCTGCAAGCCCAGCTGACTTGTGACGGATCTACGGTGATTGATATGTGATATTTGGGCCAAAGGACTTGAAGCCGACCAAGCACACTGTCGCCGAGCACGTCGGTGTTAGGGACGACCGGCCTGTATTGGTCAGAACCGCTGCTCAAGTTGCGATGGCTTGCAGGTGTGGGTGGAGGAAGCTGACATCTACGGGCGGATAGGTTCAACCTAGAAGGTTAGTATCATCTATCTAAGCTTTATCTAAACTTAGATATTAAAATTAATATCTATTTAATCTTTAAAAAAAATAGTTTTATTTTTAATTTTTATATATATATATAATATATATATATATATAATATTTTTATATAATAATAAATATTTAAAATTTAATATTTAAAAATATAATATTAATATTAATAAAAGAAAATATAATATATTAATATATAAATATATAATTAAATTTTATATTATAAATAAAATTAAAATTATTAAAATTATAAATTAAATTTTATAAAATTAATTAATAAATTTATATATTTTATTTATTTAAATAATATTTATAATTTTATAATATTAAATTATAAAATTTTAATTATATTATATTTTTATATTATAATTATTATTATTTTTAAAAGTTTATATATATAGTTTTAATAATTTTATATATATTTTTATAATTATTTTATAAAATAATTTAAATTTTATTTTATTATATTTTTATATTATTAAAAATAATAATTATTAATAATAATAATATAAATTCTTAAAAAATAAATTTATTATATATTTTTATTTTTTATAAATTAATTTTAATTTTTTAAAAGGTTTTAATATTTTATTAAAAAATTTTAAAATAATATATTATAAATTATTTTTATTTTAAATTTTTAAAATTAATAATTATATATTTAAATAAAAGTTATAATATTTATTTTAATAAAAGTTTTATTAATATATATATTTAAAAATATTTTTAATAAAACTTTTAATATAATTTATTTATATAATAATTATTTAAATTTAATTTTATTATATAAATTTTTTATAATAAATAAAATATAAATTATTTTATTAATAATTAATATTATTATTAAAATAATATTTTTAATTTTATTTATATATTATAAAATTAAAATTATAAATATTTATTATATTATAATTATTATTATTAATATTATATTTTTAAAATATTATATAAATATTAAAATATATATAATATAAAATAAAATTATATAAAATTAAATTTTATTATTTTTATATTATTTTTAAATAATTTTAATTTTAAATTAATAAATATTTATAAATAATTTAAATTTTTTATTATAAATTATAAAAATATATTAAAAATATTATTTTTAATAATATAATATTAAATTTATTAATATAAATAATTTAAATTAATATATTATAATATTAATATTTAAATTAATAAAATAATTATATAATAATATTAAAATAATTTTAAATTTTTTTATAAAATAAATTTTATAATATAAAATTTAATAAATTTATTTATTTTAATAAAATATTTATTATATAATTATTTAAATTTAAATTTATTAAATATATTAAATATATTTTAAATATTATTTTAAATATATAATTAATAATATAATAATAATATTATAAAATATATATATTAATATTATAAATTATTTAAAATTTTAATTATTTATATTAAATTTTAATTTTTAATTAATAAATTTTATATTAAATAATATAAATTATTTATATTTTTATTTTTATTAAATTAAAATAAATAAATAAAATTTTTAAAAATATAATATAATATATATTTTTAAAATAATTTAATTAATTTTATTATATAAAACTTTTATAATAAATTAATAATTATTTATATTATTATTTATTATTAAAAATATTTTTATCTTAATATATTAAATTATATTAAATTAATTTAAATTAATATTATTAATTTTAATATAAATTAATTTATTAAAAATTAATTTATTAAAAATTAAAATTATTATAAATTATAAATTATTTAATTTAATATTAATAAATATTATATATAAATTATTTATATTTTTATTAATTTTATTATTAAATTAAAATAAATAATTAAAATTTTTAAAATAAAATATAATATATTTTTAAAATTAATTTAATTAAATTTATTATATAAAATGTTTTATAATAAGTTTATAATTTATATTTATAATATTATTTATTATTAATTTTTATATTAATATATTAAATTATATTAATTTTAATTAATATTATTAATTTATTAAAAATTAAAATTATTATAAATTATAAATTAATTTTAATATAATTAAATATTATATAAAATTATTATATAATTTAAATTTTTAAATTAATTAAAATAAATAAAATAAAAATATTACTTTTTAAAAATTTAATTTTATTTTATAAATAAATATTTATTTAATAAATTTAAAAATTATTTATTTTATTATATTATAAATAAAATTATTTAAAATAATTATTTAATTTATTATATTTTTATTAAATTAAAAAATAATTAAATAAAATAATTATATTTTATTATAATATATAATATTTAAATAAATTAATATTTATTTATTTAATAATTATATTTATTTATTTAATTTTATTAATTATTTATTTAATATTAATATTTTTAAATAATTTTTATATTTATAAATATTTTTAAATTAATATTAAAACTTTTATAATATAATTTTTTATAATTTTAATATTTTTAATATAAACTTTTTTAATATATTTTTAATATACCTTTTAATATTCTTTTAATACTTTTTAATATATATTTTAATATTTTTAATATACTTTTAAACTTTTAATTTATATATATTTAAATATTAATTTAATATTTAATTAATATTTAAATATTTAATTAATATTTAAATATATATAAATTAAAAAATATTAAAATATATTAAAATATATTAAATATATTTAAAAGTTTATATTAAAATATTAAAATTTAAAAGTTTTAATTAAATATATAATTATATATAAATTTTATATTAAATAAATAATTAAAAATTAAATAAATATATATAATTAATAAATAAATAAATATTAATTTTATTTTTTATTTTAAATTTATAAATTTAATAATTTTATATAAAAAATAATTATTAATAATTAAATTTATAATTATATAAAAATAAATTTTATTTTAAAATAAATATTATTTATTAAAATAATTAATATATTTTTAAAAATTAAAATTATAAATTTAATTTAAAATAAATTAAAATTTATAAAAATTTTAAATTTAAATTTATAATATATAAAACTTTAATTTCTTTAAAAATAAAAAAATAAAAATTTAAAAATTATTTAAATTAAATTAAATTAACTAAATTATAATATAATAAAATAATTAAAAAATTTGTTAAAAATATAATTATAAATATTTTAATTTTATATTAAATTTTTTATATATATTATATAAAATTTTATAAAATGTTTTATTTATTAATAATTTTTAATTAAAATAAATAAATTTTTAATATTTTTAAAATAAGTTTTAAATATTTTTAAATTAATTAAAATTAATAATAATTTATTTTATATTTTATATATTAATATAATATAAAATTTTAAATAAAATTAAATTTTATATATTATAAAAATTAATATAAAAATAAATATTTAAAAATAATATATTTTAATAAAAAAAGTAATTTAAATAAAAAGTTAATTTAAATATAAATAAATTACTTTATATTTTACTTCTTTATTTATTTAAAAATATTAAAGAGTTATAGTTATTAAAACTTAAAAAATAAAGGTTATTATAATATTAAAGATATAACTTATAGAGAGAACTATATAGTATAAAGTTAACTTTAAAGTTTAATATTTAAATATAACTCTATATATTTACTATTTAAGGAGTAAGTTTAAATATGAGGGACCGGCTTGTTCTAAATAAAGTTCAAAGCGGTCAGCGGGGTACCGGGGTATGGGGTCACTGGGGTACTGGGGTACTTAGGTAGGTAGCGACTGCCCGGGCGACTCTCACCCGTCTCCGCCTTCCAAGGGTGTGCTTTGGAATGCAAATGTTCATCTTGGACTGAAAACATCCCACGGTCAGCCGTTGTTCGGCTCAATCTGCAACATCTTGTTGCTTGTCAGCAGCATGACTTCGCCCACGTTGTTGCAAAGGCTCCGCGAGCTCAGTGCGGTCGACTGTGACACACTTGATAGTGAGGGTGAGTGCTTGCATCCTTGCTAGGCTCGATATCATGGATATCATGGATACCATGGCTGACGTCGAGCTCTCGTCCGCAGTGGCTAGGCGGATGGGTCCATTCTGCGATTGCACCTCAAACCAGGTCGGACAAGGCTCTACACTGCGTTGGGGTCCGGGGAAATGTTCTGACATCTACTCTCTCCATGTTCATAGGCCATTGCCTTTGCCGAGCTTACCAGGACGGGTGCGGGCGGCGAGCTGGTCCATGAGCAGCTCGTCAAGAGCTCGCTTCGAGATGCGCACTGGATGTTGGCGCAGCAGTCTGGCGCAACCTTGGAAGAGCTTGCGGTTGAGTTTTGCATGGTCCGGCTCGCCCTCGCAATTGCTCCTGACCTGACTGGGTTTTCCCATGTTCAGACCAATCCTCGGTCAGTTCCTCCTTCTCCCACGCTTCCCCTTCTTCCAGCCCTCGGCCGCTTTCAGAACACACCACTCCGCCATCCTTAGCAGGTTGACTAACGCACGCCAAGGTGGTCATACGACACACAAAAAACCATAAAGAATGCGGAAAGTGCGTCCGGCTCTGTACTGCGACACCTGACGGCTGTGATCGCCGAGACGTGCTGACTGAGCCCTCAATGTTTGTAGGGATTGTCTCTATGTTCAAGCACCTAGCGCCCACCTACGACACGAAACGTGTCTGTGTCAAAATACCGGCCACATGGGAAGGCCTACAGGCATGTCGCGAGCTTGAAAAGCGAGGTATCGCTACGCTGGCGACCACCATGTTTTCTATGGCGCAGGCCGCGCTGGCCGCTGCAGTCAACTGTACTTATATCGCGCCTTATGTCAACGAATTGAGGGTTCATTTTGATAAAGGGTGAGTCTATATCCAGAGTCGCATGGTGGCTCCCGAGGTCGTACCGAACGTGGGAACAGCTACTTGGCAACTATGCCTGCAGAAACAATGTCCACCCCCCACTAACAAAGCACCCCAGCTACGTTGATCAAAACAAAGCCTTCGACTTCTGTGTTGCGGCACAGAGATATTACCAAAAGATCGGGGCAAGAACCAAGGTTCTCCCAGCGTCGCTGACAACCATCGATGAGGTTCTGGCCCTCGCAGGTGTCGACCATGTAAGCAGCTTCTGGGTACAAGTTTTACCCATTCAAGAACATGAACGCCCCCATTACAACCCATGTAACAACGGCTTTACGGGCTGCAGGTTCTTGAGACACGCTATCGGCACCTTGTGGCCTGCTCCTCGCCGTGAGCCCACTTTGACTTTCTTAGTTCTGGGATGGCTGACTCCCAATGCTGCAGATTACTATCTCTCCACCCCTTCTAGCCCAACTATCCAACACAAGTTGTGAGCACTATGAAGGAGACATAGGCTCGGTGATGAGGGCTACAGGGGACAGTGTTCACGAGGATTTTGCCCCCATCCTGGCCGACGAGAGTGCTTGGCGGCTAGCTTTCACGCGTAGTGGAAGGGGTACGAGTGAAGGCAAGATCATTCAGGCCATCAACATATTCTACGAGATGCAGGTTGAGCTGGAAGCGATGATCAAGAAGCTTAACACTATATAGTATGGTTAGTATGGTAGGGTTGAATACGGTGTCTTCCACAGTCTTCGAGTCGTGTTCATGGTCATGTATTGATGGGCTGTGCGCAGATTCCACCGTAGCTCTGCCTTTCAGTGGCCTCCGGGGCGGCGTTACTTACAACCAGAGATGGATGGCAGCGGGCACACAGGTTGCCATACCAGGTGCTGGGGTCATTGGTATGGAATATGGGCAGACAATTTCCAAATCCCACGAGTCAATAGGGAAGTACTACTCGGGGCATTGGGTTGTCTACAACTTACCTACCTGATGGAAGAGCTTTCTCGCCGGTTCTCTTTCAGAAACTATGATGGTTTGACGATGGCCGAGTGAAGAGTAGCCAAGCCGGCGTTTCAACCCCCGTGCCTGTATCTGGGAGTTCGCAATATCTCACTTCTTGTGACGGTGATGACAAGTTCAATGGATGATGCGCGACATGTCTGCTCCCGAAAGGCTCGATGCGGAGAAATGAGCCTTCATTAAGGACGGCAAAATGATAGGTGGCCGGCAAAACCGCTCCAAGGGCGTAAATAGCCTGAATACTTACCCCGTTCTACTAACGCCGTGACCTTGATGAGCGGTGGGAGGGAGGATTGTTTCCATGAATTTTGGCAAACAAGCACCGCTGCTTGGGTGAGTTGGTATAGTGCAGACCTCCTTTCAATGCGCACATGACATACAGCCGGGACCCGGGTATCTCTTGTGTCTACTTTTGGCCGGACGGTGCAACGCCGATGCATAGAGGCAAATGGGATATCATGGGCAACATCTAGATGTCACGCTCGTCGAGTAGCAGAATTGGGTTCCGATAGATGGGAAGGAAGTCCTTATATATGTCAGAGCCCGGCGGCCATCCAGGCCAGGACCAGATGCAGCGTTAGATCAACCACCAAAGACTTTGTAAAGAACGTTCAAGCATCATGGGTCTCACACACATTTTGAGCTCGGCCCTGCTGGCTGGTGCAGCACTTGCGATGCCAGCTGTCGAGATCGTTGAGCGACAGTCAACTTGCTCAATTCCCTCAAGCGTCCCGACCGTGAACAATGGGCAGCTTCCAGACCCTTTCATCTTTGCAGACGGCAGGAAGGTCACTACCAAGGCCGAATTTGACTGTCGGGCCCAGGAAATCAGCAAGATTATGCAGCAATATGAACTGGGCGACTACCCACCAGCGCCGGATTCGGTCAAGGGCACTCTCTCGGGTAACAGTCTCACGGTTGCTGTAACTGTTGGTGGGAAGTCTGTTAGCTACTCAGCGTCCATCAACAAGCCTTCTGGGAGCGGCCCGTTCCCTGCCATCATCGCAATAGGCGGGTCTTCGCTCCCAGTGCCTGCTGGAGTGGCGACCATCAACTTCAACAATGACGATTTTGCCTCTCAGGCATCGAGCTCATCTCGTGGCCAGGGCAAATTCTACACTTTGTTTGGCGCATCGCACAGTGCCGGAGCCCTCACCGCCTGGGCCTGGGGTGTTGACCGTCTCATCGATGCCCTCGAGCAGGTGAACGCGACGTCTGGTATTGACCCGACGCGTCTTGGAGTTACTGGCTGTTCCCGGAACGGTAAGGGGGCATTTATCGTAGGCGCGTTTGTCAAAAGAATCGCCTTGACCCTTCCCCAAGAATCCGGATCAGGTGGCGCTGCGGTAAGCTACGACGGTCTTCCCAAGCAGGAATTGCCGTGCCGGTTTTCCCAATGGCTAATCTGTATTCATAGAGTTGGCGCATCAGTGATCAGCAGAAGAACGCCGGCGCAAACATCCAAACGGCAGGCCAGATAATTGGTGAAAACGTTTGGTTCTCTACGCGGTTGAACCAGTATGCCAAAGCGACATCAACGATCCCCGAGGACCATCACTTCCTGGCAGCCATGACCGTTCCGCGAGGCTTGTTTGTCATCGAAAATGACATTGATTGGCTGGGCCCCGTCTCAACGACTGGAGCTATGAAGGCCGGGAGGGTCATCTACAAGGCATATGGCGTGCCCACGAACATGGGCTTCTCTCTCGTCGGCGGCCACAATCACTGCCAGTTCCCCAGTTCTCAGCAGGCGGACCTCACCTCGTACATCAACTACTTCTTGCTGAAGACCGGATCGGCCCCGGGGGAAATCGAGAAGAGTCCCAGCAATGTCGACATGTCGCAGTGGACAAAGAACTGGGTCGTGCCTACCTTGACTTGATGTTTGTGAGGGGGGAGGGCGCTCAACACGGGATCTGTGGCTCTCTTCAGTTCTGCTGTAATGCTCTGATTCGCAGCGCTTCGCAAGTCTCACCATATCCACATCATTGGAACCAAGAAATACGAGGAGAGATCTAAAAACTCGTCCGACAGTGCCCAGGTGGTAGCGCATAAATACTCTCAGATGAAAATAAAAATCGCGGGCGTTCATGCTGCCCTGAAAATGTGTGAACGAAAGATCGTCAACGGTTGGCCCGTAATTAGTACCACTGTATCAAGCCATCAATAATGATATCACAAGGATACCTGGGGTGGTTTCGTTTCTAGTCCCCATACATGTAAAACGTATGTGGTGCCTTTGTACAGTGCACAAGGATACCTAGGCACTCCGAGTCGGTCTACACTTGATAAAATGGAACATGCCATGACTAGTATCTGCACAGTGTGCGGATGCATCCATTCTCCTCAGGCTGTAGTTCAACATTGAACTACCCGGGTAGGCGCCAAAAGGTCTGCTAAGTGTTGTGGTAATTTATGTTCATACAGTGTGCTTTGCTTGTTGCTCTCAGGTTCACAGTCTACGACGGTATTTAGACACGGGTCAACTGCACCTGTAGCGGGCCAATACTGTGTATACCGATCCTGCATACTATGTAGGCTATATTTTGAAGATTTCCTGTGATGGAGCACCTGGGCATCGCTGCCGAGTTCTGCAGGCTCCATAATGAAATCAGAAGACTCAGCTCCCACACCAAATCAGGGCCCAAGGACTGAACACAGTGCCCGACACTGCTACGACTCTCCCATCACCGGATCTGGAGTCGACGGCAAGACCGCACGGTAGGAAACTTGGAAGTCATGATTCAGCTATAACGTGACTGACGTGGCTCGTGTGCCTGATGGTTGGGAGGTCCAAGAAGTATTCGAGATTTCCTTGGACCGACTAGAATCGACACTCATAGTGGCAGCCTCTGGAACATGGCGAAGGAAGATGGAAGGAAGGCAAAGTTCGAGCCGCGAGGTTGAGAAAGTCTATCTATCTAGGCATGCTGAGGTGAGTGACGAGTTGACTTTTCAAACTCGAACGTAAGATCTGGGCTTCTGTGCTTGCGTGTTATCGTGACCCCTCGATAATTCTGAATTTCCAAAGATCAAGGGGCTTGACCCACTCAGGGGCCTAAAAGGAGGACCTCGAGGATGGACACCCTTGACCTCGGGGCACCCCATCTAAGGGATTGACTCGCCCGAAGCAGTCAAGTAATATTACCAGTGCAGAACCACGTCATGGGCCTTGAAAAGTGGAAGAACCGGAAGAACCGTCACACTTTATGAGATTCAGAGGGCCCTTGTCGCTCATAGATGCAACTACAGGCACATGTGGGCTGACGAGTGCTTGGACGACAGTGACAAGCAGGGATTGCCCGGCCACCTGGGCAGCAACAAACCGGCAGTTGTCCTAGACCAGTGGGCCCCGGAGAAGTCGCTAGGGGCAAACAAACCCTTTCGCACAACGGTCGTTCCGTGGAGTCTGGATACTATGTCTGCATCGTCTGGAAACAGTCACCTCGCGCCAAGTCGCTTTCAAGCGGCTCAGTACCTCCTCAATCGTGTCTGTCAACCGCTTATGCTCTGGCCCTGTCTCCTTGGAACCTCAGACACCTCCTCTACTTATAGAACAACACAATTGTCTATTGCTTTAGCCAAGATACCAACACAAACGCATCCATTTCCACGATGTTAACCCCTAACACGCGGCGGGTGAGCACGATGTCGACACCGGAGTGCTCCATACACGACATGGATTCTGCCAGTCTACACACAATCAGAACAGGGAGCAATGAAACAATGAATTCCGCAAACAAATCCATGTTCTTCCTCGAGATGAACCCATTCGCTCCCATCTCAGTCGTCCTACTTCATATGCTATGTAAGTTTCCCAGCCGAGTCTGTCTTTCGAAACCAGCCCGGCTCTGCCCTCGGCAGAGTCCAGGCGCCTCCCTTGCGAACTAAAATTCGGAGCTGGTCAGCTACCTCTGGACCAGTGCTTTTTTTAACGAGTGAAGGCCGTGACATGGCTATACATGCGGCGGCAGATTTCAATTTCTGTCCACATCAACGTTGTTAGTTGAAGTAAATACTGAATGTGCTCGCGATCACTAATCCTGAAGAGTGTAGTCAGCTCTCATCTTGAATGGAAGCACATATGGCCTAAGCTAGCGGAGTACCATCTGATGATTCCAGATCTGCCTTGTCATTCCAAGTCTCGCCACATTTGCAAAAAGGAAGATTACTCAGTTCGCCTATGCGCCGACCTAGTTGCAGAGATGATCCGCAGGAATGCCCACGATGGCCGTGCGCACGTAATAGGCATAGGCACGAGCGGGTTTATTGTCTTGGATATCATAAGAAGACATCCAGATGTTGTCACGAGCGGTTTCTTGTAAGCACAATTTGATTACGCGTCTTCATCCCTTTCAAAACGGGGAAGCCCCATGTTAAGCCTGTATATCAAAGACCTTGAGGGCCGCAGGTTTTTGAGGAAGGCTGCGGCTGGGCTACCTCCCCAGGTTGTCGCTAGCTTCTCACCATCTGGGCAAGCTGGCAGAAAGCCTTTTTTAAAAAAACAAAATTAAAAAATAACAAATTAAAAAACTAAAAAAATTTAAAAATTAAACTTCTTTAGCAGCTAACTCCGAAAGCTGCAGATCAGGGGCATGGCCTCAGAAAGGACTACGACTCGCCGTGACTAGACACCCTCGGCTTCTTTATGCCGGGCTTTGGTCGGTCCTGCACTCCCGTAAGTATTACTCTCTCCCCGACTGCCCTGTATTTGTTGCCCTTGGGCTATGCTTGAATCGATACCTGATTGCTCGTTGCTGTATTAACTCATGGCAGCCGGCTCGCTCTTTTTCAAAATGTCTAGGTATAGCGCCGAGTACCACCAAGACGAGTTGTTGGACTCGATCAAGCAGAACGGAAGTTCACGACTAGCGTCTGCCGGGTGTGCATACGCAGAGGAATGGCAAGACCTGCAGTTCGTCGAGGCTGGAGCATCCGATAAGAGAGTATGCATGATTGCTGGCGGGAAGTCGGATGATGTAGACGGCGTACATGAAGCTGCAAAGCTGCTCAAATCTCAAAGCAACGGTGGTGAGGGTTCCAATACCTGCGCCTACCACGTTCGTGAGGCCATCCTCTCTTGGAATTTACAGTTCCCACCTCTCTTCGCCAAGGCCATCCAATGCTGGATAGAGCGTCTACCTATGCCAGATAAGCTTGAAGATATGCCTATATAATAGAGTAAACTTCTTAAAAATATATATATCTAAAGGTTTATTTAAGTAAGAAGTAAGATATTAAGGAGGGTTTTTTAATATAAAGTTTTTTTCTTATATTATTTATTTATTTATTTATTTACTTATTTATAATTTTACTTTTTTTTATATATATTTAAAGATATATATAATACTTTTATATAATAATAAATATTAAAAATTTAATATTTAAAAGAAATATAATATTAATAATAATAAATATAATATAATAAATATTTATAACTTTAATTTTATAATATATAAATAAAATTAAAAGTATTATTTTAATAATAATATTTATTAAAACTATAAATAAAAATAGTTTATAAATTAATTATTATAAAAGATTTATATAATAAATTTAAATTTAAAAATAATTATTATATAAATATTATAATTATATTAAAGGAAGTTTAATTAAAAATTTTCTTTATATATATATATATATATTTTATAATAAAACTTTTATTAAATAAATTTATAAAATATAAAATTATAATTTTATTTAAATATATAATTATTACTTTTAAATAAATTTAAAATAAAGAAATATTTTATAATATATTATTTTAAGATTTTATAATAAAATATTAAATTTTAAAAAGTTTTAAAAATAATTTATAAAATAATATAAATATAATAAATTTATTTTTATAATTATTAACTTTTAATAATATAAAAATATAATAAAAAAATATTTAAAGTTTTTTATAAAAGAATATAAAAATATATATAAAAGAATATAAAAATATATATAAAATTATTAAAGACTTTATATATAAGTTTTAAATTAAAGAAAAATATATAATTATATATTATAAAAATATAATATAATTAAAGTTATATATATATTTAATTATTTAATTATTTAATTATTTAATTATTTAATTATTTAATTATTTAATTATCTAATTATTTAATTATTTAATTATTTAATTATTTAAAATAATTAATTTTATATTTTATTAATTTTATATTTTAAAACTTTATAATATTTATATTATTTTATTATATAACTTTTATAATTTTAAATAATTATTATTATATAATATTTATATATAATTAATTACTAACTTAAGTAATAAATACTTTTAATATAAAGGAGAGAAAGAGTAAATATTTTTACTACTTAATATATCTCTAACTATCTTTAATTATAAAAGAAGGTAACTTTATTTATAGAAACTAAACAAGGTAATACATTCCTCTATTGGAACAAACTGCTTGAAATGTGCCTTTTAAGATGTAGCTTGAAAGCCTTGCAAAACTCAGATGGTGCAGGGTTGGAGGGCTTCAGCAGGGTGCTTGAGGGTGCTTCAGGGTGCTTCAAAGGTCCAAACTCCAAGCTAAGCAGCTCTCATGCCCTAAATAGGACTTCCCAAACAGACCACAAATATAAGGAGGGGGTGGCAATCAAAAAAAAAGAGCCTCCAAATGTAACAAGGAATTTGTGATTCAGAGGGGGCAGGATGACAAGGGGAAAACAGATTTCGGAAGATACTTCACTTGGTTCCTCCAGCACCTTCATCCAGGTACCTATAACCCTTCCTTCTGCACATTTCCCATTTTCGTGGCCAATCTCATTTCATACAAATCCTGGAATTTGACTGGCCCCGTCCCTAGAAATGCTACAGATCAGTAGCTGTGTATTACTTATGACAGGTGTGTGATGCACATTCTAAGTGCTGGTTCATTTTAAACCTGCAGGGCATCGGCGTGACGCCTATGATTTGGCCACAGCAGGGTTTCGGATACTATCTGCGCGGTGTTGCACATGGACCGAGGGATGAAGCTTCACAGGTCTGGCAGCAAGCAGAATCAGATCCTAATGCCTTCCTCGGCCTCTTCCCCGGCCCCTCCACTTTCCACCACGATTATTGAATCTGCCCTGGTGACCTCCACGCTCGAAACCGCGGTCTCGGTCGCGGTCTCGGTCTCGGTCGCGGTCGCGGTGTCTATCGCCAAAGTCTCTGATGGAAGCCTCGTCCTCATCGTCCGCGTGTTCCCTCTTTGCTGGGAAAGGGTCCTCGTCACCCTTCTTCTCGACCTTGACACTTGGCTTTTCCAAGCCCGTCTTCCATTTCGGATGTCCACCCTGCGTGCAGTCTGGTCCATCGGGACAGAAGCCAGCGAGGTAGTAAGGGCACATCTTCTTGCGGACATGTTTCTTGGCGCACCTTGGCCCGAGCGGGCAGAAGCCTTGGTCGTAATGTGGGCAGGGCGGCAGCTTGCTCTGGGGGTCGATATGCAAATACAGACACTCGTCGCCGTTGGAGCAGAAGCCGTTGCGCAGGAAGAAGTTGCACTCGGGCATCTTCCGCAGGTTGAACTCGTGCAGGAACTCGCAGCTCTCGCCCTTTTTGCAGAGTCCACGCAGCCAGTGCTTGCAGACGAGCGAGTTGAAAGGGTGGCCGCCATCCTGCTTGCCGCCGCTGTTTGGGACGGAGACGTGGCGCTCGGAGCAGCGTGTTCCGAGGGGGCAGTGGCCATTGATGTAGGCCTTACATAGTGGACGATCGGCAGGAAGGCTGTGCAGGTAGGTTCGCTGGAGGAAAGGCGTGAAGGAGAAGGTCGGCGCGTCAAAGGGCGGTGCCTTGGCAAGGAGCTTTCGCGAGAGCTGGCTTGTCGCTGTCGCTGTCGCTGTCGCCGGCGCTGGCGCCGGCGCTGTCGTGGTGGCTGCCGGTGTCATGGTCGGAAGGGGGTTTGGGCGGATGAGGTTGGCAGTATCAACCGGCGCAGCAGGAATCGGGAGTGCCGCATTCTCGAGCGAGGGGTGCTGGAGGAAGGAAGCATGGAATGTTGTCGCACCTTTGACGTGCCCTGCGAACCGGCATCAGCCGCCTCCAGTTACCTAGGCGCCTAGGTACCTGAGTACTTGGTACCTATGTACCCAGGTACCCAGATACCCAGGTACGGTCCGTACGGAGCAGGTATCTTATCAACTGGCGCCAAAGATTGCTGAATAATTCTTGGTGGGATGTTTAAGTCCCCCCCCCCCCAAGGCGGAGGGGCTGAGAGGCCGGGAGCCGCATCACGGCCGGCTGGCTGCCCGCCGCAAATTCGCGATCCACTCGCACTTGGCCCGCCCTGTTGACAAATCTCAAAGTGTAGCAAGCAGATAGCGGCACATATATCTATCTGTGTCCTCCTCGTCGTCCCGCCCGCACCACCACCACCACGACCAACGCCCCAGACAACCGCCAAGCTGTCTTTCCGGTATTTCACGCGTCCCCTCCGCTCCAGCGCAGCCAGTCTGTCCGCAGCGGCCCTCGCCACCGCGAGCTTCAGGCCGCCGACGCGCTCCTCCCCCGACCTGCACAAGCTCAGCGTCAACAAGATGAGCACCCACAGCCCCGTCCTCAGTATGTCTTGCTCACCCGCCTCCGTCCTGTGCCCCACCCCCTCCAGCGCCTCCGGCCCAGCCGGCCCAACCGGCTCAACCGGCTCAACCGTCTCCTAGTCATCGGCTCCGGCCCCGCCGCCCACACCGCCGCCATCTACCTGGCCCGGGCCAATGTCGAGCCCACCCTTTACGAAGGCTTCATGGCCAACGGCATCGCCGCCGGCGGCCAGCTGACCACCACCACCGACATCGAGAACTTCCCCGGCTTCCCCGATGGCATCATGGGTGGCGAGCTCATGGACGCCATGAGGAAGCAGTCCGAGCGCTTCGGCACAAAGATCATCAGCGAGACGGTCGCCAAGCTGGACCTCTCCCGCCGGCCCTTCAGGTTCTCCACAGAGTGGGACCCCGACACCGAGCACACCGCCGACGCTGTCATCCTTGCCACCGGCGCTGTTGCCCGCCGCCTCAACCTCCCTGGCGAGGATAAGTACTGGAACAATGGTGTCTCGGCCTGTGCTGTGTGCGACGGCGCCGCCCCCATCTTCAGGAAAAAGCACCTGGTCGTCATCGGTGGTGGTGACTCTGCCGCCGAGGAGGCCATGTTCCTGGCCAGATATGCCAGCCACGTGACTGTGCTTGTCCGCAGGGACGTGCTCCGGGCCAGCAACATCATGGCCAAGAGGCTCCAAAACCACAAGGACGTCACCATCAAGTGGAACACGACAGGCGTGGAGATCAAGGGCGACGACAAGGGCCTCATGAGCCACCTGGTTGTCAGGAATGTCAAGACCGGCGAGGAGGAGACCCTGGAGGCCAGTGGCCTCTTCTACGCCATTGGCCACGACCCAGCCTCTGCTCTGGTCAAGGGCCAGATTGACACTGATGCCGACGGCTACATCATCACAAAGTCAGGCTCTCCCTTGACCAACATCCCCGGTGTCTACGCCGCCGGCGATGTCCAGGACAAGAGGTACAGACAGGCTATCACCAGCGCAGGTACGTCATCCTCAGGGCCTAGGCTCTCTGCTGCGGATGCTCGACTGACCACTTTTCAGGATCCGGGTGCATGGCGGCCCTTGAGGCCGAGAAGTTCCTCGCGGATCTCGAGTCGGACAAGGCAGAAACACCTGCCCAGGCCAACGGTAATTAGGTGCCCGGTCGCCCCATCTTTGTTGGCGGCTTTTGTGACACTGGGGCTGGATTGCATAGAAGGTGACAACTAGAGACATAGACCAGATATCAAAAAAGTCGAGACTCCCATTCGATCTATATCGTCTTTAGTGCCCAACCACTACACAACAGACAAGACAAACCCATGCCGATGGTATTGTGAATTTTATTTCCAGGACCTCGGTTGGTCTCGTGGTCTTGTCAGGTCGCCGCAGGCCGTGACTGCCGGGCCATGTTGACACGCAGACGGACGATCGGAGTGTTGGGCAGCTGTTCATCATTATACATGTATGTCTGGGACCGAGCCTACCCCCATATCATACCAGGCTTCTGTCGGCTCTCTGCACAAGACAGAGAGAGTATGCTGGATGTGGAACCGCCCAGACGAGAGAACCTTATTGTGTTGCAGCACGGACCACACAGATATCTCGGTGCCCTAGCTAGTAGTAAGTACCTACCTAGGTACCTAGGCACCTGGGTACTTGTTGGGGCTTTAAAAAGTGCCGAGGCTCCTGCGGGTGTCACTTGTTAGCCGACCTCGACCTCCTTCTCACCCGCTCCCAGGTGCCCGTCCTCCTCATCTCAAAACATCGGCCACAACACAAGCTGTACTTCACAGCCAGCACCACACTCAGATAGCCAGCTTGCGACCCACAGCTTATAAGCTCCCTCAAACCCTCGATAACCGGCGACACCATGTCTGACAAGAGCTACTCGATCAAGAGCTTTGGCACCAACAAGGATGTGCGTCTCAAGACAATCAGACCAAAGTCGCGTGGGTCGAGGCGGCAACAAGGCAGTCCATATAATTGACAATAGCTGACTCCTCTTCCAGGGCAATCACTACTGTGCTCGAGATTATGGCTACGGCAGTGATGTTGCTAATTCCAATACGTATCACTACTCGAACCGGTATGCCCGGCCCTCGGAGAGCCAGCCCCGACTCTGGTCACGCATGGCACTGACCGACAAACCTAGCGACGGTTCCTACTACTACTCTAACCCCAATGGCTCTGTGAGTGTGCTTCAAACCACCCTGCCCATCCCCCGGGCCAGCAGGATCTGGGACAAGTTCGTGTCAGTCCGTGGTACTTTATTGATACGGACCTGAATACAGACCTACTATAACAACGGTCAAGGGGGGTCCACTTACACCTCTCCTGCTGGCTACAAACGCTCTTCGGGCTACGGAGGCCAGAAGTGAGAAAGGCTTGACACGCAAGACGACCACCCTGGGCCTGTTCTGAGCTCCTGGCTCGCCGCTCAGTTGCTGCCCGGATAGTGTTTGCGCCGTAGACATTGGTGAAGCGTTGCTGCATGGAAGTAGAGACGCGGTGGTGCAGACCAGCTCAAGTGCTATTAGGAAGAAACTTGTTCTCGTTGCTACTTGCTGCAATCGCACTTCCTGACCGAGACATGACTGCTTGAGACGGTGCTGCTGTAATGGGCTGGAAGCGATGGTGTGCCGTACCCTAGACTGCTCGGACCCTTCTTCCGCAACTCAATGGCTTGTTCTTCAAGTTGTACTATGTATAGTCCGAGTTGGGTGGCCGCACTCGGCCAATGCCAACTCTTGCATCTACACCAACCAAGGAGCTGCTCTGGGGTGAATCTAGTGGACGAAGGGCAGTGGCCGAAGAAGTGCTCCCACTTACTTCTTGGGGTCGACGGGCGGGGATCTCGAACTGTAATTCCGCGCGAAAATCTGCTACGCATGCGTACGTAGTACCGCTGCTGGGGCCATGCAAGGGAAAGCCCACACTGGCAATGGACTGGCGCAGGTTTGACTGCCCAAGCCGTTGTGCACGTTACGCGCTGGTGCCATGGGCTCCTGTCCTGTTCCCTTGAGGCCATGTTCACTTCCTATTTAATGGAAGCGCGCGCCCATATGGTGCCATCGTGCCGCTGTATGAGGGAACTAGGTCCTACCCCTCTTCCAACCTGCCCGTCTCGCCTGGTATTTGTAATGCCGCCGCAGATGGTCCCTCCCCCACCTCGGAACTACCTACATAACGAAGCATTGTCAACGTTCTCTCGCCGGACGCCTTCGCAACTTTATGTCTTGTTACCTACATCGTCGGCCACATTTGGGCCTCTCTCATCGCTTGTGATATAACTTCGTCACCAGGCCCACTCCTTCAACATGTCTTCTGTGGAGATCAACAGTGTCGCAGTTGTCGGCGTAAGTGACCACAGGCCACCAATAATTCTGCCCATCTACAGTACATGTGCGAGCGCTCCAGCTCGGAGCCCAGAACTTGAACCCGACACGCGGAACTGACCACCACCAACCTGACTGCAGGGCACCGGGACTTTGGGCAAACCCATCGTCCGAGAACTTGTGGCCCAAGGCTTCCGCGTGACTGTCTTGTCCCGAAGCGAGAAGCGGAATGAGTTGCCCAATGTTGAAGTGAGAGCGGTGGATTACAGCGATTTCGATTCCCTCAAGGCCGCCCTAGCAGGCCAGGACGCGGTCGTATCGACAATAGCATCACCTGCTGTGGGCACAGCCCAGCAGACGGTTCTTGACGCTGCTTACGAGTGCGGAGTGAAGCGCTTCATCCCGTCCGAGTTTGGTATCAATACCCGCAAGCTTCATGGCTTGAAGATTGCACAGATCTTGGGCGGGAAGATAAAGCTGGTGGATGACCTCCAGAAAAAAGCCCAGGAAAACAAGGGCTTCACTTGGACTGGAGTATCCAGTGGGCTCTTCTTCCATTATGTGTGTTTCCCCCAACTGCTCCACGCCAGATACCCTGTTCCAGCATCGCTGACAGCCCTGTCCAGATCGGTTTTGATGCGAAGGCGAAGAAAGCCACCATCTACGACTCTGGGAACGAACCTCTCCAGACGAGTAGCCTCGAGCTGATTTCCAAGGCTGTAGCATCTATCTTGAAGCACCCTCAGGATACTGCCAATAGATACCTATCTATCGCCTCGTTCCAGCCGTCCTTGAACGAGATCCTCCAGATTGCGGAGGACGAGACCGGTGCTAAGTGGATTATCGAGCGTGTAGACACAAAAGACTTGGAGAAGACGGGCGAGGACAAGCTATCCAATGGCGATTTCAGTGCATTCAGAGAGCTGCTACGTGTCCACATCCACCGTGACGGGGACGGACATTCTGTTCCAGAGGATGAGCTGGCTAACGGGCTGTTGGGACTGCCTCAAGAGGACTTGCGTAACTCGGTTAGGAAGTGGCTAGGTTAATAAGTGCGTCTAGTCTTAGTCTACATGAGATTTCAAATCTAGTATATATGTGTGGTTTCGCTTCTATTCCGTATACGTCCGAGGACATACATGGCGCCTTCATACGGTAGTATTAAGCGCTCAAGACCCAGCGCTTGAAAAGGACACGGTGTTGATAACTATGACTATAATATAATAGGTGCTTCTTAAGTACTTTTATATATAATTCAAATTAGAAACCTTGTTGGATATGCCATTTCTCTTCCCACCCAGGGAAAAATGGACTCTCCTCAAGAGTTCCTATATTCCAGTCGTACGGTACAATTCCTCTTTTGATCTGTTCCTGGGACCATCTCTTGCATGCCTCGATTGTGATAGCTTTGACGTGGTTCACAGTTTTGTAGTCAATCAGGCTCTCCTTGCCCTCCTGTAAGACTTTGAGCAATACAAAGGGCACGTAAGCTTCGTGTTTAAGCTCGGTGATCGGAGTGAACACCGCCTTAAAATTGAACACAATTGCACCGCTGAGTGGCAATCTCCGCAATGTCTGGTAGTCACACCTTAATTTGACATCGTCGATTGTCAAATCTTCCTTGCGCTCAGAAAACATGCTGCGCTCCCATGGCGTGTTTTGTGTCATGCGTGGGCTGCTGAACAATGGTGCATGATCCTCTAGACTCCAACTACATCGCTGAATGGGCTGTTCGACAGCCATCTTGGCGAAATATCGATCCAAGCTGAAAGCCATTTTCTCGGCATAGTCGGGTACACCTTCGTGGATCATCCTGAGTGGCTTGCCTCGGTGCATTCCGATATCCCCTGCAGCATTGTAGTCAGCCTTTAAGGAACCAGGATAGTGGTTTGGTTAACTTGGGGAGCTCTAGAGGAAAAGGTCGCGTGGTCACAATGTTGCCCTCACTTGTCTTAAAGCCGACAATGTGACGAGCCATTTGGGTTACAGGCCAAAGACTGGAGAGGTCTCTTGTTGAAGGGGCCAAAATCGTCACTTTCCGAGAGTTGTTTACATACAGCCAACTGATGAGCACACCATCGCCGCCCTCAAGTGGTAAAGTCCGTCATGCTCGTTTCGAAAGACCAGGGCGTAGTCTTCCGGGATGTTTTGGCTAAATTTGACGATTCAGCTATGCTACAGATCCTGAATTGATGCATTCTAGACAATGAAAGAAAGGACGAGGATCCGTGGTAGGAGAAGATTGGTACTTACTAGATCACTTCCAACGGTGGGGTGCGAAGAAGATCCGTTCTTGTGTTGAGAATACGGTTTTGGAGGATGGTGTTACCTTGCTGGAGGCTGAAGTGCCGAGGATAGCGCTTGCAAATAAAAAGAAGTAACATTTCCATCAGTTCTCGGCATGCCAGTTCTGTGCCCGGGTCAGAATAATAGACCAGCTCCCCATGCTTCTCTTTGAGGTGCTTTCTTTGCGCCATGACCGAAAGATAGCTTTGATCTAGCTCGACCCACCAGTCGGGATCGAATTTGTAATGGGCCATGGTCTGATGATAAGGCCACCTAAATGGTCGGAATGGTCGGAAAGTTGCCTTCTTGATGTCAAATTCTGGTCCATGTGGTTTGGGATATGGCACACCGGTGAGGACCGAGTAATCTGGAAATCTTCCAAGGGCTCGTATGTCGTGTGTGGAGAATCCGGTCGGGGTATAATATAGGTCATCTTGGTCCCAGTTTACCGCACGAGTTGACGGCAAGGCGCACTTTCGTAGCACTTCGAGTGGAATACGATGATAAGGGCCGGCTGAACCCTTCAGCTTCAGGCTAGCTAGTATGTGGCGCCTAGAAGGAGGGAACTGGAAGATCCAAGGGCGCTCGTCGACCGTCGCAGTTGCTCCAGCAACACGGATGACGGCTTTCCTTCGAGAAAGGTGGATTGATAGGCCTAGAAATGCAAGAATGACCATGCAAACAACATGCGGAACAAAGCCTGTACCCGTGGAAAGTATTCCATCCATGATTATGATGTACGAGGTACGAACTAGAGCAGTAGTTTAAGGTGGTAGCGCAACCTTTGAACGCTTAAAAGGGCACGCCGCCACTTATATGATTCCAAACCCCGAGCCACTGCCGAGGTTATCAAGAATGGCTTTAACTGGTCTAATATCAAGGTCACACGCGATTAAGGGACATCCGATTCGGAGATACAGTCATGCTAGACAAGGACCCCGCAATGATAAGAATAGAGTGCTTAGAGAACTAGTATTATATAGGGATTTAGAGGAGTTTTTATTTAATAACTAAAAACTAATAATAATATAAATATTTAAAACTTTTAATTATATTATAAATTATAATTATTTAAATATATTTTAAATTTAAATTAATAAATAAAGTTTTAATATATATATATATAATATTATTTATAATAATTATATAGCTTTAATTATACTATATCTTTCTTCTATATTATATAACTACTTATTTCTTTCTTTTAAAACTTATATATAAAGTCTTTCATAACTTTATATATATTCTTATAATTCTTTTATAAAAAAACTTTAAATCTTTTTATACTTTTATATTATTAAAGAATTAATAATTATTAATAATTATTAATAATAAAAATATAAATTTATAGAAAAATAAACTTCTTATACCCTCTCTTTATTTTTTATAAATTACTTTTAAAATTCTTTTAAAAGTTTTAATATTTTATTATAAAAGTTTTAAAAGTAATATATTATAAATTATTTCTTTATTTTATATTCTTTTAAAGTTAATAATTATATATTTAAATAAAAGTTATAATATTTACTTTATAAATTTATTTAATAAAGGTTTTATTAATATATATATATATATATATTTAAAGGGATAATTTTAATTAAACTTTTAATATTATTTATTTATATAATAATTATTTTTAAATTTAATTTTATTATATAACTTCTTTATAATATTAATATTATTATTAAAATAATTCTTTTAACTTTATTTATATATTATAAAGTTAAAATTATAAATATTTATTATATTATAATTATTATTATTAATATTATATTTTTTTAAATATTAAGTTTTAAATATTTATTATTATATAAAGGTATTATATATATCCTTAAATATATATAAAATAGAAGTAAAACTATAAAAATTAAGTAAAAAGATAATAGGTTTTAATTTATAATTATTAGCCTATTTAGTATCTTTAAAATAAATAGAGGTTACTTAATGCCTAACTTAGGCCTCATATATTCAGCCCTCCTTCCAGATGTTTCCATCAGAGCCCCCCTGGCTCACATTCATGTACTAGAAGTCCGACCCAGGTCGGCTCGAACCGTCTCCACTCTCGCTACCCAATTTTGGGCTCGGCTGATGACTCCCTTGCCAGCTCGACATCTCATTTACCTTCCTGTGGCCCATCATCCATTGCACCAGATCCCGCGGCACCCATCTCCCAACAAAGCCGTATAAATCTGCACCCAGACCCACTCTCACTATATTGCTAGTATTTGATCCATCAATAACATCAAATACAACGTTGTGTAGATCTCTGAGGGAGGAGCCCCTCATACCCCGAACACGTCCTGCCGAGATTGCAGAGGCAGACGTATTGACGAAGTTGCGCCCGTACGTCTTCCTTGCAGCGTCAGGCCATGTGAGCGTCTCCGCCGGTGAGGCAGTCAGCAGGCCGCTCAGCTGGTGAGAGCGCAGGGCTGAGGGAGTAAAGCCGGAGAAATCGAAGGTGCCTAACTGCACGTGCGTCACTGGTACGGACAACGGCCGCAGCTCACCAGCTAGGACCTCAGTGAAAGCGGACAGCGCAGAGCAAACTGTTGCCTCGGGGGCGTGAAAGGGTGGGTTTATGGACGACATGATTGCAGGAGTGAAGACGATGACTTTGGGGGGCGGCTTTTCGGCATCGGAAGAGGTGAGCTTGGCAGTCAGGAGTGGAAGGAATGCTTGGATGGTGAGTATGGGGTAGAGTAGGTGTGTGTTGAAGAGATCTGCGAAATTTGACGGCGGGATTGTTGCTATAGGCGAGGTCTGATAGTTCAGAGACGGGATGAGTATGACAGATCTCAGGCCGAGGTAGTTCTGCTTGGCGCCCGGGACAGCAGCGTGGGGAGTCTGGAGGTATGTAGCAAAGCGGTCGATGGAGGCGCCGGCGCTTGTGGGCTGAAGAAGTGTTAGTATCGCCTTAGGGTATCATACATCCATCGGTTATAACTTGGGTGGGTCGATCCTTACATCTGTGATATCTATTCCAAGCGGTCGTACGTCTGGTCGGGACAGATTTTGAACTATGGCCTCATCGTCCAGCGTATTGCAAGCAATATAGACAATGAATCCACGTCTCTCAAGATCCAGCGATAGTGACCTCGTCAGGGGAAGTTTTGGATCACCGGCGACGACCACAACTTCGAGTCGAGCCCCATTCCGTGCACGCCGTGCCCTTCGCGTCTTCCGACTGTACTTTCCCTTCCTGTAGCCTCGGTAGACGAGCACGCCTACCGTGAGGGTCACGAGGCCCGTCAGGAGCTTGTGCCTGTGGAACCATTCTTGGACTCTTTCGTATGCCGAGGACGGTATTGAGAGGGCTGTGTGGGATGGTTGCGGTCTACCGCGGGGGCGAACGACGTCTGGGATCCATTCTTGGGTCGATAGAGTGTCCCGGACTTGCTCTGCAAGTTTGTCGACATGGTGATCGATTAAATCGGCGACTTCAGATGAATACTGTTTGACGTGATTGGGTATCGACGAAAGCTTTGCAAATATTCCAAGTCAGCTCTCGCTGGTGACAGCACTTGGACCAACCATTGTGAACACGCAAGAAGCGAACAACGGTGGGTGTTAAGGGCTCAACTTCTAAGAAATGCTTACCCTTGTATGTGTCAGTCACCTGTAACGGATCCTAGAGTGATGTATTCTGGCATAGTCCACAACATGAAAGACGGGGATCCGTAGGAGGGCATGAATTATACTGACATGTCGAGGAATTGCTGGTCGTCGGCTGACATAGTAGGGGGTATCTAGGCGTATTAGTTCCAAGCAGAGATCGCGCGGCAGCTGCTTTTCCCACGGAGAAATGTTCACAGATGAGCAGATGCTGCTATGCTCATGTCGAGGCTTAATGTGATGGATTGGGATGGGTAGGTTGGATGACTGTCACAAGAGGGTGTTTTTGGATCCGACCCAAACCAATGTGTTTGTTATCTTATCGCGCCGCCCTGCGTCACTTCCCCAATAAACAAAACTACCAGCAAGAGGCAGGGGTCAAGGGTAGCAGGTAGGACCCACAGGGGTGTCAGGGCCATGGGCTAACTACCTAGGTACCTAGGTAGCTAATCACCCAAAGGACCAACCAGTAGGTCTATACACCCTACTTATCTAATTAATCTAGAAAGTAGATATTAATACCTATAGAAATAGATAATATATTTATTAATAAAATAAATATATAATTTAATTATTAATTTAATTTAAATAAATAATAATATACATATATATTAAATATTTTTTAAATTTTTATTTTATAGTAATATAAAATTTAACTTTATAATAATTATTATAAAATTAATATTTAATAAATAATAATAAATCTAAATTTTATTAAAAAATTATATTATAATTTTTTTTTAATTTTTCTTAAAGATTTTTAAATATAAAAGTAATAATATAATATAATATAAAATAAAATATTTAATTATATTTTTATATTTTATAACTTTATTAAAATTAGTTTTAATTTAATATAATAATAAATATTTTTATATATATAAAGTTAAAAATTTATAATTATAATTTTTAATTAATTTCTATTTAATTAATATTTATTATTATAATTTAATTTAACTTTATTTAAGTTTTCTTTTAAGTTTTTAATATTTTTTAAAAAAGTTTTATTTATAATTTTATAACTTTTAAAAATATATTAATTATTTTAAATATTAATAATCTTTTAAAAACTAAAATTTATTTTTATATAATTATAAACTTAAATATTAATAATTATTTTTATTTTATTTATAATATAATTATTAAAACTATAAATTTAAATATATACTAATAAAATATAATTATTTTACTTAATTATATTTTAATTTAATATATAATAAAATAAATAATTATTTTAAATAACTTTATTTAATAAATATTTATTTATAAAATAAAGTTAAAATTTTAATTAAAAAATAATAATTTTATTTTTAATTATTTTTAATTTTTAATTAATTTTATATATAATACTTAATAATATTAAAATTAATTTATAATTTATTATAATTTTAACTTTAAATAAATTAATTTATATAAAATTAATAATATTTATTTAAATTAATATAATATAATATATTAATATAAAATTATTTTTAATAATAAATTATAAAAATATTATAAAAACTTTTATATAATAAATTTAATTAAATTAATCTTTAAAAATATATTTTATTTTATTTTAAAACTTTAATTATTTATTTTAATTTAATAATAAAATTAAAAATATAAATAATTTATAATTATTATTTATTAATTAAAATATAATAAAAATATAATAAAAATATAATAAAAATATAATAAAAATATAATAAAAATATAATAAAAATATAATAAAAATATAATAAAAATATAAATATAATTTTTAATAACTTTTATTTTATATATATATAAATATTTAAAGAATAAAATTAAAATTAAAATATATAAAAATAATTATATATTAATAAATAACTTTAATTTTTTTAAAAATATAAAATAATATATTATTTATTTTTATATATAAATATTAATTCTTTTAATTTTAAATAAACTTTATATTTTTTATATTATAAAATTATAATATTATTATTTTTTTTATATTACTTTTTAATTTATTTTAATTTTAAATAAATAACTTTTATAAATAACTTTAAGTTTTCTTACTATAATTTATTAAAATTATTTTTTTTAAAAAAATATAAACTAATAGTTTATAAAATTAAACATTATAATAAAGAGATATATATACTAAACCTAGCAGCTCCTATATATATTACTAGTCTTAAGACACTATTCGAAGCAGACTAATGTACGCTGCTCCTCTTGATAGAAGCCCAATTATCAAATGCCCAGGTGGTCAGTTTGTGCTGTTGGTATTACGTGCCGTAAGGCCGGGCATTATAACTCTTCACATGATCCCTAGTCAATAGCCATTATATCGTACCTGGCGTCGCCCAGTGCATCTTCCAATCTTTTCATGACTGCCAAAACCTTTTCCTCCTCCAATCTGCGGCCGACTACCTGCACGCCAACGGGGAGCCCATGCATGGCCTCTGCGTCATACACTTTATACGCACCTTGTGCAACAGCGTTCAACTTTTTGTTTTTAAAACCAGGCGGTAGACCATCCAAGGCCTGGTTGACGTGAGTGATAGGAACGATACCAGCGGTGTAGTCAAGCTGTGTTCACACATGGTCAGTAGCTGATCGACCGGAGGGAGCCAGAGGTGATTGGTTCGGCACTGGAGCGGGCCTCGTGTAAGATCCCGTGACTCACAATATTCCATAGGAACGTGTAGCCGCAACTGCTAACGGCATCCTTCATTCCGTCATGGGGAACAGCAGGTGTAGCGTTTGGTGGGCATAGGATGAAGTCGATATCAGTCTGGTTCCACCACTCAAACCACTCAGCTCTGTAGGACTCTCTCTCGGCGACCAACTTCCAGTTCTGCTCGGCCGATTTGGGGTGCCAGTCCCTCAATAGCCCTGCCCAGATGTGGTCGCCGCGGAAATACTTGACCCACAGGTGATACACCCACTTGAAGGGTCGCGGCAGACTCATGTACCAGCTCATCTGGTTTGCGCCTCGGTCTTCCCACTCACCACTCCTCATGAAGGACTTGAAGGTCCTGCATCCATCTGCATTCAAGAGCACCGACCCCAGCTTGAGGGCCCTATACATGTCCGGAGGGCTGATCTCCACAATCTCGTGCCCCTCCCTAGCGAGAGCCTGTTCGGCAATTTCCAGCGCCCTAGCACAGGCAGGACTGGGGTCAACGACGCCGTCCGTCCGAAGCATACCAACTCTCAGCCTCTTCTTCCCCGAGAACTGCTTCTCGACGTGAGAACGCCATTCCAGCGGATGTACAGAGTGGTCGTAAACCCATGGCTTCATCTCAATGATCGTGCGCGTGAAGTAGGTCAAGTCATCCAAGGTCCTCGCCATGGGGCTAAACACGCTTGGCACGCCTTCTTGGCCAGGCATGCTTGTGAACACGCCCTGCTTAGGCCACCTCCCAGTAGAACAGCGCAGCGAATAACAGCCTGCAAAGTGTGCAGGGGCTCGCACGCCTAAGGGTGTGTTAATCACCTGCCCGAGGTTGTAGGGTGACGTGTTTTGGCACATTGCAAGAACACGAAAAGATTGGGACCCATGAAAAGAGGAGGGGGGCACTGACTACCTGCCACATCCGACCCAATTCCTATCCTGCCGCCAAGGGCCAGCAGCGCCGACTCGCCGCCGGTGGACCCGCCGGGCGAGTACCTGGGGTTGTGAGGATTCGTGGTCCGGCCCCACACGTCGTTGGTCGATTCAAAGCTCAGCAAGGAGATGGGGACGTTGGTCTTGACATAGGGCACCGCGCCTGCATCCTTCAAAAGCCTTACGAGGGCACCGTCTTTCGGCTTCGCGTTCCCAACAAACGACGAGTAGCCGACGGTAGCATCGTAACCGCCGACGACAATTGTGTCCTTGAGAGACACGGGGATGCCTGCGAGCGGTCCCTTCAGGTTGATCGACGAGCCCTCCTGGAGCCATCTCTCCGCGTCAGGCAGCATGATCTCGGTGAGGCAATTGGTCTTTTCATGAGCCTTGAGAGCCACCTTCCCGTATGTCCGCAGGATGTCCAAGGGCTGGATGATACCATTGTGGACTCCCGAGACGAGGCTCTGTATGGGCTTATTGACCGTCTCACGGTCTGCATCGGTCAAAGGCCCATGATAGGATGACAGGGAGGAAATCCTGTCGGCGCGTTGTTGTTGCTTGAACTGACTGCAGCGTCGGGTCAACGGGTGACACATCACAAGCCGGTTGGAGATGAGGGGATGGATACTTACCACTCCCTTCGGTGCCTCACGTAGTCCAACAGGAAGACCATTCTTGCTCAATGTTATGCATCCGCCGGCAGGCAGCTCTTCTACGCCTCGTGTATGAGATGGCAGGGCTTCGCAAAGGGATAGCAGCAGGATGACTTTTGGGGCGGCTGCTACGCGTATTATCTATCGTCCGAAGGGAACGGGCGAGGACCGGCCAGCAGCGGCATTACGGAGTACAGCTGATAAGATCCCCTCACCCCGGCCCGAACCGGCAACTCGGGTGCGCACTCGAGAGCTTCCGGGCCAGGCAGGGATATGCCTAGGACGCCTTACGACGTGCAGGCCATCCGCTCCTTCCACAACCGGTGTTGACGCCCAGCGTGGGTGTTGGAGAGGAGAGGAGCAACATGTTCACAACGCACAAGCGCGTTTTCGCGCAAATCTGCCAGAGACGCAAGCATCAAGGTCATTGTTTGCGGTCCTTGGTCTTGGAAATATTTGTGCCGCTCTCTGCAGGCCTGGTAACGTCACTCGACCCTGAGAAGTCTACATGTCTTATCCAGATTGGCGAGGCGTATTTGAAACACACCGCAGCGTGTAGACCTGAGGCGGTGCTTGTCTGCCCCAGCAGCAGCCGCCGCTGACTTACAGCTCGACGTGCTCAGCATCGTCCGTGTCCTTCAGTGTGTCCTTCAACATGGTCTTGGCAGCTTCCGTAGCCTCAGCAAACTTCTCGGCGATTTTCTCGCCCAGGTTCTTGGCCGTCTCAACAGGGGCCTCGGTTGTCGTGCTGGTCTTCAGGACAATCGACTCGGGCTTGGGCACGCCGTCGATGCCGAGCAGCTCGGTCTCGAAGACTATGGTGTTGCAAGTCAGCAGGTCAGAGGTCGAACAATGGGGCTAAGGGCTACGTCTGATGTCACGTACTGAGTGTGCTGCCGGCAGGGATTGGGCCCATCCCACGCTGGCCGTAGCCCTTCTCGGGAGGGATTGTGAGGGTTCTGGGGCGACATGTTAGCTGGTTGGGGATAAACTCTGGGGCGAGGCAAGCAGTCCGTGGCCGGCCCAGTCAGCCTACCTCTTCTCGCCAATGCACATATCTAAAAGGCCCTCATCCCAGCTGTTTGTCAAGTGTCAGCTCCTGCGCGGTGCGCAGCCCGTTTTGGGATGACCGTGGGGTGGACGAACCCCTTGATGACCTGTCCGGATCCAAGCTTGAAGCTGAAGGGCGTGCCTCGGTCGTAGCCTGCCAGAGAATTTGGTCAGCGGCTACCTTGCAGGTGAGGCGGTGGCTTGTGGTGGCGGGCCGCCGGAGGGGGCGGAGACAACAAGAGGCTATGCGGCGAAGCGTACTACGGCCTTGGGGCGTCTGACATACTCGCATCGAACTGTTTTCCATCGGCAGCAAGAGTGCCTCTGTAGTGCATCTGCACCTTGTCGCCGGATTGGGTCTTGCGATCACACTCGACAGGCACAGTGACATCGATCTTGAGGTCCTCGGCGGCGAGGGCGCGCAGGGCGGCCGAGGCCAGCAGGACCCAGGTTGAGAGAATCTGCATGTTGGCGCGGGTGGACGAGGCAGGGTACGTGATTTGGGGATGTTGAGGGGGGCTGCTGTGGTTGTTGTCGCAGGTAGCGCTGCTGCTGGCGGAGTGGCAGTTCTGCTAGGAGCGTGACAGATGTTCAGAAAGGGGAATATTGAAGTGCAGAGCTCGGGGAGACGCGAGGCAGGGCGGATGCGAGGAAGCAAGCTCCTGACGCCGTGTCCTCTCTCTTCCTCCAACCCATCCCCCTCCCCCCTACTACTGTGGTACCTGGGTACTATAAGTACCTAGATACCTAGGTACCCAGGCGTGCAGCAGTGCAGCAGTGATAGGTACCTACCGGCCTATCGAGGTGGCTGGGTCGGCGCCCTAGGACCTGATATGCAGAAAGGTACCCAGGAGTCCAGGACCTTTACAAGGCGAAAGGTACCTCGGCAGTCTGATAGGCTACCGTGGGCACGTCTAGACTACCACTTGATTCGGGACCCTTGATTCGGGACCCTTGATTCGGGACCCTTGATTCGGGACCCTTGATTCGGGACCCTTGATCTGATTGCTGTGGTTGCTTCGTTTGCTTTGTCCCAGGGGGGCTCGAGAACCAATGGGAGATTATCGATTGGCACAGTGCCAGAGTGCAGGTGGGCCTGCCTGGCCTGCCTGGCCTGACGCATTTGAGCACCCACACCGGGGGGCCGATTCCGCCTGAACAACAGGTGTTTTGGATGACTGCCGTCAGTCTGCCAGTCTGCCACGGCCGCACAGTGTCGGGAGGATCGGATGCAGCGGGCGGGCGCATCAATCACGGCCTCCTGGAAGCTCTGCCCCAGGTCCCTGGGTCCCTGGATGCTATGCGAGCACGTGCAGGTCTGGCCACCGCGAGGAACTGTCCACGAACATTGGCCTGCCTTCACACATGTCTCGACACGCATCAGTGCATTCATGCCGGCGACGCCCAGGTCATACATGGCCTAGGATGGCCCAGGATGGCCTTCTGACTCACACTCGCACACGGGCGGTTGGTGCCTGCTGACGGGGCCGTGCCCGTTTTCCCTCTCAGCTGTGCTGCCAGCTGAGGCAGTCAGGCCAGGCAGGCAGGCAGCCTTGGTCGGGAGCTGAAAGACGGAGGTAGGTAGGTAGTAGCTGGCTGCCAGGGCCGCCCTGTTTTGAGATGGCGGCGGTGATGAGGAGGGACGGTTCAAGCATGCAGGGCAAGCAGATGCCGGTGCGACGTGGGCCAAGGCAGCAACCGCGCAGCCGCGTTGCGATGAACTCTTGCTGCGAACTGCTGCAGGCAGGTGCAGGCGGTTCGGTTCGTTCGAGTCTCCGACCTCCGAAGTGCTTTGTGTACGGCGCAGCCGCTGGGAGTCTGGACAGCTGCCCGGCGGATCTGTGTTGCGCCCTTGGCCCCCAGGAACTCAGCCCTGCCCGCCCACCCCTCCCCTGTCGCTGTCATCGCCCATGGCCCATGGCCCATGGCCCATGGCCCATCGCACGTCGCCCGTCGCCCAAGCCGGCCGCCCTCCCTCGAGGCCAGCAACAACCTACCCGGACACCGGACAGGATCTCGTGTCCCCCTCGCCCTCGACGCGCCTCGAAGCCCCCCTGCCCCTGCTGCCAGTGATGCCTAATCCTCCTGGCATCTCCTGCCTCTGCCCAATTGGGTCCAGCAAGCCTCACCATTCTGCCCTGCTCCTTCGACCATGATGGCAAGCAAGCTGCCCTGCCATGATGATCGCTGGCCCCTGACCACCACCGCCCGTCCTCGCCCCGTTGTCGCCCCCTCTGGCTCACCTGCTTCCTCCTTCTCACCACGCCTTGCCAGACCACCCCCCCCCCCAAAGGCCAGACCGCCCAGCCATGAGACCTTTATGCCCATCAGTCCGCCAGACCGGGGCGGTGCCCGTCCCAGTGCCAGCCCTCGTCGCCCCGTCCGCGCTCCTTCGGCAAACCCCTGCTTTTGTATACTTCGGGCGAGCTTACTGACTCCTTGTATCCTGACGGTTGGACGCCCATTCTGGCTGCCCTCAGCTACAGATCCTTCCCTCCGCGTGTGCCCTCCGGCACTTGGAAAATTAGGACGACGTCAGGCCCGTCCCCAGACATAAATCTCATGTGCCCCCCCCCCCTCCTCGCATCGGCCCTTTCTTGTTGGGCCCAGTCGTTGACCAAACCCTCCACGCCCACACCAAACCAGGCAAATACTGTGCCCCCCAAGGCCGTCATAGCTGCCGCTGTCACCACGGCACACTGGACGAAGCATGTCTCGTAGCTCCAAGTACGCCGTTGACATACACAACCGAAAGGAACTATCCCGAGGCACGTCTGTCAGCTCGAGGGCAAGCCGCTCGACAATGTCTCGTCCTATGTCCACCTGCTCAACAGGCTACGAGACCGACTCTTCCTCTGGGAGCATGTGGTCCACCCAGCAGCCGGCCCAGAGCGCCGACACCAAGACAAAGATCAACAGCAAGGGACAGTTTGTGACTGTCATCAATCACAAGCAACAAAACCACCAGAACGAGCCGAGTCCGACGTACAAGTCAGCCAAAACTTACGGCAAAAAGGCCTGAGACAAATCACTCGGACCAGATCCATCGCATACTTGCTCTGTTGGCCGGTTGGCTTATTACGTAATCTTGTCAAACACCGGCCGGGAGAATCGCCAGTACCTTGACGGTACACTCCATAGGAGACAAGGCTGCTTGATGCTTGACTGGCTGGGAAGTGGGGGCGCGTACGGCTGGGAATGCGCGCATGCAAGACGTTCTTGCACGGGCTTCGGCGCAAGAGACCGCACGCTCGGGGTGTGAAAATGAAGTGAAGAATACCGGATAGACTGGGAATTATGGGACCGGCGCAACAGACTAGATTGGGAACAAGGCCTTGGCTCTGACGGAAAACGTAGCCCATCTTGATACACGCGTACATGCGAAACGACTTTGACCTTTTGGTGCCAAGTTGACCGCCCTCTCCACGAGACTTCAGTGTTGGCTTTGGGCTTCCGGTGCCCTCCACGGGTGGTTGCCTGCTCGCGCGCGGTCGTGACTGAGTGGTGGGCCGAAGTACAATCACCAATGCCCTGCCAAGAGGCATATCCATACATTGCGGCTCTTCAGGATCGTTGCTGACGAGGAACAAGAGCGTGACGGGGCCGTGTATCTGAGGCCCAGGTAAAAGGATTTGGGCTGCTCTGCTCAGGGGGGTGGGTGAGTGGGTTGTCTGGCGCCTGAAAGAGCATGAGGGCAGGGATTTCTAATTTTGGGTCCGTCTACAACACGCAGGACCCGGCTACCATGATGTACTGAAGTAGGCACATGAGGACAGGAGCAAGTCTGCGGGAGGAAAGGAGGGAAGGAGACTGGCGGTTGGTCGATAATGCACGTTGCGGCAAACCGGCGAATGACTCGGCCAGGTGCTTGCCGCGACCGTGCATATGCGCAAGGGATATATATATGGCCGCATCGATTCGCTCGCTGCGCGCCCCCCTCATGCAATATTCTTTGGGCCACGAGTCCCGCTGACACGCTGCAATCCTAAGACACGCGTATGCATTGATAAGCGAACAGAGAATCCCTAAGACGTTGAACATGAGCGAATGCTGCTGGGCTGTGCGGGCTGTCGCGGGCTGTCGCGGGCTGTCGCGAGCTGTCTTGGTGCTGCTCGGCAAACAGGGCCTGCCAAGCAAGCGAGGTTGCTCTCGCTTTGAGTCGCACAGTGCAGCAACCTAGAACGGAGGATGCGGCAGCAATCAGCACATCGCAGTGGATAGCCTGACAGCCATGTGTAACCTGTACCTGGCCGGCCAACACGTTGGGAGGGACCTCACGCTCCCCGACCAACACACGAAGACAATCTTGGATGCTCTCAGAGGACAACCCGGGTATCCTTTCTCTTCCGTCAACACATGGGCCGGCCGTAGCATCAATGACCAGACAATGTTTGCGATGCTGCGGCCGATGCTGCGATTCCTGATCCCTCAGGCACCACCCTCCCGCTTTGCGTACTCGTCCTCGATGGCTTCCTTGTACTTCTCCTCGGGTGACCGTGGATCCTCATCAGGGTTGAGCACCCCTTTCTTTATCAGTTCTTCCGGGGACGGCCGGTGTGCAATCTTGTCGTTGAGGGAGTCAGCACGCATGTGCTTCTCGAGCTGCAGTGCCCCGGAACCGTGAGCGTTAGCTTTGACACGAGGGCGTCGGGATCGGGCATCGGGGTGCAGTCCGCGTGGGAGGGACGAACCTCCTTCTGCTTTTCGACAAGTGCCGGGGCAGCAGTTGTAGCCGGCAGGATGTTCTCTGGGCGATAAGAACGGGTTCAGTCAGCTTGAGCAGTGGCGGCAGCAACTGGCAGGACAGGGCACGGCTGGTTGCTTGCTTACTCTCGACGAGCTCTGCGCGGTCTGGGCGCTGGGCCAGCTGCTTCTCGAGTGAGTTGCGACGGGCAGCGTTGGGGTGAGAGATGGGCGTCTCATCGACTTTGGTCGCTTCGACCGCCTGGGGGTTGTTCTCATCAGCCATGTCGTCGTTATTCTTCGTAGCACTGCGTAGCAGTCGATATCTTGCACCGGCGGATGTTGTCGAGCAGCTCGAGGAGGGAGCGGGGGGGGGGGTAGAACAAAGCGGAACCGAAGCAGCAGGCCGCGTTGTTTTGTAGCATCGGAAGCTCAGCACATCCGGCCCCTAAGTGAGCAGTCCCCCCCCCATTCTCCCCTCCGTTGGTGGAGTAACATCAGGGGGGTTACAGACTGCCCCGCATTTATAGGGATTACTAATTAATATAATAAAAACGTATTTTTAAAGAAACATTATTTAATTAAATTATTTTTAATTAAATATATATTTTTTATATTTTTTAATTTTATTATTAAATTAAAATTAAATAATTAAAGTTTTAAAAAATTAAAATATAATATATTTTTAAAACTTAATTTAATTAAATTTATTATATAAAACTTTTTATAATAACTAAGTTAATATTTACTTACTTAATAATTATATCTACTTATTTAATTTTTTTAACTACTTACTTAATATAAGAATTTATATATAAGGTTTATATAAAACTATATATTTAATTAAGATTCTTTAAATTTTTAATACTTTTAATATAAACCTTTTTTATACTTCTTTTAATACCCCTTCTAACATACCTTCTAATATACCTTCTAATATACTTTTTAAACCTTTTAACCTATATATATTTAAGTATTAACTAAATATTTAAATACTAATTAAATATTAGAGGGTTAGAAATTAAAAAGGTAAAAATAAAAACTATATACTTTCTAACTTTTTAGCTTTCCTTCTAACCTTTTAACTCTTTAAACTTTTAACCTTTTAATATTTAATTAATATTTAAATACTTAGTTAATACTTAAATATATATAGGTTAGAAGGTATACTAGAAAGTATATTAAAAAGTATGTTAAAAGAGGTTTATACTTAAAGTATTAAAATTAAAGAAAAAAATTATATTATAAGGTCTTTTAATATTAACTTAAAAAGTATTTATAAATATAAAAGATGTGGGAATAGTAGGCTGCAGTGGATTAGCCACTACAAGGCTAGTGGGCCCGTGCCTACGCACGGACCAAGCTTAGTCAGCAGGTCTGGCCAACCCAACTGGGCGCTTCGCCGCCCAGCCAGGCAGACCTCTAACCAATAATAATACACACCACTTCACCTAACTACTTACGTATAAGCTAAGCTAACCGATAAAAGAGTTACTTAAAAAAATTAATATTAAATAAATAATTAATAGAAATTAAATAAATAAATATAATTATTAAATAAATAAATATTAATTTATAATAACTTTTTAATTTATAATATATATAATATTATTTATAATTAAAAAATATTTTTTATATTAATATATTAAATTTATTATATAATTTAAATATAAATATAAATTAATTAAACTTTTAAAATATAAAATTAAAAACTTATAATTATAATTTTAAATATTTTTATTTAATTATTTTATTTTATTATAATTTAATTTATTTTATTTTAAATTATTTTAAATTATATAAATATTTTTATTTTTATAAATATAAACTTTAAATTAAAACTTTAAAATTTAAATTTAAAATATTTATAAATATTAATATATTTAAAAGTAAATTTATAATTTTTAACTTTTTTAAAAACATATTAATTATATTAAATATTAATAATTATTTTTAAAATAAATATTTATTTTATATAATTATAAACTTAATTATTAAAATTATAAATTTAAAATATTTATAATATTAAAATATAATTATTTTATTTTAAATTATATTTTAAATAATTTTATAAATTTAATAAATAAATATTTATTAAAATAAAATTTAAACTTTAATTAAAAATAATAACTTTATTTTTATTTATTTTTATTTATTTTTATTTATTTATATTTAATTTATATAATAAATTTAAAACTTTTATATAAATTATTTATATTTTTTAATTTTATTATTAAATTAAAAGTAAATAATTAAAGTTTTAAAAAGTAAAATATAATATATTTTTAAAAATTAATTTAATTAAATTTATTATATAAAATTATTTCCTTTTAAATATAAAGTTAAAAACTTATAATTATAATTTTATAATTAGGTTTTATTTAATTATATTATATTATTATAACTTTATTTAACTTTATTTAAGTTTCTTTTAAACTTTTTAGTTTTTATTTTTAAAAAGTTAAATTTAAAAGGAAGCCTTTAAGTTTAAATTTAAGATTTTTATAAATTTTAATTTCCTTTAAATTAAGCTTATAATCTTTTAGGTTTTTAAAAATATATTAATTATTTTAAATATTAATAACTTTTTTAAAATAAAGATTTATTTTATATAATTATAAATTTAATTATTAATAGTTATTTTTTATTTATAATAAAATTATTAAATTTATAAATTTAAAATAATAATAAAATATAATTACTTTATTTAATTATTTTTAGTTTAATAGATTAAATAACTATATTTAAATAGTTTTACTTATCTTTTAAGTTTATTAAATAAATATTTATTTAAATAAAATTAAAATTTTATTTATAAGAATAATAACTTTATTTATATTTATTTTAATTAATTTATTTAAGTTATATAATAACCTTATATATAATACTTAATAATATTAAAATTAAATAACTTATAATTTATAATAGTTTTAACTTTTAATATATTAATTTAAATAAATTAAATATAATTTAATATATTAATATAAAAGATATATTTTTAATTATAAATAATATTATAAATAATTAAAATATTATTTAAGTTTTATAATATAAAAGTTTAAAGTTTATATTAAATAAAGTAGATTTAAAGAATAGAGTTACTTAAGGAAAAAAGGAAGAAAGGAAGATTACTCTTTAGGTTTTAAAGTAAAAGGTAATAATATAATAGCCTTATTAATAAAGGGATCTATAAAGACCCTTATAAGACTTATTTACTACTCTTAATTTCTAACTTTAATTATAATTATAAAGTTATAAAAGTTTTATGTAATAAATTTAATTAAATTAATTTTTAAAAGATATATTATATTTTATCTTTTAAAACTTTAATTATTTATTTTTAATTTAATAATGAAATTAAAAATATAAATAATTTATATAAAATTATTTATAATAATTTTATAATTATTTATAATAATTTTATAATTATTTATAATATTATTTATTATTAAAAATATTTTTATATTAATATATTAAATTATATTTAATTTATTAAAAATTAAAGTTATTATAAATTATAAATTAATTTTAATATTAGTAAATATTATATATAAAATTATTATATAATTTAAATTATATATAAATATAAATTAATTAAAATAAATAAAAATAAAAGTTATTATTTTTTAAAAATTTTAACTTTATTTTATAAATAAATATTTATTAAATAAAATTATTTAAAAATGGTTATTTAAATTATTAAATTAAAAATAATTAAATAAAGTAATTATACTTTATTATTTAAGTTTATAATTTTAATAACTTTATTATAAATAAAAAAATAACTATTAATAATTAAATTTATAATTATATAAAATTAAAATTTTATTTTAAAAATTATTATTATTTAAAATAATTAATATATTTTAAAAAATTAAAAATTATAAATATAATTTAAAATATATTAAAATTTATAAAAACTTTAAATTTAAGTTTAAAATATATAAAGTTTTAATTTAATTAAAAATAAAAGTTAAAAACTTAAAAGAAGTTTAAATTAAATTAAATTAAATTATAATACAATAAAATAATTAAATAAAAATTAATTAAAATTTTATAATTATAAATCTTTTAACTTTATATTTAAAAAATTAAAACTTTTATATAATATTTATTAATATTAAATTAATATATAATTTATAATAATTTTAAATTTTAATAAATTAATAATATTAATTAAAATTAAATAAATATAATTTAATATATTAATATAAATTATTTTCATTTTTAAATTTTATAAATAATTTATAAATTAAATAAAATTAATAAAAATAAAATTATTATTTTTTAATTAAAGTTTTTATTTAAATAAATATTTATTTAATAATTTTAAAAATAAATAAAATTATTTTAAAATAATTATTAAATTAAATATAATTAATTAAAATTTAAAATATTATTAAAAAATATAAATATTAAATAAAAGTTTATATAAAACTTATATTTAAAAATTTTAATCTTTAATTACTTTAAATTAAAAAAAAAAGGTTTACTTTTTAAGTTTAAAACTTTTTTAACTTATAACTCTTACCTTAAGTATAATATATCCCTTAGTAGATTTACTTATAACGAGTAGCTACTATTAGCTATTTATTCTACTATCTAATAGAAGCCTCTCAATCCCTGTCGAAGCTTTGTGTGACGTTCATATTTGGCGGAGTTCTTTTACTGCACCCCGGTCGACATAACCTTCCCTAGTGAATTAGCTGGCCCTTTTTGCTGTTTAGAAGTGAAAGAGTTTCGGTAATATCCATGACTCCCCGATGAAAATCTGTTCGATTGGATTGGCAACGCGTTACCGTTTTCCAGTAGCACTTCTTCCGATTGCTGCCGGCGCAACTCCACGCTGTCATTGCCCGCTTGTCCCGTGTTCTCGTTGCCGGTTCGTCGTTGCTCGCGCGTGATCTTCACTTCGTGCGTGACCACAATGACCGATCCGATACCCCTCTGGATGACTGGCCAGAAGACTGGGAGAGAGGCACAAACAGCCGCGAGATCCACTTCCATACATGATAGTACTATTGGTGTGGTTCCATACCAAGTCGGGTCGAATGTAGGCATAGTGGCGGCACGCGTCTCCACGATACTTTGTAGTCGCCATATAGAAAGCATGTTCACTCTGGAGTCGAATTAGCCACACAATCCCAGTTGGAGTAAAGGGTTCACGTACACTCCACCGAGGACGAACAGACCCAAAAGTCCCCAGTATGAATTTTTCCTCATGCCCTGTTTGAAGAACATGGGTACCGCAATGGCAAGAACGACGGCATCGAGAAGCATATTAATCGCGGCATGGCTCTCGTACGTCCCTACGAAGCTCTTGACATCCAGGGACCCATAGCCGTACCGCGTGGCCGGTATCTCCATCTTCCAGAACCCAGAGACAGGTACTGCTGGCACCCAACCGATGATGCTATACGCCAGACCCCAGAGGATTGTGAACACAATTGTGGCAAGAGTGGCTACGAAGAATTTTGACCCCTTCTCATAGATCCGCAGGTACTGAAAGAGCAAAGCCAGCTTGATGAACCCTGTCGAGCCGGGGTATGTTGCATTAGCTATCCAGAAGGCCTATCACAGATTAGTCCTCAGTCAGAGCCGTAGATCGGAAAAGGTGCTTGGGGAGGATGGACATTACACGTAAGTACCCCTCAAACTCCCTCGCGGACAAGAGCAGCAGGTGCTGACCCATGCCTGTGGTGGTCATGACACATATTGATACACTTCCAGTCGTCACGGAAACCTGTAGGAGGTATCAGTATGATGGCGTACAAACATTTGGTTGTCATGGCAGCCCCCTGGGAATATAGGCCATATACCTACCTAGGTAGGTACTTACCAAGCTGAGTGCCAGAAACATGTCATCCCACCACGGGGACTGCATCTAGTTCGTGTCAGTTGCCTTTTATGGATTCCAAGGTGATGCATCCACTCTGGCATTCCAAAACAGGAAAGACCGAGGGGTCCGTTGGAAGGGCAGAATGGTACGAACGATGAAGAAACGCGTATATAACCTGAAAAAGACGCAAATGGTGGTGAGCATCTGGAACGAGATCACGATGCCCAGTATTGCTGCTCGTCGATTGAGTACTGGCTGCTCCTCGCCCAAGTTGTCCACAACTCCTATCAGGTCAATGAGAGTAGACATGTCGTCACTTCTTGTGCCGGCAGGAGGTTGTTGTGCTCCAAGGATGCGTTAGCAGAGGCAGCCCCAGGGACTTTGACCAGCGGGGACATGCGGAATCCAGGGAGGCAAGTCCAGAAGCCCAAGAAAAGAAAGGTATTTCTACTGGGCGGGGGACCGCATGGACGAGTTCTTGGACGGGCACACCCACGAAAATATACGTGTATTAGCGATGTGCCGCTATTATATGGCCGCAGAAAAACAGGTCAGTGTCCCCCGCCCATCCCCCTGCCCCTCAGAACTTGGGATGGTCAAAGCGACTCTTAGTCTGTGACAGCAGACATGTAGATCGCGAACCAGGACAATGGGCTCGACCGCCACACCGGCAGCTGTCGCGCCAGCGACAGCTCTCCGCTGCGCCTACAGCAGCGGGGCATCGTGTGATCTACACCTCCCGCCACGGCCTTGCGGCGTTGCATTGCGGTATAGCTAGTGGGCTTCAGTTCGCGTCTGGGCTATTTCCCTAGCGGAAGAGTCTCCGAAACTTTGTTTCGCGGGACCTACAAGAAGACGTAGGGGGTGGACAGTGTGATGTACCGGGCAGGGATGCCGCCCCAGGTCGTCAACCGTGCACATGCACAGTGATGCCCAGGTGGTGAAGAAACAGGGGGCTATCCAGAACCATGCTCCTGAACAGCACATTTGGCTACACTCTTGGCTTTGCTCTATGTACAGCACTCGTAGATACAAAGCTCTCTCGTCCCACGGAGTAGACTCGGCAAGCTCAGACCTCATAGCGGCGCTGTGATCTTGTCACTTAAGCCACGATCCTAAGTTCCTATGGGCCGCCCGAGAGGAGGCCACACACTGGACGTGGGTGGGAGGGGCGGACCGGTTGTCCCTTGAGACGAACCTGGCAAGGCCTGGTCATATTGATGTCCTCTTGAAGTTTCGCTTGCCTTGCGCCGAAGCCGTGGGCACCTCGATTTGACCAAGGATGTTAACTGCTTGTTCCAGGATGCCTCCACGACACATTGCCACCCTTCCGTGACAAATAGGGATGGTGAAATGGTGGAATGACCCTGCCGTGAAGAAAAATGTACATCCAAGCACTCAGGGGGCCTGGATTTACAGTACATATGTACTCTCTCTGCTCTTGCCTGTGCAAATCTCTGATCCCTTAGGATCTACCAGATTCTTGTCCAGCTTGGCTGTGTCTAGCGAGAAAGAGGCTGAACTGAGTTGCAAAGAGGACGGTTCTGGCCAGATGTACAGTTGTTCCCTTTGAGACAAGTCGCATTGGCAGAGGTCGATAGAAAGCAGACCTAGCTAATGATCTAGTCCTTAGGCGGGACACCTAGGCACGTGGGCAAACCAGAGAGCTGATTGCTTAGAAAGTAAACAGAAGAAGTTGAGTTCCTGACCCTAGCAAATACCAGCCAACGCCAGATGCGCAATGCTGCTATACAATGCAATAACTCGGCCGTGAGGAAACTCGTGAGATCCTGGAGCAGCGATCATCCGACCGGTGCCCGCTTCGTTTATTTTTGTTCTCTCGGTGTCCCCTTCCAGACCGTGCCCCATGCCAGTATCCCAAACCTCTCATCACTGTCCCTGAAGTTTCCATGTTACTTCTTTTCCCAATTGCCCATTAGATACGAACCGCTTCTCCTTTCATGTGGCTGTAAACCCAGACGGAGTGGAAGACTTCGTTTTCTCTGGGAGGACTAGTCGGCCACAAAGCCTAACCCACCGATCCGCCTACATGCCCTTCAAGAAACGTGCAATGAGCGATGAGTCACACGACGCATGTCGTCGTCCGGACTGAGTCACCACGGACAGTGACTGCTAGCACTTGAGATCACCCTCACCCCCCACCACCGGCGATGCCAAGTCCAAGTCCGACTCTGGTGCTGACTGGATTCGCCCCCGTGGCCGTGCCCGTTCTTTCCCTCAGTTTCCGGCCCTCCATGAGACCGCGGAGCCCGCGCTTCTGTAGTCCGATGACACTGCTGAACTCACCGCTCCAAGCCTCGCGATATCTGCCCCGCCGTTCTGAATCACTCATCTCGCTGGCACTCCATTCGCTCCCACTCACGCTTGTTGTCGCGGAGAGCTCATCGGATGGTGGGCGTCCAGTTTGACCAGGGACAGAAGTATTGATGCGCAACGCAGTGGCCCTGTTCCCGGCTCCACCATTCGCGTATAGGTCGTCCCCAGTGGTGCCGTTCGAGGCACCCTGGAGTGTACTAGAGTCATTGCCCGTGGAGTCGAGGCCACTCACGATGAAGTAATTCGGGTTGAGCGTACCATCGATGCCGCGCCCGCCACCTGCTGCCATTGCAGTGGCGTTGAAAATGGCTGCCGCGTTGCGGTTCTCGAAGAGAGTGTGAAGACGATCGACAATGGCCTCTAAGAGGCCGTCGATGCGGTAGGGGCGGGAGATCTGAAGCAACGAGCAGAGGATCTGTGGAGTGCAGAGCGGGGAGCTCGGCGCGGGCAGGCTACTCGTGTAGAGATAGTGAAGAAGCGCTTGGACGGTGAGGTAAGTATGTGGAAGATAGAGGCAGCGAGGGCGTGAATTGGGAGGCATCGTTCGTGGTGTGGGCGCGGCGTTTGGGTTAGCCGTTTCCTGGCTGGGGCCGGCACCGGACGGCCCCATTCCTGAGGGTCCTGAGAAGCTGCCGCCTGACGATGAGCCCGCCAAAGTCGTAGCTGTCGACATGTCTGTGTCTCTCGACATGGTTCGCGTCGCAGGTGTGATGGTCATCATGGAGCTCCGCACACCACCACCCGAAGCGCCCACCGATCTTAGCGTCACCGAATCGCTCCCGTCCTGCATTGCAGTGCCCTCTCTTAGCAACTGCACAAAGTATGGTCCCCATCTCCGCGCTATGATCCTCGAGTTGATCGGTATCCGCTCGCCCCCTATACAGAGTATGTCCATATCTGCCAGCTCGCGTATGGCCAATGCTTTCTCGCCCAGCTCCTCACTCGTTCTCGAGTGGAACCGGCCTCCGGCAGTGGCCCCGGCTTTACGAGCCAAGCTCAAGCCAGGGCCGGTATAAGGGCCGCTTGCCGAGATGAAGCCAGACATGGGGCTGACCTTGCGCGGGTTGTCGTAGAAGCCAAATGCTTCCAGCTCGACCATGCATACATTAGTGAAATTGATGCGGCGATGATTGTAATCATCAACCAAGCTCCGTTTACGATGGCCCAGAATCACGAAGGTGTTGCGACGGTTCCAGAGCACGCCTCGATTCCAGCTGCCCTCCTTGAACACGTTTCCGCCTGCGTCAATACGCATCCACTGCAGGTTGCGCAGGTCCAGAGCCCAGAGTGCGTATTCTTGCTTCGAAGACGTAAGATATGTGCCGCTGACCACAAAGTAGGTATCGATAACACCGCCATTGGGGAACCTAAGCCCAGGCGGGGAATACGCGTTGGACATGGCCTTCTCACTGAGCGTCCCGTCGCTGGACCGCACTTGCAACTCAAGCTTGACGTCGAGAAAATTATAGTTGGAGTATATGAGCATCGAAGAGCCTGGCTCCCGGGCTTCCTGGCTGATGCCACTCTCTGACCGCTGAGTTCCGTTGGTGTTCGCTTTGCCAATCTTGGCGGTCACAGCTGGAGGCAGCGGCGCGCAGACGCTCCTGTAGGCCCCACAAGATTTACCCAAGGGTTGTGTCGATGTCCACTTCAAGGACCGGAGATTGAAGACGCTTATCTGTTCAATGTAGTGATTCGCACCGTCTTGGCCCCCGACCACGACCATCTCCGCACCGCCTGTGCCGTCAATGTTAATCCCGATGCGGCCCTCGTTGGTGCCGGTGGAGGGGTTGTGTTGGAGCGCCGACAATGGAGCTTTGTAAGATGCAAACGTGGCCGATGATGGTAAAACGCAAGCACAATGGGCGTACCGGCCTTGCGGAGCGTCCGAAGTCGGTATGAATGTCCACTTTCTCGTCGAAACGTCATATATGTAAATATCGGACATGACAGTGACATCGCCCTGGCCGTCGACGGCCCCGGGAGATGTTTGAGCTGGTGACATGCCACCATAGCAAACCATCTTGGTGTCCCCAAGTGCACACATGGAGTGGAAGTATCGTGGAGGGGGAATGTCGCCCGACGTTTCAACTTTTGTCCAATGCCGTCGGATAAGATCGAGCTCGTACAAGTCCGACGTGAGCGGCGTGGGCCGACTCCTGGAAAGGATCCTCCCGCCGAACACGTACAGCTTATCCCCCACTATTGTCGTGGTTGCGCCGACCAAAGGATGCGGCTCCCTGCCAGTTGTCCTGTGCACGTTGCATAGCAGACCCGACGCTGGCGATGATCCAGCGCCCATGGCTGGTGTTCTTGCTTGGTTGACGTTGGGCGAGGGCCCTGCAGAACTCGGGCCAATACTCTTTGGGGTCAGGGAATCTTTCTGCGACTCGTCCCCTCCGTTTTGCCTGCCGCCGGGCCCCGCCATGTAGTTCTGCGCTTCCGAGCTGCTGGAGTCCATGGTACTCGTCCGGCTGTCTGTCTCGGGCTCGCTCGCCGGCTCCGGGTCGTTATAGTCGTTTGTATCGAGAATTGTGGCAAGACTGCTCTGATGCTGGTGGTATGACACCTGAGGGATGGGGGAGCCTTGAGGGCCCTGGGGGCCCTGGGAGCCCTGGGAAGCCTGAGAGCCGTGGACAGGCTGGGACCCTTGGGGGGAGCGAGGTCGCGGGGACTGAGGATGAGAAAGTTGCGGCGCTACGGGCGTACCCGGGCTCGGTGGTGGTGGCTCTGGGAGAGGCTTCGACAGGCTGTTCTGGAAGCTCAGACTGCGGGCATGCTGGTGGACTGGAGGCGCGGGCGATCGACTCGAGGTACTGATGGGCGCAGAAGAGGTGCCGGGCTCGGGAGTCGGCGCAGACTGTTCCCTGTTGTGCTTCAGGACCAACTGAGAGGGCTGCCGCTTCAGCTTAGCGAAGCCCCGAGAGAAGCTGGTCAGAATATCCGAGGGCGACTTGTTTGAGGGCGTGGGCGGTGGTCGATCTCGGATTCGAAGCTCGTCAATCTCGCTCTCAGAGTCGGAGAAGCGGGAGATGTCGCCTCCCTGACTTCCTTGGTGCTGGTGACCTGCATTGTTCATCGTCGTCAGCTCGGCAACCGCCGTCGATCGTCGGCACGGCGAGTCGCTACACCCGCCCACACGGCAGTCGCCGATCTCGATGCCCGCCACAGACTGGAGACTGATCACCGGGCGGGACGGGGAGAGCCAGAAAAGCTTGGGTGCGGTGGTGCGGATGCGGAAGGCGAGGGTATCAGATCATGGCCGCGGAGGGGAAGGGAGTTAGGAATGTCATGGATGACCATGTGGAGAGGAACAATCGGTAATGACAGACGGACAGACGGACAGACAGATAGACAGCCACAGACCGCCACAAAAGGGGCACGATGGACAGACGACGGGAATGAAAAAAGACTTCTGGAAGCAGTGCGGTGAACAGGGGCTTTATTTGGGGCGACAGGGGCAGTCATGTATCCCAGATGAGTCGAGGAGCGAAGCGACCCACGGCGGTGGGACCCACGCGTGCTGCGACCAGGATCATACCCAAGCGGGCGAAAAGCTGCCTACCACTTGGAGGGGACTCGGGAGCTCGGGACGATCCCAGGTGCAGGGCAGCCTACAGAACAGGTAGCTCTGTGGGTACGTATCTGGACGCAGTGGTATATGGGAGGCGTGGGATTCAGGGGAGAAGGCGAGAAGGGAAGGGGAGGGGTGGTAACACGAGGAGGAGGAAGAGGATGACGATGATGGGCCCCAGGCCAAGCATGGGGCGATGAACGGAAGGGTCGAAGCTTGAGCCGGAAGAGGGGGGGAGGGATGAGTGAGTGTAGTGTGTATGACTCTCTCTCTCTCTCTCTCTCTCTCTCTCTCATTCTCATCAAGATCGCAGCTTTGGGTGGAGAGGGGGGGGAGCCGGACCTCGACATGCTCGAAGCGACAGCCTCGGGGCTACCAAGGGTCATGATCATGGCTTCCATGGCGGACAGAGCATGCCACGGTGACGGGTGAAGGGGGCAGAGGGTGCTGGGGCGCAAACTGACAGTTTGTGGACAGGATCGGGGTTGTACCTTTTCTCGGCACAGGGCGAAGATCCTGGGCCCTGCACTGCAGATTTCAATTTCAACTTTGGCCCCGAGGATGGCTTCCAGAAAAGAGGGCCGAAGGTCTCGTCAACAGGCTTTCGAGAGTGTCGTGGGGCGGGAAAAGGCTGAAGGGGTTTAGGGAAAGGTTGGTCGGAGATTGCCCCAGAAGACGACGGATAGGTCGAGCTTGGCCTGGGCGCGTGTTCACTGTTGCGACGTTGGGAAGTCAGGAACTCCGTGGCAGTGGGGCACGCACAGACGAAGGTGCCAGTACCACAGCAAGTAAGGGACGGGACGGGACTGGTAGGTCTGGCCTGCAGCTGGTAGGTTGGTGCTGCTGCATACCTACCGCGGAGTAGCTACCTAGGTACCTACTTGGTAGGAGGTGCGGATACCCCGTGTACATTAACAGACCAGTCTGACAAGGAGGCACGGCCGACCCTGCAGGCTGGTCAAGGTTGGCAGGAGGAAGGAAGGCTTTCCTCCTAGTGGGACAGGCGATGTGAAGGTCGCAACTCGACTTTGCTGTGCACGCCATTCAGGCTGTTGGGAGGTCGCAGTGGGGGTGGGTTTTGAGGAGGGGGAGAGCAAGGAGGAATGTGGCGTCGCAACCACCTGGTGCAGCCGTCTGGTGCTTTTGGCAACGGTTTTCGCCGTGTCGTGGGGGCTCGCCTTCCTTTTCGCCCTGTTCAAAGGCTTTGTCTTGCTCCTCGGCTGCTGGTGCGGTGCTGTGGCCCCTATCCGGCTGCTCTCTCAGGCACCCGACCTAGCGCCTGCAGCCGGCTGCTGCCAGCTAGTAGAGCATCTACGGACGGGTCATGTTCAGTGTCTACCTGCCTAGGTGCCTAGGTGCCTGGGTGCCTGGGTGCCTGGGTAGTGAGTGGGAGGGGTGGCTAGGGCCCTAGGGTTTAGAGGACATATTAGCGGGCATCCAGGCAGGTTATCTATTTGTCTATCTAGGTGCCCAGGTGCCTGTAAGTAGGTGGTCGGTCTATCTGGTTGCACCCATGTACTAAAGGACCTAGGTACCTACCTACTTATTAGGTACTTTAGGGCCTGTTTATCTCAACCCACCCCCGCGACCCCTACAAAAACCCATACCTCCACGATGAGGGAGACCCTGCGGATAACCGAGGCCATGTAGCACCCGTCCTTTTTGGCTGCAGTTCCAGTCTCTCGTCAGGAGGTCTGTGCCTGGCTGATGATGGGAATCCTTTTTGGTGCCTTGTCTTCGAGGTCAAACAATGCTTCCCTAGCTACAGTCCAGTGCGGCGTCAGTTAGAGAGAGAGGCATTCATCTTGTTTTACACTCTGCCTGGAATACCAATCCAAGACGCCGAGCCTTCCATGGCATTGCTCTGCCGGTCCAATGCCGGCCTCACTCAAGTTCCCCCTCCTCCCACTCTCCCAGATTCACAGATTCCCAAATTCCCGGATTTCCAACCACTACCAAGACTTCGTAGGCCAGTAGGCCAATCCCGTGAAACCGTGTTCTGGCCCACGACCATCATTATTGCCGGGTTCAAAGATGAGGGAGCCACGGGCCTGGGCCACGACTAACAGGCGCCGCAACTGGTCCCGCTTCATCCACGTGTCCGACGACCAAGCCCGTCGCCGTCCACTTCTGTGCACTTCTTCATTGCCCAGAGACCACACCGTTAAGCCTTGTGGTGTCGGACTGGACTTACCAGCAGCGTCAAAGCATACTCAAACGAAACGCGCTGAAGTACCCGGACACACATACAGCAAATGTCCCTTCGTGCGATGGGATGCAATGGCAAGCCGCAACCTAAGTTCCCACATGAAGGCCGCCCAGTCAACTTTCAAGCCGTTAAATCTTGGGGTCAGGAACGTCGAAGTTTCGTTCAGCACTGTATTGTGTCACTCCATTGCGCCATGGAAAGACTACTGTCTGTAGCCTGGCTTGTTCCCATTTTGTGGTTTTCAAATTTGGCACTTTCAACTACCACTACTTCTTGCAAGTGTGCGGCACGCATTTCGGAGTCACAACTCAAAGGTCGGGCTCCGGCAGGCGATATTCCGTCCGGAGCTCACCCAAACATGCCACCTGAAGCAGTGCCCACAACCACGGTGAAGCTTGTCCACTGTCTCCAGCCACGTCCCGGCCACGGAGACGCGAGCCCTCGTGGACCGCGCCATGCATCGGCCTTGTCTCCGCACCTATATGCCGGCGGTGGCCTTCTCCTTGGCCAACGGGGTGAAACGCAGGTAAGGCTTAACGATGCGGAAGTCGGGGAACAGCTCCTTAGCCTGCTCGTTCTTGACAGAGGGGTGGACAATGACGTCGTCGCCGGGTACCCAGTTGACTGGAGTGGTGATCTTGTTTTTATCGCCAGTCTGCAGCGAGTCGATGACGCGCAGGATCTCGGCGCTGTTGCGACCGGTGGAGGCGGGGTAGGACAGGATGGTACGAATGGTCTTCTTAGGGTCGATAAAGAAGACGGAGCGGATTGTGAAGGCAATACCCTTCTCATCGACATTGGTAGTATCCTGGTAGTCAAGCCTAACAGATGGGGCAATGTGTGTCAGCGAGTCATGCCGCCGCACAGCCGGCTAGGCCTTGCGTACCGCGGCGAGGGCCGTGGACGGGACTCACATGTCATAAAGGTAGGCAACCTTTCTCTCCTTGTCAGCCACGATGGGGAAGTTGAGGGTATTGCCACTGATCTCCTTGATGTCGGCAGCCCAGCCCTCGTGCGAGTCGACAGTATTGGCGCTCAGGCCCAGCAACTTGACGCCGCGCCTCTTGAACTCGGGCTCGAGACGGGCCATCTCGCCAAGCTCGGTAGTACAGACCGGGGTATAGTCCTCAGGGTGGGAGAAGAAGACGACCCAGTTGTCACCGACATACTCGTGAAGGTCGATTGGTCCCTTGGTGGAATCGGCCTTGAAGTTGGGGGCGACGGTGCCCAGACGCAGGCTGGTGAGGACAGCGCGTTAGTCGCTCGTCCCACAAGAGACAGGCGCACACCCGCGGTTGTCGGTGGGGTATGAACAGGAGCTGTAGGTGGTGGTGAGGGGAAGGAACTCACGGAGCAGGGCGCTGATCAGCCATGATGAGCGTGTATGTGTATGTACGTGCTTATGTATGTGTGCTTGTTTTTTCTGTGGAGGGGTGTCTTGAGCGGACGAGGAGGCGGGAGCAGCAAGGAGGGCCGGGAGCAGAGATATGTGTGTCAACGTTTGCAAGCACGGAAAGGACGGGCAGCGGGATCGGGGCAGCCGCTGCTCAAATAGACCAGCAGCCGCAGGTTCGAGGGATAAAGGGGACCGACCAAGACATGACAAGCGACCAAGCGGGATGGATTGGAACGGCGGGGGCGGGGGGACATTGGCGCGAGCTTCGCCTAGCTCTCTCTCCCTCTCCCTCTCCCTCTCCCTCTCACTAACCTACTGCTACCCAGGTACCTAAGTAGGTAGGTACCTAGGTAGCGTAGAGTGCGGTTGACCCGTCGAGTGACAACCAAATCTGCCCATCTGGTCAGTCTGGGTCGGTCAGGGGAGGGCAAGTCCTGCGCTTCAACTGGGCCCGTTGGTTGGTGGCACCACCGCTGAGAACCACTCACTCCCCAGGCCAGGCTCCTCGCCAGTGATGCCCAAGTGAGGGAGAGGCAAAAGGCGTAATTCTTGGGCTGATGGTGAGATGGCTGCTGTTGATCAGGCTGGCAGTCCTGGCGGCTCTGTCGCTACTGTCGGAACCCACAGCAGTGGCAGCTGAACGGGCGCCCCACCCGACAAGCGTGGGGCCACCACGATGGCGGGGTTGCAGCTTGATTACGCCATCAGCAAGCTCCATGATTCGCCATTGAATTGCAGATACATTACATGCTTGAGAAGGTACCTAGGTACCTAGGTAGGTACCTGGGCCGCCGTGCGGGTTCCGAATCCCACGTGGTCCTACATAGGATTTGGACACTGAGCTCCTCCGCATCCGGAGACGGGTCGTGGGTCCAGCAGCTTGCAGCCACGCTATTATCAGACAGCACTAGCCAGATGCACAGCTCATACTGTGCCTACTGTGCTGTGTGCCTACTGTGCATCCGAGCAATCTCAACACGGACGCGCACAGCCTCACACCTCTGCAACCAAGTGCTTAAATGAATTTGTGTATGTATGCCGACATGTGCGGATACCTAGGTATATATACCAACCAGCCCTCACAAAGCTGTCCGCGCAGGCAGAGAGTCTGCCTCAACACTCAACAGCTACTCCGTAATGTCCCCCGGCTGGCCCTCCGTGCCTCACCCTGCTCAGGTCCAGGCACAAATGTGCGTGCCAGCACACCTCAGCGATGCCCCAGGATCTGACAATTACAGCTAGGATGCCAACCAACCCCTGGCAGTGTGATTGCAGCATGTCCATTACCCAAGTACCTACCTGCCAAGTAGGTAGGTCGGTAGGTAGGTGCCTGGGAACCTACAACTTCACTCTCCCAGCATTCAGCGCTTCCCAGTGTGCCTCTGTAAACGGGACATAGCTCCCCTGTTGGAGCCAGTACAGCTCATCACCGTCCATCTGGCCCGGGTCCACCCCTTGCGCCCTCAGATCGTGCTTCTGCTGCTTGTTGGTCCCCGTGGTTGCCATCTTGCCCGGCCTGGTGACCCTCAGGAAGATCGGGGCGGCATACCTGGGGAGCTCCCTGCGCGTGTGTTCCGCGAGCCTCCTCAGCACCTCGTCCTTGGTGTCTGTGAAGCCATCGTTGAGGATCAGCGCCACGCACCCCGCACGGCCGTCGTGGTGGGGCAGCTGGACGCCGTACACATTCGCCTCATGCACCGCCGGGAGCAGCCCCAGCACCTGCGAAACCTCCGCCGTCGACACGTTCTCGCCCTTCCACCGAAACGTGTCGCCGATCCGGTCGTGGAAGTATAGCCTGCCCTCACTGTCCCAACGCATCACGTCTCCCGTCCGGAACCAGGCGTCCCCTCGCTTGAAAACGTTCCTCAGGATCTTCTTGTTGGTCGCCTCCTTGTCGTTGTAGTACCCCTGGAAGCGCTTCTCCAACTCCTTCTCCGGAAGCTTGAACAGGAACTCGCCTGGCTCGCCGGGCCGTGATGCCTTGCAGAGGCCCGTCTTGGGATCCCGGGCAGGCAGGTCAGTGCTGAAGTCCACCTCGACGATGGCAGTCCCGAGGCCGACAAACAGCGAGTACAGCCAGCCGTTGCGCCCCACCGCGCCCATGCTGAAGTCGTTCCTGCTGAGGTTCCACGTCGCGAAGCTGCCCTCGGTCGCGCCGTAGAACTCGGCAATGTACTCCACGCCAAACCGCTCCTTGAACCGGTTCCACACGTCAGGCCTGAGCCCATTTCCGAGTGCGATGCGTACGGCGTGCTGCTTGTCCATGTTCTGCCCCGTGTGCGGGTCTATCTCGACTGGCGCCGCCAGCAAGTAGCGGAGGGTTTCCCCGACGTACTGGATCATGGTTGCCTTGTGCTGTCTCACCTCGCGCCAAAAGGTGCGTGTGGAGAATTTGGCCCCGAGCGCGACGGTGGCGCCCATGAGGAGCGAGTTGGCGAAGCAGAGAAGAGAGCCTGACGAGTGGTAGAGTGGCATGGACTGGACGGCGCACACTTAGTAAAACCTCTGGCGCCCATGGCTTGGTTGGGGAGGGGGGGGGACAGCTTACCGTGTAGAAGATCTCGCCCGGCCGCGCGTTGATGAGCCTGGCCGCGAAACCTCCCGCAGCATGAACCTTGCCCCAACTGACGACAGCGGCCTTGGGCAGCCCCGTGGTGCCAGAAGTGTAAATCAAGACTGCCATCTTGTCGATGCCTTCCTCTGTTCGCGCCTCGTCTGGCAACCTCACCGGCCTCGTCGCCGATATCTCCTTGTGGCGCGCAGGGGTCAAGAACTCCAGCCTGACGTCGGCAAGCTCTCTGCGGACGTGTTCGTCGACGTTGGCTGCCACGGCCGGGTCGATGAGCATGAGTTTCGTGTTCGCGGCGCGGACGCAGTGAACGAGTGCCTGGCCAGTGAGGTTGTAGTTGATGAAGGCTGGCTTGGCGCCGATGCTCCAGAGCCCCAGCCACACGAATATAAACATGTCGCTGTTTGGGAAGTCCATGGCCACAATGTCGCCCTTGCTGACCCCGAGTTCCTCCCGCAGCCAGGTGCCATACCGCAGAGTGTCCTCTAGGCCCTGTTTGAAGGTCCACCGCCTGTCCTCAAACAAGAGGAAGGGCATGTCTCTAGTCCTGGGGCTGGTGGCGTAGTACTCCAGGTCGTAGAACAAGCTCAGCCTGCCCGTCCGCTCGCGCCAGAACATGCCCAGCGCGACGGGGGAGACGCAGGTGAGCATCTTCAGGTCGTACCATACCTGCGCCTTGGCGTTGATGTATGCCGCAGCTGCCACGGCTGCAGGGGCCGCGAGGGCTAGTGACACTGCACGAGAGACGGGGTCAGCAGGGCGGGATCGTGTACTGCGGCGGGGCTGGCCTCGTACGGGGATCTCGGGCGAGGGAGAACCAAGGGGTGCACACCTACCGGGCATACTGCAGCCTGCCCGCCAGCCGGGTTTCCAAGTCGCTGGGCGAGACGCTACACGGGCCTGCGACGCTAATAGGCGCACTTGGGCCAAAACCAGAGCTGTGGTGTACGGCGCAGTGAGCGGGGGGGCAAAGTATAATACACGTCCGCAACAGTAGGTTGAAACATGCGGTGAGGGTTGAGGCACAGCGGGGGCGTTATCTATGCGGCTTGGTGTGGTGCGAGGTCGAATGGAGAAGGGGGGGAAAGGGCGCAGGTCTATATGTCACAGGCCATACGTGCAGTGACGGGTCAAGGGGACAAGATCCGGATGTGGGTCGGCGGCGAGGGCGGCGGCGGGAGCGGGAGCGGGAGCAGGAGCAGGAGCAGGCGCTGGATCATGCGACAACTGTGGATCCCGGGAGCACGTACAAAGTACACAGTGCTCGCCAACACGAGGTAGAGTAGGACGAGCAGAGGGGAGGATGGCGACGGCGGGGAGTTATACACATATGTGTGAGAGAGAGAGTGTGTGTGTGTGCGCGCTCTAGTACCTGAGGACCTATGTGCACAATGGGTGCTTGTGAGCATGTGGTAATAAGCCCATGGAAAATGTGGCGGGCCAGGAGGAAAGCGTGGTCTGAAGGGGAGGCGGGCAGGTGTTAATATTATTCCAAACAAGTCTGAGATGTAGGCCCAGCCTGGCAGCCTGGCAGTGACTATATGAGCCCTTGTACAGATTACATGCCGCAAGAGATGCTCGCGTGCGTGGTTGTGCGGGTGCGGGTGCGAGAGCGTGCGAGAGCGTGCAAGCATGAGGGGGCTTGAGATGCGGGAGCCTTCAGATGCTGTCATGCAAGTGCCTCGGTTCGGCCAGCGAGCTCTACACAGCACAGTACTGTAGGCGCGCGCGGGGTCATTCCCTGCCCGTACACGATGAACTTCTGGAACGTGGACGGTTGTACTATGCCGGGTTAATAGCTCGGCTGACCATCAAGCCCAGTAGAGGCTAACCTATAGGGCATTATAGGGGTAGCTATAACCAATTAAAGGGCTTAAAAATTTAAGCTTATCTAATATTATATTAATTAAATAAGCAAATAACTTAAAAGGAACTTAATATATATATTAGCTTTATATAATATATAATAAGGATATAATAAAAAGATAGCACTATTTTTTTATATGCACTTTTATATATAATTTTTAAATTAGTTTTAAACTTTTTCTAGTTTAGTTTTATATATTATTTATAGCCCAATTATATAAGTATAATAATATATTTAAAATTAACTATTAGTAAAGCCAATTTAAGTTTAATAGCAAATAAAGGTAATTTTAATAAAATATTAAATCTAATATTTATAGGTTTAAAATTTCCTTTATTAATTATATTTTATTTATTTACTTTATAAAATAATAATTATAACCAATTTATAAGCTTAATATTATTATTAGCTAGTATATATATATTATAATTAATTAATTTTATATTTATTTTAAATTTATAAAATAGTTTTATTATTTTAAATTAAAATAATATTAAAATAATAATAGTATAATTATATTTAATAATAGTATTTATTATTTTATAAAGGCCTTAAAGCTATTTATATTAAAGATTATATATATAAAACTTAATTCTTTTATTTTAAAATATTAAAATAAAATATATATTAATTATAGATATTATAGGAAAAGATATATTATAAATTTAGCATATAATATAATAGGTATGCCTAAATTATAAATTAATATAGAACTAGTTATATATTTATATTTATTTAGGTTATATTTAATATATATTTTAATAATAGCTATTAATTAATTATTATATATTTATTTTTAAATAATATTTAATATATTAAGTATTATTATAAATATAATAGTATTAAAATATGTTTTATATTTTAAATAATATTTTAAATATAAATTTAAGTTTTATTAAAATAATAAATATATTATTTTAATTAGTACTTTTAAAATATAAAATATAAAGAATAGTTATTTTATTTTAATATTTATATTATAAGTTTATATATATTTTAATAAACTAGTTTCTAACTAATATATAAGTAGTATAATATAATTATATAAGAATTTTAAAAAAAGGTTTTATTAGTATAAACTATAGCTTAGCTATATTATTTATAAGAATATTATTTTTATTTAAAATATAAAACCTATATAAATTGCTTTTAAAGTAGTTTAAGTTTATAAGTAGAAAAGAAATATTTTATTTAATATAAGCATTTTATAATAAATAAGGGGAAGCCCTATTATAGTTTTTGCTATATTTTGCTATTTTTATATAGTGTTATTAATAATTTATAAACTATTTTTAGCAACTTTATATATAGTGTATTATAGGATAATAGTAATATTTATAATATTATAATATAAAAGTAAAGTTAAAGATTTATTTATTATATATAATTATTTTTATTTAGTTTTATTTTATATTAAACTAGTTTTAGGCTATAATTATATTAATAAATTAATATAATAGGTATATATTAATTATAGCTATAATTTTATTTTTTTATTTTTAAAAATATAAAGCGTGTTAAAAGGTAGTATTATTAATATATAAAGTTTATTATTATGGACCTTTAATTGTTAATAAGACTAGTAAAACTTATTATATAAGGTTTTTAATTAATTATAAAATTGGTTAGCTATATTTATATATTTATATATATATTAGTTTTAAATTTTATTTAATTTAATTTAAATATTAACTAGTAATACTTTTATAATATTTAAAGTTTAAATTTATTTTTATTATTTTATAATAAAATTATATTATAATTTAATTTAAATTATTAAATATATTTATTTAAAAGCCTTAATTGTATATTAATATACTTTTAATACTTAAATCTTAATAATATTAAGTTTATTATTAAAATATATAAAAATAGATTATTTATAAGGAGGCTATAAGTATATTATATAATATTAATATAAAATTAATTTTTAACTAATTATAGTATATTTGCTATATTTATTATAATGGAATAAATTATTTTATTATATACTTTTAAGAAGTAACTTAAAAGCTTTAAAAAATTATATATTTAAAATTAATGAGTTTTAAAAGCAGCTATATGTATGTAATAAGAGTAAGGTTACTATTAGAGGATAATTATATTTTATTAATAAAAATAAGTATTTTAAAATTATAATAAAGCTAGTTTTAATTTTATTACTAGTAATAATTTATTTATAAGTTTTTATAAATAATAAATTTATTATAGCTTATTACTATTTATTTAAATAATATTTTATATTTTTAATTAAAATTTAATATTTTAAATTAATAGTAATATATTTATAATTTTAGTAATAATTAATAAAAGGTAGTAATTATAAATAGTAATATTATATAATTTATTAGTAAAATATATAAAACTAGTTTTATATTATTTATTAATTATTTATAAAATTTAGTTAGTATTTTATTGCTTTAAATCTATAAGTTTTTTTATATAAGAATAAATATTAAAATAATACTTTTATATTATTATTTTTATAAGATTTATTTTATATAAGGTATTTATTATATTAAAGTTAAAAGAAATTTTAATATATATTAATATATAATTAAATTAGTATAATATAAAATATAAATATATATATTATAAATTATAATTTTTATAAGTATATATAATTATATATATTTATATAATATTAATTTTTAATATTTATTAGGTAAGTAATATTTAAATAAAGTTTAAGCTTAAATTAAATTATAAAATAGAAAGTTCTAGCTAGATATATTAATAAAAACTATTTTTATATTATAAAAGTTTAAAATAATATTTTAAATTATATTAATATTTTTAAAGCTAGCTATTTAATTATATACTTTTAAAACTAATTTTAATTTAGTTAAGATAATTAAAAATAATAAGTTTATTAATTAATAGTATTATTTTATATATTATATTTTATTAAAAGTATTTATTATATATAAAAATTTTAATTTAAGTATTAATAATTTTAAATTTAAAATAATTAATAAAATAAAATTAACCTTTAAAATAAATAACTTATAAATATAACTTTTATAAGCTTTAATATATTATATTTTTATTTTTTAAAATATATTTTTAAAATTAATTATTTAAATATATTTAACTTATTTAAAATTAGTTTATAATTATAATAAAATAAAGTTAAGTATTATTTTATTTAATATAATAATAGTTTATAATATTATTTTATTTAAAATAGTAATAATAATTTTTAAGTTTTTATAATTTATATAAAATTAAATTTATTAAGTAGCTTTAATATAATAGAGATAAAGTAAATTTTAAAATTTATTAAATATAAATATTATTTTAATTTAAAATTAATTTTAAATTATTATATAAAAAATTATATATTAAGTCTATTAAGCCCTTAAAAATTTATTTACCTATTATAATATTTTTTAAAGTAGTATTATAATACCTATATATTTAACTTAAATTTTATTTTATAAATTAAATAGTAGCAATATAAGATATAATTAGTAAAAGAAAGGACTAAGTAAAAAAGGAAAAGATAAAATAGTAATAATTAAAGGTTAAAAGTTAAAATTAAAATTAAAACTAGAAAAGTATTAAGTAAATAAATAGCAAGAATAATATAAATATTTACTATTAGTATAATATTAGTTTTATATTAATTTAAAACTTTTATTTTAATAATAATTAAAGTAATAAAATATGCTTTAATCCCTTTTAATAGATATTATAACCTATTATATTTAATATATATTTTATAGTAAATATATAGTAATATTTATATTATAGCTATATAATTTTAAAGAATTTTTATATTAATTAGTATAATAAAGTAATTTAAAAGAATATAATAACTTATAGTATTATATTTTATTTGTAATAAATTTTTACTAAACTTTATTTATAGCTATATATTGCTAGTTTTAAACCTATTTTAAGGTAGTTAAGCTAGTATTTAAAGTTATAATTAATATAAGATTTATATTTATATTTATTATATTTTTAAACCTACTTATATTAATAATAAAGCTATTTATATTTAAAAATATAATAATGGCCTTTAAAATCTTTTAATATTATATAATAAATAAGATATTAATTTTAAAGCTTTTATAAAAATATTAAATAATTTATTTTAAATTAAATTAAAGTTATTAGAAAAGGAGAATATTAAAATATTTAAGGAATATTCTAGTAATATTAGGTAATTTATTAAATATAAAAAGTATTTTTAAAAATATAAATATAATAATTTAATATATTTTATTTTAAAAGTATATTTTAATTTTAGTTAAATATAGCTATTATTAATGGCTATTATTATATTAACTTTATAGAAAATAGGTATAATTATATATTCTTTTAATATATTTAAAGAGTATTTTTAATAAAGAGAATTTCTATATATAGTAATAATATTAATTGGTAATTAGATTAAGGAAAAGGTAGAATAATAAGCTATAAATAAAGTTTTTTATAAGGTATTTAAAGCTGGTTTAAAACTAGCTTTAAATTAATTGCTAGAATAATATATTCTTATTGTAAAAGTTGTATATACTTTAATAATAATAATAGTTATTATAATTAGCTAAAAGTAAGCTTATTTTAATATTATTATAAATAAAATAAAAAATAAAAGTTAGTAAGGTTTATTTATAGGCTTTATATGTGTTAAGGCCGGTTTAATAGTAGTTTTAAACTAGTTTTATAATTAATATTACATATTAATTTTAAAACTATACTTTACTTATTATTTTATTTACTACTTTACTTACTACTTTATTTACTATTTTATTTATTACTCTACTTATTACTTTACTTACTATTCTATTTACTACTTTATTTATTATTTTATTTATTATTTTATTTATTATTTTATTTATTATTTTATTTATTATTTTATTTATTATTTTATTTATTATTTTATTTAATATTTTATTTAATATTTTATTTAATATAATAAATAAATATAATATTTATTAAATATTTAATATTTTATTTAATATTTTATTTAATATTTTATTTAATATTTTATTTAATATTTTATTTAATATTTTATTTAATATTTAATATTTTATTTAATATAATAAATAAATATAATATTTATTAAATATTTAATATTTTATTTAATATTTTATTAAATATTTAATATTTTATTTAATATAATAAATAAATATAATATTTATTAAATATTTAATATTTTATTTTAAAATATATATTTTATATTAAAATATTATAAAATAAATTTTAATTATATATAATATTTATTTAATTAAAAATTAATAAAATATTTTAATAAAATTAATATAAAATATAAATATATATAATAAATTTAATAAATATAATATAATAAATATTAAAATATATAAAATATAAATTTTAAATATATAAAATTTTAATATTTATTATATTAATAAAATTTTTAAATAAAATAAATTTATAAATAAATATAAATATAAATATAAATATAAATATAAATATAAATATAAATATAAATATAAATATAAATATAAATATAAATATAAATATAAATATAAATATAAATATAAATATAAATATAAATATAAATATAAATATAAATATAAATATAAATATATATTTTATATTTAATATAAAATATAAAATTTTATTATAAAATTTAATAAAATTTTAATAAAATTTAATAAAATTTAATAAAATTTAATAAAATTTAATAGGAATTTAATAAGGAATTTAATAAAATAATATTTTTATAAATTATAATTAATTTTATAAATAAATTTAAATTAATTTTAAAGTAATTATAAATTAAACTATTATAAAATATTAGTTAAATTTAAAACTTAATTTAAAGCTTATTTAATAAATATTAAAACCTTTATATAAAACCGCTAATATTTAAAATATTTTAATTTAATACTAATAAAATTCCTAAATTAGTTTTAAGTTAGTTATTAACTATTTTAAATAAGTTTTTAAAATAAGCTATAATAATTTTATTATTAATATAATATTTACCCTTTTCTAAAATGTACTTATATAAAGTTAAAGCAATTATAATATTATTATATTTTTAAAAAGGGTATATATTTAATTATTAATATAATTATAAATTATAAATTATATTAAAACTAATTTTATATAAATATAAAGCTATTTATATTTTAAACTAAAATTCTTATAATTTTTATAAATTTATTTAATAAAGTTATTTTTTCTAGTAATATTAATTATATTTAACTTTATATAAATTTTATATATTTATTTTTAAATTAGTTTAAAATTAATTTTAATTTATATATATATAACTTATAGTTGGAACTTAATTTTTTAAATTAGTTTTTATAAGGTGCTTTTTTAAGGGCTAAGCTTTTTTATAGGGGCAAATTAAGTAAGCTTTTATATTTAAATTTAAATTAATTAAAAACTAATAATAAATAAAATAAATATAAAATATACTATTTTTATTAATATTATTAATAGTATTATTAAAGTTGGTAATAATTTAGGCAATATAATCCAGCTTTACCTTTTTAATATAAGCCTTTTTAGTAATAATAGTAATATTAGTTTAAGTTTAAACCTTAATTTATTTATATAAATAAACCTTATAAAATTTAGCGTTATTAGTATTAAAACTAGTTTTAAATTAATTAGTAATTAATTTTAAAATTATATAAAATTCTATATATATTCTTTTACTTATTTTATATATTTTAGTAATAGTAATTTATAATGGCTTTATAAAATTTTAAAATTAGTTAAAAACTAATTTAAAGTTAAATATAATATACTAACTAATTATATTAATTTTTTTATTTTTAAAGTGCTTTTTATCCTTATTAATATTAATAGCATTTTTTTTTTACTTAATTTTATAGTTATTATAAATATGCTTATAAAGAAAGAATGCTAGTATAGGGCCCTAAAACTAGTTAGAAACTAGCTTTAAAAAGGCGTAAAGCTTTTATTATATTTTTTAAAGATATATTTTTTATTTTTTTAAGTTATAATAATAGTAAAAAATTTTATTATATTAGTAATTAATAATATATTTTTTATAAATTATATATTTATTAATAGGGCTAGTAATTTAATATAAAATTAATTAAAAATTAGTTTAAAATTTAATTTAAAATATTTATATTTTTAATTATAATAAAATAAATAAAATAATATTAATAAAGTGTTTTTAGGTTATAATATATTTTATAATTTTTTATATATATATATTAGTTTTATTTTAAAAGGTTTTAAATTAATTTTAGTTTATTTATATTTATATTTAAAAGGGTTTTTATATTATATTTGAAGCTATTATAATTAGCTTTATTAATAAAAAAGAGAAAATAGTTATTTAAATTAAAAAAAACTAGTTTTAAAAAAGTAAAAAAATTTTTTTATAAATTAAAAAAAAAAAAACTTATTATATTAATATTTTATTAGTATTAATTATTATTATTTTATTTTTATTTTATTTATAATAGCTTTAAGTTTATTATTAGCTTTTAGCTAGTTTAAAACTAGTTTAATATTATTTTTAAATTAAGGCCAAAAATGGTTTAAATATTTTATTTCCCTAAAATATAGTTGTGTAATATTTTTTTTATATTTTTTTTAATTTCTGCTAGTAGCTTGGCGCCAAGAGGTTAGCCAAGCTTTTGCTAAGAGGTTAGCCGAGCTGGTAAGCCGTGCTATGCCCAATACGGGCATCCATGGTCAGAGGGCAGGGAGCCTGGGAGCCCGGCAAGTCATGGCAGCGCAGCCCGCGGGACGGACACCCGACACAGCAGAACGGGGCAGACAGCCCCCGACCGAATCACATGTGAGACCGAAGACCACGGTGCACCCACCAGCTGTCAGGCCGTCATGCCGTCGTCAGGAATACCTAGGTACCTAGGTACCTAGGTAGTCATGTCGGGACGAGCTCTCTAGCGGACCCTGACCCTGACCCTGACCCTGACCCTGACCCGACCGTCACCGTGCCGCAGCCACCTCTGGCTCGAGCCCACCTCGTCGCCCCCTTTGGCAAGGCAGCACCGCGTCCCCTACGCCGGCCAGGACGACGACGGTAAGATGTAGCCTGCGCCGCCATGTCTGCCACAGATGAACATGACGACACCATGGCTGCCTCACATCAACCCTCCACGGCAAGCACATCAATCGCGCCGCCTGCTTCCGTGGCTGCCAGCGCCAGCTCCCGGCGCAGGGAGCCTCCTCCTGAGCGGCCCTCAGACTCCCGCCGGCGTTCTCTGGTCATCCTGTCCTTCTGGGTGGTGGTCCTCTGTCTGGGGCTGCCAGTATGGTGGCAGACAACCACCATCCCACGTGCCCGGCTGCCCCTGGACGAGATGATGGATTGGGCTGCTGGCAAGGTACGTCCACCACTGCCGTTCAACCCAGGGCCAGAACTCTGTGCTGACTGACCTCTGCCCGTCCCCCAGGCCTGCCGCCCCGTCTTTCCCCTTCGCATCTCCATCCAGGCGAGCCAGCTGCAGGAACAGGAGGCCCAGAACTTGCTGCGCCTGACCCAGCACGCTCTGGACGACCTGAACGACTTCCCCGGCCACCACCTGCGGCTGCAGCTAGACCCCCGCGCCGGCGGTCTCAATGGCTCTGCACGTCTTGAAGAGGCTGCTCTTGTCATACGCCTTCAGCCCGGCGAGACGACAACCGCCTCGCTCCACCCCTACCAGCCCATACTCGACGTCACCTACTCGCCCAACTCCATCCCCTCTCCGAGCTCGTCCTCATCGTCCCTGGCAGCCTACGTGGCCAGCGAGTTGCGGTCCACCTTTGCCGAGGAACAGACCATCATATCATACCTGCTATCCACCTCGTCGGCCGCTCCCGAGCATAAGCCCCAGCAGGGGCTGGGCCCCGACGCCGCCAGCACAATCGCGAAACGCACAACCCGCTCTCTCAGGTACTCACCTACCTACCACCTCACGCTCTCACTCTTCACCGATGGGCCCGCGCCCAGTAGCTGGGACATTGAATCCGCCATCGACGAGTACATGAAGCCGGTCTTGGATGTCCTGGGGCCCATCCACAACTTCACCATTGACACACAGGTCCAGCTCTACGCCGCCCCCGGTGTCCAGTCTCCGGTCCTGAGCAAGGACGACCTCTCCTCCTTTATCAATGCCGCCGAGTGGCCGTTGTCCCCTTCGATCGGCGGTGCTCCCACCGTGAATTTTATCGTCTTCGCGGGGAACCAAACTATTGGCCTGCCCCCGCCGCACAAGGATACGCACGCGCCTGGGACTGACGCGTCCGAGACCTCTCGCTCCTGGCTCATCCCCCAATGGGGAACCGTCTACCTCCTCCATGTGAACCGCGACAAGACTCACATTGCGGTAGAGGACCTCAAACAGCCGCTCCTGACATTTACTACTCACCTGCTCTCTCTCCTCGGCACCCCGGCCTCCGGATCCATGCCACTGCGTCTCTCCACCCTCTCCCGCATCCGCTCTGCAGACCTCCTGCTCCGCGCCTCTAGTACTCTGGGCTCGCTCGCCCGCCTGTCCCTCGCACTCCCGTCCATGTCGATTCCGCAGTCTGTAGCCGACGGTGTCAGCACCACGATTTTGCATCTCCGGCTGGCTTGTGAGAGCCTGGGTGCCCATGAAGGGCTCCTCCACGCGCAGGTCGCAGAAGCCGCGGCTGAGAAGGCCTTCTTCGAGAAGAGCATGGTTGGCCAGCTGTACTTTCCAGACGAACACAAGATCGCAGTGTATCTGCCACTCCTAGGCCCGGTGGGTGTGCCGCTGGTTATGGGTCTGCTGAACGAGCTGGCTGCTTGGAAAAGGAGGAGGCGGCAGAAGATCGAGAGCGGAAAGAGTAAGAAAGATGTATGAGGTTCATCAAGTTAAGATTATCGATGATCGACTTTGGTCGAGCTCTTGTTAATTCAATGCTTGATAATTTTGCGCTTCCATAAATTGTGGAGGCCGACACACGGAGCTTGACAATAGTGTTTTCTGATCGCTCTCCGTTCGGCTTGTTGCCGACCCCATGTGGAGCTCAGCCATGGACACCTATCATTATTTTACCAGTAGTATCATCATTATATGTTTTCAAAATACTAGGTCACCACTGTATGAAAGCGCCGTGTATGGCTTCGGATGTATACTCCGTATGGGGTAGAAACGAAACCAGTGGGAAGAGATTTGTAGTAGCAGGCGAGATTACTATCCCCCGCCCTGCCCGGCCGGCTACTCACTTTAGCAAGTAAAAGACTACCTAGGTACCTAGGTAGAATAATCAATCCAAAGGAGCGGCATTCTTGCCTAGCGTCACGGGAGCCTATTGACTTACTTTATACCATCTCACATGCTGCAAGTGCTGCCCGGTGGACTCCTCGGACCGAAGGGCCACAGATACCTAAGTAATCATTGATACTCACTCATCAAGTTGACCTCAGTTGATGTGGCCGTCACAAGATCTTCCAATCTCAACGGTCAAGGTGATTGCCAATGGCAAACAGAACAGCGACATGCAATAAACAAAAAGCCGAAATTGCAGGTGAAGCTAGAGAGAGTCGACATGTGGAAGCCAGAAGCAAAAGGTGAAGCCACCTCTTCCGGTATAGAAGTATAGGATTCGGCGTAGGAATCTCGCGTGATCTACATCTTTCCCAGGCTCAATATCCCCAGCGGCGTGGTGACCAGATAGCACGTGGGGAGGGGCTGCGGCTTTGTTCGCGCAGGTGACAACCTTGGAAGACGAGATCAGATTTTGCCATGTTGTGACGAGCTTTTGTTGATCAGTTCCTCCACGAGCCTGAGTGCTTCTACTGCGAATGCGACCATATTTGCTGATCTGTCCCCTCCGAGGCCAGTATCCAAGTCCCTGGCCAGGGTTTCGTTCTCACTCACGACAGCCAGGGCGACGTAACCGCTTTTTGGGAAGTCACGGGTCAGCCTAGATGTGGGCATAACTCGACGGGTGACGAAGGGTGACGAAGGGTGACTGGCGTGGAACTCACGGCTGCCCATTTGCAGACTGCCTTGGGGCGGTTGGGCCGGCAGTGCCGCTCTCAGCAACGGCGTAAGTGGAGGCCAGGGTGTGACGAAGGTGCGTGGCGAGGCCCGCCACCAGATCAGGGCTAGGACCGCTGTAATTGTCGATGTTGGCCTGAGTCCAGCCGCCGAAGGCGATTCGTGACTCGAGGGTGTACAGGGTGGCACCACCTCTATACACCTTGGAAGCGCCGGGAGTAGCCAGCAGCGCAGCAGAGATGAGCCCTCCCGCGGCTGTCTCGGCGACTGAGATGGTCTCGTCGCGGTCGCGGAGAAGGCTGGCCACTCTGGAAGCAGCCTCCCTCAGCGCCGGAGGGGGAAAGTCTGAACTCATTACGGACCTCACTCAGGTGGCATCAGTTGATGAGAACAGCGGGTGCCTGCGGGTCGGTTGGTCAATTGTTAATGTTATTAACAAGTCGTCTCCGCATTCACTCGGCCAGAGGTGAATTGATTATATAAGCCCCAACCCCGGACCGATCGAGACTACTATGTACTTAAGTACCTAGGTAGTAATATGTCTCACGCGCCCCACCTCCCAAGGTTGTCATTGTCCTGGCCGAACGACCCCTTGGGACTGTGCTGCTCGTCCCGTCATCTGCAAGCCCTCAAGGAAACCCCCCCTTTGTGCACGCAGTGGCATCTCGCGCGTGGGCATGTCGGACTCGGACGAGCCACAGGCGGAGCATGACCCCAAGTCCTCCGCCGACTTGCTAGGAGACTTTCTGTAAGCCGACGCAGCGACGCATCTGGGCATCTGGACTCCTGGGGCAACGGCTGACCGCACCAGAAAGGACAATGTGCTCAAGGCGAAGCTCACTCTCCAACACGAGCTGGGGCTCGGCAAGAGGCCAAGCGTCGTCCCGCCTGGCGAAGTAAGCATCAGCCAAGAGCCCCGTACTGTCGAGCTGGGCTGGCATCCGGTGGCGGGCTCCGCGGGCAAATGGTTCGCGGAGCAGACCAGGCTGGGCAAGATGATCACCGAGGAAATCCACAAGAGCCCTGACCCGACACAGCATTGGGCCTGTATCGTGGGCGGTTTTGTCCACGAGCTATGGTCAGTAGGGCAGCTTTGCCTCCTGTCTCCCCTGCCCCCGGGCCTGCCCTGCTAAGAATGCATGCTCCTAGCAGGATGGACGAGCACTTCGACATCATTTACATAAATGAGACTTTCAACCGCGAGGAGTGGCACACCTTCGAGGTCGGTAAGACAAGATTTAGTGACCAGGCCCTTGCTGAGGCTGGTAAGCATCACTCCGGAGCAATCCTCCGTCTTTTGCCAGCTTTCGTCTCGCTGACTCTCTGTTGACTAGGTGAGATGGCAATTTTCAACATGAGAGAGAAGCGACCAGCCTACAACCTCTTGGACAACAACTGCCAGAATTTCGCCCTGAACTTCCTCGACAAGATCCGAGTGGGAAAGCACCGCGACTTTGCCACGAGCTTTAGCGTTTATCAGCGTGCCATCGGTGCCGGCGCCATCAAGGATCTGTTTGTGGATGAGCATCCTGATGAAGACCCCGAGACTGCAGACCAAGACGTGGTGCTAGGAGCGGAGCACCCCGATGCTGTGCAAACTGCGAGGCAGGTCATGGACGACAACACAACCAAGCTTGACAACCACCATTCTTTCTTCCAGCTGATTAATTCAGGCACGTCTTGACCATCACCTGGGCAGTCTTGTGTGCGGCGCTCAATCATGGAGGACCATTTTACACCTTGGTACCTCCTAAGAGTTTGTGAAGGGTTTGTCCCACATGATGAAGGGGCCCCAGGGGGCTGCATTGCAAATAATAGAAGAATAATTGTTTATTATTAGTCTTTTAACCTTTATAGGTGTGTATAAGTAGTATTTATATACTATACTTAAATAAGCTATTACTTAATATATAATAATATAGGTAGGTAATAAGTAATAAGCCTATATATTTAAATATTTACATAAATATTTAAAAAATTCTTTTAAATAAAAGTTTAAATTAATATTATATTATAAAAAGTTATTTATTAATAGGTAACTTTAATAATAGGGCTATAGCCTAAAGGCTATCTTAGTAACCCCTTTTAAAGACCTATTTAGATATCTAAAGTATATTAACTGTAGTTAATTAGTTAGTAACTACTTAAGTTAGTACTGGTAGCCTCTGAAGGGCCCAAGTGCTTTGCGCTACCCATTACAGCCGACACTTGTTGACCAGGCTGAAAAAGAATAGCAAGTCTCGCAAACCTTTCTAGGGGAGATGGCCATTCCTGACTACTTGCATGTGACAACTTTGACACTACTTAAGTATGTATGTGAAATATGGGTGATGTTTGTGCCTGACTGGAACACACTCATCTCGTCTGCATCCTCTCACCTCCTCTTTCCCGTGGTCACCAGCCCCATAGGAGCCTACCTCGTAATCACAGAGAGTATTGAGAAGTCAGGCAGTAGATGTGGGAGATTTATTAACCTTGGAATGGGTGATCCTTGACCCAGCGCCCAACACGCCATAGCATAGTGGTCCAGCTCCATCCCTAGGGACCACCAAGCTCAAAGGTTGGCCGCTTCAGCCCATCTTAAGGCCCCACCGAGTGATTTCGTTTTTTTTTTTTTTAAAAAAAATCCCCATACATATAAAATATACGTGGTGCCTTCATACAGCGAAGGCCCCACCGAAAAAGTGAGCATTGGCTCTATGGGCCCAGGACCGGTTGGCCGAATGGTTTCCCACTGAGAACCGACATATCGCATTTTTAGCGTAGGTCTTACACACCATTCCATTGTGCCGTGGGAGCAGCAACGCCGCCTTGGGAGCTGCCAAGGCGGACGGCCGTCCGCCGTGTCGTCAGTTTCAGTAAATATCGTCTGCGCTGTTTCGATACCAGCCTTGGCAAGAGCCATTGTTTCCCGGGCCTAATTGGTAAAAGGGGGCGACCGAGACCTTGTTTCGTCTGCAGTAAACCTTCTCCAGGCTTACGGTATTTCTTGCCTAACCAAGTGGTGGGTCGGTCAAGTTGATCCACACTCTTGATTCCCCAATGCTGTCTTGTACCCAGGAGACAGCGGGGTGACCAGGCAGCTGCCAGGTAGGCAGTTCCCTCCCTCTTTCTCAGGGGTAGGCCGCTACCTAGCTCGGCATCCTCCTTTGATAAAGTTGTAGAATTGCTCCGACAGGCCCGATAAACTCTATTCATTACTAGTATTCATACTCTAACCAGCCCTCGCAGCGCCAAGAGGACAGACATCGGGAGGGGTAATGGTACCAAAATGACTGCCCAGGTGGATAATACATACAAACTGCCCCTTTGAGAAGGCCAATGCAAAGCACCCAAGTCGAACAGAGGCCGACCTGCACCGATCTAGATATAATTCGGAGGGTCTCTTCCGTTGAGCCAACGGTTAAGACCTGGAGCACAGTCGCTGGATCGTTCTCACCTTGTAACTGGCTTCAAAGTTCACCTACTGGCAGCATTCTTTATACAATTTTGAATACCGTATGACACAGTGACAACCCGTTTCTTGTTGTAATGGCCCTCAATACCTTAGTTCTCGCCGGCTCTCTTCTGTTGGGTCTGGTGACAGCCCAGACGCCCGACAGCACGGCCGAAAATCATCCCAAACTCACGACGTACAAGTGTACGACGGGGGGTGGATGCGTTGCCCGAAATACAGCCCTTGTTCTCGATTCCTCTTCGCACCACATCTACCAACTCAATGCACCTGGTTTCAACTGTGGCGACTGGGGGTCTGGGGCAAATGCAACAGCCTGTCCTGACGAGGAAGCATGTCAGCGAAACTGTATTCTTCAAGGAATCCCAGGTAAGCAGCTTGCCAACATGATCTCTACCCCTTCAAGAACGAACATGTGCCACCCGGACTGCAGGCACCTGGGTTCTCAGAAAGGCTACAAGCCACCTTCAGGCTTTCCCTCACCGTGTTAGTGTAAAGCTGCTTGTTTGGTTCTGTAACAACTGACCCTGTGTGCTTTAGATTACACTTCGAATGGGGTGTACGCCAATGGTTCAGACCTGACCCTTGTTATGCTGAGCAGTGATGGCAAGACTGAGTACAGCCCGCGCATTTATCTTCTTAATGAGGCTGAAGATGCATACGAGATGCTCCATTTGACCGGGCAAGAGTTCGCCTTTGATGTCGACATGAGCAAGCTACCTTGCGGGATGAACTCAGCGCTCTACCTGTCGGAGAGTAGGTATCACCTGGGCACCTTTCATCTGTCATAGATCCCCCTCCTGCATTCTCTACGATGTTATAGAAGACAGCACTTTAGGACCCGTAGCAGGACTAACGTTGCCGACAGTGGAAGCCACCGGGGGGAAAGACTCATCGGATCTCTCCGTGGCAGGGGCTGAATATGGTGCTGGTTACTGCGACGCTCAATGCTACACAACTCCATTCATCAATGGTCTGGTAGGTGACATCAGACATGGGACAGGGGTGGTAGCGACGAGGACTCTGACAAAGGGGTGCAGGGTAACATCAACGGGAGTGGTGTTTGTTGCAACGAGCTTGATATCTGGGAGGCCAACTCGCGCGCAACTCACGTTGCACCCCACCCATGCAATGTTGGCGGCCTTTACGCGTGTGATGCAAGCGGCCAGGATTGCGGACCCAATGGCATCTGCGATAAGGACGGTGTAAGTGGCCTTAGACCAGTTGCGGTTCCGGCGCACTGCCCGGCCAAAATACTGTTCTCTGGTATAGTTCAACTAACTGACCGTGGCTCATTTAGTGTTCGATGAATCCATACAAAATGGGACACCCGGGATACTATGGGCTCGATCTAGAGGTTGACACAACCCGACCTTTCACCGTTGTCACACGTAAGCAGTCCAAAAAATAGCAACGTTGCCTGAATCTCCTCGGAGGAAACACTCTCGTATGGCCCGTAGAACAATGACTCACCAAGCGGCGTGTCCCCCCTCCTCTTCTGTTTCTCTACTTCGGGCTCGAGCCAAATTTTGGCCTGCAGGCTTCTGTGTTTGGGAGAAGCTTCCCCTCTAATGCTCTTTGGGCTGACGTCGAGTTGCCGCAGAATTCCCCTCTGATCAGAGCGGCAAGCTCGCCGCTATCAAACGGCTCTATATTCAAGACGGGAAATTGATCGAAATGCCCGTCGCGGCGGTCGAGGGAGTTACTCCACAGAACTTTCTGGATGACGAGTATTGCAGTACAACAGGCGCGGATAAGTACTTGAGTCTAGGGGCAACGGAGGGAATGGGAGCGGCTATGAGCCGCGGGATGGTCCTAATCTTCTCAATCTGGTGGGACAAGGGTGGCTCCATGCAATGGCTAGATGGACTGAGCTCGAACGCTGGGCCTTGCAATGCAACCGAGGGGAATCCCGAGGTTATCAAGTCCATTCAACCTGACACACAGGTTACTTTCAGTCAGATCAGGTGGGGTGACATCGGGTCAACATTCTCAGATTCCTCAAACGGGACGAGCGGCACGAAAGGCTCAGGATCAGCTGTGACGTCTCTATCACGACGACGCATGCCGAAGGCCTCACTTTCCAAAGCATGGGCGGCTACAGCTCGGTCTGCAAGTGGAGCTCAAAACTAGGTACGCCAGTGCCTCACTTTGCTAGAAGGAAGAGAATCTTACCCCGAGACCAAGAAGCTCCTGAAAGACGCTGCCAACATTGAGATGGCTGGGAACATGGTCTGTAAGACTACCTAAGTACTTTTCCAAAATCACACACCATCTTTTTCCTTTTATAAAGGGGGGTGGGGTGGGGGTGAATATAATATATAAACTACCTAAATATCTATTAAATATAATAGTTTAAAGTTTTAACTATATTATATTTTTCCTTTATATTATATAATTTTTTTTTATTTATTTAATTAAGTAATTATTTATTTTTTAAAAATTATATATTAAATTTTTTATAATTTTATATATATTTTATAATTTATTTATAAAATAATTTTAAATTTTTAATTTTATTAAAAACTTAATAATTATTAATAATAAAAATATAAACTTAAAAGATAAATTTATTATATTTTTATTATTATTTTATAAATTCTTTTAAATTCTTTTAAATTCTTTTAAATTCTCTTTAAATATTTTATTATATTATTATATTATAAAATATAAAAAAAAATATATTTACTAAAGTTTTAAAAAACTTTTTAAATTATTTTTAAAGAAATATAATTAATTAAATAAATAAAGTTTTATTAATTTTTATATATTTATAATAATTATTAATTTATAATTAAAATTAAAATAATTATATTTTTTATATAATAATAAATAAAAATTTATATTTAAATATTTATTTATTTATTTTAATTTTTTATTATTATTATATTTTAAAATTAAGTTATAAATAACTTTATAAAATAAATTAAATAATTTTATAAAAATATAATATAATATAATTAAAAGTTTAAAAAGTTAAATTAAAAATAATAATATTAATAAATATTAAAGTAATAATACAATAATAAAAGAAAGTAAATAAATAAAAATAATAATTAATTAAAGAAATTAAACTTTTATTTTTATTTTAATTTAATAAATAAATAAGTAATTTATTTAAAAATAAAACTTAAAAATAATTTATATTATTTTTAATAAATAAAAAGTATATTTTATAATTATTAATTATTATAAAATATAAAAGAATACTTTTTTAATTTTTTAAAAGATTTAAAATTATCTTTTAAAATAATATATAATTAATTAAATAAATAAAGTTTTATTAACTTTTATATATTTATAATATATTATAAAAGTTTTAAAAATAATTTTATTTTTTATTTTATATCTTAAACTTTTAAAATAAATAATTATATATTTAAATAAAAATAATAATATTATTTTATTTAATAAAAGTTTTATAATATATATATATATAATTTTACTTTTATTTTATATATATTTAAAGATATATATAATATTTTATATAATAATAAATATTTAAAATTTAATATTTAAAAATATAATATTAATAATAATAATTATAATATAATAAATATTTATAATTTTAATTTTATAATATATAAATAAAATTAAAAATATTATTTTAATAATAATAATATATATATATATATATATTAAATATAAAATTAAGAAATTTATAATTATTATATTATATTATATTATAATTTAAATTAAATCTTTTAAATTATTTTAATTTTTATTTTAAAATAATTAAAAGTTTATATTTTTAAATTTAAAATTAAAATCTTTATAAATTTTAATATATTTTAAATTAAATTTATAATTTTACTTTTAAAAAATATATTAATTAATTAAATATTAATAACTTTTAAAAAATAAAAATTTATTTATATAATTATAAACTTAAATATATATATAATAATAAAATATAATTACTTTATTTAAAAATTATATTTTAATTTAATAAAATATAATAAATTAAATTATTATTTTTAAATAATTATATTTAATAGATATTTATTTAAATAGAATTAAAATTTATAAAAAGAAATAATTTTATTTTTATTTATTTTAATTAATTTTATTTATGTAAATTATATAATTAATTTAATAATTATATATAATATTTATTAATATTAAATTAAATAATTTATAATTTAGAATAATTTAATTTTAATATATTAATTTAAATGAATATAATTTAATATATTAATATAAAAAGTATTATTATATAAATCTTTTATTATAATTTTATAATTATTTATAATATTATTTATTATTAAAAATAATTTTTATATTAATATAAATTAATATTATTAATTTTAATATAACTTAATTTATTAAAAACTTAAAGTTATTATAAATTATAAATTAATTAAATATTAATAAATATTATATATAAATATTATATTTATTATATAATTTAAATTATATATAAATATAAATTAATTAAAATAAAAGAATAAAGTTATTATTTATTTAAAATTTAATTTTATTTTATAAATAAATATTTATATAATAAATAAATATTTATTTAATAAATTTAAAAATTATTTATTATATAAATAAAATTATTTAAAAATAACTATTTAATTAAATTAAAATATAATTAAATATAATAATTATATTTTATTATTTAAATTTATAATTTTAATAATTTTATTATATAATTAAATTTACAATTATTAATAATTAAATTTATAATTATATAAAAATAAACTTTTATTTTTAAAAAATTATTAATATTTAAAATAATTAAAATCATAAATTTATTTTAAAATATATTAAAATTTATAAAATCTTTAAATTTAAATTTAAAAGTTTTAATTTAATATTTATATTTATAAAAATAAAAGTATTTATAAAATTTAAAATAAAGTTTAAATTAAATTAAAAATTAAATTAAATTATAATAAAAGAAATTAATTAAATAAAAATTAATTATAAAATTATAATTATAAATTTTTAATTTTATATTTAAAAATAATTTATTTATATAATAATTATTTTATAATAATTAATATATAAATTATTTTATTTATAATTAATATTATTATTAAAATATTATTTTAATTTTATTTATATATTATATATTATAAAAATAAATAAAAATAAAATAAATATTTTAATATATTAATTTAAATTAAAATAATAATATTTTTATAAAAAAGATTTAAAAATTATAAAATAAGTTTCAATTTTAAAAATATAAATAAATAAATTATATTAAATAATTAAATAATAAATAATTAATAAAACCTTTAATTATTTATATATATATATTTATATTATAAAATTAAAATTATAAATATTTATTATATTATAATTATTAATATTAATATTATATTTTTAAAATAATAAATAATAAATATTTATTATTATATAAAATATTAGTTATATTTTAAATATATATAAATAAAATTAAAAGTATATATATTAATATTATTATAATATTTTTAAAAACTTTTAAATATAATTTTTAATTATTTTCTTATTTTAAAAATAATATTAAAAATAATTTAAATACCTTTTAATTATTTTTTATTAATATTTTTAATAATAATTATAAAATATATTAATATTTTTAAAATTATATTTTAAAATTAAAATAGTTTTAAAATTATATTTTAAACACTTAAAATATAATAAAAAAACTTAATTAAAAGTTAAATAAATAAATAAATAAATAAAGAGTTAATAAAAGGTTTATTTTAAAAGGAATTCTATTAAAAAATTAAAAAATATTATTAATTAATCTTTATATTAAAATAAAAGAATAATATTAAAAAACTTTAAAGATTAATATATTTTAAAAACTTTCTTTTTATTTAATAACTATTAAAGAAGAAAGGAACTATTAATAGTTATAGATATTATTAAAGAGTATTAATAAGAATACTGTTTTTAAAAACCCCTAGGTGCATAGTATAATAGTTAACAAATAGTCCTATCACAACATTAAACATCTAGGAACCCGCCAGCCGCTACAGATTGTGCATTGAGCCTCTCCCTGACTGCCTCCTCATCACCCATTAAGCAACAAGACCTCAAGACAAATTCAAAACACATCACTAACCATATTGCACAAGATGCTTTTCATGTTTGCAGTCTTGGTAACTGTCACTTCTGCAGTTGCAAGTCTGCTTGCCAGGCTGTCCCTTGAGGTGCCTGCCTGTCCCCGTGTGGGGACTGTCTCGTACAACACCTCCAGCCCTGACCAGGGGCTATTTCCTTGGACCAGGGTTGATCTCTGTTATGATGACAGCTCAATCAAATTCAACTTCACTGCTTTTGATGAGAAGGACTTCTATTGCATGTGTTATCAGTCTCCCCTTATGCTGGCCTCAACCGGCGGTCCTGGCCAGCCAGGCACACTACATGTGCTGACCCCCAGTGAACAGACAATCAAAGCCTCACCACCAATGGAGAGATATACAACTACAAGGTGATGGAAGCATTCCTTGTACGTGCCTTTACAGACTCAACGTTGGAGGCCTCATGTAGCACATGAAAATGGGCAACTAATCACTCGCAAGCATCGCTCCCCTGAGGGTTGAAACATCAACGATGGCTAACCTTTGTGCCGGACCTCCTAGCATTGTGGATCCAACAACCCTCAGACTTACCGCTCGAGGTCACGCCAAATAACGTTACATTCCAGGCCTTCAGTAAGAAACCTCCGTTTCTTTGTGAGGGCTCGAATTATCGCCACATACCGTACTGTTCCAATATGCCCAGGTGGCCCTATAAGAAACCGTTCGTTGGCCGCAATACATGGGGTAAACCGCAGGCAAGTACTCCACCTCGGATTCGAATATTGTGGACTAGCGGCCTTTGTTTCCTCAAAATGTGCCTGAGAAGCTGACGTTAGGCTCATTTCCATCAGTCTAAGTTAGAATATCCACTCACGCACCACCCCCTTCACACACACACATTTCCCACTAAAAAGCCTAATTTTAAGCCTTCTATAACTAATTCTATATAAATACTATATAAATAATAAATTATTTATTAAATTGATTATTTTTTATTTATAAAAGAAAAAAATAAAAAGTAATTTTAAATTATTTCTAATAAGGTTAAATTAATATAAATAGCTTTTTTATTTTTTATATATTAAACTATTATTATACTTTTAAAGTTAATAAATAATATATATAATTCTCTTTAATTAAAAACTAAATTATTAATTATTTATTAATAAAAATAAAAACATTACTTATTTTTAAAATCTTTCTTTAATTAATTATTAAAGATTTAATAATAAGTAAGTTATTTTTCTTTATTTTATTTTCTTTACTTATCTTTAATTTTTAATAATTAATTAAAGAAAATTTTAAAAATAAGTAATCTTTTATATTTATTAATTAATAGTTAATAAATAAACTTATAATTAAAAATTCTTATATATATTATTTATTAACTTTAAAAGTATAATAATAGTTTAATATATAAAAATAAAAAACTATTAATCTAACTATATTAATAATAATTTAAAATCATTATATATTTTTATATTATATATATTTAAAATTATAGATTTAATAAATATTTTATTCTATATATAGTATTTTTATAGAATAAAATAAAAAATGTAAAAATTAGCTTTTTTGGTGGGAAATATGTGTGTGTGAAGGGGGTGGTGTGTGAGTGGATATTCTGATGGCGGCCGGTGCTGCTTTCGACCGTTTCTGCTGCAGACGGTATTACTGCCACAACAACTCTCGACCACGCCGACGAGTTATGGGTGTCTAACGTCCAAATCCCACATGGTCTATTCAACCTTGACGCCGGGGAAGCCGGTGGAACAGAATGGCGAATGAACTTTTTTCGCACAGTTACAGGTCCAACGACGTTCCCTGCCCAGACCTTTGGATCTTGGAGCCCCCCTGACCAGGTCAACTTCCATATTACTCCTTTCTTTGGACACGCCACCTTTGTCTAAACACTTCCACTTTACACCCTGAGTTGTCGGGAAAGTGGTGCAGGGGGGTCTGACAAACCAGCATAGCCGGAGAGACAGTCCAACGTTCGAGACTGACAGCACTCTTCCGCTCAGGTTTATGTCCACATCAAATTACAGAGCGCGGCGTTCTAGTCAACGCCGGCGTTCTAGTCAACACCGTCGTCAAGACGGTGCCCCTTAGCCTTGTCTGTACGTCGTAAGGCTGAGGCCACAAGCACCTATCATATTATAACTAGAGAACGGATATTCGCACAGGAAAAAACGGCTGGTACATAGGTATAATATTTCCTTCTAGACTGCAGCCAATCAGAGGGCTTAATTCAACCTCCCCTAACCACACACACCACCTAGATAAAGTGCTTTTTACACCCCCTACTTAAACCTATTAATTCTCCTTCACCTACTAAATAACACTCTCTTACTAACTTTATTAATAATAATAACCTTAATATTTAATATAAGGGCTTATAGGATTATTAACTAGTTATTATAAGTTAATTTAATTATAAAGAACTTTATTAATAATAAAAAGGAAACTTAGGAGATTTAAATATTTAAGGACTTATTAAAGTATTTTAAATAATAATAAAGAAGTAATAAATTATTAAATTAAAAGTAATAATAAAAGAATTAAAAGTATAGTTAATAAATATAAATTTTAATTTTATATAATAAGTAAATAATATAAATTAAAGTTAATATATTAAAAGTATTTATATTTATATATTAATTATTTTTATTATAAATATTTATTTTTATAACTATTATTATTAATATTATATTTTAAATATTAAATTTTAAGTATTTATTATTATATAAAAATATTATATATATCTTTATATATATATAAAATAAAAATAAAACTATATATAAATTATAAAATTTAAAATTATAATATTTAAAATTTAAAGATTAATTAAATATATATATAACCTTTATTTTATCAATTTTTAAAATATTATAATTAAATATAATTAAATATAAATTAATATTTATATTATATTTAAATTATATTTTTAAGTAAGTATAAATATATTTTATATATAAAGTATTTAATTAATATTTAAAAGTTTTAAAATATATATATTTATAATAATTTAATTATATAAATTATATTTAAATTATAAGATATTTTATAATTTTATATTTTTAATAATAATATAATTTATTTATAATATTATTTTATAAATAAAATAATAAAAATAATAAAAATAAATCTTTTATATATATTAAAATTAAATTATAAAAGTATAAAAGTAATTAAAAGTTTATAAAATAATAAAAGTTTTTATAATTAATAATATTTTATATAATATATAAAAATTATATAAAAATATTAATTAATTTATTTATATATATAAAAGTAATTAAATAAAGTAATATATATTTATATTAATTAATATTTATAAAATTAAACAATAAAATATTTAATTAAATTTAAACTATATATATATATATAAACTTATTATTTTTCATTTATAATAATTAATTTATTATAATTTATTATTTTATAAAAATATTATTATAAATATTTAAATAATATAAATTATTAATATTATATAAAAATATTATATATATTTTTAAATATATATAAAATAAAAATAAAATTATATAAATTATTAATTTAATTTTATTATTAAGTTAAAATAAATAATAAAAATTTAAAAATAATATAATATATTTTTAAAATTAATTAAATTATAAATTATTAATTTAATATTAATAAAAATTATAAAAAGTATTAAAATTTATTATATAATTTAAAAAATATTTATTTATTAATCTTTTATATTATAAAATTATTTAATTTATTATATTATTAATTTAATATAATCTTTAAATAAAATATTTATATTTTATTATTATATAATATTTATATCAATAATTTAAAATTATTAATAATTAAATTTAATATAAAAATAAATATTTATTTTAAAATTATTAATATTTAAAATAATTAATATATATTTTAAAATAATATTAAATTTAAAATAAATTAAAATTTATAAAAATTTATATTTATATTTTAAAAACTTTAATTAATATAAATAAAATTATAATAATATAATATAATTAAATAAAAATTAATTATAAAATTATAATTATAAATTTTAATTTTATATTAAAAATATTTAAATTTTATAATTAAATTTAAATTTTATATTATAAATTATAATTTATAAAAGTATTTTTTATAAAACTTATATTTATATTTTAATTTTATATATTATTTTAACTTTTAAATATAAAGTTAAAAATTTATAATTATAATTTTATAATAAATTTTTATTTAATTATATTATATAAATTATTTATATTTTTAATTTTATTATTAAATTAAAATAAATAGTTAAAGTTTTAAAAAATAAAATATAATATATCTTTTAAAAATTAATTTAATTAAATTTATTATATAAAACTTTTATAATAATTTTATAATTTATATTTATAATACTATTTATTATTAAAAATACTTTTATATTAATATATTAAATTATATTTAATTAGTTTAAATTAATATTATTAATTTTAATATAAATTAATTTATTAAAAGTTAAAGTTATTATATTAATTATATTATATTATTATAACTTTATTTAACTTTATTTAAATTTTTTAAACTTTTTAACTTTAATACTTTTAAAAAATTAAAACTTTATATTTTTAATTTTAAATTTAAAATTCTTATAAATTTTAATATATTTTAAATTAAATTTATAATTTTTAAAAATAAAGATTTATTTTATATAATTATAAACTTAATTATTAATAATTATTTCTTTTATTAAAATTATAAATTTAAATAATAAAATATAATTATTTTATTTAATTATTTTTAATTTAATTAAATAACTATTTTTAAATAATTTTATTTATAATATTATAAAGTTAATAAATAAATATTTATTTAAATAAACTTAAAACTCTTAAAAAATAATAACTTATCTTTATTTATTTTAATTAATTTATATTTAAAAGCTTAAGTTATATAATAACTTTATATATAATATTTAATAATATTAAAATTAAGTAGCTTATAGTTTATAATAATTTTAATTTTTAATAAACTAATAAATATAATTTAATATATTAATATAAAAGATATTTTTAATAATAAATAATATTATAAATAATTATAAAGTTATTATAAAAGTTTTATATAATAAATTTAATTAAATTAATTTTTAAAAATATATTATATTTTATTTTTTAAAACTTTAATTATTTATTTTTAACTTAATATTAAAATTAAAAAAATATAAATAATTTATATATTACTTTAATATATTTTAATTATTAATACTTTAAAGATAATAGTTAATATTATTAATATTACTTAATACACCCTTTTCCCTTTAAAGAGGTTTCTATAAGGCTGGCTACCTTATTTTAGAAGCTTCTTACTATTTAAGTAACTTGCTCCCCTAGACCCTATAAATTCAATGAGGGGGCGGGGGGTTAATTATCTTTGTGTAAAGTTGTTCTGCCTCTCGGGGGAAAAAAGTAGAAGCCATGTGTCATCACTATCCTTTCCCTGGACGCATTTAGCTCCGGCCATTTCTTTCAAGCCGGGGGCGCCATCTCCCGTGCCTTTCTCGCCAGCATGCGAATATTGTTCACAAAACCCTCAATAAGAAAGTCATAATTGTGGGGCTCGCCACGCATGGCCCGACCCCCCTGCTCAATTACCGCACCGGCGTCCAGCTCGATTTCCAGCTCATGGACCTTGACTTGGTGAGAAGTGTGCTTGACAGTGTCAGTTTCCTGTTGCCCGATGAGCAATCGATACGGGAGAAATGGGGAAACGTACGTTGGGGCCGGGCTCTGTCTGCGTCACCTGCGTCAGATCGACCCGGTAATTCCCCTGCTTGTAACTCAAGCGATCTTTGTGTCGATCCGATTTGCTGTCCCGACCTCCAGCCTGGCTCAGCTCTTCGAGCTCATCCACTGGGTGCGTCCAGTCTACTTCGACATTGACACTGACCCGACAATCTAGATCGCACTGAGGGAAGACTATGTGCAGATCTGCAACTTTTCCCTTGATGATGGCAGCCTTGGCCTTGCCCGTCTTCTGGTCCGACGTGACCCTTACCGCCGCTGACTTGTTACCCAACAACTGGTGCAGGGCAGGGTGCAGTTGCTGGCGCAGGTGGTTTGGAACCTTGTAAAACCTGTCCGACTCTCTGAGGTGCACGTAGTTGATGGGTACTCGAGGCTCAGCAAGGTTCCTATTCTTAGGGTTCTGTGGGCTGGCCTCGGCAACCAAGAAATTAAGAAACTCATTGTAACCCTTGTGTTGCGCCTGTTGTTCCAAGATGTCAGTGCTTGTGGCCGCAGCACAATATTATTTGCAATCTTTCAAGGGCACCGCTCACCTCGGTCATGCTGCTAACGAAGCTAGTGTTGTTGCTATGTGCGAGGACAGCCTCTGACTGGACTTGGAACGAGATCCGCTGATTTGGTGAGTTCCGGTCCGTGACGTGGCCTAGCTTGGCCTCTATCTCATACTGAACGCCGTTGTTGGGGTCGTGGATGCTGCCGAGTTCCCCATTGTTCACCACGAGCAAGAACAAGAAGTCTGCGACAGTCCTGGACATTTCATCAAATGGTGTTGAGTTGCTGACTGTCATCTCCCACGGTCCCAGGAGGCTCGGCTTCTGGCTGGAAACTGTGGCAGGCGGGCTCTGGTTCGACGCTGGGGCCGGTGCTGGAGCCTGTGTGTTGGACCGTGCTGTTTCCGGGGAGGCGTGTCTGCTAGACGATGGGTCCTGCCGCCCCGTTTGCAACTGGTCAGACTTGCCATTGAGCTGGCCATGATTCACATGCGATTTCCGCAGAACAAAGTTGTTGTGCCGGAGGGGGTCCTTGTTGTAAACATGCGCCCACCTTGGAGGCGCGGCATGCCGTCGCCTTCGCCGGGCAATCATCGGTGAGGTCGAGGGGCGAGCTGGTTGGCCAGAAGTCTGTTGTCTGTGTACACCATTGGCCTCGAAGGGAGGTGGCCGGGGTTCTTGTCGCTCAAGCTCGTCAGGTTGAACATCCCTGTCGTCCATCTTTCGCTTGACAGGGGTTGAGGTATGCTCCAACCTCGTGGCGGGCGCGGATGGGGCATCGGCCCTTCCTTGTGAGGTGTTGTGTTGTGCCTGTTGAGGCTCTCGATGTTCCCAGTCGCTAGGTTGGCCAGATGGGCCGGAGATGGAAGCCTGGGAGTGGTGCCCAGCGCTGGAGGGCAGGCTTGGAATGCGGGTCTTGGGGCTCACACTGAGGCTGTGGCCGCGCTCGCTACGGGACAGCGACCGACGCTGTGGGTCTGCCGTCTGAGAATTTTCGAGCATGCCTGATGCCCTCTGGACAGGAGGATAAGGCGAGGGCTGTGGGCGATGCGGGGCACCGGGCGATACCTGGGGCGGTTGTTGCGGGGCTGTCTGCTGCTGGTGCTGCTGGTGCTGCTGTTGTTGCTGGTGCTGCTGGTGCTGCTGGTGCTGCTGGGTGTGCGGCTGGTGCGGCTGGGCCTGGGCCTGGGCCTGGGCCTGGTACGATGGGAAAGGTGGACCGGAGGGGTGAGGGCGCTGCTGGTACGGGCTCTGTGGCTGGGCGAAACCCGGTGGTCCTGTAGACTGCTGTCTTTGTCCGGAAGATAAAGGTGGGCCGAGGGGGGTCGAAGGCTGTGAGGGTTGTCTGATACGCTCTGGGGGCAGCTGGTGGCTCGTCGAGATAGGGCTGGCGTATTGCTGAGGCAGGTATTGGTGTTGACTCTGGGCAGAGGTGGGTGTGGGATTTGAATGGATGGACATGGACCGTTGGTGCTGGGCAAGATACGGGAGGCTGCCGCCGGGCGTACCCACAGGGGGCGTCTGCGGCGGGGCCGAGTGTTGACCGTGAGCGTATGCGGGAGGAGGGCCGGGGCTCTGGACGGGGGCGGGGGCGTGTGGGTAGGTGTCCCTGGGAGAATATGCGGCGGCAGGAGGATATCGAGTCTGCTGGACCGGGCTGGCAGAATCCGGAAGGGGGTGGCCTGGGCTTGGGAACGGGTACGCCGCGCCGGCCGCGCCCGCAGCGCCGGCCGAGGCCTGCCTGGTGTAGGGAGAGGGAGGGACGTGGACAGAGCCTGCGCTTGGCGAGCGCACGTTGTTGGCGGCCAGCTGCTGCTGCTGCTGCAGAGGCGGCGGCGGCGGGCGGGAGGGGGCACCGTACGGGGTTGAGGCGGATGGGTAGGGCGGGGGCGATGCGAAGGGCGTCTGGTGGGCGACGTACTCGTGCGAGAGAGATCGAGGAGGCGATGCCTGCACAGGCTGGCCGTGGTCGCGAAAGGAGTGAGGTGGCGGGACAGACACGATGGGGGCCGAGGGGTGTGGGTGCTGTGGATGCTGCTGATGTGTTTGTTGTCGAGATTGAGCCGGGGATTGAGCTGGAGCCGGAGCTGGAGCTGGAGCTGCAGCCGGAGCTTGAGGTTTGCCTGACGCCGGGGCGGTCTGGGGGACTGAGGCCCCGCCTTCGTTCATGATCGAGGCCAGATCCATCATGTCGTGCTAACCCGCGTGCCTCCTTGTTCAGCGTTTGCCCGGTCGATGTCGTGTCTCCTTCCCCTAGTCTTTTTTTCTTCTTCTTTTTTTTTTTTTTCGTTTCCTTTCTTTTTTTCTGAATTGAATGGAACGGGCGAGGTCGAGGGCGAGGGTGAGGGCGAGGGCGGCGGGTCTGCGCCTGGGAGAATTCGGACGAGGACGGAGGGGAGCTGTCGCGTGTGTCGCAGACCCTGGCTCCTCCAACCAAAGGCGGCCTGGGTGCGCCTTGCTTCCTCGTGCGTGCCGGCCTTGGTGGGGAGGCCCAATGTGAGAGACGGAAAGAGAGACAGCTCCTTGGCTACCCTACTTCAGCGAGGCCATGCTCGGGCGCTGTGGGACGGAGGCGCGCAAAAGGCTGATGATGACCGCGGGGCCCGGGGGGCGGAGGCAGAGGGGGAAGCGGAGAGGGCGTGTGGGAGCTAGCTGTGGCTAGGTTGGCCAGGTAGGTGCACACAGAGAGTACCAGAAGTTCTAAGGGTGGACTGGCAACGGTCGCATCGCCTCCGTGGCCGGGTCGCGTTGGTGACAGTCGAGCCGGCGGGCGCAGCAGTGCAGTGGCTGGAGATGGGCAGTTGGACGGGCAGTTGGACGGGCAGTTGGACGGGCTGGGTTGTGATCCGGGCGGACCAACATGGTTTTGTCACACGTCCAGAGTCAACGAGGGCCTGGGATTGAGATTGAGATTGACACCGAGCGGGATGCGAATGGCCATGCGCAACACACAGGCGACGGCGACGGCGACGGGCGGCGGCAACGGCCTTCGCAAGGCAGATAGATGGATGCGAAAGGATGCCGGGTTGCAGAAAAAGGGCAGGATGCGAAGCCCGGGCGGAGGGATGCGCGGCCACGACCAGGCAGGGCCCAACAAGATGAGATCCCTAGCCCTGGGGATAGCTTACGCCTGGCGTGGATACGGATGGATGTACGGGTTGGTCTACGCGCGTGTGCGTGGTTCGTGTGCGTGGTTCGTGTGTGTGTGTGTGTGTGTGGGCGGGTGGGTGGATGGGTGGGTGTGAGTCTGAGTGTGAGCCTGGGTGTGAGTGTGTGAGTATATGTGTGTGTGTAGGCGCGTGGGTGTAAGGCACAGGCGCAAGGCTTCATGAACCCTTCCTCCTCCGGGAGCAGTACCGCCCGCAGGATTGGGGGAGGAAGGTCTGTTTAATAAAACCTGCAGGCGGGCAATGCGTGGTATGCACGCCATGGAACCTGCCAACTACCTGCAAAGACTACAGAGGTAGGTACCCCTCTGGGGTTCTCCCCTTGGCACCCCTGCCCCAGCGGCCCCTGCCTGTAGCCTGCCTGCTTGGTCGCTGTGCACACAGACAGGCCTGGGCGCCATTGGCCTCCTAGCAGACTCAAGGCCGGCGCTGCATGCGGTGGTGGCTGCTGCTGGGGTCACTCGAATGGTCTGGGTACGGCCTGGGTACGGCCTGGGTATGGGCTGGATATTGTCTACCATCCCCCCAGGCCCCATCCATATCATACACACCATCCTGCCTGTATGCCTGGCCACGTACATACCTGCCTACGGTACCTAGGCAGGTAGGTACTGAGCTGCATGCTGTCTGCATGCAACAACAATCCCCGTTGACCGTCGGCCGGCGGCCCACAAGGACCCGGGGCCCAAGCTCCAAAGCTCCTGCGTGCCCGGCTTATATAATACGCTCCCGCCCCTGCCTGATTGGCCACATGGGTGCGGCAGCTTTTCAGAAATCCAGGCAGAGCTGGCCCTGACGTGGAATCTGACGCTCGAGCCTCCTCCAAGCGCCTGCCTGTGCTGCTTGGTTGTTGTAGACGCCCATCCTCCCCCATACGCTTGTCTGTGTGTGTGCCAGCCTGCCCAAACATCCATCCCATCCCATCCCCATCATCCCTCCCCATCATCAACGTCAGCAATTCCACAGCGCCTTGGGACCATCACTCCACTGTCTGCAAAATTCCCGAAAACCACCTCGAGCCCTTCCCATTTGACCCGACCCTCGGCGCGTGCAGTCTGCGCTTCTCCCTCGCCTCGAGCAATGCCCGGTCTCGTCACAGCCACCGGGGTCCTGGGCTTCCTCTCCGATGAGGAGCCCGAGCTCAAGGTCTTCGCCCTCCAGACCCTCAACGATGACATCGACACTGTCTGGACAGAGGTCGCCGGCGCCTTGAGCCAGATGTGCGTTGTCCTCCTCCCCCCCCCCCCCCAAATGTTGTTGCGCTACGGCCTGATCCCGTCCTGACCGGTCTGTAGCGAGGCACTCTATGAGGACGAATCCTTCCCCGAGCGCCATCTGGCCGCCCTCGTGCTTGCCAAGGTCTACTACCACCTCCAGGCCTACAATGAGAGCATGACCTTTGCCCTCGCCGCCGGCCCGTTGTTCAAGCTCGACAACCCTGCCGAGTTCGAGGAGACCATCATCTCCAAGTGCATCGACCAGTACATCGCCATCTCGTCTTCGAGCCATATACCTCCAAAGCACCCTGCGAACGACTCCCTCCCGGCCCTCGAGACCACCTTTGGCGCCACCCTCCCCGAAGGCGGCTCCTTGGTCTCCCCCACCACCCCTTTCTCCCAGTCTGCGCTCCCCTCCAAGTCGCTCCTCTCGCGCGACTCGGCCGACAATGCCATCCTCGACCCCTCCCTGGGCGCAGGCAAGATGGGGAGGTCGAGCTCCATCGCCACACTGCCCGACAAGAGCTCCGAGCTCGCCCTCCAGCGCGTCATCGACCGCCTGTTCGAGGCCTGCCTGAAGGAAGGTCGCTACCGGCAGGTCGTCGGCATTGCTGTCGAGGCCAAGAACCTTTCCATCCTCCGCAGGGTCATCAAGCAGGCCAGCGAGGACGAAAAGCGGTCCAAGTCCAAGTCTCTGGACTCTGTCCAGGGGCCTGCTGAGGAGCTGATGGACTATGCGCTGGGGATCTGCATGGACATCGTACAGGAACGGAGCCTGCGCACCGAGATCCTGGGGCTCATCCTCGAGCTGCTCAACGACATACCGAACCCTGACTACTTTGCAATTGCCAAATGTGTTGTCTACCTAGACTCCGACGAGGACGCCTCCAAGATGCTGAAGCAGCTCATCGAGAAAGGGGATCCGAACTCGGTGGCAAACGCCTACCAGATCGCCTTTGACCTTTACGACAATGGCACACAAGAGTTCCTGGGCAAGATTCTGGATTCCTTGCCATCCGGGGAGCTGCCGCCAAAGCCGCAGCCGGGGAGCGACGACGCACCGCCAGCTGAGAGCGAGCCGCTGCTCAACGACCAGGGGCCTTCCGAGCAGGAAGAACTTCCGGAGGAGGTGGCTCGGGTGTACAAGAACATCCGCGGCATATTGGACGGCAGCAAGGCCATCAAGCTCAACCTCGAGTTCCTGTACCGGAATAACCACACCGACCTGAGCATACTCAACAAGGTCCGTGACAGCCTTGAGGCCCGCAACTCCATCTTCCACACCGCCGTCACTTTCTGCAACGGCTTCATGAATGCAGGTACAACCCATGACAAATTCTTCCGTGACAACCTCGAATGGCTCGGAAAAGCCGTCAACTGGTCCAAGTTCACCGCCACGGCCGCGCTTGGTGTCATACACCGCGGCAACCTCACACAATCGCGGAAGCTGCTCGAGCCCTACCTCCCGAGACCGACCGGAATCAACAGCGGCTCGATCTACAGCCAGGGGGGTGCTTTGTATGCCTATGGGCTGATACACGCCAACCATGGTGCCGGCGCGCTCGAGTACCTCCGTGACCAGTTCACCGCTGCTGAGCAGGAGGTCATCCAGCACGGTGGCGCTCTGGGACTCGGCATCGCCGGCATGGCCACTGGCTCCGAACCGATCTTTGAGAACCTCAAAGATGTCCTTTTCGCTGATTCGGCGCTCAATGGTGAGGCTGTCGGTCTGTCAATGGGTTTGATCATGCTGGGCACTGGCAATGCAAACGCCCTGCAGGTCATGTACACGTATGCACACGACACGACCCACGAGAAGATCGTCCGCGGGTGCGCTATCGGCATGGCGCTGATCATGTATGGGCGCCAGGAGGGTGCCGACGTGATGATCGAGGGTCTCCTCAACGACCCTGACCCGACCCTGCGGTATGGAGGCATCCTGACCATCGCCATGGCTTATTGCGGAACGGGCAGCAACAAGGCAATCCGCAAGCTGCTGCACACTGCTGTCAGCGACGTCAACGACGACGTCCGCCGCATTGCCGTCATGTCACTGGGCTTCATCCTTTTCCGAAAACCAGGCAGCGTCCCCCGCATGGTCGAGCTTCTCTCGGAGTCCTACAACCCACACGTCCGCTATGGCTCCGCAATGGCTCTAGGCATTTCCTGCGCGGGTACCGGCCTGGACGAGGCCATCGACCTCCTAGAACCAATGATGAAAGACCCCACTGATTTCGTGCGCCAGGGTGCCTTGATCTCTCTGGCCATGATCATGGTCCAGCAGAACGAGGTGATGAACCCCAAGGTTGCCTCGATCCGCAAGACCTTGAAAAAGGTCGTAGGCGACCGCCATGAGGACGCCATGACAAAGTTTGGCGCGTCCCTCGCGCTGGGCATCATCGACGCTGGAGGCCGCAACTGCTCTATCGGCTTGCAAACCCAGACAGGCAATCTCAACATGCCGGGTATCGTCGGAATGGCGGTCTTCACCCAGTACTGGTACTGGTTCCCCTTCACCCACTTCCTGTCTCTGGCCTTCGTCCCCACCTCGGTCATCGGCCTGGACCACGAGCTCGAGATCCCCAGCTTCAAGTTCCACTGTGCAACGCGGCCCAGCCTCTTCGACTACCCCCCAGAGCAGGAGGTCAAGGCCGAGGAGGGGCCTGCGCTGGTGACGGCCGCCGTGCTGTCTACCACCGCGCAGGCGAAGCGGCGTGCGCAGAAGAAGGAGAAGGCCGCCCGCCGTGAGAGCATGGATATCGACTCGACCCCGACCGCAGCCAAGGCGGCTGCCCCCTCCGGGGACAAGATGGATGTTGACGACGACCGGAACAAGAAGCCGGAGGAGTCCAAGGACAAGAGGGAGGGCGAGAGCGAGAAGGAGGCGTCCGCAACTCCAGACCCCAAGAAGAAGGTCGAGAAGGAGAGGGTTGGCTACGAGATCGAGAACATGTCGCGTGTGCTCCCTGGCCAGCTGAAGTACATTAGCTTTCCGGCTGGGCGGTACAAGCCGGTGAAGAAGGTAAATCTGCAGTCCCACATCCCATTCACGCCACAACCCGAGTGGGGACCCCCTCGCTGACAGTCGACACAGCCAACTGGTGGGCCGCTCCTACTGCAGGACACCCAGCCTGGCGACGCCAAGGTCCTCGTTGAGGAGAAGCTCAAGAAGGTCGAGACCCAGCGCGCCCCAGTGGCCGGCCAACCATCCGGCAGTGGCGCCGGCGGTCTTGGCGGGCTCGGGTCAGGCAGGTCCGGCCGCTCGGCCATGATGGGCGATGGCGATGATGCCTTGGCCGAGGCCCTCCGGGTTGCCATGCGGGATGGCGCCGGCGGTGGCGCAGCTCTCAACGAGATGCTGCGTCAGTCGGCCCAAGCGCGCGGACTGGATCTCTTTGGAGACGGCGGTGCTGCCGGGACGGGTCAGGGCGGTGCTGCCGCTGCCGCGGGCGTCTTGACAGCAGTCGACGAAGACGAAGACGGTGCCGAGGAGGCGCAGGTTCCTGGAGACTTTGACTACTTCACGGACAATGACGACGAGGAGGAGCTGTAAGGGCAAAGCAGGGGCCGGTTGTACATTGTGAGACAGACTTGGGCGAGGTGTATGAAGGGAGCGGAATTGGGGATAGACTTCTTTGCAGAGCCGCGGCGATAGATTTAAATTCGGCTCTCATTCAATACCGAGGCTCCCAGAGCCCAATGATCTGATCTCCCAACGGTCAACCAAGACTGCCGAGCGGTTTTTGCAAGTCGATTACTACTACTACTACTACACACACACACACACACACACACACACACACACACACACACGGCGATCCCCACCGCCCGCCACGCTGGTATGCAAATTAGACGTCACTACGCATGCTATTACTCAACAAGGGACCGGTTCGCAATGGTTCGCAGCAAGCCCAGTTAAACATTGCCGGGCCCCTCTTCCGTGCCGAACCCGCACCCGTAGGTGTTTCCGGTCCGCCATATTGCCTTGTTCGCCTCGCCTTCACCTTGTGTGGCGGCGGCAGGGACACACTCGGGGCACACCTTGACGCGGTGCCACGCATTTGCCAGGTTGCCCCTGACGTTGAATATGGACGAGTGCGTCTCGGGCTGGGTGTTGTAGCTGTTGTCGGTCGCCTTGACCACGACGTCTCTGCACTGCAGATGCTGGCCCGTTGCCCCGGCCGCAGGTGCGTCAAGGTGGCCGAGATAGCGCCACCTCTTCCAAGCCCAGGCCTTGTGTCCCGCGAAAGGGTCTCTGAGCAGCTGCGCCTGGTCCCACGTCCTCCCGCCGTCGAGGCTGACGTCGATACGGGTGATGCTGCGCCCGCCGCCAGACACGGCGTAGCCCTCTACGACCACTGGCTGCTGGCCGTCGGCCGGGGCGGAGGCGGTGGGCGGCAACGCGCCGGCGTCCCGCACGCACTGGCCCACAAGCACCTTGGTGATGGCGCTCGTGACGGGCATCTCCTGGATGGCCGGGGCGCTGTCCCAGTCCACGTTGCGCTGGTTCGGCCCGAAGCTCTTGTAGTCACGCCGCTGCCACTGTGACGTGCTTTCCTCGTCAGCAACGACGATCTTGGACAGCCACTTGACGCTCCTCGCCGCGACGTGGCCCGGCACTAGGGCTCGCAGCGGGGACCCATGATCACGGGGCAGGGGCTGGCCGTTCATGGTGAAGGCGAGGATGACGTCGTTCCTGGGGTCGAGGGCCGTGTGCAGGGGTATCGACGCGCCGTAGGCCTCGAGCCCGGTGAGCTGGACGTGGTAGGTGCCGGGGTCGGGGAGGCTGTCGCTGCCGTCGGCACCGGGGCCCGCAACCCTGAGCCCGGCATCGGCGAGGACATCGGCCAGGCGGACGCCCTGCCAGTCGGCGTTGCCGATGGCGCCGACGCCCCACTGGAGGCCGTTTGTCTTTGCGGTGTTGCGGGTCATGTCGCTCCTGCGATTGCCGGAGCACTGGAGGACGGCGGTGACGCGATGCGTGGCGAAGCGTGTCTTGAGGTCCTGCAGGGTGTACGACTTGGAGTGGCCGCCGGGCAGCTCGACGGTCAGCTCGTGCTGGTGCAGCCGGGAGCCGTCGACAGCGGGCACCCACATGTGGTTGCGCTTATAGAACAGCTCGTTGGGGGTCAGGAAGCTGTCAGCCAGGGACCGGTTCGGCGGCTCGGCGTTGCAAGGCTTGGCGGTGTGGGTGAGCAGCCTGGGGTCACGCGGGGGGTCTGAGGCGAAGGGGTCCGGGACGGCGTGGGCGGGCGGGAGCCCGTCGACAAGGTCATGGTGGTGGATGTAGCCGATGAGGTATTGGTCCAGTATCTCCTCGACGTGGTGCTGGTTGTGGATGGTGAAGAGGGCCCAGTAGGGGTCGATGCTCTGTCCGGCGGCACGCAAGATGACGTCGCCACCGGGATGGGCAGAGACCCAGTCGGTGATGTCGTAGACCTTGTCCTGGTGGGTGACCCACGGGTTTGGGTGCGAGGCGTCGTGGGCGCGGACGTCGGAGAGACGGTGGCGAGGGACGGAGGGGTCTCGGGCATCTTGTGGGCCTGTGGCCTCGTGGGCCTCGTGGGCCTCGTGGGCCTCGTGGGGGGCCGCCGCCGCCAGCGACAAGAGGCCCGCCCCGACTCCTGCGAGCACGACGGCCGCCGGACGGCTGGTGCCGGACGTCTTGAGCAGCGACAGCGACAGCGTCGAGAAGGCGGGCGTGGCCGGGGGGCGTGAGCACAGCTGGGGCAGCGGGCGGGATCCCGGGCGAGGCTTGGGGGCGCAACACGCCAGGTCCGTGGCGAGGCGGCCCAAGTGTCGTCGAGGCCGGATGAACATGAACATGGTCTGGTCCGGTGTCAGACCAGGGCGTCTGTCCGTATGTTGGTCAAAGTCGGCGACAAGGCCTGAGACCAGAGGCAGAAGGGGAGAGAGGACATGGCGGCGCTGTCAACATGAGCTGACAATATAGCGAGCGAGACTGGCGGGGTGGTGAGGTGGTGAGGTGGTGAGGTCAAGGCCAGGCCCGGGTCGGCAGGTCGGCGAGGGAGCACATCTGGGGCTGCTGGGTCGGCGAACTTGGTGTGCATCTTGCATCACCACCAGCAAGGGGGTCCCCCGACCTGGCGTCGCATCACTGCCTGACAGGTGCCGGCGTGCCGCAGGTACCCGTCTCCACCCGCACACAGGACAGTACGGAGTGCAGGTACTTAGGTACCTAGGTACCCAGGTACCCAGGTGCCTAGGTGCTCTCAGACCACAACAGTCTCCACTGCAGCTTCTCTGGTTCAAATGTTCCTTGGTGTTGCTTCATGCCGCCATCGTGCAATCCAAATCCAATTCGTGCAATAGCACACAAGCTCGGCATGTCTGGCAACCCACCTGCCCAGGAACAAACACCACCAACAGTGGGCGTTGAGTCTGCGCCGTCGCCGGCGACCACCAAGCCCCGGAACTCGACACACATCCGCCCACACCCGCACACACCCGCGTCGCTCGCTTGCGTCGATTGCCTCGCCATGCAGGACGACTGAGATCATTGTTCGGGTCGCCCATGGCCCAGAAGAAGCGAAGAAGCCCGTGGGGGGTTCCGCTTGCGTCCGCAGCTTGTCCCGTCCGCAGCTTGTCCCGTCACCAGCTATACCTGGGGGCCTGCCTGCCACCATGGAAGACTTCCATTCACTCATGCGCGAGACGCAATGGGCCGTCCCTGATGCTCCTCCCATGAGGTGGGCCCCGGAATCGGATGCTTCGCAGATGTAGCGGCTCGACGCCTCCAGCCCGCCCCCTCTCCCTTTGTCCGCTGTGCACGCTGCTCCAGGGCCGTTTCCGGGTTTGCTGCCCAGGTGCTCTGCTCGCGTGTGCTTTCTTTGATACCTCTACCCTGACCTGTTTCCTTATGTGTCTTTCCCCCATCCCCCATTCCAACTTTCCTCTTCCCTCCTGGCCACCGACACAACAGCCTCCCTAGCCACCGACACCCCAGACTCAGAACTGCGGTGCCCATCATGAACTTATTTCCCTGGAGCTCACGCGGCGGCGGCGACGGCACAGGCACAGGCACAGGCACAGGCACAGGCACAGACGCGGGCCCTGCCCCAGGCCCTGCCCCAGGCCCTGCCCCGGCGGACGCAGACGCGGGCGCAAGGGTGAGGCCGCCGCCCTTGGATCTGGGTGAGAGGCCGGTCGATGATGCCGAGAAATGGAACAGATCGAGGGCCCGCTGGGACCTCTCAATCAAGCCCGACGCCCCCGAGTTTGCAGGGCGGCTGGCCGAGTTCGAGAGGGCCCTGGACCCTGGCTCAGGAAAGAGCATCGACCAGATACTCAGGGACCACTTCTCCAACTACGAGGTGCACAAGTTCAGCGGGTGGGCCGACAGGAAGCGCGAGCCCGACCTGTACAGCCAGCAGAAGAGAGACGCCGAGGCCTACAACGCCCTCCTGGCAACACCGCCGTGGGACAGGGCCGCGCCCCAGGCGTTTCTCGCCTTCAAGATGACCATGTTGTTCTTTGGGTTCTCTGTGGAGCCCATGAAGATGAACGACTACTTCAAGCTACCAGCAGGGTCCGGGTTGTTTGGCCTTGACGACGACGGCGACAGCGACCTGGACGACGACCAGCGCACGTTCGTGCCCGAGGAGATGCGGCCACTGCGTTTCCTCAACAGATATGGCAAACGCAGCTACGGCGCTGACAATGGCCACAGTAAGCGCCCCAGCCCCCCTTCCTCCCCCTCCTCCCTCCTCCCTCCTCGCTCCTCGCTCCTCCCGGTGCTGTCGTGGGCGACGTGGCCAGAAGTGTCAACCCAATGCTAACACGGGCTTAGTGATGCCGGACCCGAGCTTTGAGATGTACTACGGCCTGCCATTTCAGCCACCAGCAGACGCCCAACGACATGCCGGGCACGGCGGCCAACCAGCCACAGGGGCTCAGGATGACATGCGTATCCGTGGCAGAGGATTAGGCGAGGACGGGGATGAGGACGAGGACGAGTTGATGAGCGATGGCTCGGTGGATGGCACTTCTTTCTGTTCCGACTCGCCGCTGCCAGACGCGCCCGATGTTGAGGCTGCCGGCGGAGACGAGGGCGGGCGGGAGGTGCAACTCAGAGGCGGGGCAGGAGAAGCAGAGGGCGGCGGGAGCTCAGAGGCCGGGCTGTACGTGATGTCGTTCTCTGGGTTCGTGTACTGTCCCACGCTGGGGGCGGGGGACCTGTACGCGGCCATCGACGCGGTGCTCGCGCTCAAAAGACGGGCGGGGGCTCAGATCAGCGTGGCGGTCGTGCGGGCAACGCAGGGGCAAGGGCAGGCCGAGGTCGTACGGCTGGAACGCGTTGTGCTGGGGGACGAGTCGGGGGAGAGGGAGGCGCACGACAGGCTGGTAACGGCGTACACGCACGCAACGCAGGAGGCCAAGCCGGGCAACCTGAGGATCTTTGCGTGCCACGCGAGCAGCGAGAGGGCGCTCGAGGAGCTCCGGAGCGGGGGCGGCTCGAGCAACTGCATGCCAGGCGACTCGGACGACACCTTCCTCGTCTTGAGGAGTTTGGGGGACCCGAGGAGGAACGGGGCCTACCTGTGGATGCCACAAGGAGTCGGGGAGGAGATTGCGTCGAGCCTGTACGCAGGGTGGTTTAGGAACGTGGTGCGGATCTTGGGGGGCCCGCAGCCGGCCGAGCAGGCGTGGCTGGTCACCGTGCGCCTGGGCAGCGAGGGCGCCGGGACGCCCTTCCACTCCGAGTCGCCGCTGCCGAGAGAGGTGTGGGAGGCCATTGTCCGACAGCGCCGTGGCGGCACCAGTGGGCTCTGGGTGACGCTGACGCCCTTTGAAGGGGGTGCCTTTGTGCAGGTGCCCGGCTACCACGGGCCGCTGCCGACGGCGGGGCACAGGCTGGGCCTGGGGCAGGTAATAGGGCTGGCCTGGAGCTCCGTGGCGGAGCGCGACAGGGCGGAGGTTGCCCACATGCTGGTGCGGCGGCCGGGACGCGCGAGCCCGAGCTCGGACTCGGACGTGGTGACCCTCGCGTGCCGGAACGGACAGGTGGACCGCACGGCAGCGGGCTACCAGGCGGCCGAGGCACGGGTGGGTGAGTGGCTGAGGCACGGGCTGTTCCTCACCGTCACGCCGCAGTGGGACACGTACCGCGGGCTGGTCGCGGGCACGGCAGACCACGTGGACGTGCCGGGGCACTGGGACTGGCCGAAGGTCAGGTCTCGTGTCCTGTCAACCCTGCAGCGCGCCGGGCCCGACCCCGAGCACACGCACGTCCTGCGCGTCGACCAGCGCACAGCCCAGGGCGACGCCATTGCCCTGGACCCCCTGCAGAGGAACAGGGTCGTGTCCCACCTGAGCCTGGGCACGGGCGAGCGCGCTCGCGCCGACTGGGCCTCCTTCAAGGCCGCCCTCTCGGTGAGGGACTTTACCATGGCGCTGGTGCCCAAGTCGGACAGCCTCGCGAGCCCGCTGCCGGCGGGCCCTGTCCACGCTGATGCTGCTGCCCTGTGGCACCAGTGGGGCTGCAACCGTCCCGCTCCCGCCCCGGCTCCCGCTCCCGCTCCCGCTCCCGCTCCGACCCGGACCTCGGCTCCCGCTCCTCCGTCAGACCGCGTCGCCGTCACCACCACCGGCCATCAGCATCATGACCACCATGACCATGACCATGACCATGACCATGACCACACCCATGACAGCGACCAGGGCTTGCTGCACCAGGGCGTGCCGCAGCTCGGGGCCGGCGTGGACATGTTCCAGTCGGGCAAGTACTACCGCGAGCAGTCGTTCGCCACGCCGCTGTCGGTGCAGGTGGGCGGCCAGGCGCCCAGGTTCCCCATCAACGCGCCGCCCATCGAGCACATCCGCCGCCCCCGCGGGCCCGGCGGCATCGAGTCCGACTCGATGCCCATCGTCAGCACCCAGGTCATGACCCCGACCGAGCAGCGCTCCCTGCAGCAGGCCTTCTTCCAGATGCGCTCCATCGCCCTCAACCGCGCCCAGCAGTGCCCCCACCAGGGCTGCCCCGCCTTCTTCCCCGTCGGCCCGGACAACATGGCGGCCTTCCACAAGCACCTCGCCGACAAGCACCTCGCCTCCCACTGCCCCTTCTGCGACGACTCGCTCTTCCAGCACGCCTCGGCCCGCGACAAGCAGAAGCACTTTGTCGACAACCACTCCGAGTACTTCTCCGCCCCCGGCGACCTCCAGGCCGAGGCCCTGCTCGCCGCCACCACCGCCCCAAGGGGCAACGTCCACCCCAGGGAGGAGCAGTTCAACTTCTGCCCCCGCTGTGGCCGCAACCACCAGCTGCTGACCAGCAAGCCCGACCGCGTCCACCACGACAACGCCTGCTTCCCCGGCAACGATTCCACCCTCCACCCCGGGCCCTACTGCACCCGCTGCGGCGAGCCCGACCGTGCCCCCGCCGCCTCCCGCGCCGCCACCAGCCACCCTCACCGGCAGCACCAGTGCGCCGCCCCCGCCGACCCCGCCGACCCAAAACCCGCAACCTTCTGCCAGCACTGCGCCCTCGAGTGCCACCGCCTGCCCCTCTCGTACGCCAGGCGCCACCTCCTGAACTGCAAGCCCCTGGCCTCGGCCGCCGACAACTGGTGCCCCTGGTGCGGCGTCGACCTCAAGTCCGGCCCGCGCGCATCCCGCCTCAAGCATCTGGCCGTCTGCGTCCTGAGGCCCGCCTCCGGCCAGAACCCCGTGTCTACCGACTCTGGCATCCCCCTCGACAGCCCTCGCGACCTTCAGGCTCACCGGCTGAGGCACGGCCTCACCGACACGGGCACGTTCAGCCGCAAGACCAGGATCGCCGTGCCCCCGACCTGCCCCGTTGCCAGCTGCCGCGTTGATCTGACCTCGTGGAACGCCCAGGGCCTCTACGACCACTTCCAGTCCCATCCCGACAACTCCCTCGAGCCGGGCGGCGGCCTCAAGAGCTGCCCCTTCTGCAAGTGCAACTTTGAAACCCGCGGCTGGGCCACCAGGGCCGAGAAGCAGCAGCACTTTGACGACCATATCAACTTCAGGCAGCGTGCCCGCCGCGTGCTCAATGACGAGATCATCGGTAGTCACCCGGACCGGAACAGCCCTTCGGTCCTGCAGGCTCTCGCCGCACTAGACCATGACCAGCTGGACAAGACGGCCCAGACCGAAAGCCTTAATGCAGAGATTGCCCGCCTCTCCGAGACCGTCAAGCGATTGGCCGAAGACAATCGCAGGTGCAGAGACGCTCAGCGTCAACCTTCTGGTGCGTGTGGCTTGCTTCCACCCGTCCTTGAGACCCCCTCCCCCCCCCCCGCCCTTCCTCTCCCGGCCACACTCTGAGCTGGCCTACCAACCACCCTTGCGCCCTTAATCCCCCCCTGCCCCCTTGAGCTTGACATCCTAGATGCCTGCGAGATCTCAAAGAGAACCGAATCCGGCTGACAACCTGGCAGGGCAAACCCCGCGGCCCCCACAGCCCCTAAACACGCCACCTAGTTCCGGTGTGAAACGACGTACGGCTGCTAGGGCCTCAAGACCCAGCCCTGCCGGTGCGCAGCCACCGGCCAAGAGGCACAGGACTGCTCATCGTGGCACGTCAGGCACCAACATCCCGGGCTTTTCCACTGGGCGCCAGGTCTTTGGAAGCGTTCGGGACGACGAGGAGGAAGAAGATGACGAGGAGGATGAGTCTGCGCTGAGTTCTGACGTCGACGTCGAGGACGGAATCATCGACGAAGAAGACCTCGATGACGATGTAGAGGAATATCACGGAAGGGGGCAACGGGCTGGCTAATCAAGTCTGAACGAATCAAGTGTTTTCCACATCCTCTGGTGTTGCGTCCCTGAGCAGCGTGGCCCAGGTGCATGGTAGCTGAGTGGCACGTCAGGATTGTGGCCAAGGGTTGTGATATTTCTTTTGCTCGCCTCGGTGTGTAGTCTGGAAGTCTATTATAGTATCCACTTGTATCTCTGCGCACAAATGTGCGGGGCCTCCCGCGGTTGGCAACCGCAATAGCTGTCGCTTTTGGAAAGGCTGGTCATTGTCATGACTGCGTGCAAGGCTTTACCGTGTCTTCAAAAATGTCTTGCCAGACCCCCGAGCCAGCGCTTTTCTTGCGGCTCCCAAGGCGTCGCGGTCCAGTTGCACGACTTCAATGTTTCGCGACTGCCGTCGCCAGCAAACATGTCTTGATATCCAACCACACATGCCCCTTTGGACACGCACCTAGGTCGATTATTGGTGTGGTCTCGTGTTTGCGATAGTGAAGTGAGTGTGGGACACGGGATCATCTGATTGCACACTGATGGCACCTCCACCGTTGCTGCTATACGAGACGGGAAGTGAGAGAATTGCCGAGATTGCCCGTTCGTTCGATCCTCCCGAGCATGGAATTGGCCAGCCAGTATGGCCAGAAGGCGGCTTACTGAACCGGCTAGGGCTGGCTGGCTGGGGCTGGCTGGGGCCACTTGAGCATGACAGCCAGACTGATTGGTGCGCGGACGCGACAGTCCGAGACAGAGCCACTGCCACCCGGTCAACGACTCCCCAGCTGGCTCGTAATGCCTGGCCTCTTGTCTGTAGTACTCTGTAGTCGGGGGCGGGGGGGGTCACTTGGCAAATAGAACGATCACAGGATATGTAGAGTACGCCACTTCTCCGCAGTGGCCGCTGCTGCTGACACCCGTGGACATGTTCTCTGAGGTCCCGGGGGTCCCTCTCTCGTCTTCAAGTGACGTTAGGAATCTTCCTAGATTCCCACCACGCAGCTCAGCCACCTGGTTCTCAATTATCCCGCCTACAAGTGCAATGTCATCCCCAGCATCAGAAAAAGTACCAGAAATTCCACTGACGGCCCAGGAAGCCTTCGACTCCATCGGCCCGGCGTACGAAGACGCCTTCTCGGGGCTGCTTGAGCGTAAGAAGCTTGTGAATACAATTTTTATTTTACCCGTTCAAGGACAGAGATGACCCATTCTTGGCCCATGAAGCAAGTACTTCAGGTCAAAAAACATACTATAGGCACCTGGCCTCCTTGTAGCCCACCCCTTGCGGTGTTGGCACGAAACCATTGCTTGACTTCTTTGATGGCTGACTCCGAATGCTCTAGAGAAAATATCGGTTGAGTGGCTCCTCACCCAGCTCAAGGAAGCTGGAGTCGAGACGGCCAGATTTGTTGACTTGGGCTGCGGCACGGGACGCCCCGTCTGTCAGTCGCTCGCCAACGCCGGACACACCGTGCTTGGTATAGACTTGTCCGCCGTGATGGTTGCAGCAGCCCGTGAGCGGGTACCAAACGCAAGGTTCGAGCAGATGGACATTTGCGACTTCACCCCACCGCAGGGGTCGTACGACGCCGCCAGTGCGTATTTCAGTCTCCTTGCCGGCGTGTCCCAGGATGGGATCCGGAGACACTTGGCCAAAATTCATCATTTCCTGCGGCCTGGTGGCTTCTTCGTCTTCGCCACCGTGCCAGGGAATGCCGAGAACGTACAGATGAAATGGATGGGACGGCAAGTCACGGTGTCTAGTTTGGACGTAGACGAGGCGGTGCTGGCAGTCGAGGGCGTCGGGTTCGAAATCATCAATATCAGTGTCTCAAACTTCGTGCCTAAGGCTGAAGAGGCTGGTATCTGTCAGAAATCGGAGGTATGGGAGGAGACTCATCTATTTGTGTATGCAAGAAAGCCGGAAGCAACAAGAAGCTGAACTCTTCCGACAACGCGGCAGGGCACGGATCGTCGGCTATGCATGTGTACCACCAGAAAAGACCACTACATGTACTGATTGGACATTTGTCCTGAGCTCTTTTCCAAGTCCTTTGCCGCCGCCTATCTTGATCCAACCCCCCTCCCCTGCAATACTATCCAGCGATCAGCGACGTGAGTTCCATCCACTACACGATTTCAAGGCAGGTTGGCAAGTTGCATGCAAGGCGCTGTTCAAATTTAATACCGGAGGGCTGCCCAAGCTCTGCAAGGTACTTCAAGTTTGGTTTCCCCCAAGCCCCGTCCTTGAAGTGCAATCTCACTGCGCTGACGTCCTACGAGATGGCCAAGTGGGTTTCCCCTTTCCTGAAATACCTAGGTACACCTAACTAACTGCACACTGAACCAGGTGGCTTCACGCTCCGGAAATGGTACCATTTCCGAAAACTCGGATGTCGTGGGAACCAGGTCGCCCGCGTCCTTCAGCGTTACAATTTGAGGATCCCGCTTCAGTGAACAGAGTCCAACTGTTCCTCGGCGATCTTTTCCTTCTCCGCGTCTCTCTCGTCCCCAGCACTAGACCCGCTGCCTCGTAACATCTGTGTTAGCCCAATCTCGGTGTTTATCTCTTCCATCCTCTCCGTATCAGCCTGCGCGGTGCCCTCGCTGCCAAAGATGACATCCATCTCCTCCAGCGTCAGACGCTTTGTCTCTGGAACAAAAAACCAGATGAAGACAGCACCGAGATACGTTAGCAAGCCGAATAGGATATACGTGCCGTAGGGCATAGCCGACAACATATCGGGCGTGACTTGGCCCACGATGAAATTGTTCATCCAGTTGCTGCTCGCACCTAGACTCACGCCGTATGGGCGCGCGGATAGTGGCCAGATCTCGGCGACGAGGATCCAGGCACAGGGGCCCCATGAGTACCCAAAAAAGGCAACAAAAACCCACACCATGGATACAGCTGCCCAACCCGCGGCGGCCCTGGTCTCCCACTGCGTGCGATTCCTTGCGATGATGACGGCGATGATGATGTGGCAGGTAGCCATTCCCACCGCTCCGGTAGCTAGTACAGGCTTTCGACCGACCCGGTCAACGTATAACACAGCGGGAATGGTAGCCAAAAACATGACTATGCCAACAACCCCGGTTGCGAGCAATGATGTCTCGGTAGAGTCGAGGCCGAGCTGGCCGAATATCGTTGGGGCATCTGCGGTTCACACACGGTTGTTAGAAGAAGAAGAAGAAGAAGATGATGATGATGATGATGATGAAGACAGCCCAAGGAATTGGATCGCACGAGCCCTGGACCGGGCGTGGATACGCATAGACATACAGTAAAGAACAGCCTGCATACATCAGTCAGCTGGGAGCCCCGGGTCAGGAAAAGTGTCTTCAAGATTGGGAAGCAACGCACATTGATGCCGGTCCACTGCTGGAACGCCATTGTGACGCATGCCACGATCACGCGCTTAAACATGGCCCGTGTTTGGAACAGGCTTTTGATGGCGACGAACTGTAGTTTGAAGGTGTTCCACGCAGTCTGCTCTCTGAGATGAGGGAACTTCTCCGCGACGGTCCGCTTCTCGAACATGCTCTGGGCTTTGATCTCCAGGAACTCCAGCTCGACGAGCTCGTGGTCTGCCGGTAGATCACGCAGCCGGGCGAGCACGCGGCGGGCCTCGTCCTCCCGGTCGTGGTGCACCAGCCACCTGGGAGAAAAGGGCATGAACAACATGCCGAAGAAGAGGACCAGTGCTGGGGCGATTTGGAGACAGATGGGGATTAGCCACGCGGCGTCGCTCTGCGATGTACCAGTCCTGATGAAGTTTGTTCCATAGTCGATCCAAAAGGAGATCATAATGCCAAAGCAGATTGCCAGCTGCTGTAGGGACACGAGCGCCCCTCGGATCTCGGGCGGGGCAACCTCGGAGTTGTAGATTGGCACGATGGTCGCCAGTGATCCGACACCCATGCCGGTAACGAAACGCCCGGCCAGGATACTGTGAGAGGCTGTCAGCTTTCCAGTCCAGGCTCCAGGGGCAGATGGACGCGCGAGGCCGCTTACCTGTTGTGGCCCGCCCCGGTCACGGCCGTGCTCTGGATTACAACGCCGATCAGGAAGACGGTCACGGCCACGAGGATGCCGTACTTTCTGGAGATGGCCTCTGCGACGAAGCCAGACAGGAGGGTCCCCAGCCAAGCACCAAGCTCGAGGATGGAAGTAAGCCAGCCCTTCTTTGTTTGGTCAGCGCTGGGGTCAACGGGGTCGTACTCGCCCATGTCTGTCTCGCAACATCAGCTGTATGCTCTCAAGTCGGACATGCCGATGATGGAACATTGGACATACGCTGCTGGAAGCTCGGCATCGCCAGGAGCCCGGAGAACATCCCTTGGTTGTAGCCGTACAGCACACCGCCGATGCAGGCAAAGGCGGCAATTGCAAACACGCGGGCGTTCTTGACGAGTGCCGCGGGACCGCTCGAGCCCATCAGGGCCTCGCGGCGGTGCAAGGCCGCATCGTAGATAGCCTCGGCGCCCATTGTGAAACAGGGAATTGGAACCTTGGGAGCCTACTGGTAGTGTCGACGACCGTGAAGTGCGAGAGAGTCCTCGGGTTGCCGTTCCACGACGGCGCCGGCGTGGCAGGGTATTTATATTTCAACCCGGCCGGGTGGTTCCGCCTTGCTCCTCCCGGATGAGGCAACGTGCTCAAGATCAACACATTGTCCGATCAACCGTTCCAATCACACCCTGGCCTCTGTCGCTAAGAAATGTCCCCATCCCCAGATCTGCTGGCACAAGATGGCCCAAGTGCTTACCTTGCTCCCATGCCGGAGATGAGGGGTAAACAGGCCCTGCAGCCCCAATGCCGACCCCGTCTTGTGCGCAACCAACTAAATGTAAGCAGATCACAGGATGTCAGGACCTCGGGGAGGGGGGGTGGCTCTGTGCATCCACAGATGCCTCGCAGGGACACCAGGTCGGTTCACCGCATCAGTCTATGGGTGCATCCGCTCCTGTCTGATCTGTGAGCGCAACCAACTGCCAGCTCGCCGTACGACTTGTAATACTCCGTACTGCTCCCCTGGCCAGGCGTGGTCGTGCAGTCTAGGATCGCGGCTGTACTGCCCTTGGCAGGGACTTGACAGGCCATACAAATGGGCTGGGTGAATTAGGCTAAATGCTGCCTGCGCGGCTAATATGTGTCGCGTGTCTACCCCAGGTTACCTACCTACTTAGAGGTACTTAAGTGCGTGTGTATGACTGCAGTAGCGCAAAACTAGTAGTAGCCATTATGGAACCTCCCGGGCTGACACAAACACCTAGGCACACCCTCCAATCTTCGCCATTACCCATCATATATGCTCTTCTTAGCTTATTATAACTTTAAAAATGGTAACACGTTATAATAGAGACTTTTTAGCTGAAAAAAAACCTCTGTCTATATATTTATCTTCTATAAGAGGCTCTATCTATAAAGCTTTATCTTATTAAAGGATAAAAAGCTACTTATAAGAAGGAATTATAAAGAGGGGTGAATATTAACTTATAGTAGATTAGAAAAGATTTCTTAATTATATAGTTAGTATTTAAAAAGAGAATTTATAATATTAAATTATAAAAGAGTATTATAATAAAGTTATTTTTTAAAGGTTTTAAATATATTATAAGAAATATATAAGTTTTTAAATACTTTATAATAACTTTTAAAATTCTTTAAAAGTTATAATATAAAGATTTAAATAAAGACTTTCTATTAATATTAATTAATTTTTATTATAAATATTATTATTTATAAAATTATAAAATAAATTAATAAAATAATTAAAATAAATTTAAACTTTATTTAATATATTAAATAAAAGTTATTTTAAAATAATATAAAAATATTATTTTTTAAATATAAAGTTAAAAACTTATAATTATAATTTTATAATTAATTTTTATTTAATAAATTTCTTTTTATAATTTAATTTAATTAAAGTAGAGATTTACTTTTATATAATTCTAAATTTAATTATTAATAACTATTTTTAATTATATAAACTATTAAAATTATAAACTTAAAATAATAATAAAGTATAATTACTTTATTTAATTATATTTTAATTTAATAGTATAATAAGTTAAGTAATTACTTTTAAATAATTTTATTTAATTTAAATTATATAATAAGTTTAATATTTATATATAATATTTATTAGTATTAAATTAAATAGTTTATAATTTATAATAGTTTTAATTTTAATAGATTAATTTATATTAAAGTTAATAATATTAATTTAAGTTAATATAACTTAATATATTAATATAAAAGATAGCTTTTAATAATAAATAATATTATAAATAATTATAAAGTTATTATGAAAAGTTTTATATAATAAATTTAATTAAATAAATTTTTAATAAGTATATTTTATTTTATTTTATTAAAACTTTAATTATTTATTTTTAATTTAATAATAAAATAAAAATATAAATATAAATAGTTTATATTAATTTATATTAATTTATTATATAATTTAAATATAAATATAAGTTAATTAAAATAAATAAAATAAAATTATTATTTTTAAAAAATATTTAACGTTATTTAAATAAATATTTATTTATTAATTTTATAAATAAAATTATTTAAAGATAATTATTTAATTTATTATATTTTATTAAATTAAAATATAATTTTTAAATTTTATTAAAAATTATAATTATAAAGTTTTAATTTTATATTTAAAAATAATTTAATATATTAATATAAAAATATTATTTAAATTAAAAATAATATTATAATTAATTATAAAATTATTATATAAAGTTTTATATAATAAATTTAATTAAATTAAATTTAAAAATATATATTATATTATATATTTTAAAACTTTAATTATTTATTTTAATTTATTAATATAATAAAAATATAAAAATAATTTATATTTTAAAAGATTAAATAATTAAATATATATATATATATATTAATTATAAATATATAAATTTTTAACCTTTTAAATAAAAGTAATAAATATTATACTTTATATATTTAAAGATTAAAAATAAACTTATTTACTTACTCTTTAATAATATTAATAAGGTAAGTCCTTTAATAGTTAACCTATATATTAGCCGTGTATATAGAATCTAGAACCACTATATGTAACGGTGATATGTGCTTTTGCCTCTCTTCAGTGCTGGAATGGTGTTGGATATCTTGGAAGGCTAGCTGTTATAAAACGCCTCGGTGGGCCATCCTGGTCACACACCACAGCAACCCGGCAAAGGCCTGGCAGTGACGCTGAAGGAGGGGTGGTGGTGTTGGCGGGGGCACTGCTGTAGTGCGAGTCGATGATAGCTCTCTGAGCACTACCACTTGGATATCGCAGCACGCAATCAAGGGAGGCGAGTTGTAGATGCATCGCGATGATGCAGCAGCCTGGTTAGTTCCGGAGCCGAGGATTGAATATAAGGGGACTTGAAGAGTGGCCAGAGTGAAACGATTTTGCCCGGGGAGCCGAGGCAAGCAAGTCTGAATGTTGCCTCGAGGCCGGCTCAGCGCAGGCCATCGGGGCAAGAGTGCACCCTGGACGGATTGGAGCACACGCGGGCCATAAATAGACACGGCTGATTGAGCGGGTTGTTTCGAAACAGATGCAGCCGCCTGCTGGGCCGCACCGATGACGGACAGTATATTCCCTGCTCGCGATGGCCCGTAGCCAAGGGCAGAGGGCGCGGCTGGGGGCCGCGACCCAGTTGCAGCCCTATGTGAGCTGGGGACGGTTGGCAGTTGGTTGCTAAAGAAAGACCGGGTAGGCGGCCGAGAGATCCCAGGCGGGTTCCACACACGGTGGTATCTGGTTGGAAACGGCCCCGTCCGAGGCCGACGAGGCCAGCCCACGGACTGAGGCCCCGGTGCAAGGGGAGTGGCCCGCCTGCCGACCTGGCGGCCTGCCGACCTGCGCCGGCGAGTGTCGGGACCTGACTTATCCGGCGGGAACCAGCCCGGCGCTGCCAAGAAATGCCCGGCAGAAATGCCCGGCAGAAATGACGGGCAGAAATGCTGGGCGGTCTTGAGCAAGGATGATTCGGCAAGAGGCGGGCCGGGAAAGGCACCCGACCCGGGGCGCGGCGGCGGCGGCGGCGACGGGTGTAGATCAATGTGCAGCGAGACAGAGTCTGGAGCTGGGCCTGGGCAGCCCAAAGACAGGCGGAGTTGGAGTTTGAGGCTGGTGAAACAAAGGGCGCCTCTTTTGCGCATGCCTCTAGTGCCAGAGGCAGGCGAGGCAGCGAGGGAGGAGCAGTTAGTGCTTATACATGTCAGGTACACAAGCGCGACCCTGGGGCAATGGGCGAATCAAAAGGCGGCGCCGGGCAGGGGTCCCCCCCCCCTGGCCAAAAATAGTCCGCAGCCAGACCGCTCTGGGAAGAGATGAAGCTTGGAAGTGAGCTTTTAGACGCGCGCCTGCAGGATGCTCAAAGACGAGCAGTCTTGTCTCGTGCTCGTCCAGCGACTGCAACCACAAATGCTCCTGCCGTGAGGCTGTTGATGTCCATCTCGTGCGCCACGTTTCAAGAGTACCTAGGTACTTACACATGTCTCCTTCTGGCAGCGAGCGTCGAGAGTGCTGCCACCGACGAGGGTGCCGCCGTCACAGTACAAGCAGTGCAAGCAGTGCAAGCAGTGCAAGCAGTGCGGTGCGGTGCGTGCATGCATGCAATGCAATGCAATGCAATGCAACCCTGGGGCTCCCACAGGCTCATTTCCTCTGATTGCCTTGTCGCGATACGCCGGCACGCCGCTGAGATCAAGATGCGGCCCCCGAGGCTGTTGTTTGAGCACGACCCTGGTCCCCCCGCCAAACATTGTTTCTACAGGCCGCACGGGCCCCCTCCCCCATCTGCCCTGCCGTCCCGTCATCCCACCTCGCCAAATATCGCCAATTAGCCGCGCTCCGACCAGGGAGATACGGGGTACGGGGTAGATGGAGCCACGCACCTCGGCGGCACATCACAGTGCCGTGCGGCTGTGTGGCGCTTCCGGCTCACCACCTCCCTCCCTCCACCATCTATTCTGCGTCTAATTCCATGCTGCCCGTCAACTCTTCCTTCCTCCTCGCCGTTGCTATTTTTGACTGGCCCCTGTCCCCCTGTCCCCTGCTCCCGTTCGTGGACCATACCCCATCTCCCATCTCCAATCTCCCATCGTCCATCGTCTGTCATCCATCGTCCATCGTCCATCGTCCACGCCCCCCTCTGCCCTCCCAACCACACCCCCCACCCCGGCAACGGACCGATCTGATTACCCATCATCCTCTGCATGCTGCATGGTGCATGGTGCACGGGCATGTCGTCTGCTGTGGGCTGTGGTCACGGTGCCGCTGCCGCTGCCGCTGCCGGTGCCGCTGCGAGCTCGGTACGTAATAACAGCAAGCCATGGCTTTTCCCACGTCGAATCAGACGGGCCTGGCGGGGCCCAGCGAGCGGGTCCCAACGATCCTCCTCCACACCAAGGATCTATCTACTTTCGGCTCTGCTCCCTTCCTGATCTATTCCCATCCTGTCCTGCTCGACCTGGTTCCGGTGCTCCATGTCTCGGCCGCCCACACGGCTGCTGCCCGTCTCGTCTGTCTATGCGCTCGGGCTGCGGCTACGCCTGCGTGGGTATCCACCGTGGTCTGCTGAATAGCCGCCCTCCCCTCCCCCAACGGCCCCACACAACCTTGGCCCGTCGTAGCCGCCCAACTTCAGACAGACGCCATTGCGAAATCTGCCAGCCAATATCAGCGGCCCGTTGTTGTGCATCCCATCAAGCAGACACACGATCCAGGTTTCATACCCGCAGCTGCCGTCAACCTACCCTGGTTTCAGATCCGATCTCCAGTCCATCAGCCTCTCCCTCCATGCTGTGTACCGGGGGGGGGGGCAGCAGGGGAGGAGGGAAAGGGCCTTCCCCCTCTCTCGCCTGCCTGCCTGTCTGTCGAGGTCGACGTGGGAGCATGGGCAAGGCAATGGCAGGGCAATGGCAGGGCAAGGGCAAGGGTGCTGCTGTGGACAGAGTGGGTGGGCGGTACGTACCTGGCCCATGTACTACCGTCGAGGATCCACTCCACAGATCGGATCCTCCTCCTCCATCATCTTATCTGGTCATCTTTTGTTGCCATTCCTGTACGGCGCCGTCCAGCGCTGTACCGTGCCGCACCTGCCCTCTCCCCCCCCCCCCCAGGCGCGCAAATCCTCGCCATGTATTTTTATAAGTAACAGGAGCCGCCTGCATCACCATCAGCCCGTGTCTCTTATTCCAGTCTTCCAGTTCCAGCTTCTTCTATCCTACAGCCTCCTCGCATCTCGCCTCCTCTCCTCCTCGTTTCCTTTTTCCTTTTTCCTTTCTCTCTTGTTTCCTTTTCTCTTTCCTATTTTCCTATTTTCCTAGCCCCTCGCCCGTCCAAAACAAGACCTCGCGCTCATTCGCTGCTGGCCTGTCCTTCGTTTGACACGAACCCCTCCAGAGTTTGGCCCATATTCAGACGAGCCGGTCCCGCCAGAAACAGAAGCCACGCCTCCCGTCCCCGACTAATTCCTCGTCGCCGTGCCGCCGCGCCCCCCTCGAGGTCGACCTAGCTTTTCGAGGCCAGCAGACGCCCGCCGTTGTTGAGTGAGCCTCCACCAGCGGCCAGACACACAAATGCCATCACTCATACCGACCCACAACATGGCCTTCTACAACACCCGGTCCACCTCGCAGGTGCCGACCACCATGGACTACTACGGCAGCATGACGACCACGGCAGCCCAGCCCATGTCCATGTCCACCTCCATGCCCGGCGCCGCATACGACCCTTATGCCGTCGCCCCCCTCACCATGCAGCCGCCAGCCCACGCCGGCCACCACCACAGCCACTCCACCGCGTCCTACCTCTCCACAGACCCGCACCACCGCGTCCCCACCTCCTCTCTCCCCACACAGCACCGCGCCTCATCCGGCGCCTGGAATGCCGCCGACGACCAGACCCTCCTGGGAGCCCGCGCAAGTGGTCAGAACTGGGCACAGATCCAGCAGAACTACTTCCCCTCCAAGACACCCAACGCCTGCCGGAAGCGGCACGAGCGCCTCATGGAACGCAAGGGCGCCGATGACTGGGACACGCGCAAGCTGGAGAAGATGGCCAAGGAGTACATGGCCCTGCGCAAGGAGATCTGGGCCCCGCTGGCGCTCAAGACCGGCGAGAAGTGGAATGTCGTTGAGCAAAAGGTACTTCCCCCTCATCCCGGCCTGGCCCCCCTCCATCCCGCTCTCCCTCCCGCCATGTACTGACGCGGCTGGATTCAAGTGCATGTCCAACGGTCTGAAGAACCTCCAGGGCGCGGCCCGGGCAGCCGCGCGCCGCGAGCGCCTCGAGGCCGGCCTCCCTCCCACAGACCCCTACAACGACGACAGCGGCATCTCGGGTATCGACCTCACCGAGGTCGACGACTTGGACGGCGATGCCGGCTACGGCGGTGTCCCCAGCCCGGACCGGTCCACGACATCCTCGGGCGGCGCCGGTGGAAGCAGCACCGCATCCCAGTCCTACTCCACTGCACCCTCAACATATGGTCACCCTCAGGCCTATCCCGGATACCCGACGATGGGGGGGCACGGGTACGCAAACAGTGTGAGCAGCTCTGGCGGGACCGCATATGGGCACCACAACGGCGCACAGGGACACCACAGCCAGAGTGCGAGCCCATATATGGAGGCCATGCACAGGATGCCGAGCGTGGACATGGGCATCGACTCCATCATCAACCGTCCAGGGGTCCAATAGCAGCATGCGCCCAGTCCGTACTAGGCAGTGGCCTCTTCCGCCCACCTCCATCCGTGTCCACTACCACCTGCCCGCCTCCTCCTTAGCCTACCCTGCCTTGTCCGACCCCACAAGGTCTTGTTTCCCTTGGCCAGTTTGGCCCTTGGGTTCAGATCACACAATCGCTAATTGTCTTTTGCCGTTATGGGATTTTCTTTTGTCTTCTGATCAAACAAATCATCATCATCGTCGTCGACGTCGTCGTCGTCGTCGTCGTCGTCATCATCATCGTTATTATCATTACTGCCTTCATCTGGGGAAGGGCGGGAGGTTTTGCTCCACCGGCGTTCAAACAGGACTCAGCGGCGTCAAGGAGCGATTCAAAAGGATTGACGGCAGATTTTTTTTTCCTCTCGCCGTTGGGTTATTCTTTGCTTTCTATGGAATTTTTATAGAGTCATTGGGATCCTGGAACGAAAACGGAATGACGAAACAGGACACCCAAACTCAATGCCATACCGAAACGGCGGATGAACGGCCGGCGGTACAGCTAGAGAGAGGCGGCGACCTTGGATGAACTTGATGCTTCGCGGTTTAATGTCATTCCTGTCCTGCTTGCTTTACTAAATCACTTTATTGTATACTAGAAGACATCATGATCTTAGATACCACGGTGGAACGGCCCGGGACTGGCGCAACACTTGTTGGAAAGGATGATAGGATAGCTGGACAGATACTTCAAATCACTTTATCGTCCGCTCCGCGTTTTTTTTTTTTAAAAAAAAAAAGAAAGAAAGAGGAACTCTTCCTCAAATACAAGGCCTCTCTGTGGTGCCCGATAGCTTGTCCGCCATCGTAATATAGTACCAGCCTCCTGCAGGGTCCTGTACGCCTTTTGAGCGACGGATGGAGCTAGAAGTGGTAACATACAACCGTGCAACCTACGCTTAGCCTTTCGGCGTCTAAGTCAGGCCTCATCGGGTGTCATGAGATTGTGCTTTTGTGTTTGAAGTGCTTTCGTGCGTGTGCATTTGCGCCTGCTTCTATGCCGGCCGCCCCAACAATGGTGCTTCGAGGCTGTAGCCAGTGCTTCCTGAGATGGCCAGCTCATGTTTCCTATAATACAACCGGGTATCTCTCTCTCTTTCTCTCTCTCACGGGCTCCCGTCCCCTACGCGTGGGCTCCTCGGAGGTATCCTCGCTGGGGGTTGGGCAGAGGGGACGTCGAGCTCGTCGTCAATGTCCTCCCATTCGTCTTGGTCGACAGGTTCGCCCACGATGCTGGCCCACACCCTCTGCCACATGCCCTTCTTCTGTAGAAGGGCAAGGCCCATGACAGCGGGCAAGTGCCAGACACTGGCCCAAAAGAGCCCCCGGGCACTTCCCTTGTGGCCCTTCAAACGATGGAATCTGAGTGCCTCACGGACCAGCCACAGGTTCACCGGCAAGCTCGTCACGGCGAACGTCCACTCGGTGACGCCGTAAGCGCACAGGGCTACACAGATGGGCATGAAGACCAGGCTGTACCGCAGCGCAACCCTGCCGTTCCTCGCCGGGTCCAGCCAGCACAGCATCTTCAGGCCGGCTGCCTTGTACTCGTGACGCACCGCCCAGGAGAGGGCCATGAAGTGAGGGAATTGCCAGGCAAACAGGAGCCCGGCAAACAGCCAGCCACCGGCGCTGGAGGTGCCGTCGCCGGTGAACTTGAACAGCAGCTCGCGGAAGGTGCCGTCGGCGGTGGCGCTCTCGCCGGCAGCTGCGGCCCAGCCCATCAGGGGCGGGATGCCGCCGACCAGGGCGCCGACCCAGGTGTTGAGCCAGTGAAAGCCCTTCATGGGTGTGTAGACGCCGGCGTAGAGTGCGATGTTGGAGGCGCCGAGGAAGGCCACGGTGGGGTTCACGCCCCAGTAGAGGGCGGCTGTCCCGAGGAGCCCACAGCCGGCGGCAAACAGGACAGCAGCCCTGGTGGACAGCAGATTGCGCACCAGGGGGCGGTTCCGCGTCCGGGACATCTTGGCGTCGGTGGATGGCTCGTACAGCATGTTGAGGGCGTTGGCAGAGGCAGAGCACAGGGTGGTGCCTGTTGTGAGGAAGAGCAGGGTGAGGGGCGACAGGGAAGGGGCGTCGGCGAGGGTGGCGGAGAGGAAGGCGGGCACGGGATACAGGGCGTAGGGGACCATGGCTGTTAGGACGACGAGGACGGTCAGGCGCGGTTTGGAGAGGGAGAGCAGGGCGGAGAGCCGGCGCCGCAGCGAGTTGGCAGGCTGGGAGGCGGCGAGGCTGGTGAGGGTGTCGGAGGCATTCTCTGGGAGAACATGATGCGGCGGCGGCGGGCTGGCCCCGGCGGCGGCGGGGGCGGCGGCGGCAGCGGCGGCGGCACGCCTGGCAGCTTGTCTCTGGCGGTGTGGCGGGACCTGTGTGGCCACCGGCTTGGGGCCTGGGTCGTCCTGGTCCGGGAGGGATGAAGGAGAAGTGGGCTCGGTGCGCAGGAGAACGCCCTTGTGGAAGACATCGGAGGCGTCGAGCAGCACGTTGGGGCTGAAGTAGCTGGACGTGGTGGTGGCGACAAGACGGCGGCTGGGCTGGCGGAAGAGGCTGGGACTGCGCAGTATCAGGGGCCGGGTCGGGGATGAGCAGCAGGCGGAGGACACGAGCTGGGAGGAGGGAGAGAGGCGAGCACCAAGCCCTCGAAGCCCGCCTGCAAGCGCAGGTGGTCGCATGGTTGCTTTTGCTGTGCAGCGCTCGCCTGGGGCAGCGTCGACTACCTCATGATCAGCAGGCCTTTGGTCCTTTCCCCGGGCCGGTCTGCTTGTTGAGGAGGGGTGGGTGCTGTGCTGGAGGCGGAGGCCGGTTGAGGAGCATCGATCGGATGAGGTCTGCCAGAGTGGGCTGCCCTTTTTTTTTTCTCTCTCTGCCCAGGCCGGCCGGGGACTCGGGGACTGGGTGGGCACCTGGGTACGGAGCACCTGGGTACCTGGGTACCTGGTTACCTGGGTACCTACCACAAAGCTCGGGCCACGTGCGGCTCTCGGGCTGCAAGCACCGAGGACGTGCCTACCTACCACCTACCTCTCAGCCTCTGTAGGCTGCTAGGTAGATGTTCATCCACCCCCCTTTATTAATCAATCAATCAATCAATCAATCAATCAATCAATCACGCCCAGGCCGCGAGCGCGAGGGACCCGAGGAGGCCAGCATGGTCAGCCCTCACCCAAACTGGACCGGTCAATGCCTTGTCGGGTTATAGACGGTGTTGTTTCAGGCGTGGGTGGCCTAACTTGAGGATATAGTTCGGCACCAATGTTTGACCCCATCGTCTTTTTGCTGGGCGGCCGGGCCTTGGACAGCAGGGCTGAGACGTGCGTCCAAGAGTCATGCCCCCACGGGACAGGTGCGGCAGCCAGGGGGTCGGGGGGCTGCCCAGGCGACGTGTCCAACCGTCGACGGGACCTCGATGCCCCTGTGTCGATCAACTCTCGAGTGCCGGCCTCGCAGGCCTCACAGGCCTCACAGGCAGAGAGGGCTGGCCCGTGGCTTGGCATCTCATCTTCAGGGCCGACCGCATTCGAGTCAACGTCGCCTCACCACCACCGCGACAGGGATGCCCAGCTCCAGGCAGGCCAGACCGCATCTTGGGCACGTGCTCGCCGTCGCCAGCCACGGGCTCGGCCACGGGCTCGACGAGCTCAGCAGAGATGCATGCATGACAGTGCGTGCCTTAGGCTGGACGCCCTCATGCGCATCCCGGGCCTGCCATGGGTCCCCTTCTCCCAGCGCCCCATTCAAATATCCCCGGCCTGGGCCTGCTGTCGTCCTGGACCTCTGCTCAGGCTGCTCAAGCTGCTCAAGCTGCTCAAGCCCGCCGTCTCTCCTCCGCGCCACCTGCCATACAGCCCGACGACCTCCCCGACGACCTCCCCCGCCGCCGTTCCCAGTCCCTACTGATCAATCGCCCAACGGCCCCCGGGCTCCATGCAGCCTTCGCCCAACCCAACCGGCCATGACGGCCACGGCCACGGCCCCACCTACGCCGACGCGCCCAGGCCGAGTGGGTCCTCCGCCGACTCGGCCACCCTCGCAGACGGCTCCCAGCCGCGACAAGGCCCTGTGGCCTCCCAAAGGCCCGCCGGCGGCCCAGCCTCGGCCCACCAGTATTACCGGCCCACCTCGTACCTGTTCGAGGGCCGCGACACGAGCCCTGGCCCCGTCGCCATCCCCGAGCTGCAGAAGCTCACCGTCGACGTGCCCCCTCGGGACCAGATCTCCATCATTCTCGGGCCCTTCTTCATCATCTTTGGCGACCTCGTCGTCCCCTGCATTGTCTACTACGTCTGGCTCGGCGCACAACCCGAGGGTGCGCCCAGGTACAACAAGGACATCCTGGGCTTCGCCATCCTTCCCTTCGGCCTCGGTGAGCTCTACATCCTGGTCGTGCGCGTGTGGCGCCTCATAAGGTACTACGACGACTGTGCCCCGCTGCTGTCCAAGCACAAATGGGAGCTCGATGCCACCTCGTGGATTTACACGGCTGCCCTCTTCGCCGCCCTGATCCCCTTCGTCGTCGGCTCGGAAAAGACCATCCCAGAACTGTACCTCTACGCGCCCGGAATCTACATGGCCTTCATCCTCTCCTGGGCCTTGTTCAGCCTCATACCGTTCAAAACACCAGTCCGCATCGACTCGGAGCCCAAGGGTCACCGCATGCGGCCTCTTGTGTACTACGCCGCCGAGGACTTCTTCGCCGTAGATGGCTGGCAGAAGAAGGAATTTCGAGCCCGCTACAGACAGCGCTACGAGTCATCCATCATGTTTCAGAAGATGATCTTTGAGCTGACCCTGTGGTGGTGTTCTGGCATCATCGTCTACATTGGCTGCCTGTCCGCCATCATCTGGAACACGCCGTTCGAGGTTGCCTTTGGGCTGTCGCTCGGGCTGCTGTTCTCCTTCATCATATCATGGTCTATAATGACCTACATCTACATCCAGGTAGCACTCGAGAGGGAGAGAAAATGGTGGATAAACAACAAGTCTTCAGGGGAAAAGCCTTAGAACCCTGTCACAAGGGTCTCGTGCACAACGCCACGGGGTGTATGGGTATCTGAAATTAGGTAAGAATGTCCCATCCGTTGATACGATGGGGCGACTGCTGGAGGCCAGGTTCTAGGGCGTATGTACAATGGACATGTTACAAATACTCAAAACGGCCCGACTTTTGCATGCAAGTACTTCAACAGGTGTTGACCAGACGCTTGACTCCATAGAGAGAGCACTCTTTCCGTTTCGTGCTGGAATAATGAACAACAAGAGGTATTGTGGTACGGCACATGGTAATGTGTAAAATAGGTTGTTGATTGAATAGTACATAGGATAACCGGTAGATTGGAGCGACAAGACATACTTAAGTGGTTTCGCTTCTAATATTCCGTATACGTCCGAGGACATACATGGCGCCTTCATACGGTGGTAAGCGCTCAAGACCCAGCGCTTGACAAGACGTACTTGAGTGTACTACCTAGGTAGCTACCCACAGCGCGCAAAGGATTCCAGCGTTGTCCTTATTTGGGAGCATGTGGTTGGGCACTTTAGCTATGAGGTATTCAATGTCGACTTTTTCTACCAAGAGTAGTAATGTGCTTAGTCAGCTTTTTATTTTTATTTTTACCAGCAGTGTTTCATCCTGTAACGACCTCTGATGATTGGCAAATATTGGCGATACCTTGGAGATTCCACGAGGGACGCCCGAACGCTGCCTACCATAGACTTCACTAGTTTACTTGCCTTTGACGCAAATATAACTACTGCGTTCTGACATCCAGAGGTTTCTAGTTGTCGGATGCGTCTGCTTGACCTTCAATGCAACTGGACCTATGTACGAGGACGTAAGCGTGAGTAACTATGTGACAATTCAGAAGTGTCGAGTGTGTGCAGCATAGAGGGTGACAGGCTTGGGTGTACAATCATACATCTTTCTGTCTGGTGTGGTGTTTGACGCCATCAAGAGACCATGGTCTACAGGGACCAATAATCATAGGCTGTAGGACGGGAAGAGGAGCAGGGGTATCTCTCCCCGTTTCTTGTCCTTCTAGGCTCAATTGGATGGTGATAAGGACTTGTAAATTACGCACATCAATATATTTTAAACCTATATAAGTGTATGATGAACTATAAAGATAAACTATCTTTAAATTTAAACCTAATGTATAAGGACGGTTAAATGGAACAGCTAGTCCGAGCCTAACCATCCTATCTTCTTAATGACTTTTTTCTTTCTTTCTTTCTTTCTTTCTTTTTTTTTTTTTTTTTTTAATGAGAAAGGCCTAGTCAAACTGACCGAGAAGACAGTCCACTTACGAATTATCATAGTAGATGCCCGAGGGTTGTTTAAAGAGTTACCGCTTAGGTCGAAATAAAAGGTAAACTATCGGTATAGGCTGCTGTTGTTTGCAAAGCTGGACTGTACCATACTGATATTTACATGCCAACACCATCCATGATCCGGTGGAAACCCAAGCCAGAGGCAACTCATCGCCGAAGCCCGAGCTGATCGGTAGAATACATGTTGGCAGATGCAGTGCAGTGTTGCAGTTTTAGTATTCATCCTCTGGTGGATCGTCCCCATCTTCAGGCATCCAGCCAGCAGGTCTCTCAGTACCCCTGACGGTCAAGCCATAAGCGAGCTTCTCAACCTTAAGCACTGAAGATCTCAGAGTGCTGAGCTTGACTTGATAGCTCTTGGTGTACTGCTGTGGGAGCATCTCGAAGAAGCTACCAAGGTCCTGCATGTCTACTGCGATGGTTCTTTCACGACCATCCGCTGGCGGGGTGGCACTGCCACCGGCCATCTTGCCGGCAAGGGCGGCACTTGTGGTGGCAAAGCGCATCATCTCGCCGGAGAGGTCAAAAATCCCCATGAGGTAGTCGTCCTCCGTGATGAGGACTGAAGGCCGCAAACACCCCGTGCCTGCCGCTGCCGGCGGGTCTCCCACATCGACATCCATCTTGTCGCTGGGGTGCTCCGAGAGTTCTGCGACCTTGGCCACGGCCTCGCCAAATCCCATAAGGCACTGGGTGCGGAGATAATGGGCAAAGGTAAGGGCCTCGATCAGCTCCTCCAGGCACATCAGGCTGCGCGAGTAGCGGTAGCGGTGGATGCCCTGGACGTCCGGGGCGAGGGTGGCGAGGAGCTTGGAGATGTCGCCCAGACGGGACTGGATGTCCTTCTCGACATGATCAGGTAGCTCCGGCTGTATCTTGCGGATCCTGGCAGGGGTGGTCAGTGAGGTGCACCGATAGATCACTGGCAGAGAGAGGAGGGGGGTGGGGGAGCAACCGTTGCAATGAGAATATTCTGCCGACGGCGTCAGTCGCGGGCCCACAAGAACAGCGGCAGCCCCGGCCACAGGGCGCGCACAATCAACGCAAGGGCCTCACATCTTCTTGCTCAGGGCGGTGATGTCCCTAGAAGCCTTGACTATCCTCTCCCTGCGGTCATGGTGGCCGTCGAGCTCGTCGCGGAAGCTCTCAAACATGGGAGTGTATTCGTTTCGCACCACGGGGGCCTTGGCGGCACTGCTCTTGGCATTGCCCCTGAAGTCCCTCTTCTGGCCTGACATGTTCGATCCTTTGAGCCCTGGGTTTCTGTTGTGCTCCAAACTCGTCGATGTCGGGCTCCTTGGTGGAGTTCTTGCGAACGCGACGGTTGTTGTCTAATCAGCGGGCATCTACATCTTGTTCCCACCCATGAGGGTTGTAGGCGTTGTCCCTTGACCCCCCGTAACCCCCCTTCCCCCCCACCCTTGCACACACCCAGAATCGAACAACAGAAGAAACCCTGGAGACGACCACGCAGCCTGGAGAAATTGTTAGTGCATCGAGTCCACATCCCCATCCCCTTCTTTCTACCTCAACCTAACCCGAAGGCCTGAAAGATGGCAACTCACAAGCCAGCACACCAAGGGCATGGACCGAAGAAAAGCCAAGGGCTCATGTCCGCCCTGGTCTCCAGCCCGGTGCCTCTGTACACCACGGCGGTCCTGTTCAGGGTGGTGCTCCTCATCTACGGCCTGTGGCAGGACGCCAACTCTCCTCTCAAATATACCGACATTGACTACCTCGTCTTCACCGATGCATCCCGTTTTGTCGCCCAGGGCCACCCCGCCGGGCCCTACGCCAGGGAGACTTACCGCTACACGCCTCTGTTGTCGTGGGCTCTCATCCCCACCGCCTGGACCGCCCAAGGATATCCCCACTGGCTCAATGTGATCTGCTTCAGCTTTGGCAAGCTCCTCTTTGCACTCGCCGATGTCCTCGCGGGAGCCCTGATCGTCAGCATCCTGACCATGAAGGGGCAAGGCATGCTGGCCATGGACGCCCCCTCCGCGCGCAGGTTTGCCGCAATCTGGCTGTTGAACCCCATGGTCGCAACCATCAGCACGCGCGGAAGCTCCGAGGGCCTGCTTGCCGTCCTGGTCATGGCCCTCCTCTGGGCAGTCCTGTCGAGGAGGGTGGCGCTTGCGGGTGTCCTCCTGGGCCTGGGCGTGCACTTCAAGATATACCCCTTCATCTACGCACCCGCCATCGTCTGGTGGATGGACGACAACCGCATGCACGCTCGGCCGCCCGCGCAGTCGTCAGCATTTGGCTTCCTCACCTTTCCGCGGCTCAAGCTCGCCCTCGTAAGCCTCGGGGTGTTCATGGCCCTAAACATGACCATGTATGCCTCATACGGGAAACCCTTCCTCGTACACACCTTTTTCTATCACGTCACACGCATCGACCATCGCCACAACTTCAGCCCTTATAATATCCCCCTTTACTTGGCCTCCGCCCTCCCCCAAGACGCCCCCCGGGGCCTACGCGTCGAGTCGGTAGCTTTCTTACCGCAGCTCCTGCTGTCTTGTGTTTTGATCCCTCTGGTCATGGCCAAGAAGGACCTGCCGGCCACCTTGCTGGCCCAGACCTGGGTTTTTGTGGCATTTAACAAAGTCTGTACAAGCCAGGTACGACAAAGCCCAACCTCCTTATTCCCACAGCTCGTTTCCTACACTCTTGTCGGCTCTATAGACCCCCAAGGCTGACTGACGGGTTCGGGGCTAACCCCTTTGGCAGTACTTTCTCTGGTATCTCATCTTTCTCCCACTCTATCTCCCACGCTCTTCCTTCATGCGCAATGCGAAGCTGGGCGTGGCGGCTCTGCTGCTGTGGGTCTCGACACAGGCAGCGTGGCTGCAGCAGGGCTACGAGTTGGAGTTTCTAGGGGAGAGCACCTTTGTGCCTGGCCTGTGGACAGCAGGTTTGGGTTTTTTTCTTGGCAATTGTTGGATTCTTGGTGTCATTGTGGGCGATGTAGCATGAGGCCCGGATGATGTGCCCTATCTGTCGTCACGGTATCATGCCCGCCGAGACATTTTGCCCCCCAGTTGGCATGTGCGGTCCAGCGAGGTAAGTCGGTGGTAGACAGGACCGTTGAGAGCAAGGCTTCGGGCGCAAGAGAGCAGGATTCGCCCGTGTCAAAGGAGCCTTGCGTATCTGGATCCGCCGTTCGTGCTTAGGCCCTCGTCAATCTCGACAGAAACAAGAGTACGTGAAATCCACACAGAGTGATTGTTATGTTCTCTGCCACATGCGTGCGGCACAGTTTCAGACTTCTCTCAGCCTCTATTCTTCCTTAAATATGTGGCTTGTCTTAGCGGCAGAAAAATAAATTCCAGTCGACCAATTGTATCGGCCTTCAAGTCTCCCGCGAAATCACCACCCATATTCTCGAATGCCTCGGGCCCCATATGCACACAGACCCATGCGTTCAATGCCGATAAAAGTTTTGCCAAGGATGTTAAATCGAGCCAGACGCCTTTTCTATGCCGTAATATCAAACCATGGGCAAAACGCAACTGGGGGATATCATTAGGTATTAAAATCGCAGACCGGGGAAAAGGGGGATGAGGAAAACAGGAACAAAAAAAAGCAGGAACGCCGTGCTGTGCTTCCAAACCCGTATGCCGCCGCGAGGAAAGCTCACTACACGAGAGAGTGCATACCCGAGGTGGCTGATTGGGCCGCGTATTTCCGATTGCTGAACAAGTGGAGGCCGTGCCCCTAGGGCACTGCAATTCCTCCCGAGAGATATGCATAATTGGAGAGTTTTAGGGAGAGTACGCGGCTTCTGGGGAATTCGGGGCTGATGACCATTCTGCCGTCTTTGTTAATGCCCACTTCACCGAAGGACTCAGCAAGATCCTCGAACTGGGCATCGGGACGAGTGCGGTTTAATTCGGCTACAATGGCATCGCTCCAGACACCAGAGCACCAGCCGTCCCGGAGGATGAAGTAGGGGTTCAACGGTGGGACCGGGGAGTCTGGGAGGTAAGTTAGCGTCAGATGGTGCTCACGTCTATCTCCCAGATCGCCTGTGTCGGATTGGCACGATCGGAAGCGGCACAAGAGTTTGGGGGCTCGTCTCCTACCCAAATCCACGTATCGGATGCGCAAGTACTCCACGGCCTTGAGCCTGCCGAGGGCTCTGATTCCTGCCAGCACGAGCTGTTCGAAAGCGTTGATAAAGTTCATGTCGGTGATGCCAGAACCCGACTCGTTCCAGTGAACAACATGGCGGCAGCAATTCCGGACTGTCAGGTCAATAGATTTCAGCCGGGTGGTCCGCGGGTCCACAAGCCGCGCGAGAAGGTCAAAGAATTGGCGACAGACACGGCCAGTGTAGGCGAAGTGCTCGAGGCTTGGCGCGGCTTCGGCCAGTTTCGTGCAAAAGTGTAGCGTATTGGAAACCTTGAGGAAGTACGCAGGAAAGGACAGCTCCCGCCGGTATTCGACGCCTTCCAAATTCAGGCTCAGGCTGGTTAGGCTGCGAGGGAGCTTCGGCAGGATAGCAGCCATACAGAGGTAGCTCTTGGACTTGGCCTTGCTGTAGTTTCCATGCCACTCCTGAAGATTCGGCAGTGCGTAGACTATGGCGTCGAAGTCATCATCGCTCCTTATCAGGTTCCACTGGCCCTTGCAAACGAGCGTTCTGACGGGTGCAATTTTGGGCAGGGGCTTCTCATGCCCCTCTTCAAGGATATGGTGACGCACCCTGGGGGCCTTCTTCCGCTCCCCTCCTTCGAGCGTGAGGACGCAGACTTCAGGAAGCGTGGTGCTGACGAAGTAGAAGGCTTCCTCAAGCGAGCAATTGTCAGTTGGTATCACATATGACGCGTTCGTCAGGCCGTCGATGGTGACGGGCGGAAGGATCGAGCTGGAGAGGGCAGGGGCGTTCTTTCTTGGTTGGAAGACGGCGAACCACAGCTCCACGTGCTTGACGTATTGACGAAGGTGCGAGTGTTGGGCAAAGAAGGCCACCGCATCGTTCAAGGATTGCACCGTGGCCTTGATCTTGACATGGCGGTATAGCCGTTCCTGGATGAGAGCCCTCCATATGCTGCTGACCAGGGCTAGTGCCGAGAGTTCCTTCCGCCTCGAGTGCCTCAAGGCTGTGCCCCAACTCCGGGTGACACTGGGTATGCCCAAGGAGCTCTTAGACGAGGCAGAAACCCTGTACCCGAACAGGTGGTCGAGTATACACTCGTGTATCTCGGCAGGGAGATCGTCCAGATTCGTATGCGTCAGTGGAGGATAGAGTGGCTCGGTGGTGCCGAGGACTGGGGATTCGACGAGGTGCTGATGATGATGGTGGTGGTGGTTATGATCGTGGCCGTGGCCTGGCCCATAGCCAGAGGCTGGCTGGGACGGACAGCTGAGGCATCGAATATTCGTCTGGCCAAGCTCGGGTTCTGGAAAGGGCGTGCTGCTCGGGCGGGCGGGCGGAGAAAAGTCCTGTATCCTAGACCCTTGCGGGATAGGAGGGCTGGAGGCGCCCGGGGAGACGGGGTTGGAAGCGATGGCCATGATGGAGGCAAGCTCAACCGTGGCCTTGCCGACGTCTTGGCGCGCGGCGGCTGAGCGGTCAGAGGAGCGGTCGATGCTGGTCCGCCTGGTGTCGATTGACAAGGGGCCGACATGGCTGTCGGGATTGAACATGGTTGCAGTCTGGACTGACATGATTGTGGGAAGGACAGAGCCGGTCGAGTCAGTCAGTCAGGACGGGTGAGTGGCACCTGTCGGGCTTGCTCTTGCTCGCATGTGTGTGTGTGTGTGCGGGTGTGTGCGCGCGGATGTTCGTGGAACTGGCGGATTATCGGTCGGCGACGGGCGGGTCGAGGCAGGACGGAGTGGGTTGTTGTGGTAAAGAGAGAAGGCCGGGGGGGGTGGTTGTGGAGGGTGAAGACCGTGAAGGTTTCAGCCTGGTCTAGTCTGGCCGCTGTGGGTGTCGACAGTGAAGGCGATCCTGTAGGGATGTTTCTATCGACGTGGATAGTGGCAGAGGAGTCTTCGCCCTTCTGATGGACCAGCACCGAGATAGGGCAGGCAGGCAGGCAGGTAGGCAGGCAGGCAGGCTCCACAGACCAGAGATGGGATTGGACAGGCTGAAGCGAAGAAGAGAGAAGGTGTTGAGGGTAGGGGTCGCGTGAGGGCGAGACTTGGCCTTCAGCGATTGGTGGATGGCAGGGAGACGTCGGGTAACGGGATATTGCGACGACAATGCTGGAGAGAAGCAAGCCGGGGACGAAGGTAGAAGGCGGCGTGGGCCGACAGAGAAGAGAGCAGGAAATGCGGCAAGGAGGGAGGAGGGCATGTAGGGCCTGGAGCGAGTGGCTGTCGGTACTGTGTATCCGCAGGCAGAGCAGCCTCAGGGATAGGGCAATGCTGAGAGCAACGGGCAAGGGGGACGGACAAGTCAGACGGCTTCGTCCGCAACGGGCCTCAGGGTAGGTGGTCGTTGGGGCTAGTAACCCTTACCCTCGGGATTTTCACAACATGTGCAAGATGTGGTAATGCGTCCCTGGGCCGTGGCTGGGCCGACATGGAGCGGTTTGTCTTTTTCATTCTGGTCACGACACGACGGACAGGTATCATGGTGGACAAGCACATGCACAGGCACAGGCACAGGCAAAGGCACGCAAAGATGAGCACGAGAATGGACTGCGGAAATGAAGACGGTCGGGGTGGGCAGGCAGCCAGGGCGAGGGCGAAGGTCAAGATAATAATCTGATTGCCCATATCTACTTGGCCGTCCGTCACGGGCGGATACAGCCCGCACATGTGCAATAATAAATAACGAGGAGGAGGAGAGAAAGCAAGGAGGCATTGCGGCGGCACTGCAGACGTGACCAAGGCGCTGGGCGGGTTTCAGCCTCCCTCGCCCCCCCCCCCCGGCCCCCAGACAGCAATGCTGTGGGGTCCGCCGTCCACGGGCAGACGGGCAGCTGTTTGGCTGTCCTCGTGCGGTTTTCTGGTTTGTATGTTTCGTGTTTAGGCGGCCTAGGCGCCTGTGCATGTTCCAGCCGTTGCTGGGCTGGCAGCCTGTGCCTGGCAGAGAAGCTACATGTACAGTAGGTATACCGTCCTAAAACAATGGGATGGCCACTACCACGGGCCTGCGGGAACGCCAAGCCACGTCTGCGTCTTGGCGGCGATCCCCTTTATGTAAGCCCACGCGTCAAACCGCCGCCCCGCCAGCCGCGTCTCGTGCGCTGCCGGGCTGCACTACCGTGGGCTGGCCAATGGCTGTGCTCCCGTGCCTTGCACTAGACTAGCGAGAAGCTAAAGTGGCCCTTGCCCTTGAATCAATCCGCGGCTGCGGCTCCCCGATGCGGCTCTCTGGTCGTGGTGGTGCCCCGTGGTGCCGGGCACCGTTGGTTCACTCACCCTCACCACTTTGCATCTTTTTTATCAGGTACTGCCCAGGTGTCCCAGGTGCGCAGACTAGATACCAGCTTGCACCGCCTCGCATGGGACTCTTTACGACCACACATTATCATTGTTGGGCCCCTCAGATGCCTGATTCAACTTGTTCACCTTGTTCATCTCCACGCCGGCGCCTAGCAGGCAACCGCCGTGGCCCTCTCAGTCTACAGGTCGCCGAGATCTGCAGGGCCCGTGTTTGTGCGAGGACAGGATTGGCCAGCCGTGCCTGCATCTTGCCCGGCACCAAGGCGCGGCGATCATCAGGCTGGCCTGCCTGCCAGCCCTGCTTGTTTTGTGTTGTGTTGTGTTTGTTCTTCTTGCTTCCCTTTTTGGGCATGACAGAAGTAATAGGGGGGGGAGCACGCCAGTGCAATGCTTTTCAAGGATACGAGCAACGTGTGTGTACCATACCATGGCGCCGTCGTCTGGCGCTGGCGGGGTCTTTGCCCCCCTTTCTCCCCATCCTAGCCTGCCACACGTTTGACTTGGCGGCTGCGTGCTATGTAGCCACCTGGCAGGTAGCCCGCGTGCCCAGATGCGTGCTGCCCGCAAGGCTCGCCACGCCTCGCCGTCGGGTGTCGTCAGGTCGTCAGGTCGCCAGGTCGTGAGGTCGCCAGGTCGTCAGCTCGTCAGGTCGTGAGGTCGCACTCGGTATCCTTGCTGCCTCCTCGCCTCGTGTTTCCTTCCCCTGGGGCTGGCGCCGGCGCCATGTGCTCTCCCACTCCACCTCACCTCAGCCTCTCCCTCCAAAGGGGGGCCCCGCCGGGCCAATGCCGCCAAGTCTGCTGCGACACGCGAATCTTGATGCTTGTATGTGCTGCCTCTGCTGAGTCCCTATCGCAGACAGACCCATGCGCTTGGCGAACCATGGCCCTTGCCTCTCGCCGGCGGAGACGCGTCTCCTGCGTACCAAGTCTCTCCCGTCTTGTCCCTGATTCTGATTCTGCTGATGTTATTTGCATCGTTGCTGGCTGCTGGCTGCTTGGTGCTGGGATCCATGACTGCCGGCCCACAATGCCACCACGCAGTATATCACCTCGCGCGCCCGCCCATTGTTCCCCCCTCCTCTCAATAGCATCCATCCCATTCTTCCCTTCTGGTGCTTTTTAATTCCTAGACCTATTTGATACCCCAGCCGCTGGCCGTGGTGCCCAGGTTCTATCTACTTCATCCAACCTTGCCGGCCCATTCTGGTTTTTTCTTCTTTTTTTTTTTTTGGTGGTGGTTGTTTCTCTCTCTCTCTCTCTCTCTCTCCTTCTCGTCGCCCTTGAGGGACTTCTTCCTTGTGTGTGTGTGTGCAAGTGCTGGTCTGGCATCCGCTTCTTGGTGAAACCGTTCTCTTTCGTTTACATTGTCCTCACCCGACGTCAACATGGCTCCCATATCTGCCTCCCTCCTCGCCACCTGCTCATGCCTGGCTGCCCTTGCCCTCGGCGCCCCCGCCCCCGCCCCCAGCCCGGCCCCGGCCCCGGCCCCGGCCCGGGAGCTGCAGGGACTCGGTGTGCCAATCATGAACGCCGATGCCAAGAACATCATCCCGAACAAGTACGTCGTCGTCTACAACGACACCTTTGACGATGACGCCATTGCCACGCACGAGGCCTACTGGGTCGATACCATCGCCAAGCGCAACATCGGCAAGCGCTCCCCCATAGACAACCGCATGCTCAGCATGACGGTCCACACCTTCGCCATCGGCAGCATGCGCGCCATGTGCCTTGAGGCCGACGACGCCTCGGCCATAGAGATCAACAGCGCCGACGAGGTCTCGTACATCGAGGCCGATGCCTACGTGTACCTCAATGCCCTCGTCACCCAGCAAAACGCCACCACCGGCCTGGCCCGCATGTCGTCTGCACAGGCCGGCGGGTCCACCTACACCTTTGACGACACGGCCGGCCAGGGCATCACCGCCTTCATCGTCGACACGGGCATCATGGAGGAGCACGAGGAGTTCGAGGGCCGCGCAACCTTTGCTTTCAACAGCGCTGACAACATCAACACCGATGCCAACGGCCACGGCTCCCACGTCGCCGGCACCATCGGCGGCAAGACTTTTGGCGTGGCCAAGAAGGCCACCCTGGTCGGGGTCAAGGTCCTGGACGCCCAGGGCGCAGGCACCAACTCGGGCGTCATCGCCGGCATGAACTTTGGTGAGCACACGTTATCACCCCCGGCGGTGCTGCGGCTGGCTGACGCTGTCGAATCAAACAGTCGCCCAGACGGCCAGGGCAAACGGGCTCTCGGGCAAGTCGGTCATGAACATGTCCCTGGGTGGTGGGCGTTCCAACGCCGTCAACCAGGCCATCAACGCCCTCCGTGCGGCAGGCGTCGTCCCGGTGGTCGCCGCTGGCAACGAGAACGTTGACGCTCAGAACGACAGCCCCGCCTCGGCACGTGGTGCCATCACCGTCGGCGCCATCGACCAGACCACCGACCGCCGCGCCCCATTCAGCAACTTTGGGCAGTTTGTCGACGTCTTTGCCCCTGGCGTCGACGTCGAGAGCGTGGGCATCCGGTCCACCACATCCACAGAGACCCTGAGCGGCACGAGCATGGCGAGCCCGCACGTCGCCGGCCTGGCGGCTTACCTGATGGCCAAGGAAAACATCACAGACATCGATGCCGTCGCTGCCCGCATCACAGACCTCGCCGGTGCGACGCAGGCCCGCGTCCTCGGGAACGTCAGGGGCACGACACCGCTGATCGCCAACAACGGTGCCATCTGACCCTTGGAATCTACACTCTCGGCGTTGGGAACCGGCCTCTGTTTTTCCTCTTCTTCTCCTATTTCCTCTTTTCCGTCCCCGGCCCGTCATGGACGTACACCTACTACCTGCATTGCACGGACGCATCTGGCTTTGGACACCGGGGCATATTTCAATTCCATAGTCTCTGTATTGTTTTGCTCTGGTCCTCCAGGCCTTATTCCTTGACACAACTTAGTCTCGGTCCCGGGGGCATGGCCCTTGATAATTGAGGGGGGGGCTGGGGGAGTGGTTAATGGCTTTAAGAGCCAGCCATAGATGAATACAACTCTCGACATAGCATAGACAAATGAAATTTAAGATCTTTGATCACCATAGACTTTGTGTCCTGGTGGGCATACCGCTTGTGGATCCCTTTTATGCCCCAGTCATACGGCTTGGCTGTTTCAACCAATTTTAGCAAACAGCCTTGCTTCCTCAAACTTCTCGGCACCAGCCGTGCCCGTCATATTAGATCGAGCAGGAGCAATAGCTAAGCTTCCTTGTGCTTTGATCCTGCGCACACGGTGCTTGAACGGCAATGCAGAAACGCCCCCGGGACCTGGGCAAACGTGACAATGGTTGCTGGTTCCGGCCAACAAGGAGCTTGTTTGTGAGCGCCCAGAGTTGAACTATAGAGGTGTCTATATAGGCCCAGCCCTATTATCTTAACTTTCTTATTTTATTACTTAACTAAATTAATTTTAATAATAAATAAATTATAATAAAAATCTATTAAATAAAATTAATTTTAATTAATTTTAATTTTATTATTTATTATTAAAAAAATTATAATTATATATATTTTATTTATAATTTAATTATTATAAATATAAATATTTTATTATTATTATTATTATTTATATACTTTTTTATTATTTATATTTTTTATTATTTATATATTTTTATTATTTATATATTTTTATTATTTATATATTTTTATTATTTATATATTTTTCTTATTTATATTTTTATTTATATTTTTAATATTTATATATATTTTTATTATTAATATAAATTATTTATATTTTTAATTTTATTATTAAATTAAAATAAATAATTAAAGTTTTAAAATAAAATATAATATATTTTAAAATTAATTTAATTAAATTTATTATATAAAACTTTTATAATAACTTTATAATTTATTATATTTATAATATTATTTATTATTAAAAATATTTTTATATTAATATATTAAATTATATTTAATTAATTTAAATTAATATTATTAATTTTAATATAAATTAATTTATTAAAAATTAAAATTATTATAAATTATAAATTAATTTAATATTAATAAATATTATATATAAATATTAAATTTATTATATAATTTAAATAAATATAAATTAATTAAAATAAATAAAAATAAAGTTATTATTTTTTAATTAAAGTTTTAAATTTATTTAAATAAATATTTATTTATTAATTTTATAAATAAAATTATTAAAAATAATTATTTAATTTATTATATTATTAAATTAAAAATAATTAAATAAAGTAATTATATTTTATTATTATTTTAAGTTTATAATTTTAATAATTTTATAAAATAATTATTAATAATTAAATTTATAATTATATAAAATAATTTTTATTTTAAAAATATTATTATTATTTAAAATAATTAATATATTTTAAAAATTAAAATTATAAATTTAATTTAAAATAATTTATAATTTATAAAAATTTTAAATTTAAATTTAAAAGTTTTAATTTTAATTTAATTTATTTTAAAAAATTAAATAAATTTAAAAATATTTAAATAAAATTAAAATTAAATTAAATTATAATATAATAAAATAAATAAATAAAAATTAATTAGAATTTTATAATTATAATTTTTAATTTTATATTTAAAAGTTTATTATTAATATAAAATTTATAAATTATATATATAATAAATTATTTATTTAAAAATTAAGATTTTAAATTTATAATTTAAATTTTATATAATTTATAATATTAATAATATATATATTATAATATTTATTTTTAAAATATTTATAAAAATTTTAAATATTTTAAAAATATATAAATAAATTATAAATAATTAAAAATTAAATAAAATAATAAATAAAATATTTATTTTTAATTATATATTAAATAAAACTTTTATATTTTAAATTTTATTTTAATAAAAATTTAAAATTATATAATTTAAATTAATATAAAGTTTATTAATTATATTTATAATAAATTATTTAATTAAAAATTAAAATTTTAAATTTATAATTTAAATTTTATATAATTTATAATATTAATATTTATAATTTATAATAATTATAATAAAAGTTTTTAAAATTATTTTTTATATTTTATAATTATTTTTTAAAATATTAAAATTAAAATAATTATAATATTTTAATTTATTTTTATTTAATTATTTTATTATATTATAATTAAATTTAATTTTATATTTAATTTTATTTTTAAATATAAAATTAAAAATTATAATTATAATTTTATAATTAATTTTTATTTAATTATATTATATTATTATAATTTTATTTAATTTTTAATTTTTATTTAAATTTTTAATATTTTTAAAAAATTAAATTTAAAAAACCTTTTAAATTTAAATTTAAAATTTTATAAATTATAATTTATTTTAAATTAAATTTATAATTTTTAATTTTTTAAAAATATATTAATTATTTTAAATATTAATAACCTTTTTAAAATAAAATTTATTTTATATAATTATAAATTTAATTATTAATAATTATTTTTTAATTTATAATAAAGTTATTAAAATTATAAATTTATATAATAAAGTATAATTATTTTATTTAATTATTTTTTAATTTAATAAATTAATTAAATAATTTTATTTATTTTTAAGTTTATTAAATAAATATTTATTTATAAAATAAAGTTAAAATTTATATATATTTTTAATTAAAAATAATAATTTTATTTTTATTTATTTTAATTAATTTATATTTAAAAGTTTAAATTATATAATAATTTTATATATAATATTTAATAATATTAAAATTAAATAATTTATAATTTATAATAATTTTAATTTTTAATAAATTAATAATATTAATTTAAATTAATTAAATATAATTTAATATATTAATATAAAAATATTTTTAATAATAAATAATATTATAAATAATTATAAAATTATTAAAAAAATTTTATATAATAAATTAATTAAATTAATTTTTTAAAAATATATTATATTTTATTTTTAAAATTTTAATTATTTATTTTTAATTTAATAATAAAATTAAAAATATAAATAATTTATATTTAATTTTATATTTAATTTAAAATTTTTAAACTTTAATAAATATTTTTATTTTTATAAATATAAATTTTAAATAAAAGTTTTTAAATTTAAAATTAAAATATTTATAAATTTTAATATATTTTAAAAATATATTAATTATTTAAAATATTAATAATCTTTTATAATTAATATTTAATTTTATATAATTATAAATTTAATTATTAATAATTATTTTTTATTTATTTTATTATAAAATTTAAAAATTATAATTATAATTTTTAATTAAATTTAATTTAATTAATTAATTATATAAATTATTTATTTATTTTTAACTTAATTATTAAATTAAAATAAATAATTAAATTTATTATATAAAACTTTTATAATAATTTTATAATTTATATTTATAATATTATTTATTATTAAAAATTATTTTATATTAATATATTTAATTATATTTAAGTAATTTATTATAAATTATAAATTATTATAAATTATAAATTATTATAAATTATAAATTATTATAAATTATAAATTATTATAAATTATAAATTATTTAATTTAATATTAATAAATATTATATATAAAAATTAAATTTATTATATAATTTAAATAAATATAAATTAAATTAAATAAATAAAAAATATTTTTTTAAAATTTTAATTTTATTATAATATAAATAAAATTATTAAAAATAAAATTAATATTTATTTATTTAATAATTTTATAAATTTATTTAATATATATTTTAAAAAACTTTTATATTTATAAATATTTTTAAATTAATATTATAAAACTTTATAATATAATTTTTTAATTTTAATATTTTAATATAAACTTTTATATTTTTATATTATTTTTAATATTTTTAATATATTTTAATATATTTTTAATTTATATATATTTAAATATTAATTAAATATTAAAATTAAAATTTAAATAAAAATTAAAAATTAAAATAAAATTAAAAAGTTAAAAATAAAATAATTTTATTTTTATTTTTTTTTTTATTTTTAATAGTTAATTAATATTTAAATATTTAATTAATATTTAAATATATATAAATTAAAAGATTTAAAAATATATTAAAAACATATTAAAAATATATTTTAAAAATATATTAAAAATATAATAAAATTTATATTAAAAATATTAAAAGTTTAAAACTTTTAATTAAATATATATAAATTTTATATATTAAAAATTAATATTAAATAAATTTATAAAAATATTAAATAAATAAATATTAATTTTTTAAAATAATTATTTAATTTATTATATTTTAATTTATTAAATTAAATTATAATAAAATAAAATAAATATATTTTATTATTATTTTAAATTTATAATTTTAATAATTTTATTATAAATAAAAATAATTATTAATAATTAAATTTATAATTATATAAAATAAAATTTTATTTTTAAAAATATTATTAATATTTAAAATAATTAATATATTTTTAAAATAATTAAAATTATTAATTTAATTTAAAATATATTAAAATTTATAAAAATTTTAAATTTAAATTTAAAAATATAAAATTGTAATTTTTAAAATTTAAAAATTTAAAAATTTAAAAATAAATAAATTAATTTAAATTAAATTATAATATAATAAAATAATTAATTAAAATTAATATTTTAAAAATATATATATATATATAAATTAAATTTAATTAATTTAATTAAATATTTTATTATTTAATTAAATAAACTTTAATTAATATAATTATATATTATTTTAATTATTAAAATTTATATAATTTTATATTATTAATTAAATAATATTATTATTATATTTAAAAGTTATAAATATTTTTTTTATAATTTAATTAAATTAAAAATAAAATTAATATTAATAAATTATAAATATTTAATATAAATTATAATAATATTAATTTATTTATTTAAATAAGTTATTATTAACTAACTTTAATTTAAAAAGATATATTTAACTATCTTTATTTAATATTAAATAATAAAAGGTAATAGTTATAAAGAATAATTCTATTTAGTGGCCTTATGTTCTGGCTTCTATTATTATATATTATTAATATAGTAATAAGAGCTTCGCCCCACACCGCATTGCAAGCCCCGTTGCCGTTGTATCGTGTCTCTGCCCTACACCTTTCCTGATGAAGATGAGAATAGTTAAAATGTCCATCGCTTCCCTCTACTTCCGCTACCTGATTCGACATCGTACGATGTGTAGTAGTAGCCAACCCGCCTTCACATTCTTTCGAGGCTCTCAAGCCCCCTCAGATCAAAATCTCGGAACCGGAGTGTTCGCCCTGCGCTGAACCTCTCCTGATGGGCAGCGTCCGCAGAACGGAAGAAGTGTACTGAAGGTGCTCGTGCAGGCTCCTAATCATGCGCTGAAGCTCATCCTTGACCTCGTCTTGCGAGGCAGTCGCCTGCAGAACGCCGACCAAGGGAGCTTGCGGCAGGTAAGGAATCGCAGGAATGGGTGCATCCGAGTCAACATCGGAGTCCTCAATGGTAATAGATACGTGGCTGTCGTCGGCGCGGGCGGCTGCGTCATCCGATGTGTCATTCGCACTATCGGACGGTGGAGTGAGCACCACATCCTCTGACGTCGGGGTAGATGGGATAATCCCCAGGCCAATTTCATCAGGTACATAAATGGAGGGTTCTCTTTCGTGAGTTGACAAGAGTGAATTGGTCGAGCCAAAGCCATCGGGCACGTACAGAGAGGGCTCCCTATTGCTTCTTGGGATTGCATCGTCCGATATGTCAGACGTCTTTTCGCAGGCGCTCCTCGGGGACCTGTCATCCGAGACATAGAGAGAAGGTTCTCTGATGGTTGAGGGAAAGGAATCTTCCAGATTGAATTGGAACGACTTCTGATGTGACAGGGTGGGCCTCCACGTGTCTGAGGTCGCGGATGAAGCCTCGGAGAGTGCAGTTGTGGGACGTAGAGACTCGCCATTCTCGCCGATAAGACTGGCATCGAGGTCGATCATGCTAGAGGCTGAAAGCCTACTGACTTCCAGACTGGTCGCTGCGCGTGGCGGAAGTGTAACGTGCAGCGAGTCCTCTTGACGATGTCCTGCCACGGTAGTGGGGAGAGAGTCCAGTGCCATGTAGTCATCCTCATCGTTCTCGTCGTGGGACTGGAACCAATGCCCCTCGAGGCGAGGGTTTGAGGCCGTCGCCGCCGAAAACGACCAGTCCCGTGTGCTTCGATGATCAAGGCTGGACTGGCTTCTGGTAATTTCGGTTCGGTCTGGCTGCGTGGAAACCCCCACAGCTGCGTCCGCAAAACTCCAGTCCTGAGTCCGGCGGTGGTCCATCGTCGACTGGCTTCTAAAAAGCTGGCTCTCCCTGCGATTGTCTGGTTCATCCTCCGGGGAGGCCTCATCGCTAATTACCGCTGGGAAAGACCAGTCCTGGGTGCGTCGGCGATCCAAAGTCGTCTGACTCCTCCCGAGCGGCCGGATGCTTTGTCGACTAGCTCTAAAAGTATCCATTTGCGTATCGGCGTATCGAGACAGCCTCCCGCCATCCAGAGACTCGTCTAGGTCGATCAATCCGGATTCCCGGATTGTCTGGTGCTTCGAGGCGGTGAAGCTGGCCTTAATGGTCTCCCCTTCCTCTATGTCTGCGAACCGAGATAGCCTGTCACCATCGAGCGACAAGTCAAGGTCGATTAGCGATTCACGGGGTGGGGCGGAGCCTGTGCTGCCGTCCTGTGGAGTCACCATCTCATCCATTTCAGGCGCTGACGACGGCATGGACCTGCCATAGAACAGGCGGGCATTCTCCTCATAATTCGTGATGGTGTCAGGATCGAAAGCTTTCTCAAGGGGCGCCTTCAGGACTGGAATGTTGGGAGGTCTGCGGCGACGGCCCTGTTGCTTTGGGGGTGGAGGCATCATTGAAACGCGAGGTCCGTAGGCGTCATACACGGCTTGAGCCTGGCTGTCACCGAGAACCCTCTGATCGATCTCGCCAGCCATGGTATCGAAGTTCCAGTCGTCACTGTCTGAAGAACGTGAGGGCTCGTCACCAACCGGTGCCTGGGCACCGCCTGCATTGAACAACGACATCCGGTTTCCTCCTTGAATTTCCCACAATCGATAAGCTTTTACAAGCATCGAGAGGGATTTTGTCGGGTAGTCACGCTCAGTACCGTAGATATACGGGTGGCCTTGTACCTGAACGACAGAGGGGCGATGTCTTGGGTCCTCGGTCATACAAAAGGCGACCAGATCTTTCAGGCTGTCCGAGAACTGGTCCCCTTCAAGCCGAGGAACGTGCTGCTTGAGGTAAGAGCCGAACTGTGATGGATCAAAGCGCGACATGTTCTTGGCATTCGGGGGCAGTCCAGTGGCGGCTTCGAAAGCCAGGGACCCAAAGGCCCAAATATCAACCTCGGTGCCGTACGAGACGGACATGTCGAAAAGCTCCGGGGCCATCCAGTTCAGCGTGCCAGTGACCGTACTCCTCTTGTCGAACTTGGTCTCAATGATTCCTGCGACCCCAAAGTCGCACAGCTGGACACCGCCGACCTCGGTCACCAGCACATTCGCGCACTTGATATCACGATGGATGATGCCTTCCTTGTGGACCCATCTCAGAGCCTCGGCCACTTCACGCAGAATCGGAACGATCCACTTCTCCGGCAGACCCCCTGACGGTCGCATTAGGGTTGAGACACTTCCGCCGCCGCAGTACTCGGTAATTATCCACATGGATGGGCCGACGAGGAGCGTTTCAATGACGGTGTTGATATTCCTGGCGCCGCTCTCACCGAGCTTCTTGAGTGTATTGACCTCCTTGAGAATGTCCTGGAAGGTGTCAGCCGCACCGGGCGCGAGACTGTCTCCCTCGTCGATGCTGATGATCTTGACGGCGACCAGGCGGCCTGAGCCTGCCGCCCTGGCCTTGTAGACGCGTCCGAAACTTCCCTTCCCTATGAGCTCAGACAATGCATAGGGTGGGGGGTTTCTTCCAGCATCGCCGCATTCACGCACGATGCGCTTCTGCATCTTGTCGGCATCTTCGAAGGCCTTCTTCTTGGTGGCCGAAAGATCGGCAACACCGAGTTGTAAAGAGGCCATCCTCTGTTCCCAAGGGGGAAGCGGTCGTGCAAAAGGCCAGTGAGAGAAAGGCCACGGTAACAACAACTGAGCCAGCCGTCCAGACGGTCTAGTGGCCAGCACTGGGAACAGCGGGTGTAAAGGTTTGAGGTTTGTCCCGAACCCGAGACTGGCGGTGTGCGACGTGTGCTTGCAGCGAGTCGCAAGCAACTCTCGGTCGCAGTCTCGGTTCGGTTGCCGATCTCAGAACCAGGCGGATTCCTGTCCTTGACAACTCGACGTTCCTGTGTGACAACGAAGGCTGGTGGATGGAGGATCTGGGAGTGCTTCCGACTGGCCAACTGGCGACTTAAGGAGGCAGACTGGGTACCGATTTTGGCAGCCTCACTCAAGCTTCGGCGTGCCAAGAAGGGGGCTGCATGTGCCCAGTGAGAGCATGCAGGTTATCAAGAACCTCTGGCCAGGGACCGCTTTCAGCCTGAAGGGCTAGGTGGAAGGTGGGAGGTTTGTGAAGGTGACGAAGCACCGGGGAGGTGAGTTGATGTGGCCAGTCGAGCGCTGGCGATGCATTGGGGCTTTAGGTATCGAGGCATGGGCCACATTCGGGCCACATTCTTGCCTGCTTACTAAGTAAGGCCCGGCCATACTCGAGATGGCGCAACTTGAGGCGTGCCCGGGGACGTGCCTCGGGGGCCAATATTATGGCTCAAGTCCAAACACATCTCAGTACCTCAACGTCATATGATGCGCATCGTCGTAGGTCACCATCCCCTGAGAAAGACGCAAGTTGGTGGGGTTGGGATCGTGTCTACTCTGATTGTTATGTGAAAGCATCGACAGCGTCGTTGCTCCTGCTTGGTACTAAGAATCCGGGCCACGTGCGATCCATCACGGTCTGCAAACCCCAGACACTCATCTCCAGCTTCCAGTCTGGAAGCCCTTCTGGGAGCCCCCATGAGTAGCATATCTACGGACATGACAGAGCAGTTTCTGTTTCGCTCACTGGCTGATAGGACCCAGCCTGTACACGAGGGCGAGGGCATTGGAAACCCGATAAAAGGAACATACAAGAGGAAAGGAAAAGATATCAGCCAGCCAGGGTAAGCTCCGGAACAGGGAGAAAAGGAAGGTACACATGTTCGCAATCCATCCACAGAAGCCGTGCTGGCAAGCCAGCCCAGCACGGCCTCTGGGCGTGTCCGGAAACCAGACCTCAAATGCCGCACTCATCAATATCAGCATTTCTTGGCACAAACCACAGTCATCAGGGTAGACTGGGTTGCAATTTGACATCCATGCTTTTTGTTGTGATTTGTTGTCCATGACAATCTCCATTCGGCACGCAAATGTGCCACCATGTGATGGCATCCACCATCGCTGTGGAGACCCGCCAAAGAATATGTATTATATTATTAGTATTGATCGTGGTTCTCAATGCCCCCGGCTTCCACAGTGCTCGAGTGTATCAAGTCTCATGTCGCCTGCAAAACGAGTCAAGTTTTGGTGTAAACGGAGTATGGAGCCTTGGTGTACCAGTAAATCACGTTTCGTGTCGTCATTTTACATTCCCTCGTGAGCGCCAGAAGCGCTATTATAACATTACAGTTCCTCGTGCCCAGTTGCTGGCGCGCCACCTGGCGCTGGTGCGACCAGCGGATCCGGTGTACTCGGCGGGAAAAGTTTGGACCACTCGAGGCTCTCGGTGATCTTGTCGAATCTGGCCCCTAGGAACCATGCCAGTGCAATCTGCGAGTGCGTCAGTCAGCTTGCCTTGTGGCAGGTGAGGCGGCTGTCAACATACCATCAAGCCGCCGACGAACACCAGGACGATGAGTACGGCGAGGACAAGGTACAGAGCCTCGGTCTTATCCACGGCGTCCTCCTGTTCCCGCTGGACAGCCTTGGCCTTGTTCGCGGCCGACAGCTTGTTGACGTCTTGGGTTGGGAATATCCTCTCGATGAACTGCTCAATCTTGCCGCACTGGATGCCGATAGCCAGGAAATTAGGGTCTCTCGGGTCGGCCTTTTGGTGTATCTTCCGAACGTAACGCCGGAAGACCTCACTCACGACCCTGAGATTTTGCGTTGACTCGATCATCAGCTGGCAGGCGTCACCCTTGGTGATCTTGATGTTCTTGTCGAAAATGTCGGGATTCATGAAAACGAGTTCCAAGGTTGCGATAGCCATTGACTGCGGAATAGCCACGAAGTTAAACACGCTCTGCTCCCTGACCGCGGCCATGTAGTACAGGCATTCATCAGCATGTTTCAGGGCGTTCAGGACCATCTCAGACCCGCAGTAGAGTGCCTTTTGCCGGTTCTCAGGCTTGAAAAGGTCCTCTAGCTTTTCAACGTGCTTGCTCCATATCTCCTTGGGCCACCACTTCTTGCCCTCGTCATAGTCTTCGCGAATGTCGCGGATGATGTTGACCTTTTGTAAGAACTGGCCCATAGACTCGGTAAGCTCTGGGCGGTCGTTGAGCGCGGGGTTGGCAAGATTGGATTGGACGAAGAGGCGGGTCAGACCCTCGCCGACCAGACCCGCCACGTAGTGGCAGTAAAGCTCATAGTCCTTGATGGATATGACACCATCCTTGTTCAGCTCGCCGTTGAGTGCAAAGTCTGCCATGCCGTTGCCCATCTTCTCAGTGATGCTCTTGATAATGTCACGATACTCCACTTTGGTCTTCTTGAGCTCGGCAACCACGTCATCAAAGTGTACGAGTAGCTCGCGGTCCTTCTCGTTGGGCCCGTTGTCGGTAAAGGTCCAGCCATCAATGTCCATGTTTTGGTGGAAATTGCGCAACAGGGGCTCTTTTGTCTTGGCGTCAAGGGTCATGTCATCTTCAATCGTGTCAAGACCACGCAAGACAAGGTAGAAGAGGGTGATGGGCATCAAGAGCTCGGGGTTGAGTTCCTGTATGACGGCGGAGAAGCTGCGAGACGTCTTGTTGAGAAACCTGAAGCATGACGCCTCTGTTGGGGTCTCCTTGCTAGGGTCGCGATGGTGCACCGGATCGTGCCATACCTTCCTGTAACGGGTGGTCAGCTTGGGAAAAGAGGCGGGTAGCCGGACGGGAAAGCCGCCGCGCTGCTTCGCTCACCATTGTATGATGCTGCGGAGCTGAATGGGATGGAAAAGGAAGTAAAGAGCTTGTTTTGCAGCACCCATGTTGAGGGTTGGTCACCCACGGGTTGATAGGTCAAGCAGAGGATGCGGAGGGGTAGCAGGATATATGGTCAATGGGTAGCAGGTAGGGTGTCTTGAGCTGGCAGGGCGTGGAGTTCGGATGTTGGGTATTGCTCGTGGGGGGTGGGGTCGGAGACGACGACGATGACAGTGATGAGAGATATTGGGACTCTTGGGGGTTGGGGGTTGTGGGTTGGGGCTTGGGTACGCGGTGGGGGGGCCACGACATAAAGTAAAGGAAGGAGACCAGAGTAGTTGTGGTTTTTGGTGACAGGCCACGATCACGAACAGACAGACACCGAGCACACAGCACAACACAAACGCAGGAAAGGACGGGTAGGACGAGCAAGACGGGGGGCGCGTCCAAGATTTGATGAAGAAAATCTTAACCAGGAGGTGAAGGAGCGGCGCGCTAATTTTGCAATGGAGGAACACGAAGCAGCTGGTTAGTCAGTCTTGATGTGGGGGCAGTGGCTCACCGTCCCGCCCAGGGAGGAGGCCCATTTTGCTTAGGTCAGGCGGACTGGGTACCTAGGTCCCTGCCTACCTAGGTAGTTAGGTATGAATTCATCTTGCTCTAGGGGCGGACCTAGGTTAAGAATCTCAATGGGGATTTTAGTCTGAACTGTCGGTGTTGCCATCAACGAGTTGAATCAAGTCAGGCCACTCATCGAGGCGTAAATCCGTAATATTCTGTAGTTCAAGTCATCGCCGTATTTAAGCGAGGGGGGGATGTCCCCAGGGACGGCTTCTACGGTGTTCGCATGAGCATGAGAATGTGCCTTGGGCTACTCCGCGCCACCCCCGACATACTTGCTTACCTACCTTCCTCAGTTTGTCGCGGCTGGGCCACTTGTTCTTCTCCTTTTCTTCTCCTTCCTTTTTGCCAGCCCCAATTGGGCCAGCTGCCCGCTTAAGTTAGGTACCCATGCCCAAAGCCAACGCCGTGGGCAGTGCGCAAAAGGCCACCCATCAATGCGCAACACGCAATCAGAACATGGCGTTCCTTTCTACACAAGTCACTGGCAAGCTACCTACCTAGGTGAAGCCAGGCGGGCTGGTCCTCCTCGCCTCCCTCATGTGCCGCGTCGTCCCCGTACTGCCATACACAGTACAGTACGCTCGTACGGGCTGTATCACATAGGCCATGCATGTGTCATATGCAGGCCGACAAAGATCGTCTAACGCTGAATCTTGCCTGTTACCCTGAGACAGCCTCACCCGGGCCTGAAGTTATGGTGTTTTTGGTGTCTTTGGGTCCCTGACATCTCTTCCAGAGGCAGAAGCAACTGTGTGTAGACTAGGCACCTACATCCTACCTAGGTACCTTGGTAGGTACCTAGGTAGGTAGTACCTTGCGCTCCTGCGCAGCAACTCAACTCATTCTGCCGCACAAGCAGACACGCAGATGCTGTGGTAGTAATCAAAGACCACTTGCTATGGGCCGTCAATGCAATGCCACCCCAGATACACAGTACAGCGACACTCGGATGCTACCACACCACCTAGGTACGCCACGGGCCACGGGGCCACGGGGCCACAGGGCGATTGATTGTACACTCGTGGAGATCCCTGGCTTCCCGCACCCTATCTGGGCAACTGCCCATCCACCTTGCAGCTGCAGGGCATGGGCCACGGGCCACGGCCCACGGCCCCTGCCCCTCCATCTCCCCTCATCCCTTCCTACTCGAGCCCCCCAGGCCAATAGCGTGGGTGTGTCCCTGGGTTAGCCTGACTCTGACTCTGCTGACATCTGAATCCAAATCTAAACCTAGGGACGTCGAGACTCGCGAGTCGAGACCCTCCCTTGCTGAGCTTAGGTGTTCTACATACCCCTTGATCCTATTTAACTTCAGTCGCCGGCCTCTTTGACTCCTGGCTCATATCCCCTCTGCTTCTCCGTCTCTATTCCTCGTACACCCGCGCGCTGATTGGCACTCTCGTGGCACTCTCCTCCAGCAAGTCCAGCCCAAACGTCGTAGCACCCCTTGCGACACTACCTACCCAAATACCCACCCCCACTTACACGGGGCAGGCTTCCTCCACCACACTATCTATATATAAATCCGAGGCAGCACCGCCATCGCGGCCACTCAGAAACTCGAGATGGCTACCAACGGGGCCAATGGGACCAACGGGGCCAAGGCAAATCGTTTCCTTATCTGGGGTGGTGAAGGCTGGGTCGCTGGCCACCTGAAGACCATCCTTGAGAAGCAGGGCAAGGACGTGTTTACAACCGTCGTCCGCAACCAGAACCGCGAGGAGGTCCTGCAGGAGCTCGACCGGGTCAAGCCGACCCATGTGCTCAACGCTGCTGGCTGTACAGGTCGGCCCAACGTCGACTGGTGCGAGGACCACAAAGAGGAGACGATGCGGTCTAACGTCATTGGCACCCTCAACCTGACCGACTGTTGTTATCTCAAGGGCATCCACTGCACCGTCTTCGCGACCGGCTGCATCTACCAGTACGACGAGAAGCATCCCTGGGACGGCCCTGGCTACACCGAGACCGACCCAGCCAACTTTGCCGGCAGCTTTTACTCCGAGACCAAGGCGCACGTGGAAGAGGTGAGTTGAATGTCACAGAGGACTCTAGCAAACACACCCCTCCTCCGGCCCCGTCCCTTCATCCCTCGCCCCTCAACCCCCCTTGGGTGCATGCGAGCGCAGGGCAGTTCGAACGGCCTTGGCTTTGCTGGCCGGTTGGCTGACTCGTCTGCTTTCTTGTGCACAAAGGTCATGAAGCACTATACCAACTGCCTCATCCTGCGGTTGCGGATGCCGGTGTCTGACGACCTTCACCCTCGCAATTTCGTCACCAAGATCGCCAAATACGACCGCGTCGTGGACATCCCCAACAGCAACACCATCCTGCATGACCTGCTGCCCGCGTCGATCCTTCTGGCTGAGCATGGCGACACTGGCATCTACAATTTCACCAACCCCGGTGCCATCTCGCACAACGAAGTCCTCACACTCTTCCGCGACATCGTCAGACCAGGCTACACGTGGAAGAACTTCACCCTGGAGGAACAGGCCAAGGTCATCAAGGCCGGTCGAAGTAACTGCAAGCTCGACCATACCAAGCTGACCAGCAAGCTGAAGGAGTACGGATACGAGGTGCCTGAGATCCACGAGGCCTACAGGCAGTGTTTTCAGAGAATGAAGGCCGCAGGTGTTCAGTAGGGCGTGAGGCATCAAGAGCATAGGCCGAGACCGAGGTGCCCACATACCCCAGGACATTGTCAAGAGATGGGACGGGTTGATAGATGCTTCTTCTCCACACATTCCTGCGAAACAATCTATCTTCAGAGCGCTAGACATGCAATGACAGGCGGTGTCTTCTTCAACTGGTGCGAGCGAATGATTTGAATCCCAGGTGCTACTCGGCGCGACGGCCTCACCACGACCACCCAACGGATAGGATAGAGATGGCGATGGGTTCTTGTCGGCAATCCGGCTTGCCCGTCACGCGTGCAGGTGAGCTGCTGTATGCCGGTGGGGGCTTGTCCCGAGGGCTCTGCAGGCAGGGCGAGCCTCTCTTCACCTCCCGAGTCTCGGTGCTGCAGCCAACAGGCAAAAGCACATCCGAGAAGAAGCCCATCTATGCGAGAAGCTCTCCTTTCCTTTCCCTTCCTCTTTTCTTTTCTTTTTGGGAGACCGGGGGGTGGGTGTTGGACCAAATACCGCGTGCGTTCCCGCGGGTGGGCAGGCAGGAGTGAGATATCCCTCCTGACTCGTAATACCTACCTGTGCCCAGGTGGGTATGTCGATAGGTACGGCGGGTATTATTGTTCAGGACGCCATTCAACGGTTGGGCGTGGGTTGCTGACCGTTGGACAACACCAGCACATGGTTGGATAGTGTTCCGCAGGCGTTTTCCCGTTTTCCCGTTTTCCCGTTGCAAATCTGGGCCGTCATGAGGAGACGAGATAGAGATAGTGGGATGAGCCACGTAGGTAGGATCCTTGGAAGGTTCTCGCTTGGTCTTGGCGGCATCAGAGCCCATATTGTGATGCACGCTACAGAAGTTACAGTTAGGTGCGCGCTAAGGTGCGTGCCACCTGCACGCGTGTTCGGGCAAGGGGCGAGCCTGGTAGGCGGTCCAACAAATCAGGCCAGGCCAGGCTGTCACTGCGGGCTGCGTCACGTCAGGCGTCACTCAGCCCTGTATCTACTGTGCACATACCTACCTTGACCTACACTAGGTAGGGTACCCAGGTAGTAACTGGATTTTGGAGCCGCGGGCGTGGGGCTGGCCGCAACCTAGCAAGTCTAGATCCGGCCCCTAAATTCACACTCAGCCGCGTCGGACGGGTGCCTCACCCCTCTGCTGAAATCCTAGATTTCGCACTCAATAGACTCAACAAGGCCAGACGGCCATTAGACACCTTGCCTACATTCACCCAGGTACTGTGCCGCCGCACCGGTCTCTTACGGCTCCCCCCCTCTTGATCCTCTGCGTCCTACTTGAACGGCAGCTTTGAGCATCCTATTGGGCACCATGGTTGTCGATACGTCATACTACGATGCGCTCGGCGTGAAGCCGACAGCTACAGACCTGGAGATCAAGAAGGCCTATCGCAAGATGGCCATGGTCCACCATCCAGGTATGTGCCCGGGCACTACCCGCAGCGCTGTCCCCAGGTGCTTCATCTTGGCCCTGCGCAAGCACGCCTACTAAACCCTGGCTCTTCACTGCAGACAAGAACCCCGACGATCCGTCCGCCCACGAGAAGTTCCAGGCCATAGGCGAGGCGTACCAGGTCCTGTCCGACTCAGACCTACGGAAAGCCTATGACAAGTTCGGAAAGGACCATGCCAAACCCCAAGAGGGTTTCGCCGACCCCGCCGAGTTCTTCACCAGCATCTTCGGGGGCGATGCCTTTGTGGACTGGATTGGCGAGATCGGCCTGATGAAAGATCTCACCACAACCATGGACATCACCGGCATGGCCGAAGAGGAGGAAGCCGCGGCGGCGGCGGCGGCGGCGGCCAACGCCGGTGATGATCCTGAATTCCCAGGGACCGCAGATGCCACCAAGGAGAGCATGAAGACCACGGCAGATCCAGGTGTCGTGGGCGAGAAACATGCTTCTCCACCGGCCCCCAAGGCGGAACAGGACGCCGCCGGCGGGGAAGACCCGGCGACCACAGGCGACAAACCGGCAGTCTCTGCTGGTTTGTCGCCCCCCGGCACCGCTCCGTCCCGCACTTCGTCTCCCGCGCCTGGCAGCGGTACGTCGACCCCGAATAAGTACAAGATTCCTCTTCGACCTGCGATCATGGACCGCCCCTCGGACGAGACGACCATGACCTCAGATGGCCAGGGCGACTCGGCACTGCACAGGAAGGATAAGGATAAGAAGAAGGCCGGCCTGACCAAGGAGCAGCGAGAGAAGCTTGCCGAGTACGAGAGAGAGAGGGCGCGCGTGCGCCAGGAGCGCGTGGACATGCTGGCCAAGAAACTGCTGGACCGCATATCGGTGTGGACCGAGACGGACAAAGGTGCCGACGTGACACGGGCGTTCCAGGAAAAGATACGGCTGGAAGTGGAGAACCTCAAGATGGAGTCGTTTGGCCTGGACATCCTGCACGCCATCGGCCAGACCTATCTCGCCAAGGGCTCAAATCTGCTCAAATCGCAAAAGCTTTTCGGCATTGGCGGCTTCTTTGGGCGGATGAAGGACAAGGGGACCATCGTGAAGGAGACATGGAACACCATCTCAAGCGCGATTGACGCACAACAGACGATGGAGGAGATGGCACGCATGGAGGAGAAGGGCGGCGAGGAGTGGAGCGACGAGAGGAAGATGGAGTACGAGAGACGGGTCACGGGCAAGATCCTGAATGCGGCGTGGCGTGGAAGCAAGTTTGAGATCCAGAGCGTGCTGCGGGAGGTTTGCGATGCCGTGTTGAACGACAAGAAGATCCCGCTGGCCAAGAGGCTGGAGCGAGCACAGGCCATGGTCATCATCGGGGAGATCTGCGCCAAGGTGAGTATCGACCGCTCCGCAACCTGTCTGCCCGATGCCAGCCATGCTGACTGACATGTCTACACACACAGGCTCAGCGGTCGCCTGAGGAAGAAGGTGACTTTATGGCATTTGAGCAGCTCGTGGCAGAAGCCACCATCAAAAAGGAAAAGGAGAAGGAAAGGGAGGAGCGCAAGAAGAAGCATAAGCACCATTCGCATCCAGAAGGCCCGGCCGAGTCTCCGGCTGCGGCATAGACCGGCATGGCCCCTGGTAGGGCCCGGGGGACATTCTCGAGCCCACCCCGGCTTGACTGAGGTGGCAGTCAGAGACACCGGCTACATAGTACCAAGCTGCGAGGTCAGCCCAGAAACCTGGGACTCACACGGATTTTCACCTGACTACGAGCCGTGTCCGGTCAAGGCGGCGGGGGGTAATCCCAGTTGTCTTGAATTCTCAGGTGCCAGATTTGCCGACCTTGCCTTCACTTTCTCGAGGCGAGAAAGGCGTCATCGGACCATTTTAATAACATTGTGTCGGGTAGAAGTACGGCATGTTTTAGAATAAAGACAGCCCTGTTTGTTTCTTGTCCAGTGGCGGTCAGACCAATATATAAGAGCACCTATAACGCCAGCATAGGGAGGCTTCAAACCGTGTGTGGACCGCTCAACCACTATTGGAAGGGGTCAAACCGTACAGGCAGGCAAGGCAGGTTCACGGTTTAGTATAGTTTACATACCTACCTAGGTACCTGTGTACCTACCTACCTAGGTACCTACCTACCTTCCTTCCAATTCTGTTGAACAAGCCAGCAAACGAGCACAAGAGGGAGGACTTCACAAGAAGGTCTCAGAGCAATACTTGAAAGACCAGATAAAAGCCATTCTCCTTTCTTGGGAAAGAAACCATCTATAGCAAGTTTAAAGGGAATTTAATCATGTGTTGGCAGGGCTGATAACCCTACGGGAGGCGGGCTTCTAAGAACCTTGGAAGTAAGTGAAAGGCTTAATATGTAGACTTCGGACGAGATGAGGTCAGGGGCAGGGTGGGAAGTGGAAAAGGCAACAGCTGGGGCGCTGCGGAACTCGAGTACTCCGTACCCCGTTAAACGAGGCTGTGCACACGTGACAACGTGGGATGGAACGTCCCCACTTTGGCTGGTCCCAAGCTTTGTCGCGGTCTGTGACGCGCCATCCTACTGTGTAATAATGCTTATGACGTTCTGAATCAGAGGCTCGCCTGGGGAAACAAGTGTGGGAGGCGACCTAGGCAGGCAAGCCCACTCAGGTCTCTTCTAGCTCGCTAGTGCAGCCAAGTCGTTTTCTCACCCACTCCTCGGTCCTGATTGATTTCTGGGGTGCAGCCTCATTCATCTTGACGGGCACACCCTGCAACAAACGATACCGCCACAGACTCCTCCCTACTTCCCATCACTATGTGGGTTCTTGAGAGCGACGGCGACCTTTTCCGAGGTTGATAGGACACCCCACAGTGAGTCTGTCTTGGAGCGTGCTGGCTAAACCTCGAACAGGTCGACGACTTTGGCTTTCCCCAGGGAAGCGATACCTGTTCGGCCGAACTTCTCAAGATGGCGGGGGTGGGTACTCATGTGATTCTCATGTGATTCACATGTGGCCTGTCCAAGCGACCTTCTAACATTGATTTCAGGTGGGGGCTTCGTGATCCAGGAAAAAACCATCTCGAGAAAGCACCTCACGATAGAGGTAGGCGTGGTTGCCGGGGGCGATGGTGTACGTATCCGATCGACCATGGGCGGCAAACTTCTCCAAGGCTCTCAATTCACGCGTTTTTAGACAAACCTCGAGAAGCGATCGCTCGTCACCATCGAAGATCTCAAGACAAAGATAGGCACTTTGGTCAATGGGAAACAAATCAGGGGTGAGCGTTTCAATCTCATCAAGGACGCGAACGAGATCAGACTCGGCCACTATCGAGAAGTCTTCCGGTGAGGCATCTGAAACGCTGAATGGATCAAAAATATTCGTCTGACGTTATCTCCAAGCATAACGTGGCACCCAGTTGTTCTCAGCTTCTCCTTTAGTGAGAAGGAGCTAGAGGCAGACCCGTGGGCTGCCATACGACACAAGCTCGAGCCATTTGATGTCAAATACATCGCGGAATATGACGATGCGAACACCACGCATGTAGTCAGCAAGAGGCGCAACACGTCCAAGGTGCTACAGGCCCTCATTACTGGCAGGCATATCGTCGTTGAAGGCTTCATGCAGGCAATTGTCGAGGCTGCCACGCCAAAGGCTGGCGGTGTGAATGGTGTCCAATCCAGTGCGTTAGAAATGGACTTTGATGCGAATTGGCCCAACGCTATGGGGTATCTGCCGCCAAAGGCGGATGCTCCCGGTGCCGACCGACCTGATGAGATGTTCGCGCCGGACAAGAGACGACGGAATGTTTTCGAAGGTTATACATTTGTCTTCTACGAGAGAAGGCGTTTCGAAGAGTTGCACCCTGCTATTACGAACGGCAAGGGGAAGGCGCTACTGAGTGAAGTACAACCGGGTCTCACAAGCACCGACGAGTTCATACGTTATGTCAAAGGAATCGCAGGGGAGAAAGGCCTGGGAGAGTTCGAGGACGGCAGCGAAGGCAAGGGAGTTGTGGTAGTCCGCTACGTGCCCTCGCCGGGCCAGGAGAACGCGGATTGGTATCTGAGCTTCTACAGCCAGGTCGCGCTGCGGCTTGATCATCGTCCGGTTGAGCCTAGAGATTTTTTGCCTGCCATTCTCGATGTTGACCCAGGTCAACTGAGAAGACCATTGGAATTCGACTCGACCCAACGGGAGCAAGGTACGCACCTACTGTTCTGTGTCAATCCAACAACGTCTGACCTACCCTTCACTTTAGCTGGACCCCCGGGAGAGCATGAGGTTAGCAGTGAAAGCCGCGGCTTATCAGTGAATGTTGACGAAGCCCCTGGGAGAGAGGTCATCGAGGCGCAGCCGCCCCAGCCCACCAAGACGCGAAGACGAGACCGACGTGCCCCAAGGAGCAGATTCAAGGGTTTCGATACTGGAATAGATGAAGACGACGATGACGAGGAGCCTGGTCCTGCATCCCGATCCGACGCAGGAGGTGCAGAAATGTCGCAGGGCATGTTCATGACGCAGCCAGAAGAAACACCAACCGTGGCAGATCCGCCGCAGCGCAAGCGGCCGTTGCCAGAACCCGACCACGATATCATGGACGACATCACGCCCACGGCTGCCGCCATCAAGCGCCGTCGGCTCGAGGCTGGCGAAGAGAACAACCCTCCAGGGGACCACACCACCCTGCCCGTGCGAGACGAGGTAGACCATGAGCCCTTACATCCACAACAAATGGGCACTGGCCGTGGGAAGGCAGCAGTGGGCGGCAAGAAAGGAAAAAGGGCTGTCCAGAGAGAAGATGACCTTCTGGATCTTGCTATCCAATACCGAGAGGAGGAGGAAGCAACTGCGCAGGCGGAACGTGAGCGTCTCGCACGGGAACTGCGGGACGGTGACATTGACTACGAGGCGATACGGCGGCTAACTATCGTAGAAGCCATGGACATCCGGCGACCACAAGAACGACGAACACGGGAGCAAGACATTCAGGAGGGGCGGTGGGATCCACGGTGGAACGGCCGGAAAAATTTCAAGAAGTTTCGCAAGCAGGGCGAGACTGCCGGAAGGCCGCAGCAGAAGGTGATGGTGTCTCTCGAGCCGGCACGAGTCAAGGTGCACGGCATTGGCAACGACTATTGGCTCGAAGACGGATTCGCACAAGGCCGCAGGGGCAAGGAAACAAGCCAGTTGGCAAATAGCCAGGACGAGGCCGGGCCCAGATTGACTACGGGGCGTGCCCGGCGGCCGACCAGCAGGGCGAAGGAAAGAGATCAATATGTCATCGGGAGTGATGATAGCGGTGATAACGACGAGGCTGACGCAGGCAACGGCAGTTTGCTGGCCGATGTCATGGACCCAGAGGGTAGCCGTGAGCCTGCGAGGAGCAAGAAGGGCAAGGCAGTTACGAGACAAAGCCAGGCAGCAGCGCGACGAAACGAGACGCAAGCCCCCGTCGCGTCGAGATCACAGAAGAGGAGTGCTGTGGAATCACCGACGTCAGAGAAGCCAGCCAAGAGGCGGGCGGTACGCAGGGCGGGGGCGGCGGAGGAGGAGAGCGAGGAGGAGGAGGGTGACGATGATGAAAGTGACGATGGACTGAATTTCAGGTTTGGCAAGCGCAGGTGAAGACCAGGCATCTCGCTGTGTTGTGAGGACGATGGCGGCTCATCACATTGCTCTCAGCGGGGCGGTAGGGGACAGGCTCAACTGGCCGCCCTCGGGCTTCTTTTCGTTCATCTACCTGCTGGAGGGTCGGGGTCATGTTCACCGACCGCGGTTGGCTCATGATATGTATGGGATGAGGGGTATCTATTGCCGCCCACGTCGGCGGCGTGTCTAGGTTCAAAACTTATTGGGCTGGCCACACGGGGCAACCACCGGCGGTGTGCATCATCCTAGTGTACGGAGAAGGTATGGCCGAAAGTATGGCCGTGTGGATGCAGCGGCGTCTTTTTTTTCTTTTTAGGCGGACGAAAGAGGTCGGAGGCGGGTGATCAGTCCAACTCCTCCATCGCCTTGCCCACCTGCTGCTCGACGTCATGCTCGTCCACTAGTATGCCTATCAGGCAGGCACTCAGCATGGTCTCGTAGTTTACCCAAGGATGTACCTCGGCGAACATCCGAGTGGCGTCACGACCCGCGCCGCGGAGCAGCTCGGCCTCGCCGCCAGGGTGGAAGCTGATGTAGGGGGATATGTTGTAGACCTTGCCGGAGAAGACGGACCAGGCGTCCTTGCCCTTGCGGCCGGTCATCTGTCGTAGCTGTGAGGGGGTGACACGGAGGTACGGGGTGGAGGGGGGCAGGCCGCGCAGGTCAGAGGTGGGCGATTGGGCGAGGCGGGCCCAGTCCATCGGGGAGTGACCTGGTGTCAGCCTCACCTGCCTTGAGGGCTTGGTGGGCACTGAAGAATGGGTGGGCGGCGGCGCGAGGGTGGAAGTGCCCGGGGCGCGGCTGGAGACCGGGAGCGAACGGTTGGGCGAGGGCGCGGGCGAGGGGCGGAGCGAGGAGCTGTTGTTCCTGGCGGCCGGGGCGAGGGTTGAGATGCGTCGTGCTTGCGCCAGGGGCACGGGGGGAGGCGCCATGGCAGAGAGGGAGGGACCGGCGGTCGAGGAGGATCCCGGGGCCTGGGCCTGGGCCTGGGGCCGCGACGGCGGCGGCGGCGGCGGCATGAGATCAGAGGCGGCTGACGGCTTGCTTGTCGTGGCAGACTGGTCGGCGGGGGGCGATGGCAGAGGTTCTGACAGCGAGAAGCCGGGGACGACAGGGCGGATCACGGCGGGAATGCTTGGGGCGGCCTTGGGGGTGGCCTGACCGTCGCCGTCAGTGTCGCCGTCAGTGTCGCCGTCAGTGTTGCCGTCAACGTCGCCATGAGCATCACCGGGGGGCGTGTCGAGTCCGGGATGTGTTGGTTGCTCGCGGGGGTTCAAGTGCTGGTGGTCGGGCGTCGGGCTCTGGCGGCGGAGGCTGGCGACGAGGTTCCGGAGCGGCAGCCATGCTGGGGGCCGGATGCAGAAAAGCACAACGGAGGCGACTATCAGCGAGATGCCGATGAGAGCCATCGTGTTCTTCTCTCCCAGGGCGTCCGTCCGTCTATGGTGTTGCTGTCGGGTCGAGGCAGTACTGTGACTGTGGTACATCATACCTACCCAGCACGGACCGAGTACAACCGCCTTCTTCGGGGCCCACTTTGCCGCACCAGGGGTCTCCTGGTACGGATACAGTGATACAGTGATACAGTGCCCGGCTGCCACAAATAGCAGCCAGGCATGCGGCAGCACGTAGTAAACAATGGTCCTGCCTGCCAGCCTGCCCAGGTGTTTACGTGTTTACAAGACCACCTGGGGGAGCTGGGGTGACGGCAGGAGGTTAAGTGCCTACCTAGGTACACTGTGCCTGCCTGCCTGTCCTGTGGTGGGGCGGGCGCATTTCGGCTCTGGCTGTCTGGACTCTGGACAGTCACGTCCACCACGTCCACCACGTCCACTACACCTCCCATTGACCCCAATTAGCTCGTTCCCCACAACAAACAGCCCCCGACCCCATCGCCAATCTTAGGGCCAGGACCAGACACGAACGGCAACCACTAACCACTGCTGCAACAACAACAAGACCTTCAGGATCAACAATACCAACCCCTCTCTCAGCAGAAATCTGGCACCCAAACTCATCCTCACACACGCCATCACGCCATCACGCCCCGCGCCAACACCCCAATCCCCTAGCGACAACGCACGGGCAGCCTCGACCCCGTCCGACCCCGACGCCGACGCCGACGCCGACGCCGTCGCCTAGACCAACCACACCGACAACCCCCTGGCCGACTCCCTCACCATCCGACAAGATGCTGCCAACACGATGAGGAATTTACACACCTCCCGATCCTCCTCTTCCAAAGAGCCCGCCTCGTCCTCAGGCAGGATGCCCTACGACCGCTCCTCCACCGCCACACCATCGTCCTCGACCACCTCCTCGCGCCATCCTCCACCCCTCCACACCCCTTCCCTTGCAAAACGCCTGCCCGTCACCCCCAAGCTCGCCGGCAAACCAGCTCCCACCTCGGCCGCCTCCGCCTCCGCCTCCACCTCACAGCGACAGACCGTCACGCTTGCCACTCCTGTTCCCCGGAGGTCTGCTCGCCCCTCGTCTGTCGTCAGCCATGCCAGCCATGCCAGCCATGCCACGACCACCGCCCTCCAGAGCAGCGCCACCCCGAGGTCTGGCTCCCGCCAGAGTCGCGTTACAAGTGCCAATGCGTCGCCCTCCCCGGCAGACGCCGCCGCTGCCGATCACTGGGAGACGAGGTCAGGCCTGGGCATCTCGGGCACTGCTCTCGACTCCGATGCTGGCACGGCGTCTCTGCAGAGGGGTGACCCGGCCGTCGCCCAGCGCGACTCAAAGTTCTTCTATGCCAGCGATGCCTCCAGAACCGCCCAGGCCGCTGCTCCTGGTCCCAGGCCCACGCCACCACAAAAGGGCCCGACCTTCTTTTATGCCAATGGCAACAATCTGCCCCCCAGGCCTACTCCGCCCACCTCCGCCCCCTCCGCGCCCTTCTCGCCGCCGCTCGCCTCCACCGCCCCAGACTCCTCGGCCGTCAAGTTCATGTACGCCAATGGCTCTCCCGACCTCCAGCCCAGCTTGATGAAGTCCGGACCTGGCTCCGCCCACTCCGCCCACTCCGCCCACTCCGTCAACCCCAGGGTGCCTGCCAGCAAGCACCCTGCTGGCCCGCAGTCACCAGCTCCGTCATCACAGAGGATGCCTTCACCGGCCAAGGCCACAGGCTACCCTCCTCCTCCCCCGCCGCCTCCGCCCCAGCCCCAGCCCCCGCTCCTGTCCCAGTCCTTGGCCGGCCCTTCGATAGCGGAAAGGCGCAGCATGCTCGCGTCCACGCCTCAGCTCGGCCGGGCCAACTCGAACGATCTGAGGCGGGTCAGTGCAGAGGCTCCTCCCAGGACGACGTCCGGGCACTCGCGCTCTGGGAGCCTGGTGGCAGATGCTCAACCTGTAACGCGGGCCGTGGCTTCGAGCCCGCCCGCCAGCTCGCCTTTGCCGTCGCCCTTGACCTTCTCAAACCCGGCAATCTCCATGGCGTCTGTGCTCGAGGCCGCCGATGAGCTGGTCGGCAGTCAGGATGAAAGCGACTCCGTGGTCTCGGGCCTGGCAAGCCCAAGGTCGGCCAGTGGCAACGACCCACTCAATGAGCTGGTTGCCAACGCGAGGAGGGAGCGGAAGGTACAAGACCTGCAAATAACGAATGCGTCCCTGGAAGCTATCAACCGGACGCTAGAACGGCAGCTGCGGAAACAGACCAACGAGCTGCGGCGCTACAAGCGGATGACGAGGGCCGGTCGGCTCTCGTCCGCCAACACTGCCGCCTCGTCCCGCATCCCCTCGACCTCCACGGCCAGTGAGGCCCCGGAAGGCCCCCTAAACAAACTCGGCCTGCCAGATCTGAGCGAGGAGGATTCTGGGACGGAGCCCGACGACGAGTCGCTAGGCGACTCGGAGTTGTCAGAGTCGGACTCTGGAGGGTCTGGGCACAGGAGCCCCGGCACGATTGCGATGAGAGACGCCCAGCACAGGAAGCGCGACGAGAAACGCCTCCAGGTCGACCTCTCGAAGCATCAGCAGCTGCTCGTCGACAGCCAGAGGATGAACCAAAGCCTCAAGAGGTGTCTCGGGTGGACCGAGGAGCTCATCCGCGAGGGAAGGAGGGCCCTGGACTATCAGGTCAGGGTCAGCGAGTTTGACGTCGACGGCCGTGTATTACCCGAGGACGGCGAGCAGCCGTACGTCTACGACGGGGCGCAACTATGGGACCACCCGGCCAACCACAGCCGTGGTAGTAGTGACAGCGAGGATGGCCACTCAGACGATGATGCCGGCCGGGACCCTGACGAGACTATGAAGCTGCGCATAGAACGGCTGCGGCCTGCAGAACAAGGGACTGGTGGTAAAAGCACCCAGGATAGAGATAGTGGCATAGTGCTGTCGGGCGACGGGGGTTGACGTTGGATAGGTGACAGGAGCAACAGGATTAGATGGGGGGTTGTTGATGCACTCTGCTCTTGTGGTTCTCTGTTTTCGTTTTTGTCTTCATCGATCACGATGAACAACAAATCACCACTCTTGGCTGTCGCCTGTTTCCTTTTCGTCAGTGGGCCCGGATGCTTGTTTGTCGCGTCTGCCGTGTTCAACACGGGGACAAGTCTCGCGTTTGGCTTTTTGACTTTTGTTTTGCAACTCGGCGTTTTGAGATTTCCGGCAGGGGCAAGATGGTCCTGGGCTGGGTTCAGGCTTTCTGCACCCATTTCTCTTACACGGTACCCTTATGCGGGCTCCCTGTGCTTTCTTGGGGTTTTTTTTCTTTTTCTTTTTTTTTTTTTCCTTGTCTTTCTGGTGGTTTGAATTTCCTCGATTGACCAGTCACCTTGACGCCATTTCTTTTGTATTGTACCATCACAGATACCCCAAAGCATCACACGGATTTGGAGAGAAGAAGAGTATCAGTGGAACTGGAAGGTACTCCAGCTTTGTTGATACCCAACCTAGCACAAGGGAGATGGACAAGACTGGGGAACGGTTGGCAGATACTATAGAAACGACAAGGGAAACGGGAAGTACCAAGGAGAGAGGTTCAAGCGAAGCCCGGGAATGGGGCACACCAGGGCCTGACTGTGTATGAATATTGCTCACTAGTCCTGCATCAACGGCATATCTTGCCCATACTGAGAGTGTTTAGTGTGGGACTGGGTGTATTGTGTGTCATAGTAGTGTTTGTCCCCCGTCCAACACTGCGACGAGACGCGTCAGCCCGCAGTCTTTGTGTGTTCTGCTTGTTTTTACAACGGCGGCCGGGCCACGGCAGCAGAGACACACCACGGTCCCGCGACGTCCTTTTCAACGGCAACTTGTTCCCCGCTCTCAAGTCTCAAGGGGCCCGCTTTGAAGCAAGGTCCAGTCTTTGGTGACCAAGTGGACGTGTCATATTGTCCCGTGGGAGGCAGTGGATGGATGGCGCGGGTTGTCTACCAGCACACCCTGCTTGCAGCATTCCTTCTCCTGGAGTCGGACACCACGAGCTCCTGACCGCTACAACCTTACAAGTGTGTTCATCTCGGGTAAATTTTTGTTCCCAGGGACGAAGGCCCATTTGCATCACAGCAAGTCGGTAGAGATCCGATGGATATAAAGTCTGCATTGCTATTTGTGCTCTGCATGGGCACTGCTGGCGTGGTTGCAAAGGAGGGTTGGGTCACGAAGTAACGACGGAGTAAGAGAGGCAACAGTCATCTCCAGTGAGATTTGTTCGAAGGACTATGCCACACCCACAGTCGCAAAACAAGTCGACCTACTGGCTACCCAGGCAATTCAACCGTGCCACACCCTCCCCTTGGTCACAGGGAGCGGATCGAGAAGATAACCATGGTCTGCAACGGGCTTGACAATGTTCCGCCCACTGTCGCAGCACAGCCCACGTGCCCACAATCATAAGACCGCAAATGGATCCGTCGCCAGCCCGTTTAGCTCATCGGTAGAGCGCATCACTAGTACCGCGAGATGGTGATGATGAGGTGACTGGTTCGATTCCAGTAATGGGCATTGTGCAACTTTGGGTTTAGTTAGTGTCGATTAAGGCGCTCCCATCTGTTCTCTTTTCTTCCTCTTTTTTTTTCACATGAAAAAACGCCGATGGCCTGGTCACCTTGTGATAGGATGTAGCATGGATGAGGCCTAGGTGTATATGATGCAAATGGCTGGGGGTTGACGACATGACTGTGAGGGAAAACCACCAGTCACACTTGCGCTGGTCCTCAAGAGTCTGACTGCAAGAGCTAGGCTGATACCCATCCCCGATATGTGCACAACTCACACAAAGCCCGCCGGTGGGTCAGTCACATTGGGGTCGAGGCGCCCTTCAGACAAGCTGCCTGGCCTTTCCTGTCTCGACGTCATATACCCAGCCTGAAATGTCGACATGGGTTGGGACGGCCGATTGCTTCTTGAGGAAGTCAATGTCGTCGTGTACGGCATGGTCGAGGCTTGTAAAGGGCAAAAAGTCGAGGGATGCGATCTCGGCAGCGGCAGTGGGGCCCAGCCTGTCGGCGACGAGGCCGTGGGCATGGTTGTTGGCAAAGGTCAGCATGCCGCAGCCTGTGTGCTTGACGAGGATGATCTCGCGGGTGCCGAGCAGCTGCTGTGAGATGATGATGCTTCGTAGGGCGTCCCTCGCACTGCCGCCGGCGTTGCGGACGACGTGGGCGTCGCCGAGGGAGATGCCGAAAGCTGCAGCGGGGTCGATACGGGCGTCCATGCAGGTCACTGGAAGACAGGTCTGTCAATCAAAGGGCCATGGCAAGCGAGCATCAAGTGCGGGCGGTGGGCTGAGGCTTGCCGACTAGGTATTTCTTGGCGGGTGGCAGCTCGAGATGGCCGTGCGTGAAGCCTTGGGCGTAGGCGGCGTTCTGGTCCTTGAGGTTCTGCACGTTGGGAGTGGACATTGCGGCAGGGTCGGTTGAGTCTTGGAGCACTGTGGCACGAGATGCACGCGGTGCACGAGGTGCACGAGGCCGAGAGGTGTCGGGACCCGGGAGGTAACTACGCTACGGAGCAGATGCAGATGTGCTGAAACCAGGCTGCCAGGGCGGCGGGGAGGGGCGACGGTTGGCAAAGGTGATGGCGCCGGCGGGCTCTTTTAGCCGCCACGGGAGCTGAGGAGCTGAGGAGCCGAGGGGCTGGCTGAGGGGCTGCCGGGCAAGCTGGGCTGCTGGGCCGGGCAGGGATGTGGGCGATGGCATTTATGAGACGAGATTGCAGCGTGGTAGCGTGGCAGCCGGGCAGCCCGGCAGCCCAGGCAGTCAGGTCCTGCTACCGTGGGCTCGGAGACGAGGAGAGGTCGTGGTGCTGGGATGATGGTGCTGGGATGGTGGTGCTGGGGATGGTGGTGCTGGGGATGGTGGTGCTGGGATGGTGGTGCTGGGATTATGGTGCTCAGGTGACAGATTGACAATACACAGCAAAAATCCACGCCGAGCAAATGGCGTGTCAAACCGTTCGTCCGGGAGTCCGGGACGGTGGGCGTATTATGTACCCCAGATTCCCCCAGTTCTCTCCTTGCCTCCTTGTCTCCCCCTCTCGCCTCCCTGGGCGGCTTGGGATGGGCCCATTATTGCCCATTCGGTCCATGGTCCACGGTCCATGGCGCATGTGTGGTGGTCGTACCTGGCCCCGTACCCGTCTGTACATTATACAGTCCACGGGTGTTGTGTTGTTTGTATGTGTTGTGTGTGTGAGTGTGGGTGTGGGTGTGGGCGTGTGTGCCCTTTTCCTTCCCTTTTTTTTTTTCCTCTTGCTCCTTCTTTTTCTTTCTTTTTGTTCTTCTCGCACCCAGCACGCCCACGCCCACGCCCACGCCCACGCCCACACCCGGCTTGGCAGGTGCCGCCGCGGGTTGCCCAGGACGAAGAAGCATTGAGGCTTGAAGCTTGGTGGCGGCTGGGGCGTGAGATACCGTCTTGGTACCTGTCAGGAGCAGGCTGAGAGCAAAGTCAATGGCAACACGATGCCACTTGGTGCAGGGTCCAGGGTACATGGCGTGTACATGGGTACATGATTGATGGCACCATCCTTCCTTCCTTCCCCACAAACCTTCTCTTGCGCTTGCAGCTCCATACTAGTAGTACCTAGGCAACTGTCGCTTCCCCCAGACCGAGCTGGCCCCAACAAGCCCGCAAGCCCGTCAATTGTCAAATCATCATGGACCATGGTCAATTCCCCCGCTCCCCCGTCCCCGGCCCCCTCCCCCAGCTGTGGCCCCTTACTGTTGTACCATGTCTGCATGCCTGCTTATTCCCGGGCTAGACTTCATCTGGCCCTGCCTTGCTAGTGCCCATCCAGCATCCCTCGCGCGCAGTCTCTGTCCGCCCATCCGATTAGCCCTTTAATAATACATAATAATACATGCCTGGTACTGGACAGCACTTCCCCTGGACCCTCCACGGCCCTGCCCTTCTGCAACCGGACTAGAGGACGGAAGAGAAGGAGAGAGGGTAAAAAAAAAAGTGTGTGTGTGAGTAAGAGTGAGTGAGTGAGAGAGAGAGAGAGAGAGAGAGAGACTCCACCTATATCAGGCGCTGCTCTCCCCGTCCACCCCGTCTCCCCCCGCTGGCACCTTTCGTTTCCCTCTTCCCTTTTCCTGCCGCCCAAGCTACTTGCCTGTGATCCTGACCCCCACACTCGCAGCCAGCCCAAGATGACGGACGCAAACATGGAAAAGGACATCCCCCACACCTCGGGCGCTGACGCCAACGGCACCAACCACAATGCCCAGCCCACCCAGCGCTACAACAACAACTACGGCAACCCCCTCGCCCACGCCCACAGCGGCAACGATGCTCGCCTCCCGGCCTTTGGCGGCGAGTTCCAGCCCGGCCTGTACAAGGCCATCGAGAACCGCAAGATCGCCAACCCGGCCCCCCTCGGCCTCAGCGCCTTTGCCCTCACCACCTTCGTCCTGTCCGCCATCAACCTCCAGGCCCGTGGCGTCACCGAGCCCAACATCGTCGTCACCCTCGCCTTTGGCTATGGCGGCCTCGTCCAGCTCCTGGCCGGCATGTGGTGAGTCCCCGCCCCTGTCTTGTCCCTCCACGTCCTGTCCCTCGCTGACCCGGGTCGTGCCTTTCCCCCCCACCCAGGGAGATGGCCATAGGAAACACCTTTGGTGCCACCGCCCTCTCGTCCTACGGTGGCTTCTGGATCTCGTACGCCCTCATCCTCACCCCCTCCCTCCAGGTCGCAGATGCCTACAAGGAATCCGGCAACGAGACCAGCGCCATCGGCTTCTTCCTGACCGGCTGGTTCATCTTCACCACCATCCTGCTGCTGTGCACCCTGCGCTCCACCATCATGTTCTTCAGCCTCTTCTTCACCCTGGACCTTGCCTTCCTGTTCCTCTTCTGCGCAGAGTTCGCAAAGGACAATGGCGCCGCCACTGTCGCCCTGGGCCTGCAAAAGACCGGCGGCGTCTTCGGTATGCTGGCTGCCTTCTTGGCCTGGTATAATGCCTTTGCTGGCATCGCAGACTCCAGGTACGTCCTGGATCCAACCCCCCCCCCCCGCCCTTTCACCCTCCCCTCCAGATCGCGCCCTCAGCTGATACTGTACCAACTCGTCTAGCAACTCGTTCTTCCTCATTCCCGTCTTCCACTTCCCGTGGAGCGAGAAGGGCCGCGAGAACCGCTTGGCAAAGCAGGCCTCGCACACCGTTTGAGAAGCCCGGCGCCGCCACACCTGTCGCATGGTCGTCCCCCGTCTCTGAGTCTCTTTGTGTTGTCAGGATTGATATCGGACCAGAATACCCGTCACGTTATGACACATCCTTTACTTGCTCCCTAATTATGAACCCGCGCCGGCAGTCGCCTGGGTTTTTGTCACCATCACTTGTACCCCACGTCGGGGCTGGGTTCTTGGGTTGAGCTGCGCCGAGAGTCCCGTCGTGGTCATTTTCGAGGGCGCCTGGTGGGGATAATGTGGGTGGCACACCCCCCGCCATTCGTCCATATCAAATACATATTGCATTGGTCATCCTGTGCGGCTGGGGGCGTCCAGTTCCAAGTATGTGAAGTGAAGGCCTTCGTGATACTAGCTAACCATACATGTCAATAAGCAAGCACCAGCTCGTCAAGGCTAAAGTGGCTGCCGGGAGCAGGTCGACAGCTCGGATGGCCGGCATAATACACGAGTAAGCCATCGCCTCCGAGTCCTTGTCTTCCCACCCTAGCTACACATTCCTGCGCAGCAAGCCGCCTTTATGTCCCACCTGAAGGCTGCCGTTCGGTCCAGTGAGGCCTTGTAGCTCCCTCTTGTGTTCACCGACGTCTCACAACACAGAATCTGCCCACCCGTATCCTGTAATCGGCAATAGTAGACAGACCTTTGTACTCTTAGGATACGACATTTTGACGGGCTGCGGCTGTGCGACTTGAGCCCGCAAACCTTGCCAGCACGATATTTGGTGCACTAGCAAAGCCGCACCCCGGGTTTGTTTTCGTTCTTTCAGCTTCAGGAACAAGAGTCTGTCGAACGTGGGAGCGGAGCTATCGTAGCTGGGCTGCAGCGCTCGGAATCATCACCATGGCGGCCACATGCATAAGCAAAGTTTTCTTGATTTTCTTAATAGCTGCCGTTGTTGACAAGCAAGATATGGCCTGCATCCTTAAAGCCGTCAGTAGGCCCGGACCCCCTCAAGGTAACGTGTGTCAATCGCAACAATAAGCATCCCTATCCCGAAACAACGTCTAATCCTAGTACATGGATGGATTTGCCAAGAAAAGCGTCAAATGTTTGCATGCGTGTAAGTCGTGGGCTCCGGCTCGCCGCGGTCACTCCTCTTACGACCAACGAGCCTTGCCTCGAGGACCCCAACTCCTCTTCTCTGAACCCGTCGCCAAATCCTTTCCGCCACGCTCAGCACGCAAACCATCTATATTACCACTGCGAGACTGGGCCATTGTGGAATTGCCTGGCACGGGCTCGCCCAGTCCGAGTGGAACGTCTGAAGAATCGGGTCCAAGTTCTTCGCCGGTTGCTGTGGGAGGCGCGCGATCGCTGACAGCAGTTATCATTTCAGAAACCAGTGAGGCTCTCTCTTCGTTGGAACCGTGGGAGAAGACCCCGGGTATCAAGATCGGCCGTGGCTCCTGTCGAGCGATCCCACCTTGGCCCCAAACGCTGAGGGCCCAAGGACCACCGCATACAGTGGAATTGCTAAGGTCCCCGGTGCAAGGGGTGTCGCAGTGGGTAGGCCGGAGTAATGCAGAGCCAATCAACACATGGCCGCAGAAGCACTGCTCGCCGTCTTCGGTTCCAGCAAGGGTAAACCCTTGCCGCTGACAGAAGCCGATACATGCTTCGTTGGTCATCCCTCTGCGCACATCCAGCGTCTCAGCCTTACTCAAAACCCTGTTCGGGTCATCGGCATAGCAGCCGGCATATTGGTATCGCTCAGTCGCCGGGTGGTGAGGCGTGGGAAACACAATAGATTCAGCCGGGGCATTCGCGGACGACGTCGGAGTCGCGGTGTCCGATGGTACACAGAACCATCCGCTCTCGCACTGGTAGCAAGGCCAACCGTGCCCACAAGGAGCTGGCCACGCAGGAGTTTGGACTGGGGGACAGAACCATCCGTCCAGGCAGTCATCGCATGTATACCCACGACCTGGGCAGGGTCCCTCAACATCGGCCCCGGGCGTAGAAGGAGCAAGACCAGCGCTGGGCGGTAAGGACGCCGGCGGCGATCCGCTCAGGCCCCCAGACGATAGGCCAGCGGGAAACCGAGTCACAGTACTGACGTGTACCTCCGTTGACGTGATCAAAGCGGTGATCGTCTGGATATGGTAAATGGTAGTCTTGGCGACTTGGTCACAGAAAGTACTTGGTAACAGCGGCACTGCAACTGGTCAGCGTCTGGGCCGGCCGGAACAGGGTGAGCGTCTTACCTGTCGGCGGCGAAAGAGGTGTAAGGGGGGTTGTTGTAGCGGTCAGTGAAAGTGCAGATATCTGGTTAAACAGCGACGATAGGCCGGACAGCGCAGGAACCACAGCAGGGTCGACACCGTCGGCGTCAGTCATCCCGGCAGACGTCAACGACGATACTAAAGACGACAGAATGGAAGTGAGTGGCGGCCGTGAACTAGGGGCGGATGTAGGACTTGAAGGCGAGGCCACCTCTACTGTGATGGAGGCTGAGGCCGTTGCAGGTGCCGTTGCAGTCGTCATTGCTCCGAGACCTGAGGTCAGTGGGTCGTCCGAGCCGCATGGAACATTGAAAATGATGGCTGTTCCACCCACAACATCGGACACTTGGCAAAGAGGCCCGCCCACATCATTTTGGAGACGTGATAACACATCTTGTACGGGGCCCTGAAGCACAGGCGGAAGAACGCCAACCACGTGAGCGCCAGCTGCTGCCGCCAGAGATGTCACCCCCGACCTAGCGTCGACTAGAGCTGAAGATAGTTCCTTCTTCAGGCCACTGAGAGTCCCGTTGGGGTCCCCAACGAGGTCCGGGTCGGCGTCGAGGACAGACCCCAGCTGGTTGACCGCAGAGAGGGCGGCGGCAGGAAGGCCGGTGGCAAGGTTAGGAGCGGCGTTCAGGAGAAAGCCGATCTTATCGGCCACGCCAGCAGCGACATCCGGCACACTGTCCAGGACCTCTGTCGTGGCATTGAGAGCATCCGCAATCTGTCCCCCGACGTTGCTTGCAAGCTGCACGCCGACAGCCACCGCGGACGGCAGGCAGCCGAGAAATGAGGAGACACGACCCTGAAGATCGTCGAGGGCCGCGCTGGGATTGGCGAGAACGGAGGCTGGATCAGCAGCAATCGATGCAAAGGGGGCGACAATATCGGCAGAGAGTTGGTCCAAGACTCCTCCATCAAGGCTGCCGCCGCCTGACGATGACCCGAGGACATGGTCAAGGGCTACTGCGACACCGCCCAGTACGTCGACCGCCGGTATAAGCCCTCCGGAGCCAGTTGGGACCACCGGAGGCACCGTAGTACCAGCCGGCAAGGGACTGACCTGCGACAGGACACTCAATAAGCCTTCCAAGGCTCCACCGGCCTCGCCAGGACTGGCAGGGGCCACGGTCGGAGCACCAGCAAGTATTGAAATGACCGAGCTGAAGAGGTCGGCGGAAGCAATCGGTGGTGTGGGAAGCCCTGGCAGCGGGGCCGCGGCAGCACTTCCACCAACCACGGATGCACCGAGAGGAGGCAGAGGGTTGCCCAGCCCGGGAATACCGAGTCTTTCGGTGCTGAGGCCTGCCGAGACGGCGGTCTCGGTCACGATCCTTTCATCTTCGGCGCCCCCCTCCCGAGGTCCCGCGGGGAAAGGGCCTTGTTCAGACTCCCAAGTGCGTTTGACGACGAGACCAACTTCTCCAGGCTGGTGAGCCAGTGCTGGAGATGAGTAGACCCGGGAGTCCCTGCTGTGAACGTCTTCACGGGGGTAGGCGAGGCAGAGAAGGGCCAAAAGGAGAAGGCCAGCTATTGCCAGGCGGCGCGAGAGATGAGCAGACGGCAGCAGCATCTTGGGGCGCATGTAGTTGGGTTCAGCCAAGCGGCGTTCGGCGCGGCGGGGGTCGAGACACAATGAGCAGCACGCAAGGATAGAAACAAACTGCCAAAACTGGTGGTTCCAAAATCCAGGTCCAAAAAAGGAGTGTGTTGATACCGCCGCGCTGCACGACAGTCGACGATGGTGTAGCACAAGGTGACAGGCTGACAGCAAGGCAGGCAGACAAGAACCGGGGAAGGGCATTTAGGATATGCATGCGCCGGCTCCTGCCATGGGCACTGCAGCTAGCTGCCTTGCAGTGCTGCCATCGTCACTTCCAGGGTCGGCCACGAGTGGACAGGACGGAAGGAGCCCACCTGGGTGTTCATACCTACCTACCTACCTACCTACCTACCTAGGTAGGTTGTAGGTACCTAGGTATCCAGGTACACTTGTACCGGGTGTCGTCGTTGCAAGCTAGATGCGCTTTGTGCGCCACACAGCATTCCTGTTGTGTCCTCGTCGGGCGCGTACGCTCGTGGCGGGCTCGATAGGGCTCGGTGCCGGCATCCTCAAGGTCGGCTATGAGCAGCTGTGTGAGAGCAGGCTGTAGGTCATGGACGAGCCACAGGAGGCATTGTCAGCGGGCAGAGAGTATCACCTTTGATCATTGGCACTGGGGACACAGGATGGTACAGGGTGAGTGCGGGTTGCAGTTTGAAGTTGTTCATGATTTTTGCCGAGCCAAAATCCACCTTTTTCCCTATTCTCGACTGGCTGTCGCAACAAGTCCGAGCCGCCACGCAATCACCAGACGCCAATCCATGGACCACTCATTGCACCTAGTATCTCTTGTCCGACCGCAGGGTATCCGCAAACTCCTCCAGAGGGCTCCTGATGAGCTTCGTCTCCTTCCACAGGTTGGGCGTCAGGAATCCGTAGGTGTTGGAGATGGCGGCGAACGTAGCCTTCAGGGTGTTCTCGAGCGTCTTGGTAGAGCCAGCGGACGATGTGTAGGCGTCCTCGATACCAGCGAGCTGTAGGAGACGCTTGACGGCTGGGGAGGCGACAAGAGAAGTACCGCGGGGCGCGGGGATGAGCTTGAGGTGGAAGGATTAGCAAGTGCATTGCCTATTGGAGCGCATGGCCCTGGGGCGGGAGCAGTTACTCACACGGACGGTGACGGAGCCACACTTTCCAGACTCCTTGACGGGGATGGAGTGGGGTTGACCAAGGTTGGCACCCCAGTATCCTCGTCGCACGGGGATAACGCTCAGCTTGGCGATGATGATGGCGGCACGGATGGCGGTGGCGACCTCCTTGGAAGTCTTGATGCCGAGGCCGACGTGGCCCTCGGAGTCGCCAATGATGACGATGGCCTTGAATCGGGTTCGCTGACCGGCACGGGTCTGCTTCTGGACGGGCTTGATCTATACGGGGGGAGGGGAAGACGGTTAGCTCTCCACAAATCTCCTTGCTTGTGCCTCTGTGCGGCCGGCGAGGTCATCCAACAAACGGGCCACGCATGGGCCTCCCGCAGGGGGAGTGCCGCCTTGCGCCCAGGTTCAGAGTCCAGATTGGAGCACCGAGGCTCTCGTGGTGAAGTAGGGTGCGTCGGTCAGGAAGAAGGGGGAGGGGTGGGCTGCTCGGGCGTACCTTCATGACCTCGTCCTTGAGCTTGGGCAAGAAGAAGTCGACGATCTGGTACTCCTTGATGGGCAGGGAGTGCAGGTAGATCTCCTCCATGCTCTTGATCTTGCCGGCCTTTACGAGACGGCCCAGCTTGGTGACTGGCTGCCACTCCTTCTCCTCGCTCTTGCCGCCGCGACGTCCACGGCCACGGCCGCGTCCACGTCCACGATCGCCGCGACCACGGTCGCCGAAACCACCACCACGGGCACCACCTCGGTCAGCCATGGCTTTGATGTGGGTGTGTGTTGTTCTTTGGGGAGGGAGGCTGTGGCTGTCGGGAGCTTCGTCCGGCGTCGAGGTCGAACCGGGGGTGGGAGGGTGGTTGATGTTGAGGATAAGGTGAGGTGGATGAAATTGACGGCGGGAATCAAAGACAGGCGGACAGGCTGTGTGCTGTGTGTGCTGTGTGTGCGTGTGGTTGGGCCCGTCTCTCTTGTCTGCCAGGGTACGCTGTGGGGACCCGCGCCTGCAAAGCAAAAGGTCGGCGTGGGAAAAATTCGCGCGTGGGCCCTAGCAGTCCCTGCCGGCTGGCGGTGCTGCTGGCCCACACCTGGCAGCTGGCAAGCGGGCCCCGCACTGCTACCTCGGTACTTCAGTACCTACCATGTAGTACACCGGATGTACTCCGTACCAGTACGGTGAGGGGTGGCAGGGGGTGGTGGGGTTTCCCCGCGTGCCCTTGGGACGACGATGTGGGGATGAACCAGCCGCCCGTGGCCTCTGGGGGTTGCAACACTACAATACAGCACGGTCTGCAGCGTCATGAGGCATACCACCTTACGACGCCCAAGTGGTGGCCGAAGGTGACCGCAGGTGGCCTGGGCTGGCTGGGGCTTGGGGATAGCTCGAGCTCACCATGTGTACATTAACAGACCTCGAGGGCCTGCCCGAGTTCCCCCATCCCCGCCTCCTTGGTCTTCCCCCGCGCCTTCGGCGAGCACAGGACGAGCACAGGACCCAGACACCCAAGCAAGCCCATGATGCGTTCCCTCGTGCTACTGGCATTCGCCTTCTCGAGGCTGGTCCGGGGCCAGTCTTTTGATCCAAACAAGGCTGGGCCGCAGAGCTGGGACCCGGCTTCAGTGGGCACCAACACTACCGTACTTATGAGTCCTCCCTCTCTTTCCTGCCATCCTGCCGCCGTCTCCCGGGGAGTCATCGGCCACCTCGCAGCGGCCTGGGGCTCGTTGGTGGCTCTCGTATGCGACCCCCCGCAAACACCTCGCTGACGCAGCGCGCAATGGCGCATTGCCTGCTGTAGACAAACACAACGTACAGCAACCCTATATTCACCGCGAATGTGGGCGACCCCTACAGTAAGCAGGCCGCCCTCCTCATCAGAGGTGAGCTGACGCCGAGTGTCCAAGTGACGAGATACACCTCCAACAACCAAGAGTGGTACCTGTTCACGTACAGCACCAACGACAACATCACCCTCCGGCGCTCCAAGGCCCTGACGGACAACTGGGACCACCAGGAGACGAGGGTTGTCTTCAGCCCAGACCCCCGGGGCCAGGACGCTGGCCAGCCATGGTCCACCGATCTCTGGGTTGGTCATTTCTTAGCTGTCCATCAGACATGCCCAGTCATCTCGGGCAGGCTCGAGTCCAGACCGAGCAGGATGGCGCGTTGACAGAGAGCATAGGCTCCCGAGATCCACAACATATCCGGGAGGTGGTACATTATTTTTTCGGCCACGCCTGACTTCGATAACCCACCGCCTCTACAAGACGCTGCCTGCCCCATCAACTGCGTAAGTACCAAGTACTTAAGTACCCCTGCAAGGTCCGGGAAGCTTGTTTACCAACTGGACAGCCCGCCATTAACCACCGCATGTTCGTCCTCGAGAGTGATGGCCCAGACCCGTGGACATCAGCCTTCACGCTCAAGGGCGAGCTCAATACTTATGACCAGTTTGCTATCGACGGGACTTACTTCATCCATGACCAACAAATATACCACATTTACTCGTGCTGGCAAGAGCAGACTTCGGCGTGGCCTGCAAATCTCTGTATCACTCACATGAGTAATCCCTGGACCGTCGACACAAACCTGACCGGCAGGCGGATCATCTCAACTCCAAACGAACCTTGGGAGCGTGTCCCTTACGGGAGACCAGACACCAGACTTGCCACAAACGAGGGGCCTCAACAGCTTGTCAACCCTACCACGGGCCAGAACTTTGTGGTTTACTCTGCGGCTCGAGTAAACACCCCTTTCTACTGCCTAGGTGAGATGGGAATGACCCCCCTTTGGGTCGTGACCTGCCAGCCGTGACTGACCCCTTGTTCGCTGCCAGGGTTGCTCGAACTCGTAGGGAACGACCCCATGCAGTACCAGTCCTGGAGAAAACACCGGGACGGCTGTGTCTTCTCCCAGAACACACAAGCTTCCGTGTTCGGGACCGGCCACGCAAGCTTCACGACGAGCCCTGATGGCTCGGAAAATTATATTGTGGTATGTCAACGGGCGCCTTATGCGGTCCTGGGGAATCCTTCTTGGCCCTCCGGGCGAGAATCTCTTCATTGGGTCTCGCCGGGCCCAGCATTCCCTACATGTTCCCTGGTGAGCCGACAACACCTGACTTACTCGACCGGTAGTATCATGCCATGACTACGCCTGAGCCGCCAGCTGTAAGCTATTACCCTCGTGTCACTCAGACTGGCTCGCAGTGTGGTTCTCGTCTCGTTCACGAGATGATCGAACCGTCTCTCGCCCCACAGGGGATGCTAGACTTCCTGTTGTGCTTGGCCCGTGTACCGTAATACCAGAATGTTACTGCTCTAGATGACTGTTTTCGGCCTGGGCGACGGTGCTGGGCGCGGAGTTTGCAAAATAACCTCAGGGCTTTCCCCAGCTGACCCCAAACTTGCAGGACATTTACCGCACCGTCAGGACGCAACGGTTCGTCTGGGACGACAATGGAAAACCAAAGTTCCCACTGGCAGAGAATGGGCCATTTCCGGTGCCGTCCGGACAAAATGGGCAGGCGGCAGTGGACGAACGATCGCTGAGTGGGCGGCTGGGCGGGCTTTGGTAAGGGAACACTCGACCGTTCAGCTGCCTGGGTATTTACGCGTCATACCTGATTCCAGGGTGCACTACGAAGCAATCCAGCCAAATTATCATCCTCCAGGCAGAACGGGTATCTACACGAACCAAACAAACCATACCCTCCCTAAAAGCAAAAGGCACCATACCCGAACAAATTGCTACAGCGGGCTATTCTCGTAGGGATTGAGATCCCGTTGATGACCCACTGTGATGAAGAATCCAAGCATATGCCCGTCGCCGAAGGCACCTGCCCCGCCGGCTCTTACAACAGGAGCAGACCAGTCTATCCGGTCAGCACAATGATCCCGATATGCCATAAGAGTACGGTTCCACCCACACTCCAATGACGACGAATCCCCCGGGCATACACTGCGCGCACGTGTCAGATGAACGATGTAGACCTGCTTTGATCGCCCTTGCTCACTTGCTACGTACGAGAATAGATCAATCCCGGGACCAATAGCCGGCTGGTACGGGAATGGCCATTGCATAGCTCGTGGACTAGCACCCGGGCTCTTCAGCCGCCAACAATGTCCGCTTGCCTGACCGTCAACGACCATATGTTGTTTCCAAGCGATTTCCAAGTGATTTCCGACTGGATAATGTGATAAGGGGGCGTTGTGGTAGCTCCCCCCCAGGGCATCCTGCCCTCTGTTGCCCCGGCATACAGGGAACATGCCTTGGCGGCTGCGTTGGTTGCCAAAGAAGCAGTCTTGCAAGCAGATTTCCGTTGAATCCCGCAAGGTCGCAGTGCGGGATGATCAGTAGCGGATCAACCACGCAGAAACGTTTTAAATACCGGTGAGTCAGTACAGTCAACCCACGGGTAGCCTATCTCCTTGAGGAACTTCTCGAGTTCCCCGACCTCCTGGTCAGGGCAGAGAATGCCAGCCAGAATCTTGGCAATGTTACCACCGGAATTACGGTATTGGAACAGGCTAATGTTGTGTTTGGGTCGCAGGGTGTTCAGGAACTTGTCGAGGGCTCCTGGTCTCTCTGGGAAATTGAACATGTACAGGCGCTCGTCCGGCACATTGGAGATGCCACCCACCAAGTACCGAATATGACTCTTGGCAAGCTCGTCCCCAGAGAGGTCGGTGACGGAGAAGTGGCCGTTCTCTTGGCTGCTGATAGAGTCGATGCGGTGCAAGAGGCCCTGCAGCTCCTGTGTCCGCTGAGATGCCGACGCCGTCAGGCTAAGGCCGAGCAGCACGTTGGCACCCGAGGACGCAGCGTAGCGGTAGCTGAACTCGGTGACGGCATGGGGGAGGATGGCACTGATGAGCTTGGCGAAAGACCTCGGCTTCTCGGGAATGCGGCAGGCCAGCAGGACCTCCTTGCCCGCGCCGACATCAGCTCGCTCGGCCACGAAGCGGAGGCGGTCGAAGTTCATGTTTGCACCACTGGTGACGGCAACGAGCGACCGGGCCGGGTCGGTTGAGGGGTGGGAGGCGACCCACTTCTTCAAGCCGGCCACGGCCAGAGCACCAGCGGGTTCGACAATAGACCGCGTGTCCTCGAAGACATCCTTGATGGCGGCGCAAGTCTCGTCGGTGGAGACCAGGACGACCTCGTCGACGACCTCCTGGCAGATGCGGAAGGTCTCCTCGCCAACCTGCTTGACAGCGGCGCCGTCTGCAAAAAGGCCGACCTGGTCGAGCACAACCCGTTCCCCCTTGGCCAGCGACCTCGTCAGGGCATCGGCGTCATGGGTCTCAACCCCGATGACCTTGACGTGAGGGGCGATGCGCTTGACGTAGACACCAACGCCGGCCAGGAGGCCGCCACCGCCGACGCAGCAGAAGATGGCCTCGAGCTTCTGCAGATTCGTCTGGCGGAGCAGCTCCATGCCGATGGTGCCCTGGCCAGCAATGACATAGGGGTCGTCGAAAGGAGGGATGTTGATGAGGCCGTCCTGTTGTTCCCTGCGTGCGCACTCCTCCTTGGCGGCGTCGAAGTCGGGGCCGTGCAGGACGACGTGGCCACCCAGGCGGGAGACGTTGAGGTGCTTGATGCTCGGAGTGCCCTCGGGCATGACGATGGTGGCGGGGATCTTGAGCTTGCGGGCCGAGTAGGCGACGCCCTGGGCGTGGTTGCCGGCGCTGCAGCAGATGACGCCCCTCCAGCTGCGGGCGGGCTCGAGGTGAGCCATCTTGTTGTAGGCGCCGCGCAGCTTGAAGCTGAAGACAGGGTGCTCGTCCTCGCGCTTGAGCAGGACATTGCACTCGAGACGGTTGCTGAGGTTCACTGCAGGGGCCAGCGAGGTCTCCTGGCAGGCCTCGTAGACCTTGGAGGTCAGGATGAGCCGCAGGTAGTCCGGGTGGCCGCTGGGGAGCATGAACTCTGGCGGCACGATCTTCCTGATACGAGCATTTGCCCCCTCTGGCGGCGGCGGTGAGGTGTCGGGCGAGGCTGGGTTTGCGCTGTACTCTGTCAGCGACAGACCCGTCGTGCTGGGTGTCCTCGCCGTGTGGCGGTTGCCACGGCCGTTGCTGCTAGGGACATGGCCGTCGTGGCCGTCGACGCCGTTGGCGGATGGCTGCTCGACCGCCGGCATTGCTGGCTCGTCAGGTTTTCTTCTCGGTTCCGTCTGGTGTGAGACGCACGGGTGACTCGGTCGAGTGAGGTGAGTGGACGAGTGAGTGAGTGAGTTAGTGAGTGAGTGACCGAGTTGGGCGAGTCCCCGGCGTGGGGGGGGGGGGGCGTAAATCAGGCCAAAGGGTGACTCAACACGCACCTGTGCATACAGATCAGATAGTATCCAGGGCCCGCCCGGGTGGTGGTGGTTGAAAAAGTTACCCAGCTAGGGTGGGGCCACAGTGCTAGGCTTGAGCCGTGCAACCTTGGGCTGCCCTGCAGCCCTCGCCCGCCGACGCGTCTCCTGGATACCAGGATACCAAGGTACGTACATGATGGCCTAGGTTAGTTAGACCTTGCCTGCCCCAAAAATCCATGGCATCATTCATTCTCCCACAACATACAGAGCTCTCCTCCCCACCTCGCACTCCTCACACCACCACACCACAACCGCCCTCATCAGCCACAACGCGCTGGAAACGACCTCCCCAGTCCAAGTCGGCCCTGACCATACCTCAACACCACCGGGTCCCGCCTGTGCCGCATTGCATTGTGTTGCATCATGACCAGCCCTGTGTCCGGCCGGCCATTGCCCTCATCCTTCGACGAGAACGAGTGAGCCATGGCCCTGATACCCACCATATTACATACCAGTTGTGTCCCCTCGAGCCTTTGGCTGATTGGTCCTTGATCTTCAACAGCGAGTTCTACAATGAAAGCGGTCTTCAGAAGGTCTTGGGCCGCATGAAGCGCGAGCCTCTCGTGCCACTCGGTATGCTCGCACCTGTCTGCCTGCCATTCACCCTACTCCATCATCTGCCCCGGTTTCTCTGTTCGACGACCTGACAGGGGCTTCAAACTCAACCTTAGGATGCCTACTAACCGTCGCTGCCTTCACCAACGCTTACCGTGCCATGCGAAAGGGGGATCACAACCAGGTGCAGCGCATGTTTCGAGCACGTGTCATAGCCCAGGGCTTCACCGTCGCCGCCATGGTCGCTGGCGGCTTGTACTTCGGCGCTGAAAGGCACAAGGAGCGAGAGAATTGGAAGCTGCAGGAGCAGGAGAAGGCCGAGGAAAAGCGTCAGAAGTGGATTCGAGAGCTCGAGGCTCGCGATGATGAGGAAAAGGAGCTCAAGGCCATGATGAACAAACGTCGCGAGAAGAAGAAGACGGCCGACGCCGAGGCTGCGCGTAACAGTTTCCGCGCGGCTGAGGCCAAGAGACTGGACGAGGTTCCACCAGCATCACACCACAAAGCCGACAACCAACAATCAACTTGGGGTTTAAGTTGGCTCGGTCAGTCCAAAGATTCTATAGAGAATAAGTCAACAGCAGATATTAAGTCAAATCCTACTAAGTAAGATAAAGCTAGATATTAAGAAGTTAAATATTTATATAACTTTTTTAAAATCTTTATATAATTAATTTATTATATAATTTATTTAAATTTATATATAAATTTATATTTTTATTATATTTTTATTAATATTATAATTATATTTTATATTTTATATTTTATATTTTATATTTTATATTTTATATTTTATATTTTATATTTTATATTTTATATTTTATATTTTATATATTATATATTATATATTATATATTTATATAATATATATATATATATTAATTAAATTATTTAATATTTAAATATATAATTAATAATTAAATTTAAAATATTAAAATATTATATTTAATTAAAATTATATAATTATTTTATTATTAATTATATAAATTATTTATATTTTTAATTTTACTATTAAATTAAAATTAAATAGTTAAAGTTTTAAAATAAAATATAATAAATTTTTAAAATTAATTTAATTAAATTTATTATATAAAATTTTTATAATAATATTATAATTTATATTTATAATATTATTTATTATTAAAAATATTTTTATATTAATTTATTAAGTTATATTTAATTAATTTTAATTAATATTATTAATTTATTAAAAGTTAAAATTATTATAAATTATAAATTATTTAATTTTAATATTATTAAATATTAAATATAAAGTTATTATATAATTTAAATATAAATATAAATTAATTAAAATAAATAAAAATAAAACTATAATTCTTTTAATTAAAAATATATATAAGTTTTAATTTTATTTAAATAAATATTTATTTATTTACTTTATAAATAAAATTATTTAAAAATTATTATTTAATTTATTATATAACTTATTAAATTAAAATATAACTTTTAAATAAAATAATTATACTTTATTATTTAAATTTATAATTTTAATAAATTATAAATAAATAAAAATTATTAATAATTAAATTTATAATTATATAAAAATAAACTTTTATTTTAAAAGTTATTATTATTTAAAATAATAATAATATTTTTAAAAGTTAAAAATATAAATTTAATTTAAAATAAATTAAAATTTATAATAATTTTAAATTTAAACTTAAAGTTTTAATTTAAAGTTAATTTATTTAAAAGAAAATATTAAAAAATTAAAAAAGTTTAAATTAAATTAAATTAAATTATAATATAATAAAATAATTACTTAAAAATTAATTAAAAATTATAATTATAAGTTTTTAATTTTATATTTAAAAGAATTATTAATTATATAAATATATAAAACTTAAAAATTATATATTAAAAACTTTTAATTTATATTTAATTAAAAATATATACTTTAATTAAACTCTTTTAATATAAAGTTAAAAACTTATAATTATAATTTTTAATTAATTTCTATTTAATTAGTTTTTATTATAATTTAATTTAATTTTTAATTTAATTTAAATCTTTTAAATTATATAAAACTTATAATTTATAATAGTTTTTATAATAAAATATAATTAAATAAATAATTAAATTAATTTATAATTAAATTAAGTTTAATAAAAAATAAAAAATAAAAAATTTAAACTTTTAAATTAAATTTTTAAAAGTATTAAACTTTTAAAACTTTACTTTTTTAAATTATATCTATTATATTACTTTTTAATCCTATTTTAATTTAATTTATATTTTATTAATATTTTATTAATATTTATATTAATATTTATAATTAATATTTAAACCTTTTAAAAAAAGTTTTAAAGTTTTTAAAAAAAATTTTAATAAGTTTTTATTCTTTATACCCTTTTATTTAAATTTTAAAATAAAATTTTAATTTTTAAAGTTTAAAAGAATATATTTAAAAACTAATTAAAATTAAATTATTTTTAATATATTTAATTAAATAGTTATTATATTTATTAAGTTTTATAATTAAATAAATAAAACTTTAAAATTTATATTAAAACCTTTAAATATTTTTAAAAAAATATTAATA